GAACTCGGGGCCTTTTCGGAGCTTACTGTGAATTCACACTTGTAAACGAAACGTGATAGCCGCTACACCACTAAACCTATAAGCTGTGACAATTTTCATCAAATTCGCGCCACATAGACCACGTAAACATTTATGCAGGACAATCCATCAAGATATAGTGAAACTGAAAGTATTGAAATTGCAATAGGACTTGAAAGAAATAAAATCAAGGTATACACCAATACTTTGGGTTAATAATGCGGATGTGCGAAGAGATAGTTCAGTACTACCCCGGTGACTAACAATAAAAAAAATGCAATTGATCTAGCCGAGGATCGAACTCGGGGCCTTTTCGGAGCTTACTGTGAATTCACACTTGTAAACGAAACGTGATAGCCGCTACACCACTAAACCGCAAACTGCGAAAGCTTGAAAAAAAATGTGAGCCGTATTGGGCCTTTGATGTTCTAAGCCTACTTTTCACGTCAAGTGTTCCGTTTTATAACGCCCACCTTAAATGTGTTTTCCTTGATCTTTCAGATCTGTTGAAAGGGAAGCGATTGAATATATGGTGTGACGAAGCTCAAATGAGTAGCGAATGATGATTTACAGCTAAAATCACGATGCACATTGTCCTATTTCCCTGGTGTAGCCTGGGGTCTTTTTTCGTTTTTGCGGGGAGTATATTCAACCTGTCCTCACATGAAATTTATATCGGATCCATCGTTATGATATTTGATTTCATATTCCTCCATAAATGTAAATTATCCCTTACGGTGATTTGGTTTTTACTAGTTTGGTTGCAATCTGAACATAACTACAATGAAATACAGTGAGAGCCTGAAAGATAGACTAGCTAAGTCAATTGACAAGATCTTAGAATCTAATACTACCCCACAAAAAGATGGAGACCTTTCAACCCCCACAGTCCATGGTATTATAGCTGGTGTAACTTCTTCCGAAAATACTTTATATCTCAATTCGAAAGGAAAAGCTAATGTAGAAACTGGAGAAGAAATGTCCGTTGATCATATAATGTGCCTATACTCTTGTACCAAGGCCTTCACAGCAACCGCAATTCTCCAACTTCATGAACAAGGCAAGTTAGATATTGACGGAGAAGCTCAGAAATATCTCCCTAAGATTGGAGAAATTGGCCTTATTGAAGAGGGATCTGTTTCTGAAGAAGATGGCTCTTTTACTATACCACCTAAAGCCCCTAAGAACCCGATTACAATAAAACATTTGTTATTGCACATATCGGGATTTGCGTACGCATTTACGAGTATTGACTACTTCCATTTGATGACGAAGAAAGATCCTCATCTTAATGCAATAAAGCCAGTTCCGGAATATTTCAGTCAAGGGAAAATGCCCTTAGTATTTGAACCAGGCTCCAAATTTCTTTATGGGCATAGTAGTGATTGGTTAGGATTGGTAGTAAAAGAAGTAACTGGCTTGAATCTAGGAGAGTACTTGAAAAAGTATGTTTTTGAACCACTTGGAATGGATTCATGCACTTTCCATCTTAACGAGAAGGCTAAATTCTTGGAACTACACAGAAGAACTCGTAAAGCTGGAATAGTCATCCATAATAGCTACGTCGTTGATAAAGATCCAGCGGTTGATATGGGAGGACAAGGCTGCTTCGGAACTGTGGGAGATTATTTAAAGTTCATCAGAGTTTGGTTAAACGAAGGAGTCTCACCAGATACAGGTGCAATCTTATTACAGTCTGATACCATCAAATATGCTAGATTGAACCATTTACCTGAGGAGTTTTTGATAGACTTTTCAACTGCGTCTTCTTCCTTGTTACCAGAAGATGTATTGTCCGATGGATACACTTTAGCTGGTTGTGCGTTCTCCAAGACCAATTTGCCTACCGGTAGACCAAATTCGTCTATCTACTGGAGTGGGTTAGCTAATTTATACTTTTGGATGGATTTTGAAAATAAGATTGGGGGATTTTGGGGTACTCAACTCTTCCCTTACTTCGACGACGCTTGCGTGGAGAGTTATTTGGACTTCGAAAAGACAGTTTACAGGGAACTTTTAAGCAAAGGCTCCAAGTTTTAAGAGGAAACCAATTTCTCAAATATCTTATCTACAAATATATATTTATATTAATGTAAATTCTAATGTCTCTATCTATTCAATTATGCACTTTCTCAATGTAATCCCAATTTGTCCATTCTAACTTGAACAGCATTTCTGTGAGCTTCCAAACCTTCAACAGCCGCGAGAGTCATAACTGCTTTACCAATGCTCTTCAAACCTTGTTCAGTGACTTCTTGACTAGTAATGAATTTCTGGAAGGTAGCCAAATTGACACCAGAGTATTGTCTAGCATAACCATAAGTAGGCAAGGTATGGTTGGTACCACTGGAGTAGTCACCACATGATTCAGGTGACAATCCTCCTACAAATACTGACCCAGCGTTTTCAATGCTACTTGGCACATAACTTGGGGCATTCTCGATTTGTAAAATTAGATGCTCAGGAGCATAGCGGTTAGACATTTTGAATGCCTCTTCATAAGTATCTACAAGCAAGGTGTAAGAGTGAGCCAAACACTTAGCAACGATTTCCTTTCTTGGGAGGACTTCAGCTTGTCTTCTGACAGCTTCAGAAATTTCTAGTTGCTTTTGTTCAGTTAAGTCAACACCAATAAGAATAACTTGAGAATCAATACCATGTTCTGCTTGGGAAAGCAAGTCAGAAGCAACGAAATCAGCATCTGCCTTACCATCTGCAATAACTAAGACTTCAGATGGACCTGCTGGCATATCTATCGAACATAAGGCTTGTGTATCATTTTGAACATACATCTTAGCAGCAGTCACGAATTGGTTACCAGGACCCAAAATCTTGTCACACTTGATAACACTATCAGTTCCATAAGCCATAGCGGTAACTGCTTGAGCACCTCCAGCCATAACGATACAAGTGGCACCTAACTTATGAGCAACGTAAACGACTTCTGGTGTCAACTTACCTGTGGCTCTTGCAGGTGGAGAAGCCAAGATGATATTTGAGCAGCCAGCAACTTTAGCTGGAACACCCAACATCATGGCAGTTGAAGGTAAAACTGCAGTACCACCTGGAACGTATAATCCAACATTCTCAATTGGCTTAGCAAAACGAGAACAATACACACCTGGTGCAGTTTCAACAGTCATAACTTCTTCCTTTGGTTGTTGGGCCCTATGGAATTTTTCAATATTAGACATGGATAAATCAATAGCTTCTCTCATTTCTTCGCTGATATTCATTAATTCTTGAGGGAATGGGGCCTTCAATATTGGAGACGTTAACTCTACTCCATCAAATTTAGCTGTCAATTCAACTAAAGCTTTGTCTCCTTCCTTCTTAACCTTATCAATAATTGGTAAGACAAGCTTCATTATATCGGCAGTCTTTTGAACTGGTCTTGTTAAAGCTTTTTCGATAGCAGCTTCATCACCACCCTTGACGGAAATGGTTTCCATTTGGTAAAGGGCAGTTTCAGGCTCCTTTGGTGCAGCTTGTTCTTCTTTAATATATTGCTTCTTGGCATCGCCCTTTCTTCTAGTGACCTTTCCGCTCTTGATATCTAAGTTCTTTTCTACATCAGACAATCTAACACCATGCTTGATACACCAGACCATGACAAAATACAATAAGTCTGCGGCTTCCCAGGATACTTCATTACCGTCTTTGGATTTGTTTTGACCAGCTTCGATCAATTCATCCAATTCTTCCTTCAACTTGGCAACTAACAAATTTTCATCGCCAAACAACCTCTTGGTATAGGAACCTTCTGGGGCAGACTGGGATCTTTCAAACAAAGTTGAGTCCAATTTGCTCAAACCTGATCCTGGAGTAGCATCACTGCCATTTAACTGTCTATCATTGAAGCAAGTAAAGTTGTTTTCCAAGTGGCAGAATCCATAGCCCTTTCTTGGCTCAACGATGAATTTCACCAAATCGGAGTCACAATCCTTCTCTAACTTAACAAGCTTCTGAGTAGCACCAGATGTCTTACCCTTGTACCACAATTCTTCTGGGCGCTTGCGCGATTGGTAAACACCTTCACTTTCAGCGATGGCAGCTTTGATAGAGGCCTTGGACGAGTAAACAACACCCAATGCAGTGTAGGAAGGAGCTGGTGTGGTGATCAAGGTGGTGTATAAGCCATCTGGACGATCTGTAGTCAAGCTGTTGACAAAGATAGATGAGATGGATAATTGACCACTTGGTGACTCTACCGAAGTCAGTAACTTACTTGAAGAAACAACAGGAACGTATCCCTTTGCAACCAATGTTTCAACTTCAGATTGAGAAACGTCCTTTCTTGCACTAATATATATTATTTTGTTGCCAGACTGGCTGACCAGCTTTACATCAGAAACCTCATCGTCCACCAAGATGTCTGAAGAAACAGTACCGCTCAGACCGGTGACAATAAACCTACTTTCTGGTAACCCTGCCTCTACTATGATCTGAGAAGCTTGACTATCTTTAATTACAATTTGGTTGATACCGTTGTTTAACAATTCAATAACTTCTTCAACGCTGATATCTGACCCACTAGCGTCAACGTTAATCTGAGCATGGTGTGGGAATTGACTAACGAAATACTTGGAGATCTGGAAACTTCCAAATGGAATCAAATATTGTCCAATGACAGAAAGTCTTTGTATATCTTGGAGCGATTCCACAACTGGTAATAATGGAAATGTCATCTCGAACTGCTGTTTTGCTATACCCTAATCTATAAAACGTTATCTTGAACCGGTTCAGTTTTTCTCTATCAGTCCTGGAGAATTTCTGAGTCACAAGAAAAAAAATTTAAATGAAAAATTCGAAAAAAAAAAAAAAAAAAAATTAGCGATGAAAAATGCTGCAGCTTTTAGTGGTGCGATTAGGACTTGATTAGTACAGAGAGGAGAGAATCGAAGAAGATAGCGGTGAAGAGATGGCGAAGAAAAGAAAGTGGTGGAAAGAGAACAGTGAAAAAGAAAGTTTACATTGGAGGTATATGTCATGATTGCATAAAATTTAACTATAGAATAAAAGCAGATATTTCGCAACGACAACAATAATAACAACAACTAAATAGGATTAGAGAGATGGGGTCCAGGAGCGCCTAGTACAGGCGAGTAGTACGTGGGAGTAGTAGCGAATGGTCGAGCGAAACGTCATGGTGTAGGTGAATTTCATTGTACATAATCTCGATATTAGTTTTAAAGCATAATGAACCTTAGCCTTGTTGTAATCTTCTTTAGCTTCTTTAACTTCTTTAGTTTCTTTCACTTCTTAACCCATAATAATGTAATCTACAAGTGAAGCTTACTCAAAAATTAAATTCTCCTCTAAATTGATTCAAGTCCATGCCCGGTTTGACCAACTCCAAGAAATCTCTTCTGTCCATGGCAATGAAAGCTCTCTTCAAAGTCTCCATTAGCGAAGAACTCTGGTTGTTATTGAAACTAGAGCCATCATCCAAAACTCCTTCAACTTCATGCATAGATAAACCACTTAACAAGTGTTCGGCGGCTTCCTTGTAACATCCAATGTTTATGCATGAAACTCCCAAATTGTATCTTGCTCTGACAAAAGTAGGCTTCAACTCCAATGCCTTGAAATAAGCATTGACAGCCTCCTCTGATCTATTTGAATTCGCTAAAGAGGCCCCCAACCTGTTCCACAAAACTGGGTCATCAGGCTTAATCGACAATGCCGCTTTAAAGCAATCAATAGTCTTATCAAAGTCCTCGTTGGCATAAAATAATACACCTAGACCCATTTGTACATCTGGGTCCATGTTTGCATGATCAGGTGATAGCTGCGCAGCTTTCATAAACAATTCTGTCACTCTCTTGTTCAAGGAAAATCTATCCTCATCGTCAATCAAAGGATTCTTTTCCCTGGCTTTATCACAAATTTGGGGATATTTAGTGGAAATCCACCTTTCCAAGGTTGCAAATGCAGCATTATCATAACCTTCATTAATATACGAGATTGCCAACGTCATCAAAGCTTCTGAATTCTCTGGCAGTAATTCTAAGCACTTTTCTAAAGCTGAAATCCCCGCAATTTCCTTTTCATTTTGAGTTTGCACTTCACCAAGCTTCAACCAAGCCAAAACATGACTCTGGTCCTTCTGAATGGCTGCCTCAAATGCCAAGGCTGCTTCAGAAAGCTTAGCGCCATTTTCCATTAACTGTAATCCTATTTCATACGCATCTTGATCCTTTGGTAGGTCCAAGAATTGGTTATGTTGTTGATCTTCAAACTTATAATCTCCAAAATGAGCTCTTGTTGAGGCATACTTGGCAAAATCTCTCTCCCATTGGGCCATGTCAGCTGGGAATGCCTGGCCCTGTGTGTGCCTGAATTCTTCGTATTGCTGACTAATGAAATCATTCTCAATAGCATCTGAGTTCAAGCTGTCCCAGACTTCGTCGAAGGTGGCTTGATACTTATCGTCGATCACAATCTCGGGGGATGCTTCTCTAGGGATTTCTTCGACATTTTGAGTCAATTCTTCAATTTCTTTGAACTTGTCGTCCCAGTCAACCTGAGGTTCAGCGTTCTGAGCTTCCTTGAACTGAGGTTGTTGCTGTTGTTGATGCTGTGGCTGTGGTTGCTGAAGCAAGGAGTTGTTCCCCATCATCATCATTGGACGATAATTATTCATTCTTGGCCCCGCATACTGAGGTTGCGGTTGATGTTGGTTGATTTGCATATTGGTTTGTTGTCGTACCTGTCCAAATTCGTTGCCCCACTGAGCATTCTGAGGACTAGCAGGTTTGTTGTTTGCTAGAATTGGAGTACGAGAGACAGGAGAAGCAAATTCTCCAGACCAGTTTTGTCCCACACCGCCTACCGGTTGCTGGTGCTGTTGCTGAGGAGAGTTGGGTTGCTGCATCATGTTCAACTCATGTCTCATAGGCTGAAACTGGAAGCTTCCTGTGTTTGAATTATTCATAAATTGGTCCATGTTCTGTCTATCTCTAGCGTTCATCATCGATTCGTTCTTGAACTGACCGTTGCCATTCTGAAGGGCTCCCTGGTTAGGTACCGCCTGTCTCTGTAATGATCTGTCCTGCTGAGTATGCTTATTAAATTGCAATAAGGGGTTGCTGCTCCCTGAGCAGTCGGCGGCTGCAAAAGACATTCTCAATATATATCAAGTCGAATAGATAGAAGTGCTCGGTATACTACTATCGTATCAGGAAAAAGAGTGCTACAATCTCGGTTCTTCAGTGAAGGCGAAAAACTTGTCAGCTGTATCGACCCCACCGTAAGCAGAAGCTGAGAGGGAGCACAAAAGAGTCGGCCCGCGGGATCTTTGATTTGGAGAGCGGAGACTATGCAGGAATGGGTGGTGAGAGAGTCATAGCAAAAGTCTACCAGACTGCATGTGAGAATGGATGGATTGAGTAATTGCATGCGACAAAAAAGCGATGATTTAGGTGAGGTTGGCGTTTTAATGGCAGAGGGCAGGTAGAAGTTGATTTAGAGAGAAGTGAAAGTAGTGATGGGGGCTGTAGGTAGGTGCCGATTCTGAGTGCATTCTGACCAATGTTGTTCGGGAATTTTGGACACGGCCCTCTCTCAGTTTCAAGTTCAAGTGCAACTTACGCTTGGTGTAAGTGTTGATCTGTTCCACTGAGACACACTAGCCATCTCACCGCCACTAGGAGGCAAGTAACAGTGCTGCAGATTTTGCAACAATCGAGCGTCATGTAATGTACTGGGCATGCATGATCTAAAGATTCTATTGAATGTTCCACCAATAGCTATGGATCATGGAACATTACAGCGCCACATCAGAAAACTTCATACTCACATGTAGTTGAAGTCACAATGCTGATTCATATATATTGGTGAATGGATCTTACTAGCACCGTAGACGCTTTCTATTTTTTGATATTTGCTGTTCCATGGAAAACCTAGAAAAATCTCATCAACCATTTGCAGCCTCACACGTGAAAAAAATATTCATAGTCTTAGCCCCATCTACTCTTTATTTTTTTTTTTATCTTATATCTTAGCGAGGTTGCCTATGTACAGTAACGGCTTGCTGATACGTCGAGCAGAAACTGAACTCTGATACCATTTTTGATGTGTATTGTTAGAGCGCCATAAGGCGTCTGATTCTGAATTGGTCAAAAAAAGAATCGGGCTCACAATTGGCTAGCATTTGCCACGACAGGAAACTGAGCTGCTGCGTAAGTCTCTCAGACTGTAGTTACCGTAATACAACGAGCCAATGCCTTAGTCATGCCTTCAATGCGCTTCCCATGAAATGAAGGCAAAACATTCACTCTGAATTGAAGTTGGCAGAGTATGAGATACATATCTTAAATGCAACATCCCAAAAAGTTGACTTTACTCAATACCTATTGTTCATAGTCCCGGAGCGTGCGTCAACGAACTCCGACGATCGAAATTTTTCCCTATGCTATTCCAAGATTCCAAGAAACCGAGTATTCCGTTTTCTCTACCTTGTAGCCTAGAGCCCAACTAGACTAGATTTTTTCACCCTGAAGAGGGAGTAACAGATATACGCTCCAAATGTGTGCCAGAGGCACTTGTATACAGCTTGTGAACTCTGGCCATCACACGAATTTATGCCGTATCACATGAAGCTTAAATTGAAGTAAAAAAAAAAAAAATTTATTCCGGGTTTATTTAACAATATGGCTTATTCCTTGTTGAGAATTGAAGGATGGACGGAAAATTACACCCAGCCAATAGAGTCAATCATATCTACATTTTTGATACCATTCTGTTCAACAAACGACTGAAGTTAATTTCGTAGAACAGATTTCAATCGGAGTATCAAAATTTCCTCAGCCTTCCTGTCTTTGGTTAGAGCCCTTCAGTCCAATTTGTTTAGCCATATTTTAATCTGAAATCTTCTCGCTTATTTATTTTTTATTTATTTTTTTTTTTTTAGGTGTAGTTTTATTTTTTACATTTCTTATATCTCCTTCTTCCAGGTTCCATTATCGTTACGAGATCGATATATCTTTGAAGAGTTCTCGCCCCCTTTACAGTTCTATTTGATCACTGTCGTGTCTCCTTCCATCTCTTGCTCTGCAGGTAGCCCCCGCGTGTCCGAACGTAACTAGGTCTTGCTGCACCCACCCAAGAGTTTTTATTTTCGTGATGAAATTTTTTATGCAACCTTGACTGTGCTGCAGGTTCGATTCAACCTAATCTTATTACCGTGATAAATAAGCATTTCTTTTTCTAATTAGCCATCTTCACTGTTTTTTTCCTAGTTGGAATTGTGTTCGTAAGGCATAGCATTTCTCAGACAATTCCGAATATTTTTTTTGTCAAATCGATCGTTTAACCCCCCAAGAAAAAACGCCAAATTTGCCCTTTCTACATACATACTTTTTTCTCTGTTTTCGACTAGTGTCAAGGTTCTTGTTCCTTAAGTTGATTTGAATTGTAAGTTCCTGAAGAACTTTCCTGAGAAGTATTCCTTCTTTTCACTGCAGCAGACCCCGATTGTAACACGGATGGTTGCACTTTGTTAACTTTCCGCTGACCCCACATACAAAAAAAAGGTACACAGAACAATAACGTTTATAGTTAAATATTATTCACAGTGTGAGTTCAGTAGATTACTTCGTAAAAAATTGATCCATTTGACCAAGGTATTTTCCTTATATAATTCCAATAATGAAGAGAATATATGACCTCCTTAACGTCGATTCAAATGAGCTGCAACCGATACCTATACCGCTGTCAATATCATCGATACATCAAACTGCAACTTACTCCCACTCCGGTACTGATTCTCCATTAAGCAGCGGCAGTAACTCGCTTGTAAACTCAAACTTTAGCATAGCAAGCAGATCCACGTCAACCTCATTAATAAATCTTGCGTCGGCCTCGACTACGAATTCGCCATCAAGGCCGTCTTCAGCAACCCCAACGACAGCAGCAGCCTCAGCAGAAGCGACGGCAGCAGCAGCTGAATGTATACCCAAGACTAAAATTAGCTCTAAGTACCTCATTAACAAAAACATCATTAAAATAGCCATAAGGAGGAAGTCTGCCTCCAAGAAATCTTCTAAACCAATATCATTAGACTCACACTCAAAGCTTCATTTGAAATCTTTAGAAGCTGGAATCAAAATCAAACTCACGTTGGCGCCGTCGTTAATTTCGTTGTACAAAAGTTTGACACCCAATATTAACGTCAAATCCATAAAAATCGTAGAATCTTCATGTGGATTCGGTGAAACAGCATCCAAGTTTAACTCCGAGTTGAATTCCATTCCATCGTCATCACCTTCATCGTCGTTGAAATCTAAAAATGTTCAATTGGTGGATAACAACCTCGTCAACTTATCCAGCTTGTCAAATAAAATATTGCAGACTTTCAGGAAGGATTCTTTGGATAGCCAAGTGAAATACCCCATCTATAATTGCCTTAATACGGCCATGCACTCTTTGTTTGGAGTAGATGACTATACGTTTATCAGAGTGACTAGATCCAGTAGTAATACGCCAGAGGGATCTACCCTTCTTAAGTTGGAAGCTGCGAACCCAGGTGACTACTGGTTGATTGATGAAGAGGAGTTCTATGAGGAAATGTTTTACAGCATTGGTAAGAAAGATGATGTCCCTTCCAATTTATTCATCAAGAAGATTTTGGCACGTCCCAGATACAAGGCAGATATGAAGATTTATGTTGTGCCTACGAGATGCATAACTTCATTATACGTAGACGAGAGAATGTTGGAAAGAGATCTTATAAAGGGAGTGGTAGACCCAAAGAAAATCAATCAAAGGCCAATATTGACTACATTTGATTATCACCCTCTTCTAAAGGAAATAAACCACTTGATAGATCTAAGTAATGAAAACAAGGACTAGGCAAAAACACTAACGAACTTTATGAACTTTATATATTTATACATGGGACATATACGCATGCATTATATTATGATTTTTTTTATTATTATTATTCCTTTACTTCAACGTTCAACTCTAATAACATTTGACGATTCTACACCTCGCTTCAATTTTAACGCTATCTATTTTCTTTTACCTACCTATTTAAACATTTAATGAAACCTTTTCATCGTTAATGAATTGCTTGAATGGCTCTAATGCCTTCTTGACGTCAACGTTAACGAATTTTTCAGTCTGTTGTGGAGCTCTACCAACAAAAGTAGATGGATCTAACAAACCTTCCAAGTCATTCCAGATTGGTTCGAAATACTTGGTGTTCTTAACTCTTTGGATCAAGTCATTATCACCACCTTCTTGTTTGACAACTGCAGATGCTTGGTGCGATAATACTCTGATTTCTTCGTGACAGTCTTGTCTTGAACCACCCTTTTCAACCATGGCCATGATGATGTTTTCAGTAGCCATGAATGGTAATTCGGCCATGATTCTTCTTTCAATAACCTTTGGGTAGACAACAAGTCCACTGGTAATGTTTTGTAAAGTAGATAAAACAATGTCAGCGGTCAAGAAAGCAGATGGTAAAGTGATTCTTCTGATGGCAGAGTCATCCAAGGTTCTTTCAAACCATTGCACAGAAGCAGTTTGAACAGCATCATTGAATAAGCCTCCCAAGTGTCTAGCAAGAGAACAGACTCTTTCACATCTCATTGGGTTTCTCTTGTAGGCCATAGCAGATGAACCGATTTGGGATTTTTCAAATGGTTCTTCAATTTCCTTCAAGTTGGCCAATAATCTGATATCGGTAGCAAACTTGTGGGCAGTGGCACCTAAGGAAGCCAATGGGGAAAGAACATCAATGTCAATCTTTCTAGAGTAAGTTTGACCAGTGACTGGGTAAACGTGTTCGAATCCGAGCAATTCAACAACTCTAGCATCAAGGGCTTCAACCTTGTCATGGTCACCGTGGAATAAGGATAAGAATGAAGCTTGAGTACCAGTGGTACCCTTGACACCTCTCAAACCAATATCGTTTCTGGCTCTAACCATGTTTCTTAAATCCCAGAGCAATTCTTGAATCCATAATGTAGCTCTCTTACCAACGGTGGTCAATTGAGCAGGTTGGAAATGGGTCCAGCCCAAAACAGGTAAGTCTTTGTATTCCAAAGCAAATTTAGATAATCTGTCAATAACATTGACCAACTTTGGAATCAAGACGTCGTAGGCATCTCTCAAGAAAATCAAATCGGCATTATCAGTGACAAAACAAGAGGTAGCACCCAAGTGAATAATACCAGAGGCTTCTGGACAAAGGTCACCAAAGACATGGACATGAGCCATGACATCGTGTCTAACAATGGCTTCTTCCTTGGTAGCAGCGTCAATTTGTTCATCTGAGATTTCCAAATTAGCCTTCATTTGCTCAATGGCTTCATCAGTGATGATGCTTAAACCAACTTCCTTTTCAGCGATAGCCAAGTTTAACCAAAGCTTTCTCCAAGTGGAATAACGATTTCTAAGAGAGAAGATCTTAGACATTTCTTCAGATGCATATCTTGAAGATAATGGAGTGGCATATTTATCATTAGCAGACATGGCTGATATGGGTTTACTTATGAATTGGTTATATAAATAGGGATGGTAGAGGGAAGAAGAAGAAGAAAGGAACAGGAATCAGTTTTTTTTCCTGCCTACTTTTTTTTTCAGTCTTAATTAGGAACGTTCCTCGTAAATTAATCAGATGAGGTTGAAGTCAGAACGGGTATGGTTCAATAATAAGCAGGAAAAGGTGCAAAAAGATCAGAAAATAAGAGGGAAAAAATCAAGCAAGGGAAGGTGAAACTCTTCTTCGGTTTAATTTAGGTTGGTATGAGGGTGAAAACTCTATTTCTCGTAGCAATAATGTCACCCGTTGTACACCTTCTCTCTGAGATTGACGCTGCTTGAGATGCCTGAGTTTGACTCGGGGGAGGTTTGATGCGCACGGTGAATTAAGTGCAGGACATTTGAGATGGAATGTGGAGAGACTACTGAAATAGGGCCATAATGATACTGTTGGCGGAGGGAGACTCGTAGCGGTTCAGTGGGCAAAAAATCAAACCACTTCAATAATAGAACGATAGGGATGAGGAGGAATATAAGCAGGAATACGAGTGGAGAAAAATGTGGAGAAAAGAAATAAAAATAAAACGGAAGAGAATAATGCTTACCTTGGCTTATTTCCTTTCAAGCTATATGGTGCAGTGTTCCAGTCAAGAAATCTACAACGTTCCCATGTAATTCTCTATAATGTATTGGTGTATATAGTACAAATATGCCGATATTGGATTGACGCCATGAACAAAGTCATTAAGTTAATGGTATTTATATTTTGGTTTCGTATCCATATTAATTCAGCTTAAGTTGAACGAATCTCGTTCCAAATTGTCATAAGTCATAAATCCAGAATTGTTTGAATAGCTAACTGGATATTGCATCCCTTTCATTTCATTCTTTTCATTTCTCCTTTCTATTCATTTCATTTCTCTTCGCTTTCTTCTCTTTCACTTCATTTCTCTTCACTTTCTTCTCTTTCTTTTCATTTCATTATTTGTCTTTCGCTTCCTTCTTTTCTCTCTATGTTTACGTTGACGAAGAAGACGATTCTCCGCCAAAGGCTATATACTTCTTCTTACGCTGCACTTCTACATTTTTCCTCTTAAGATCCCTCTCATCTTCCTCTCCTTCATCTGTACGTTCACGCTTTGCTTGATCTGACTCTGGATCAGTCTCTCCTTCTCCTTCAGACTCGGACCCAGCCTCTTCTCTCTGCTCATTCTGTAAATTTAAGTCCTCTTCATTTTGAAGGAATAATGCATATACCGCACCTTTGAATAGTGTATAAACAAGACCAATTTTCATTTCCAAGTTTCGTAAATTGTCCAACAACGTAGTTGCGTTACCTTCCTGGTTCTCATTATTACCATCTGTTTCACTTTCGTTATTATTATTGCTGCTATTTACTTGTGTTGTTACAGAATTCAAATCTTTCAACTCTCCTGCAAGCGTATTCAACTGCACTGCAAGTAGCTGGTACTGAGAAAGTACCTGCGCCTCTACAGGGGATAATAAAGTAGACTGTGTGTAGTCCACATTCAAGATATCCTTCGGAGGAATCATTCTGAAACAATTCTGAATAATGAACAAGAATATAGGTAGATCTATGATAGAAGACCGGTAGCCTGTTTGATGTTTGTTTCACGCGTTACTCAGTCTTGATGTGTGTTTACGTTTGTTTCAGTGAAACCTTCGCGGGGTTATATGCAGTAGCGTACCTTATTCTCCCTTCCTTCGGTTTTTCAATTTTTTTCTTTGGCAAAGAGCAACGAAGAGTAGCAGGGCATTAGATTCCGTGTTTACACAATTTATTTAGCATTGAAACATGTCTGAGACCATAACCAGTCCAAATGGAACCACTAGCAATGGGTATACGAACGAGACGTTTCCCACCGAATTTGCCAAAAAGAAACTCATAAAGAAGCAAGTGCTGCATGCTGCAATCAAGAAGAAGGCATGGCTTGCTGGTCACTTAACAACCATCGTTTTTGGGTCCATTGCCATTATTTTCCAGGCTCTCTGGCTTCCCAACAAGTACTATATTAGCTCTATCTCTTATAGACTTACTTTAATTGGTGCAATGGTGGCATTGGCTGCTACGTTTTCTCATAAGTTCGGATTGAGAAGCTTACCATCAACTCCAACTTTGATGTCACATCAAAACTTCCAATATTTGATCTTATCAATTGTGTGGTGTTTCACATTTAAATCTGTTTTCAAGTTGTTACCCTTTTTGTTAATTGCAATCTTGCATGTTTCTGAAGAATTCAAGGTTGATATTGTATTGAAGGAGCAAGACTTTTTGGCCTCTTTAATTGCCTATGATGAATTGGTACTTATAGTTTACTTATTATTGAGGACTTTGTTGTTCAGAAACACCTCAGGTTTCCAATTGACCTTATTCATTCTGTTCTACTGGTTGAGAATATTATACAACAAGGAAACAGGTAATTTGTTTAGAGCTTTAATTGAGAGATTAGATGGCAAGGTGCAGGGAGTTAAGAATCCAAAGGTTTTGAAAGCTTGGAACAAGAGTAAGGCTTACTTGAAGTCCAAGGAAGCAACTCAGCATTAAAGCTGGATGGAAGAAGGAGAGCCTCAAAACGAACATAAAAGCGTAAAAGATGAACAAAATGAATTGAAGTGAAGAGAGCAGGATTTTAAGAAATTTGTGTATTTTAGTAGATGATTGAGTTAAGGACATTCCTCAGGGGTCTGTTTGTATAGGTTGTTGATTGTACTAGTTTGTTTAACTGTAGTTTGAAATTTGAAAAATTTGAAAAATTTAAGATTATATTCAAGTGTATACTGTAAAAGAATTGTAAGAATACATGCACGTTTAATGAATGAGAGAATATCTTGAGCATACTACTATTGCCCGATCCATGCCCAATCAGTAATCACTTTCCAATGCCTCCTAGCACTGCCTATGTCCAAGCTCTATCTTAGCGCGGCCCAGTCTCAAACCTTCACTTTTCATGTCCTGCATATAACCCGATACGCCCTCTCAACTGAAAACCGACGGCCCCCGTTCCCTCCGTGAGCTACCAGGTCTCTTCTTCAACACGACTATCGGTAGAGTTGACTCCTGATATTCAAAAGTACTTGCACGCAAACCTAAAATCCTCAATGTCTCCAACAATTTACCAGCTTGGCCATTTGCCAATTAAAGAACATGTGTTCTCACCAGACCGTAAGACGCTCGCAATCACAAAGGCTAACACTGTGGAACTCTACGATGTTTCGTCAGCCAGACCCCAGCTTATCACCACATTGAAGGGACATGACAAGACTGTCACCTCGGTGGATATCTCTCCAGATGGGTCGAGAATCTTGACCTGTTCTCAAGATCGTAATGCATTGGTCTGGGAATACAACCCCCAAGAACAAGAATACAAGCCCACCTTGGTTCTTTTGAGAATTAACAGAGCTGCAACCGTTTGTAAGTGGTCACCAAATGGTGAGAAGTTTGCAATTGGGTCTTCTGATAGAATAGTGGCCATTTGCTATTACGAAGCTGAAAACGATTGGTGGATTTCCAAGCATTTGAAAAAGCCATTGAAGTCCACCATCACCAGCTTATCGTGGCACCCAAACAGCGTCTTGCTTAGTTGTGGATCTACGGACGGTCATGCAAGAGTTTTCTCTGCCTACATTAAGGGATTAGACTCTAAGCCTGAACCTACAGCTTGGGGTTCAAAATTACCCTTCCAGACTTTATGTGGAGATTTTATCAATGAGACCGGGGCATGGATCCACGACGTTGCCTTCAGCCCTAGTGGTGATGCCTTGGCTTTCGTAAACCACGACGCTTCGATAGGTATTGTTTACCCCAACGGACAGGATCAGCCTCCTAGACTGATCTTGAATGTTAAGACAAACTACTTGCCTTTCAAGTCAATTGTCTTCTTGACAGAAAACAAGATAGTAGTTGGTGGTCACGAATGTAATTTGATTGTATTTGAAGGAACAGAGCAAGGGTGGAAGGAGTCTTACAAGGTTGAAAAGCAGAAGGATTTGACACATGACAACCCAAGAGTCGCTGATTCTCTCAATGATGATGATGTGGAGATCTCGTCGCACGATGCTTTGAATATGTTTAGACAATTGGACTTAAAGGGTAAGGTCAATAAGCCCAACCCACAAGGCGGTGCAGCCAGGGCCTTGTCTACTGTGCACCAAAATACCATTTCCAATATCAGGTTATATGCAAGCAACCAGGTTAGTACTTCTGGGATTGATGGTAAGGTAGTCGTTTTTAGCGTTTAGAGTTATGATAAACAGCGTGCTGACAGATGAGACATGCTATATAAAATATATAACAAGACAGAATGCAAAACAAAAGTAAAATACAAGAAAAAGTATTCAGAAAAGGCTCTACAGTAGACAGATAGACACATTCAAAGTGGGTGTGATTGTAAGATGAGAAACAGAAGAAGGACCAGCAACTCATTGAATAAAGCTTAAAGGGCCCACACCCATCTTTCATGGTTACATTTCATTAAGGATTCGTCAGATATTGAGCTTTGGTAAGGGTTATCTTCATGAAATTTTGGTATCAGAAGCAGAACTGAAAAGTAAGTTTTATCATCATAAAAATCCTTAATAATGTGAAATGTATATGTTAACCATGAAACATGGGTGTACAGATGTTACATCGATAGTTGGTAAATAATACAGAATCTAAGACTTTCAAAGCAAAGAAAAAGGAGAATAAGATACAAAACGAAGAATATCAATGGTATACCACTTTGAACACTCTAGCATTAAATCAGATGGTGATGCATGTATTTTATCCATGGCTCAGGGTTCACCGGACATTTTGTTGTGTAACGATCATCATAAAAAATGCTAGAGATTCAAGGGCTACCACATATTTCTCATTTCCTTATCAACTTTTCCTTCAAATGTTCCGTAAAACAACAGTATTGAAAGTACTTAGTTTATGTACTATTTCCCAACATCAATGTACAACTTTATAGCTTTATCCTATGAGTTCGATAGGAAAAGAAAATGGTACTCATTGCTTGTCAAGTATTTTTTTTTTCTTTTCTTTTATGAGAACAAAAATTTTCAGTTTTCCAGGTTTTTTGTGTTCCAGACGATGTCCGGGTAAATATTAGGGCTATATCGAGTGTATGGTTGCAATGGGTGCAAATTGTGTTTAAGAGCCCAGTTGATAGAAGCAAAAGCGCCTACTATATACACCCTGGATTACTTACAACAGGCCAATTTCTTTAAATTTGAATTGAAAATTTCTAAATATTCTCTAATCTATACGTAACAATAGGACTGATTTCAACCCACTTGCCTTCTTTGTCCTTTTTGAATTCACCAGTCGGGAAATAGTGGTAGTCCGTTCTCACAACCTTAGTGGTGGGCTTGTTGCCAGAAATGCACCTAAGTTTCACGTAAGTATTATCAGGGATTTTTCTTACCACCTTCACAAAATCTTCTAAAGTTTTGACTTCTTGGTCATTAATTTCAGTAATGTATTGACTTGTTAAGTCATATACAAGAATAGGGCTCCCTTCATGGGAACTCGTAATGTAAATTCCAGATGGTGAGGATGATCTTGCTCGCTGAACATCAGTAGGAGCCTTTTGCAAATACAATCCACACCAACTAACAAGATGACTTGTGAACAAGTCTTCAACCTTAACAGTTGGGACAGTCAAATCCAAAATTTCTCTCCCCCGCAAAACTTTATACGAAAGTGATAGAGTCTCATGCAAAATATTTATATCTTTGAAAGTTCTAACAATCTTATCATCGACAGTAAGTACAATATCTCCTTGTTCTAATGGATTTTTTGGATACTCTATATCACTGCTTATATTTGCAGCATGAGAGTTGGTGACTTCCAAAAACTGTGAGTCTTCAAATGAATCCGGGTCATTGTATTTTGAGATCCACTCAGAAGGGACTCCACATTGCTTTGCCTTGAGTAAATCTAGAGTATTAAAGTGCACATCCACAATTCTTAATTTAGAAGGTGATTCATGGTTCTTCAATCTGTCAGTTATGTATCTCAAATCAGTGATATCTGTACCGTAGCCCGCATGCGGATCCATATCCCCAACGAATTGGTTGGAATTCTGCCAAACACCTCTTATTGTTCCATCGTAATCGCACACAATTCCCGTAACTCCAGATGGACCAGGATCCATTCTGAAACTAGCCAAGTTTATATAATCTTCAAAAAACTTACTGGTTCGTTTTGATGATCCACCTATAGTGACTTCATTTACTAAAATTGAAGAAGTTGAAGAGGATCCAACCATTAAACACTTTTCGCCTCGTTTCAACGGTGTTACGCTGAGTACGTTAGGCTGAATATCAGCGACTATTGAGAGTGGATCATACTTTAAAACTGCCAAGTTGTGATGGGGGTGCATGAAGACGATTTTACCAGAGACCTCGACAGAATTACCGAAAGTTATGAAAACATTGCACATATCATGTCTCACAGTACTATGCTGAGCGAGAACATACCCATTTTCAGGATCGAGAACAATCCCTGTTCCAGATCTTCGACCACATAATTGATCATCAAGCAGAATATAGGTATCAACAGTTATTTCAACTAAAGACCTGAGGAATCGATTACAAACGCTTTGTTTCAATGATGCTTTTTTATCTTCACTTTCTTCGAATTGGATTGTCTTATAGGTAGCCTTTTCAGGTTCGATGGAAGGAAGTCGTGGGAATTCATGACCTTCTGCTAAATCCGTAATATCCCATAATCCTGTATCGTCATTTCTAGTTGCCAAGACGAACCTTGAATTCCAAGTTCGGTCGAACTCATACCAAGTGTGTCTTCTTTCTTCCACATCTTTATTTTGCACAATTGTATAGTAAGTAATCGGAGCTCTTTTTCCATTTGGAATTTGTTTTAAAACATCAATAAATCCATCTAAATCTTCAATAATTTTATCATCAATAGAATGTATAAGACACAGTTCATCATCGTACAATACTGAGTTCCCAACAACTCCATTGATGGGAAAGTGACCGTTGGCCGCAAGTTGATAAGAGGTTTCATGAAAGATGGAGCCAAATACTTGAACATATCTTGCAGGAGTGATTTTATATAAGTCTCCAATTGGAATGAACACATCAAAGGAATCTCTTTTTCCTCTTCTCAAGGTGAATTTCAATTCTTTACCAACATTTTCATCTAATATTTCATCAACTCTAACAAGGCTAACAATGAATTCGTCATTAATTGAAATTAAAATGTCACCTTCCTTTATTAAATCAGCACAAGGTCCTTTAGGGATAACCAGTTTTGCACAAAGTAAACCATTGGCACTCGGAAATTCATTCCTAACACTTTTCTCAATCTGTGAGGGAAGTCCCAATCTTTCACACTCCCCATATGGTCTCAGATTCCATATAACTTGAATATCACCCCTGGTGATGGGTACTTCTTTTTGGATACAGTTCAAAGCTCTCTTTGCTCTAAAAAGTGGTAAAAAATAATCTGTTGACGCCCAAAATGATCCACCTGCTTGTATTGCAACAACCAATCCTTCAGAATTGACAACAGGTGACCCAGATGATCCTCCAGATAAGCTTGCCGAAGCTTGTATATACTCCGTATTAAAGTCATTATAAGTATTTGCACCATATTCAGGCGGAGCTCTATCTATTCTTGATATAATTCCAGTCATAATAGAAAGTTTTTCACCATTATCATTACCCACAACTCTAATTTCAGTGCCGACTTTAGCCAATTCAGGTGCGAGGTTCAATTGAGTGACTTCCATAAATTTAATGTCTTTAGGTCTGAATTGCAAAAATCCAAAATCATGAATTGGATCTCTATAGATGGCTTTCAAATCTGCCTCTTCATGGTTATCAAATACGGCATACCCTCGAAATGGACCTGTTCCAACCACATGTCTGTTCGTTATTATAATACCTTTTTCTGAATCAACGATGAAACCTGTTGCTTCTCCTGTGTATGGTCCTTCTCCATCAAGATTAACACACTGATTCAATTTGATAGATACTACCGACTTGATAACATTTGAGATTGTGTGTCTCCAAGTCTTTGTTTCGGTGCTACTTAGCTCTAACTCTCTAACTGATTCCTTTTGGTTAATACGGAGCTGATCAAATTCTCTTTCTAACCCTAGCTCAGTGTCTGTTTTTGGATCTGTCATTTAGGGAGACAGAAGCGGTGAAACGAAAATGAATGGTAGTGAAAGAATGTGTCTGTGACATAGAATACAATTGATTATTCAATTGGCGAAGGAATGACTCTGAATTTATAGTGTGGCCTGCATCGTAATTTGGCGTAGAACCCTATTTTACCCTATACCAAAGCATAATTTTTAGACCCTGCCTACTCTAACTTTCCTAAGGGCGGGTACAATGGTACCCAATAATCGATGGCAACCTTTCATGGACGCTCTGAAAAGGTCAAAGTATTGGGAATATGTGCGTGTGTCCTAGGTTGTACCACTTAGCATACTCAATTGGTCATTAAGGTAGACTTCTGAGTCATGCCTGATACGTCTCAGTTACTCTTTTTGTATAGTCCGGTAGCGAAGACGATTTTACATGAGGCTATTACACATTGATCCAAAATCTAGCGTTATTTTTTATGCATGCCCTTCTGATTAAGCTTTTTGAAAATGCAACATACGCCACCGTTCGCTTAGGAATAGGTTAGTCATAATGTATTGGCACCCCTCAAGTTGAATCTTACCAGTAAGGGATAAGCCAGAATATCTGGGAATAGCAATATACACATATATATGTAACCTATGTGCCAGAACGTTTAGTATAGAATAGTTACTACTACTTTCGAAGTGGAAACGACAATTACTACAGAGTGCTTAATGGGAAGCGAATGGACTTTTGTATTTGAAATTGAACAGTAGGATTGGTTCAATTTCGGTCAGTTTCTTCGTCCATTTGAACTCTCCAGTGGGGAAGCAATGGTAATCTGTGCCACAAGCCAATGGTGAGTCCCTTTTTTAGAGATGTGCCTCTGCTTTATCAGAGGTGTTATTCATTATTGCATCATGACCTTCTACTTCCTTGACTTTTTGATTCTTTACTTCAATGATACAAGTCCTGTCAATTCATATGTAGGAACCAAGCGGCTTGTCTGTGGAGGATTAGAATACACCAGAGAAAAATACGGATGTGACCAACGAAAAGAGGGCCTTAGTGCATGTAAAGTTATGCCACACAAAAGATCTACATATGATACAGGCGAAACATCTGGTCTACAAGCTGGGATAAGATCATAAACCAAAGCTCCATGAGAAGTGTTTTGACTGATTACGTTTAGTTGTGGTCTGGGCTGCTTTCGATTACTATTGGGGGAAGTGCCATAGTAGAACTGGAAGTGCAAGATAGTGTCCATCGAGAGTCAGCCGCAGAGCGTCCTGTCTATTTACACTATGTAGGAAGTGGAGATGAATCCATCAACAATGTAATATAAACCTAGTAGTTAGCAACTGGTTACCTTTGTGAGTGTTTTAGTATCCTCTTATCCACTACATGAAGACATGTGAAATGAGCCCATTAGCAATGTAGCAAGACCCTAGTAATTATTATGCCTTGCCTACCTTTGAGCATGTTCCATTATTGTCTTCTCTACTACATCACTTGATTGTACTTCTAAGCTACTCTCATTTAAATCGAATATTTCTAATCAGTAAACGGATTCCCTACTGCTTCTCTAGCCGAATGTCCCACTTCCCCACCAAAGTACCCACCTGAATGCTCCTAACTGACACCCCCATCTAACCTGAGAGAGTTACCATCTGGCTCGTATGCACACCGATAGTAAATATTTAATTTATCGTGCTTGTCCCAAAATGGAAAAATTTCTTTAAATTAGACGCGTCGTATTTTCATTTTCTGTGGAAGAGTTGAAAAGATTCCAATTATAACTTGATTTTAGTTGCACTCCTTACAAGAGGTATTGGTCTGCTACTTTTGCAAGTTTTAACACGTAAAGATGTCTAGTCCAACTCGTAGCAGTAGAAAGAGACAAAACGAAGACGGTGAAGGGTCTGAACAGCCATCTTCACCCCCTGGATCTTCACCACAGTTACCCCCATCATCGCCAGCTATCCCATTCGCGGATGATGTAGACGAAGACGATGAGATTCACAATGATATAGTCGATTTAAATCCTTCAGATGAAGAAGAAGGTGAAGATTTGATGGAAAATATGGAAAATGATTATCAAAGCAATTCAGCCCAAGATAGATATGACTTGGGAGATGGCAACATAGATGATGAAGGAGACTTCGAGGCCATGGATGCCGCTACCAGAAGAAGAATTGACCAGCAATTGAACAGAAGAGATGAAATCTTGAATGCCAGTACAGGAAACAGGTCCAGGAGGCAAGCCTTTTTGGACGATGACGACGACGATGGTGAACCTGAAGATGGTGAAGAGAATGAATATGGATTGCCTATCCAAAGAAGAAGAAGAAGACACTACGATGAGGACCCAGACAACGCTGGGGATGAGGAATTGGATATGGGTATGGATATCGACCCGTTCAACGAAGAATTGTCCTTGGAAAGTTTGACCGATATCAAGGCTGGTAGTATCACCGAGTGGGTATTACAGCCACAAGTATCCAGATCAATTGCTAGAGAATTGAAGTCATTTCTTTTGGAATACACTGACGAGCATGGTAGGTCCGTGTACGGTGCTAGGATTAGGACATTGGGTGAAATGAATGCTGAGTCCTTGGACGTTTCATACCAACACTTAGCTGAGCTGAAAGCTATTTTAGCTTTGTTCTTGGCCACATCGCCTGAAGAGATCTTGAAAATCTTTGATATTGTTGCCATGGAAGCTACGGAATTGCATTACCCTAACTACTCTCAAATCCATCAAGAAATTCATGTTAGAATCAACCAGTTCCCTAATTTATTGAACTTGAGAGACTTGAGAGAAAACAATTTAAACTCGTTGATCAAAGTCAGTGGGGTTGTGACAAGAAGGACCGGTGTTTTCCCACAATTAAAGTACATTAAATTCGACTGTTTGAAGTGTGGTGTGGTATTAGGTCCCTTTATCCAGGATTCCAATGTTGAAGTGAAAATAGGATTCTGCACGAATTGTAGACTGAAGGGCCCTTTCAAATTAAATTCTGAAAAGACATTGTACAGAAATTATCAAAGAATCACATTGCAAGAAGCACCGGGTACTGTTCCACCAGGAAGATTACCCAGACATAGAGAAATAATCTTATTGGCAGATTTGGTAGATCTTGCCAAACCAGGTGAAGAAATAGATATCACTGGTGTGTATAAGAATAACTATGATGGACAATTAAATGCCAAGAATGGATTCCCAGTCTTTGCAACTGTTATAGAGGCAAACTCTATTACGAGAAGGGAAATGAATTCTTCATCCTCCAATGGTGGAGGTTGGACTGAAGAAGACGAAAGAGAATTCAGAAAGTTGTCACAAGAAAAGGGTATAATTGATAAAATTATTAGTTCTATGGCCCCATCCATTTATGGACACAAGGACATCAAGACTGCATTGGCATGTTCATTATTTGGAGGAGTTCCTAAGAATGTTAATGGAAAGCATTCCATTAGAGGTGATATAAATGTGTTATTATTGGGTGACCCTGGTACTGCTAAGTCTCAGATTTTGAAGTACGCAGAGAAGACTGCCAACAGAGCGGTCTTCGCCACAGGTCAAGGTGCCAGTGCTGTTGGTTTAACTGCCAGTGTTCGTAAAGATCCTATTACAAGAGAATGGACCTTGGAAGGAGGTGCATTAGTATTAGCTGATAAAGGGACTTGTCTTATTGATGAATTCGATAAAATGAACGATCAAGATCGTACATCCATTCACGAAGCTATGGAACAACAGTCGATTTCTATTTCCAAGGCTGGTATCGTCACAACGTTGAGAGCCAGATGTGCGATTATTGCCGCTGCCAATCCCAATGGTGGTAGATACAATTCTACCTTACCATTCTCTCAGAATGTCGATTTAACAGAACCAATTTTGTCTAGATTTGATATTTTATGTGTGGTAAGAGATTTGGTAGATCCAGAGCTGGATGAAAGATTGGCAAGTTTCGTAGTTGACTCCCATATGAGATCTCATCCATCTACCACGGAGGATTTGGAAGACGATGAAGTAGGTGAAGATGATGAAGAAATGGAGGGTGAAGAAGCAGGCGCTGAGACAACGCCAAGACGTCGTACAAGAAAACAAAAGATAAATATGTTGAATCAAAAGAAAGAACAAGAAATATCACCGATTTCTCAGGAATTACTTGCTAAGTATATAAACTATGCGAGACAAAAGGTCCAACCTAAATTACACCAAATGGATATGGATAAGGTTTCAAGAGTATATGCTGACTTGAGAAGAGAATCTATATCAACAGGTTCATTCCCTATCACAGTTCGTCATTTAGAAAGTATATTGAGAATAGCTGAAGCATTTGCCAAGATGAGATTATCTGATTTTGTCAGTCAAAATGATTTAAACAGGTCCATAAAGGTAAGTATTGACAGTTTTGTGGGTGCACAAAAGGTGACTGTAAGAAGACAATTACAAAGATCCTTTATGAAGTACACCTTACCTCAAAGAAGGAATTAAGTCTGAGGTAAATACGTGGGTAATTATATTGTAATATTAGAGAAGTTCATAGGAAATTATGTAGTAAAGTGAAAAAATGTGAAATCTGGAATGGCTGCAAATGTGTGGCCTATGTAGTGCCAAACTAGGATATTGGAAACCTTGTAATAGTGTACTTACATTGAAACAATCGTCTCAGAGCTTGTAGAGAGGTCGAGAATGAAAATTGTACTGTTTTACTCATATTTTTCAACGTATATCCAGTACTTCTAAACTATATTGAGTCTCATTTATGTTAATGTAGCTTATAATGCAATATGTTGCTATATTTATTTTATTTTTTACATTATATCAATTGAGAAAAACTTTTATATTTCTATTTTACTTAACCCAGCAATATCGATTCTCTAAAACAAATTCTTATCGCTAATGCCTGTTCATACCAAGCACATCTTCCCATATCTCATAACACATCAGCAGCACTTGCCTAGTTTGTGTGACAATTTCACATATTTCAGTCCTGCATGGAACGGAATCGCGTCAACATGGAATACACTTGAAGTTGCATGAAACTTCTTCAGCATGAAGGTAAATAGACGACAATTTTATTCAAAAAATGCTTGATCTTGATCAGTATGTATATAATGGACTTCTAATGAGGATATAGAGAATAAGAGAAATTAAAAGCTAAAAAAATAATGTGTACTCAATAGGCCAAAAGTAGCCAGATTTCGTACACTACCTCAGACTTGCTCTAATGGCAATGTCAAAGTTGCGTATACCCTGACTCTTAGAGAAGGTATCATATACTAACAATGTAGAACCATTGAAATTATTCAAGATTGTAAACATGTACCCGAAGCGGATGTAGAAGAACTTTGTACGAAAGCTATAGAATTACTTATCGATGAGGCTAATATACAACAAGTAGACACCCCAGTTACAATTTGCGGAGATATTCATGGACAACTCCATGACCTTTTAACTTTATTTAAGACAGGTGGAAAATGCCCTGATACCAGGTACCTATTTTTAGGAGATTTTGTAGATAGAGGATTTTACTCATTAGAGTCGTTTCTTTTATTGCTTGCATTGAAAGTGAGGTACCCTGATAGAATCACACTCATACGAGGGAACCATGAACTGAGACAAATTACAACGGTGTACGGTTTCTATGATGAGTGCATCAGAAAATATGGATCAGTAAACGTTTGGAGGCACTGTTGTGAAGTATTCGACTACCTATCGTTGGGCGCAGTAGTAGGTGGTAAAGGTGGGGTATTTTGTATACATGGAGGCTTACTGCCTGATATAGAAACCATAAACCAAATTAGAGTATTAGATAGGAAACAAGAAGTACCACACGAAGGTGGGATGTGTGACTTATTATGGTCAGATCCTGAGGATGTTCCAGGATGGGCCATAAGCCCGAGAGGTGCAGGTTACCTTTTTGGCAAGAATGAAGTAGATAAGTTTTTACAGTTGAACGATATATCGTTGATTGCCAGAGCACATCAATTGGTAATGGAGGGCTATAAAGAAATGTTCGACCAAGGCTTGGTCACTGTATGGAGTGCACCCAACTATTGTTATAGATGTGGGAATTTGGCTCTGGTTTTGACTATAGACGACGATTTATCAAGGAATTATAAGGTATTTGAAGCTGCTACACAGGATGTAACCTCAATACCGTCGAAGAAACCAGCTTTAGATTACTTTATATAGAGCGGAGTAGAAAGAAAAAAAAATATAAAAAAATAAAGACTAATTAGCAAGAGAGAATGTAGAAAAAGCATCCGATCGAGGTAGTTTGGTTCACACCTTTAAATTTGGTTGCCCATGCACTTCAAATTAAGCTATTCTGCACTATTGCCGTATATTTTGACATGGAACCAGGGTTACAGTGCTCCGAATAAACATATGACGAGCTCATCTCTGCTATAAATAGTATATATGGCGCAAATGAAATCAAATGCTATTCACCTTCCACTGTCCCAAAAAACAGTACTACCACATATAGTATAAGAAGCCAGAAGCCGAACAGAGTATCAATTCATGGTCCTTTGCTTCTCCTTTATTTATTTTGCACTACGTAATTATATGTTCACATATCGGGGAAAATACTCAAATGGCATTCGCTTATTTTCTGTTTGTTTACTTTCTTCCTGGCATTTCGCTCGCTCCCAACCTTTACATTTTAATAACTGGGCCTCAGATATTTCCGTTACTCCCTTAGAAGCGATCTCGGCGATAATGTTGTAGGTACTTATCCTGACAGCTTCTGACAAGCTCAATAATTAATTAATAATTTCTCGATGCAGGACTTTCAGGCTTGAGACAGACCAGATAATTGCTCGCGCAGGAAGGACGGCGCGCGCGGGTTATGAAATGGATGAGGAGCGGATGGATCAAACGCCGAGAATATAAATAGAAACAGGAGAGCCTAAACACAAATAAGACAATCCTTTTCGTTGGATTCGACGGTATAAGTCTATTGGCAGCCAGTAATGGCCCGTAGAGAAGGGAATGAAGAAATATTAGAACAAAAAAGTACACCTGTGTGGAATTCTTATTATGAACTCTGGCAGAGATTGGCATTCTTGATTTAGTAAATCTCGCGTAAATTATTTTATTTTTTCCTTGTTTTTTTTATGAATACATTATGCATGCTAAGCTTTCTTGAATCTTTTTCTGTATCGCTCACACGACTTGACATATCCAGATGCATTGAAAGGAGTAGGGCTTGTAAAGCTATAGAGAAGAACAAATGAGAAGACTCACTAAATAATAAATTAAAAGGCTCTGCATAGTTTAAGTTTCCTCAGCCATAATCAAACGATTTATTTACTTGGCATACTACCACTAATTAAAACACTTCGTTTTATTACTTTCCATTGTTGACGTATTCGTAATCTCACATCGATCCGACATTATTTTCGTTTCTTTTTTTCATTCCATGGCTGCAAGTTTATTTGCATTATGCTGTGGTGAGATGCAGTTGAAGACTTTTGGAACATGATGTAATTTGCAAGGCTGCGAAAAAAAAAGACCTCAACTAGTACATACATTATTTTGCATAGTGTAAATAATTGTTTTTTTTTCTTGCTGCATATGCAAGCGTAGGCAAGTGCAGTTGTTGAATCGAGGAAATGTGTCACCATTTGTCTCCGTGTCGATCGAGATGAGGTTTATTATTTATAGATATGGCTCCGGACCTGAAGGGGATGATGCAGAAAAAAAAAGTTGATTTAAGGGTACCCATATACTTCAATTTACTATCTTCTCTTTTTCACTCCTTTCATTCAGATACAGACACAAATTATAGACTATACACATAGAACAACATTCAATAATGAAGTGGCTCTACTTTTTATTCGCATTCATCTCATCAGTGTTGGCCGTTACCACAACTTCAACATCAGTATCCAGGACCACAGTTTGGGCCACAGGAACTGATTCGGCGGGTCTTACAGTTACCACACAATCCATTTTTACCCAAACCTTCATGACTACTTATACCACTACCACAGGGAGTGTTCTGTCAGGATCAATCGGATTAGGCACGATCTCAGGTTCCGTCGGAGGAATTAGAACTTATTCCTACACTACAATTACCAACGCAGGTAACTCAAATAAACCTTGGGACGGTTCCAACCTCAAATCTGTTTCATTTGCATTAGTCACGATATTAGCTACTTTCATGGGAGGCACTATCTTATTCCTTTGAATTTCATCGGCAGCTTTTCTCTTCATCAGTGAAAAGTTTCATACTCATACACACCTTGTCTTGCATTGCCGTGAAAATTGTTTCATGAGCTCCAAAAAATAAAAGTAATAAAGTCAAGCGGCAGAACCATTAAATTATTATTATTATTACCATGATTATTATTTTTATTTTATTATTATTAGCATTAGAATCTCATACTTTTAGTCGTCTCACATATGAATGGAGGATATCTAATATTATTTTTCTTAGTGTAGGGTAGTAACTGACGATTCTCCTTATTGTAGGCTGTTATCGCACCGGCTAAGGAGGGGAAGGAGTGGATTGGTCCAGAATAGATTCCGCAGCGCACTCCAATGGGTAACTACGTCAAGTCGAGCACAGTGCGAGAACAGTGCGGAGGATATTTTTAGCTTCAGTCTTAATTTGGAGTGCGATAGTTGGCTGGTAACTAGAAAACGAAAAGGAGTGTCTCAGGCAATCTCTTCGTTCCTTTTTCTATATTTTAAATTTTATTTCATATTGAATGTTCTGCATTATCAAATTTCTACATTCCTTGACTAAATAGTTGTTACTAGATCCATGCCTGAGATTCATCCTTGGCTAGTATTTCCTCTCTCTCTGTCCCTAACCCGCTCACCTAGGACTCAAAACGTTGTATCTCAATGCACTGCATATAACTGTATCGCGTGAAGACGCACCACTATGGCTTTATCGTTTTTTCTTGTGTTAAGTTATTACCCACTCTCCACAACAAAGTGGGAGCGAAAGAACAGTACATTAGCACCACTTTTCCTTCTCTTATGGTTTGTTTCTTTATTCAATCCGGATATTTGGTTACTAAACGTATTAGAAAAGTTCTAATAGGTGCACATAGTCTATTTTAATCTACCAGACTTATTTACATATATCGAGAACGCACTTCCAGATTAAGCATGTCTAGAAACTACGATGCTACCGGTTCACTGTCCAGACAGAGACTAGAACCGGCCAATTCAAATACAAATAGTGCCAATGCGCAGATAGCCTCTTCATCTACAACCCCCTTGCTCCAGGAAAAGTTCAGCATTTTGGAAACGTTGAATATACTCAAGTTCAAATCTATCTCGTTAGAGAATAAGGGATCTGTGGCTAGAGATCACATGGCTAACGAGAGAACGTTTTTAGCATGGTTAAGAACGTCTTTATCATTCATTACCATTGGCATTGGCATTACACAGCTTTCCAGACTCGAAAAGGCGCAAAAACCCGCGGGCCTGCATTCTATACAAATTGAGGGTGCATCTGTATTACTACTTGAGAGACACTCACCGTTAAGTAAGTTTGGGCAGCCGTTAGGCTTAATATTTATCATATTAGGTATAGTCACACTACTATTCGGATTCTTCAGGTTTTTCAAAGTTCAGGCAATGCTCACTCAAAATTTCTATCCTGCTAGCAGGCTATCGATAGTAGCGTTAATCAGCTCAATCTTTGTAATCATAGTCATAACATTCGGGGTTATAGTAAGTGCAACATGAAGGGAGCACCATAGGGATCACAAAATGGAGAGGTAATTAAACCAAAAAAAAAAAAAAAAAATAAAAATAAAAGAAGGAAAAAAAATTAATATACGAATCTCCCATACTGCATCAGCAATATGAGAAGTACAAGTAAATCACAGTAATACCAAATCTAGTAGTACGAACGATAGTTGTAGAGCACAGTAGAAACAACAGGCGCTGGTGCTAGGCACTGCTATTCTCCTTTTTGTCATTTAGTACGCCACTGACACCCAGAACCATTCGGGCCCTTATGAAACACGTTTGCTCGGAATTCGCTTCCTTTCCCAGAATTCCCTTCTTCTCGGTTAAATAGGTGATGCAACATGAAGCACCCTTCATCCTTTAGTCTCGATTTCATCCTTCTACTCGCATCATATCCAAATATTCTAAGCTCATCCACCAAGGGCTCAGCCCTCAATACATCACATGATACATTTCAATGCGGTGACAGTTTTTCGCTCCCTTTTTTTCTCTACCGCTCCCCATGCAGTCGCGAAAATTCCTCCTCCCACCCACACAATCGCTAGCTAAATGATACAAGAAAAAAAAAGATTCAGCAACTGCTCTTTGTAATACCACATATACACATATACATTCAAAATGGTATGTAAAGAGCCCGTATAGCATCAGAGTTGATAGAGTAACAAAGGGGACATGTAGAAAGAGCGTTTTAAATGCGGTCCAGGAGCCAAAATTGATGGAATGAAACCAATGTTAAACCGAACTGCTCGATGGCAATTCACTTGCAGTGGAAGTGAAAAAAAATAGTGGACAAGCAGGAAAACAGGAAATCAAGAAAACTACGGAATCGATCCAAAATTGTAGCTATATTGTGGAGGAAATAGTTCCAGTTAGTCACTCTGATGCTGAAGAAGTTCTTAAAGTAGGACTTTGCGATTCGTAAATGACTTTTATACTAACATATTCTTTTAGGGTAAAGTTCACGGTTCTTTAGCTCGTGCAGGTAAAGTTAAGTCTCAAACTCCAAAGGTTGACAAGCAAGAAAAGCCAAAGAAGCCAAAGGGTAGAGCTTACAAGAGATTGTTATACACCAGAAGATTCATCAACGTCACCTTAACCAACGGTAAGAGAAAGATGAACCCAGGTCCAAGTTCTCAATAAGCGTGCTAACAAATCATATGTATAATATAACGAAGAAGGCTAGTCGAGTATGGTTGGTTGTTTTTAATTAGTTACAAAATTATTTGTTATCATGTAATAAAGGATTCATAAGTATTGTGAAGACCACTTGTTAGGAAGTGGTGGTTGGCTGTAGGATCAAGTTGAAGAGAGATAGAGAAAGAGAGAGAGAGAGAGAGAGAGAGAGAGAGAGAGAGAGAGAGAGAGAGAGAGAGAGAGAGAGGTATAAGGGCTTGAATGAAAGATAGAGAGACTACTCTCCCCATCGTCTTTAGTTGGTTCGTTTCTAGTCTCTTTTCGTCTCTCTTCGTCTCTCTTCGTCTCTCTGTATAATCTATAAAGATGCTCAGACACTGGCTGTGTCACTAATGAATGCATTCTTCTCTCCCCTCTGCAACTCGCTCTCTGCAATTCCTTCCCTTGTATTACATACCTACACTCTTGCTCTATTACAGATCTATTAATATGTACAGGCGAAATGCCAACTAAGCGTAGTACGCTCATTCCCAAACAGGGTTCAACCAGAACGAGTATACTCTAGACCTCACGTCAGCCGTAGATTCATCTTCTTCTGGGAACATTGGTTTCCAGGTCACTAAGTCAATCTTTTCCGGTTCAAAGTCGAACTCCTTACAGGTCTCGAAGAAGCCCAAATCCGCTTCCAACAACCACGGTCTGTGAGGAGAAAATACCACCAAGCACCTCCCGTCAGCCTTCAAGGACCTTCTGCATGTGGTCAATAACTTTTGGTGCTCTGTGTGGTTGAAGACCAAGTCTGATAAGATGATCAAATCAAACTTGTCCTCCTCTCTAACATCCTTACCTTCATGCTCTGCTGAGATTAATGGTGCTATGTCGTCTCCCCATATATAACCCTGCACTCTGTATGGCGAATTGATCCCCTCACAGTGCTCAAAGTTATAGCGTATGTTAGAAATGAGGTCTGGATCTGGGTAGTCTGTGGATACGATCTCCTTCACCTCGTTAACGGCACATATCACCGAAGGGAGGGCAGCCGCTGCTCCAAGTTCCAAGACCTTCTTACCCCTGAGCAAAGATTTGGCATTCTTATCCAAGAAATCGGCAGTAAATATCCCTGCATTCCACAAAAGGTGGCCCCAAAGCGGTGACAGCCCAACTAGTCTGAGATGGATGTTTGAAGCTGGGCTTGTTTTCCTCTCGTAGTCTGCAAAATGGGGTGCTGGAGGTGGTTTGCTGAACCCTTCAGGTTCCTCGAAGAGACCTCCCTCTAATGAAAACTCGTCATCGGACATTCTCAGGCTGTAATCAAATTTAGACGGAAAGAGCTTACTGTGGTTCTGTGGATTTCATGATTTTTCACTTTTCTGGATTTTTCTCCCTCTTAAATTTTTTGAGATCATCTCGAGACCATCGCACAAGCTGATGGAACGTTGGTAGATAAGCTCTTATGCTGTGTTAGAGTTGTAGAAAAAGCCACTCAAGTCATACAGAATGGCAGTGTTGCCTCCATTTATACGATCGCTTTTGAAAGCGCATTCGTTCCTCTCGTCGTCGTTGAATGCCCCGGTTACTTCTAAGGAAGCCATAAAGGCATATCTCCAGGTGCGAAATGCAGAGTTCAAGAGAAGACTACTACTATCGCCAAACCCGATCGTCGAGCCTGGATTATCTGTTCTATTGAAAGATATACCGAAACCATTCCAAAGTCACATACAAAGTATTTTCGAAAAACCAATAATTGAGAAGGAAATGGAACTTCAGGACATCCTTGTCGAGAACACTACGGGTGAGGCAGACAAGGGTAACGAGGGCCCCAGTGACATTTACTGTGACCCCAGCGCACCAATTGCAAACACTAAAGCACTACTTAGGAAAACCGGATTCTCAACGCAGGTGTTTCAAGCTGTTTTCTCCAACCATTACCCACTTCAACCAGACCTTGACGAGTCCTTGCATAAGTCTTCCATAGAGTGGACTGATAGGCTACTTAAAGATACCCCATTTATGTTCATATTAAAGCAAACGCACAGACTATTCTCAGACAACTCTTTGAACCAGATAAACCCACTGAGAGTGCAGTTTCAGAATGAATTGCAGAAGCTAGCGGCCATTAGCTCCAAGTCAAGTAAAATTCAACGTAGCTACTATTTCTGTAGTATGTGGAACTTGGCAGTGTTTAATAGGTGCCTAGGTGGAGAAGACGATCCCATGGTGCAAGAACTACTCAGAGAGAGAGAACTCAAGGTGACTGATGAATTTTTCGAGCCGCTTTCTCTCAGTGAAGAGGATCTTAACCAACTTACTGTCAACGAATACCCAGGAGATCGACGGGATATCCCATACGACTTGAAATACACATCGTTTTCTGTTGCAACTATAGAAAGGAAGATCAGGAAGCAGGATCACACGACCTTTTTAAAGTTGCTAGAAGAGTATAAAGACGAATTTGAGGTTATCGGAGTAAGGTTCTCATTGAATTCAAGTTGGATCAAAAAGAATCTTCAAGATGCAAGCATTCTTGGAGAAGAGAAGGTACAGGCTAGCCACGGCTCATACGATGACATGTTAAGCAATATAAAGAAGGTAGAGGAACCTTCAAACTTCAAGCATCTATTGAAGGGATTAGGTGAATTGGGTTTGACTGAAGTAAAGCAGGGAAAAGACTGTCTTTACTTGGTAAGGGAATAATCTGAGTATAGTTGGACCAAGTGAACAAAAAGTAACACTGTCCTTACGAAGTAAGTGATCAAGCTTGACTGAATTAAAAAAAGAGACCAGGAGAGTAAGCTAGATCATAGTAGTACCATGTAAGCTAAATAATGAAGAAAAGTAACACTGTCCAAGTGAACAAGCTTGACTGAATTAACAGAGAAGAGATCAGGAGAATAAGCTAGACCATAGCTGTACCACGGAAACGAAATAACGAAGAAAAACTATAGAAAGTGTAAAGCACCACATACCAATTCTGAAAAAAAGGGCTGTATTCCTGGAATTGCTCCACGTATTCCAAGTCATTTACAGTTTCTAGGCATAAGAAGACTGATGCACTTGGGTGCAAAATAGCACTTGTACCGATATACGTATATAAAATTATTAATAGACCAATTGAAATGTATACTTGTAACAGCAGTCTCTAAGCTCCAGTAAGCCCAATAAGCCCAACAGTGTTTGTGCCAGTACCGGCACTTTACTTACTATCCCTCCACCCTAGTTGTCTTACAAGTGTTCTTCGATGGTCCCAATTTTTCAACCTTAATGAGCCTCACCCAAAATATTTTTTAAGGTGCTGTCGCTTGTCTCAGTGTGGGGACGGAAGGGAGAGAGATGTTCACTATGTTGGCAGTCTTTTTTCCATAAAGATTCACCAGTTGTCAGATAATTTAGCCTTCATCGCCGTAGAAAAGATGTATTATGTCGCTGGTAGAAGAATAAAGCCATTGAGAATCATTTTGATTGTTTTGGGTACGTTCATTATCTTGTTGATCTTGAAGAGATTGAAAAACACTAATAATGATTCGTATCTGCCAGTCGATCTGATTGATTTCGGTGATCACCATGATACAATTGAAAAGATATTGGCAAACAAGAAGGTATTGCTCAACAAGGATAAAGGTAAAGACGATGTTGTTAATCTTGATCTTTCATACGAAGACGATCCTATTACTCCTGAGTTTTTGAAGAAATTGGATAAGAAGGTTGGCAGGTCATGCCCAGATTACTTGGAATATTCCAAAAAGAGACATGCCCCATTTTCGAAGGGTCCATTCCAGTATCCGTTCATGAGACCGGCTCCTAAATGTAGAACATTCTCTTCACCTGCAGTGGAAAGAGTGATTGTAGACTTAAAGTCCAAAGTAAAGTCAATTGACTTGGCAAGATTGGTTGAGAACTGCCTTCCAAACACATTAGACACTACCATTCTTTGGAAAAAGTTAAACAGTGAAAAAGACCCTTATGAGGCATTTGTAATTACCGGAGATATTCATGCCGAATGGCTTAGAGATGCTGCTAGGCAATTGTCTGTGTACCAGCCATTTATCAAGCATGACCCTGAGTTGCAGAAGCTCTTCCTTGGAGCCATCAATACTCAAGCTTTATACATAAACATCTCGCCTTATTGTAATGCATTCCACCCACCTCCAGGATCTGGCGTTAAGCATGGTGATACTGCCGTAGACCAAGTGTTCCCTAGACCGGACTGGAGAGTTGTATTTGAATGTAAATGGGAGTTGGACTCGCTTGCATCGTTCTTAACCTTGACCAATGAATATTACATAAACTCCGGAGGAGATCTTTCATTTCTCAACGAACGTTGGATTAATGCATTCGAGAAGATCTTGATTGTTTTACGTAGAGAATCCCAACCTTCATTTGACCAAAAGAGTGGGAAAGCAAATCGTTTCTACTATTCATTCCAGAGACAAACAAACATTGGACTGGAAACTTTAGCTCTTGGTGGAGTAGGTAACCCAGTTAACTTTGGAACTGGCTTAATCAGATCTGCGTTCAGACCTAGTGATGATGCAACAATCTTGCAATTTTTCATACCAGCAAACGCTCAAATGGTGACAGAATTGAAAAGGTTGCGTAAGAATTTCTTTAATAAGGAGAAATTGAAGATTTCAGAGGAGGATTCGAAGAAGTTGGCAAGCTTAGAAAACTTGTTTGATATTTCTGATGAATTTATAGAAGGAATCGAGCGTGGTATTGCCGATTATGGGATTGTAGACCACCCCAAATGGGGGAAGGTCTACGCTTATGAGGTGGATGGATATGGGGGCACGGTGCTGATGGATGATGCTAACATCCCATCTTTGCTTTCCCTTCCAGACATGGGCTATGTTAAGGATTTCAAGAATGATGAAGTTTATCAAAATACCAGGAAAATGATCTTATCCAAGGATGGTAACCCATACTTTCTTAAGGGGAAATATTTCGAAGGTATTGGTGGTCCACATATAGGTATTTTGAATGCTTGGCCAATGTCTTTGTTAATGAGAATGAGAACTACAGACGATGATCAAGAGATCTTGGACTGTTTGAGCTACATCATGGATACAACTGCACATATGGGACTTATGCACGAAAGTGTCAATGTAAACTCTGCTGATGGGATTGACTTCACTCGTCCTTGGTTTGCCTGGTGCAACTCTGAATTTGGCAAAACCATATTACACTTGGCAAAACATAAACCACACTTAATCTTCAAAGAAGAGTTTGCGGACACTCCCTACGACATAGACAAGCTTTTAAGTTAGTCACATTTAAAAAACACACCAAAGGAAAAGAAAGAATATGACTTTGAGCTAGAAAATTTTAGAGAATTGGATTTCCACATAGAACTTACAGAAGATTTTTATATACTAATATAAATAAAAATTATCAAACGGAATTATCATGATCTTCATGCTATATATATATGTATTGTCTATGTAACGCTTTGATTGCCTACTTTCTGATGTACTCGGCAATGGCTTCAGCTGTTTTGGACGAAGCAGACTTGGCAGTAGAATTGAACGCCTCCTGATAACGAGCCTGTAAGTCAGCATCGGCTTTGGGATCCAACTCACTCGATCTGTCTCCTGGGAAAGTATATTCTCTTTCAGGTTCGTCTTCATCTCGCAATACCTCTCCATGGGAATCATCGTTCTCATCTTCATAGTCGGACAAGACTTCAGAATCAGCACCCTTGGTGGCTCCGCTCTTTTGCTTCTCTATATCAAGGTCCTTCATCAACTTATTCAATGACTGTGACTTTCTCTTCTTTTCATCTTCCTCTTTCTGCTTCAATATCCTTTCTCTCTCTGCCTTATAGAATTCGTTATACTCGTCAACTTTGTTGTCAACTGCACTTAAGAATTCGTCGAATCCGTTACCTGTGTAGGAGCTGACACCCACTACATCCAATTGGGAGTAGAATTCCTCCAACATAAGACTCATAGAGTTGACCAAGGAAGACATGTAACCAGATGAAGTACCATCTTCCCCATTAAGTTCTTGATCCGCTTGCATAGCCAGCTGGAAACTTTCAAAGTCAGTCATCCATTCCTTGGCAAAGTCTGCGCTCTGTACATCGGTCTTGTTGAAGACAATGATCATAGGCAACTTGGTCTTGTATAAAATAGAGCAGGCATACAACATGTTGGAGATAAATGTCGTTGGAGACGAGTTTCTTGGGGTGTCCACAATGTAAGCAATAACCGTGGGAAACGTCAGAGCAAACGCTTCTGTTATTATAGCACCACTAGCTGACCAAATGAAACATTCAATTTGACCGGGTGTGTCGATAATCACATTTTCAAATGATTCAGATCTCTTCTCCACTAACTTGATAACTTGATCAATCTTAGTCAGAAATAAGTTCAAAGACGTTACAATTGCACCATTGGGTCCAAGATTATATTCCTCCATAACCTTCTTATATTTAACAGAATCTCTGATGTCAATATTGGCTCCAAATGGTACCTTCAACACAGCAGGGTCCAAGTTTATGACATAAGGTGGAGTTTTTTTGGTGTGCAAATGGGAGTTCAATCTTTGCATGAACGTGGTCTTACCGGAACCGGCCATACCTATGCAGATGATCGTAGCGGGCATGATGATGTGCTGAATGTCTAGATAATGGATATAATGGCGATCTAAACGTTAAGGAGAAGAGTATGAAGTGGTAAATCAGTAGTGCTTTTTTTTTTTGAAACTGCGATGGATTAGTAAAACGATTTGGGGGCTGACACACGTCACGTGAAGATAATGAAGAGGAGTTGCAAGGTGGCAGGAGAATAGTGCTACGGCTAGGCTGTACGAGACATTTAGGACATTTGCGGTGTATTATTTACAGATTATTGTATTCTAGCTACTTCTGGTTCACTTCAATGGACAGCAGAAGGATTGGTGCTAAAAATTAAGCACTTCGTCAGAAGGTCGTACTGTTGTCTGCAGAAGAGAATGGTTGCATTATTTTTTGGTGGATTGAAAAAAAATGGCTGCGAATTATAAAAGCACTAGGAAGCGAGCCGGACCCAATAGTCAGTATTTACAAAAAGCAGTAAAAATTGAAGCCTAATACTGGTATCTAAAGGTCAAGTTTTCAATATCAGTCAAATCTTTAAATTCATAGTTAGGACCTACTTCTTGTGCCCATTGGCTAAGTGTCTCCTCCGCTAATCTATCTCTCTTTATATTTTCCAATTGAGAGATGTACCTAACAAGTAATACCAACGGAATGGAAACGACTGTTAACACCAACAATGTAATCTTTGCAGGTCTGTAATGAGGGTAATCCTTTGCCTTGAATAACTGAGGTCCTATCAAATTTCCAATGGCAAATCCAACCATTGTCAAGCAGTTTCGAGCCAATCTTTTAGTGTGGCCAGCGGTGTTGGCACCATTCCAAGAGTAAATCATAGTAATGACACAAGTTCCTGTGTTTATCAAATAAACAGATAATAAGTTTCCAACCTTTTCGTAGCTTGAAAGCAACACAATATAACCAATGATAGCTGGTACAAGCAAAGAAATAAAAATGAAAGCTCTATGTTTTCCATTGAAGTACGCACAGAGGTAGGTTGCTCCCACAATACTAATAATGGTGGAAACTCCGACTGGCATCTGGACAAGCGCTGTCACCTCAGACGAGAATCCAAATGTGGATATAATTGTAACACTAAAAGTACCCACAGCTCCAGTAGGGACCATGCTAATGATCGTTAGGATGATCATGGGCCATGTTTGCTTGTCCTTATATAAAAGTTCTTTCAATTGATACGATTTAAACGTCTTGTTTTCAGTCCCAGTTTGATTCTTTCTAATATGTTCCAAAACCAATTTCTTCTCTCTGTTGTTTAAGAATTTTGCTCTAGTCGGACTGTCTGGTAAAAAGATCAAGCATACAATTCCAAATATTACAGTCGCAAGACCCATAATTAAAAAGAAGATTTGCCAAGATGCCAAATATTGCCGAGTCGAGTGCACATGTTGGAAAGCATACGATAATAACCCCCCGACAATTGTGGAGGTACCAGCTTGGATTGACCAGAGCCCCATTCTTTTCAACTGCTGCTTATGCGTCCACCACATTCCAGTTATCAATATACAACCAGGAGCTACACAAGCTTCAAAGCATCCTAGAAGCATTCTAATGACCATCAAAGATGCATAACTTTCACAAAACAACGTCATTGTGGTGACAATCCCCCAGCATATAATACACGCAGAAAAGAACTTGGCTGGGGGGAGCACTTGGAACAAGTAGGCCGAAATTGGTTCGAATACTATGTAGGAGCAGTACAAAATAGTAGCTAAATTGCTGAATTCATTACCCTTTAGGTTCTTCTTGATACCCATTACAGCTGCATAGTTTAGAAGAGATTTGTCAAGAAATTGGAAGAAATAGATTCCACAGAGTAGAGTGAGTATTCTCCAGTCAATCTTACGGTAAATAGACTTGAGTTCCTCATGAGATACTTCATCGGTAGTGGTTTCAAAATCACTATCACCATTACCATCACCTTCGCCGTCGAGTTTTGTTTTCAGTACAACCGTACTCTCTAAATCCTTTTCATCTGAAAGGAATTCATAAGCTTCGTCATACAAGTTAGACATATTGGATCGTTAAAATACTTACCTACAAGAGAAACGCACAATTACCTATCGAAAATAGAAAAAACAAAAGAGATGTTTAAATGGGAATTTATTTTTAAGTCACTGAAATAAGAGAGCTTACATTCTTCATACTTAAATCTTTCGTTGGCAACAACTTTAAGTGACTGGTTTGTACTCTCTAAGAGGTCTTTCTTCAAGTCTTAATCTCTCTTTTTTTCCCTCAGCCTGAAGATTTGTAAACGCATACTCCGGAGTGAAATATGCGGCTATTCTTCTTTTCTTTTTATGCTTTTAGGAGTGCATACAACACTAGCGTATAGTACATGCTTGCGAAGATCATCTCGAGCTTTTCAAAAAACACTCACAAAGTGAAGGTTTAAGAGTTATTCCAGTTGACCACCGATACCCTCTTTTATGCCTAAGTATCTTATTTATTTCGCTCAGGCGTATCCTAATTTTAGAAGAGCCGAACTTGAGTCTTTGGCAGACTTGTACGGTATTGAGATTGACCTCTCTCACCATGATGAGTCAAATCCATTTATCGTAGTAGACTTGGAAAGCGATGATGCTGCGAAAAAAATTATGAGTAGAAGTATCTTGGGAAGGGGAATATATGAACTTTGGGGATCAGGAAAGGATTTGGACGAATTGCATAAGAACATAAAAGAGAGCGTAGATATTGAAACTAAGATAAAGTTATATAAAAATGGTTCATTCAAGTTCGATTTCGTTGGCTACAAGGGTAAGAGAGATGTGAAAGTAAGAAGAGAAATGATTGAATCGTTTCTGTACTTGGCATTTGAGGGCCCCATTAGAATGAAAAACCCAGATGAGGTTTTTGTAGTTGTAGAAGAATATGTAGTACCTGGTCACGGAAAGATTGCAGAAACTCCAATAAACATGTGGTTTGGAAGACAGATACAGCTTTCCTCTAGAACTGAAAACATATTGGACAAGTATGACTTGAAAAGGAGAAAGTATATAGGTACTACATCTTTTGATGCCGAATTATCGTTGGTTAGCTGTAACATAGGTCAAGTTGCACCTGGAAAGGTGGTTTATGATCCTTTTACAGGAACAGGGTCTTTCCTCGTGGCGGCTGCAAATTTTGGTGGTCTACCAATTGGGTCTGATATTGATCCAAGAATTTTAAGAGGAAAGTCTTCCCAATGTAATATCCCCACTAATTTTAAGCAATACAAGACCGATTCTTTATTCCTTGATATCTTAACAATGGATTTTACCAATAATGCATTCAGGTCAAATTTTGTGATCGATTCTATTGTCTGTGATCCACCATACGGAGTGAGAGAAGGTTTGAAAGTATGTGGAGCAAAAGACCCTGCCAAAGCTGTAGGTCGTGAAAATGTTGTGATAGATGGTGAGAAGGCACATTTGCGTAAAGACTTTATCCAGCCTAAAAAGCCATACGAACTTTCGAATTTGTTAGATGATCTTTTACAGTTTAGCTCAGAGAGGCTCCCAATTGGTGGTAGATTAGCCTTTTGGATGCCCACTGCAAATGATGATTTCGAGGAGAATTTTATACCACAGCATGAATCTTTAGAGTTGGTGTATAATCTTGAACAGGAATTTCACAAATGGTCAAGAAGATTGTTAGTCTATGTTAAGCGTGATGCTACTGAATATAAGGGAGAAACCTCAAATGGGTTGAAGCTGAACCATATTAAACATTTCAGAGATAGGTATTTCAAAGGGTTTAGCGAGAAATCAAGATAAGCACCACTTTTTCAAAGTAACTCAATAAATTTGTACATTACATCAAATAGATAATGATTTAGAAGAACAATAAGTGGTATATGTGTAGTATTGAATTTGAGCACTTGTTTTTTTCAAACAGTTGCGAGGAGCACGGAAGTAACCGAACTACTGTCAAGAGAAGTTTTAACGCATAACAAGTGTTCGGAATGAACATTTTACATTGAGATGGTGATAGCTATATTCAAGAACCCTGCCATTCTTCCATTCCCCGCTATATGCGTTAAAAAGTCAAATTGATGAGAGGTTTCTCTCATAGCCATTGATGGTTTGATTGATTCAAATCGATGCGGCTCAAATGCTCTACAGCATAAAGATTGCGTGAATGCGCTTAAGAAACTGAAATATGAACCTTGACCAAGTAAAATTTCCTAAATCTAGAACAGATCTGATTGGAAAGTCAGATGAAAGCTGTTAAGAATGTAGGTAAGCTAACTGGAAATTAGTAGTGGAATCCAGGGGCTCTTTCCAATTGAAATGGTATAAATAGAAGGTCTTTTCCGCTTCCTTGATTGTAATCTTTTATTTGGTTAACATTTAAATATCTAACAATTCGAATCAAAAGCATAACCAAATAAAATGATCCCACCTACTATTATTGACAAGCCGCTTGCATCAGTCTCTTCTTCTTTGTCCTCTCCTCAATTCAATCTCTCAGCTTCGCAAGGTGCTGCTGAGGTAAGATTCGCCGACTGGGAAACCTTTAAGTTCAACCCAATCAGAGAATCTACCGTCTCAAGAGCAATGACCAAAAGATATTTTGCAGACATGGATAAGTATGCTGAGTCTGACGTTGTTATCGTCGGTGCAGGCTCTGCTGGTTTATCTGCAGCATATGTTATTGCTAAAAACCGTCCTGACTTAAAGGTTGCAATCATTGAAGCAAGTGTCCTGCCAGGTGGTGGATGTTGGCTCGGAGGTCAATTATTCTCAGCAATGGTTTTGAGAAAGCCAGCTCAATATTTCTTGGACGAGATTGAAGTAGCATATGAAGACGAAGGAGACTATGTGGTAGTTAAGCACGCAGCTTTATTTATGTCCACTTTAATGTCCAAGGTCTTACAATTTCCAAATGTCAAATTATTCAATGCAACTTGTGTTGAAGATTTAATCACAAGAAAGGATGAAACTACTGGAGAGATTAGAGTAGCCGGTGTTGTGACAAATTGGACTCTAGTTACCTTACACCATGATGATCATTCATGTATGGACCCAAACACTATTAACGCCCCAATCATTTTGTCTACAACTGGTCATGATGGTCCATTCGGTGCTTTCTGTGCCAAGAGAGCTGTAGCTATTGGTGGATTAAAGAAGCTTGGCGGAATGAGAGGTTTAGATATGAACTCAGCTGAAGACCACATCGTTAAGGGAACCAGAGAAGTTATCCCAGGTTTGGTCATCGGTGGTATGGAACTCTCTGAAGTAGATGGTTCCAACAGAATGGGTCCTACTTTTGGTGCTATGGCTCTTTCTGGAGTAAAATCTGCCGAAACTGTCTTGAATGTTTACGAGCAAAGACAAAAAGAAAACCAATATTGATAAATATTGAATGAGCTACACTGTAGCGGTCTTTATTGCTTGCTTGTTTTATAAATCTGGTTGTAGTAAGTTATGAATTTATATGCACGTTATATGCTACGAGAATAATGTAAGTCATTTCGAATAAGCTATGGGTGAAAGCAGTGTGACCTACCCAACTAAACATGCGCCTATAACTCGTAGTCCTTTCTAGACATCTACCTAAAACTTTAGACCTCTGTCACCTTCTTTACACATCTACTTCCCTCTTCAAACCTTGAGCTCCATTTTTTGCACCCAGACCTTCCCAAAACTGCAGAAATTATGCAGCACCTGCACGAATTCGAGATGCATCTTATTTCAGCCACGCGCACGACTTTTACACGGAGAATTTTCGAACGCCAGCGTAACCCAAAAAATCCAACCTCCTTTTTTTTTTTTTAGCTAAACCTCTTCATCCTACAACATACACACATATATACACATAAAAGCATAGAAAAAAGCAGTATTTGTAACCAGATACTAAAAAAATCAAGAAAAAAAATAGAAAAAGAATAATTTGAGCAAATTAATTTAATTTTTCAATAATTTAAGTAATATATTGACCTATCTTTACCCCAAAGAATAAGCTATATATTCCAAACTATTGAATTATTTGATATACATAGATTGTGTTTAGTTTATTTATACTATCTTATATTTCAATAAAAAATAATTTGTTGTGAAAACGATCTTCGTACTTAGATAGAAAAAATAACTCATTGAACAACCAAGGAAAAACAACACAACATGTCTTTCGATGATGATGAAGCTCTCTTTGAAGATATCTAGTATGTATTTAATACCCAGACAGATTGAGAGACTTGAAAAAGTGCTTGTACAATATGCAGCATTCGAATATGATTAATCATGTTACTAACAATAATTTTAGCGGTGATGATGAAACTCAAGTGAGTGAAGAACCAAAAGTTGAAGAAAAGAAATCTGAAGAGAAGAGTGCAACTCCTGCTCCAGCCGAACCTGTGAAGGCTGATTCAGCCGAAGTTAAGTCAAATTCTGAAACTCCAAGCACCCAAAAAACTAGTCAAGTTCAAGAACCAGCTCAACCACAGCAAACCACTCAGTCCGATTTGCAACCACAACAATCGAACCAGTATGGCCAACAACAACAACCAGTCCAGTCTCAGGGATACTCGCAACCTCCTCCACAGCAAAACTACAACCCAATGCCACCTTCTAACTTAGGTAAAGATCATGGTAAGATGTTTATTGGTGGTCTTAACTGGGATACTACCGAAGAAGGGCTTAAGGCATACTTCTCCAAGTATGGTGAAGTCATAGATTTCACTATTATGAGGGATAACGCCAACGGGAAATCTCGTGGTTTTGGGTTTTTGACATTTGCTGACCCAAAGTCAGTCGATGAAGTTATTAAAACTGATCACATCTTAGATGGAAAATTAATTGACCCTAAGAGGGCTATTGCAAGAGACGAACAAGATAAGGTTGGTAAGATTTTTGTAGGAGGAATTGACCCAATGGTCAATGAACAAGATTTTAATGAATTCTTCTCTCAATTTGGAAGTATCGTTGATGCACAATTAATGATTGACAAAGATACAGGTAGATCAAGAGGATTTGGATTTATTACCTATGATTCTCCAGAAGCTGTTGACAGGGTCACAGTAAATAAGTATTTAACTTTGAAGGGTAAGGCTATGGAAGTAAAGAGAGCCGAACCAAGAGGTCAACACCAACAAAATCAACAGCTGCAACAATATCAGCAACAACTGCAGTATGGAAACTATGGTAACTCAAACTATGGTGGACAAGCTTACGGTGCCCAAGCTCCTCAACAGCAACAATATGGTGCAAATGGTATGTCACCAGAAATGATGCAGGAATATTGGCAAAGAATGCAACAATGGTATATGTACCAGCAACAAGCTCAACAGGCATCTGGTCAGACTGGAGGTGAAGATGACGGTGAAAAACCGCAAGAGCCTTTGAACCCACAACAGCAAAGTGAATTGCCACCACCACCACCGCCACCAGCACCTCAGCAACAAGGGTACGATAGGGATTACTCAAATTCTTCTGGGGGATCTTCTGATTACCCATCTGGTCCTAAGAGATTACCTCCAACAGGTCCAAGAAGGGCTCCACCATCAGGTCCATCTGGTGGATATAGAGGAAGAGGCGGATACCAAGGAAGAGGAGGTTATGGTAGAGGAGGCTATGGTAGAGGTAGCTACCAAGGCAGAGAAAGAGGTGGTTACCATCCATATAACAAGAGATAGATACAAGATTTACTCTCTTTATGTTGAAAAAGAAAATACATCTACATCAAAAGCAAAAATAAAATATTTCTTGATTAATCGTATTAAATCTATATGTAGATAAACTAGTATTGCTGAATGTCCAGTTGTTTCCTACCTACTTTCTTCTCTTACTAGGACGAGCATTCTTTTGCATTCTCTTTTCCTTTTCAGCTCTTGCTTTTCTAATCTGTTCAGTAGACTTCAATTCTTGTCTTTGACCAGGCTTATTGTAACCCTTTACAAACTTACCACTAGAAACAGCATTGTCAACCTTTGCTTTTTGCTTATGGAAATCGTCTCTATATTTATCAGGTAACTTAGGTGACTTGTTTTGCTTGTGTTTGAATTTTTGGTTGGTCTCTGGTTGGTTGAAATCGACTGTTCCCGAAGGAGCCGAGTTAGGCCCTGAAGAACCGGAAGCAGTGGTAGATCTTGAAATGTTTCTTTGTTTTCTCCATTCGTCGAATCTACCAGATCTATAAGTTGCAGGTATCTTTTGTCCACTTTCACCGATGATGAATTTCTTATCAGTGGATTGAGAGTTGATATAATTACCCTTCTTCCTGTCCCATTGCATGACTTGCTTGTTACCCTTGAAAGTTTCATCGTTGTTAATATCAAATGCAGCATTGGCTGCATCATTGGCAAATGATGAAATCGACAATTGCTTATCCTGAATGCTTGCAGCCGGAGCATAATGAGAAAGGAAGAATTGTGGATCTCTGTAAGATTTACGTTCCTTCTTTGCATTAAATCTCTTGGTTTCTATTATTTCGTCTGCATCTTCAAATGCTGATTGTAATTCCTGTTCATTAACAGTGTTGTCGGTCATGGTATAACCAACTTCACCATCTTCACCCTTCAAAATTTCGTTTTCAATACCGTGAGTCAAACCAGCTTCTCTTTCCTTCTCAAGCAATTCTCTTCTCTCCTTAGCCCTTCTTTGGATTGGAGCAATCTGTCTTCTTCTTTTATGCATAAATTCAACTAGACTATCATTTACGTCTTCCTTTTTGCTAGTCTTATTACCGTTCTTACCCTGGTTTCTAAATTCAAAAACAGTCTCCTTCACGTTTCTATTTAACAACTTGGCTAAGAATTTTTCCTTTTCCTTCTCCATATTAGGGCCGAATAAGATATGTTGGTCGTCCCAAGATCCGGTTTCCATAATTTCTTTGGAACGCTTAGTAGACTCTGCAGAAGCAGATTGTCTAGTTCTGTAGTAAAGTTTTTCACCCTTGATTGCCACTTCCTTAATGACCTGTAAGTCGTAATTGTTCTTCAATAAATTGTCATAGAGATCCAGGAAAGTTTCAATCTCATTTCTTGGAGTAGCACCAAGAACTAATCTGTCAGTGTATGAGACCTTAGGCTCTACGTACTTATCACCTTGTCTCTCCTTTAATATCTCACACTTCTTTTCATGCATTGAAGTTAATAACACCTTCTTACCCAAAAATAATTCCAAATCAAGTAAATATGGAAGTTCTTTTTCATTAACAATGGAATATGCCCAACCCTTATTACCAGCTCTTGCAGTTCTACCTACTCTATGAATGAAAATCTTGGAGGAACCAGGTAACGTATAATTGATAACATTAGCCAAGACTGGGATATCAATACCTCTTGCGGCGACATCAGTGACCACCATTAAACTAGTTAAACCAACTCTGAATTGGTACAATTGTTGCTTTCTAGCATGCTGATCTAATGTACCATAGATATACGACACGAGGTATCCTGCGTCTCTTAACATATTGGTTATGTATTCTACATGATGCTTAGTTGGTACGAAAACGATGGTGGAAAATGGCGAAGGTAACTCGTTTGCATGAGGTAACCTTTCCTTCTTAAATTTAGGTCTTCTTCTTTTACCGCTTTTATCGGCTTCTCTGGCTGCTTGTTCTTCTTCATCTGATTCATCATTCTTTTTGTTCAAGATTTGAAGTTTATCCTTCTGCTCTTGAGTTGCAAGTGGAAGCTTGATGATTTCCTGAATTATGTACAATAAATTGGCTTCTCTCTCATTTTTCTTCGTAGTCAAGAAAGCCATTTGCAACTGATCTGAGATCTTGGATTCTGCATCCAATCTGACTAAAACTGGATTCGTTAAACCAGCTTTGGCAAAATCGACCAACAGCTTAGGTAATGTGGCAGAAAACAATAAACTTTGTCTATTGGAGGGAAGGGCAGCTAACAACTCGTTTAATTGTTCAGCAAAACCCATTTCGAACAATCTATCAGCTTCATCAAAGACAATATACTCCACAGTTTTCAAATCAAGCTCCATTTCAACCTTCAAATGAAGAAATCTACCTGGAGTGGCTACTATTATATCAGGGCTGGTCATCATGGAACTAAATTGTTCTTCCAATCCATCACCACCAATTAATACTATCGATCTTAAATCAGTTCCTTTACTAAATTCCTTAACTTGCTTAAAAGTTTGCAATGCTAATTCTCTCGATGGTGATAAAATGACTGCACGGGCTCCAGCTTTAGGACTGTGACTCTTTAATTTTTCAACAACAGGTAAAGTAAATGCAGCTGTCTTACCAGAACCAGTTCTAGCCATACCAACAACATCTCTGTTCTCCATGATAAGAGGAATAGTCTTACGTTGGATAGGTGTAGGTTGCTTATAACCCTTCTTAGAAATGTTCTGAAGTAAGAATTTGGAAAACCCAAACGAAGGGAACGAACCATTCTTAGCCTTCTTGGCGGCAGGGTTATTGAGGGCAAAATATGAGCTCATATCTTTAGATTCTGCGTCTACATCATCCTCAGCTTCATCTCCGGACAATTCAAGAGAAGGAAACAGTGCTGGAGGGGCCTGTTTCTGCTTATTCTTCGTTTGCTTTTCCAGAGGATTTGGCTTTTGCTTCTTAGAAGGTTTAGATTCTTCGTCATCGCTAATGATGTCTTGAAATTCTTCATTTTCATTTTCAGAATCTGAAAATGAAGAGTCTGATGCAGAGTCATTCACAAGATCTCCTGCAATATCATAATCTTCAATATCTGACATAGTAATGGATGTTTAAGCGCAGTGTCTGTAGAGGTAGACATACACTTGAAGAATTAAATTTTACCTTTTTATGTTTGTACTCATCTCGTCTATATGCAGGATGAGATGGGGAGACGGTTCAAGATGTGCAACCGTTTTGGGCACTACTGAGAAGAAAGGTGAACTGGGCCAATTCGGCTGAAGGACGATTGTTGTGTGCTCAAGATGGTTTTGTATCAACATTGAGATTTGGTGGTTCATTTTGTTCAGACTAGTGTCCTATTTTTTTTCATCTCCCACTTCTTTTAACCTTCAATCCTTCCATGCTCGTTTTCAATGCTTTATTAGGAGTTAGGGTCGGTTTCTACAATGCTCATACAAAGACAATAGACGCATTTCTTTCGTTTCCTTCTTTTCTTTCGTGTATTTTTTCCTTCCATTTCATTCTAATGCTTTGTATAAATTCTACTTACGCTAGTATATTATCAAATTCATCCATGTTTTCTAGTTCATCTTGCTGTGCTACCTTCTTCAAAACTTCCTTCTTACTTGATTCCTGCACATAACCATCAATCAATAGTTCATCTAGGATATGGTAGGCTTTATCAAAGCCAAATATAATATCTAACTCACAAACATTACCGTAAATCTTATCCATTTGTTCTACAAATCTGTGTATAATTTCCAATGCCAACAACTCGTTATCTCCTTGATCAATTCCCATTATAAAAAATAATGATGCGTAACGACGGTATACAATCTTAATATCCTTGTACTCTAACACGTTACACATTTTAGCTCTACGCGAGAGAATCAATGTGGAGAGTTCTCTCATTATTCTGGCCTTTTCCTTTTGAGATATGGTTTGATACCATTTTGTCAATCTAATCTTTCCTTGTCTTGACAACAAGAACATGAATTGCACGGCCATGTTTGCTTAAGACGATGGGTTTTACTAAGGCGCCGTTGAGATCAACAAGCTCTAAATATTTTGAAATTTGAACTTGAACATTTCGAGAAGTTCGTCACTTGAGCGTCCTGCATGTAACCAATTACGATAGCAAAACTGCAACACCTTCCAGCAGTTGCAATCTAGGCTGGGAAGCACTTGAATAGGAGGAACAAATCGTAGAGTAGTGAAAGCCACTGTTCTTTTCACATCTACCAGGTGTCTTTACTCAATTATAATAATCTTATGATATTAATAATATTTAAATAATTAATTAATCTACTGTAGCATATAGAACTCCATCTCTCCATAATTTCTAGACCCTCACCTCTTGTTCTGAAGAGTACGAGGTACTAAAACCGACAGTAGCAGGATAATTTCTTAACAGGACTCACGTCATCCAATTGTAATGCCATTTTTTTTGTTTTGAATTTACTTTTCCCCTTTTTCTTCTTCTCCATTTTCTTCTTCATCACCTTCTTTACCATTTTCTTCATGTTGTTCTTCTTCATGCACATTTAAAGTTGCTCATGTGCATTCTATTTACATACACTTTCTTCTACTTTTTTAAGTCATACTTCTCTTACTCAAGAGTGTTTATGGTGGACTTGAGAAACAGTAAATGGGTCGCTATTTCCATGCACAATTCTTCTCTGTCAACATCTTCATACGCTTTAAGATCTATTTGCAACTCACATAACAAAAATTTCATATTTGACCATTGAACGGTTTCAAAATCGTATCCAGTACGCTTTTTCATTCCCGTTCCATATAATCTTATACGCTGGCCCTTTTCATTAATGATCTTTTCTTCTTGTCTCAATAACCAAGGGTTTAATTTAGGGAAGTTTGCATGAACAAACAAAATTTTAGGTCCACTCAGTAAGATTGGGTCCGCTTCTATCAATTTTGCTTGCTCAGAATTCAGCTTCCCCTTTAATGCTGATTTTTTCTTATTCATTTCAAAGTCCTCTGCGGGATCATATTGTCCCATCCCTGTACCTACAAACTCATTCTTTGTATTGAAGTAGCCAAAGGCATTCAAGAATTTGGAGACTTGGTAAAATGGCTGCTTTAATGCCACGGTAGCAGCAAGGAAGGTTTCCTTGTCACCTTCTCCGTCAGATCCCTGCGAGAAAAGAGGATAGAAGTGACTAGGGCCATACATATTATAGTATAATGCTAATAAAATGGCTTTCATGTGCGATTTTTTGGAAACCATCAATTGTCCCAGTTCAGAAGTTGGGTCAGGAATTGCTCCGAGCCTCTCATGAAGTGGCACCTCTTCACCTGGAGGGTATGGCTTAACATTTTCATACTCTCCGGTAAGTTCGTTGTATTTGGGGGTCAACTTAGTTTTGTCTAGAGTGATATCTGCAATTCTATAGTAGTCTGGCGACGTGGCTCTCTTCCAAAAATCTGGCCAAACAATTAGCCCGTTCAGTACAAATGGTTCCAGGGTGAAAAGATGGTCTGGCGGGTGGACAGGAATATTATCCGAGTCCAAAAGAAGCACATTTTCAAAACTCGACAAAATGATCGCCAAAGCTTTGTATTGATAACCTTTAAATTGAATTTTGGACGATGGAGAATTACCTTCACTGAGTACATGTGGTAAATATATACATCTTGCTCCCAATGCCGGGAAAACTCGTACACACAAATCAGGTTCATATTCGTCCAACTTTGGAATGAAAACTTCAATAGGCAAATCACTGCCAATGGCTCTAATAGACTTGATAGAAAGTAAGGTTAACCAATTGAATTTACCTCCACCAACAAAAACAATCCCGTTCCCCTTATAAAGTCCTTCAGGTGAGTCAAATTGGTTTAAGTTGTCTACGACATATTTATGAGCTCTTTTCATGATTTTCAACTCATTGCTATTCAATTCCAAGAATTGAGATAAGTATTCTTCCAGAAAGACCTTTTCGTTTTCTAGGTCATCCGGTTTATATTGATACCTTGCGTGGTAAATTCTATGTTTGGACTTGTACCTTCCAAGGGAGTCAATACCTGGCTTACCACTTCCTTTCAGCGTCAAGATGTCAAATACTTTATCGTAAAACTTATAACCCTTCTTCAAATTAACCAAGTTAGGGTCAAACTTTTTGTGACTCTCAGCTATCAATTTCAATTTCATTTCGGCGGACATCTTTCTCTGTAATTGAAGTTGGCCCTCACTGGTTTGCTTTATGATATTGTTGAATTCCGACTGAAGAGCTGCCCCTGTCTCCGCAAAGGGCACAGTCTTCTCTTTAGTCTCCCCTAAAATGCTGAAAATAGAATTGAATATGGAGCCAAATATGGATGTTTTGTCATGTTGGTCTGGTGTTGTTATTGAATTGGAAGTAGGGTTGTAGTCATGAATGAGGTTTCTCAAGTTGGAGTCCTCGGTAGTGTAGTCTAAAATTGCCAGATATTGTGTTATGGTAACTATGAGTAGGACAATGGCGCATATCAACGACGTTAGGAGAAGCAACTTATGTTTCCTACGAAACATTCGAGCTCTAATGAATAAAGAGCCCATAATGATTAGCCTTTAATGGTGAATGAAACGTGGAAAAGAGTGAACGCCAATTTTGTTATTATACAAAATAGCAAAAACACAAAAAAACGAAGAGTTGAACAAATATATGCAGAAAGACCAAAATAAAACTTTGGTTAAGAAGAAAATGAAAAAATCGAGTTAGTACCCGAAATAATTTTGAAAAATACAGTTCAGGTCTTTTTTCGAATGAGGTTAAAAAGGTGTTGATTTGTGTTCTTTTAGTATTAATAGGGTGGATGAATGAGGCAGGATGCGCAAGGTGAGATCTCATGTGAAGGGGTAAAATGATCTAACAAAGAGTATGAGACAATAAGAAAGGTGGAAGGTAGAATACATGAAATTGACAAAATGGAGAAGGGGGGGTACAAATGAAATCCAGCCATGAACGTTTTCCGGCCTACTCTGGTTTTTGAACAAACACCAGTGAAACGGTAAGGTTTCTCTTTTCTCTTAAATCAACCATTTTTGCTTTCCATGGATCTTGTAGATTGTTTTATTTTTTAGGTTTGAAAATTTTCTATTCCAGGGCCGCATTAGTGTAAAATCGGTGCTACAGCGTAAAGGTATGGAAAATAAGTGGAAACTTTAACGAGCCCTAAACCCAAGGGAAAAATTGATGTATAGGGCGTGGAACGGGGAAGGGGATGGGAATGGAAATGGATATGGGGCAGAAAAAGGGACCTCTGGTTCTTGTTTAAAGAGTTATTACACGTGGTGTTACTCGGGGGCTTACCATCTGTAGACTCAGACCAGACGCTTACCAGGTGACCGACTATTGTTTCCAGCTCAGCTAACCTGCAAGAGAATGAGGTATGCCTAAAAATTGGGAAATTTCAATAGTGAAAATTGAGTTTCGCATAAAATGCTACAGCCCGCAGCTTGCAAAGGCGCTGTTTTTGCCAAAGACTGCAGCAAGACCCTGCACTACCATTGGAGTGCTTCGAAATAAGATACGCCAATCCAGGTCACTTGAATTTCAGCTGCAGATCATACTGCGAGCGGAAGGAAACCGACTTTCTCATAGAGCGCAAGCTTCATTGGCTTTCGACTTTGACCCAAGAACTGTCAAAGTAGCGTTTCCACTAATTTATCTCTTCATTTTTTTACTTTTTTTTTTTTTCTTTATTTCTTGTCCTTCACGCTCGAAAGATGGGGAAAAGCATAATAATAGGCCGCATGAAGACGCGGTGTGTATTTCTCGTAACCTAATGATATGGCCATCCTAGAAAGCAAGCATGCCACCAACTCTATTCAAAAGTTGCTTACCCATATTGGGCTTGTTAGAGTTTGCCACTGCTAAGTTTGACTATTTGTTGTCTAACTTCTTCAATGTATTATCTCTTTTACGAATTCGGCATATTTACGAACCCGAATGTGAACAATTATTATTCATTGCATTTATTTCATGTATTTCTTATATATGCCATTTATCACCTTTTGCGGCAATTCTTCTTAATTACACCTTATTATTATACGCACAATTACTTGTTAGCCTAAAACCTATGTACAAGAGCTTATTAATCTACGTATTAAGCAGGCTCTACTGTAATTAATACGAGAAACTTAAAAAATAAGTTAAACCGTGTCTAGTGTTCCATGTATGGCTCATTAAATAGTAGTCAGAAGTTAACGATTCAAGTAGTTGCGAAATGACTGAGTGAAAAATAGTCATGCAGTGTTCTCAAACCTTAGCACTGAGCCAGTATATACAATTTTGGAAGCAAATGGACACTGCTTGATCCCTGGCAGTCCCTGGCGTTCAAAGAAACATAATTGAGCGTTCATCCAAACCTACTTTTGTCAACTATTGGAATAGCAGCGCCCCATACAAAGATCAGTCGGATTATATGGAAATGATGTCCGATGCAATCGAGCTAATGCCAGGAAAGGGCTGGTTTAAGATAGGTTACATCAAATGGATGCAAATTTTGTGGTTTGAGCAGCTACTTATCGAACGAAAGTTGCAGTTTCCATTCAGTCGCTCCTACTTGTTTTTAGTTATGACGCCGTTGTCATATTCTTGATTGCTAATAAAAGATTGGTGCAGCTAAGCCTATCAGACAGAAAGTCCTTTTCAGGATTGCAAGAGCACTTACCCTTTGAGCGAACCGATGTATCTCTAGGACATTGTAAGTACGGTGCATGGTAGTAACCAATATCTCCAAACCACCAAACTTCATCCGCATTGAGAAAACTCAGAATGAACAATGAGTGCACCGGGGCATCCCCCCACCTCTCATAGTAAAACCCACCTAATTGATCTAAGTACTGGAAGAATTGCTGATATTTTGAGTTCTGAAAGATTCTTAAATCTGCTATTTCAAAATTGGTCCAGAAATGACATAAATTGTACGTCTTATCCTTATCATCGTTTTGAACAAAATCAATTAGATCACCTCTTTCATAATCATTAACGTCCATAAATTCATTAAACAGCAGCCATAAGCTTGGGATTGTATCTGCATACTCAAACATGGAAATAGTAAATCCGTACAGTATTTCGTTCTGTTGCATGAACTGAAACACATCGTAATCTATATCACAATAATATTTGACGCCTGGCTCAATCCTCCAATAGTATTGGTATGTCGCCATTAAAGGATGGTTATAGAAGAACCCCAGGAAATATCTGCACATGTTTCTATAGGATTCACTTTTGCCATATATCATATTCTGTTGTTCATATATGTCCCAGTTCTCTCTCGCTAATGTCTGATTTATCCAATCTGGAATTGACCACTCCTCTTGTGGTATTTTTCCAAATTTCACACTTCCCAGAGGAATTAACGTTAAAACATTGTACATGAAGTCTTCGGTAAACTCAACATCGTTTAGAAATACCCAATCATACAGAAATTTGGAATTGAATCGATCTTGCACATTTTGAATGGTTTCAGTAAGGGAGTATAAATCTTCATTTCTACAAAGCACCATGAATGCAGCATTCTCCCTATGTGTATCTACATCTCTTTCCATAATTACGGGGAACTCTCCATTGTGAGAGCGTAAAAACGATCGAAGATCTAAATGAGTGTTATTTTTAAGCGAATTGACATGAGGGATGTGACTATTTAGAGGAACCCACAGTATATTGATTTTGGCAAAATGTGTTGAAAATTGCATCCACACCAACACTGAGACTATTGGTATAACTAACCAGTGTATTATGCGGTCTTTCATGCTGCAATTGATATGTGGTACTTTCTTAAAGGAGTAATATGTGGGAACTAACACTTATCTATCTCAACTTCCTGTCATGAATTTTTCTTTTCTTTTAACTCCAACTCGTCTCCCGGTATCCCTCTTAGCGTATCATATATACTTTACTAATGCTCTATGTATATACCTGACTTTATAACTTACTAAATGCTATTTTTTTTCAGAATTGGAATGTTAGCAATAAATTCCAAGCAAAAATTTTTTTATTACGTAAAACTGAGAAACAATGCACGATTGCAAAGCCTTCTTCCATGGCGAAGAAGGAAATTAGACCAAGAAAAATTTAAAATTACGCTTCACTCCGAATCACTAACAGCATTAGCACAAAGATACAACCTTGCAATGAAGAGTGGAAAGACGATTGAGGTTCCTTTTACCTGGTAATAACTTTCTGAGACATCTTTTTGAAATCTAGATTATTTTGCGTCAAATTTAGCAACCGCTACTGTTCTGCTTTTGGAACCCTTCAAAAACTTAAAATGCCAGGAACAAAGAAAGTAGCGCACATGACAAATGTGCACGTGATACGTATCACGTGATGATATTATTTTTTCTGTTATTGTTATCATGCTCTTGAATTACATTACCCCATCGCTCAATTCACCACGTTCTGGTTGCGCCAAAAGAAACAACAGGGTGTAGCACGAGGTTGTTAGAGCAATCTAACCTGGCTCTGTGTCAACTGCATCTGCTACTCTTTACGTAAAGAGAAAAAAAAACATTGAAAGAAAATATGATAATGTTTTATTAAAGGAAAAGTTTAATAAAAAAAAGAAGGCATGTAAACAATTTTCCAGTAGTAGAATATACCAACTAGACATGGAAGCTGTCTGATATATTTGAACATATAGTTCATAATTACATTACATAATTAGAGTTCCCGGTTCGCTACCAAAACGAGAATCCATCGTTTGCATTAAAATGTTTGCTATTGTGTAGTGTAGTCCTAGAGTTATCGTGGTCTGTAGTCATCTTCCTTTGTAAGATTGCTTCACTAATTTGTTTCCTAGTGTGTGGGCTTCATTTTCGCTTTTTTGCAGCAATTCATGTAGGTCCCGAATTGATTGAGCTAAAAAAAGTAAAATATGAAAACCAAAACAAAAGTCTCCATGACAAAACAATAATAAATCCAAACATATATAAATTGATTTAACATCCCTACATAAACAATCTGGCTCATCTTCTGGATCTCTCTGTTCCATTCTTCTCTTTATTAGCCAATTTCAGTATTTTCTTTTTGTCGTATTTTCTCAAACTAGGCGGGCTGAAAATTTATTGCATACACATGGTACACCCCCAACTATTAATATAGAGTAAGAAAGGCATCATCAAGCATCTTCATCCTAGAGCTAGCTAAAGAAGAAAGTAGCTAGGTGAATAGCCCCTTTTCAGACTCTGCAGAATCTCTATAAATGAAAGATAAGAAAACTCAAGGCAACACTACACCACACTAACACAAGGTCATCTTATCTTGTTATCTTCAAACTCGCTTTGTTTACTCAGAAGTGTTATCTGCAGGACGGCTATAATTCAAACAGGCATCAGCCAAATTTTGAAAAAAAAAAAACAAGAGAATCACTAACTGGAACCTATTAGTAATTGACAGGAAGGTGGATTTTCGCTAGTTATATTAGTTTCTTTCGTACTTCCGAAACGCTTCAACCACTGATTTACACTTGACGAACTAGCTGCTGTCGCTATCCCATCATATTGTATGGCCAGCAAATAGATATATTTATTATTGAGTAGTTTTGGGAACATCTCATACCGTCTGCACATAGTGACATATATTCATGATATAAGGCATATCATCATGACATCAGAAGTAGGTCCTATACGTAAGTCAGAGGAAACCAACGTAGAAACAACAAAGCCTGACGTGCCACAGCAGGTTGTTACAGGGAGAAAGGCGGCCAGGTCACTTCGATTATTCAGAGGCGATTCCATCAAGAAGGACGGTGCCGATTCGAGCTCATCAACCACCGATTTTATCAATGAACTTCAGGCCAACCAGAGGCGGATCTCTCGGGTCTCAATACTGACCGACGATCTGGGCTCAGGAAGCATAAATCAGACTGAATCACACAGAGTTGGCCAATCTTCGACTGCGCCAGGACCATTAGCATCAACATCAGCATTAGCATTAGCATCAGCATCTACCGTAGCATCACCTTCGTCGACAAAGGTAAACAAAACAACTAAAAAGGAGAACAGTACTGACAGAACTGCCTCCGTATCTTCATTAAGCGATGTGGTGCCATTCCATGCCATCCCTTCCCAAGCAGAAATTCAGCCTCTGGCCCAAACGCATCTTGCATTAGAACCTGTATCATCAGCTACATACTTCCCACATACACCAGCCAAATCAGACAATATATCCTTGTCTGACAAGGACACAATTGAAACACAGCATTTGACAGCGGATCTTGAATTTGACCACTCCTCGGACGGCGATATTACGAAGATCCAGAGGAATGAAACGTTGAAGCTGGGAGAACTCAGTTTACCAAAAGAAATCGACCCTGAGTCCAAATCGCAGACAGATCCGTCTGAGTTCAGATCACAAGATCAGACACAGAGGCCCTCACTGGGCAAGATTCAGGGAGCTGCTGTACTCCCATTATCCCAACCGCATCTCCCTGACGAGAAGAGAGGGGAAAAAACGTTAGCTCCTCATGTTGATCTGTTTGTGGATACTGAAGCTGACGAATATCCCTTGGCAGTGGAGTTACGACCATTCAAAAACAAAGTAGGTGGTCATACAGCAATTTTCAGATTTTCTAGGAAAGCGGTCTGTAAAGCATTGATGAACAGGGAGAACTTGTTTTATGAAACAGTAGAACTTCGAGTGCTGGAGCTATTAGAGTTCATGCCAAAATATATTGGAGTGTTGAACGTAAGGTACTCGAGCATTTTGAACGATGATCAGCCTCATGTAGAAGATGCAATGGATTCGCAAATCGAGGAACCTGTAGATAAGTTTCTTTACAATAGAATTAATATTGAAGGTACTAGCAACGGGCATGCTAACGATGATGAAGATGAAGACTCAGGGGACTTGCCACCAGAAGTTGTGTTGGATGATAACAAGCATATTATTCCTGACTCGTTGTGGAACAAGTATTCACATGATGCGGATAACTCGCCAAAGGACAGTGGTGCTCTTACGCCATCAAATTCGTTTGAATTGACAAAGAGTATGGAGAGCTTCTCTGTACATTCGTCAGCTTCGTTATCACCACCAAATGTTTCTATTAACTCACCTAGGACTCACAGTAAAGTTGGGTCTACTTCAATTAATACAGATTTACAAGCACAGGTTCTTCAAGAGGTATTTGCGCCTAAAAAGACAAGACGAGTGGTGGCGCCTGAAACGCAAGGAAGTGGAACCCATGATATATTTGCAATGGATGAAGATGAAGACCCCTTGGTAGGCGGTGGAATGACTAAACCAAGAAGACACTCATCACTTACGTCAGTGCATTCATTAACAAGTTCCTTCCATCATTCACCCAAGCTTAGTACTTCTCACATTAAGTCAAACTCGGTCACATCCCAAAAATCCATCTTGCGCAAGCATACTAGATTTGAAAGATTTATCTTGCTAGAAGATCTTACAGTTGATATGAAAAAACCGTGTGTGTTAGACCTCAAAATGGGGACAAGGCAATACGGAGTTGATGCAAAGCCTTCAAAACAAAAGTCTCAAAGAAATAAATGCTTAAGCACAACATCAAGGAAATTGGGAGTAAGAATATGTGGAATGCAAGTTTGGAATGCTTCGGAAGAAAAATTTTTCATTAAGGATAAATACTTTGGAAGAAGAGTACGCATTGGACTGGAATTTTGTAAGAGTTTAGCCAAATTCTTGTATGACGGTAAGCTGAACTACTCTATCGTTAGACATATTCCTCATTTAATCTCGAAATTTGAAGACTTGTATAAAGTATTTGGTCACTTGATTGGATATAGGATGTATGGTTCTTCGATATTGTTGATGTACGATGGAGAAACCAATGCATGCAAAGAGGAGAGTTGTATTAAGGTCAAGATTATTGATTTTGCTCAGCTGGTTATAGCAGGTGATGATGCTATGACAAGCTCAACGCGAATCCCACCTCAGCATCCAAATTTGCCAGATATGGGGTATCTTAGAGGATTGAAGTCGCTTACTACGTATTTCAAAATCATATTTGAGCTACTTACCAAAAGTGAATACTTGGGATTCGAAATGGCATTGAATGTGATCAAGAGGGAAAAGGATTCCTTATTGAAGCAGAATAATCCATGGCTTGATGTGTTTCTGGAGGATTTGAAAGAAGAGCCCAAAAGTTTGAGGGAGACAGAGGATCCCTTTGAAGGAGAATACCCTCACTATACAGATGAAACGGGGATTTCTGAATAAAGAGAAAAAAAGAAAAGGACAAAAGGAAAATGGGAAACAATAACTGGAATAGACCATGTATAATACGTTATATGTAATAACAATATAATAATAATAGTAGTAGTAATATTAACAACAATATAGATAGTGTAGTGAGTAAGACATAGAACCAAAAATAAGGAAGGAAAAAAAAAAGGTCCAAGCTTAAATGCCATGACGTAATAAAGAACTATTTGAATCTCGATCGAGAGCTAAAAAGAAAAGCTAACAATCACTGGGCTGACCTGGAATCAAAAGCAAAACAATAAAGACGGTGATTGAAAACGGAATTATTCCAGCAGACGTGGTTCGTGGCGTGGCTTGTAACTGGAAGGGGAAGGGCATGTTTCACACCACTCACAATCGTTCACCTGTTTCAGAAGTAAGACACTACGCCAGGCAGCAAATTGAAATAGTGCATAATAGAGAATGGATGGACGCGTGATATTGATGCATAGTCGGGAACGCTTTCTGAAGTTTCAAGTCCCAATACGAACCGGTAGGGAGAAGCGTCAGGTGTAGGAACCTTGTTCTTTTTTTTGCGTACCCCTAATTTGGAAAGCTGCCATCGGTAAAACTCAGTACAAGTGTGGCAATTTTTATCCAAAATGGCAGAGACCCCACGTAAAATGAAAATGGAACCTTTACATTTTGCGCGCGATGCAAGTCCGAGAATTACGCTGCGCTATTTTTTATTACTCTAGAGTGTGAGGGAATTATTCCATTGGTGAGATAGAAAATAACAAAAAAAAAAATTATATTATGGAAAATAGCCAAAATAGTAATAGAGAGAGGAGGCTCACATAATGGGGGAAAGCAGAGCGTAACGCACAAATCCAACAGCCCCAAGCAGTTAGGAACGTGAAAAAGAAAAGAATAGAGAGAGAGAAATGGGACATAGGGTCATAGCAAATACTACAATAGTGCACAAAAATAGAAATAAAACTCCAAATATAGCTGGATGAGTGGGTCATCGATTTCCGGTTCCAACTTCGCTTGCCGTGTCTGTAATGGGGGAATACTTTTAATCTAAATTTAGTGGAGTGTGGTGACTCTATTTTAAGGTTAGCAGCGAACATAGAAATTAAGCAGCTCATGTTTATTTTTTCGTATTGTAAGTGTTTCCCCCAGACTCAATCGAATGAGAGCTGTATATTGAGCGCATTACCTACGTCATACCGAAAAGAGTACAAGGGAAAAAAAAAATTCTCGTCAAAGTACTGGAAACAAAAGAAAAAAAAAATATAAAAAAAATTCCTCAAAAGTTTCAATCGAGGGATTTACACAACGGAAGAGCATTAAGTTTAAGGGGGTTCACTATTTACTTTACACGTCGCCTAGAAGGATGGAGAATGTGTATCAAGCTTAATATTATGGTAACATACCCATAAGTTCTTTTTATTTCCTTTTGACTGCTTCGTCGTCATAGAATACCGACTCGATGCAAATGGTAGCAATTCTAGCTTTTTACATTTCCTAATAGAAAAATTTTTGTTAGCATCTGTAAGATTTTTCGGCAGTTGCACGACCGCTCTTTTTGTCTATTTTCGACTAAAACTCTTAATAGAATTAGGAAAATTTCTTAAAAAAAAAATAAAAAATAAAGTCGAAAATGAAGAGGTTCCTATAAATCCAAACAAAATCCTCAACCCAAAAATTGTTGCAGTTCCAAAAGTTTTCTTTTTTTTTTTTCTGTTTGATAAATTAGCCCTATTACCATAATAGCTTTAATAGTAAATCCTTTCCTTTTTAAGAGAAACTAAACAAATACCTTCCTGTCTTGGTTGCTGTTTGGCTTCCTAGGTTGTCCGGCCAGTTTTTCATTTAGTTTAATCACTATCAATATTTTTGTTAGTTTTGCGTACTGCATACATACCAACTACAAATACTTCACCTTCATTTAAATTTTAAACTTGTTATATATTTCATTTTGGTTAAGCTTGTATATTATGTGTTAACATCCAAGGGACGAACTACACAGAGAAAAGAGCAGAACATAAATTATAAGGTCATATAATAAGTAAAAAAAAAAAAAAAGAGAGAATTTTTACTACAGAAACATAAAAACTATCAAAGTTTCAAAGTATCATCCATTCATAGTACAGTACTAGTAATTGTTTTACTGAGACAATTTCAAAAGTTTGCGTGCGCACAGAAAAAAAATTTTCAGTGAGTCAGTAAGTTTAGCAATAATAACATTACTATGTCTTTATTAGGTCGAAAATCATCGAAGAGTACATCTTCGTCGTCATCGTCCTCTTCTTCGTGCTCATTTGCTAAGTTTGACGAGAAGAAGGATTATGACAGCAGATGTAAAAATAAGAGTAAATCTGGTAGCAGTAAACCTGCTTCAGTTTCATTCTGTTTGAAGAAGAAGTATTAGCGCTGGCGTCTGTCTGGCGGTGGCGTGAAAATATTTTTAGCGTCTCAATTTCGCTAGCTACTACAATTTTAGTATGCGGGGGGAGGAAATGACGAAAACGAAAAATACAAAAAAAAATAATAAAAAAATTTTAGGTAGAGGAAATTAAAAAACAGCGATTCACTTTGGGACTCAGGGAAATATCCAGTATTTCGCTTTGTTTTTCTTGAAATCGCTAGAATATCACCTAACGGTAGGTGATTTTCACTTGGGTATTATAACTTGTATATTATGTTATTATTTGGTTCACAAAAATAAAGAAAGAAAAGTTACGATTTTTAATAATTGCAAGCGTAGAAAAATTGCAAATTACAGAAAATAACAACCGTGTGTGATGAACAGCTGAAAACCTCTTCTGAGTCTGTTTGTTTGTTTCTAATCTGGTGAATCTTTATCAAATTGAGTTTAGCGCTTTTAATTAAGTGCGTGTGTTCCTTGTTTCGTAACTCTAATTTGCACTTCTCGTAAGCAAAAAGGTGTAAATTTAAGCTTGGTGTTAGGCATGCTGTGGGAAAAATGGCTGGGACAAGCATCGTAGATATCAAAAATGTGGCATTCGCTATCTTTCCCTTTGTGCTAAAAAAGGGCCATGGCCAAAAATTCCCATTCAATTGTAGGAGAGACTTTAAGTAGGTTCTACTCTCATGCGACAAATTATCTCTTATAATCCCAACTTTCTCTCTCTTTGTAACTCGTGAGATTAACATATCACACATAGGCAAGCTGTAGTCTAAACTATGTTACCATTTTTCTGTAATATGCAGGAACTGATCTGGATGCAGGTTTGGATCTCTTGATATCAAAATCAAAACAATAGCCAGTAGAGGTACCCATTGATTTGCCGGTCAGAAGCTGAACAGTGACGATGTCTGAAAACACTTACTTTGAGAAGCACAGAGATCTCTTGATCCAAGAAATTGGGATATCAATGGAATCAGTGATTTACCATTTGGATACATTGAACCGTTCGTTGACGAGTCTGATCTCCGTTGGTAAAGAGTTTGATGATGTAGCGAGACTCTGGTCCCACTTTTATGATGGTGCCAGGCAACTCAAAGAGAGAAAGTCCAATAATGGAACCGACCTGCAGGATGTTGATTCAGAGAAGGGAGAAGATGAAGGAGAGGTGAGAGAAGATGATGAGCTATATGAAAGTGCAGAAGATATACGCTAGAAGCTGATCCAGTAGTATTTCAGATATCAGGCGTAAACCACATTTCACGAGTATGGCTCAGAAATGATTAACACAAGTCAAGTAGTTACATAATTTTCGCGCTTTTCTTTAATTTTCTGCGTTATATCCAGATAGGTATCCGGCCATGCCAAGCTAAGGATACTATAGATGAAACAAAAGTTGAAACAACGGAACGTAGATGAGAAAGAGCGATGTATTTGAACAGCGCTAAGTTGATTTCTACTATTGGTGATGCGACGTGGTTTAGCGAGTAAGTTGATGCGTAAATTGCATTCAAGTATGGCCCTTGATATTGGTAAGCCCTTGCATATATACTCACTAGACGTGATATAAGTATGTCTTACTGATGATTAGAACTTGATCTGCTGTACCAGACCTTTGACCTTGGCAATCGCATGACCAAAGTATTCCTTCTGTTACTGCAGCGCAAAGTAATTACGTATCATGGGCACAGAAAAGACTTTCTATTGGGGACTAGCGCCCATTCTCTGGTGATAGCTTAATTACACAACCATATATTGTAAAGTAATAGTAATGCATTCCGTTTAGAACATATTTTTGTAGTTGTGATCACTCTATATCGAGTGTGATGGCATGTACTCCTAAGTTTAATGTCTCTATGGGCCTACGAAAAATAAGAACTTACCATGAGAGTATTTATCAAAAGATATTTCTTCTAGCAATTTACAAATATCAATCTAACTTAACTCGAAGAGAAATCCGAAGTACCATGAAAGAAATAAATAAAAATATACCTGTTGCAATATTCAAATACAATTTTCTATCAATTTATGTACTTGATCTTTTCGTCTGAGTGCACCAGGAGTAGTCTCGTCTATTCCACAACGTTAAGGACTTTCTCCGGTACACCAGATGAGTCTTTGGCACTTTTTAATAAGGTATATTTGTTACACATCGGTATTACAAGATCGCCAAGATATGAGAGTATCCCTAACCTGATGTTGAAACTGATTGATTTAATTTTCCTGCGAGATATGGAGAGCAGATAACATTTTCTTAAGTGTTATAAGGTGTTTATTCAAGTGCGAAGAATGTATAAATGGAAAAGGAAAGATTTGCAATTGTTACAACTTTTACTAGTAATTTAAAGGAAAATGTGTACGCATCCAGATAACATTCTATACATCCAAGATAGGATTCTATACATAGTTAACGGAACAACAAAGCAATGCGCTGAATGTTCGCGCTAGGAATAGTACTTGATCTGGATTCTATTTTGGTATGATATCTCTATACTTTCAAAAGGAACAGTTTCTACTGGCCCCTAACCCTAATACTATGTTTTGTAACGTATCGTAAACCTAGATTGTTTAAACCATATATTTGCAATTATGGTTGCACTGTATCGCGTTGTGATGGCCCATACTTCTAAGATAATTATCTCTATGAGTTAAATAGAGAACATGCAATTTAAGTTAATACAGCCTATCCAAACTTCAAACAAAGTATCCAATAAGAATGACGAAAACCAATATCAAAGTAATAGTACAAGAAATAGCTGTTGAAGCAAGCAAAAGATGTTTCCTATTAATTGCCCTTGCTGTGACCAACTCTTCTCCTGTCCTGAAGTAGTGTATTATATTTCCAATTGAGTCCTCGTCTATATATATTAAGCGAAATTTCAACCCTTGCCATACTCCAATCAGATATACTTCATCCCCGAGATCTATTTCCATGGAATGTAATTTTTTTCTGACTAGTTGATGAATCTCATCGATTCCTCGGTGTGGATAATAATTGAGTTCGAATTCGATTACTTCATTGGCATCAGCATAGAAATTGACATGAAGAGGTTGTGGTGGGCTACATTTGTGACCATGTTCATTGAGTGCACCAGGAGTAATCTCGTCTAGTTCATAGCTTGGTGGGATAGTTTCCTGGATACTAGATGAGTCTTCAGCACTATTTAATGGGGTGTACTTATTAGACATCAGTACTATTATTTCACAGTATCGCCAAGAAATACGTGTATCGCTACCGTTACGTTAAAAAGCTAATTTTCTTGCGAGATATGCATCGAAAGGAGATGACTTGTAGCCAAGGGTTACTAATTTTTATAAAGTGCTTTTTCAAGCGCGATGGACATCCAGGTAGAGAGGCTTTGCAATATGTTTCAATGCTGCGATCCAATGACTTGCCTAGCACTTTGGTGAGTATGTATGTGCGTAGATAGCATTCTACACATAGTTGGCAGGAAAAAACAAAGCCATGCATTTTAGTAATCGCGCTGGAGAGAGTGATTGACTAGTGATTTATTATGGTTTATTTCTCTTATCTTTTGAAGAGAACTTGTGATTGCTCTCTAGTGAGAGCCTTGGTTCTACTACGATGTTTTGTAAAGTAATTTAAATGTATTTTTGTAGCTAGCGTTGCACTATATCGAGTTGTATTGGTATTTGCATTAAAGATTATTATCTCTATGGGCCCATAGAGTTGAAAATGTAAAAATGAACGTAGAATGAAGCTTTTATTATTAAATCTTATTTACCATATCTAATAGCAAGAAGTATGAGAGAACCCATAAAAATAATTAAAACAGCAATGATGGCCAAAGGAATCATCACAATAAACAATATATCTTTTCTTTTAAGTGCTCTTTCTGTGGCCAGCTCTTCTCCGGCCCTGATGTAGTGAATTGATTTTCCAACGGAATCCTCGTCTATTGAAATAAAGCGAAATTTCAACCCTCTCCTTACTCCAATCAGATACAAGTCATCCCCGAGATCTATATCCATGGAACGTAATTTTTTTCTGATTATTTGATGAATTCCATCGACACCTAGGTGTGGGTAATAATTGAGTTCGAACTTAAGCACTTTCTTGTCATCACCGTGAAATTTAACATGAAGAGGTTGTGGTGGGCCATATACGTGATTATTTCCATTAGCTACACCAGGAAGTATCTCGTCTAGTTCATAACTTGGAAGGACTGTTTCTGGAATACTATTGGAGTCATCTGCGCTATCTAATGGGGTATATTTGTTAGGCATCGGTATTTTAGTTTACTGTTGCCAAGAAATAAGTGTATTCTTAATCTAATGTGTAAACTAATTCTAATAGTTGAAAGTGATTTTCCTGCGAGATATCAGAAGAAACAACGCATAGAGAGGGACATCTATTTTTGGTATGTGCTTACTTAAGCGAGAAGGATGTCAGATAGAGAAGAGAGACTCTACAATTTGCTGCAATTCTGTAATTCAATAATTAGTCTAGCTGATGGATGAAATGTATGTACGTTCCATCATAACGTTTTATGCATAGTTCGACGGAAATGGAAAACAGATGTGTTGCAGTACATGCGGGGGGGCTGCAAAAAGTGCGTTAATTCGCTACAAGTTCGTAAACTTGAACGATTCGTAAAGGATTAAGAATGTAGAAATAATAGTAACAAACAAGGAAGTTATTTCTGCCAAACGAATTTTAGCAAGTTGGCTGCAGCAATGGTGTTCTTCTGGTGAGTATCAATTTCATATCCTTGGGTAACGATATACTGTTTGTAAAAGATCAAAAATCACAAGATCAGTCGAATTTCGACTCTGAAATGCATGGAACCTGACTTGCATACGCCCATACAATGCTGAGCCAAGCATAACACCTTGGCGGCTGTACATCTGAAGTAATCATTGAATTATCGCAGTACAGAACAACTAAGTACTTATTGATATCAGAGAAAAGATCAAATAGTCAAAATTGATGGGAACTAGTTTCCCACTATCTGGTAAGAGTCTCAATTCTGCTACCATGCTTTGTAAAGTAATATAGTTGTGATTTGTCTAGACCAAATTTTTGCAAATCTGATCTCACTATATCGAGTTGTGATAGCAAATGCTCCTTGAATTGATTTCTTTATGGGCTTACGGGAAATAAAAACACACTTTGAGAAGCTTTTATTGAAAAACTAATTACCGGGTAGCTAAATATCTAATAATAAAAAAGAAAAGTATAAAGATGATAATAATGCATGATAGCATAAATATAACTCCCCAAAAATCTGCGCTCAGTATTGATTTTGCTATGGCCAGCTCTTTCCCTTCCTTGAAGTAGTGTATTTCATCTCCAACTGCATCCTCGTCTATTAAAATTAAGCGAAATCTCAGATTTTCCAATTCTCCAATCAGATATACTTCATCCCCGAGATCTATTCCCATGGAATTCAATTTGGTTCTAATTATTTGATGAATTCCATCGACACCTCGATTTGGATAATAATTGAGTTTGAGTTTAAGCAGCTTAAATAATACATTGTCATCAGTATGAACTTCAACCTGAAGGGGTTGTGGTGGGCAATACACGTGATTATTTCCATTACTTGCACCAGGAATAATCTCGTCTAGTTCATAACTTGGAGGGACTGTTTCCGGAATACTTGATGAGTCCTCTGCGCTATCTAATGGGGTATACTTGTTAGACATCGGTATTCTAGTTTACTGTTGCCACGAAATAAGTATATCCTTAACCTGACATATAAAATAAAAATTCTGATATCTGAAATTGATTTTCCTGCGTGATATCAGAAGAGATAGCAAATAGCCAAGGGTCTCTAATTACCAAGTGCGAAGAATGTATAGATAGATAGAAAGGATTCTCAATTTATTGCATTTGTAGCATTTCTGCGATTCAAAAACTTCTCTGGCACTTAAATGAAATGTATGCGTGCCTAGATAGCATTCCGTACATAAATCAGGGGAAATAACAAAGAAGTGCGTCTCAATATTAGAAATAGCGCGTCAACTCATGGTTCTATCATGGCCCGACTTCACTAAGCCACTAAATATGAAAACCAAAAGGATTGTTTGGGCCAAAGCAAAAGTGGTCATATGAAGAAGCAATTGCTGCAGTAACTTTTATGATTCCTCTCTTTACTGCTCCGGTAAAGTCCTGCACTTCACTTTATCTGCTTGGTCTGTAGTACTGAACATGTCCCTGCAGAATTCACATAGAGCTTCACTTCCTTCCCTACTCCAATAAGGCGTACTTTTGTCTTCAGATTTAAAAGGTTCCATGGAGATCTCCAAATTCAACCTCCATGTGGCATTATTCTCTTTCGACTATTTTACAAATACTATAAATACTTTGGCGCTGTTAGTTCTTGGGTGCAAATTCTACCACCTCTATGCCAATTATAAAAAGAACTGTGCCATTCTTGTACTCCAATCTCAGCTTCAGTTTTTACCGGTGGCTATTCCCACATCGTTACACTTTCTATCATAGCACCAGTAAGTAACAGATCTGGAGAAACAGCATTGTGGTTTAAGCTTTCCAGCTTCCATTACTGTGAAGCTTTGCTTCCTTGCATATTTACGCACCAGAATATTCTCTGGTATTTATGGATCAATATTTCCCACTCCTAAGCTGAGGCTCACTTATACAATACAGGTTTTAAGCCATACGGCGGCATATATTTTTGCTTAATTGTTTAAGTGACTGTTCATACAGCACTTTGCAATTATATTTCGGGTGATGCTTAGGCTCAGTCTTGTAGAAGTAAGCCTTTCAGCGAGAGGTTGCACATCGTTAAAAATAAAGGTGGCTCAAAAGCTTAAATTGATGTAGTGAAAAAATACTCCAATAAATAAAGTTGCAATTTGCAGCCTTTCTAACTGACTCAACAGATTGTTCTTCTACATTTTTACATACGACGTGAAGTAAGAAATATCCTTTTGATTTCGACTAGTGGAAATTATGTTTTATTTTTAGGCATAAATGGAAGAATAGGTTAGATCTTATGTCTCATGCAGACAGAGTATATTTTAACCGACCGTTTGTAAGTACTTAGATCTATTGCTGCAGTTCGAATAGTTTTGTAATGACTAATATAATGAATAGCATCGTACATGCTACTGCCATATACTGGTAATTCCTTGCCAGATCTAGAAGCTGTAATTGTTTGGTAATTTCAGCAGCATCTTCAGGTTTATAGTAGTGAAGTTCTCCATTCCAGAACTCTTTGTCCGCCATAATCACTCGGAAGCCATATCTTTCCCTAACACCAAACACATACTCTTCATCGCCTATATATATATCTAAGTCAGTCAATCTATTTCTGACGGCTCGGTGCATCGTTTGCACTTTTAAGTCTGGCACATTTTCCACCTTGAATTTAAAAGATTGGAAACTATACCGGTGAAAAGTTACTGTGAACTCATGATCTACGGCACTTATTCGCTTTTCACCAAAAGAAAGCTTTTCCAGCTTATTACTTGAGACTTTAGTCATTGGTCTGAATTGAAGATTTCTCTAATCTCTCTTCCAATGACTATTCACTTGGAAGAATGACTCCAGTTTATTCTTTACTAATCCTCCTAAGATGTGACCCATTGTCATAGTATCTTGGCTCCTGTATATAACATTATATCCTATCACTTCATAACCATTAAAATTTTTCGTGTTGCTTGACTGTTCACCCAAAATAGTTGGAAACCATACAGCCAAGAACGGTTAAAAATTGTGCAGCAACGCAATTTGCAGCAATTTGTGGTTAGTATTACACTTAAAGGTATACTGGGATATAGACGGCCCGCGTCTGATTGCATATAGCTGTATATGTGGGTTATATATTATCTGGATGGGAATAAATGTACGTATATAAAGATAAAATTCTAAAAAAATTCGTGTTTGCCTTACTAACGGTATGTGGCAGTTATAAAGAAAGTATTGCTACCAAGCCAATCTTATCAAGTTGGTTGCAGCAACGGTGTTCTCCCAGTGAGTACCAATTTCATATCCTTAGACAATCGATTAACTGTTCGTAAAAGACTAAAATTCAAGATCGGTAGGATCCCGACTCTGAAATGCATGGAACCTGACTTGCATACGCCCATACAAATTGAGCTTCAAGCTCCAGGTCCAGTGATAATAAACAACTTAAAAAGTTACTCTATTGATATAACCTCACCTAGTACAAATTTTATTCCAGAAGATGCCATTCCATTCAATCGTGACAAATTCTCCGTTAAAGTAATAGATTTGCCAGGAGTAGAGTTTTCATTTTATTGGCTCCCACTCAATATTTCGTACACCTCTGCGAGCCAGAAGCAAATGCACTTCAAGAAGAAATTATTATTGCAAAACAACATTGATTTCAGAATTTGTAATTATGATGAACTGAGTTTAACCTACATGATAGTTACTGAAAATGTTCCTTTAACTTCCCCAGTATCAACTAAAATTCTTTGGTGCCTACTGAGATGTATTCCAATTGTCAAAATTGACTGGCTAGATCATGTCATATCAAATGGCGAGAATATTAAGAATTGGTATTCAAATGAAGTATACCTTAAGAAGTATTGTCCGGGCCCCAGTTTTGAAGTCAATCCTGAAAGGAAGAAGCTCTTAGTTGGAACGCTAATTATATCATTTGCAAAGGATTTCTGGTCTTCTTTACTTGAGAATATGGGTGCAACTGTATTTGAAGTTGACCTATTGAAATTTTGCAACCCTACCGATACCGAAAATCAAATGGTTGACGAATCGTTGTTATTAAATGAAGTTCATAGGTTGGTACACAATCATCTCAGCTCCTGCTACTTTTTACAGATATCAGCACTGTCATTAAAGCATCACCTGGCTGATTTCATTAATTCAACAAACTCCATAATTCAAAACATATCTGCATGCTTTGGAACAATTCCATTAAGCTCCAAACAAATCGAAATTTCCCTATTAGAAGTTAGTTTAAAAGAAGTCCTCTTTTCTACCATTAATACAACAAAAGAATAGAGAAATCATATCTGTAGAATTTTTAAACTTATCCTTTGGGCGATAGAGTTATTTAGTTAAATAATTATGTAGCGAGTCTACTCTAAACTTTTTAGAAAGTCCAACCCTATGGGATATTTGAGAATTGTTCGTCTTGGAGCATAAAGAAGCTAATGAGACTTTAGCCTTCTTCGGAATTGTCACCTTAGTAACTTTTATTGAAGAAGTTCCTTTAGATTGTCTTTCAGAAGTTTCAGTATCAAAATCTGGTGAGATATTCTTTGCAGTTGACTCTTTAGAAATAGCTGGCACTAAATCAATCTGCTTATATTTAGTGCTATTAGGAGCTTCTTTTTGGGCTCCCTGTATGACACTAGTTGCTGGGACAGAGTGGTCAAAATCGTCATGCGTTTGGTTGGGCACTTCATCGTGACTCCGTCGTATTTGGCTCAGAAGCTGTTCCATAACTTCAGTGCTAGGTATTATTATATCAGGTTCGTCTTCACTATCATCGATCAAATCAGGAGAGAGTGAATTGGTTGAGACAGGCAAATCCTCTATATCGTCTGCTTCATTGTAATCTCCGTCGGCATCTCTTTGGTGCACTGTTTCTTTTACTTCTTCTTCTTCTTCCTCTTCTTCTTCATTTTCCTGCGTATTATTGACACTTTCCTCCGGAATAACCTGTTTTTCATAGTTTAGTATACCACCTAGAATCAGATTCTGCTCAGGGTATGCTTCTAATTGAACTGCGGCGTTATCACTCGATATTCCTAGGGCATCTTTTGAACGTCTATCTTCGGTCACTATCTTCATCTGGATATCATCTTCGTTATCATCCTCACCAGCAATTTCTTCTTCATTTTCAGATTGAACTTTATCACTCTTCACACCGTCATTGGTGTGTGAAGTAGCCCTGTTCAACGTCAATGGTTCCCTCTGTGATTTCAGTTGACTCTCCTGGGAACTCAATAGCGAGCTCATACTCATTAAGTCAATCTTCTTACCCAATGGAGGTCTATCTTTCTTCTTATTCAATTCTATTTGTATTTCATCTTCAATTCTCTTTTTTTTAGTTGACCTACCAATCAAATCTAAGAAGTCTTCGCTTTCGTTATTGAGACCATGGATGTGAATTTTCGATTTCGGCCTCTTTTTAGGTAAATTTACATTGAATATCAGAGATCCAGATTGCTTATTAGGTTTCCTCGAGGAGGAAGAACTCATAATATCCCATAAGTCATTATCTATAGTCATTGGATGCTTATCCTAGGGTAATGAAGTATTACTATTCGAAATGTAAATAGTCCTGTATGTAGCAACCAAGATGTACACAGAAAAAGTCGTGATTATCCTGCATCTAATGCGCTTGCATACAGACGCGCATGCCAATACAGAGAGTACGTGAATAAAGAAACCTACAAGTGGTTCATACTTCTTCTACTTAAAGGGACCATTTATCGTTCGATCCGAGTTACCAAACTTTGGGTGCTTAGTATAGGTAATGTTTGGAAAATTTTCAAGAGTTGCAATTACACCAGAATGAAAAGAAGAGGAAACTAACGACGATGGATTGTACAAGAATTCTATATTTTTGAGCTTTGTTCCCACCCTAACACCCTAACCTACTTCTAACATATAAGATAATACCAGTCCCCTTGATATTGAACTTGAAATAGATTCGAGTTCATATTTTTGGGTTAGAACGCAATGTAGTTTACAAAAGGGAATGCGAGAGCATTTTTCAATCCAATGCTACATTGTCGAAGTTCCGGCAAGGTAATACTTATCCCAGAAGACGAAACAAGCGAGTTTCAAAACTGTTACTTACATGTTTCTTTTACATTTTGCTTTCAGTAGTTTCGTTTTATTTTGTTATTGTTTTGTTACAAAGCATTAGAAAAATCGTAAATTATTTGCTCAAATTTTGATTCTTCTGGAGTACTTTCCTTTCATCCTTGCAATAATTAGGCTAGACCTTAAGGTCTTGATCCAACGTGAACATTTAAACTTTCGCGTGTTAATTTTGCAGCAATGGGTTTCTTTTCTTTCCATGATAGGTGGTGATTCTTCAATAGTTGGCCAATACTTGTACTGAGTGAAGGAGGATTTGGTCCTTTCTTTTTGTATGTATGTCTCAAAGTAAATTAGCCCGAATTAAAGAAATACTAACAAGCAATTATTTTGCACCTTGTGCATTATTTAATCTCTGTTTTTAGCTTTCATAGTCACACACCTAATACAAACAGTGAAAAATTACTAGTATCTGGTATCTATTATTATTACTATTATTACTCTACTTTTAAATTACACAATTACACACTTAATACATGAAGAAGAATCTTCCTTTTCCGGTGTTGATGGAGTAGCATTTCTTTTGGCAGCAGGTGCAGATGCAGGTGCTGGTTTAACCTTTTCTTCGGTAGGTTTCTCTGGAGTCGCAACAGCAGTTGGTTCTTCACTTTTGGTTGAGACGAATTTACTTGCTGACTTAGTAAACGATTCCCCTTGGATTTTAGCAATTGCCAATTCGGTTTCGTTTGGTTGCTTAGACCCATCGGTACCAGCAATCGTACCAGCACCATATGGAGTACCACCGTGAATTTCATCAAAGTTGGTCAAATGTGGGAAAGCTGCACCATAACCTAACGGGATATAAATCAAACCATGGTGTGAAACATAGGTCAAAAACGATCTAATAGTGGTTTCTTGGCCACCTTGTTGACCTCCAGTACTAACGAATACACCTACTGGTTTATGGTATAATGAACCTTCCGCCCATAATTTTCCTGTTTTATCGAAAAAGTCGAGAAATTGAGCAGGTAAATTACCAAATCTGGTGGGGATACCAAACAAAAATGCGTCGTACTCGACTAATGTATCAACAGTCGCAATTGGAATTGAGGCATCCTTAGGTGGTGCGTGGATGGCAGCCAAGACATCTTCAGATAAAGTCTCAGGAACTTGGAAACGATCAACCTTAGTAGCCAATCCTGTTTTCTCTACACCTTCTTGAATAGACTTAGCTAAAACGTTGATGTGACCATAAGTGGAGTAAGTAATAATTGCTACCTTCATAATGCTAGCTGACTATACGTAGTATTTTTTATCCTTTAGATTAAAGTTTCAGGGTTTGACAGAAAAAACAGAAGGAAAATAAAAAGTTTCGAAGTTTAAACACGAGCAGTTACTTAGTCTTCTTTTATTTGAAGCAAAGAGTGGTCACGTTAAGACAGTATTAGTAAACAATTGTAAAAGAAAGGAAGATTGTCTAAAAATATGCTAATTCAATAATAAGCGCAATAATATATCTTTCTATACCCTTACTTAGCACTGCCAATATGAAATAGGCGCCCACAGAGTGAAAGTTTATAATATTACCAATTTTCTTACTAATTGGGAAGCTCGTTTACAGTAACGCCGGTCGCCGCACCCTGCTTCTACTAGCCTTAACTAACCACTTTACTAATTTCTAATGCAATTAGTAAATTTTCAGCAGCCGCACGCGCACCGTGGAAAGGTAAACTTGGATTTTACAAAACCCCTATAGGGGTGGAGAAATGGACATACAACATTTTATATAAATTGATACGGGAATCCTTTTAGTAAGAGAAAAAAAATATATTGTTTTAATCAATTCATTAGTTGTATTCACACTAGAACTAAACAATAAAAAAACAACAGAAATCACAATGGCTCCAAAAGTTGCAATTATCATCTACTCCATGTACGGACACATCGCTACCTTAGCTGAAGCTGAAAAGAAGGGTATTGAATCAGCTGGTGGTGAAGCTACTATTTTCCAAGTTCCAGAAACTTTGCCAGAAGGTGTTTTGCAAGCTATGCATGCCGCACCAAAGCCAGACTATGCAGTTGCCACTAATGCCACATTAGAAGAATACGACGCATTCCTCTTCGGTATTCCTACCAGATTCGGTAACATGCCTGCTCAATTCAAGGCTTTCTGGGATGCCACTGGTGGTCTTTGGGCCAAGGGTGCTTTACACGGTAAGATTGCTGGTATTTTCGTTTCTACTGGTACCCCAGGTGGTGGTCAAGAAACTACCGTCGTTAACTCATTATCCGTATTAATCCACCACGGTATCATTTTCGTTCCATTGGGTTACGGTACTGCTTTCCCATTGTTAACCACCTTTGACGAAGTTCACGGTGGCTCTCCATATGGTGCTGGTACCTTCGCAGGTCCAGATGGTTCAAGACAACCAAACAAGACTGAATTGGCCATTGCTGAAACTCAGGGTAAGGTCTTTTGGGAAACCGTTTCAAAATAAGCGTGAATTCGGTGTGAAAATAAAATAGATAGATATAATCTAAATAAATGGTGATGAATGGGAAAAACGACAAAAAAAGGAGTAGAGTTTCTGTAGATGTAATGAAGGGTTCAATCTTATGGAAAGAGAGCGGTCTATTTGATTTAAGCTCTGCAACAGTTCTTAATATAATGCGACATTATGTAATAAAAGACAAAACTTAAATGCTTAAGAGAACAGACAAATCGCCAAAACAATCCAAAACTGCAAGTGATGCAGAACCCTTTTCATGAACCTTCACTTCTTCCCTGTTATCTACTTCAGACTCGGAGTATAGCATGTCTGCAACCGACAAAGAAATTCCGGCTCTACGGTGTTTCAAACCCCAGTGTGCGTCGCTAAGAGTCCCACATTTGCGGAGTTAGAGACCCCTACATCTACAGTATATCAATTTAAAGGTAGCTGTAATAATACTAATCTAATTAGGGCAGCCTGCTTACTATGGTGCAATTCTGACAACGTTCCAATCATCTTCTATGTTCTCTCTTCTGAAGCACAATCTATCGTGCAATCTACTCATCCCACCTTGCCAGAATTCCACTTCTAATGGTACTATTCTAACACCACCCCAATACTCCGGGCAGGGGATCTCAGCATCATCCACATTTGCAAATTTTGTTTCATTCTTTTCGTAAATTTCATTTAAGTCTTCTCTGCTGTCGATCACCTGAGACTGTGGGGAAGACCATGCACCAATTTTTGAACCACGGGGTCTAGTAGCAAAGTATCTGGCTGAAGTTTCAATGTTTACCTTTTCCATAATACCTTCAACTCTGACTTGACGCTGTATATGTGGCCAGAAAAATGTAAGAGATGCAAACTTGTTCAGTTCATAATCTTTGGCTTTTTTACTTTGATCCCAGTTGGAATATACGATAAACCCGTGAGTGTCTAATTCTTTGAAAAGAACGACTCTGGATGAAACTCTACCGGATGGTAATCTGGCAGTAGAAAATGTGGTAGCTTCTGGAATTATGTCAGAATCCTTGGGTAACGCTTTCCGTGCCTCATCGAACCACGTATGGAACTGAGCTATTGGGCTAGATGCAAGATCTTTCTCGTTGAGAGAAGATTTGGTGTACTGGTAAGTCTCTGGAGCAAAAATAATTGGCTTTTCGGTGGACATGGATAGAGATCTGGTTATGGCTCGGTTTACTGATGCGAAAGGAAGTGATTTGAGTCTACAAGGAGGCATAGAGAATAAGATTGAAAAGATTAAGATATAAGTAGTTATATGTGTAAGCTGAAAAATTACCATCACCGCTTTCCGCGGGAAAGTGAGCGCATATTTCCTATTTTGAGTCATCAATTTATTTTGTTAGTCTCATGATCAGCAGGTTGCAGCAATAGTTAAACAGGTTTGTAGAGTGATAGTAGGTACAATTATCGTTCATCGTGTGACAATATATTTGTGAGCAATACTGTCACGAGTCATTTCAAGCGAATAGTTTTTTCCAGTTTTGATTGGGGTATCTTTTTCACAGTTAGTGTACCATTATCCATAATTCGCAGCCATTACTTAGTACGTACATATCGATTCACTAATTCTGTTATTTAGTAAGTCAAATATCCGTGTGTACATTTATCGTAGACAGTGTTCATTATATTCTATTTACATGCTGCCAAAATACTGTACTGAACTCTAGTAATACTTGTTTCCCTTTTACTACATACTCTCCTCCGTGATTTAGGTACCTAATTGTAGTTTCGAATACAGCTTTTACAGAAATGAATTCGTGATTAGTTTTCGTTATTGTCTTCAACAAGGTCATCATCCTCGTCTTCGCTTTCAAATCCGAAAGAAAATCCATTAGATTTCTCTAATTGTATCTTCTCCCAAGCTTCGCTCTTTCCGGGGCCATTATTGGCCTTCTCTAGTTTGTTTAACTTTTTTAATCCTTCGTTCAATTCATCTTCTTTACCATTTTGTTTCATCAATTCTGAAAATAATTCAAATATTGGCATAGAAGGTAAACTTGAAATCTCTCCACAATCTTCATTTTGAAGTTCCAATGGTAACTTTTGGAATTCTTTGGTGAATTCGTACAATTTTGAAGTAGGATCCTCTATTCCATTAGATAATAAATCTTTGATGGTATTGTTGACGTACTTTGGTTTGAACCCACTAATTTGGTCACCTTTATTTTTAAAAAAATTCAATGCATTGTGAAGCTTTGGTGGTGGTACAAAGTTCTGAGTTAAGGCTACACTGTCGTCCAAATTGATAACCAGATGCCACCATCCAGAAGGTACGTACATACATTCTCCAGGAAAAGTGATACCTATCTTACATTCAGGTATCTTAATGCTGTCATTAAAGAATCCCAGAATAACCCACTCTGCTATACCTACAGGTGAAGTGACTTCACTTTCTTCATCATCTGTACCAACTCCTGGAGGTGTAATATCACCTGGAAGCATTATCCAAAGCTTTCTTCCTGTAAGCGCTGTGTTCCAAGCAGAAGTATAGTTTGGGTCCTTGTGAAATGTAGACCCAGACCTTTTGGGCCCTACGATTAACCAGGCATGATCAGGACGGCAGTTGCTAGAATCTTTGCTGTCAAATACTCGAAACAAATCCTGCTGAAATATCTCTGGAGCAGTGTACTCTTTCTGCAATTCCTTCATGGCAACACTACTACAATCAAACAAGTACAATGGGTTCTCATCTTTATTGTTTTGAAGGTATTCTCCATACAATGAAAGTGGCCATTGAACAGATTCTTGTCTGAATCTTACATTGGGGAATCTTTCCAACAAACTCTTCAAATCCCATCTGGGCCATCTTGATGCGGAATCATTGGTTAAGATAAATGGCTTGTCGTGCCAATTCAAATTGAATTCTGGTATCGTTAAGTAGCTCTCTTGAATTCTTGCCAATCTTCCACTGGGAACCGAATCGTAAGATGTTATATTAGGCTGCTTAGATTCATCCAACGAAAGCTTATGGAAGAGTTTGTCATAGTCAATATTACTACACTGGAAAGGTCTATATAAGATATCTGAGCAAAGCTCATTGTCTACAAGTTGTAGCTTACATTCAGCTTTTTCGTCAAGATGAAGTACTGTACAACGCCACGAACCTCTCCAAGTCGTCATGGTTTCTTCCTCCAGTTCTTGGTGAACCTCTTTGGTGCATAGCTTCCTCCATATCTCTTCATCGTACAAGAATGCATATAAGAACCTAGATGTAAGAGATAAGCGGTGTAAGTCCTTTCGATCATCTATATAGGACAAAAGTGTCATGATTAAGTCATCTGGAAACCTAGCAAGCTTCCCCAAGTTATCTTGCCTTGACCTTACAAAGCTATCATCGCTTTGTAGTATGGAGTTTCCCGATGGCCTGACATTCAATGGGTGCCTTGAAGATACAGAGTAGAGAGAAACAGCAAAGTTTGAGTCCGAATTTCCGGCACTGTTGGATGAACCTACTAGTCTATTAGTTGAACGTTCTACTTGGCTAGTCTCAAACAACATCCTTGATGATAATATGCCAGAGTTCATGTGCTATTGTGGAGATGAGCTGTATGAATATGTATGATGAAAAATAAAAAAAAAAAAAAACTCATGCGCATCATGAAAATGCATCGGTATGATGGTTCCTGTCTGTCTACATGGAGATAGTACGATCCAAATGTATATTATTTACAGCACCATTTCTGAAATCTGTGCAGACCACTCAAAATTTCAAACTTACCACTCTCTCTGTCTATAGTTGGGCCAAAAAATAAAAATAATCCGCACCTTGAAAGTGCATCGGTATGGTTATTTCTGTCTACATGGAGAGAGTAGGATTTTAATATATATATTATTTACAAGCACCTTTTCAGTAATCCATGCAGACCACCCAAAAGATATCACCTTCTATGTATGCACTATCAAACTTACCGCTCTCTTTTGTCTATAGATGGGTCCTAATTTGTTCTCCTCTTGGTATATCTCCGTCTATTCGTGGGTGTTTTTCTTACGAGTTGAGGTTTCTGTTCGCACCTCTCTATTTTAAATAGTCCTTTCTGGTCTTCTTAGCAATATGCTCCAAGCTATACTCTAAGGGCTTCTCTCTCTTTGGAACCCATTCCTTGGCCTTTAATTTCATTTCCTCTTGTGTTAAGTATTTCCCAGGATACAAAATTCTTTCGTCTACGGGATCCAAATCTGCTTGTTGTTCCGAAACTTCTGGGGTTTTTTCTCTTTTCAATCTCTTTAAGAAATCACGGATCTCTGCAAAGCAGTTCATACACATGAAATGGGATCTTTTGAAGTGACCACATGCTGGACAACGTACCAAATTTGTCATATGCTTAATTTGTTTAGATCCAGCGGAAAGAAAATTGATTCTTGTTCTAGACTTGGAAGGTCTCTTTTTAGGTGCTGCCCATAATATTCCTATATCTTGCAACGATTGTTCGATAACTGCTGAAAACTTTTGAAAGAATGGATTTAATTGGGGGAATTTAATTACGAGGGAGGGTAATTTTGTCGCATTAAGAATATGTGAAGAATGCTGGAATGATGATTTCAAGGCCACAGACATGATGTGAGGTGCTGCTAGTGGATGATATACGATTGTAAAGTGGTTCTGTTCATCAACGGTTCATTTGAAAAGTTTTCTTTGATCAAAAAAAGTGAAAAAAATTGAGGTTATGATGTCATGTGATTTGTGTCACGTGTGTGGATCAGATGCTGCACATGGAGCAGTAGGAGGATAAAGAAGTCTAAAGCAGTGCTCTACAGTGGTACAGTTCTAGGCACAGCTGCTAGTGTAAGTTCACATTGTTCTATCATCTCGCAGCTCTGCTTACTGCCTTGGATTCGATTGTTCCCTCGTTAGAGCAGGCTATACGGAAATGCTAGGGAGCACTCATAGTAACTTCACTTAAGGTAGCAACATGGCCAGTAAAATTATCCCAGACAATAACTACACCAGTACTGTAGGAATACCTCCTTGGTCTTATCAGCTACCTTCCATTCCATGCTTCCCCTCCATCAACTGCTCAACTGCCCTCTATCAGCTCTCTTCCCTCTCTACCTCCAACCTATCGTTACAACCTGCATATACCCCGAGAATGTAAAACATCTTTGTTCCACTTTGTTACACAAACGCGCGTTTCTATTTTCGTTTTGCTCATTTTTTTCAATTTCAGCAGGAAAACTCAAAACAAATCGAAAACGTAAGCAATACGAAACACAAGTAAGACAAACTCTGTTCATTTTGATTAATATAAATAGGTATTCACTATTAAGATGTCATTTGAAGAAAATATTGCACAACCACAGAAGTATGTTGGTTTCGATACCATCACCACACAAATTGAAAACCGTCTTTTGAAAAGAGGCTTCCAATTCAATGTTATGGTGGTTGGTAGATCAGGGTTAGGAAAATCTACTTTAGTCAACACATTATTTCTGTCAAATTTAACCCGTTCCAATGGTCGTCATTCAGCTGCTGAAGCAATTGAAAAGACTACCGAAATTAAGGTCCTGCTGCACGTACTTATGGAAAACAATGTTAAGTTGAATATAAACGTCATTGATACTCCAGGATTCGGTGATCAAATCAATAACGAAAAATGCTGGGAACCCCTTGTAAAATATATTAAGGAACAGCATTCCCAATATCTTAGAAAGGAATTAACCGCGCAAAGAGAAAGATTCATTGTAGATACCAGAGTGCACTGCATCTTGTATTTCATTTCTCCTCATATTAAGGACTTGAATGAATTGGACGTGGTTTGCTTGAAGAAATTAAGTGAAATTGCTAATGTAGTCCCAGTTATTGCCAAATCGGACTCATTGACATTGGATGAAAGAAGCGAATTAAAGAAAAACTTGCAAAATTCATTTTCCAAGTACAACTTCAATATTTACCCATACGATAACGATGAACTTTACGACGACGAAAGACAACTTAATGAGGATATTAAGTCATTAATCCCATTTGCTATTGTAGGAAGTGAAAAGGAAATCGTCATTAATGGGGAATCTGTCAGAGGTAGAAAGACTAGATGGGGAGCTATAAACGTTGAAGATGTTTCACAGTGTGAGTTTGTATTCTTAAGAGATTTCTTGACTAGAACTCACTTACAAGATTTGATTGAAACTACAAGCTTGGTTCACTACGAAAGCTTCAGATCTAAGCAATTGATTGCTTTAAAGGAAAATGCTAGTAACCCCAACAGGCAATCCAGTGCATTGCAATCTACAACTACCACTGCTGCCGCTGCTCAGGAAACAAACGGTCAGGTTGGTCCTTCCTTGTCTGCTGCTCAAATAGCTTAAATGCGAAAGCAAAACATGAAAAGTGTGGAACGGAAAGCTGAAGGCTGAAAGGTAAAAATGAGAAAGGAAGTGTGGGTTTCCCGTGGCTTCCCCGTATTTAGTTTAGAACTAAAGTAGTGAAATAAAGGTGAATATCTAGGGTAAATAAGATTGATATGAGTAGTAGGGCCTAGTTAAGAGGAAGGCAGAGAAAAGCAAAGGAAGAAGCAGATAACTCAATACACAATGGTCTTTGTATAGATTTTGCTGCTTTCAACTTAACGATAGTTTTTAACATGGAACTGCATTATGTAAGGTACACCTAGTGCATCAATTTTTCAACTGTACGACTGCTCACATATAACTGGCAGCATGGCTCTCCACAAGGTGGGCTAGATATTTCAAGATCAGTTATCACCTTGTGTGTTCTAGAATGATCTCTTCTCTTGGCTTTTATTCCCAGTGACCTCAATGTCATCATTTCCAGACTTATCTCATCCTAAAAGCTAGCAGTGACTCGCTAGAGCTTAATCAGCTAGTTAATCCTATTTGTCAGTTTTGTGTCACTTTGTTTCGTTTTTTGTAATCAATTTGTAAATTCGCATGTAGTTTGTAAATTTAGGTAAGTTTTTTCCCGCCGTGCATAGTTTGATGTGATATTAAAGTCCGAAAGGAGTATACACAGGATTTTTACGAGATTTTTTACGCAATTATTAGTAAAACCAGTTGATCGGTTGGAAAATTATACATCGCTTGCTGCGAGTTTCACATAAGCATTAACAAATCGGTTCGAGAAGTATCTGGTATTTTCTGTGAGTAAACGGCTGAAGTATCGAAAGTATAAATATTTTCTGGGGTATATAAGGAAGTGTTGAATTCCATTAAGTTGAGATTTTCATTTTTTTTTAAGCATCAAACAAATACATTTAACACTTGTGTAGAAAGTAAAAACATATACTTTTATCACAAGCTAAGCTAAACAAACAAACAAAAAAACAAGAAAGAACTATTCAAATGACTTACAGAACTGCTTTAAAGGTTGTCTCCGCAATTGAACAATCTGAAGGTGTTGGTGCTAGAGTTAGAAGATCTATTGGTATTTTAAACAATAGAAACTTCAACCCATTCTTGATGCTCGATCATTTTAAGGTCAGTCCAAAGGCTGGGTTCCCTCAACATGGTCACAGAGGCCAAGAGACTATTACTTTGGTCTTGAAAGGTGCTATTGCTCATGAAGATTTCACTGGTTCTAAGGGTATTTTGTACCCTGGTGACTTACAATTCATGACTGCTGGTAAGGGGGTTGTCCATTCTGAAATGCCAGTTAACTTGGATGGAGATCAGACTACAATGGTAGAAGGTATGCAACTTTGGGTTGATTTACCTGAGCTGTTGAGAGACACTAACCCAAGGTACAGAGATTTAAGAGCTTATGAAATTCCTGAAGTTGTGCAACAAGATGGAAAGGTCAAAGTTAAGGTTATCTCTGGTGAACTGTATGGCGTAGAGCTGGCACATGATTTAGCGTACACTCCAGTACAATATTATTATGCAACTTTGAAGCCAAAAGGTGTTTACACTCAAAAGGTTCCTCAAAACTATAACTTCTTTGCATACGTCTTAAAGGGTGAAAAGGCTGTTGTGAATAAAGATACAGTAGTTCCACAGTATCACAATGCATTCTTCAATCAAGATGGTGACACTATTGAAATTTCCAATGAAGGTAGCGATGAAGTTGAATTAGTTTTGATTGGTGGTGAGATTTTGAATCAGAAAACTGTTCAACATGGTCCATTTGTAGCTGATTGTCAAGAAAACATCTACAAGGCATTCTCAGATTTCCAGTATGGAAGAAATGGTTTTGAAAAGATGAAAACTTGGAACTCATTGATCTCCGGTGGTGTTACTGTTGATATGATTGACGAATTAGGTGGAGGAATCGAAAAGAGAAAGGAGGATGAAAGAAAGTACTTAGAAAGTAAGAAGAAAGAAGCTGAAACTGTATGAACGAGAGAGGAAATCCGTTCCAAATTATGATTGATTTAACCTGGCACAATTTTATAGACAAAATAACACATTGTATGAACTGAAAAACTCATTTATTGTAGAATTTTATTAGACGTTAGTGATGTCTTGAGAGATTAAATAATATTTTTCATGATCTGGAAATTACACTTACTGTAAATCTGTTAGTAGTAGCTTTATAGACCAATAACATGTTGTATGATCCGAAATGGCGGTTTGATTGCAGAATTTATTAGTAATTAGTGTATTGTATGAAGGAAGCTGTAGTTTCAGCACTTTCAAGCAACACATTGTACCAACTAAACGAAGTCGTAGAGTTTAATGGAACAGACATATTCTGGTGAAAGAGTGACAGAATCTTAGTGCAGCAATTATCGGCATTTGAAAGGTAGCTTATATAGGAGCATGTGGTATGTTATACGGGTGAAAAGAGTTCCTCGGGAAGGCATTCTAGAGAGAAAAAGGCCAAGATTCTAAGATTCTCGAGTAGTACACAATCCGTGTATCGGGGTGATCAAACCTGTATTTAATTGTTTCTGTAATTGACCCTTTTAACCAAATAATATAAAATTTGAACATATTCCAGTGCTGGTCAAATCAACAGTTTAGGAGCTCTACAAGTTTTAAGATGCAGAAGATGTATAAGAATGAAGAATAAGAAGTTGTAACACAACGACGCTATTCAATGTTCCGTATGTGCTACAAGTTTTAGCGTTTTCCTATTGTTAAGGTTTTCTATATCTGCAGCTGATCTGGTTCAAAGCTCTTAACGCACCAAAAAATAGAACAAATGGTTACATGACGGAACGCAAGTATTGTTAGTAAAACGACTTTGAACGGACAAAAAGAGTCTTAGAGAGAACTTCAGTATTGCTATTTTATCCGTACAGCAACAAAAAAGCGGAGTAAACGTGAACGATGTAGACCACCAGAGCTCCTTGGAGCAATTCAACTTTTTTCTTATTGTTTTGGTTTACCCTTCTGGATTAATGTTGGGAAGAAAATTTAAATGTGCCCACTCTCTCCCCATCATGTACACCTCGCATGCGTGCGCAGCGCACCCCACACGTACATAATTCTCGACAGTTTAAAGTTACTCTACGAAAAGCCAGGTGAGGTAAGCAAAGGATGTAGGTTCAAAGCCGGCCAAGCTGAGCAAACTATTGCCAGCAGTTCTTTCTTCTCTCTGTCCCCTGCTGCTGGAATTCACTTCGAAGTGTCCCTTCCCTCTGCCGCCCTACCCTTCCCTACAGCTCTACCTGCCAACCAAGATTCAGGCTTCCCTGCCAACATGACACAAAATCAGTTCTTGTCCCAATGTAAACAACAACTTCGCAGTGGCACTACCTTTTTAGATAAGATCCCCCTAATTAAACAATTTTTGCTAGTAAAATTCACCCCTAAATCAGTGGCATCAGGAAAGTGAGCCGTTTGTATCACGATTTTCGTGTAGCAAATATACTGTGGATGTAGTGCCGGATCATTTCCCACATTCTTAAAATATTATCCTTACGCTTCTTTCTGTAATTGGAAGGTTCCGTTTTTCTTTTTTATTCATATATAACTTTATAATATACTTGACACCAATCAGCAGTTTCTACGCTCTGTGATCCTAAGTACTACATTAGTTTTTACATATTCCTATGACCGCATTTATTACTCTTTTAACCAATGAATCCTATTTGCCAGGAGTCTTGACTCTTGGTAAGGCATTGAAGCACAAATACCAATCCACTTACAAGTTGGCCATCTTGGTCAACTCAGATTCGCTTTCGAAGGAATCCGCCGAACTTATAGAGTCTGTTTACGATGATATCATCGACGTTGGTGACAAGTTGATCTACTCGTCTGTGGAAGAAGTCGATACCAAGTTGGGAAGACCAGAATTGGCCGTTACCTACAGTAAGGTATTGCTTTGGTCATTAACTCAGTACGATACCCTTATCTACTTGGATGCAGACACTTTACCCTTGGCAAACTTAGATCATTTATTTGATGAGCACAAGGACTTGTTACTGACCCAGGTAGTTGCTTCTCCTGACGCTGGTTGGCCAGATATTTTCAACTCCGGAGTCTTGATTTTGAAGCCGCTGACTGATACTTTCACCAGCTTAGTCAAGCATATTGAGACTGAAGAGACTCCTTCCTTTGATGGTGCTGATCAAGGTTTACTTAACGAATTCTTCAACTTGAAAACCAAGGGTTCTAACTGGAAGAGGTTACCATTCGTTTACAATGTCACCCCCAATGCATCATATCAATATACTCCTGCGTTCGACAGATTTGCCGGAGACATTAAGTTGGTTCACTTTATTGGATCAGTAAAGCCATGGAATGCTGACTTTTTGCTTCATGGCAACTACCAGGCACAAGCATCTCTCTACGACGTCCATAAGTTATGGTGGAGTACGTTCCACGAACATTTCCCCGGTGAAATTGGAGCCAAGATCTTGAACGTCAAGGGTGAAGGTTACTCTTTGAAATTCGGAAAGAACAAGAATGTGTGGGATGACGATGCTGATACCTCAGTGGGTGGATCGACTGGTGGAATTACTGATGAACCAATTGCCCCAGTCTTCCCATGGGAAGAGAGAGAGAAGAGACACCCAACAAGAACCTTTACACCTCCACCTTATGGCGAAGAAGCTAGCGAAGAAGGCGAGCAGGACAAGCTTCACGATGAGTTGAAGAAATCAATTGAAACTCTCAATCTCAAGACATCTTCAGGAAGCAAGGCCGGATCATTGAAGGACAAGTACAATATCGATCTGAGTGAGGATAACAAGTGGGATCCGACTGCTTCATTGAATGAAATTGCACAATTACCTTCCAAGTTGTTGAGCAAGAAGAGAGAAGAAGAAAGTAAAAAGTAGGCGAACATCGTTTAGAGATCTACTGGGACTACAGGGTGAGTATACTTCAGTTTCCCTATTTCCTCTGGTGATCTTCCTCAAGCGGTTCCAGTCGATGCCTGAAATATGCATAGATGATGAGCTCACGTGACTCGTTTTACTAATGGGGTATCATATCTTTAAAGCTTTCTTTCCATGCGATTGCTCCTTTGACCGGTGTTTTTTTTTACAATCTGTATTGCTGTTTACTGTATTATTACTGCTACTTCCTTCTAGTCAACATTCCCTTACATCTGGGGTACTTACATAATAATATTCCCTTACATTTAGTATTTTCAATAGTTTTTGACGGCGTTTTATTCTTTTTTATACAATTTAATACATGTTTTTCCCACTATGAAGGACTTTCTATTGCAAGGGGAAGGAGCTAAGAAGGTATCATTGGACTAGTCCGGACTGCATAGAAAAAAACGCAAGCATCTAAAATTTGAGTGCAGCGAAGAGGAGAAGACAAGACTCGTAAGTCAATGTCGAAAATTTTGACCTAGTAACCAGAAGAAGATGTCATGTCAGTGCGTGGGGACTAGAACATCAGCACGGGTGGAATGATTTTTTCAAGAAATGTGGTAGGGTTAGGGACTTACAGCAATTTCTTTTTTTTTTTTATTTCGTTTTAATGATCCGGTAATTTCTTTCACCAATATCTCTTCGTGCATGAAAATACGGGAATGTCTGCTAATTAATATTGAATTGGTGGAGTCAAATTAAAAATAATAAAAAAATAAATTGTTAAGATAATCAATCAATCAAACTGTCAAGAACGTTGGTGTTATTTGAACCGAGTTGTCAACAGATTATCTTACGAGAAAGGGTTGACACTTGGAGAGAAAATAATTGATACAGAAAATAAAATTTAAGGTTAGTGTGGGTAAGATTTTAAAAACGTAATGTGTGAATAAGAACGTTAACTTGCAGGAAGAATTGGAGGTGGCCAAATGCTTATATCGTGAATAGTTTCCCTTTCGGCACTCTCGTGTATCAGGCACTTTCATTCTCATTTTGCTTTTGAATTTTTTTTTTTCTTTTTATTTTTTTTTTTTTTCGATTCTCTATTCTCGATGTGTCTTTTTGACTTTTTAGAGGGAATGTTTGTCTGCACCATAAATGTGCATGTCCTTCCGACAGTTTAAAATTTAATGACCGGCTCTCAAATTCATTTCACTGTTCGCCTTGTGTAGCACCCACCTAATATTAAACTATAATATTTTTACAGGTAATACGTGATAGAAGCTAGCGAATTTCATCTTTATGAGCCATTTCTCTCTTATTGTGACTTCTATGCATTTAGAGTTTACTGCGTTGTTGGATATTTTTCGCTTACTTACGCCATTTAATCTTTTGCCCATTCCTCCTTTTATTTCTATCTTATTGTGCATCTGGCATAAATACCCCGCCTCACTCTGAAATTATTTTTTTCTTGCGTAGGTTGAGGACTTTACAACATGCATGCAATCATGAAAAGTGACAATAATATGCACACTGCTTGGTCATTAACCTTTCTTACCAGGAATGCTGATTAGAGTTGAGGAAATTTGAAGAGAGCCCTATGTAAGAATAAATTATCGCCGCCCAAAGTGGAAGGTACCCTATCCGTAAGAGCGGTGATTTCATAGGCGAACCGTAGAACTGGCAGAAGCAAGAAAAAATAAAGGAACAAAGGTAAAGAAGAAAAACCCTAAGGTATAACGACAAAGTCAAGCCCAATTTATTTTCTTTCACACAGTTTTCCTGATTAAACTTTCGTATCTCTCTGAGGCTTCCAACTTTGTTTTTTTTTTTTTTTGTTTGAACAAAAGCATTTTTGAGCAGGTCTAAGGTTATTTTTTCAAGTATACATCTAGATTAAATTAATAATGCGGGTAATGACAAAAAAAATAAGCCAAATACAATAAGAAAATATTATTTTATAAAATATATGTCTATAGAATTTAGCGAACAAAATTAGCAAGTGAAGGGAAAATAGAAACGGTATTCGCATGTTATGAGCCCACTTAAGAAACAATCTAGCTAAGCATGGAAAGATAAACCTGATGTTACTAAATGAATATGTTCGCGAATACCTGACACAATCTTATATTTTTACTGACAGTGTCAAAAATGAACTAGACACTTTTCTGACGGTGTGTGGACCGCATTGGCTCTTTTAATTTTTGTGTCTGGAAGCGCGTCTAGTCTCAAAAGGGAAGTTGAGCAAATTAATTTACATATACCCACTTCCTTTTGAATACTTCATCGACACCTTCACATGACAGTTACATTGAACTGCTTAGCAGACATCTGTTTAATTCCAGTATGTATGACAGGGTGAGAGAGGTGCCCGTAGGCCAAAAAAAGTAAAGAGAAAAGACGAAGAAAGAATGGACCGTATACTAATGCCCACTAGATTGGAACTGGCTCAGCCTCCGTCTCTGACGAAATTGCGCTCATCACACAACTCGCAAGATCTAGCCATCTTCACTGCACCTTGCACAGTGCAGGCACCACAATTGATGGACCATGGAATGAAGTAATGGACCTTATCGGCCAAATGCATGAATTGGTGCATAAGAGTGGAGTAGTTAGAGTACAAAGTGATATCCGTGTTGGGACCAGAACCGACAAGAGCCAAACCCCTCAGGATAAGATTGATATCGTGGAGAAGAAAATTGCAGAGAAGCTGTAGGACTCTAACTTTGAGTGTAGTTATTAGATTTATAGTAAATAGTTCAAAAAGGAAAAAGGTCTCTAATGAACTTCTATATTATATTCTATGTATTATGTATGAGAAGGGTTACGTTTACTGGATATCTCCCCACTTCACTCTAATCAAAATAAAAATGTATTCTCCAAAAAACACCGTAATCTAAAAAACTAAAAATTAAAATAAAGAATGTGAAGATGAACAAGATAAAAGTGACTCGGGAGGAACTGCTTTCCAAAGATATAACATCTAGTACACTTGAGCTCCAGTTCACCAAACAATTTTTTGCATTTTGGCAGTGGAGTACTGCGCGGCAGCTCGCTTATCTTAGAAGCATCCCCCTTCCCTTCAAAAGCAGTGGAGTGCCTAGTAGTAGCCACTCATTTGGTTCTTGTAAGCATCTACCGGCTCCAGTGACAGTCTCGACGAAGAATACTCTTCGCCAAAGCCATACGCCACGTTATTATCGAAAACGGAATTGGCAGACTTGAAGTGTGGTAACGCTGGCTGATGCCCACCAGACTGGCCAGCTTGTGGCTGCAGCCTGTTTTGGCGAGGAGATCCTGCCTGATTGGCTGTAGTAGCCGCATTTTGCTGGGATTGTGAAACTGGGCCCTGACCATGCGCAGGGTGGTTATGGTTAGTAGGAGCAGGAGCCACCGATTGGGTGTTGCCCTGAAGATTTTGTGGTTGGTGCTGGGGCAATTGTTGTCTATCAAATGGTTTTCCAGAGGCACCACTGCTATTAGCAAGTAACGTTTGCACGTAAGGCTGTATGCTTACATTCTTGTAGTCTTGCTCGTTCGCCTTTTCTGTTATCTTGTATTCCTTTTCACACTCCTGTATCGTAACTTCATTAACACCAAATTGCAATGGGTTTCTGAAGAATAAGATCTGAATAGCCTCACGGCAGTCCTTGGAGGTGAAATTCTTGCCAGTAGCCTTGTTAAGCTCCAGAGCCAAAAATTCCCATTTTTCCAATTCTGCCAAATCTAACTTCATTCTTAAGATATCCTTGTCTTCGTTACCCCATGACAGAGAGTTGTTGTTCCCTTGTTGACCCACAATCACTTGGTATCTATTTCTAGCAGCCAAATAAGAGCCAACCTTCGATATTTCGGCAATTTCCACCCAGCTCTTACCCTTTTTCTTGAGCGCAACAATCAAGTCATCTTGCGCCTTGGTGAACTTGGATCTTCTCTTTACTCTCTTCTGATTGATCGAATAATTTATATCTGGTCTAATATCAGTTTTCGAGAGAGGAGGAGCTGGAAGAAGTTTTCTCAATGTTTCCTTAAAACCAGCATAGATGATGTTAGCATCTGGGTTAGCGAGGTGGTGTTGTTGCTGTTGGTGGTGGTGAAGGTGGGAGGGGCCAGCTGGATTACTACTATTGTTGTTATGCACATTCAATTGTGGGTGATGCTGGTGGGAACTTGCGCTTGCGGCTGCGTTTGCAGTGGGGTGTTGGAGATGCGCCGAGGTTGGGTGTTGGGCATGGTGTTGTAAGTGGTGAGTCACCTGCTGTTGGTGATGTTGGTTAGTGCCCATTTGCACTTGCTGCAGATCTGGCTGCTGGTACTGGCTAACAGGTGGTGGAGGGGGTTTCTGGCCGCCATAACCTTGGTTATACTGAATTGAGGAGTTTGGAATTAAAAGATAGTTGTTGACAGGTGCATATGTTTCGACCCATTGAGGTTGGGGAGGAAGGGCAGCTGCAGACTGGAATGGCTGCTGCATGATGACAGGAGAAGGGTAGTATCTCGTTTCATAGCCATAGCCATTAGCGCCTTGTTGTTGTTGGACGACAGCTGCAGCTGCAGCTTGTTGTTGCTGCTGTTGCTGTGTCATATGGCCAGGCTGACCTGGTTGCTGGAATTGCTTTTGATCTGGTTCTGGATAGTTCATGTTGTACACCGATTTCATTAACGGGACACCAAATGTGTACAGTTCGGATTTAACTTGTTGTTGAGTATTAGTAGTGTCAGTGTTGTACATTAAATTGTTCATGACAATTTGATCAAGTAACAATGACAAAAAATGACAATGACAAAAAATAAACCTATTTGCAAATTTGTATTAAAGAAAAATTACTTTCGAATTCTTCTATTAATTAGTATCTGGTATGATAATTATATGCTGTTCTCCAATGGTAGGATATAGTTGATTAGATTTATGATCAATGTTCTTAGTGAAAGGATAGGTCCTAGTCTTGTAACGTGGACAAAACCTTGAATTTAAAACCATTTTCTTCTTTTTGGCGTTTTCCCAGAAAATATTCAAATTATATAGTATCGATACGAAGGTTGGCGCCGACGTGCACAACAGCTTCGATATCATTTATTTTTTAACAGTGATAATACGGGAATCGTAAAAAGTTTACGATCCGCCTCACCTGCATGCACATTTTCAGTAACTGCAGAATGAAAAATTAAAAAGCAATATGGAAATGAATGGAAAAAAAAAACTGATACAAGAGGTGTAGTATATGCACAAAGTGAATATATGCCATCCAATTACTCTTAGGCACATAAATTTAAATTAAGAAAAAAAAAATGCAATTGATGAAAAGGAAAAAGAAATTAGATAGTCAAGTGCCAAATTAAGGTACCTCAATTCATAAAAAGCTCACCAAGTTATGAACGAAGCTTTTCTTTTTCCTAAAGTTCGTAAATTAAACATAGGACCATATAATGAACAGAAAATAATCGACATGAATATAGTATAAATATAATGAAAAAATATATTGAAAGTGTGAAAAACAATCAGAATAATATGTCTATTGCCATTAAAAAATATGCACATTGCCTCAAGAAAAGAAAAAGTGTAGTTAGCGTGACTTCTGCCAATCTTCTGCAAAAACTCTGTTTCAAATTCCTGATAGAGGAGATCTCCTTTGTCCAAAATATACATAAAAAATAATGCATTGTTCACACATTAAGTCTCCTAAAAAATAAAATTCAAGACAAATGAGATCAAAGCCATTGACTTTCGCCCCGAAACGGCTGTGATTCGAAAAAAAAAAAAAGGACACTAAAAAATAAAATCTTCTCCCACAAATGCTTTCCCAAAAAATAATTGAAGCGAGAAATAATTCTTAAGTTACTAAGGTATTCTTTCTCTGGTCTCTATCGAACGGTAGACTTTTGGCGCCCGCTTTAGAGCACCATTTTGCGGGCTAACTTTGCGATCAAGGGTAAGCCAGTGGCAGTAATAGTGGTAGTAGCGGTGGTTCAGAAATAAAATAAAAGAAACTGCCCCGCCCCCTCTTGTCAAGTGGATTGACCTGTGCTGTAAATACGTAATATATTCTGTGGGCGTTTCCTGGTGGTCACCAGTCTGCCCCGTTTCACATTTTTTATTCTCTACCATCCAAAGTTCGTATTTCAGTACGTCGTGCGCGGAAGGGGGATTTCTTTTGGCTAATTGGAAATTTCTATTTTTTCTTCTTCTTTTTTTTTTTGTCCCACATCTCTCCCAACGTTGAAGGATCTTCGCTTGTCTCTGATCCAAAAAAAGGAAGCCAGCTCAATTGGACAGGCTAAGGATGGTCAGCCTTGGCGTAATATTTCAAATGCAAGTACATCAGCCATAGTTTTCGTAAACGCTTCCACTCTTACGTTACTCCTCTGGCGCAACAAGTACCCTTCTTCCTCGGGTTCCACCTGGTGTGGGTGCATTACTGTCCCTCAAATGTGTTACCACATTGTTTTGGTTTTACTTCGTTAGTATTTTTTTTTTTTTTTTGCAATAAATTCACTTTATTTTTTCTTTTTCGGCTTTCATCGAAGAAAATAGACACAATAAAAGTTAAAACTCTGCGCCGCATAAGAGTGAGATACTTTGCTAAACCCGACTACCATCAAGTCCGACGAAGTGTACGTTACCCTGGCCACTCAATGGTTTAGTCGTAGCTGTTCCCTTGGTCGCTAGGCTGCTGTGATACTCTGTTGTTTACTCACTCTCTGTGTGTGCCTTATGAGTGGCCGTGTGTGCTGTAGGATTTTCAATATTGCTTTTGTTTTTCTTGCTTGCTGCTTACTACATCATGCATTGATTAATCAATTATGCATGGAATACCTAGCAATGCAATTGTCGGAAGAGTAACCAGTTCCTTGTTTATCAACACTCCGTTCTGGGGCCCTGCATTACTCTAATTCGTTGATGATCACTCTTCAGTAGAGCAAAAATGTTAGCATTGACTGGCATGTTCTCTGTACCATGACTTCCAAGAATCTCAGCTTTGACTGTGCCACATTCGGCCTAGTCATTTCTATTCGAAGGATTCGTAGCCCGCCATGTTCTTCCATTTTCGTCCCACATTCTCTTGTAGCACTCTTGCACTCCCTGCCGAATACGTTTGGGCAGTTATTGTTTGCATTTGAGGACAAAATATCCTAACTTAGTATTTTCTAACCAGATTAGAGCTCCTACAGATTTAAAACTGCCTGATGCATTCCAAAGCATAATTCCGCTGGTGGAGTTGGAGAATTGTTAGAATGCGTCTCTTCGCATGAGAATTACTAGTACCTGAGCGATTAATTTGCCTTCTAGATCTTACAACCATGCCTTAGAAGATCTACAGAGCATAATTTCTACATCCTCATCATTGGCCTTTACTTTAAAACTAAATTTCATTCTTTTTTGCTTACATAAACTTTCTAATTTCTAAACATCAACGGCAATATTGATAATAATAATAATAATGTTCCTAGTTGAAAACTTCGTTTAAGAAATGATCCTCTTCTACAGTGTGCATGGACTTAGAACCAGCAGCAATGGAGGCACTTGGGTCTCTACCAGCGAATCTTAAATCCTTGTCTTTATGGTTTTCGGATTCCTTCAAAACAGTACCAATTCTTGGTTGAACGAAGGCATAAGAACCCATGTTTAATGGTTCTTCTTGACACCAAACAAGATCTTCCAATGACCCATAACTGTCTAAGGTTTCTTTTAATTGTGCGTATGGGAATGGATGAATTTGTTCAATCTTCACAAGAGCAGTAGTCTTATCTTCAAGCAGAGCTCTCTTCTTATGTAAAGCAGTGTAAACTTGACCAGAACATAATACAACTCTCTTAATATCTTCCTTACTTCCAATGCTCTTATTTAATTCAACATCATCAATGATCCATTGGAAGTGTGATTCTCCAGTGAATTCACTCAACTCAGATCTGGCTAATGGATGACGTAACAAGGACTTGGAGAAGAAAACAATCAATGGCTTTCTAAACTGTCTGTGCATTTGACGTCTAAGCAAATGGAACAAGTTAGCTGGGGTGGTTGGGTAAGCAACTTGCATATTACAATCTTGGTGTTGTCTTTCCAACTTTTCTGGTGATGGGAAGTATCTTGGGTCTTCGTTACACATTTGTAAGTATCTTTCGATTCTACCAGAAGAATGTTCTGGACCTTGACCATCATAACCGTGAGGTAATGATAATACAAGACCTGATCTTTGCTTCCATTTACTTTCAGCACCTGAAAGGAATTGATCAACAATGACTTGAGCGGTGTTAGCGAAATCACCGAATTGGGCTTCCCATTGAACCAAAGCATCTGGACTGGTTAAAGAGTAACCGTATTCGAAACCCATAACACCATATTCAGATAATGATGAGTTGGAGATATCGAAACTGGCTTGTTCTTCACTTAAGTGTTGCAATGGGGTATATGTAGCTTCAGAATTTTGATCATGCAAAACAGCATGTCTTTGAGAGAAAGTACCTCTTTCAACATCTTGTCCACTAACTCTGACATGGTAACCTTCCAAAGTCAAAGAACCAAATGCTAATGCTTCACCGGTAGCCCAATCGATACCTTCACCAGTCTCTACAGTCTTCTTTCTAGTATTCAAGATTCTCTTCAAGTTTCTGTGAACTTCAAATCCTTCTGGAGCATCACTAATCTTTGCACCAATATCCTTCAAGACAGATTCTTCGACAGCAGTTGGTAAGTGTGGTAAAATTTCAGTAGCCAATTCCTTTGGACTCTTGAAATCTTCCCATGGAGTAGAAAGCCATTCTCTAGAGGTAGGTTGGTACTCTTTACTCTTGCTGAAACTTTCTTCTAAAGTGTTCCAACACCATTTCTTGTGTTCTTCGATATCGGCCTTAGAGAAGGTGTTTTCTTTAATTAATTGTTCAGTGTAGTAATCAATGACAGACTTCTTTTGGGCAATCTTTTGATACATTAATGGTTGGGTGAAAGCTGGTTGATCAGTTTCATTGTGACCGTACTTTCTGTAACCAACAACATCAATAATAACATCAGAGTGGAAAGTGGCTCTCCATTCAGCAGCTAAGTTGAAGACGAAGATACATGCTTCAATATCATCGGCATTAACGTGGAAAATTGGTGCGTTAAATGACTTGGCGATATCAGATGGATATAAAGTTGATCTTGCAAATCTTGGATCAGTAGTGAAACCAATCTGGTTATTCACAATAATGTGGACACATCCACCAGTAGAGTAGGCTGGTAAGTTAGCGAAACCCATAGTTTCGTAAACCACACCTTGACCTGCGAAAGCAGCATCACCATGTAACAAAATTGGCATAGATTTCTTGAATTCACCAATGTCATTCTTGTAGTGTAAGATAGCTCTGGTCTTACCTAAGACAACAGGATCAGAAGCTTCCAAATGTGATGGGTTAGCAACCAAAGACAAGTTAACGTGCTTACCACTGGTTGTTGGTCTGGCGTAGTTCATACCTAAATGGTATTTCACATCTCCAGAACCTTCATCGAATTCTTTGGATCCAGTGAATTCGGAAAAGATAGATTCATTTGGTTTTCTTACAACGTTACTCAACATATTCAATCTACCTCTGTGTGGCATACCAATGACGACATCTTCAACACCATATTCTACAGATGTATCAATAAGGGCCTTTAAACCTGGCACAACTGCTTCGGCACCTTCTAAACCGAATCTCTTATCGTTAGGAAACTTACTAGACAAGAATGCTTCGAAACTAGTGGCCCAAATCAATCTATCTAAGATTTGTCTCTTTTCGTCAGGAGAATATTTGAATGGGGTTGGGATTTCAATTCTTTCTCTCAACCAGTCACATTGTTCTTTAGATGGGATATGGATATATTCAATACCGTACAGTTGACAGTATAATCTTTCACAGTTATCCACAATTTCTCTGAGACTCATGGTCTTCTTACCATCTTCAGCAAATCTTGGTAAAATACCTGGTCCAAGGGTAATTTGCTTCTTCATGTCAGCGTCGGTGAACCCGTAGTAGTCCAAGCTAAGTTCCTTTGGAGTTTCAGAGTTGTCACCAAAACTGATTCCTAATGGATCAACTCTGGCCTTTTGGTGACCTCTAACTTGGTAAGCACGGACTAAAAGTTGCACTTTCAAGTGAGTAACGACATCTTCTGAGGTGGTTGGATCAGTTCCTGGGATGAAAGCAGCCATTCCTCCTGCTGGCAGAGGAATCAAAGTTGGTGGTGCTTGGAAGGCATTGGCCGGGGAAGTACTGCTTGATTCAATATTCTTAAAGTAAGCATTCCAGGAAACGTGCACACTGCTAGGGTCTTGCTTCCATGCATCGTACATCTCGTCGATGTAAGCGGCATTGTTGGATTGAAGGAATGAATCAGGTGCTGTAGCTAAAAGACGACGACCTCCACAAATGGATGGTACAGCAAGTCTTTTGCTATTAAATTGAGTTAACCTCTGTAAACGTTGGCGGCTGGAAACAGCCTTTACTGCTCTAAGCATGATATTCAATTGAATTAAATTGCAAATAAAGGTTCAAGCCAGTAAAGTATTTAGCTTAATTGGTGTCCTTTCGTTGTAGCCTTAGGTTGTAAAAAAGCGAAGGAAAAAACGACAGAAGAAAAAAATTTGACCTATTAGTTTATTAGGTCAAGTTACACAAAGTTGTTACTAACCCGGGGAGGATGATTCGTGGATGATGGAACTGTCGGAGAGGTGTTTCCTGTATATAGCGATATTGTTATTGTCAGGGCCCAGTGTTGCAGCTGTTGCACGCTACCTCAGTATGTAAGTATATTGAGTGTATAGAGTGTATAAGTATCTATAATGGTGCGTGTATGAGAGCTTTTCTCGTCTCAACGGATATTTATAATATGGATAAATATGGATTATGGTGAGACCGGTATAGATAACTGGGGTACTGTGCGGCCCAAAATGTAGGGTCTCAAAACACAACTTCTCTCAGTCGACACTTATATACCCTAACATGTTCTAACAAGTTCGCGCCTTGAGCTGTGACTACTTCGCAAGCTATTTGCCGAATTCATGACCACTGGAGTTCCACGCCAGCTGTGAGCCAATCAGGAACCAAACGAATTGGCAGTCTAGTTTTTTCCCGATGCTCGCCGGGATGATTCTTACCGATTTCTATGGTAAACACTGCTCAGTTCCGGGCAGGAACTCCGAACCGAAGTGTAAGCAACAGAAGCACACCAGATTTGAGCACATTTTGTTCCAGTGACTCTTTTCTAGAGAGCAGGTAACATTCGCTACAAGACTGACGCACACATATCTATGGCTCATCAGGCAAATGGGTGGAGCTTACATGTCTTGCTTTGCAGAATTGCTAATTACCTCTGCAGCAATGTACTATATGCCGGATTTTTGCACCCAAATTTTAATACCGCTTTATGAAGGGCACCAGATTTCGAAGAGTCTGTCTCGACAGGCTACTGGACTCAGCACTATCCTTGAATTTCTGTTACACCCGGTAGTCTCTCTGGAAATGCTTCGTTGAAGTTAAGCAAGTAGCACTTCAGCCATAGCAAGCTCTAAGAGGAAATATTTTACGGGTGAGACTTTTTTCTGGGGTTTCCCCATGTTGTAGATTAAAACCTAGGGCGTAATCCGATTGGTCATTCTTCATTTACCATTAAATTGCTGCAGTTCTTTTTTAATTGAATCACTTAGTACTGGTTCAATAGACTGTAAGTATGGCGATTCAGGAAGATCCGATGATAAGTCTAGGAAAGTGCTTTCCCTCTCTGTTTGCCTAACTCTAGTCTTCTCTTCCTCGAGCCCTTTCCGCTTAGCTCGATGCGTGTCAAAAAACTATCAGTGCTCATAACCATATCCAATTCAATTAAAAAAGGACACCTGAAGTCCTAGCTATTAACCTTAATAGCTTAAGTTTCAGATGCCCTTCGTACGATTCGCTTATGGAGATTAGAATTATCAAAAAATTGCTCTGTATAGCAAAATTTCTGTCTTACATCGCAATGCGTTCAGAACTATAAGCAGAAAAGTATCAACTCGCAATTTTGTAAGCTAAGGAAGGAATTCCATACTAGAATGTACAAAACTCATCGCTCTAGCTCTACGAATGACATCTTTCCCATTTGGCGTTCAAGAACCCCATGTGCGCATCTACAATCAGATCGTTGGTGGCTCTTTATTGCTTAAGCCGATAACGAATCTGGAAAACAAAGTTTTGGAGAAAAACAAGGTTTCAAATATAATAACCCAAATTTTTTTTTGGCCCCAACCGAAATCAAAGCCAAATGAAACTATACAAAATTAATTAAACCCATGCAACCACTCCGGTATATGAAAGGAGGAATATGCTTTTATTGAAAACGATAGTCACGTTTAAGCTTCTTCATCAATGACACCCTTTTCAGAGACATAGATACCATCCAAGAACTTTCTGATATCCTTGTTTCTGACTCTACAGATTTGTTGGATATCAGCAGCGTTTTGGGAAACATCTTCTAAAGAGTTACCAGATAAGACTAATTCATCCTTTTGGTTAGCAGATTGTTCAACAGTAACACCTTCGAAGATCTTGATTTGTCTAACTCTCTTTTCACCCAAGAAGTTTCTGATTTCAACGAATTGTTGACCTTCTTCTTCGACAACGTTAACGTTAATTGGGAAATGCGCATAGACGTATCTCATCTTGTACTTGTAACCCTTGGTAACACCGGTGATCAAGTTAGAAATCAAAGACTTGACAGTTCTTAAAGCGGCAACGTGCTTTCTGTCACCGTTGTGGACGGTAATCTTGATAGCCTTGTTAGAAACCTTAGCAAAAGTAACATCAATGTGCTTCAAGTTCTTGAGTAAAACACCTCTTGGACCAGTGACCTTGATTTCTCTGGCCTTGATTTGGACGGTGACACCTTCTGGGATTTCTAAGATTTGATCAGTTTGAATGTACTTCATGATTGGCAATGTTTGTTGTAAAGAAGAAAAAAAGGAAAAAAGGAATATTAAACACCTCTAAAAGCTGAGGGGAATCACAATTCTTTTTATATTTGTCGGAAATGGGGTGAAAATTTTTCAGTCGCTGCAAAAAGTGAAAAATTTTTCGGAAAGTCGTGCGGTGCTGGAAAATTAAGACTGTTGTGGTGTTCTATATTTTACGCTTTAGCAGTCTGAGTACTACGCACCCTAGTTTCGTTAAGGTAGAATTGTGAATTATGTGCAGGAAATGTTGCAAACATGTACTCTTGTCTTATGATGTCTAGTAGGGCATTGTGAAGGCCATTTATGGGCTAATGGGATCTGAGATTCATTTCCTAGAGATGGCTATATAAAACAACTTAGTCTTTTTGAAAGCGGGAAGCGTAAAAAAATCAGTTTTGCAAGAAGTGGATAGAAGAGATGGGTAGATCCGCCTAAGTGACCAGTGACTGAGTTTGGATGAAGCTAAAGCAAAGAAACAGCTGATGAAGGCTCCCTACTACTGAAGGTGCATGCCGACTATGAAGTCGATATTTCAAGAATTCTATTGGCTACTGCTTCTAATTTCCCTTTCATTAAGAAGTTTAAAATTTTGTGTAGTACGTGTAGTCATTTTCAATGTCTTAGATATCAACAAACCTACTAATTAAGTGTATTATTCTTCACAAACTGTATTTTAAGTGAAAAATACACCCACAGAGATACCCCATTTCAAAAGGATAGGACCAGAGAAATACGTTCAATGCTTTGCTTCCATCGTCTGTTGGGAAAATACTGTCACCATTGGATTTATCTTCCCAACTAAAGAGTAAAGCACTGCACCATTGGATATGCTCACCTATACAATACAGATTGCATTTCATGTTCCAATTTTCAATATTTAGTACTGAATGCATTTAGTGACTATACATCTTATGGCATAATATTCTCACATTTTTTCAATCCACTATATAAAGGCTAAATAGTATACCAAGGTCTACCCTTAGAAGTAAACTCAATGTATATAAAGGGCTCCCGGTACTCTATTCTACAGTGTGCACACTCTACAATATGGACTGTCCTAAAGAGGAAGTTTCTCAAAAATGCTGCAACATTGGAAAATCACTTTCTACCACTCATAGTCTTAACATTTTGCCGTGTTATTTACTTTATATAAATACATAATCGTTTTTCTAATTGTCATTTAGTAGTTTATTCCTTGCCAAATAATAGCTCATATTTCCCAGGTAATTGTTTACTAATTTATTCTTGCTCATCTAAAGTCTTGAAAGTATAAGTCTTTGAGAATCTTGGGAAATCAACACCTCTTTCTAATAAAGCAGCGTAGGCAGCTGCAAAGTCCTTGAAGAAAACATCTTGGTCAGCAGCGTAGATCTTGACATACTTCAAGAATGAAGAATCTTCTTTTAATGCAATATCAGTAGGCAACATCATGAATGAATTGGATTCGTCATCTTGGTATTGCTTTGGTCCATCCCACTTTCTTACATGCCAGTTTTGTAATAATCTGACAAAGAAATCATTGGTAAACATAGTCAAAGATGGACCCCATGGACCATCGAAACCAGATCTTGAAGGGTGACATTTACCCAAACAGTGAGCACCAATAAGGGCAACAGTTTCACGGTCATTGAATCCCATTCTGCCGAAAACAGACTTGATGTGATCGGCACCTTGAGAAGCATCTGGTAATCTACCATTTTCGGGAATTTTGTCAGCGTTATTTGGAGGGCTGTCTACTCTACCTGCTCTCCACTTAATCTTAGGACCACCAGCTTCTTGAACTGCTACAACACCACCCAAGGTCCATAAATCTCCGTGACTGATCCACTCGTGCTTTTCCTTAATAGACAAGAGGAATGCTCTACCGTATTCTAAACCAGCATTGGCCCCATCAGTAGATTCTGGCAGGTAGTTCATGGTACCTGCATACGAACCTCCCGTATTATCCAGTTTCTTGTAAGTACCAGATGAATGCCATGCTAATCTACAAAGTAATCCGTATCTTCCTGCACCGTCATCAGCATCGTCTTCATTTCTCATCTTTTCGGCAATTTCATTGTAGATTTCTTGATAAGACTCGTAATCACCTTCCTTAGGTGGGTCAGCCTTATTGATGAGGAAGCTGGCTCCTAACAACGGTGCGGCTTTTTTGAAGCCACCAAATTGGTGCTTGTTCCCACCATTATTACCTTGGCTATAATTGTATTGGTTGGTGTTGTTGAGATAATACAAAACCGCACCGGAACCAACCAAGCCTGCCAATAATTTGAAGGATTGGTTTGACTTCAAAATTGGAGAAGCTCTAATTGCTGACATTTCGAAGTATACTAAATGGGAGGATTGTTCAATCAAAGGAATGAAAAAAAAAAGCGAATATAAATAGTCTTCTACAAATACGATAAATAGTATCCCGTACTAAACTAAAGTTTATCTAATTGACTGGCTAGGAAAAGAAATTGAGAAACACCTAAACACAAGTAATTCTCTCTCCTTATATACTTTACTAATTATACCTTACAATCAGCCAATGAAAAATTTTGGATTATCATACTAAACCCACACACCCCGCTCTGGTCAAGTCCTGCATGTGTTTTCGTAGTGATTACAGTTGCATTAAGGTCTGGCCCGCTTCTTGATTACGTATCAGAAATCGCGTTACTTCAACGAACCCCACCATGTGCTGACGTGAGCCTTGAAAAATTACTAACTGCAATGTGTGAACGGTTACTAAACATCCGATGGGTTATACATTGGCTGTCTGGTTGTACGTGAAAATGTCATTATAGCCGCCGCTGAACCCGTACAGTAATTACAGGGCAGTCTAGACCTAATTTTATTTTACCTAGGGCCGTTTAATCGCATCGTTCTCCTCCTCTTCTTGTTTCTCTCGATTTGTGGTGCGTGAGCCCGATAACTGCGATACACCAAGCGTTATTTTACCTAAACTGAACTTCGGAAATACGGGCAATTGGCGTCTATGTGTGCTCGAGCCAAAGGTGGTGGATCTATGTACAGGCGAGCTTGTTACACTTTGGGCATATTTTATTGGTTCTACATTGGCACTTAGGGCCAATGCTCAAGCCTGATTTTCCCCTTCTGGAAATTTGACCTGCGCTACGCAGGGTCCGGTGATGGCTTGGGAAGATTATAGACACACGTAAAGTTTCTTGAAAATGCAGCGTATTTTGTACAATGATCTCAACTGTACCTCACTTGGTCCCAACTACTCTACTCGGATTCTAGTCCTTCTTTCTTTGCACATAATTTTAGTACTCTACATGCCATTTTGCACTGCTTATCTTCCCTCTTTCGTACATCATTTTAATCTTTCGTATATTACACTGTATAAATCTCTATATTACCGCAGCAATTGCAAATCCAGCTATATCGTAACTATTAAGGGAAAGCAAACTCGGGCTGGAAAAGATGCAACTCAGCTGCTTCTCTTCATCTACCAAGATGTTATCGATGGCGTATTCATAGTATGAGGTATCATTTCATCATTTGTCATTAAGAAAGTTCTCCACTATTTCAGCATCATTATATACCCACGAGCCACTCTCATTGTAAGTTTTGGCGTTTGCTACCATGATTTTCAATTCATCCAATAACTGCTCATAACTTTCAATTTTATCTTGTTTCAACTTCTTTCTCAATTGATTAATAGATACAGCTTTTTTAATGATCTGATAATAATCCGGATAAACTTTCCTGGAAGGTAAGTCAAGGAAGATTTCAGAAACGTCATGGCCATCTTCTCCTTTCAAGTCGCATATTTCGTCAAGTAATTTGTTTCCTCTTTCGATAAATTCATCGTCTACATCGCTGAATTTTGGGGTCCGAGAACGTCTCTTACGTCCATGTTGCTCTTCTTCTTCGTCGTCTTCGTCATCATCGACATCGTCTTCATCACCCTCGCTCGATGGAGTATTAGGAGTAGCAGCTCTTCTCTTTCTCTTAGCCATTCTAGCCTCCTTTCTTTTAATTGCATCTTCGACGGTATCCTCATCATCATCCATTGCCATCAACCATTGCTCTTCAGTTAAACCATCGTCATATTTAACCTTCTTCTTTTCTCTCATCTTTGCCAATTCTTTAACCTCTTTGTGGAAGTGATGGCTAATGTCTTCTTTGAAAACGGGGGGTAATTCCTCCTTGGTTATCAATCTATTTTTCCATCCGCCTTGAACCTTCTCCTTTGCTAATCTTTCCGCATCCATCTCTCCGAATAATATCTTTTCATCCTCCAGTCTTGCTAAAATTTCATTCAATTCGTCATCATCTAAAGAATCATTTTCTTCACTTTGGTCCTTAGTAGAATCCGCTTCCAACAATTTCTTCAAGAATTGTTCCTGCTCTTCAGCTGTAGATTTATTATCGAATTTACCTGCTTGAATAACCTTACCATCAATATCTAATTTTTGATGAGCTCTCTCCAAAATCACTTCTTCCACTGAGTCATTTGAAATTAATCTTAAAATTCTAACTTCATTCTTTTGTCCAATTCTATGAGCTCTATCTTGAGCTTGTAAATCTTGATGTGGATTCCAATCAGTATCAAAGATAATGACAGTATCTGCAGTTTGTAAATTCAAACCTAAACCACCAGCTCTGGTACTTAACAAGAAACAGAAATAGTCACTATTTGGAGCATTGAACACTTTCAACATATCTTGTCTTTCATCGGCCTTAGTACTACCATCCAATCTTAAATACTTCATATCTCTCCATCTAAGGAAATCTTCCATGATATCCATAACTTGAGTCATTTGGAAAAACATCAACACTCTATGACCAGAGACTTTAAATTTAGGTAAAACTCTATCCAACAATTCAAATTTACCACTTGTTCTCCAAATTAAATCATTAGTAAGTCTGCTTGAATCCAAGACTGTTTCCACTTCCTCGAATACGAAAGGATGGTTACAAATTTTTCTCAATTGCATAATCTTATTGTTAAGGCCCTTAATACCTGACTTCAGTGCCCCACCTCCTGTGGAGTGTCCTTCACCCACAAATAAAGCATTGTGTTTCAACATCTGTTGATATAACACATATTGCAATCCGGATAATTTACATTTGACGACCTTTTCAACTTTATCCGGTAAATCTTTCTCAACATCCTTCTTCAATCTTCTAAGTAAAAATGGTCTCAAGACTTTATGCAATCTTCTAATAACCAACAAACTCTCTTCTTCTGTCAATTCAATCTTCTCTTGCGATCCAGTATTGGCAAACGGCGTATTGAACCATTCATCGAAAGATTTCACACTATTGAAAACTTTTGGCAAAACGAAATTCAATAATGCCCACAATTCTGGTAAATTATTCTGCAATGGTGTACCGGTTAAAATTAATCTATTCTTTGTTTTGTAATATTGCTTCAAAGTGATGGAAAGCTTACTCAGCGCATTCTTCATTCTATGACCTTCATCAATAATCATATGACTATAATTGAATTTGGCTAAAATAGGTCTTTCTCTAATGATATATTCATAAGTTGTCAATAAGACTTGAAAGTTCCCAAGTCTTATATCGTTTTGCATCAGTCTTCTTTGCTGTTGCGAACCCTTGTACACTATAACATTCACAGAAGGTGCCCATTTTTCGAATTCCAATGTCCAATTGGTGATAGTGGAAAGTGGAACAATGACCAAGAATTTACTTTCATGTTTGTTCTCGATCAAATAGGTAACCAATGAAATAGATTGAATTGTTTTACCAAGACCCATTTCATCTGCCAAAATACCATTTAATTTATTATTGTAAAGGGAAACCATCCATTGAAGACCCTTTATTTGATATTCCTTCAATTGACCACCCACAAGAATAGAGGGCTGGACCTTGATTTCTTCTTGGATTCTATGAGCAACTTGATAGTAATCGATCTTTTCTCTCAATTCATCTACAGTATCCTCCGCAACTTCTTCTTCAACATCAGCACCTTCAGCACCCTCTTCAGTCTTCTTTTTCTCAAGTGGTATTTCAGCACCCTGTTCTACTTGTTGCACTTTAACCGCTTGGGCTAAACTATCCAAGAAGGAATTAGTCTGACTCAACAAATGAGTAATTCTATGATCTTTAGTTCTATCTAATAATTTCATATATGCCTCCTCATCGTTGGCCTTTAAAGCTTGTAAACGTTGTTTGGCTGTCTTTTCCAATTTCTTACCTTCATCCTTTTCGGTGTTGGTATGGAAGTTATTAATTTGTCTACTGATAGTGGCCCTCTTGTTAGCTCTTTGAAATTTCTTGTTAATAATGTCCTCCAGTGATAACAAGATCTGCTGTACTTTAGCAACATGTAATTCGTGTTCTTGTCTCTTGGCTTCCAATTCCTTTCTCTCTTCCAATTTTGCTGCTAGTCTGTGAGAATCAGGCTGAATTATCTTAGGTCTGACATACATAGATCTTTGTGCTGAAAGTGTTATCAGGAAGTTCTTCAAATAGTCTACATCATAATGGGCTTTTGCTGCCGAGCCGAAGATGAGATTTTTCCTCAACTGCTTCTGTTTGGCAAGTACCCTCAAAGATTTCAATTCGATGAGCGCTCTAGTCTTCAAGTCATCGAATTCTGAGGTTTTCGCAGAAGTTCCAAATTGGAAGCTGCCCAAATTAGCTGGTAAGTTTTCCAATTCAGAAACTCTATTGGCAATCTTCTGCGTGATAGACTGTTCAATGTAGTAGTTGCCCAAGGTAGCATAGATGGATTCTTGTTTGGTCTTGGAGTACGAGTGGTCAATTCCCAATATGTCAGCTTTCTTTGAGAAAGAGCCATCTAGCGTGCTGATATCTACAGCTAAACTCTTATCAAAGTCGCCCTCTTCTTCGCCCTCTTCTTCGTCTCTTTCTTCCGATTCTTCTCCTTCCCTACTCAAATCTTCTTGGATAGCCTCTGGCAAATCCAAATCTTTCGACAACAACTGCAAACTTGCAATCTGCTTATCCAACAATGCATAGTCAACTTCGACTGGGGTCTTGCTGTAACCCAGTTCTAGCTTCTCCAACAACTGCATTTCTTCGTCCAAGTATTTCTGTTGGATTTCAGACACCTGGGCCAAGACCTTTTCAATAGCAGTCAATTCGGGGTCTTTAACATGCTGTTTCACCACCACATCGACGTCACCACCATAAGTGGCAGGTACAGCCCCAGCCCCATTGCCATTTCCATTCCCCGTTGAATCTCCTAACAATTTACTACTCTCTGCGCTTCCAGTTCTTGATTCTGCTTCAGCTTCCTTCGCAGCCCTCTCTCTAGCCGCCTGCGCTGCTGCCTCTTCAGCTAGCCTCTCTTCCTCCTTCCGTTTATCCTCCAAAAGGAGCGCCTGATATCGGAATATTAACTCGTCTAATTGGGCTCTGGTCTGGGGTAACGAGTAAACTGGTGTCGACTCAATATAAATCTCTGCCTGCGACGGCTGGTGGTGTTCGTAATTCCTGTGCGGTGGTCCTCCTCCATTTGCGTTGTTTGGAGAATTGATGGGATATTTAATCATGGCACACTCAGGTTTACTCTAACTAAGCATAGATCTATCACACGCTTTTTGTACTCTGTGTGTCCGAGAATTTCCTCAATTTTACTCTGAGAATCTTAAACCTGAAAACTAAAATACAGACCCTCTGATATGATAATAATAAACCAACCACAAATTTCAATGGTCCACTAGGGAAAAAAAAAAACAACCACCAAAAACGAAAATCAGGAAGGATGAAAACGAAAAAAAAAGTAGCGTTTCAGCAATTTTTCGCGCGTTTTCTGGTGGCTGGGTGCAGGACAATAATCATGTGCAGGACGCTCTGGCCTGAAGGGACCTTGCCAATTTTTCAAAGTGGTTCAAGAAAAGCGCTTAGCAGCTTGTCGGTTTGGAGCTGGATCATAGCCGTCTTGAGTAAGTAGATACAGCTATAACCTAGAACGCAGCAGGATGTTTTTCGTTGGCTTAAAGCAATCAGCCAAAACGGGGATTTTCGCCAGAAATGCCGCCCGTTTCAACTCTACCTCAGGGTCGCCCTCCAGTGGCATGACCTGGATCGATTTCTTCAAATTGAAGAAGCAAAACTCCAGAGTTAACATGGTCTCTTCCGGATTCACCAGTGTGGTGGGATCGTTCGTGACCCTCACAGCGCTTGGAAATATCGAAATCGACGTCGAAAAACCGATCATGGGCCTTGATCCCTTGATGATCATGGGTGGTTGTGTGATCCTTGGTGGAGCCTTTGGCTACGTCTTGGGACCCTTTGTCGGTACGCCAATTTTCAATATGCGCAACAAGGCACTTTTGCAGCAGTTCAAGACTAAGGACAGGCAGTTCTTCAACCACATCAAGTCCAAGAGAGTGGATCCTACATCGCAGTCGTTTTCCAACCCTGTGCCAGATTACTATGGGGAGAAGATCTACTCGTTGAAGGATTACAAACAGTGGTTGAGAGACTGCAATGCATTCAGGAGAAAGACCAAGGAATTCCTTTAGGTCTGGTAGGTGGTACAGAGTGGTTGGGGAGCAAAAGTAGGTGTTGGAAGGTAAAGAAAGTGGTGTCTGATGGCCGAGAGACTGCAATGCTTGAAGAGAAAGAGGAAAGAATTTTTTGAGGCTCCTTGGGTAGTGCGCAGTGGTTGGTGTTGCAGGAGTGGTTGGGGAGCAGAGGAAGGTGCTAACAGATGAAGAAGGTGCTGGAGAGATGCTGGGCCATTGCCGGTGGAGGTTTTTGGGCCGCTGTGCTTGGTGCGGACTGCGCTGCTTGGCTGAAGGAACTCTGGATCCTTTTCGTTCAATTCACCAGCTCTGTTAGTTCTGTCCAGCTTAGCAAGGTCTCGAAGATCACCGCCATTTTGCTGGAATTCTCTCCATAAAAGTGGTGTGCCCATATCTACTGGAAGGGCACCAATGTGAATAAGTGAAATATTGTACATAAGTGGAGCAAAAAAATATATTAATAGAATCCTAAAGGATCCAGTATACTGCGTATACATCTAGGAACGCAAAATGTAGCACGAATACAATCCGCTACTCGGGTTCTTCTCTTCTTGCCATGTTATCTGGGGTAGTGGGTAAATGTCTAGCTTCGACCCAAGTACTATATGCAGTCCGCTACACCTGCCAGCTTCTAATCAATTTTTCACGGTAGGAGGGGACCAACTTCAGGCAAGAACAACACCTCCCAGCACTCTCTCATGTCGTTAAAAGTTGCATATTTGGGACCACAGGGTACCTACACGTATCAGGTACGTACGGGAAAGAAAACAGAGAGAAAGCCAGAAAAATAGACGGTGCTAACGTGAAATTTAGCAATGCACTCATTTGACTCGCTCGATGAGATGAAACTCTCAAGGGGACTGGATCTGGCCCCGTCTGCCTCTTAAATAGATCCAAACAGAGTTTTTCCTGTTACTAACACTATCCAGGCCACAGTACAACAGTTTCCCGATGAAAAAGTCGACGTCCATCCGCAAAAGGCCATAGCTGACTGTTTCCAGGCTCTCCATGACAGAAGGGTAGACTATGCAGTGGTACCCTTTGAAAACTCCACCAATGGACAAGTTGTGTATACGTACGATTTGCTTCGTGACTGGTTTTCCAAGAGTGACTGTCAGTTTCAAATTGTAGGCGAACAGTTTGTCTCCATCAACCACTATGTGTTGTCCAGGGCCAAGCTGCTTGACCAAGTCACCAAAATATATTCTCATCCCCAAGTGTGGGGACAAGTCACCCTGTTCACCAAGAAACACCTTGCTGGGTCGAGGATTGTGCAAGTCGACTGCTCTTCTACCTCAAGGGCTGCAGAGTTGGTCTACCAGGACGACACCAACACCACGGCGTGCATCTCATCTAAGTTGAGCGCTGACATATATAAGTTGCCCGTCATGTATCCAAACGTCGAAGATATTGCCAACAACACCACCAGGTTCTTGGTATTGGGCTATGAGAAGCCTCCACCCAGCTCCACAGAAGACAAGGATCAAAAATACATAACATCCGTGCTCTTCACATTGAACCACAACGACCCTGGTGCACTCTGCACAGCATTGGACATCTTACGCAGACATGGCATTGATATGACATCGATAAACTCCAGGCCCTCCCACTTGAAGCAGTGGCAGTACGTTTTCTTCGTGGAAATGCAAGGGTGCATTGAGAGGGACGCCAATGTGCGAGCTGGACTCACCGAGTTAGGAGAGAACTGTAGCTTGACTGTTCTAGGTTCGTTTGAAAGGAACTGGAGGTACAATGGGGCCTAATGTAAATAGATATAGACAATAGACATTTGTTTAGCAAGGCAGGAGCTGGAGGTACAGCGCGGTACCAAATGTAAATAGATAGATTTCAGGAATTGTAGTTCTACGGTGCGTGTCTATGTAGATACAGAACTTAGACATCGGTCTAGAAAGAGAAGAGAGAGAAAGAGCAACATTGTGGTAATTCTGATCTGCCAACCTACAAACATGTACCTGATACCCTTTATTAAATTAACTAGTTTCCAAATTTCTGATACGTCCACTCTCTGTTATCTAACGGACAGACGTTTCTCGACTTGAGCCATCTATCAATGCAATGATAATGGAACGCATGGTTACACACACCCCATGCGGCGATGCATTCCTCGTTAGATTTGTTTAATGTGTTGGGCTGGCACTCAATACAAGGTTCCATTAGATGGTTCCTGCAAATGGCGCAAGTTTCCACGACTATGTCTGTAATTGTTAGTAAGAAGAATAAAAAGGAAAATGAAGGTCAACAGTCGAGGATCAAGGTGCCAATATTCAATGGTCTAGGTCAGTCCCCACAGACCATGGCAAGACCAAGGCAAGACCAAGGCACGACCAAGGCAAGACCTTAGGAAGACCAAGGTAAGACCAAGGTAAGACCAAAGCAAGACCTTAGGAAGACCAAGGCAAGACCAAGGCAAGACCAAGGCAAGACCAAGGTAAGACCAAGGTAAGACCTTAGGAAGACCATGGCAAGACCAAAGCGAGATCAAGGTAAGACCAAAGCAAGACCTTAAGAAGGCCCTAGCCGAATATCTAGTGAACTCGACTTCAAACATCAAATAGCCGCCTATATGACCCCACTACGACAAACCTCGAAAGGCTCGACCGCTTCAGAATTTCAAATCGTAAATACATACCCCACGACCAGAACGCTACGGCAGTCCACTTTTTCACCTCAAACCTTTGCTTGGCTGTGGACAGCGCCGGCTGGACTTCATGCTCATGTGTGTGTGAATGACTGTATGTGTGTGTGTTGGATGGAACATCCGAGACTATAAAATATGTTAGTATTAGATCAAAAACCACCAAGCTAGAAGAACTATAAACACCACAGCATCAACCTGTGCTCTGTTTGTATACATACTACTATCTATTTCCATGTGATCTTCGGACATTGCGTTCTTATTACCCGTTTTTCTGTGCTTTTATCAATGATTCTATCAATGGCAATGCAATATACGCAAGTATATACCGAATACTACGCCAAAACCTATTTAACCACTACAGCCTTGTCGCTGATTACAAATGGACCTTTCACTCCACTGCTATTCTTTTTCTATGGAAAATTTGGCGGGTGCGTTCCATACTAAAGGGGGGACCCTTTGTGTAAGGTCCTGCAGGTTACTGCGAAAGATTCCAGGTAGAACAGTTGGTGAAAAATAGCACGTACTGGTTTACTCTTCAGTTCAGCTATAGCGCCCAAGATGTCTGAAGGGGATGAATTGATATCGTCGTTGTACCCGCCTCCACCTCCGTACTATAGGTATTTCACCGACGAAAATGTGGAGAAATTGGCCCAGTGGAAGAAGAGTAACCAGGGTGCAAGCTCAGCTGTGAGTGGGAACGATAATGAGAACGAAAATGGAACTGGAACTAGTGAGGAGGAGCATACTTATGAAACTGGGGCAGAAGTCACAGGGGAACTTAAGTTTCTCGTGCCCCCCAAACCGCCCCTGGGCACTCACTACCGTAACTATGGTAATGTCTGGTCCTTTGAAGACAAGCTCCCCTCGTTAAAGGAGATGGGATTGACCCAGCTCTACCAGGACGAAGATTCCACTATCACCTCACGTGCCAAAATTGAAGAGCTCCATAAACTACTCGACTCTCTCTTGCTCAACTTCCTTGAATTGATTGGTGTAGTGTCAATTGAGCCGGAAAAGTTCCATTTCAAGATAGAGGACTTGAAGCTCATCCTAATTAACATAAACCACATCTTGAATCTGTACCGACCTCATCAGTCCAGAGAATCTTTGATCATGTTGTTGCGCAGACAGATAGAATCAAAGAGACTGGAAATTTCTGAAATAAACACCATTTCAAATGAAGTCAAGACGAAAATTAACAAATTATTGGAGAATTTGCTGGTCGAGGAGCATGTGGAGCCTGGTTCCATCACCAACGAAGACACGGAAACTGGTGCCAACGAAAAGGTCAAGAACGAAATCGTCAACAAATTGCTACAGGATATTTAATCTATTGCAGTGAGAGTATTGGAAATATGTATATTATGTATATTAATAAATGAACTTGGATATAATGTATGACTTTGTTTGGTAAGTAAGCCACAGGAAATGGGAAAAGCACCCAGTAGAGTACCCAAATGGGGTACCCAAATGGGGTACCTCGAAATCTCGCAGAGATATGAAATCGTAAAGGTTTTCTTCTTTGGCCAGTCTAGAATAAGTCTAACAAGTCATTGTTAACATTTCCGGATTGCTTATTGGCAGGCTTATTTGATGACAGGGCAGGTTGTTGGTCAAACAAACTTAATATATCACTGTTGCTACCCTTAGGTATATTCAAAGGTTGCTGCTTCTGCTGTTCTTGCTGCTGTTGAGGTATAGCTGCGAATAAATCGTTTAAATCGTCCAAAACGCTGGTTCTGCCACCGTTACTTCCACCGTTAGCATTGAATGAGGAGGTGTCATCCGTTTCGTCATCGTCAAAGTCGAGTAAGTTTTCATTTTTAGCATTATTTATAATCTCTTGTTTAGCCATTGTCGTCAAGTCTTCAATACCTCCCTTTCCTCCGTTTGATGAACCTTTTACCTTGCTACTACCAGGAATCGATGCACCGCTGGGCCTAGTGTAAGCATTCTTGTCTATAAAAGTAGATGCTGGTTTATGGTACACCGAACTAACTGTGGATAATTCATCGATTAACAGTTCTAACACGTTTGGATTAAAACTCGAAATGGTTGTGTTGATTGGAGGTAACTTATGCAGAATGATTTTCTGTTGACTAGCAGTATCGTCAGACGATAAAAGTCTCCAATAAATATATGCCTTGTCTCTAACATCCGCATTTTCACAGCCCTGTGTAGCCAATTCTAAAACCTTTTGAAGCAAGTTGGAATATGTGTTGTTGTTGGTCAAGTTAATCTTAACGATAGTGTTCAACAAATTCAACTGAATTGTGGAATCATAATTTAAAAAGTCATCTACAAAGAGAGTTAAATTTTCCAATGTTTCCGTATTTTGGAAATACTTGGGGTATTCTCCAAGACACCAGATGTAGCCTGACAAAGTATCGTTATTATCCTCAATACCATTGATGTGGTTGGAGATAACAGGCACGATCAAGGTGATTAAATCGTTCTTACCTGGGTATCTCCTTAAGATATTTATCAAAACACCTAAACTCTCATTGATAATAAGGTCACCACCTCTTTGATCGATTAAAGTGCAAAGTAAATTGACTGACTTCACGGTACACAGTTGAAGCTTGATGGCAACAGAGCCAATACATTTAATTGCCTTGGATACTAAAGATGGTTCGAATTCCATGGCATATTCTTTTAATTCTCCCAAGAGCAACTTCACATTCAAATCATTGGATAAGCGAATCATGATCTCCAATTTCTCTAATTTCAAGTACAATGGATCACTGTATTTAATAAAGAAGACACGGAGTTCCTTAGAAAGAACCGTAGGGTACTTTTCCAAAATGATTCTTATATTCTTTAAACCAACATATTGAGCTTCGGGAATTGAGTTCGAGACTAAGGAAACGAGTGGTGCACTCAATTTTCTCAATATGGACTCCTTCATCTCTTGGTTTCTCAAGGCATCCAAGTGGTGAATTATTGCCTTGATCGACGAAAGCACCACGGATGGGTTTACATGTTGTAATTGAGGTACAATTCTTTCGATGATATGGATCAATTCTTCCTGGTTGTCGGTTTGATAGTCGTTCAATGTGGTCAAAATAGTGATTCTTCCCCACTCAGTGCACTCATTAAGGCACAAGAGCAAATTCTTGATCACCGTCTCGTTGGTAGTGAACACGTCAAGATCCTCAAAGCCTGGGATATGTTCCTTCATGTCTCTGATCTCATATAACGCCAGTAATGCATTGGCAACAACCATTGGGTTCAGATCGTTAATAAGCTTCTTTAAATTCTCCAAAAACCCGTATTCAATACACATTTCCGGGTTCAAATCGAACAATTTGGCCACACAGAGTGCCGCCGTCTTACGAACATAAGGATTGTCATCGCTCAAGGTACGCGACAATGGGATCTCCATGTAGTCCACCATCTTCAGTACTCTGATGCACCCCATTGTTCTAATGGCAAGTGCACGGATCAATGGGTTGGGATCTTCGGTATCCTGGACGAATGTGTTCACCGCAAGAATACACAACTCTGGGTGGGTCTTAGCGTAGTTCATCAAGTACAAGTAGACCAATTTCTTCTGTTCAATGTCGTAAGTGGCGATGTTCTTTAACACGTCGGGGAACAATGCCGAAACATCCTTCCCAACGGTCATAGCCTGGATGACTCTTTGAATGGCGTCCTTACGCTCATGTTTATATTGAGACACGAGCCCGTTTTTGAGCTCAAACGTCTCTCCCTTCCTTGGTCCCTGGAGGAAGTTACGAATCTTCTTTTCAAGTGACATGGTTCAAGAGCTGAAAATGAGAGAACGCGTGATGTTTAAACCTACAATCTCGTCTTGGAACTGTGTTAGAGAGGATGATTATGTGTTCAACTCGGTGTTTTTCTTGAAGGTGTTCGTTTTTGATTTCGTTGCAGGTACGATGAAAAGTTTATATGCAGGACGATATACAAGTAGGCGTTTTGGCTGATAGAGAAGAGGGTACAGTTAGGTCAGAAGGTTTGCTTAGCACATGGGACAGACAGGGATCTGTAATATCGTTTCATAGCTGGATACTAGTTGCATTGATGATTACGTATGGCACGAAGAGAAAGAAAAAAGCTAAGCCTGTGAGTTTTTCTTCTGATGAGTCTGACGATGAGGACTCGGTTGGTAACCGTTCTGGCAGCAGTCTTCCATTTGCATTGTCTCCCAGAAAATCCCCCAGTAGTAAGGTAATATTGAACAACTCTCCAAATAAACGAATAAATATTCAAGAACTAGCTGCAAATGACCCACTAACCAAATCCCCGAAGAGATTCATGAGGACCATTGACTCAATGCAAAGTGAGAGGTTACCAGGACTGGCTGGTTCCAGAGGACGCAACGATGGGCATGGCTCTAGCTTTAGCTCTAGTCCTAGTAGAAGTCCAAGTCCAACTCCCATGCCGAGAAGAAACCTAAAAACGTACCAAGGTTCCAAATCTGCTGGTCCCGTACTGAAATTGAGTCAGGAGGCTGGCCCCCAGCAAGGTAGACTAGAGCAAGTGGGTGCAAAAGTTGGGGCAACTGAAACGAGAGACTCTTCCAAAATGGTAACTGGCTTGGATCCAAAACCAAGGCGGACGGGAGTTATTTCCAAAGAGTCATCTACACTGGGCCCGAAATCAGGCTTGAAAGACGAGCTGGCTGCGTGGAACACCTTATTCTCGAGTTTAAGTAACAACAAGGCAGTTGCAGATAAGAAACCTGCTGCTAAGCGTAATCTTAGCTCAAAGTCACCAAGCGCATGGGATGACTTATTCTCTAATTTGAAAGAAAGCAATGTGGAGAAATTGGATATAATAACCAAATTGAGCAAGGATTTGGTCCGATGGAAAGATGATACTGTGGCCGATGGTGGTGATAGCAGTGACTCCGATTTTGAGGCGGATACGACTGTTTCAAGCTATTTACTTGAAGGCATTCAAACCTTCAGTGCACCTGCAACAAGACAGGAACTGTCTCCGCCATTTTCTTTCTCAAAATCACTGTCCATGCTCAATGAGACAAACCCACTGCACAAGTTGGCAACCTATGGGAACGTACGAAGCTTCCTTGATGGTGACGGTGACAAAAATCAAGCCATGGATGAACATGCAGCTGACCTAGACGCTGAACCTCTGTCGAAAGACTTAAATGATTTGAAATCGTTGGGTAAGATGCAAATGGAGACCGAAGAAATGGAGTACTTATTTGACTCCCTAGTCTTCATAATTCCTCCATCCTCTAGCAGTTCAATTGAAAGTTGTAACCAAGTGTTGATTAACTTTTTGGTGGATCTTTGTATGGATATATGGAATAGCCAAGAAGTCACGATAGCTTGGAAGGGTAAACTGAGTGGACTTCTCAAACATCTCTCGAAGCGAGTATGCCAGACTTGGAAAGAATTAGCGACATCTATGAACCAAATGAACGGAAAACTAGTTGAATCGCTTATTGTAATTCTTATATATGGGATTTCCATTACAGAGGGAGAGAATATTGATTTAAATGAACCATTTCTTGGCCAAAAATTAATGATGATGGGCAGTTCATCTATATCAATATCAATAGAATCCTACACGCTCCTGTCACAAACAATCCAGAATATAAAGCAATTAGCGCCCATTATTAACTCTGCAAATATACTTGATAAGAGTAAAATAGTTGGCTTATTAGCCAAAGAAGTATGTGAAAAGTCCAAAAATCCGGATTTCCAATTCTTCAAGCTGCTTGCCAAGTTTATCAATGGAAGAGATATACAATTGGCCAGTGGATTAGTATGGGGGTGTAACAATATATCCAACATCTTTGAATTGATCAACGATGATGACGAGTGTTTGGAGACAATAATTAAGTTTTTGGAGTGGGGAGAGTTAAAGGACGACACAGACATAGAGGAGAACAAAGAATTACGATTGAAGGTCCTAGAAATTCTTGTGGTATTGTCTACCAAAATAGATATTGATAGCAAGGAGCTTCTTGGCGTAATAATGGGTTATCAAACAAGAGTAGTGAAGACCGTTTTGGTACCAAATTTGTCTAATTTGGACGATAAAATTTCTGGTGACTTAGCAATCCTTGCAATGGGCTATCTTCTCAACATAGTAGAGTTCAGTAATGCCCAAGGAATTCAGATTGAGTTTCTTCCATACATTCAAGACATTTTCTTGAAATTACCCAAAGAGCCCTCAAACGACATCGAGATTCATATAAATGGGTATTTTGCATTAATAGTAGCTATACTAAAAGTTGACTTGTTCGATAGAGAGTTGATAATAGATCATTTGACAAAATTCCAAAGAGAGATATCAACCATAGGTAGAAATAAGATCTACGAAAAGATATCCTTAGAGTTAAAACTATTACTAGATGATAAATGAAATAAAAATGTATGCTTCTATTCTAATAATGTAACGAGTTGTAGTGTTTTCATTCTATAGTATAAAACGTGATGCAACCCATTTAGGATTATAATGCAAAACCACTAATGCACTAAAACTGCTTAAGCGGAAAACCAATTTTAGGTTGCTAACGTTTGCTCTGGGAGGTTTGAATTTAAAGAAAAACAAATTGTGTTAGGTTGACAAATAGACGAGGTAATAGAGACTACTCATGGATGTTAACTTCCTGAAGTTGTCAGAAGAATTTCCACATCTAAAGAAACACTTCAAGGAAAATGGAAAATACGATTTTGGTAGGGAGGGTGCTGTTTACGATATTAGTGAAGTAATACTAAAAAAGGTGTATGACTTGAACATTCATTTTGATCGTACTAAGCTTTGTCCAAGGATTCCGAACCGGCTAGCTTATATTAAGTGGTGCGAAAGACTAGTACATGAGAGGTGTGAATTGAACAAGGATAAAGCAGAAGGGTTTATTAGTATTGACATAGGTACTGGATCATCAGCGATATACCCATTCTTAGGAGTTAAGCATTCAAAGTTTGCATCAGTTTTCATTGGAACAGATGTTGATCCTCACTCGATTGACCATGCCAGCTCTCTTGTCCATGCAAATGGTTTACAAGACAGAATTAAATTGGTTACAGTAAGCAATTCTGAAGAGATAATAAATTCATCTTTGATCGATAGTGAAGACTTGGATAATCACGTTGTGTCAATTACGATGTGCAACCCTCCCTTTTACAGCTCGCACGAAGATCTCTTACACCATGCACAGAACAAGCCGGACAGAACAAATGTGCTAACTGCCAGTGAATCAGAGCTTATCTACAGTGATGGAGGAGAATTTGGATTTGTCAGTAAGTATGTTGAGCAGAGTTTACGTATTAAAGATGCTGCTTTTAACGAGTGTTGGTTTACAAGTCAATTAGGATTAAAGGGGACTTGCGATCGGTTGGATGAAAAGATGAAGGAATTGAAGTTCAACAAATTAGTTAAAGCCTACATTATTGAAGAATTGATTATAAGAGACATGACTTTCCGACCTACTACCAAGAGATGGGTGATTGCATGGACAGTGAACTCTAAATTTCATTACCCAATTCCAAGACTACGCATTCCGAACATTTTGTTAGACTTGGTGTATGAGAAGCTTAACACTTTCCTGTATTGTACTTTGTATTTTGATGAATACAAGACATCATTCTACTTGGAGAGCGAGTATCCGACATGGACTAGGAAGCTCCAGCGTCAAATTAAGTTTAAAAGGCTGGACTTCTTGAAAAACGGAAGCCAGAAGTGCATTTTCAAAGTTGCTGGCGATTGCGTATATTGGGTATACGGGGAAGACAACTATAGTTGGGAAACGATAAAGACCTATTTACTAAAAATTAGATAAAAAACAATGAGAAGAAGTAACTCTACGTCTTGAATGTAGGACCGCTAGGAGCAGTATTTTGTGTGTATTCTGGTCCTAAATGGCTCTTCAAAGAAGAGAATTGGGACCCATCCATTGTAGTATGCGACCATTTTATAATTATGAGAGAATGTTATGATACAGTGCTAAGTGCTTTTTAGTCATTCCAGTTATCCAAAAAGTTGCCAATCTTTTACTGTATAGTTAGCTGTGGCACTCTTCAACAACTTGTAGCCCTTCCCTATCAGGGTACTTGAATCGGAAAGGTCGCGCTCAATTCCTTCCTGGGTTAGTAATTCCTGAGCCAGAGGTATGAATGGAACATTCACAGAAATTAGGACGTCTGTGTCTACCTTTTTGAGCTGGATCAAGCCAATTAATGTCACCAGTGAGTACTTATCACGTTTGGGGCTCTTTTGTATGAAATATGTGAAATATGCATCCTGGTTTAGGCTATCGTTACGAATGGTTTGGTAAGAAGTAGTTGGTTTTTCTACATCCTCAGAAATTTCTTTTATGTGCAATTGTAGTAATTCTTCGACTGTATTTGCTTGCACGCTCTCTAGCAAGTCGAAAATTATAGACAGATCCAACTTTGGGTCATTTTGCTTGGATTCTATTATGAATACCTCTTGCGTATCGGGGATTTCTCTTATTTGCGAAACATCGATTGCCTCTGAAGGAAGTTCAGTGGCTACAGCGCCGCCGTACAAGGGGTAAAAGGGCATGTTTAGGTTGTTGCTGAGCAAAGCTGGAGGTATTATGAGGGAAAAAAAGCAGTACAAAGTACTAACGAGACGATGTGCTAGGGCAGAGTGGGTGTGAGCTGAATTAGGTGATGGCGTACTGCATTTAAGTGGAACACAGCGCAGAATACTGAAATGCTGCAATGCAGTTGAAGGGGAAGAGGGTTGCAGAAGCACTACAATAGGCGGTATGAAATATAGTATGGTTTCAGGCATTCATTCGAGGGCTGCAAGCTAAGTGGCCAGGGAAGTGTCTTGACTATTACCGGTATAGAGGGGTATTAAGCTAGGGACTGCTCCGTAGGATGAATGTTTCCGGTTGGTGTGGCGTATGCAGGCCTCAAACCAATGGGTGCAACAAAGGGAAAATGAAAAATAAAAAAGTGAAACAAAAAAAAAAAGAAAAGACACTTTGAAAAACTATCGCCTACTCTGCGCCAGCAGGCTAGTGGGCCAGTGCAGTCCCTAATCAACACCAACTGAAAGGGATATACTACTCGTAACTACCTCCAATAGAACTATATCGAGAACCTTAAATCTTTCCTCTTGTTTTCGTATTTAAAAAAAAAAAAAAAGAAAAAAAAGAAAAGATACTTAGAAAATTCATCGCTACTACTCTCCGCCAGTGGACTAGTGGGCCAGTGCAGACCTAATCAACACCAACATTAAGGGCTGCATTACTTTTAACTACCTTGACTACCACCAACAAAATGATTTCAGGAGCCGTAAAATCCTTCCTCTCGCTTTCCTACGTTATTTTCTGTGCTTCCTTATATCCCTGCTACTTCTCTTTTATCTCATCCCGCCTTTTCACTCCTAACTCTCCTCTCCTGATCATCTCCTACTTGTCTGGAAAGGTTCCAAATTCGCGTTCGTTTCTCTGCTAATCGACGCTTTTTGAGCTCGCCGCTCCCAGCTCGCCGCACCGTTTGGCATTCTTTGAAGCCACCAAGAATCGCGTCCTGCATATACACCCATAAAATTCTATTATTATTTTTTTTTTTTTTTGGGAGCCCTTTGATAAAATCAAAAGGAAAAATAGTCAGTAGAGGGTATCGTTCTTGTTCATTCGTCATTGGGATAGTTTACTAGGTATGCCGTCGTTTTTCTCGAGGAGGAAACCTATATTCATCACGATAGTGGTGATCCTATTCCTTCTAGTAGTTACTAAGCTATCCACGTCGAAGGAATCGGCAGCGAAAAACTTACAAGACGCTTTATCGATTCCAAATGATAATAATTTGTTGCTGAGTATCGCGTTGCTTCTGTCACAACACAAGGAAGATGAGTTTTTGCAGAAGTTGGAGAAGATTCACAAGAAGCTTTTGGATAAGCAGGAGCAGAGACTCGTGCTCTTGGAAGAGCAAAATATAATGCTCGTTAAGGAATTGAACTCGTTGAAAAAGCCACCTCACGATGCTTCCTTGAGAGACAAGTTGGTCCACTTATACCCTTACGATAGATCGGTCAAGTTCCCTGCCTATATATGGCAATCATGGAAACATGGATTGAACGACGAAAGGTTCGACGAGAAATTTAGACAGGGTGAAACGGAGTGGGCCTGGAAGAACCCAGGGTTTGTCCATGAATTGTTTAACGACGACACTGCCAACGCTATGATCCATCATTTGTACGTCTCCATTCCAGAGATTGTCAGGGCATACGATATGTTGCCTGAAGTGATCTTGAAAATGGATTTCTTCAGATACTTGATCCTTTTTGCTCGTGGTGGTGCTTATGCAGACATCGATACAGTCCCACTTCAGCCAATCCCCAATTGGATTCCAGAGAATGTGTCTCCTAACGAGTTGGGGATGATCATAGCGGTAGATATTGACTCGTCTGCCTCGAACTGGAGGGAAATCTACTGGAGAAGGTTACAATTTGGACAATTTATCCTTCAAGCTAAACCAGGACACCCGATCTTAAGGGAAATCATTGCTCAAATCACGGAACTTACGTTGGAAAGAAGTAACAACGACGAATTAAATCTTGGAGATAGTGTAGCGGCCAAGGGTTTGGAGCTTCAAAAATGGACAGGGTGTGGAAGATGGACCGATGTGGTGATGACTTACTTTAATGATTACATGCAGAGTTCTATTTATTCCAAGATCACTTGGAAGGAATTTCATAAGTTGAAGGTGCCAAAGTTGGTAAGTGATGTTTTGGTTTTACCAATATCCTCATTTGCCAGTGAGTTGGAAATACCAAAGGACGGAAAGATCGAAGATCCGTTAGCATTTGCCAAGCATTACGCCGGTAAGATCTGGAAGACAACGTAAGGATAAGGAGAAAAGAATGAAGAGACAAAACCACCAGTATGTGAGTGCGTGGATTATGGAGTACGTGTAGAATATAGGTTGACATGCATAGGAGAGGTTGAAAAGTAAAGATATTAGATAGAAGTGGAATAAATACAAACAATCAGTACAGCGTTTGAAAAACACTAGGGAAGAAGTTGCAGGCTGGTGAAGTAGTAGCAGGCTGGCGAAGCAGTTAAAGACTAGTGGGTTGAGCAATTGTAGAGCAGTATAGAGAATCAAAATCACCATCTAGCAGATTATAGTAACCAGCTGGATAACTACTAGAAAAATGGTGGCACCAAAATTTTCCATCATTCTGCGCTACTCGGTGTTCAGCGTCCAATTCATCTTGAGCACTGTCCAGCCAGAACAAACACTGAGCGACTTGGTATGTCTGACCCACTTCGCTTCCACCTCTCTCTGACTCTCTGGCCCTTGGCTCGTCCTGTACACACCGACCTTCGCGACCTGCATATAATCCCGTTTCTTTTTCGTAGTTTGTGTGTTCCGTTTCGAAATTAGTAATTGCCGTCCTCCATAAGAGTTTGGATGGTGTTCTTTTGCTTCCAACTAACACATCTATCATCATAATTATGTCAGATAAGATGCAAATTGACTCCCCTCCACCTCAAGATGGGGTTGAGGGAATCGACGAATCGTTATACTCCAGACAATTGTATGTTCTTGGTAAGGAAGCAATGTTGAAAATGCAGAATTCTTCAGTCTTGATTATTGGCTTAAGAGGTCTTGGTATAGAAATAGCCAAAAATTTGGCTCTTGCTGGTGTCAAGTCGATTGGCTTGTATGACCCAGAACAAGTTGAATTAGTTGACTTATCCACACAATTCTTTTTGAGTGTGGATGACGTCAATAGTGGCAAGACTAGAGCAGAGGTGTCAGCAATCAAGTTGAAGGAATTAAACCTGTACGTCCCAATCAATGTCATCACCAAATTGGATGATTCACTCATAACTCTGTATAAATGTGTCGTTGCCACCAATGTTTCTTTGGAAGAGCAAGTGAGATTGAACGAATTAACCCACTCCCATAACATTGGTTTCATCTCTGCAGACATCAGAGGGTTGTTCGGACAAGTCTTTGTTGATTTCGGACCCAAATTCTCTGTCATCGACCAGACAGGTGAAGAGCCTAAGAGTGGTATTGTCTCTGATATCGAGAAGGATGGAAGTGTCACTATGTTGGACGATAACAGACATGGATTGGAAGACGGTGATTACGTGAAGTTTAGCGAAATTGAAGGTATTCCAAGCTTGAACGATGGTCAGCCACGTAAGATCGAAGTCTTGGGACCTTTTGCATTCAAATTGGATCCATCAACCTTCACTGGAACTTACGTAAAGGGAGGGTTATACCAACAAGTCAAGATGCCCAAGGAAATCTCGTTCCAATCCTTACAACAGCAATTGGCCGAGCCTGAATATGTCTTCTCTGACTTTGCTAAGTTTGACAGACCTCCTCAATTACACTTGGGATTCCAAGCCTTACATGCTTTCCAAACCGCAAATAACGGTAGATTACCAAAACCATACTCCGAAGAAGACGCTAACCAATATATTAAGTTAGTTCAGGACTTGGCCACTCAACAACCTCAAATATTAGGTGAAGAGGGTGAAGTGAATGAAAAATTGTTGCGTGAATTGGCTTATCAAGCTACTGGTGATATTCCTGGTATGGTTGCCCTTTTTGGTGGACTTATCGCTCAAGAAGTATTGAAATGCTGTTCATCTAAATATGGTCCTGTTAAGCAATGGCTTTACTTTGATTCTCTTGAGTCATTACCCTCGAATGCCGAATTCCCAAGATCTGTGGAAGAAAATAGACCAATTGGCTCCCGTTATGACGGACAAATTGCAGTTTTCGGTAAGAAGTACCAAGAGCGTATCTCTAACTTGAAGGTGTTCTTGGTTGGTTCTGGTGCCATTGGTTGTGAAATGATGAAAAACTGGGCAATGATGGGTCTTGGTTCTGGTCCACACGGAAAGATCTTCATTACTGATAATGACTCAATTGAAAAATCCAATTTGAACAGACAATTCTTATTCAGACCAAAGGATGTCGGTAAAAATAAGTCAGACATCGCCTCCGTAGCAGTTCAGACTATGAATCCAGATTTGCGTGGTAAAATAGATTCTAGATTGGATAAAGTAGGACCAGAGACTGAAGATATCTTCGATGATGCCTTCTGGCAAAGTTTGGATTTTGTTACCAATGCTTTAGATAACGTTGATGCAAGAACTTATGTTGATAGAAGATGTGTATTCTTCAAGAAGGCATTATTGGAATCTGGAACTTTAGGAACTAAGGGTAATACCCAAGTTGTTATTCCAAATATGACTGAGTCTTATGCCTCATCTCAAGATCCACCTGAGAAATCCATCCCATTATGTACTTTGAGATCATTCCCCAATAAAATTGATCATACCATCGCTTGGGCAAAGTCTTTATTCCAGGGATATTTCGTCGATTCGCCAGAAAATGTCAACCTTTACTTGAGTCAACCAAATTACGTAGAGCAAACTTTGAAGCAAAATCCTGATATCAAGGGTACTTTGGAAAATATTGCTGAATATTTGAATCAAAGACCATACAGTTTTGACGATTGTATCAAGTGGGCTAGAATAGAATTCGAAAAGAAATATAACCACGAAATCTTACAGTTATTATTCAATTTCCCTAAGGATGCTACGACATCTACTGGTGCACCATTTTGGTCTGGTCCTAAGAGAGCTCCAACTCCATTAATATTTGACAGCAATAATGAAGATCATTTAGATTTTATTATTGGTGGGGCTAACTTATTGGCAAGTATTTATGGATTAAAGGAAGAGCTGAATGCTGACCCAGTTGAATATTATAAAAAGGTTATATCTCAAACAGTGATTGAGCCATTTACTCCTAGAAGTGGAGTAAAAATTCAAGCAAATGATAATGACCCAGTAGAGGATGCTACCGGTGGATCTATTGATGATGATCAAATCAAGAAGATCGCTGGCTCATTACCAGAGCCTTCAACTTTGGCAGGCTTCAGGTTGACTCCTGTCGATTTCGAAAAGGATGACGATACTAACCACCATATCGAATTTATCAATGCGGCTTCCAATTGCAGAGCTTTAAACTATGGTATTGAAACTGTCGACCGTTCGAAGACTAAATTTATTGCAGGTAATATTATTCCTGCAATTGCTACTACAACTGCCTTGGTTACTGGATTAGTATGCTTGGAATTATATAAAGTTGTCGATGGAACCAAAAAGATTGAGGATTACAAGAATGGGTTCATTAACTTGGCGTTGCCATTTTTTGGATTTTCAGAGCCAATTCAATCTCCTCAAGGTAAATACAATGATAAATCTTATGATCAAATTTGGGATAGATTCCAATTAAAGGGTGCAGATTTGACTTTACAAGATTTGTTAGACTACTTTGAAAAGGAAGAGGGTTTGGAAATTACAATGTTATCATATGGTGTGAGTTTGTTATATGCTTCCTTTTTCCCTCCAAAGAAGTTGAAGGATAGATTAGGTTTGAAATTAACGGACTTGATCAAAGAAGTCAGTAAGAAAGATGTTCCAAGCCATGTTAAGAATTTAATTTTTGAGGTCTGCTGTGACGATAAAGAGGGTGAAGATGTTGAAGTACCATATATTTGCGTCACCTTGTAGAGTGTCGACCAGTTTATGAGCTTTTTTTTAGATAAAGTTTTTATTAAATATATATATTTACTGAAAGTGTCCGTAAAATTATCATCTGTTGAGAATCCTGAACAATTCACCCTTTTCCTTTACTAATTGGTTATACTCTCCATCCTCTACTTTAACACCCTTCTTCAAAACACAAACTCTGTCACAACTTCTCATCATCTCCTTGGAATGAGTAATTGCAAGAATTGTGACATCTCGTTTTCGATAAAACGATTGGGAAACAAGGTTGCATATAATCTTAGAGTTGTCTGGGTCTAAAGCAGAGGTACATTCATCCAATATTAATATCTTTGGCTTTCTGAGTAGTGCCCTCGCAATGCTTAGTCTTTGGAGCTGCCCACCTGAAAACTTTGAGTTTGAACCTTCTCCCATAGGAGAGCTTAGTCCCAATTCCAATGAAGATATAAAATCGTACATATTAACAACTTTTAGGGCTGATTCAATTTCGCCAACTGTTAAGGAATTTTGATTTAAACCGTAAGACAAATTTTCATATATAGACCCTTCGAAAAATGAAGAAATCTGAGGGACATATCCTATAATACTTCTTAACCATTCCACATCTAGTTCATTTATACTTGTGTCCTTTATCAGAATAGTACCCTCTCTTGTTATGTGGAATCTTTCGAGAAGTAAGGCAATTGTTGATTTACCGGACCCCGATTCTCCTGTAATCGCAACAGATTCTCCCTCTTGGATTCTCAATTGTAATCCTTTTAAGACCCTTGAAGCTGGCCTGTTAGGATAACTAAAGCTGACATTGTCAAACAGAATAACCGGAAGCTTACTTCGAAGAAGGTTGGTGTATGGTCGAATCAGACCCCTGGTTTCAGTTTCGGATTCTTCAAGCTCTAGTAGCTTAATTATGTAGGTTCCTGCTCTTCTACCTCTAGAAATGTCAGGAATTTGTCCAACTAGACTGCTAACCATTGCCATTGTGAATGTCAATAGAGTAATAACTTGAATTGATCTTTCTTGAGTGTACTCTCCTTTACCAGTTAATTCCATAGCGTATAATAAGATTGTCCCTGTAGCAACTGATATGCATAGTCCCGAAAGTGATTCACCAAATCCACCAAGAATTGCTCTCACAGTACCGTTGTGTTTTAACGTATTTATTTTGATTATGAATTTATCAATGAAAACTTCCCTTAAATCTAGTGAGATGATTGATTTTATATTCAGAACAGAATCATGAAGGTGGCTTTCAGTTTCACATACACTATTTTTGTACTTATGCTCGATAACCTGGAGAATACTTGAATACAATCCTGTGACAATTATAATCAAAGGAACAAATGCAATTCCAACAAGTGCCAATTTCCATCCAATTACAATAGACCAAACCACGCCTACAAGGGACATGATTACCAAATTTGCAGCCAAAGTGATTGCTTCACTAACCAAATTTCTCAAATCTCTTGTGTCATTCATTATTAAAGTTGTCAAAGCTGCTGGGTCCGTAGTTCCTAACTCGAAATAGGATACGTCCTTTTCGACAAGTTTAGCAAATATTTCCTTTCTTATATTGACGATCCACTTTTCGCTTATACAGAGTAAAGTGAATTGAGATATGTACTGACAGCATCCTGATGCAATTGCAATTCCAATAACAATACATGACCAAGTCTTCAACTGCAGCATTACATCTTGTCCCAATGAAACCAAGACCATATTGGACATTAATTTTGAGAAACAATAAGAAAACACTGGATTCAAAACTCCACCAAAAATTGAAATTAGAACTGCAAAAGAGAGTAGCAATTTTTTGGGAATAAACTGCTTAGTGTACTTCAAAATAAAATAGGCAGATTTTAAGTCTTCTAAATCTTTCTCGTTGGATTCTTTTTCCAAATCTTTCAGGACAGCGGGGTTAGATATGTAGTTTGGAATCTTCTCACTGAGCTCTGATAGCTCAGGTTCATAAATCAGTGCACCTTTTTCATTTATATTCTCGTTTGTTTCCTCGTTTAGGTGTTCGCATGTCACCCTTCCACCATCTAAGGTAATGACGTAGTCATTTCCTTCTAAGGAGGAAATATCATGCGTAATAACTATAGTAGTCTTTCCCTTTCTCCAATCTCTAATGGAACTAAGCAAGGCTTTCCTATGGCGCAAGTCTAGCTCGCTTAAAGCTTCATCGAGAATCAAGACCTCAGTATTTCTAAAGAAAGCTCTAGCCATTGCAATTCTTTGTTTTTGACCCCCACTTAATTTCTCTGGTGCAATCACTGTAGATAATCCGTCTTTTAAATCGCTTAAAACGTCATGGAGTAGAGCAAACTCGCATGCTTCTTCAACCTTAGCCATATTCGAACCATACGTTTCACCACAACCAATAGTTATATTCTCCATCAAAGTATCTTTAAATATGGCAGGAGTTTGCTGGAGGTAAGTGATATTCTTGGCTAACCATTTGTTGCTTAATGTTTCAATATTAAACCCATCTATTTCGATCCTTCCGCTATTGTCTGCTGGTTTGTAAAATTGAAGAATCAATTGAGCAATAGTAGACTTCCCAGAACCAGATTTTCCAACGATAAAGTTCATTATGCTGGGTCTAATTTCTAAATCAAAATTACTCAACACTTGAATACTGGGTCTTGCCGGATACGTGAAATTAACATCTTTGAACCTGATACTGCCCATACAAGCACTAACTGGGTATATTCCACCGTTCATTACTGGTACTTTGAATTTTTGCAGCAATTCTTTTATGCGGGCCAGAGAGTGCGGCGCGGGCTGCATGAGTGTTGCAATTTTCTCAACGGCCGCATACGCTTTGTTAAGTATAGCGAAGATGGCACTGATGCTACTCATCTTAGTACCCAAAGCCAAACATGAGCTGAAACAAGTAAATACTTGGTTAATCGATAAATGACCTCTGCTCATTAAATAGTTGCCAAACCAAAAACCTTGTACAAACATCATGAAACTTAATGTTTTCAATATGCCTCCGTTTGCAGAGATTGCATTGGATTCACGAAAGAATGCCTTCGCAGATTGATCCACGTTCCTGTTGAACTTCAGTATTTCCAAATATCTAGCATTGAACATTTTAATGGCTTTGTTGTTGACAAGGTTCCAGTCCAAGATCTTAGAGCAAATAGAAGAGTAGTTATTCTCCGCGTCTGCTGCTCTTCTTGTTAGTGATCCGAAAATCCAGCCAAATATCGCAATAACTGGGACACTAGCCAAGATAACTAAAGTTAACGCCCATGATTGAACCATCGCCATTACGAAAAGACCAACACAAGTTGACAATGTTTCCACTAACAACCCTAAATGCCCAGAAGCACCCTCTCTGAGCTCCTCGATGGATCTGTTCACTTGGGTTATCTCTCCCATTAGCTGCGATTTCCCATCGTACCACTCCATGTTGGTGAATTGGACCAATTGATAGTACAATTTCGTCCTGATTCTATTGGCTTGTCTTTCACCGAATATTAGCCAAGCGTAAATCGATACCCACCTGAAAATTGCCTGAATTAGTCCTACTATCATTATCAATCCAGCAAGGTACCTGATTTGGGCAATAAACGTTGAGTATTCCACTCCATAAACGTAGAAATCGGAAAGCTTTTCAAAGATTTTCCCGTAGATGTAGGATTGTAGGGGAACAGCAGCAGTAGACAAAGAGATTACCACCAGAGCAAGAGTTAAAACAGGTAGATCGGATCTCTCCATGTACCGGAAAAGAGAAGTGAACCCAGAAGCACGAATTTTTTGGTCTCTTTCACTTTTCGTACCACAGGAAGATACATCAGAGCAACTTCTTGCTTCGAGCATCTCAAGCTGAATATCGCTCTTCATACTCATGAGAAGATTAAGAACAAAACCTGAGAGAAATAATAAAAAAAGTCAAAAAAAACCGGCAAGAACCAAACAGCTATAGACCCCCTTGAATCTATCATACTATTCCTGGTCACATTTGCCGGAATCTTTCTCCCTTTATACCCTTTGGCTTCCCGAAGTGTGTATCATTGCAACTAATCTCATATGTTTGAAGGAACTTTCCCAATCGGGCTTCTCAATTGCAGCATTTTTTTTTTTTTTTCAGTGGCTCGTAAATTTTCTATCTGAAATATCTGGCCCGGGCTCACACTCTCTTTAAGTTATACAAAATCACATGCTCCTCTTGGTCCACCATTCAATGTTGGGAGATCAGGTCTACTATATAAAGAGAACAGGTTGGTGCTTAATTGGTGTATAACTTCACTCAAGAGCCTGCTTTTCTTTCAATTGAACAATTTTAGTTAACCATGTCTTACATCACTGCATCAATTGATGACTTAAAGTATCTCTATTCTAACGGTAGCAAGTTTGTTGATTTCTCCAAGCCCGATATCGTTTTCGCAATTCAGTCTATTGCCTTCAATCCGATCTTCTGGAATATTGTTGCTAGATTGGAATATAAGACTCATTTTCTTACCAAGGTAGCCGGTGGTGCCCGTAATGGATGTTACCTTTTGGCTCTTACTATCTTTTCTTTGGGAATTTTCAGAGATCACGTCTACTTTAATGCTCTTCAGAACCAACCAACTTATGAACCATTTTTGACCAACCCGGTGTTCCAAGCAATTGCCATTGCGCTGTTCGGTTTTGGAAATATCTTGGTTTTGACTTCAATGTATGCATTGGGTGTCACAGGAACTTATTTGGGAGACTATTTTGGTATCTTAATGGACGACAGAGTCACTGGATTCCCATTCAACATTAACGATAACCCTATGTACAACGGTTCTACCTTGTGTTTCTTGGGCACTGCCTTATGGTACGGGAAGCCAACTGGTTTGGTTGTCACCTTCATCGTGCATGGATTCTATAAATTAGCTCTCTTCTTTGAAGAACCTTTCACTGCAAAGATCTATGCCAAGAGAGAAGAAGCAAGAAGCAAGAAGCAAGAGTAGTGGTGATGAAGACTAGTGACGAAGAAGCAAGAAGTTGAAAGCTTGAGAGGGAGTATGGTAGATAAAATAAAAGGAACTTTGTTATAAGGTTTATAAAATATGATATTCGTAAAAGTATAGTATGCTATATGTAGTTTCTCTATCTAAAATACAAAATGAATTGAATGGCATCGTCAAGCGGCCCAGGCCACTCCATCTCGTCGTTAGCAGAACTCAAAGTTACTTCTAGTTCCGTGGTCATTTACAAAGCCAAGACTGAGCGACTGAAACATCTCAAAGCTCTTGTGATAGTACAACCCGCTAATAGACCCTGGTGCTCCCAAGCTGTTCTTGGAGTCTCCACCCTTGCTCTCATGGTGGTATTGGTGCAGCAGGTTGGCTGGCCCAGGCGAAGGTTTACTGTTACTGGCTCCGGTGCTAAAACTGCCGCCGCCATTACCACTGATTCCATCACCAATGTTCAAAACAATGAAGTAAAAGCCATCGTACGAAGCTCCGAAAATCTTTTCTACCCTCGAGTCGGGTACCAAAAACTCCTCCTTCCACCTCATATATATGAACTGGTCACTGTTACTGCTGTTCCCGGTTACCCTGTGGTGTTGCGACTGTATTTGGTTCAATTTGTTCCTAATCTGGCAATCAGCTGAGTCCCTCATTTGAGTCAAGATTTCCCAGTGGTCAAAATCGTTCTTTATGGACGACTCCCACTGTCTGTTCTCAGTTGCAAACGAAAATTTTTGGATGGTATCGTCGGTCAATGAGTTTTCCGGAGATTTCCAATCATATTTGTTCAAGGGGTTGTTTATAATTTCTCCTTTGAAATACGTCGTGATGTTCGTAGGAGCTGGAGTGAGTCCAGTTATCTCAAGAAATCCAGTAACCAAAGAGTTGACCATGTCTACAGTCTTGAACTGAACCTCGATGTAATATCTTGACAGATCAGACAATTGCTCACCCACAAACTTGGCATTGGGCTTAAGGTACGAGTTGGAAAACCTGGGGATAGTTGAAGTCCTGCGCCATGAATCAGGTGGAATATGCTTGTCCAAGTGATTAAGGCCCTTCGAGGGGATCTTATTTATTCTGAGTCCGGGGCCACTAGACCCTGATCCGCGGAGCCAGGGCGGGTTGAGGGACGACTTGCTATCAGACATAGCAGGGTCATGATCTTCTAGATTCTCCTGCTTTTCTTTATCCTCGAGTTCTTGTTTATTTTTCTGTTGCTGCTGATGTTCTACGATAGTGTTAAACAACTTGTCTTTATCGTTTTGAAAGGGCGAGGTTGACTGCAGCTGCTCCGTTTCAAAATCACTATAGTTTGTAGGTGTGAAGATAAACTCGTCGGATCCAGAGGAGGTGCACTTTTCCAACTTTTCTTTCATATGTACTGCAGTCGAAATTGATTCTGGTACAGAAGGTGGGGGTTCCGGGTTCTCTGTAGAGTGTATTAATGGCGCTTTTGGTGCATCTTCGCCATGGTATTCAGTAACAGGCATCTTTCAATTTTGGTGCCCCGCTTTGTTGTGGTCTGTGAATGGAAAATAGGTACCGTTTAAAGGGATTTCAATAGGCAGGAGACAGAAAATTAAACCCAGATTCTCAGTCTGACCTACTAACACTATAAAATAATATATTATCTCCGTCTTGAAGGAGGTCAAAAAGAGCAAAGGTGAATCACCTAGAGTAGATGACGTGCGCCCGTTATCGGAAAACAAGGAGAGCCTTATCACATTCTTTGTGTAAAATGTGGAGTCGCGTGATAGTAGTCACGTTCCTGTATAGGTATTGCTCTGGCATTTTTTTTTTTTTTTCTTTTCTCTTTTTATCTGGCTCGATCAGTGTGGAATGATTAGCAAGCTGGACTCACTCTAAGAAGCTAAGTGATTAGCCCAGTTTTGGCATATATGTCTGCTCCACCTTCTCCCCCACATCCATTGCCCAATGAGGAGATAGACCATTTGCCAGAGGGCCAACTTCCCGGTGCCACGATCGATGATTTGGAGCTAAACCCAGACTTGTACAATGACGTCAGTGATGATGAACTTGATGATGTAAATGCCAATGGTGCTCTGGAAGTGCCTAATGGAGATGATAGTAGTAAAAGTAAAAGCAATAAGAATGTAGAAAACGAAAACGATAATGACCAAACAGAAAAGGAGGTGGAAGCACCTTCGTTTACGCTTGCATTCGACTCTGCGTTGGAGCTTACAGAGTCCGACTTCAGTAGTAACTCAACAAATGCGACCGGGTTGACACTCTCGCAACAGAGTAGGTTCATTAACTATATAGATGAAAGGTTACTAGCCATACAACGTAAGTTTATAAAGTCCCATATAGAAGGAGAGGTAGCGTACCCGATGATGGAATTGTTGAAGGATCTCTCGAAGACGCTCGATTTGATCTGGTATTCGATAAATCTGAAGAGTAAATTGTTTGGACAACAGCATTACTTCATCAAGATTATGGGGGACTTAGAAGATTATATAAGTAAGTTAAATATAGGTCAGCTGCTATCGGCACAAAACTATGAATTGAGCAATGAAGACGAAGCAGACTTAATGGAATTGTTTTTCATGCTTCAAAACTTGGACGTTCGATTGAGCTTTCTCTTTGATGGGTTCAAAGAAGAAAGCGGAAACACTATTCAAAAATTATCCGGTACGGAAGCAGTTAGACTCGGGCCAATTGTTTCAAGATTAAGAGTAATTGTGGTGGATAAGCTTGAAAGTTTGAGAAGTAAATTGGCTCAATCGTCCAGTAATAGCTCTAGGCATATTCTGAATATACTTGATGTTGAAACCGGGAAGCTATTTGAAGGATTGAGTCAAAGAATATAAAATACGAAGTGAACATATAACTAAATTAAACTTAGGAGTATCAAATGGTCTATAATTTCGAACATTTTTCGTCACGTCATAGAGAAAAAACACAGAGCATAGCTCTGGATATGTACAGAGTATATCTATACTAATTATTATGATTTAGTTCAGTTCTAGTATATAATACGAAGTGAGCATGGAATAAAAGGAACAGAGGAGTATAAGCAGTCTGTAATTTAAAATACTTTCGTAGCGTCATGGACAAAAAAACAGAGCATGGTTCTGGATATGTACAGATTTTAACAATACACTAGTCATTACGGTTAGTTAAGTTCTAACATGTAGCATATTAATTTGCAGCCATTTCTTTGAGCCAGCCTTTACCTTGTCTTCCCATTCGCACCCAATATGGAAGTTGAAAATGAGTTCTCAATTTTGAAGGTGTAATTTTTTCTTCTTTAGTTGACTTCTTTTAGGTTACACTGATCCACTTTACAGCATATATAGAAGCAAATGTGGCCATTTTCTAGCTCGTCTACTAGATCTACCGATGATCTTGAAAAGGAACTTCCCGAAAATTTGAAAGTAGTATTCCAAAAGGAAAACCCGGAGCACAGACAAGATGAGTCCATTGAGAAAAATACGAAAGAGCAAATCTTGGTGAACAGGATGATTCAAAAAGCACAAGAAGAACATAAGAACTACAACTTTGAATTTGATCAATATAAGAAAAACGAAAACATAGCTAAGGTAAGTTCAATAAATTGCGCAGAATTGCAGCAGAATGTCCTCTTGTGTCTAAAGAGCTGGAAAGCTACTGACTATACGTTTTGCGCAAAGGAAATAAAATCTCATTCAAATTGCTTGGAAGTCCAAACTGAGGCCCTTAGGAAATTGCAGTATGATAACTGTGTAGATTTGAAGCATTGTAAGCAAATTAGATTTATCGTAGATGAATTATTTGTCAAAAACTTTGGATCATTGGGTGAAAAGTTCGACGAAGACAACTATATAACTTTTATGAGAGAAGTGGAAGGGAATTTCGAAAACCTTTGGAGCAGCTAAGAAAACTGAAACAACTGAAAAAACTGAAACAACTGAAAAAACTGGAGAGTTAAAACCGACAAAAAACAAAGTAATAAGTGATAAAGAATTATGATTACATTACCAATATAATGTTGTCTTTAATTTATGGCTTTTTACGTCTTCCTACTGTATATATCCTTAACTAAATTGTTCCATAGTTCCAATTTCTCATGGAACTTTAAGCTTGTAACTAGTCCAGAAGTATTTGGAAATATATACAAACCATAGTCGTCATATCCTAAGTGCTTTTGTAGGCTCAAAAGTAAACGCCTGTATTCTCCTTCCGCCTCACTAACCTTTTGCACTCCCCATTTAAAATCCTTTAACTTGAAGTTCTTAAATCCATTTAAGTAGGTGACTATGACTTCCCAAATACCTTTGCCAATGAAGCACAAGAATTTTGGCTTAGCAGCTTTTAGTTCATCAAATAGTCTAGGCACATTCTCTAGCTTCTCTGCTTTAGTTAGTTCGTCAATAGCCTTTGTACATCTCAAGACCATATCAGTGAAGCCAATTCCATAATCTAGTAAGTCATAATCATCGACTGCAGTGAATTTAGAGACTTCTTGGCCAGTAGTACGGCTTTGAAGAAAAGTGTCGTTTTCTAATGCTGTTTCTACATCAACTACACTATATATGAGCTTGGATTGGTTAAATAACTTCCAAAATAAGTTCGAAAAATGTGCATAATGATGCTGTGTTAAAGAAGATTGTAAACCAGGGTTAAATCCTATGAAAACAAGAGTCAAATCAGTTTTCAATGACGGTGGCAAGTCCTTGTAAAGTGACTTATCCAAAAGCTTTTTAGGCTTTGTGGGGGAACTTGATTTCTTCTTTTTGGAAACTTTCAAGTCTACAACTTTCGGCTTAATTTCACCAGGAGTTTCACAGCTATAAGCTTGAATCAAAGACTTGATTTTGTCATCCATACCATATTTAGCTGCTTATTCTAGCCTATTTATCTCTAGCTTTTGTAGCTTTCCATATTCATCTACCTAAATGTTGGGGTACAGTTTTCTCACACCTCATCACGTTCAGTGCACATAACCTCCAATACGTATTTCGATGTTTATGGATTGATGCAATGATGTTTACATTCCGATATAGTCCACTACTCTACCGGTGTTAGTTCGTTTAACTGTACAAAGATGAGCTCCGATGATTCATCTTTTGATTTGTCGTACCTCAATCCATCAGATGTTGGAAGTTCGCCGTCTGAGAGAGGAAAACAACTGCAAGGATCATCCCAGCCACATACGCAATATGGCTATTCAACACCATCTGCTACTTCTAAGTTAATGAAGAGAAATAAACATAAGATATCTCCGATTGATGTTTCTGAATTTACAAATACCAGTACTCCAAGGTCTCCGAAAAGAAACTCTCAGAATGCAGTTAAACAGTCGGACCACAATAGTAGAATTCTGGAATCAGTATTTCAAACTCACCCAGAGTTGAATATGGCAATGCTGCAAGAGGGTAACTTTAACCCTGTCAAAGGTGCAAGGGTTTTGTTTTCTCCTAAACGGGAGATCAATTCTTACATGAAAGACTATCGTAGTCTGCAGAAGATAGTAGGCGATGGGGAACTGGACTATAGTACCCAAGAAAGAAGTATAGATGTAGACCTGGACGTAGACGAAGGTGATGATAATGAGGAGCTTGATATAAGAAAACTGCATGGGAAAGAACAAGACAGTGGCAATGGTAAAAGACGAACTTTGACTGATTCAAGCACACTCCATGATGGAGGTGAGCTGTCGCTATTCACGGATCCAAACACACCTTACGTTCTTTCGCTCTACCTTCAACTAGCATTCAACTTCCTAATCATTTCACTAATAGCATTTTTTATCTTCATATTCGTCAGAACAATTCAATCAGATATCAAGCGTAAAATTGACCTATACACATCCGATATCCTTGAAGAGATATCTTCTTGTACTAGAGAATATTATCGGAACAGATGCTCTCCACCCGAGGATATGGCACCTTGGTTAGAACCATCGTGCACAAAGTGGAAAAAATGTATGAACAGCGATCCAGACTTAATTGCTAGGTCTAAAATAACAGCTGAGACCTTTGCTGACATTGTCAATGGATTTATCAAGCCGATTTCGTGGAAGTCATTGATATTTTTAAATTTGATGGTGTGGGGTTCCTTACTTGCGACGAACGTCACTTTCGGAACATACAGAGCCAATTCTAGAAAGATCGAAGAGGATAATATCAAGCTTAGAGGAAAAGTTAAAGAGTTGGAACGGAAGACTTTATTGCTAGAGGAAGAGCAGAAGAGTGCAAAGAACGAGCATAAATTGATTGCAAACAACACATATCAGTACTAAGCCAGTGATTAAATGGTTGGATAATTGAAACTGCTGAAATTAGTGGTACTAGACTAGAACTAGAACTATACAAATTAGTAGAGATAGAATAACCCTTAGTTTGGAATTTCAAAGTATTCAAAATCTCTCCGGGTATATAGAGACTGGAACTGGTAAGATAACAGAGATATAATGATTCTGTTCTGGAATTTTTGATGAAAACCACTCTACATAATTGAAAACAATGTACTAGACTAGAAGTGGGAAGAAAAAAGATAAATGACGCTAAGTTAACATATATGATGTATGTGGGGATGGAAATGGTTTCGCCGGAGTTGAAGAAAACTGAAGATCGCAGGACTCCGAAGTCAGAAGCCAGTAGACTGACACAGCAACCACTACATATCCCTCTCGCTCTACTCTCTTTCCACAAGTCAAACAATGCTCTTCGTAAAACGATGACAGAAAAATCACTCATCCAGTAATATATATACATATATATATATATATATACATATAGAATTACAAAAGTGCTGAATACAGTTACATACAATGTGCTTTGTAAGGTCTCTGTCTGGCCCCATCCGCACTAAATCGGTACGCACCAAATCTATGCGCCAGATTGTTACTGAACGAAACTACACCACAGTCAGGACCAATAATCCATCTCGAAACAAAAAATTTCACCCTCGCACTCTTCCCATCTTCTACCCATCTCCCAAGTACCACATTCCTTATATACCAAGCCACTACTATCTACACCAGACGAGAGAAGGTGATAACGCTCGTCTCTTCCCTATCGCCAATTCCTGTCTGCAGCAACCCATGCAATCTCTGTTATGAGCCCCCGTCCACTTCAATTTATCGCCAATTTTCCGCTCTTCTTTATCTCTTCCTTATGACTCACTCCGGCATATAGCCGTGCTCATACTGTGAACAAGACTCGGCACTGCAAGCAAAATGGCCGGTGGTTAAATTTTTCATGAACAATTTTTCAACCCTTTAGGCTACGATAAGTTTTGTTTTCTTGATATCGAGTTATTTCAAAACATATTATAATAACCATGGTTAAGAACGTTCTTTTACTTGGTTCCGGATTCGTTGCCAAACCAACAGTTGATATCTTGGCTAAGACCCCAGATGTTAAGGTTACTGTTGCTTGTCGTACTTTAGAAAAGGCTAAGGCTCTTGCTGGTAATGTAGCTGATGCCATCTCGTTAGATGTTTCTGACGAAGCCGCATTGGATGCTGCTGTCGCCAAGGTTGATGTTGTTATCTCTTTGATCCCATACACCTACCACGCTACTGTCGTCAAGTCTGCTATTAAGAACAAGGTCAATGTCGTCACCACTTCTTACATCAACCCTCAATTGAGAGAATTGGAACAACAGATCATCGACGCTGGAATCACTGTTATGAACGAAATTGGTTTGGATCCTGGTATTGACCACTTGTACGCAGTCAAGACTTTCGAAGAAGTCCATGCAAAGGGTGGTAAGATCAAGTCCTTCTTGTCTTACTGTGGTGGTTTACCAGCCCCAGAAGCTTCCAACAACCCATTGGGTTACAAGTTCTCTTGGTCCTCCAGAGGTGTTCTCTTGGCCTTGAGAAACCCAGCCCAATACTGGAAGGATGGTGAAATTGCTCTGGTCAAGTCTGAAGACTTAATGGCCACCGCCAAGCCATACTTCATCTACCCAGGATTCGCCTTTGTTGCATACCCTAACAGAGACTCTACTGCTTACAAGGAAATCTACAACATTCCTGAAGCTGAAACTGTTATCAGAGGTACTTTGAGATTCCAAGGTTTCCCAGAATTCGTCAAGGTCTTGGTTGACATCGGATTCTTAAAGGATGAAGAGTCTCCTATCTTCAAGGAATCCATTCCATGGAAGGAAGCCACTGCCAGTCTCGTGGGTGCTGCTTCTACTTCTGAAGAAGATATCTCCAAGGCTATCGTTGAAAAGGCTACTTTCACTTCAGAAGATGACAAGGCTAGAATCTTGGCTGGTTTGAAATGGTTCGGTTTGTTCTCTGACAAGAAGACCACCGCCAGAGGTAACGCTTTGGACACTCTCTGTGCCACTTTGGAAGAATTGTGTCAATACGAAGAAGGTGAACGTGACTTGGTCTGTTTACAACACAAGTTCGGTATCGAATGGGCCAACGGTGAAAAGGAAGTCAGAACCTCCACCTTGGTTGACTACGGTGATCCAAAGGGTTACTCCTCCATGGCTAAGTTGGTTGGTGTCCCATGTGCCATTGCTACCCAACAAGTTTTGGACGGTACCTTGTCTGGTCCAGGTTTATTGGCTCCAATGACTTCCAAGATCAACGATCCAATCATGAAGACCTTGAAGGAAGACTACGGTATCTTCTTGGAAGAAAAGACTCTTTAAATATCTAATTTATGTGAATAAGAGAGAGAAAGAAAGCACGGATATCAATAAATCATAGAAAGCTCTAACACACCCTCTGTAGATTCTGTTCAAAATCTATTTTGTTAGTTGTGTATTACTATATTACTCTATTACAACTCGTCTCTTAGTATCTCCTTCAACTTTTCGCCCGCTGCCTTTTCCCCTCCGCCTGGCATTACTATTTTATACTCAATAAATAAATCTCCGTGATTATCATCGTCACCTAACCCATCAGCATTGTAAATAGGCATACCCTTGCCATGCAAAATCTCAACTTCCCCATTCATGATCATTTCATTAACACCTCTGGATATAGTCAACTCCGTGTCGATGGTGTCGAAAAATGGTATATGTCTTTCCCATCCTCCCAAAAGTGCCTCCTTGATGGTTAACACTTCTTCTCTGTACAAATTGTCACCCACACGGCGGTAACCCCAACTGTTCTTCAATGTTTCTCTCATGTTAATAACCAAATCACCAGGGTCAGTATCTGGGTTTTCATCACCTTCGCCATGAAGAACCTGTTGTCCATTTCTGGGGAATCCAGCGCCCAAATGAACATTATAGCTCCTACCTACTTTACGGATTCCCTTACCTTCACAATGTTTACAGTGATTGGTTATCTTGGATCCTGTACCGCCACATTCGTCACAGTAAGATCTCACTTGTTGGATCATTCCGGGCGCCAATTGTCTTCTAATGTTGATTATACCTTCACCGTTACACTTACCACATGTATGCTTCTGCTGGTCCTCCAGCCCAGTACCAACACATTCGGTACAGATGTTCCACATTTCCACGTCGAAATCAACCAGTTTACCTCTATAGAAATCAACCAAGGAGATGTCCAAGGCTAGCTGAGCGTTCTCACCTCTTGGTCTTCCGCTCCCGCCTTGACGCTGCTGTTGCTGCTGGTGTCCACCAAAGAATTGATTGAAGAATCCATCACCTCCGAACTGGGGCTGTTGTGGCCCATTGGGGTCTCCGTACTGGTCATAGTTCCTCTTTTTCTCTTGATTAGACAATACCTCATAGGCTTCACCTATCTCAACAAAAATATCATGAGCTTCGGGTGACTGGTTTTTATCAGGATGGTACTGCTTACTAAGTTGTCTGTAGGCCGATTTGATTTCTCTTTCGCTAGCACTTTTGCTCACTCCCAAGACATCGTAAAAATCCTTCCCCTGAACCAAAGAGACAAGAATTGAGAACACAAAATACTGTATGAAGTTTAATCTCATGGCGGATGCTTACCTTTTGACCGCTAACTCTCCGATACAACCAGAAACAACAATACTCTTGGTCTTACTGGACTGTACCGTTTGGCATTTGCAGCTCGAGGTTTTCGCTTTTCATTTTCACACACGTCAGCTTTAACGTCGTCACGTGACTTCGAGCGGCGCTAGATCTGGCATATAGATAGAAGGTAGGCGAGAAGATGGAAGGGAAGCACTGAGGAGTGGTTGGTATTCTTTAATGCTTAAAGGGCTAAATGGCTGCGAAATGTTTAGCCCAAGATAGTAGCATACTCATCTTACCTAATGATAATCAAAACATTCCAGCATCATTCTATACTACTCCCTTCACGTCTACAATCTGGTATAATCCATACTTTGACCTTATATTTGTTTATTTGTAAACTTTATTGACCTTATATTTATATCGTATCCTATTAACCTGGTCTTTTCCCCTAATTGTATTGTACACAAGATTTGTTTTTATCAACATATCTCTCTTATTCTAAATATTTTGTGTTTTTGCATCTTTGCTATTTTTTTTTTTTTCAACAGCTGTGTTGTCTTATTTTCTCCTTTATATGATCGTCAAACAGACAAATCTCATACTCGAAGGTACCATCTTCACTTTGTTTGGATTTGAAATGGTTTAAAAACTCTTCGTATAAGATTTTGACTTCAGTAAGAATTGAATCAAAATTGCAACAACCTTGCCTGATAAACGAGGAGTCTGGCTTTAAGGAACTTTCAATCATATTTATCATATCAACGTGGCTAACCTGCGCCACTTGATCTTCTTGTCCTCTTCTTTCTTCTACTTCTTCCATATCCAACTCGTCGTCTACATCCATCTCATTCCATTCTATAATTAAATCATTGAGTTGGTTGACGTTTTCGTCGATTTCCATCCACAAATCACTCTCATGGATGAATTCTTGAAATGTTTGCTTGAATAGTAATAACGCTTCAAACATAGATCTACCGTTTTCAAAATTCTTGTTTGCAGTGGAGTTGCTGAAAATCTCCCATTTCAATGAAGATTTGATTTCATCGTACTGCTCTTGTATAGTGTTGTTTAATTTAGTGCATGACTCCTCCAAGCTATGGAATGATTTAACAATCTCGTCGAGTTTCTTTGAAAATTCATTTCTACTGTTCGAAAATTGTGTAATGGATACTGGTTTCATAAATAAGTCCTCCGAGTACTTCTCTTCTGGGCATATACTCTGATAACAATGCTTTATATTGAATGCAAAGTGCTGCTCCACGGAAAAGTAGTCATCTAATGAAATGTTCTTACTGAATAAGTCTGGTGCTCTAGATTTCATTTCCTCTATGGAAAGAGGGACTTTGGCTGAGTACAGTGCTCGCTGTTCCCTCTTCGGTACAGCGCTGGTTTCATATGCTGCTGAGTCAAAGTCCAAGATTTCATTGTTTCCGTATACTATTATGTCATCTTCTGCGTCCTTTTCATCATCTACGACGGAACCTTCAGATGGTAAGTATTCTTCTTTCAATGGGTTCAGGAAAAGAGCATATTCAAACCCTTTGGGTGTGCATGTAGCAGATTTTCTATCCAACTCAAACCCTTTTATGGAAAACTTGAGGTCTGGTTCCTGCAGCAGCGTGTTATTGAAATTGGAAATATCGGTCATGGAAATCGTTCTATACGTAGACATGGCGTAAAATCTTACTACCAGTAGTTAGATATCTATGAGCTTTGATGAATGAATGAAAAAAAAAAATAAAAATTGGTGGAAATTTCTTTATAAGTATAAACTTTTCAATTCTGATGCAAGGGTGTGGAGATAATTTCTTCGATTGAGCCAAGAATGAGTGATTGCAATAGGAAAAAGAAAGGGAAAAAAGAAATGTGTCTTGGTAAAATGGTGGGGAATGTTCAGCGGAATGCTATGTGTTGGTTCGTATGACACCTGGGGTTCTTCTGCTTCAACTTTGATCTAGTATGCTGTAAAAAAGAAAGCGAAACGAAACTTTTTGGAAAAATGGATTTTGCGTGGTTTTAATGTTGCTTGAAATTTTTCTAAGGCGGGCTCAATTTGACTGAATTACTGCAAAAAAAAAATTTTTTGAAATTTTCGCAGTTTGGCGGCTGGGGTGCAGCAGAGGAGGAAATATATAAGTACATAGAGATGAGAGATGAGGGCAGAATCAAGTAGAATGGAATGCGAAAAATAGATTATGCTGTAAACATATTCCAAATCAAAGATGCATAGATCAGTAACGGACTCCACGGAGTTTGCTGCGCTCAAGAAATGTGATGAATAACAATGGCATGATTAAGTGTTAGGTTCTCCGAGAACATTCGGAGACTGTTCGGTCAATGTGGGTTGTATGCGGTTTTTTGCATTAACATGCAGGTTATGCAGTAAAAAGACACCCCCGCAGCCAATCGAGAATACATCAAGATGAGATCAAAGCACCTAAAAACTAAACAGAAAAAAGGAAACCGGTTTCAGAACAGCAAGCAAAAAGAAAGGTTGGTTGGTATTGCGATGGTATGTACAGCATAAGGGCATTTTCCACGCTGCGTTACGTATGTAGCATATCCCTGTACGTTTGCATTGGTGGTTGCTGCGTTGTTTTTTTTGCTTTTGGTTTATATTGCTATTTCTGAAACTGACCGTGCCTCACTCCTTGTAACATAATTATTTATGTGGCAGTGTCGTATATCTGACTTAATTTAATATGCAAGTTTGATTATTTGAAAATGAATTGATTCTCTGGCGCGCGCGGCTCAAGGAAATAGAGCCCATTTTTAGTATGAGAAGAAGTCCAAATGAAATTTAATATGCCGGTCGACCGTTGAAGATGCAGGATGGACTTAGTTGTGGCGAGGACCTGGGCACAGTGCCTGATGACGTGAAACTCCTCTGGTTGGCCTAGAAGGTGGCCTGAGCGTAGTTGCAGGCGTTCATCCGGAACTTCCTCCAGGTTCTCGTTCTAAGGTTCTTCAGGTGCTCGTTCAAGTGCTCTTACGGACAGATCGACCCACCGATTGTTCCAATATTTCGTTCTTCTTGTATTACTTAGGCACTAAAAAAAAGTGCCTGTTTTTTTCTATAAAATATTATTTACATGAAAACCCATCTTTCCAGCATTTCAATCCCATTCTTCGTCCTCGCTCTCCCAATCGTACGTATATTCCTCTATAAGCCCATTCACATCCTCAACCAATTCATCAATGTCAAAATTATCGTACTTATACCCTCCTCGGTTTGAAATTTTACTCGTTCTTTGCAAGAATAGCTTATAGTCCTTAAGCAAATCTTTGGGCTTTGATGATATGCCGAATTCAGTGTAGATAGATGTTGGTTCACGTATGATATCCTGTGGGAAAGTATAATTCAGGGTTATAGTACTGGGGTTCATTATATTGTACTCGGTTATTGGGAAAGGTTCTTGTACTGATAGTTGTGCCTTATTCTTAGCCGCGAGATCTACTCCAAGATTAATGGGGATGATATAGCTCTTGGAAAAGTATTTAGATGGCTTCAATGGTTTGTAAATCTCATTAGTGAAATCGAGTGGATTGCTTTCTGTGTTTCCCTTGCTGCCACTAGATCCTACTTCGGAAGCCTCTGATGCAGCAGAAGCATACAAATCGTTAATCTGATTTCTGCTCACATCAATCATCATGTTTTCTATCCTATCTTCAACTGCTTTACTTTCAGAATGAATATTTATGTCTCCGACTATATTCCTTGACGTGTTCCCCCTCAATAATTCACTCTCAAATTGGTTCATACTTATCCTCTCTGAATTTTGATTGCCTATGGTCCAAAGGTTGTCAATCAACAACGATTTAACAGCGCTTGAATGCCATAGGCTTGACTGTTTGAAATTGTCTTGGTTAATAATTCCACTCGATTTCTTGTAATCCGGGCTGCCTGTTACGCCGAAATATAGTGTAGAATTCTTTATGAGCGCAATAGTTGTCTTTACTCTTGATAATTTCGAATCCAAATCCATGGTCAAGTTGTTATTGTATATCGCCCAATTCCAAAAACTATACTTGGAGTCTCCGCCGTTATTAAAATACTCATCTTTAATTTCAGTAAGATATGAATCAGTGAACCCACCCCAACCTGAATCAACTTCAGTTAAAATATTCATGCCCTGGAAAAGATCACAATCTTCAAGATATGATCTAAATGTCTCGGTGTGATCCACATTTTCCTTACTATTATATTCGTTTACTCCAACGTAATAATTGCTAAATTTACTTTGCTCTCCATTTCTACTATGTCCAAAAGACGCATCTGAAGCAGGATCATGTACCCAATCGGTTAGAGTGTTCAATGAACTTGGTTTGTAAATAAGTTTATTATAATCAGACCAATACTTCGTATTCTCCACTGTTAGCATACCTTGTTTAACACTCCCGGAGTCTAAAGCTTTTTGGTAAGAATTCTTCTCAATCTTGGGGAAGGGCTTAAAAAGATCATCGGATTCACCAAATGTGTCAACGTTTTGCATAGAGCCTTTACCAATTTTCTCATCTCGCTCTTCTTCATGCATGCCTCTTATTTCAGGGCCGTAGTAGTCAAATTTTCCCAACGCTCCAATTCCACCATTAAGTTCATACAAAATCGCTCTTGGGTTGTAGTTGATCGTACCTTGAAAATTTCTTGTCGATGTCAAATATACCAAATTGTCATAGTTTGAAGAACTACCCTTCTTGTAACTAAGATGTGATTCTTGGTTATTATAAAGATGTGTGGCTATATGGTTAGCATTTTGAGATAAGCCAAGTGTTATTGTCTCATGCATTTCAACCTTGATCTCAATTAGCTAATCAAAGAGAAGGCTAGTTATTGGAGCTCGTTGGTGATGATTTTCTCAACTTGTGCGAAGGTGCAGAATTGCTGCAATTCTGCCTGGCAAAACTAGATTACGTTCATGACGAACATGACTAGCACCCCATACAAAAGTCTGTGTCAAATTGCTAGTCCTCGATGAAAAACTCATTAACAGCCCACTGAGGAATCTTCATGAAAATTTATTTAGACAGTAAACCATTCATCTTAGTGCTGTCACTATCTCTCTCTCTCTCTGATAAAGCCAAATAGCTTCGTGACACAAAATCGCAAATCCACCTCGATATGCATCAAGCCTTGATGAAGATTCTGAATAATTCTTTATTCTACAATACTTTCTGTAATATAAGATGATAAGACATAGAGTTACTATATTTAATCCTACCGATTCCAATGAAGATGTTATCAAATCCGTGTCTTCCAATTTCTTGGAAATTCCACCTCTAAAGGGTTTTCCTAGAGAGGACAAATACATAGTCCCCAGTACAACACCACTACCACCTACCATTAAACTAATTAGGGTTCAGTGGCGACTGAATTTTGATTACAATTCCCAGACCAATCCACTTTTCATTGAAGGTCAGACTCAGCAGCCTGGCCTATTGTTGTATGTGGCGCCTTCTGAAAATGTTGTTGACGCCGATGAATTTTATCAAGACATCAACGAATATATTTACGAAATCTTTAAGTTAAAGGTAGACTTCAATTGGGTTGCAAGTGCTACATCTGTCTTTATTTCTAATCAAGATATCAAAGAATTACCGGTTCAAGTAAAAGATTATACCAAATCTGTATTAAATTTGGAAAATGAAGAGTCCTTGTCGTCGTTGTTGGATAATACGTCCAATCTTGATATTATTATAAAGAGTGATTCGACCACTGTGATGACATATTTGCAAGACACATCATATTTGCCATTGCAAAAGTTCACAGTAACTTCCCCATCGATTAAACATGAAATTGGAATATTCATGTTAGATAAGGAAATCACTTCTGTGGATGATATAATGCTCTCTGGTGTTAGATTTGTGATTGACCCACTGGAAAGTGACTCGCCAGACGATAAACTCCACAAGACTTTATTTCATGTAAAACCAAGACACAGGTATTTCCCTTCTACCAGATACAATGTTGCCTTAGAGGAACCAGTTGGATTACATCCAACTTTACAATTCAAGTTTGGCGATTTGAATTTGGATATCGCTAAGGTAGCTGAAGGAACTGATACCGATAGTTGTAAATTATTCTACTACCAATTATTACCTAAAGCATTTTTCATAGATAAATATCAGTTGCCAACTCAATTATCTTTAATTTCCATCTATGGAGATACAGATTTGGAAGCACCTGAATATAAAATAGATGGCTGGGGGGTAGAAGCTCTCTTTGAAGTTAAACAATTACAGGATTTTGAATTCACTATGCATTCCAGGTATCAACTACCAACTGAGAAATCATCGGAATTGGATTACGTTCCTAAAGTCATCAATAAACCTTCCATTTTCTATGCCTGCAATGTGCATGAGGATGCTAATTTGTTAAAGACATCCCCCTTTGACTATACAGATTCGCTTGCTGAAAACATTGGAGGTTACCAATCTTACTTTACAGAAAATACGGCATTTTATCATCTTACTCAAGACGAACCGGAAAACAGATTGATTATTAACATTCCAAGAGGAAAGGGTGATATATATACAGTAAATCAATTGACCTTGATGGCCTTAGGATTGGGTATTACCTGGTTGACCTACAAGTGTCTATTGATTTTCACTGGACGTAGTAGAAAAGTTACAAATGCAAAAAAGACAGAATAGATGAATTAAAAGAATTGAAATATATAATAAACTCGCCATTTAAATACTGATACATTATTTTTGTTAATCCATGCTTCAATTTAGATCATGTTGAACGTAAGATCTTGTAGAATTGTACACCCCCAATGTCATACTTTTAAAGTAAGATCTTGGAGCCGGTTTATTTACAAAAAATTCGAACTCAAGGCATGATTCAGATAACACATAGTTCAAACCATTGGCTGGAAGCCAGCCCCGATCAAATAAAACCCCACTAGTATAAATTAAAGGCGTCTCTATTGGATCATATGTTGTCTCTAGTACGACTCCACCAGTCTCACTACTGAACCAAACTATTGGCAAATCAATAGAAAATAGTTCGCCAGACTTGGGATCAATCATGGGATCTCCATTTATAATCATGTTTGGATATTGATATCCATTAGGTAACGTTCCAAGAAAGAGATCGTTCTCAGTGATAGGAACGATTTCAAAGTGTCTATATTCTGCATGATTTCCAATATTAAATGGAGACTGTTTGTTAAAATGCTCCGCTACGTGTGCAGCTAGGGAATAATCTTTATGGAATATCATAATTTTTTCATAGCCGAAAAGAATCATTGCGTATATCGATGCTCTACTAACTCCACCAGCTCCAAAAATCAAGGCAGTTCTCGTTTTGGCAGCACAATTGACAGGCGATAAAGCTCCTTTGGCGATTACAGTTATTGTTAACCAATCTGTGTTGTATCCTACAGTCTTCACGACTTTAGCAGGATTTAAAAATAATCTTTCAGCAAGAACAAGGTTAACACTACCAATTTTTCTAGCATGCTCTGATACTTCATCAACATAATTGAACACGTCTTCAGTAAATGGATCGTGAATGGTTGCACCTCCAAAATTGGGGCTTTCAATAAGGTTTTTTAGGCTTAAGATGTTGGTGCATTCAAATGTTGAGCATTTGTGTGGTAAGCCTAACCTGTTATACACTCCATTATGAATGGCAGGTAGCATGATGTGACTTACGTTGGAACCAACTACATAAAAGTTATAGCTGGGAACGAAGAATGCTCTATGTAGTGATCTCTGGACATCATAATTTCTTAAATTTTCAGCATTTTCTGATCCGGAGCCCGAAGCTCCACTTAAATCTGTGTGAACAGGTGTGAGAACTCTATTCAAAATTTTAGATAATTTTCCCAATTCGCCTGTATTAAATGCAGTTAGCAAGATGGATGGGTATTCGGTATTCATATATTGCGTGAAATTCCAACATTTCAAGTTATCAGGAATTGATGTGGCATTAGTTGTTAATCTTGCCATTGGAATTCCGACTTCATTGGCATATTCCATAATCTGAAGTCCCCCGAGGTGAGAATCCCAAAAGCTAGAATTGTTTTCAGAATGGTACTTCCCAATTACTATAGTACATCCGCCCATATTATCCAAAAATTCTTTCACTAGTACTCTATTTTCATTGGTATTATCGTTGGTAATAATAATATCGTTGATATTATTGGTAGTTCTAATTGAGGAGCTTCTGTAGGGAGCAATCCTAGAATTATCCCTCTTGTTATCAATGTCAACATTTTTTAGGCTATCATTATGATTGTTATTTGTTACGCTGCTAGCAACATTTTTATCATTGCGATTGTGATCGCTACTATTAACAGGAGTTGAAAAGGCAGTGTCATTGTCATTTAACAAGCTGGGGAAAACTAGTTCCAAATCTAACACAACAAACTTAATACCAAGTCTTTTAGCAATATTTAAGAAGCTAAGGTAAAAGATGGATAAATCTTGCAGCTCATAAGACATACCGATGGTGGAAGAATATTCAATCAAAAATTCGTTCAACTCGCTCAAGCTATTCTTCATACTTAAGATAGTATGTCTGCCAAAAGAATATCTTCGTAGCGTCTCTACAAACCGATTGAGATATGTTTCCATATCATCCAATCCCAATTTAATTAAAGCAACCAAATCGACTTTGATTTCAATAGTGTCAGCACCTGCTATGGCATCATTTAAGTTATATAAAATATCTTGTAAATGGACATTTGGGTAATCCATCTGTATAGCGGTTGAATACTTATTGGTTAGATTTGTCAAATGGGAAGAAGAAGTGACATGCCCCGTAGCTTTGATGCCCAAAATATTAAACAAGAAATGAATAAAATCTCTTTCAGTAGCCTTCAACGATATAGTTTTAAGGGCCATTCTATATCTTTTCGGGGTAATTGAACCGTACTCTGCATCTGCCAGGTCTGAATGTAAATTGAAGAAAGCGTATTTACTGAATGTTCTATATTTGGAATACTTCTGTCTTATTATCTTAGTTCCAGCTTCAAATGAATCATTGTACTCCAAATATTCCAATATCTTGATTTCTTCTCTTTCAATGTGAATTACATAGGGATAATCCTCCTCAAGGAAGTATTCTACAAGAGCAGGGTTTTCTATAAACACAGCCGGCAACACAAATACATTGAAATGGGTTTTCTTACCCGGCTCTGGCTCAGCCAGTCTCTGTCGTATTTCAGCTATGGATTTGTAGATTAATTCGAATTGCAACTTCTGATATTCGTCTATGGTGTGACTCTGAAGATAAATGTTGTCAGGCATCCCTGTTTCTGATAACACACACTGTTCCAAATCTATATATGTGTAATCAAGAAGAACTGACGCCATGAGTCCTAACGTAGACTTGCCACATCCTCGGACCCCTATTAAAAAGATACAATTTGACATTGTTAGAACAGTGAATCCCCATCAATCGTGAAAAACATTGACTTTACTATGGACCACTTTTAAGCTTTCAAGTTTTTTCACCAGCGCTCAATTTCATTTTGTGGGGTTGGCTCTATGCAGGCGCAGCATGGAACGAAAAGGCAGGCTGGAATTTAACAAGTGACTTGTGATGGAAGAGACGGAGGTAGAACGACTAGAGTGAAAAGTAAAGGAGATTTGGTCTACCTGTAACAGAGGCTGTGGTCGAGTGGAAGCTTCATAATTATTCATTTGTTTGTTTACTGACTAGCTGCTGAGCTCTCTCATCTCTTTACAATTGAATATTTCACTTCATTCTCACTTTTTTTAAGCCAACTTTATGACGTCGTCTATCTGGTATCGGGATAAAGATAGCCTTCAAATCGGAGGGGTTAATCGATATACGGTACGATATACTACTGATGGACCAAGCGAGGAGAAGATCCCCTCTGCAATATTTTTCAGAATAAAAAACACCGAGAATGCTCCAATTAGAGCCATCCATTTATTGAATGGACCCTTTATCTTATACTGTCATGTGGTGCCCTGTAACTATGACCACAAGCAGGAATTTGAGGTGAGTAGTAGCAAAAAACAGGAATTGGGCAAAGATGATTCTCAGGCTGATTTACAGACACTTTCATCCTTACAAAATATGGGAAAGCAGAGTGGTAGTACCACAGAAGTTGCATTTAGGAATGAAATCAAACCTGGCCAAACGTTCAATGTGAAATTGAAATTGAACCGAAATTCTCTAAAAGAAAGCCTGAAAGGTGGCTCGTGTATCTATGAATGGTCTATTGATGTTATATCTCAAATCGTTATCACGACATATACTTATATTCATTATGATTTGATGATTGGAAATGATTTCAACACAATGAAAACAGTGAACCATGGCTTGAAGTTCACTTTTTCGGATATTGGGCTGCAGAATGAAAAGCCAAAATCGATAGAAGATCTCTTGCAGAAGAACAAAAAGAAACCATCTCCGGAGAAGCTAAATAAAGTTGCTTCAGATACCTCTTTGCAAGAGTACAATCATCCAAACTTGGAAGTAGTTAAGGAAACCGCAAACGATATGTGGTCCAGGCCTCCAAAAGACATAAGTAAGCCTGCGCATTTAGTGATTGTCACCCATGGTATCTTTGCCAACGTTCATGCAGATATGCTCTATGTCAAGGATTCCCTTGAAAATGACCTGGGTCAAAATATTGTGGTAAGAGGATACACTGGGAATGCTGGGCATACAGAAAGGGGTGTGAAGAGATTGGGAAAGGCGGTGGCAGACTATATTGTAGATTTGATTGAACTGGTTCAGGTCAAGAAGGAATTGAATTATTCTTTCAATAAGATATCGTTTGTTGGACATTCACTTGGTGGATGTGTTCAATTGTACGCTATCAAGTACATCCTAGTAATGAAAGGAGTAGATTATTTCCAGAGGAAAGGTTTAGAGCCTGACCAGTTGATTTGCTTGGCAAGTCCTCTATTGGGTGTTCTTCATGAAATGAGTTTTGTAATATCGTGGTTTCTAGATATAGGAGCGCTAGGGAAAACAGGTAGAGACTTGACGCTTCTGAGAAAGATTCCAACATTCAAAGACATTAAATTGAATAGACAAGATCATAAACAAGGCAGCGAGGAAGAGAACGAGAAACATTTCCGCAGCAGCTTTAGACCATTGCTTGAAACCTTGCCAACTGATCCTCTTCAGAAGTTCTTAAGAGAATTTAACCACCTAACAGTGTATGCTAACGCCGTCAATGATGGGATCGTGCCGCTAAGGACAAGCTCTTTATTGTATTTAGATTGGGAGGCATTGGGGAAAGTTGGTGATATAAAAGAAAAGGTTAGCCATGGTAAAGATAAACCAGAGGAAACAACAAAACAGAATTCTCATCTGAACGAAGAGGGCAACGCTACTTCTTCAGGTTCCGTGAAAACTGTACGTACCCTCAACAGGACTTCCATAGGAGAAGTGCCGGACGACTCAAGATCTTTCGTAAATAAAGAGGATGAAGTAAAAGTAGCAGAACTGCAATTCATGAAATATTTCGAATTTTTAAAGATCAACAGAACGAGAAAGAACCTAAAACTGAAGCGAGAAAAGTTTAGCTTGATCAGCGCCAAAGGAACTGATCCTGAATTGTATAAAGCACAACTGGCTCAAGGCGAAACCAAGAAACCAAAAGTTAACGAAGAAGATAATGGTGACGACCAACTTGAAGATGACGAAGAGGCAACTGATGAAGATGCAGACACTGATACGTATTCAGAGTCAAATTTTTCAGAGCTTCATATTCCACCGAAAGCATCAGTAATTGAATCGGCTCTCAATACACTAATTTGTCCTGTTCCTACGTCAACGTACATAACCCAACCGGAATCTAGACATGATGTGATTTTCCATGACAAATACTACAGTTTTAAGAATGTTCCAGAGGAGAAGTCGATGTCACTGACCAGGAATGTAATAGGTCAATTTTTATTCAAGTATCATGATAATAAGGTTGACAAGCAAGTGAAAATTGCTAGAAGGTATCATAATAATACTACGTGGAGAAAAGTTTTAGTCCACTTACCACCAGACGCCCATAACAACATAATAGTTCGTAGAAGGTTTGCCAATGGATACGGGTGGGGGGTTATTGACCATTTAGTGGAATTGTTTCAAGACTCAAAACCGAAAATGTGAAAATCACAGGAATTGAAGAATTCGATATTTCGAACTTAGAACTTGGAACTTAGAATTACAATGGACGAGAAGATAAAGAAAGGAGGGGAGAGCGTATCAGAAGAACTTCAGTGTGTGAACGAAAAACAATAACCTGATATGATAATTCTGAGCGTTGCAGAGGACAGCATCGACTTTTTCTTGAAACATAATGAAATTTATAGCAAAACAAGACAGTAAAACTTGAAAACATAGTGTGAAACGAGAAACATGCTCATCATCTGTATTTTGTTTCTGACGTCATATCTGACGAGGAACCATTTCGATAACGGAATTGCGCTTCCTACTGTTTCCGCACCCAGACCTAATTCAATCCACGTGGTTGTAGGGTTGAAAAATCTCCGGGATCACAACAATTGTACATATCAGTAGCTAATAAAGTATAGGCGAAGCATCTCTGTATCCTCCACGCTACCAGATTTGGAAGTATTCGAGTATTAGTTGCTAGTTTTCAAGCAATTAAGACCCTGGAGAAAGAAAGAAAGAAAAACGAAAAAAAGAAGAAAAAAAATTCTTCTGTCCTATCCTGTGCGCACATGTATGGAACACAGCAGCACCGAAGAATACTCTCTCTTCATTCCTTTCACGACTCACTACAAGTAACTCTCGCAATACACATTAACAATTACAAGCTTTTTGAACGAAGATTCGAGTGGGGAAATAGATACAAGTCAAACTTTAAACCGTGTGTTAATTCGTTTGCTCCTACCTCTGGCATGTTTATTCTTCACGTTGTTTTATTTTTTGTCTGGCTTATTTATTTCCAATATTTTTTTCTCTTACGTGCCTCAGTGGGAGATAAGGTAGATAAGAGCATCGAAACGCACTCTTACACATTCCGAAAATTAAGTTTGGGATGAGCGAAAATTCTCTACGCAACAGCCCAAAAGGCACCACGGGTGGTTAGAAGTTGGAAGTTTCTTTTTCTTGCTTGAATCAAAATGTGGTACGTAATGGTAATCTAAAACAGCCGAATAGCGTGTAGTTAAACCTAGTTTAATACTATTACGATCACGCTAATTACTGCTATGGCGCAGTAGTCCGGAGTTACCTTTTCCAATTCGTCTTATCCTTTGCTTTGTTTGTTTTCGGCTTTGTGTCCGTTTTCTTATCTTTTTATTTCGCTATAATCGCCGCCGTAATAGATCAAACTACCAAGCAAAAAAAGGAGTTACACTTACTCAAAATACATGTAACGACCATGTTTCATTTCATCTATATGTAGGAAGGGTATTCAGATCGAGGAAGGTTTTATATTTTTTACATCTGGCGAGACGATCGAGTAAATTTTACTTTCGTTCTTTTTCTTTTGATCTTCTTCTTCTTCTTTTCTTAGTTTCCTTTTTGCAACAGAATTCTACATCTACATTACCATACACACACACACGGTACTACTGTTTCATACCCTAGTTATATATATCATATTATATATATCTTCTCTCAGTTCAATATCTACTGTTTAACGTCAGCGAAGACTCATATATAAACTTTTACCAAATCGATTGTCACGTCGTTCTCCCAAACTAACTACTAACACACTAAGCTTTTCCTTTCCTCCAGGCAAAAGCTATATTATGTACAAAAACACTAACACTAACAACACTTCTAATACTAATTGTGTTTCAATCATTGTCATCGGTGCAGGTTTAATTGGTCCTCGTCACGCTGAACATGTTGTAAATCGTCCTAATACTCTGCTTTTTGCAATTGTCGATCACTCTGCAAAAGGTCCATCGGTCGCCCAAAGGTTCCAGGTTCCTTTATACAAGGATTTGAACGAATTATTTGAGTACTGTGACAAGTACAATGTCAAGTATCCAGATGCTGCCATTATCGCTACTCCAAACCATACTCACGTCCCATTAGGTCTTCACTTGGCTTCCAAGGGTATCCACTTGTTAGTTGAAAAGCCCTTGTCTCCAAATGCTCAAGACCTGAAGACTTTGATTGAATTTTGTAAGGAAAAGAATGTCAAGTTGTTAATTGGTCACCACAGAAGATTTAATCCCTACATTATTACATGTAAGGAGAATTTACCCAAATTGGGACAAGTTGTTGCAGTTCAAGGTACTTGGACCTTGTGCAAACCAGACAGCTATTTCGAGGAAAAGCCTTGGAGATCCTCCCAAACCTTGGGTGGAGGAGCCTTATTGATTAACTTGATCCACGATTTAGATAACTTACAGTATTTATTTGGTCCCGTCGAAAAGGTGTATGCTGAATTGTTGATGAAACAAAGGGCTCAAAGAGGCTCTGATGTCAATGCAGCTGTCGATGAAGGTGCCGTCTTAACCTTAAGGTTTGCTAACGGAATCTGTGGTACTTTCTTATGTTCAGATAACGTTGTTTCTCCATTTTCATTTGAAAGTGGTACAGGAGAAAATCCAACCATCCCATTTAACGATGAAGTCGCTGGATTTTATAGAATCTTTGGTAGCCACGGAACTTTGTCTGTTCCAGATTTCAAGTTATATCATCAACACAATCAACCTGTTAGATCATGGTTGAACCCAGTTGAGGAACATCAAGTTAAGATGGCTTTTGAAGTTCAAAAGGAAATTGAAGTTGAAGAACAAGATGATGTCGTTATGTTTGGAATTGCTACTCCAGACAACTCTCCAAATACTAAGGAGGATAACCTTTTCTCCCATCACCTGCACGTTTCCTCCGAGAAGCCTAAACCTTTTGACTTGCAAGTTGACCATTTTGTCAACTTGATTTTAGGAAAGGAAACAGAAGTCAAATGTTCTGGAGAAGATGCCTTGAGGGCTTTGTTGTGTATTGAAGCTGTTGGTAAGTCTATTGAAACTGGTTTACCACAAGTAGTGCCATCAATTGATGACATTGAAATGAACATGGAATTGTTCACTTAGGCAGGTGCCAAAAACAAAGAAAATAAAACCCCCACTGTAAAATTTACCCAGGAAATTGCTTAAAGAGAAGCTGGACTTCACAAAAAAATGAAAATAATCAAATCTCAAGATAGCTATGTTTTTTAAAAATATTAAAAATGAAAAGGTAAAGGAATCTATGAAAACTAAGAATAGTACCCTTTGAAAATAAAATTGAAAAATGCTGACATTTTCTATGCAGCCTTATATTTACGATTGTTACTATTATATTTATGTCAATAAGCTGAAAAAAAAATAAAGAAAATGTATTACTACTACTCAAGTTTCTTCTTGCTGTATTTTTCTTTTACCAATTGGTAAACTGAGGTCAACTTAAACTTTCTAATGAAATAGAGTTCGATAAGAAATCTTGGAACAAAAAGCAGCACAAATTTAAGCAAGACTGCCATTTTACCTCTGTAGACATTCAAACCTGACCATTTGTTTTCAAAATCATTCACCACTTGGAATGCATACACTGAAGGTTCAATTGGTTTGTTCCTAACGGCCATTTGCTTTCTTTCCACAAGGGCTTCTTCGAACCCGTTGACATTAAACAACGATTTCGGTGGTGGGGACCTTTTCTCTTCTATATGAGTGTTTACACCTCCAGTGACAACGTTTACAACTCTGACGCCAAAAGGCTTCATTTCAATTTTCAATGTAGCAGCGTACTGGTGAATTGCAGCCTTGGAAGATGAGTAGACACATGAGAATGGGAAAGGGACCAAAGCGGAAACAGACCCTGTGAATCCAATTACACCCTTGGCATTGATAATGAGAGGACTCAATTCTCTAACTAGTCTCATTGGCCCGAAAACATTAACTTCGTAGCACTGTTGGAAGTAGTCATCAGTAACATCGATTGCTGGGAAGGTACATGATTGACCGGCATTGTTATATAAGATGTCTAAATAACCACCAGTTTCCTCTGCAATATACTTCTTTGCGCCCTTTACGCTTTCAAGCGACAGTACATCCAATTTGAAAATATGGATTCCGTAGGTATCTTGCAATGGTTGCATTGGTTCTAATCTTCTGGCTCCAGCGAAAACCTTGTAGCCTCTCTTAGCGAGTTCGATTGAGGTGGCATACCCAATTCCGGACGAAGCGCCGGTAACTAAGGCTGATTTTTGTCTCTGAGGCATGGATAATGTGTGTAAGTTTGTATGGATGTGTTTCTAGTGTACGCTGGGTTGCTAAAGTTCTCTTTCTGGTAATTCCCCTGGGTGATGTAAGTATATCAGTTTACTAGATCAAAAGTGCAGTCTTAATTAAGATACCCCACAAAACGATATACAGGTTAAAAAATAGAAGATATTCAGTACTAAAAAATAGGACAGAAGCAAAAAATTAGTCCTCTAGAGAAAGATAAGAAATGTGTAAACTAATATATTGACATTTAGCGCTAAATCCAACAAGAGAGGGGTTGGAAAGTAGCGGTAGTACATAAAAGCTAAACTGGGGTGAACATGAAGAAATTCTTCTTTAGCGTGAGGAAAGTTGCACCTGAAATTTCAGTGCGATGCATTCTCGGAATTGAGGCCGAGGTCTGAAGCTGAAAGGATTTGAAGTATGTGAAATAGGGTATTTTTTGTAGCAACTGCATCTGGGTTGCTAGGATCACATTTTCCAATAGGGTAATGCATTGCCTATTGTTCCAAGGTAGATGTGGTTCGACTTAGAGTAACTCCATCTTCCCCCAATTTTGCACAGCTGAGAGGAATACCGAAAGAATTGCGGCCCGTTTGGGACCAGTGCAGCACCGGTTCCGCATGCGACTTCACTCAGTCTTTTTTTTTTTTTTGCAACCGCTTGTCTGTACTGGCTCTTTTCTATGAGGGACTTGAAGCCATGAGAGAGAAGAAGGGAGTATCTCCCACCTGTCAAAGCGTACAATTCAAAGTCCCAATTTGTATGCCTATATTCACTAACGGGAGCAAAATTTTACGAGAATTCCCTACCAAGATCATTCAATAGCAGACCACCACCACCACCAGTAGAATTGTCCTTCAGCAATGTTTGACACGGGAGCTGCTAACGCACTCAAAGCCTGGATAGCATTAATAGTCGAGTTAGAATCACAATGTTCCGATTTAAGATTTAAACTAGCAGATTCCAACGCTCGATTGCTGGCCGCATCAGTTGAAGTCGAGTCTCTAAATAGTAGATACTTACATTTTAAGCAGAGAGTTGAGGACCTTGAAAAAGCGCAGCAAATTCTTATTAAGAGAGAGACCATCCCTTTGAGTGAAAGGGAAGTAAATCTAAACTCGATCGGGGTCCTACAAATGGAACTCGAAGCGATTCACAGCGATTCCGACTGCTTTGGCCAGGGCAGCAAGAACAACGAAGACATACAATTGCTACTAAATCCCCAGACTCTTTCTTATGGAATAGCCGTTGTTTGTGATAGCAATACAAATCTTGTCAATAATAGGGAGCCGGCCACTGGGCCCCACCTCTATTGCACTTCTCGAACTGCAAAGCTGGATAATAAATTCGCAACCACTCCAAAATGAGGCAGAATATATATAAGTGGTTCACCAGCGGCCCCCAAAGTATTAGGAGCTACTCCACAATTTGCGGCAGCCAGATCCGAGAAGAGTGCTAAAGAGCAAATGGATTTGTACAAGCAGAAGTATAAAAGGAAGAAGTTGATATAGTTCGTTGGTCTACAGGTGATTACTAGTTGAAGTACTTTTATTATATACAGGATGTTCACTTTCAGTGCTATTTAATTCTTCAATTCTGCTAGTAACTTATCTTCATGGAAGTAATGCATAAACTTTATTGGTTTCTTTTGCTCTTCATTCTTCATTATGTGTAGTACGGGTACATCATAACAGTAAACATCAAACCATTTGGAGTTTTCGGGTTTCATTATGTCAATAACTTTCAAGTCAATTTTTTTGTCTTTCAACTCTGGACTTTGGAGTGTTTTGCCCAAGATTTCCTTTGCGTTGGTACACAATTGGCATGTCTCTTTAGTGAAAAAGGTGAGAGAAGCTCTCTTTATGGCTGAGGAGGAGAGCTGTCTTTGGAAGATCATGTTCAAATACAAAAAAATAGCTACAAGAGAAGTGGTAATCAGAGATGAAGCTGAAGTTAGAAGTCTTCTCATGTACCTGCAGCTCACGATCAGTTCATATCGCGACTTTCATGCGAAATGCTCATGCAAAAATAAAACAAAAAAAAGATGATTTCGCCCAGGATCGAACTGGGGACGTTCTGCGTGTTAAGCAGATGCCATAACCAACTAGACCACGAAACCACTTATGAATACTCTGTGCGATAAGTAGTTCATAATAAGGATTAGCCGAGAGAATCTAGGATAGAGTCGTTTATGCAGCACGCCCGAGACAAAGTGCAAGGAAGGACTTCATATGTTCAGCCACAATAAGCTCAAGAGAAAGAGGAGTATTAAATAGAGAGGTCGATGCACAATTGCAATCGTTCTTTGTTGAGTATCCCTTTAGCCGTGAGTCTGAGTAAGGTGGAAAAAGGGTTGCATCGGCATCCCCCTTCGCCAGTTTAAGTGAAATTGGCTGAGGTTGCTGGCAGAGATCTTTAAGATAATAGAAATTAATAATGAGCAATAAACGTTCGTACTTCAGTAGCTACTGCCCATTTCCAGTCAAGTACCGTTTCGGCATTGTTAAGAGCCATCGGCCAAAACCAAAGGTCATACCAAACCAAACTTGTTGCACGACTAGCGGAGTAACACCGTTTTCCCCATCTTTGAACTTAGCCCAGTGTCATCTAACTAGCGTCTACCCATGTACCGCGCTTAAGATGAAAGGGATTTAGTCTAACACTCGTGGAACGTTCAAAGATCGTGCTAGATTATAACTAAGATCGGACCACCATAGCGAGCAAAAAAAACGTCCCGATAACAATCACAAAATTAGGCGAGTGGGGTTCCCCACTTTTCATGTACCACTACTCCGGCCATCATTTCAAGATGAGGTAACAAAATAAAAAAAAAATTGTTGAGTAACTAATGAGTCTCTAGTGATGAAGGCGGTAGGGTAAATGAACCAGTAAGGATGTAAGTTTCCAGTGTACATCCTTTTAAGTCGGTGCCAAGATCGTCATGAAATTGCTTGGAGGTACCTCGGCCACTCATTTACAAGTCCGAGAAAGATCCAAATTATTTTTTGTTCGTTTTCTTTTTTTTTTTTTCAAAAGTATATTTTACCCTTTAACGGCGCAGAGATATTGAAACGCACATCATCGTACCGTGAATTATTATCATGGCTAGGTTGCCCAGCTAACTTGAACTTCAAGGTAAATAATAAATTCCAAGTAAATAGTCCGACTTCGTATTAAAGCAATTCCATGTAACTTTTTTTTGTTTCTTCCTTTTCCTTTCTCTTGACTTTCGTTTCTTTATTAATATCCTTCTATCAAACATCATGTCTTCGAATTCAAATTACAGCATCAAAAGCGAAGATGACAATGCCACTAAAAATATAACTTTCTCTGGAGATGATAATGAGTATATTCATTTGGGAAAGAATAAATACTTGAAGAGCGATATTCAAGAAGCTTTCGGTGGTACGTTAAACCCCGGTACAAGTCCATACCCCGTAAATAAATTTGGTAACCCAGCTCCATTGGGACTTTCAGCTTTCGCAATGACAACTTTTATCTTATCAATGTATAACGCACAGGCTATGGGTATAACCGTCCCCAATGTAGTCGTTGGTCTGGCTTGTATGTATGGGGGAGGAATACAATTCCTTGCAGGAGTGTGGGAATTGGCCATAGGTAACACCTTTGGTGGTACTGCTTTATCATCTTATGGAGCATTTTGGTTGTCGTACGCTTCAATCTTCATTGATAGCTTTGGAATCTCCAGCGCATACGACGGTGAAGACGCCATGTTTGAAAATGCCGTTGGGTTCTATTTACTTGGTTGGGCCATTGTTACTCTTATGTTTGTATTGACTACAACCAAGGCTACAGTGATGTTTTTCCTTCTATTCTTTTTCCTTTTCATAACTTTCATCTTATTGGGAGCAGGTGCCTTGACAGGAATTAATAACATTAGCCGTGCAGGAGGAATCTTTGGTGTGATCACATCTTTCTTAGGCTGGTACAACGCATTCGCCGGTGTAGCTACACCAGTTAACAGTTACATAACAGCAAAACCAATCCCATTACCAAGAGGAAAAACTGAATAAGAGCTTCATGAAAGTACAAGAATGATGAGATCTACTGTAACTCAGTTGGGGTGAGCCAAAAGTCGAACAATTGGAAATTTCGCAGCCATCGGAGGTTCTGACTTTTGATAAGGACGACGTTTATAATAATTGTATTAGGTCATATATGGAATAGCTAGGTAGAAACAAATATCCATGGACAATATTTATTAGCCTTACTTAATGTAATTCCTTTGCTCTTCGGGTTCTTCCGGACTAACTCTTCGCTTCACTTCCCTTCTGTCTCTTCTCTTTTCCATGTGTGCACACTAGGTGATTGTTTCCTGCACATAGTAAGAGCCATATCGGAGAATGAAAAAAGAAGATTACGTTATACAAATCAACTACAAGTAACCAACACTTTGTCAACAATTATGAAGGTATATTCGGTCATAATATCCACTTTTTTGTTGGTGGCTGGAACTCTCGCTGGCTTCTCTGCAGATTCCGGCGTAATTCAAGTGAATGACAAGAATTTTGACGATATTGTAGTGAATTCAGATAAGTGGTCTTTGGTTGATTACTACGCAGATTGGTGCAGACATTGCCAACTGTTACACCCTATTTATGACCAGTTAGGTGCCTTATTCAAAGATGAAGATACTGTGCAGATTCTCAGGATTAATGGTGACAAAGATGGTAGGAAAACCACCCGGAAATATGAAGTTGATGGATTCCCCATGGTACAAATGTATCATGGTAAAGACGAGCCAATAACTTTTGAAGGTAGTAGAGATTTGCAAAGCTTAAGTAATTTTGTTCAACTGGTTGCTAATGTGAGATTACCTGTATCGCAAGGTTCAGAAGATTATGTTTCTGACGTGGTTCAACTTAATGATTTGAATTTCCAAGAAAAGGTGTTTCTGAACACCAAGCCAACTATTGTTGCATTCACCGCTCTGTGGTGTGGCCATTGTGTTAAGTTACTGCCTACTTGGGAGAAATTGGCCAATAGAGTATATGCCAACGATTTGGAGACCTCTCTACAGATTGGCGAGGTCAAAACCACTGAAGAACCTAGTGAGAAATTGATGGAACAATTTGGCGTTAAGGGCTTTCCAACAATTCTATTTTTTGATCCACTTGGTCCACCTTCGAAGGAAGATGGATTGAGAAGACCTGTTCAATATTCGGGCGATCGCTCCTTAGAATCATTAATTGAATTCATAAACGAGAATGCTGGTTTACATAGAACCACCACTGGGCAATTAAGTTCAAATGGTGGTACTGTTCAAAAATTGAACACACTAATTAATGAAAAATTGCACCAAAGTGAAGAAGCTTCTCTCTCATCCGCAATTTCATTACTTAAGGATATCGACGAACTCGTTAAAGTGTCATCTTCATCATTTGCCTCCCAGTATATCAGCAAGGCCGATGACTTGCTGATGGTTCCATACTACAAGAAGCTAGTAAATAAAATTATCAATGGAGAAGATGAATTCTTCAAAAAAGAGCACGCTAGATTAACCAAGATAGTGACTACGAACTCTCGTAACTTGCAAGAAAAGACTGTTGATTCGATGCAGAAGAGAATTAATATATTGAAACTGTTTATAGACAATTAGAGAAGAGATACTCTTTCTGAAGGCAGAAGAGTAATAAAAAAGATTAATGTAGTGAAAAAGAACTTAAATTATTTCATATAATTATTAGTATTATAATAAATATTATTACTGCAGCACTTCTGAATTCTAATTTAGCTAATCTCTATGAGTTCCTTATGTACCTCTTAACAAAATTGGGATAAATTTAGACGGCATTGATCTCTCGCATGTCCTGAAGCTTACCACTCAACTGGATTAAATTTCTGCGCTATACGCACTTTGTTGGGCCAAACCTTACCGTCTGCTACTATACACTCGTCGATGATAGGCTTTACATTGTTTGGAGCACACCTTGCCAACCATATGTTTTTCCCTGTCTTCTTGTTGAAGATGATAACGTTAGCGGCGAACTTATGTCCTCCAATATGGTTGACATATGCTACAGTCACCCCATTAGGACGATCATCACCATGATCTCTAATCAAGTTAAGATCTCTTAAGTAGATGTCCATTTCCTTTTTCATGATGGGAGCCGTAATCCCACATCTCTTGTCTCTAGTCTTATGAGAACACAAGAAGATATATGATTGGTTACCATTAGCGGAGATTTGAGCTTCAGGAAATCCAGGGACTGACTTGTATGGCAATTCAGTCTTTTGTTCTTCTCTGCTGTCAAGTATAGCTGGGATGACTGTATCCAAGACATCTCCAACGTTGGCAATAGTTACATTCTTAACCCAGACAAACAAGGGTAACAATAATAAATCTCCCCTCTTTTCGCTACAGTACTCTTCGTCTCCCAAGTCATGTCCCTTTGTAGATAACGATGAGACCGTGACTTTGATATTTGTCGCCTCTCCCAACTTGGGAAATTTCTTGTCTGATCTGCCAGCCCAAGAAGAAACTGCGTGGGACAACGTGCCACTATGCCCGGTGGCGTCGTGCCTCCAATCTGTCTTACCAGTTGGTACCACCACATGAAGACCGAATGGCTTTGTTGATCCCCAAAGGGAGCTACCATCATCGTCTTGAAACTTCACTGAGGAAGGGAATTTTGACGTACAACTACCACAGTCCAAGTCACAATCCGAGATCTCAAACCCCTTTTCGACTAACTTAGCTTCGACGTCTTCATTTCTTTGAAAAATTGAAAGAAATCCCATTGTTTGTGTCAAGTCGCGGTGAGTATGTAGTAGTAGTATTATTGACTTGACAATTTAGTACAGTAGCGAAAACAAATAATGCAAACAAAAAGCAAATGCAAACAAGCTGTATAAGTTCTAAATACCCTTGAGGATAAAAAGAACGATCAACGGCGCAGTACCTTTTGTGCTTGCATATATATATAGATATATATAAACCAACTGAGATTCAAAGCCGCCTCCCTAGAGCCACTCATGTTGACTACAAAGTCACAGTGCATTTCTTTTTTTTTTTATGTGACATTTTTTCAGAAATTTTCCATACTGATTGATGCCTCACTTATCTAACCGATCGTCGGACCGGCATCCGACGTGATAAATTCAAGTGAAAAGTAGCTAAATATTCGCTTCGGCTTCTTTAGGTTTCCGTTGAAATCTTATTTAACTGAGATTGATCCAGTTAGCTCAGAATTTTATAACAACACCGGTTTTAAAACGGAGCAAGGAAGGGCTTAAAAGTAAGCGGACATAGATTTTTATGACACCCACCAACCTAGTCGTTGGATACTCACAGATCAACTTTGTGTGCCATTGATAGGGGCTCGTCGTCGTCGACGTCGTCACTATTGTAGTTTATTGGCCACTGTCTAAATTTTCCTCTCGTGGTATCCCTTGACTACAGTAGCACTAGGCTAAAGTAGCACTAGGTGTGGCCCTTATCTCCAGCGGAAAATCTCATATTGTCCCTCTAAACAAAAAAAAAATGATATGTTGGGGCTTATTCTGTAGTAGCAGACGACCATTTTCGCGTACGCATTTTTGGTATTTTTATTTTTTGCATTCATTTGCCGTCTACTTCGCCATTCGATTCATGGGCATGGTGGCTTACAAGGCTCGAGCACACGCTATTGCAATAGGGATTGAACAATTAGGTGTTAGAGGATGAAAAAAAATTTTATAATCTTTACTGAAGATCCAAAGGACCAGTAGTATATAGTTTTTTCTAGTTTTGGAAAACTGTGCAAGGCACTTTAAAGTGTTCAAATTTAGCATTGAAAGCCGTTCCAGAGAGCATGCATTGGGCCGATTCGAATCAACCACTAAGCGATCGCAGAGGATATATTAATATGATGGGGTATTCCTATATGCCGATTCCTGTCGCACTCTATTCGCAACTCTCTTTTCTACAGTGCTCGAAGTCTGCTGCCTCTGTCTTTTATCCTGACTCCTAGTCTAGCTTGCCATTGAGAAGTGAGTGATGCATTTCTATGCTACTTCCAGTGCTCCTCATTATTATTCCTATAGTCCAAGAGTACTCCTTCCTTACTTCTAGAAGATCTACGACATACGTGTTAGGTTGCTTCTCTTTTGCTACTCTTTTCCTCGCTTGCTGCTTTGCTCTCACTTGCATAAATGGTGGTGCGATTGCTAGCTGCTCCATCCATTGATCCTTCTTTCTTGTTCGCCTTGGAGCCAAATCATTTATGACGAGCACGCGGCGGTAACTTCATGCAGCAACGGCCATCGCTACACACTTCAACCAAAGTACGGGAATGCTGGAAGCAGAGTAAACGAGTGGGATTACTTCGAACAATGAATTTCTCTTACAAGAGGTATTTCTATATAGGCTCAATAGTATAAATATTCTTCCCAACTTTAAGAGTTTGCATCATATTCTCTTTCCTCTCTATGTAAAAAATGCACAGCAGCTTGGGAAATGTTTTTTTTTTTTTCTTTTTTTTGATTTTGTTTTAATTTTTTGCACATTTCTCCCGCTGTACACCATTCAATATCGCTGTTTGGGCTTGCTTATGTTGCTCACAGATTTTTATTGTTCATTACTTATACCAGATATCTACAATAGAGACGATCGTGAAGTCACTTATGTGTGATGTACTGTTCCCAATTAAAATCCCGTCAAACCTTAATCATTTAACGTACGATGGAGCTCAAAGTGAACGTCCCACAATCTGGAACCTGTCAAAGTCATTGGATTTAGAGTTACGAAAAATGCGCAGGTGGAAACTTGAAAAAATAAAATAAATAGCAAAGCTAAAAAAGAAATAAAAAGAAAAGAGAAGAACCTTTGGCCCAACAGTATGTAGGAATGTATGTACTCTCCAGTCTGTAAGTAAAGACAGAGACTGACGATACATAAAATTGAGCCAGACGATAATCAATCACGTATGCGTGTTTGTTTGCGTGTTGCGCAAAAATCAGCTCAAAGACTTATTTAGGCACAATGCCAAATAATCTGAACAAGAGCAAATAATTCTACCTACGTCCTACTGCATGTGCCTTAGCCTTTCTGGAGTTCTACGCGGTTACACAGCTAAATTCTATTTATTGTTCATTGCTTGGGTGTAGCCTTAAAATTCTGGACTGAATGATTTTCGCGGCTTTTCTTAAGAGTTTAAATTCGCCTCATTCCGTTGGATCTTATCGAGGGTAATTCATCCCTCCGCCATCTTCGGTACCTCACTTTTATTTCACCTAGTTAGTGCAGCTCTAGAATATCGACCTTCTCTTTCTTTCTTTTTCTTATTTTTTTTTTTCTACTTGCGTATTATTTACCTGTTTTTGATTTTTTACATTTTTCTTGTTTTGTCTGAAATGGAAAAGGAACAAGAAAAAAAGAAAATCCAAGCTAAGCAAACGGGAAAAATTCTTATACCTCTTCTTTCAGTAAAGCACGTTACGACTATTCAGTATAGTGGTCCTATGTCATGATTCTAGCTAAACAAACTGGCTATACAGAATCTCTGCAGATCCATGAATTATCCTTAGAAAATTTACATAGTAAAGACAAGGAGAATAGTAATAAAGACCACCACATGCCAAACAAGGTCAAAATCAGGGATGAGGATTTGTTAGATCCCCCCTCCACAACACTAAACAAGGTGTTTTTACCAGCCAGTCCAACGTCATTCAAAGTTTCACCTTCTGAAGCGTCAGACGAGACAAATGAAACTTCGCCTAGCTCAGTGGAGCAAATCGATGAGGATACCTCGGATAACACAAATGTCCTTGAGACTGAGAGTATTGATGATCATTTGTTGTACACAAAGACAAACGAAACGCAAACACATCCGGCAGATACCGAAAAGAATCAAGAAATAGAGCATCGTGAACAAGCTTATAGGCATAGTACTGAGCAGAAACACGAACACGAGCAATATCAAGAGCACGAAGAGCCGGGGGAAGAAGCACCACTTCTTGGCCATACCTTCAATTCGCACAAATTCACTTCTTCAAACAATAATCTTACAAAAATACATGATATTGATCCACATCATATACCGGATGATATGATTGAAACCCAAGAAGTCCGCACTGGAACCTACAAGAATAATGATATTAATAATAATAATGATATTTATAATGATAATAATAAGAATAGCAATAGCAATGGCATAAATCATAGAATGACTTTGAAAAATAGAAGACACACAACACCTGCATCACAGTTAATCAGTAAACAAGCACAGCAAAACAAAAATAGCAATCATAAATCTCAAACTGATATTACTCCAAAACCTCCAGCTTCCAGAAATACATTTTCGTCCACGACATCGGTTCCTATGGTAACGGGAGCTACTTATAAAACTAGATCAAGAACTTCTATGGACCTCAATGTGAGGCAAGATTCCACGAACTCAGAGATAAATCGAATGAGAAACTCCATATTAGTACGTCGAAACATAAAGAAGAAGAGGAAGGAGTTTTTGGAAGATGAAAAGGTCTTGGTTGGAAATAAGATTAGTGAGGGCCACGAAAATTTCGTAATGGCTTATAATATGTTAACTGGTATTAGAGTTGCTGTTTCAAGAAATGCTGGCATAATGAAGAAAATTAATGATGAAGATTTTTCCACTACTAAGAAGTTATCTTTTAACATGGATGGGAGCGAATTAACTCCTTCTTCAAAGTATGATTTCAAATTTAAAGATTATAGTCCGGCAGTGTTTCGAGAACTTCGTTCCATTTTCGGGTTAGATCCCGCAGACTACCTTGTGTCAATTACTGGGAAATATATCTTAAGTGAATTGGGGTCCCCTGGAAAATCAGGCTCCTTTTTCTATTATTCCCGAGACTATAGGTTTATTATTAAAACTATTCATCATAGTGAACATAAACAATTGAGAAGATCTTTAAAACAGTATTACGAGCACGTTAAATCCAATCCAAATACATTAGTGTCACAAATCTATGGGTTGCATAGAGTTAAGATTCCTGCTTTTGGTGCAAATAACGGAGGCGGTGGACTGAAAAAGGTACATTTTCTTGTAATGAACAATTTATTCCCACCACACAGGGATATCCATGTTAAATATGATTTGAAAGGGTCCACTTGGGGTAGAACCACTAGATTGGATGAAACTTTAGAAGGCAAGGCCAAGGAAGATAATGTAGCTTCCCACACATTAAAAGATCTCAACTGGTTAGAAAGGAAAGACACCATTAAGTTTGGACCGTTAAAGAAGAAGCTATTTTTTGATCAATTGGAAAGCGATGTTAGATTCTTGGAAAAGATCAATGTAATGGATTATTCACTTTTGCTAGGAATTCATGATACCAAAAGGGGCAATTCAATGAGCAACGAAGTCTATAAGAAATTATCTGTTTTTGATCCCAAGCTGGCCAATAAGGCAGATTTGATTAATACAAATCCAAGAGACATTGATAGAATTAATGACTTGCCCACAAATGTTTTCCCAGGAAGGTCACAGTATATATTTTATGGTCATGATGGAGGCATTAGGGCAACAAATGAGGATAACGATCCATTGGGAGAAATCTACTACCTTGGTATTATAGATTGCTTAACAAACTATTCGGTCAAAAAGAGATTGGAAACATTCTGGAGATCATTAAGCCATGCCAGACAAACTATAAGTGCCGTTCCATCTAAGGAATACGGAGATAGATTTTTGAATTTTATTAAGAAAGGGGTAACAACTCCTAAAAAGAAAGTTAGCTAGGTGAAAGTATTTACAAGGTGTGCTGTGGTATTACATTGAGAGAGAAATATCTCCGAGAATTCGAAGTATAATCCAATTATTGTTAAGAGATATTTTATAACTAATGATGGTATGCTTTTGTATGAATCAATGCATTTTGAAGCTTATAAGTAATAGATAAATATATTTTAGTTCTTAGTTCTTGTATCGGGTATTTCAAAAACAAATGTGGGCTCTGGTGCAAATAGCATGGCAGCTATGGTCCCTATTAAGTAATTATTCATTATTTGAGTTTGCCAAGAAGTAGGAAAATAGCGGAACGCGCTCATTGCCCATCTGTTTAAGAAGTATGACGTAGGTTCAATTAGGCGTAGCGGAACTGATTTGATCTTGTCAAATCATCTGTACGTATATTCCTATCTCCCATAGTGGGACGACACGAACCCCGTCGTTGTTCACAACCCATAGACATGTCTTGAATAGAAGAGAAAATGCACAATATTGCTAGAGGTGGAAGAATGAATAGACCAAACCTTGAAAGGCAGCCTCAGATGGATACATCATCAAGATGTTATGCAATACTATATATTTTTAAGGCGACATTACTTCAAGCATACTTTGGATTGGACAGCAGAGATGTAACATAAAATATAACTTGAAGAGATACGAGATATGGTCTTAATGTTGATTTCAGCAAATGATGCATGTAATTTGACTCGGAGCGAGCAAAAAGTTTTCATCAAATTTTGAACCTTATTATCGGTATTCATTCATGAATCTCCGCCTTTATCATGTAAAAAATAATTTTGCAGAACACCAAAGAGGGAACAAAAATTCAGTTTAAGCATGTACTAGGTGTCTATGGGGTCTCTCATTGCAACCACATGCCCAAATGTCGATCATTCTCCATATTATGTAAATTTCTTTTTTCACCCCCACGGAATCAATTTCTATATTTGGAGTTTAGCGCTATCAGTGTTGCATTCTTCTCGTATCAAGACAAAGTACATGCATGCTATCTCAAATAATGCAATCTCCAATAAAATACGCTACCTGAATGCGTAAGTATACGCTATATCTATCGGTGCACAAGTGTGATCTACCTATCGGTTCGAGTGTGTAATCTACCTATCTGTGAAATATTTGTGGTGCTACACATTTTATTTACATGCCACAAGAGGTCCAAATTTCAACTAAAATTTTGGAATATGCGCGATCAATACAGGAGATAGCCGCGACTATAATTTAACTTCCCTGAGAGTTCCAACCATTCTATCTAAAGCTCTTTTTTGCATAAGAATATTATGGCCAAGGTAGCATAATTGAGGACTAAGACTCAAGTCATTTGTTTTGCTCTGGTCTTGTTCCTATTTCCTTTATGTATAAGCAATAGACAATTAACATGGCCCATGTTGCTATACTACTACTATATTACTTGTCCAAAGCCTGATAAGAGCATTCGAGTAAGCTGCGCGCGCGGAATATATCACCTCTGCATATAATTATCACCTGCGTCTGATAAGACGCAATGTCTGGTTCAAACAAACTTCGCGGCGGTTAACGGACCGATGATAGGTCTGATAACTGAAATTTCATAGCAAATTCCTTTATCAGGAAGTTATGTAACGATGTTCCATCTTCACCGCTAGAATTGCAGTTTGTATATATATAACATATAAAGTTCTTGAATCAAAATTTGTAGAACTTGTCACTTTTCTTTTAGTACCGTTCAAAAATTTGCAGCCTAAAAATTATATATCATGTCTGAAGAAAAGGGAAAAGAACTTGGCACCATCGTATCTGTACATGATATGGAAAGCCAAGAACGTGGCGGCGTTCTCGCTGTGATCATGTCACCATCTGGAAAACCTGTTGAGATCACCGGTGATGTTGATGAGGCCATGAAACTTGCGATACATAACAAGGAATATGCCGCACTTGATGATGTTACTTCCAAGAGAATATTGAAGAAAATCGACATGTATATGCTCCCGGTGATGTGTATGCTTTATTGTTTCCAATTTATGGATAAGCTTTCAAACTCATATGCCTCTGTATTGGGCCTTAGAACAGACTTGGGAATGATAGGTGATATGTACTCTTGGACAGGTACTGCCTTTTACTTGGGCTATCTCGCTTTTGAGTTCCCAGCTTCATACCTTTTGCAAAGATTTCCAGTGGCTAAAACAGTTGCCTGCTTCATTTTGGTTTGGGGTATTATCTTATGTTTACATTCAGTTCCACAATATGCTGGCTTTATTGCTTTGAGAACTATCTTAGGAATGCTTGAATCAGCCGTCACTCCTGCTTTCACAATTATAACCTCCCAATGGTACACCCAGGAGGAGCAATTTTTAAGAGTTGCAATTTGGTTTGCTTTCAATGGTTTAGGTAACATTCTTGGGGGTTCCATTTCTTATGGATTGGCTGTTCATGCTGATAGTTACTCAATTGAAGCTTGGAAGTTAGTCTTCATCATCACCGGTTGTTTGACCATATTCTTATCTTTCATAATTTTCTTTCATTTACCAGACTCCCCTTCTCTGGCTTGGTTTTTATCTGAAGAAGAGAAGTATTTAGTGGTTGAAAGAATTAGAAAGAACCAACAAGGGTTTGGTAACAAGCACTTCAAGAAGCATCAATTTATTGAAGCAATGAAAGATTATAAGACTTGGTTATTATTCTTCTTTGCAATTGCAAACAATATTCCAAATGGTGGTATCACTAATTTCGGGTCTATCTTATTGACTACTGACCTTGGATACAGCGCAAAAGAAGCTTTACTTATGCAAATGCCTGGTGGAGCTGTTGAAATTGTTGGTTGTATTGGGATGGCCTACTTTGCCAAATATTTCAAGTCTAGAATGATAATGGCAATGATTGCAACTTTAGTCATCATTATGGCTGAATGTTTCTTGGCATTTGGTAAACTGACCAAGCTTCAGATGGCAGGTTATGCTTTAACTAACGTTTTACCCGTTGGTTTAATCTGTATGTTATCGGTTGTCGCATCAAATGTGGCAGGACACACCAAGAAGGTTACTACCAACGCTATTTTACTTATCGGATACTGTGTAGGTAACTTGGTAGGTCCACAGACCTTCATAGATGCGCAAGCACCAAAATATCAAGGCGCTAAAGTTGCCATGCTTATTTGCAGTTGTATTCAACTTTGTATGATTGGAGGTATATATGTTAGTTACAAGTGGGAAAATAGCAAGAGAGACAAGTTAGACATGAGTGCATTTGACGATTTCGAAAACTCCGAATTCGCTGATTTAACTGATGGGCAGAATCCTAGATTCAGATATGCTCTTTGAGTATGATTGGTGATTGGAGAAAATAATAAAACAATAATTGAACGAATTGATAGACATTATATCTAAGAAAAATGTAAGATAGATAGCATTTGTTTTCCATTCCGTCAGAAGCAATCAGAAAGATACTCTTCGTAGCTCATTCGCCATGTCAAGTGTTTAGCTTAGCCATTTCGTTTGGCTGCAATTTCTCGTGGCTTAGAAAAAAAGAACTTTTGCACTGAGAAAGGAAAAAAAAAATGACAAATGCTCCAGGAGGGGTTTGAACCCACGACCGTCGCGTTCCTCACACGACCGTGACTTATGGTATAACCAAATCGTCGTAATACGGCTATAAGCACGAAGCGCTAACCTCTGCGCCACTGGAGCACCTGCTAAATTTGTTGAGCGGCTATATTTGCTACTAGGTCTACCTATCACATTTATGAATACATGCTACGAAGATACACATATGCTATGTATTTGACGACTCAAGACACACGCTTGGTCAGTAATGCACTGCTGCAACAAATAGCTCTCTCTTGATCAAATATACATATACTGGCACATATTAATCATGAAAACATACTACTCTATATTTGCGTGCTGTAACCATTTCCTTCTTTAAATTGCCAAATCAGATATGAATAATTTTGAAGTAGCTGAAAAACCTGAGCACAGAAAGCAACTCCGTATAGAGCAAGGATAATTGCGGCCACCATGTCGAGACCAATTCGGTTTATAAGATCTATATCAATTGCTCAATCGTCAGCAGTGGTAAATGAAGTAAGGAGCTCTGTCAACTCTACAGTCTCAGCTACTGTGGGTGCTGCCTCTGTAGCGAGTCAGGTTGGAGGAAAGGCTGGTGAGGTGGAAAGCTTACCAACCACTCAATCTAATGCTCTCGAAAGTATAAGCTTCCAAACTTTGAATGTACCACCCACGGTTCTATCGATAAGCTCTCCACCCTCCTATCCTGTATATATCAAAAGGGGATCCTTATTGTCTCTCTATGGTACCGGGTCTATAATATCATCAGTTAAATCACAATTCGAACTCTTGAATCCATTTAGTGCATTGCTCTATGGGGGACGTTCACTGCAATATCAAAAATTCATATCTACTAAGCCATACTCGTTATTGGTGTCCTCAATTGCGTCGTCTTACTGGTTTCAAAAGCCTCTGAATAAATCTTTTGCGACTATAGACTTAGACGGCACAAGTGACTGGGCCGTGTTACCAAAAGATGCATTACAGGTTTACTCTGGCCCTTCATTGGGAATTCAGTCTCATACTTTACCAAGATACATTTCTAGAAAATTATCCAAGCTGTCTAACTCTTCCAGACAAACCCCTACTGGTTTATTCCGTTGGTTTGATTCTGGATTTACCTTACTTACTGGTAGAGGAAAGGTAGGTTTGGTGGCTTCTGGCTCCATTTATCTGATATCTTTGAATGAATCAGAGGAAATATTAATAAACTTGAAGAACATCGTGGCTATTACCACGAATGGTGCGCATGACCTCGAGAATAGTGTAATAAAGCACTCAATTCAATTATCTGAAAATTCAATATCTGAAAAATCCGAAGATAATCAAAGTATCCAAAAGAGCCGACCATCTTCAAGCCTCAACATTGTATTAGCCAACTTAAAGGGTATCTGGTACAGCACCTATTCATTCTTTTCCAGACAACAGCATGCAGTGTACAATCAATTGGTTGGAAATAAAGATTACGTAAAAGTCATCGGACCTCGAACCTTATTGGTCCAATCTTCGAATTCAAATATAAAGAATTACGAAGCTACAGAGTCTCAAAGAATAGCAAATACTGAAAATTTGATATCAGCTCAAATTGAGACTGATAAGAATCGAAAATCGTCAGATTATTTAAGTTACGTTACAATTACTCCTCAAGGGGCAGTTTTTGAAAGTACACCAGATTTCCTGGAAACTGTCAATGCGTTGAAGGAAAGGACTGAAAAGAAAAAGTAAGAAGAGAGTGGTGAACCTCATTCTTCAAGATAAAATATTTGTATTATAGAACTTCACATGAGGAGGTAGAATTAAAAAGAGCCAAAAAATATAAAAATCATTATTTATTTGAGAGTTCAATGCAATGTAAGGTATATAGGACTGATTTCAGTTTGTTGCTACGTTCAAATTATTAAATTTTAAACCTTTGCTTATATAAACTTTTTGCAGCTGGGGTTATTGGGAGTTTGTGCTGGTGGTAGGTGGTACAGCCCTGCAGAATCATAAACTGGAAGAGGTGATGGAACATAGCTTTTCGGAGCACTAGTCATTGGTGGAGCAGAGGAAGTTAAGTTGAGTGAAGGCAATAAAGTTGACAAGGTCGGCAATTTAGGCTTTTCGTTATTATCGAAAGATTTCCTCTCAAGGTTTAAATCAGCTGTAGGTACAGATTTGTCGGCAACATTCATTGGATTATCATTGGCAGGGTAAGCAACTGGTACGGTATTCTTTAACTGATACGGTGAACTTTCATGCAGTTGTATGATATTTGTATGTAATGGTTGTGAACCGTAACTGAACTGTTGTCCCCCTCTCTCCTCACCAGAATATAATGACGTTTTCATAGGGTACTGATGGTCGTGCGTGCTTAGTGCTCTATAGGGAGGAGTTATTGCACTAGCTTTAAAATCAGTACTTGTCGATGATGTCATTGTTATATTCTCACTATAACTGCTTTTGTTGTTGTATAAGGCGTCATACAAATGCCCAGATCTACTGGAAATACTTGCAGGTTTAGTCAGAGGACCAGAATTGCCTGAATCTGATCCTAATTCATCGCTACTAGAACCTGGTGAGCTTACGATATGATATTCCGCAGTTGATGGTATACTTAGCCTAACACTCTTCCTTGAGCCTGATTTTGGAGATGCGGTGTACGATTCGAGTCGATCTTCGTGTAGCAAGGAGCGAATTTGGTTATCATTACCGGCTATTTCACCAGTACTTTCTACCTGTTCCTTCCTCTTGAAGTCTACATTTTTTAACGGATCAATGTCTTTGGATTTGAATTTATCTTCGAAAGCATTTTTTAATGGAACAGGGTCTGTAGGCTTCAATGCATGCTGAAATAATTCATTTTTACGCTTAGTACCAATTTGATTGAGGCTGCTACCATGATTGGTCTTCCTCTTTAGCACCTTTAGTCGTTCATTTGGTAAAAATGGAAAAGGTTCTGCTGCAGTTTCATTGGCTTTGCTTCCTGCCTCACCGTGGCTCTTACGGATATTTCTGTCTCGAGCTTTATTCGGATCAGGACTCACGATATTTATAGCTTGGTTACTTGGCAGTTGTTTAATATATTTCAAATTAGCTTTGTGTTCGAGGTTTGGTGAATACTTAGATGTTACTTTTTCAAGGGCATTAAGCAAATCATTCCATTTAAAAACTTTTATATCCTTTTCAATATTTCTTGGTCTTGGGTCTTCCATTTTCATTAGCATTGAAAAAAATCTGTCAAACTTTTTATTGTTTCTTGAAACTGTCATTGGCTTCAAACTTTGAAGATTTCTTCTTATTCTGTTCTTCTCTTCTATGCTAAAGCTTTGTTGTATCAAGTATTCAAGGATAACGACTATATCTACGGAGGTGACAATATGAAATCCCTGTTCCTTCCAATAAATACAGGATATGATAGGTAAATTTGGGTTAAAATCATTCTTTTTAATCGATCTAAAATCAATTTCAAATTTAGTCAAAGATAGTTTTTCAAATTTGAAAACAACCAATCGCCTTTGATCTGCTTTTTCTTGTTTGGTCCAATTTAAAGTCATGTCCGTGATATCAGAATTCATGAGCAACTCTACTTGAAGCATTGCATCTTGGGGGTTCTGCCGTACGAAGTCAACTGGAACATTCGAAGTTCGAATCATAGTTGGCATGTGGTAATTGTTATAAGCAGAGTTATCAAATACTCTAGCCGCACCATTTACCTCTGGTGCTTTTGGGTATAGGCTTGCGGCGCTCGAGGTGAGTGCTTTCGGTGCGGCTGACACCAATTCATTTGCATTGGTAGCCATTCAGCACTTTCACCTAAGGTATAGTATGAAGTAATAATAAGTGGGTATTGAGTCGGTCTACAATGATGTTATAGATGTATTAAGGGAGTACGGCGTATAACCAATCTCAGCCTACACCTACTTCTGATCACTAAGTAAGGTTTGTATTCTAACTTAAAATTTGTATTTCACTACGCTCTTGTTCTATGTGTCAACTCCGCATACATTAACACAACTTATTCTTAATGCAGTAACACCTTTTATTAAATTATACAGCCTAAGCTTTTAGTTACCTTTCAAAAATTCAGAAATTTGTTAGCTAAATAACAAAACTGTAGCGAATTGTGTTAGTTATAAATTCATATCTTCTGTAACCAGGCACATATTAATTCTTGATAAACTTTTTACAATTGCTATGTGTTCGCACGCTAATTTTGAGTAACTCCGCTAACATAAAAAATTCGCTTACAGAAAAGGACGGTGGAAAAGTTTCATAACCAAAATCGACCAACTTGATTGCTACCATGTCATAATGTAAATATTATTTCTTTCCCTGTACTTAGGGGGCTGAGTAGATTGCTCGAGGTGGGCGGCACGGATAAGTATTATTGCGGAGCTACTCATAGTTCACACTAGTTCATCTTGATTTTCGAAATAGCATAATTCAATCTCTCAGTATCCTACTTCTTATTACACTGAGGCTTTCAACTGTAAATAATTATTCAAACAATTATTTCTCCGTTTACGGTTTCAATTCTCCTTATCAAAACCAATTTATGAATTTGAATTAGGTTGATACTAGCATATATCCCCCACTAAAGAGCATTGCTATGTAAAAATAAATTTTATGAAATAAACTCAGTAATTTCATTTGTTTAAGGCAAGAAAGTGTCCGTACGTCCATGCCAACTATTGACTGAACTCGTCGTTAATATTTTTAGTAGATTATCTGTTTTGACGTCTATAGTGTTACCTGAGCTGCATTTGAAGCTTAATAAGTCCAGATGTCAATAATTATATTGACTAAACTGACTAGCACTTCAACTCCAACTAAGACAACTACGATGAATTCTAAGTTCTCTTCGTGTGAGTGGCCCAACTGTTCTTTAAGCATCTGTAAAAGGTCTGAAATTACCTCTAATCTTTGATTAAGTAACTCCACTCTTTGATTGATCTCTAAGTAACCTCTTGTTGCTTGGTAAATTGGCTCCAAGTGAGGTTCGGCCCACATAAGTTCTGGAGAATCTAAAACCGAACCATGCAAATTAATATTTATCCTTAATATAAATAATTCTCCAATCGATTTCATTATTTCATCTCTATTCATTTCAACTTTACCAGTATGTGCAATCTGTTGAGGAATATCTTGAGTATCTTCTATTGTATTGTCCACCAATTCTTCAAATAATGATATTTTAACAGATTGGGCCAAAGCGTGAGATATAGATAACTTCAACATATAATTAGAATCATCTCTCAAGGTGATAAAATCATTATAAATTCTCGGTTGATAAGATTTGGTAATATAATAATTGAATTCTTCAATTTGAATATCTTCTGTTGACAATTTTTCGCTTTCGAACTTGGCTAAATCATCCAAAAAGGCTTGCTCCTCTTTGATTGTGTACCCCCACATTATTATAACCCCATAATCAAAGACAAACAAGTCATTCTTTTTTCCTATGTCTATTTCACCCCCATCATCTGCTAACCTTATGTACTTGTGTTGAATATCTTCATCTTCACCACCATTGCTCCCGTCATGACTTCTCCAATCTTTATATGTAAATGGGGTATATATACACTCATCAAACAACTTGGGGCTTGTATTGTGTATTCTCTTACGGTCCTTCAACCATCTGAGTAAATCCTTCATCTTATAGGAACCACAAGTACAGTATGCCGTGACTCTGGGCAACATATCTCTGTGCATTTTTCCGAGCGTTTCAGCATCCTTTCTAGCTGGGGTATCTTTAATTCTACCAACTTGGGAGTAGACCTCATTTTCATGTTCAATTTCATCACTTATATTATCAAAGTTGGGGGGGTCTTCTGGTAAAAGCTTCAATTTCTGTGTAGTACGACTGGTTCTCTGCAAACCTATCTTTGAAGATTGCGGTATCACCTTTGATGAAGGTTTGCTGTTTTTTTGTAAGTTTGCAGTGTAACCGCTTGAATTTCGAGGAAACGAAACGGAAGACGAGGTTGATGAAGGGTTTTGTTCATTGGTCGAACTCACACTATTTGAAGATATAGGGATCTGGTCCGACGTCTCTAGTGGGTTCTCGGGCAACAAGGGAGTAGATTCCATGGTTGCTTTTTTAACTGGAAGAACTTTTTGAACTAGAACCGAATATATAGATAAGGTACAACAAACAATAAAGACAAAGCCCAGCTAAATGTAGTTCGGAGAACCGTGAGCTTGGTACGAATAGGGTATAGATGCTCAAAACGGCTACACCAGTAAATAAAGGCTAATATTTTTCGGTATTCCTAGTTAGGTACAGGAATCTTGATTATGTAAGGTTTTATCAGTATAGAGGGAGCTACTGAATTGCAAAAGACCATGGGGATCCTTACAGGATACTTGATTTAGCATCAAGAAGCAATAGCTTTTTAACATATCTTTTGGTTAGGCTTTTTAATTTACTTCATATCTATCTCTTTCGAACACCCTCTATTCACTATATTGTCTCTAGCCATGAGATGCAGCTACTTGGAAAGTCAAAGCTCGTCTCCTGCATATCTCAATATTTTTTTAAGATGAGCTTCTCATTTTTTTTCACACCAACTTAGTACTGAAGTTGAGTTGATTGGCAGCCAAAGTATTACTCTTCATCTTCGTCTATTCATTCAGCATGGTTGATAAAAAGAAAGGGTCCTCTTCCTTGTCCTCGAGTAGGATAGAAAAGAAGAAGACCAAGTCCACACAATCTTCTCGTAGACATGCATTCTCTTCATTTAGAGAAAGAATAGACTCAATTAAAATTGATCCAAATTTGACCTTATCCAAAAGATCATTTGATGATGCAGAGATATCCCATTTCTTGTCTACTTTGGATCATTGGAAAGAGATCAACATAAGTGGTAATTTCACTGAATTCATAGATAAAATCGAAGGTAAATGTCAATCTTTACCACAATTATTGCATCACCAAGACTTTATATTTGAAGCCATCTACAGTCATATTCAAAAGAACGATGTGTATTCAATTCAGCCATTATTTGAATTGTTGGGACAGTTCGTTCATGATCTTGGAGTGGATTTTCTTGACCATGATCTGTTTTACTCGAGGACTCTTGATTTAATAATGGAAATTGCCATTTCTACCAACCCAAATGATTCACAAAATAATAGAAACTCAGCAAACATTTTGGAATGGAGTTTCAATTGTTTAGCGTTTATTTTTAAATACCTAAATAAATCTTTAGCAAAGGATTTGCTCCCTACTTTCACTGCCTTATTACCCTTATTAAAATTAAACACAAAGAGATATATCTCGAGGTATTGTGCTGAAGCACTTTCCTTCTTAATTAGAAAGCTGAAAGATGATTCATTGGACAATATAATATTGGCTTCTCTTAATGAAAATGATCTTGAAGAAGAATCATATTACCAATCATTAGTAATTATGTACAGTGAGAGTATGAAGAGTACAAATGGGTCCTTCCACTCTAAGTCTCAATCAATTTTCATAAAATTGCTTGACAATGGAATCAAACAGCATAGTGCTAAGCACATTTCAAATTTGTCTGACATTATCTTGTCTATATTGAACCATGGTTCCTTGGAAGCTTGTGATAAGTTTTACAGGTCGTCTGTAAACTATCTTATAGAATTATTAGACAAATCAGATGATCAACAAGATGTCACTTCATTAATAACTATATCTCAAATCTTGTTGACACTTTCATTTGCTGAGTCTGGTAAAAAGGTCAAGACTTGGAATCCAATTTTGATGGCGTTGGAAAAGTTCCTTAATCTTATCAATAGTGAATCCGTTTCCACAAACACTACGTTAGTTGATTCATTGATTTATCTTTTATCGGTAGTATTCCGTAATTGCTCTATCGATGAACTAACCAAATATCAATTGAAGTATTTTGAAACCATGAAAAACATAGACAATGGAAAATCATTCTTTAAATTTGTAGAGACTAGTATGGATCTATGTGAAACCAGAATGAATAGTTATGGTTTAGTGAAACATGTTCAAGACTTCATCAATAGTATTGTACAACGAGAGGAGACCTATGACTTCAAAATATTGGCGTTGTTTTTAACTAAAAGGGCTCCATATGCTCAAGGTTTGATTATACCGTATAATATTCAAGTTTTAATTCAACTGCAATTAGAAAATGATTTCAAGTCTATTGAAGGCAATGAATTTGAAATTTACTGGAGAGTCCTCATTTTGGAATATAGCGATCTTACCAAACAGTCAGATCTTCAATTTAACTACATAAATAGTATATTCAAGGAATTATTAAACAAAGAGTCAAGAACTAAATTTGACGAAGATATTGCAGCACATATTCTTGAATTTATGGCACTTCATTCTGAAAAGAACTCTTTGGCAATTCTAAAAATTGCTCTCATTGAAAATTTGGACAAATTTCAAGAGTCATACTTATACCTTTCAGCATTGGATAAATTATTGAAAAAGGATGAAATTACCCAGAAGAAGGTGGCCATTGAGATAATATCAAAAAATTTTGATACCATTTGTGACAAAGTATCCCTCAACTTAAGATCACCGAACCATGACGTGAGATATAGTTCACTTAATTTAATAGTAACACTTTTCCAGCTCAAAGGTTTAGAAGTTCCCCAAATAATTTCAGACATCCGAATTATCGAAGAGATCCCACTTTCCCTAAATACAGGAAGGGATATCTCGCTGAGGATTAGAAGCTTGGGTATTGAATTTAAAAAGTCAATCGCTCCATCTAGCTTGGAATCGTTGTGTTTGACAAGGTATTTATTTGGCTTGTTGACCAATAAATTTCAACCGTGTTGGTTGGCAGTCTTTGAAGTATTGCCAATGATAACTTTTTTTAAAGAGTGTTCCGAGGAAATTTGGAAGCTAAGTTATGAATTCATTAACATGAAATATTCAAATCAAATCCAAAACTACAATGACATAGATGACTCCATGTTTGTTGATGAAGATTTGAAACTTTTTTTGGCAGACTGGTTACCAAATGATAGTAGACTTTCAGGAAACTTCAATCACATAAATAGGTCGTACTTCATAAAATATTCTGCCATTTCTAATTCACTAATGGCATATTCAAAAGAAAGAAGAGGTGATTTTTATTATGGTGAAATCATGAGATCTCAAGTTCTTCAAGCCTTGAGTTTTGTTCCTCAAATTGCTGAATTGCATAGTGAAATTTTGGTCCCACTAGTGTTGCATAAACTGGATATAGAAGAAGGTGATGATGATGATGAGACAGATGTCAGTGAAAACCCTCATGGCGAAATTTGGAGTATGAAAGACCGTAACGCACTAGTTGGTTTATTTTCGAAATTCAGTAATTTGAAGAAAGTGTATAAAAGTGAAGAAGTATTTGAGCATATGCTCAAATTACTTTGCAACAAACAGCTCCCAGTTCAAAAAATGGCTTTGAGCGTGATTTTAAATTGGAAGATTGGTGTACTCAATAAATACAGGGATAATTTATTGAATTTGTTAGACAACACAATATTCAGAGATGAAATCTCTAAATTCATTACCCAAGACTCGGAATCCAAAATTGAAGATCAAGATTTGAAGGTGTTGATGCCAATTGTCTTGAGAATTTTATTTGGTCGTTCCCAGAGTGCTCCAAAGAGTAATAGTCAGTCTGGTAGAAAATTTGCCATTATTACTGTCTTACCTAATTTGAAGCCTGAAGACATAATTGAATTTTTGAAACTTGGTTCTGAAAGAATTGGTTACAATGGCTTTTTTGCCGCAGATGGAGTCAATATTGATAATGCCAAAGAAATAAGTCTAACCACAATGAGAAGAATCAATGGGTTTGTGAAGCTTTTGAACGAAGTTTATGGTGTCTTGGGCCTAAAGTATCAAGATGTTTTAGCAACCACAATTGAACCATTAATATATTCCTTGATAGTTTCTCAGGTTGAAATTCTGAACAATGAACTAGGTTCTAATTCTAACCTTGACAAATCTGCAAGAAATGTGAGACAGATAGGTATGAAATGTTTAAGTGATTTGTTTGTTTTGTTAGGTGAATCTTTTAACTGGGATGAAAGATATGTTCAAATTATTTACCAATATATCATCAATCCAAGGTTAGAAAAGTTTAGTCAAGAAAATTTGCAACAAGTCTCATCTTTGATGAAAATGATGGCAGGTTGGATAAACTTCAAAAATTTATTCAAATTTTATTACATTGATGATTTTGCTCCAGTAGACGCCATTTTATCCTTACTTGCGAATGAAAATTGTAAAGACTCAGTCGTGCTTACGGTCTTAACATTTGTACACGATGCATTGAACAAGACTCAACATGAACTTGACAACAATGATGCATACTACTCACTATTAGCTCAAATTGTTAACGAATTATTAAAGTCATTACCATCTATTTTGGATAGATCATGCGATAGTGGAGTGAATACCAAAGGGGTTGATATCCTTTTGTTATTACTAGAACAAGACTACGTTGATGATAATAAAATTAGAGGATCTCTTGTTGAATCTTTGACCAGGGCCCTAGATAAGCCACATATTCAAGTTGGTGGTCCAAGGAATAAAGTAAATATTTTGAAATCTTTATCGTCATTGATTGATAATTATGAGAATTGCTCATTTGGAGATATTGAATCTTTATACCATAGTTGTTCCAAATCTTTTAGAATTTATAAAGAAAAGAATATTCGTGAAACTTTGGTATCAGTTTTCAGAAGCTTTGGTAAAAAATTCAGTGAGTTACAAATCGTAAGTGAACTAGTCGAAGGCTTGAATGCATATTCCGACAAGAGGATTGAAGAACCAGACTTTGGAAAGAGATTGGTGAGCTTTAAGAAAATCAATGATGAACTTTATCCTACTTTGACTACAACTCAGTGGTTTCCAATCTTGAATTGTGTTTTATTCTTCATCAACGATGAATTAGAATTGGCAATTCGAACAAATGCCACCTTTACTATTAATAGATTTATTGATGCATTTTCACAAATGGAAAATGAAGAATTGGCAAGAGGTCACATTCACATGTTTAAAGACACTGTTTTGCCAAACATTCGTACTGGGTTGAGAAACTTTGCTACTGTAGAAGTCGTTCAAACTGAATATGTTAGTGTGTTGGCTCACACAGTGCAACATCTGAAGTATTTTAACGATCTTGATGATATGAAAGTTTTATTATTTAACAACGATGAAGAGGCTAACTTCTTTGCAAACGTTAATCATATTCAATTGCATCGTCGTCAGAGAGCTATTAAGAGATTAAGGGATTACAGGCATAAGTTAACCGAAGGCAGTATTTCGCACTATATTTTGCCAATAATCGAGCATTATGCATTTTGTACTGATGAAAAGTTGAGAAACATTTCAAATGAAACTGTGGATACCATTAGTGACCTAGCAAGGTGCATTAGTTGGAATCAATTCAGAGCTTTAGTTAGACGGTATATTGGAAATCTAAAGAAAAGTAAACCTGAAAGTCTTAGGGACCATGTTTCATTAATTGTTGCTGTTTCAAGATCGTTAATGAAAGCACCAACTACCAGTGAATTTGAACTTGAAGAAGTGAATATTCCTGATGAAAATGAGGAAAACCGGAATCTTCCATCTAGTCAACTTGAGTTGGATACATATATTACTAGTGAATTATGTCCACCTATTGCAAAAATCTTGAATGTGAGAAACGATGAAACAATTGTTGCTCGTATCAGATTAGCTGAGGCCTTAACTAACTTGGTAACTTGTATCTCTGAAAATTTAATTGAATCTCAATTGCCCTCAATTTTGACAAGTACCTGTCAAGTTATTCGTTCTAGATCTGAAGAGCTTAGAGATGCAGTTAGAAAGTCCTTGGGAAGGATTTCACTCACACTTGGTACAAAATATTTCAAGTTTATCTTGCAAGAATTGAAAACATCATTGTCAAGGGGTTCTCAAATCCATGTTTTGAGTTTCACAGTACATACTTTAATAGTTAATATTCTGGCAAATTTGAATCACGGTGATTTAGATGAAAGTGCAGAATCGTTAGTGAGCATTATAATGGAGGACATATTTGGTGCAGCAGGGCAAGAAAAAGATGCTGAGGGATATACAAGTAAGATGAAAGAAGTCAAGTTCAATAAGAGTTTTGACACAGGAGAATTGTTATCTTCAAATATTTCCTTGAAGACTTTTAAGACTTTGGTTTCCCCAATAAAGATGCTCTTGCAAGAAAATGTGTCATTGAAAGTTCAGAATAAGTTAGATGAATTATTGAGAAGGTACGCATTAGGATTGAACCACAATAGTGAATCCTCGGAGCAATCCATCTTGGTTTTATGTTACGAACTCCATTCTCAAGCTACTGATATTGCCAATAGAAGCATCAAAAGTGATGACAATAAAAAGCTTGTAAAAAGGGGTGGTGATGGAAATGAAGGCCATTTTCTAGTCAAGTTAAATGCTAGACCTCAAAAAACTCATGTTCAAAATACCGCATACATTACTACATTGCAGAAATTTTCCTTTGACTTGCTAAGGACAGCAATCTCTCGTCATGAAGAATTGTTAACTGTACCCAAATTGGAGGGATTTATTCCACTTTTAGAAAATGCATTACAGACATCTGAAAATGAAGGAGTAATAATTTCCTGCTTAAGGATTTTGAACTTGATCGTCAGACTTCCATTTTCTGAGGACATTGAAAATGTATTCAAATCATGTGCCAGAAGATCCTTAACAATAACTAAAGATTGTCCATCAACAAACTCTGAATTATGTCAGGCCTGTTTGAGGTTTCTTGCTACAGTTATCAGACATAAGCCTGAAATTAAGTTGAAGGAGACTGCTATTAGTTATATTTTAGTAAGAATACAACCTGATTTGGAAGAACCAAACAGACAGGGTTTGGCTTTTGCATTTGTGAAATCGGTTCTTTCTCAACATATTATGATTCCGGAAGTGTACGATACAATGGATAAAGTATCTCAAATTATGATCGTTAACCATGGAAAGGAAATAAGAGATATGTCAAGATCATCTTACTTTCAATTTCTTATGGAATATGATCAAGGAAGGGGCAGATTGGAAAAGCAATTTAAATTTCTACTTAATAACTTGAGCTACCCAACTCAAGATGGGAGACTGTCAGTAATGGAATTGATTCATTTGATTATCATTAAGGCTGGTTCTGACTTGCTTGAAAAATTGGCTTCCTCCTTTTTTATTGGTTTAGCTAACGTAATGGTTAGTGATGACACTCCAAAATGCCGTGAAATGGCTTCGGTTCTATTGGGAAGTATGTTTAAAAAATTGGGACAAGCGAATACCAAGAATATTGAATCGTACTGCTCTTCATGGATTTCACAATCAGATAACAGATTGTTACAAAGATGTGGTTTACAAGTGTATAAATTGTACACTACTGAATTTGGAATTGGAAATAAATCGTTGGATGATTTAGCTTTAAAAAGAATGAAAGAAATCTTAGATGCTGCTAAGAACAAGGGAGAAGTAAAGGAAGAAGAACCTGATATAGAATGGGAATTGGTTTATTCCGCTTTGACTGTATTCTCAATGATTGCTTCAGCATTGAAAGATGATATTTTCAAGAAGGAATACGCAAAAATATGGAACTCTATTTTAGATTTGTTGCTCTATCCTCATCCTTGGGTACGTTTAATTGCTTGTAGGTTGGTCGGAATTTTGTTATCAAACTTAGATTCAATTAAGTTTGATCTTACCAGCTATGAAGTCCAAACCGTTGCCTATAGATTATTGCATCAATTGGGTGCTCCCTCTATTGCGGAAGCTTTGGGTGGTCAAATCGTAAAGAATTTAGTCATTATTGCAATGAAATGGGAAAAGGTTAATCAAGTCTATGAATTTAAGCCGAATGGCAAAAAGGGTGACGTAAAAGAAGAAGAAGAAGGTGCAAGATATGAGTTTGCCATTGACTATCTTGTGACAAGAATTAGCTCCATAATGAGACAAGAGAATAACTATAGAGATTCGTTTGTCTCTAAAAAGTCATCTATTCAACTTGCTGCTATGCTAGTTCAGATTATTTCATCTGAAAAATTGCCATTTGCCGCCGAGAAGCTTATGCTTGGAATGTACAATTTCAATGATCTTGATCCTAATAACAGCGAAGCTGAAGCTGAATTAGTTAATTTGACTGCTGAATGTAATCAAATGATCGAAAATAAATTGGGTGTCACTCAATATACTCAACTTTACACTCAAGTGAAACAAATCGTCAACAAAAGACGTCAAGATAGAAAAACAAAACGTGCTCAATTGAATATTACTGCTCCAGACATTGCAGCAAAAAGAAAGATGAGAAAGCATGAAAGATTCAGAGAAAAGAGAAAGCATGAAAAAGATGATAATGGTTATTATAAAACAAAGAGAAACAAATTTTCCTGATAATGTATATATTAAGAAGAATAAATTTTGCATAATTGTATATATACTATAAATATTTATTAATATTTTATAAATTACAAGTGATTGTAGTTTGCATTCTGTATATTGGAGCTACAAACATTGAATTCCTTAAGTAATTTTGCATCTCATTCTAATTATTCTTCTAAATATTTTCTAAGTCATCTAAAAGGTTGATCAGTTTTCATTTGTAGTTTCAACTGCTTTGTTTTCCTCTTCCTTTGATTCGTCCTTCGATTCTTTTGAATCTGTTTCTTTTACGTCTTCGGCAAGTTCTGTGTCCTCTTCAACTTCTTCCATTGGGGTACCTTCTTCTTCAGGCGCATTCAATTCTGATTCAGGTACATCTGTAGTAGGTTCTTCAGGATCATTGATATCACTTGGAGGGTCAATTTCAGAATTCAACTCTACCTTTGGTTCGTCGTTAGCAGCAGGAGTAGAAGAAGATTGTACTTGAGGTTGTTGAGGTTTCAATTTAATGACAAACTTTTGTCTCTTTGGAGCTGGAGCTTCAGCTTCTCCGGCTTCTTGCTTTCTCTGATTATAAATTGACATTTCTCTGTGATATCTCTCTCTATCATCTTGATAAAGTTTGAAATATGGAGCACGACCTTCTTCATTCAAGTTATTCCATGCCTCCGTTATAGCCTTTGACAACTCGCTAACGGCACCAGGGTTCTTCTCCTCCAATTCCAGTCTAATTCTGTCCTTCTCCATATCACAGAATATCAAGTAAGCGTTTGTAGGTCTCTTGGGTAAATTTGGATCTCTTGCTGGCTTAGATGAAGCACCAGATGATCCATTAGAACCTGCTACAGATGATCCAGCACGACCTCCTGCCTTTCTGCTTCCTCTCTTCACACCACTTCCACCTTTACTCAGCTTAACGTTGCTAGAATTTAAGGATTCATCAAGTATCTTAGGAGAAGGTGGGGGAGACATATCTTCAGGGTCAAAAGCTGGATTGGTCGCACGCTCTTCTAATCTCTCAAGTAAAATGGCGTACTCGAGACGTAATCTACGTATCACAGCATTTGTTCTGGTCAATGCTAAAGTTGCAACGTCGTTACTTTCTTCTACTTCCGTGATTCTTTTCTTCAACTCTCTACATTTTTGTTTAAATCTTTGTTCTTTTCTTCCGTTAGTAACAATCCGTATAAAATAGAGAAATCAATATAAAACGACCGAAAAATGAACATACCTTCACTATCAGGAGGTGCTTCTCTTGCAGTCACGCTTGCAGTACTGGATTTTGCCGACTGTCCCCTCATTGCCTAATGTTTGAATAGATGACTCTTTCGAAAGGAATCTTAACAAATGAAAATTTTTATTACAGTATTTTCAGTTCATGACTTCATCTTTAGGTTATCATCATACAAATTCATTGTCGTGTATGGAAAATTTAACGCGCACCATTAAAATTGAACATTTCATGGGGCCTACGGTTTTTCATGGTATCTTAGCAAGCCAATTTCATGCACTGTTGCATACTTAGGAGAAGTCTTTCGAATAATTGTGGGAGTTAGAAGATAGTATTTTACATTCAAACTACAAGTACTAGTGTCTAAGAAAACAAGATAATCTGATTATTTCCTAAATACCAACCGACGTGGACCAACCTTTCGTGTCGTATCACCCCATCCTGGATGATACTGAAACTCAAAACTATAAACTAAAAATAAAACTATAAACTAAAAAACTAAAAAAAAACAACCATAAACCTTGAAACAAAAGACTTGAACTTAAAAAGATTCGTACTTCAATTATTGATTGTTACTAGTGACTGGGGATAATATCTCATAGTCCGAACCGAAATCTTCTCCAGCATCGCTACTTACAATATCATAGTCAGCGTCAACCTCTTCTTCTACTTTGTCCGTTTCGTCTTCAGCTACCTTATGCTCAATGTTTTCTTTTGCTTCAGTTGTTTCCTTTTCCAAGATAGTGGAGTTAGCATCGAGGTATTCAGAGGAGGACAATGTCTTTGAGTTTGAAGGACTAGTAGATTCTCTTGGTAATGTTGGTAATACCATCGAATGAACTTCGCCTGGGGAACTTGATCTAATATCGCTTAAGCGAAGTTCTTCTACTGATTTAGTTACTAAAGTTGTTGCTTTCGCATCTGGTGTGGAACCTCTTTCATTTTCTTCTTCTTCGTCATCTTCATCTTCATCTTCGCTCGCAGGTTCATCTTCTCTGATTTCAATATCAGTTTCAGTTTCCGGTGAAGCTTCCTTCTCATGGGCAAGTTCATCCTTAGTGGCTGATACAACGTCTTGCATATCATCATCAGTGTCAGAAAAGGAAGCAGTTTCTGCGACAGAATCTGATTCTACTGAACTTTCTTCCAATCCGTTCTTGGAAAATTTGAAAGCTCCACTTAAATTCTTTAAACTCAAGTCACATTCTCCTTCAATGGAATCATTCTTCATAACAAGTTTAAATGGATATTTGAGATGAGCGCTACTAAGAGATATATTGAATCTTGATGTTCTACCTGGTAAAATTGCATGCCTCTTATGAACAACTAAATTGCAAATGGATTGCTGGAAGCAATTAATAATCTCGAATCTCAAGTCAGAACAGTCAATTTCACTCTCAGTATAATTTGTAACAACAATTTGAGCAAAGAAATCAGCTTTGATGTGTAATGCGACTAAAACTTTCGATTCTTTGTTTTCAGAAATCTTCTCTGACTCCTTGCTTTCCCTTACAACAGGATATAATGTTGTACCTTTCTCTAAGAAATCACCTTCCATGAAAATACTTGGATCTGACGTAGGAATTCTCAATTTGCAGGTACCAAAAGATGGAAAATCAGGATCGTCATGACCAAATCTCAAATTAGCATACTTAGTTTCTTCAGGCAAGAAATCCTTTGGTACCGGAACACTGATCTTGAAGCTATCACTATCGTTGAAAAATTCGAATTCCAATTTTTCACCAGGAATAGAATAAACCGAATTGTTTGTCAAAAATAAAGCCAAACATCTAGGAAACTTTTTAAGGGTCTCAACAGATATTGAACCATTAGTCTTGTCAATGGAAGTCTCTTGGTTTCTTTCTACAAAAAGGTCTTTCTCATTATCTTCGACAATTGCATCAACTTCGACTTCCGTACCTTCAGCAATACTTTCACTCTCATCTTCCTTTAAAGACCCATCCTTAGCATTGTCTAAGTTAATTTGCTCCACTAAGCTTAATAAACAAGCATACTTTTCATCGCTATCTTGATCAGTATTGAGTGAGTTGACTAAATCCTTGTATCTACGAGATTCTTCAATATAAAGGTCAACATTACGGAAAAAGTCATCAATATTTCCGCTTCTTAAAATATTCTCAAGTTTATCTCTGTTGGCTAATGAACAACTTCCGAGTGGAATATCATAAACTATATCGTTGCCTTGAGTAGAGAAATGAGGTGAGCCGGCACTTGGTGCTGGTGGATTAGGTGGAGGTGGTGGAGGAGGTGGTGGAGGTGGTGGAGCAAATCCACATCCACGATAAAATCCTCTATGAGGACCATGCGATCCAGAACCATGGTACGAGTTGAAAAATGAAGAAGAATGTGGTGGGTGAGTCCACGGACCAGCCAAACCCAGAGCTCCGAAATGTGAACGATTGTGTTGTCTACGTTGAGCGTTACCACACAATGGAGGACGGACGTCGTACTGACCTGTCGTGGAAATCTTAGCCATTGGATGAAATCTAGTGTGACCTCCAATTTCAACCTTTTTGACCATGCATTTAGCGCATAAATCAAAATCATTACAAAGTAAACATTTGTACCTTGGACCAACAATAGGGACAAAATGGACGGGATTACATGAATCACAAGAAGCCTGGTGATGAACTACCTTAGGGTCAGAGTTCGAAGCATTCTCCTTTGCAGAATTGGCACCAGTACCTCCGGTAGTATTTGGAGCGGGTGCCTCATTGCTACTTTCTAATTCTTCCTTCGATGACACAGCATCTTTGAAGTGCTCAAAGGCAGTCTGAAGTACAGCTTCACCTAATTCAAAAAATAAAGATTTACTTAAATTGTCAGTAAAATCTTGACTACTCTTCCTTCTCTTGGCATCTTGAGAAGCAGATTCGGCATTTTCAGTTTTCGATTCATCTTCCAACTTCTTCTTAGTTTTCCTTTGAATATTTAACTTCAACAGATTCTTAACTTGTAAGCTACGAGAAAGAGATTTGAAATCTTCCTCAGTTTCCAAGAGAACATAATCTTTGTGCTTTTTAGATTTTCTGAAAAAGATAAGACTTTCAGGATCATTAGGGACCAAAGAAGAAGCAAAATGACTAGAACAAAGCTCAGTTAAAGTCTTCTTATTCTTAATGTGCTTGGAAAGTTCTGAATTGGACATGCTAAAGGACGTGATGATGTCCTTATTATGATCAGCTTCATTTACTCCACTTTTCAAATCCTGGTTAGAAAATCTCAATGAGATATGCTTTGTTTCAGACATGATTAACGGGTTTTCTTAGCTCAAGTAATAACCTACTTAATATGATGACAGATTTAAGCACTTCGGAGAGAAAGGATAATTAATATGAAGAGTAGTTATTGAAAAAATTGAAATAGTATATAAAGAGTAATTGCAAAATGGCAAAATAGATTACAAGAGGAAAGGGGGCAAATATATGTCACATTTTTAGATCAGTCGTGTACATTACTATTATTAGATAATGCATGCGAATTGATTCTGGAAATTTCTAATTGTGGAGAGATAAAGGGTATACGAAGAGTGAATAATTTTGCAACAGCATACTTATAGATGAAATTACTAAATACTCTTGAAGATGGTGTGTCTTAGAATAATGGCACTAAAACGATGCATACCTAGCAACTTTGACGAACAAACAGACTACTTTGAAGTGAATGCCTCTACCTTGTATGTGTACTGCATATAATTATTATCTGGAAACTTCTATAATGAAGCACATCTTGCCTTGCAAATCCTAAACAAATAAGGTGAAGGTAGGAAGATTCATCTTAGCCTATCAGTATAGGTCACACGGTTATAAATACTTAAAGTTTTCTGTAAAAGAGGCACTTGGGGTTTAAGTAAACTAAGACCTAAAGAGTACTATTGTTCTATGTATTGTGCTCTGGACTAGTACTACTTAAAATGTGTGAGTGTTTTCTAGGTAAATACGTCTAGATATTTACACTTTGTCCTCTCAAAATAGTTTAGTACGAAGTCTTAAAGGCTATATCTTTGACTTTATACCCACAAGTCTCTTCGTACCGATTCACCTTTACCGGAAGATTCCCAAGGCCAAAATTGCATATATGCAGTGCCGCTGTGAAAATGTACGTCATAATTCCAGCACTCACAAAATAATACATTTTACTAGAATTGATAATGATAAAGTTGCCTTTTTCATCCATACAATGCTAACTGAATATCCGAAAGTAGTGGTCTTCGATTTAGATTATACGCTATGGCCGTTCTGGTGTGACACTCACGTCTATATGCCTATCAAGCCTCTCAACAAACACGAAGCTATCGATCGACTGGGAACGAAACTCTCTTTATTTCCAGATGTTGGATCTATTGTTAAAGAATTGCATCAGAATGGAGTAACTTTAGTGGCTGCTAGTAGAACTGCAACTCCAAGAGTAGCTCAGGAACTCTTGTCAATTTTCCATGTAGATGATCAACCAATCATAAAATACTTCCTGTCATTGCAATGGGGACAAGGTTCAAAAATTCATCATATAAGAAGAGCTGCCAAACAGTTGAATTTGGAAGCAGAATTGGAGGAAGGTGAGTTTATTCTTTTCGATGATGAAGGTAGAAATAGAGATGTAGAAAAGATAAATTGTAAATTTGAGTATCTTATTAATGAAAGATTGGATCGTGAGGATTTCGAAAGGGGAATTCGTGCCTGGGCATCTTGGAAGAAAGAACTTTAACAATCGGGTGTATAGCACAGGCACATTTTTCAGCCCATTGAAATCTTTAATTCCCCAAAAAAAATTTAGGGTTTATAGGCAAAAGATTCACCTCGGTTAATATGTCGCACCCAAGGAATAATACTCATCACACTACAAAGATTCTGGTCTTCTGACTGTAATATATCATAATTTATTTATTAAGTACCTTCTGAATGTACAATATTATTGTAGCTATCACCTTTGTTATATTTATATTCGCTATTATATTATAACTAAGTAGTATTTTTCTTAATTGAGTTAACAAGGGAAACAAGGTTATTATGAGAAGCATTGGACGGAGGAGTGATTTCTTTCTAGATATGTTAGTATATGGTTTTCGATTTTATTTCCTATTTTGATACATACCTCACTAAGCCAACTCTTCAAGTTTTCATCTGACCATTTTTCTACGTTAACAATACTTTCATCATTCAATGGTTCAGTATTGTTACTAAGATCTTCTGAATCTGAATCTGAATCCTCATACTCGGATGCGGATTCTTCGTTAAGTTCTATTGGTTCATTGTCATCGTTGCCCTTGACCTCTGGCTTCTTAGATCCAAGTAAAGTGTTATAAATAGTAGATTTCAAATGTGGGAAAGTGGATAATATAATGTAACTTGCCCCAATGATAACTGCACCCGCCGTGGCAGCTAATTTTATATTACGATTTCTGTTGCTGGCCTTTAATTGAAGTGACATTGCTTAGTTTTACAAGAAAAGAATAATAAATAATACAAAGAAGAAACGTAGGTTTTATATATAAAGAATTTGACTGGTCACTCAGCAACCCGCTTCTTTTATCTCAACTCCGCAGTTTTGAGAAAAAAAAGATAAAAACTATCTTATGATAATTACAAAATGACACGTGATTTTCCTGTATCTTGTCTAGAAATTTCCTTTCTGAAAAGTTTACATTAACGATAAACCCTATACTAGTATACAAATTAGCAAATAAAACCTTATATAATACACATTAAGAAGTTATAAAGAACGACGATTTTTTTTTATTTAATCAGTTGCTTATAATTCTTGAGAAGCCTTACCTGGCTTACCAGACTTCTTTGGTAATAAGTTTTGGTGAATGTTTGGTAAGACACCACCTTGAGCAATAGTAACATGACCTAATAACTTGTTTAATTCTTCATCATTTCTGATGGCCAATTGTAAGTGTCTTGGGATGATTCTTGACTTCTTGTTATCTCTTGCTGCGTTACCAGCCAATTCTAAGATTTCAGCTGCTAAATATTCTAAGACAGCAGTTAAGTAAACTGGAGCACCAGAACCAACTCTTTGAGCATAGTTTCCCTTTCTCAAGAGTCTGTGAACTCTACCGACTGGGAATGACAAACCAGCTTTGGAAGATCTTGAAGTTGAGGCCTTTTCAGAAGAACCAGATTTACCTTTACCACCAGACATTGTTATATTATTATATTTATTATTATAGAATAAAAATTAAAAAAGCAAGAAAAAGAAGAACCAAAAAAATTTTAAGCTGATATAAGGCGCAGGGGAGGAATACTCTGTGTATTTATAAATAATGCAGGTGTATTACAGTGAAGCGTAGTCGATATTTATTTTTATTTACATTGTTGTTTTGGTTTTGGTTATGCATAGTAAACTGGAGCATAAAAATGGTTGCAAAATGGATTCTCATGTTTACTTGTCCGCTGAGTAACTTTTAGCATGCGCCAGGTTGAAATAGGGAGACTAGGTAATATTCGCATGCTGTGCGTAAAATTTAGTACAAGAGCGAGACGCGATACTGGATAATCTGCAACACATCAAAATAAATATCAAAACATAAACAAATCGAATTCAATAACAACTTTTGGCAAAATTATAGTAGTTGTATAAAAGTAAATGATTTTCGCCGCGGTCCAGTAAACTTTGTAAAACCTTTTCTTTTTTTTTCTCTTTTCTTTTACTTTCTCAACTTAAGTTTGAATTATTAGAATATATCCAAAATGGCCCCAAAAGCAGAAAAGAAACCAGCTTCCAAAGCTCCAGCTGAAAAGAAACCAGCCGCCAAGAAGACCGCTTCTTCTGAACCAAAGAAGAGATCAAAGACTAGAAAGGAAACTTACTCCTCTTACATCTACAAGGTTTTAAAGCAAACTCACCCAGACACTGGTATTTCTCAAAAGGCTATGTCTATTATGAACTCTTTCGTTAACGATATCTTTGAAAGAATCGCTGGTGAAGCTTCTAAGTTAGCTGCATACAACAAGAAATCTACTATCTCTGCTAGAGAAATTCAAACTGCTGTTAGATTAATCTTACCAGGTGAATTAGCTAAGCACGCTGTTTCTGAAGGTACGAGAGCTGTTACCAAGTACTCTTCTGCTGCCAATTAAGCAGTTTGGTTTAGTTTCACTTTTCTTGTGTATTATTTAGTACTTTGATTTATGTATATTAGGAAATAAATTCGTTTATTATTGGAAATCAAATTATCTGTAAGACCTTTTAATTCAGAGAAAGTAAATTAAACCTTATATTTCGTTTTCATAGACGGATAATGTTAGATCTTCCCACCATTTATAAAATTAATGAGGTTTTAAACATTGTAAAAATGTAACATTACAGTTAATGTTAATCAGCTTTTCTAGGCTTGAGTTATACTTAGCACTTCAAAATTAATACATGGTAAATTATTCTGAAAATTGCTAATTTCATGTAAAACGATACTTTTCATTCATTAGTAGGCGACTTGAGTTTACATCCGTACACCTATAAATGCACTGGCCTGAAGTATCAATTGAATTGTAAGTCGCATCCACTCCCATATTTTTTTGTGTCAAACTGAAGCCAAGCTCTTCTCTCATGGCTTACTCTGCCAAGCCCTACAAAATATCTCTAAAGTCATATATAATATCTTTTCAATTTCATATATATAAACGCATACTCCACGAAAGAATACCTCATGAGAGAACCACCAGATTTTATCGGTGACTGTATCGTATCAGATTGCCCGTTTATTAGGCCGTACAAAAAGTTTAGGAGATAATCTCAGTGACCGCCGCCTCATTTTACCGTATCTGCCAGCAATTTTCTAGATGCCGTAAAGCGAACTTTTTTCGCTGTCAACATGCAAGCAAGCCCGGAAATACGAGCGAAAAAAGAAATGAGGGAATATTTTTTTAGTCTTTGGGCATATAACCTGGCTTTTGAATAGGAAGATGGAGGGCATCGCAGAACTTATTTAAATTCCGAGCTCGGGGACTGAACCTTACTGGTCAGAAAATAAAAATCTCATCCCCAGATACGTACTCATAAATATATAAAAAGACAATGAAACTCTCCACTTTGTTATAAGTTGCATATTCCACAACCAAATGCCTTCTTTAAGACTGAGATTCTTCAATAAGCCCAGTGACAGAGTTGTTGCTGAGGGCGCAACCAACGTTGATGGTGATGAGGACGAAATAAACTCTCCTGAAAAATTATCCGATGTAGGCGAGCATTCTGATGAAGTCTCTACTGATGCTGAAGAGGGAATTAAAAAACTTGAAGCCGCACAGCTTGTGTGGTCCAAGAAGACGCTTTACTTTGTGTACGCCTGGATTTGGGTTTGCTTCTTCGTTTTGGCCTTACAGTCTTCCATTGGTGGTTATGCGTTCATCAATGCTTATTCTGCTTTCGGTTCTGCTCCTCAAATTAATACTGCCTATATCTTGGCTTCTATTATTGGAGGTATAATCAGATTACCTCTTGCCAAGCTCCTTAACATTTGGGGTCGTTCTGAATCCTTCTTACTTTTCGTGCTCATCTTTGAAATTGGTATAATCGTAATTGCATCTTCAAATGGTCCAAATGCTGCAGCTGCTGGTTATGTTTTGTACTGGATTGGTTACGATATGATCTACATGATCTTAGATGTGTTCATGGCTGATACTACTGGATTGAAGAACAGAGCATTTGCTTTTGGTTTTGCTAGTACACCATTTATATGTACCGCTTTCACTGGTCCACTTGCATACTATTCCTTCCTTGGAACTGGAGGATGGAGATGGGCTTACGGCGCTTTTGCTATCATTAATATTGCTGTTTTTGTCCCCCTTGCCGTAGTCTTCAAATTCTACTCTTTGAAGGCTAGAAAAATGGGTATCTACAAGCATGTGAGAAGTGAGAGAACTATTTCCCAAAGTATCGTGCACTACTTCCACGAATTCGATATCGTTGGTATGTTTATCTTAATGGCTGCTTTCTGTATTTTCTTAGTTCCATTTAGTTTGGTCACTTACGGTAGAGCTACTTACGAGGGTGCCACCTTTATTGCAATGGTTGTAGTTGGATTCTGTCTTTTTCCAGTGTTTTACCTCTGGGAACGTTTCGGTGCAAGAACACACTTCATTCCCTACGATCTTGTCAAGGATCCATCTGTCTTCGGTGCCTGCTGTCTTGCCGGTATATTATTCTTCAGTTTCTACTGTTGGGATAACACTTACTATAACTTCGTTATGATAGTCTATGACTTGTCTGTATCTGATTCCGGATATATGACCCAAATCTACAACATTGGATCTTGTTTCTGGGGTGTTGTATTTGGTCTCCTCGTACGTTACACCAAACATTTCAAATACATGTGTCTTTGCTTCTTTCTTCCACTTATGATGCTTGGAGCAGGTCTTATGATTCACTTCCGTAGTGCAAATCATGGTATTGGATACGTTGTTATGTGTCAAATCTTTATTGCCTTCGGAGGAGGATCTTTGGTTATTGGGGAAGATATGGCTGTAATGGCTGCATCTCCAACCATCGAAGGGATCCCTATGATGCTTGCTCTTCTTGGTCTTTCTTCGAGTGTTGGTGGAGCTATTGGTGATTCAGTTGCTGCTGCAATTTACAACAAGGTTTTCCCAGACACACTTAAAAAGAACTTACCAGCCAGTACTGCGGATGATTGGGCTACCATTTTCACTGGAGGTTACTTGACTCAATTAACATACCCAGTTGGAAGTGCTACGAGAAATGCAATTGACTTGGCTTATGGAGATACCCAGAAGTACGGTGCGGTTGCTGCGACTTGTATTTTGATATTGGGATTCCCAGCCATTGGTATCTGGAAGAACTTCAATGTTGATAGAAAACAAAACAAGGGTGCTGTTTTGTAATTGCATGTTAATGTACTCCACTAATAAATAATTAAGAATGGAAGAGTAATAATAAATTAAAATAGTTACTATGAAAGGAGTTACACTATTACAAAAGTTGTAAATCTTACGTACTATTTAAGTTTAGTATTACATCAAGTAGGTAAATAAATCCTCACACTAATATAATATACTTCGTAATAAATCTATCAGCAATTGTACTAAACTATATACGTCTATATGAGTTATACCTCTCAAAACTCCTCCTTCCGTAATTTACTTTTTAAAAACACCAAAAAGCTGATAGTCTTCCCCAATATTGTTTCTAAGATGTAGCGTAGGTACAATTTCTCGATTCCCCATTTAATTAGACCAAGGCTGAAGGCTCCAAAATGTATCACGTAACTAGCGATTCGTCTCCAATTCAGGAAAATCATTCTCACTGTTTTGTATGCAGTATACACCACAAAAAATAATAATCCACATGGTAAAGATTTAACTGCTATCTTCTTTATTTTGTCGATGTTTATCTGTCTTTCACTTCTAAAATCAAAATCACTCATCCATATATCTCCAAGTTCATTGAACCTATCAATTTCGTCGTCTGTAAATTGGACATATATTCCCAGCTGGAAATTACTCTCAGAACCACCAATCAGGGAATATGCACACCAAGTGTAACCTCTACAGCTGTGCTGTAATTTGTTCCAAGCCCATGAAGGTTCAAAATCGTCATTATGAGCATACATCCCCAATTTTACGTCGAAAGGAGGAATTATTGCTTCTTTTATCTCCAATTTCAGATTGAAAAGTTCTTTAAATTTTTCCATAGTGTCGTACTTCGAGTACCTATTTTTGTTCCTAAACTCATCGTCGTAATTTACTCGGGCACCTTGGCCGCAATGCTTGAAACCGGAGTTGATCCAAAGTAAAGTATGATTGTCGGCATCACTAATATGAGCTGGGTGGTTAGAGCATATCTCTTTGGATTCAAAGCTATTTTTGACATAATCTCGATTGGAGTTCATTACGTCTTGTTTCACTTCCTGAAGTCTTTCCTCGAGGGGAGTGGTGACTCCAATCGATGCAGCAAAATGCTTATTGAACTCGTAAGATTCCTCACCATATATTGTTAAGGACAATAAAAATAATTCTTTATCCCCATGCACCCTTTCTTTTACTGGTTCCATGAAACTAATCTGAGCCATGGTCAATGCTTGGAGGAAATGGCGATTCCTATTAATCATGACTAATCCACTTTCTGTATAATGATTTAATCCATGAAAAAGTTCTCTATCGAGGGTATACTTTGTTACTTGAGGAATATCAAAAATAGCGGTGTCAAGCAAGGAAGGCATCATCTTACGAAAGAACATTGCATCACTCTTACCCCGAAATTCAGCACTTCTATCTCTGTAGAAGAATGCACCGAATTTCTTATATTGATCTAAATTGAAAAAATATTCTGGTGATTGAAACAAGACAGTATCAGAATCAATAAGCATTAGCTCCTCAAATGAGTTAAATAATGTGGCCAATATTTTATTTCCAAATCTACTGAACTTTTTGTAATACCTACTGTACATCACTTGAGAAACATCGACAAACCATAATTCTTGTTCAACTAATTTATTTCCATGTGAATCAGTAAACGGGGACCTTGCAGCTTTGATCAATTGATTTCTAGACTCTTCCGAAACACCCTTGATATATACAATTTGGATAGGAAGAGTATTACCGTAGAATCTTAAGAGTCTAATTAAACGAATTGTAATTTCAACGTGACGATCTTCTATGGTCAAAGCAATACCTTTTCCATTTAATTGTTGTCTCATTTCATTCAAAAAGCACGCTGTGTTACCAGTCAATGAAGATTCGACTATTGGTTCGTAAGGAGGACTTGAACAATCTTCTCCAATGAATTTGCACATTTTCGGAATTTCCCCATTGAAAATTCTACCATCCCAACGAATGTATTTAGGAAGTTTACCTGTTAACCAAGGGTACACTCTCCTTTCTAAATCTGAACAAGAAGAAAATTTATACTTAGGAGCACTATGCACAATCTTAGCAATTTGCGGTGAGGACTTTAACTCAATGGATCTTAGAGCATCCTTTTGAACCTTTTCGAATTCTTTTACTTCTTTTCTTACTCTTGGTTGATTTGAAGTGAGGTAACACTTGTTGAATACTTTTAGATGTGTTAAGTGACTGTGAAGAGATTGTTCATCTTGTTTTGCTTTCTCAAGCCGCTTGCTATACCTTTGCCTGATTTCTTCCTCCTTCTCTTCCGAAAGGTGAAGTTCAGATGGTTCTATACCGAGCTTTCTCGAAGCATACATTACATTTTCCATCCTAAAATCAGTAAAACTCTTCAATTGCTTATAGCTATATTTTAGCTTTATATTTGGGTTGAGTTTCCAATTCGGTTCATTGCGGTATAACTCACTAAAATATAAGTCACACCTTTCTTGAAATGATAGCTCACTTAACATTGTTGCTAAACCATACTTCTGAAGTAGAGAATCATAATTCTCAGAGTGGATAAAGTAATCAGACTTAAAGTTTTTATGAGGAGAGGGTAATAAACTTTTTAGGTATTCAATAAAGAGTGTGTTATAGTTAGCCAATTTCAATTCTTCAAACAAGGTATCTTGTCCAGTTTTGATTAGGTCTAATTGAAAGGTTTCCGATATCAGATAAAGCCAAGTACTGATTATTATCAACAATGCTAGCAAAGCATACCTAATAGAAGAGAATTTTCTACTTTTCAATCGAAAAAAAGTAGCGAGATTGCTAGAGGAGTTTGGTGATTTATCAGCAGAAAAATGACTTTGAGTAAGCAAGATGCCTCCTTGCCTCTTTTTCCAAAACATAGTATTTTGTTAATCATGTCTTGTCTGAAGATAATGCATACTTGCCTGGTGTTTTATAGCAAAAGTTTTTGCACTACTCTTACTTAATCTTAACGTGCATGAACCCCCATGAGGCTTAGGTATATACTAAGACTACAAAACCCAAGATGAACACGAAAATAGAACTTATAGTGAGCTAATCGCCATCAGCAGAAAAATCCCTTTGCAGCTCTAACTGAATGGTGGTGCATAACCCCTATGAGGCTTAGATTTAGCGAAGATTTCAAGCTTCAAGATGAACATGAAAGCAGAGCTTTATAGAGAGCAAACCATTATCAGCATGAAATGTCTTTGAGTAAGCAAGATACTTCCTTGCCTCTCCTACAAAACATGTAGTCTGTTATAAATCATGTTTAGTTCGAAGATAATATATAACTGCTTAGTGTTTTATAGGAGAAGCTTTTGCTTCTGGTATAACGGAATTTGACGTGCATATGTCCCTATGAGGCTTAGATATACGGAGATTGCAATTCTAAGATCAGCAAGAGAGCAGAGCTTGTGGTGAGCTAGTTATCATTCAAAACTTATGATCAGTCCTATCAAAACGGGTGCCACATAAAATCCGATATGCTAGTACATTTACTAAAGACACATATTTTTGGTATGAAAAAAATTCAGGGTAAAATTTAAAAAATGTAACAAATATAGTGCGCTCGAAGAATAAGAGTGAAAGAATAAATTGACAGTCTAAATAAAGAAACTTGATCACATAGTTACTGTTCTTAGATGAATGATTACATAATGTGGCCAAAAATAGAAAGTTAATGATTGACGCAAAAAAAATACGACCAAAATCAATAGCAGTATATAAAATTGTGAAGCCTTCGTTTGAATAAACAGATGATAGATCTGTAGCAAAGCTCGAGTTTCAAAAGGGATTAGGAACTTCCCTTTGAAATATAAAAGTCTTTTCTTAAAAGCCTTTAAAATCACGGATTATTAAAATTTAGTTATACGATCTTCTTGTGCATTAATTTTAGTGCTACTGTTTTCTTGTGCATAACTCAGCCATCTGCAGAGCAGTTGTACTTGATTATGATAAACATAGATAAAGATTGAAGAGAGAGCCTCAGGTACTATATTAACGTAACCAAGGACCTTTGTGTTCTAAAATACATTCATGCTAACAGGATACTATGCTTTCATTTTGTACAATTAAACTAGGGTATTTTTAAAGCTTGAGATTATATCCTGATTAATTCTCTTCAATTCCCAAGGTCTTACGTAAATTCCAAGTTAAAATATAATTTCTGAAAATTCAAGTCTGGTGTTGCTCACTCTGATGTTACTCTCACCCCGAAGTGCAAAAGGCTCAAACTTCCTATATACTTACTCACATTAAGCATCATCAAAAGGCACAAGATACTTTCAACCAAGTTGATTACAGAAACTGAAAATCATGGGACGCAGCTAATATGCAACAAAATGAATTCTAATTCATAATTTCAGAAAAAAAGAACTAATGATGTAACATAGATTTTGGACTTCTACTTGAACTAATTCAGTGCGCTCACTCAGTATATTGAAATAGAATAATATACAGAAACAAAAAACACCTAAGTGAAATAGCTTCTTTTCTAACCCGAGTGACTTTACATCCATAGTCCGTGAATCACTTGCATTGGATTTTGCTTCTGGGGAGTCTATCTACGTATGTTTTACCAAACATTTTAGTATTTCATCTGCGTTTAAAGCCTTACACTAATCTAATATGTTTGTAATAAAATAATACTAGTATTATACATCTCTATAGCTATACCTCCTGATCTTTCTCCTGCGGTACTTTACTTCTTAAAAGCACCAAAAAGTCAATTGTCTTGTCCAAGATTAATTCTAAAATGCAATATAGGTATAATTTTGCGATCCCCCATTTAATTAAATCATGGGCAAAGGCTCCAACTTGTAGTACGTAATAAGTGATTAGCTTCCAATTTAGGTAAGTTAGTGTCACTATTTTGTATGCAGCATATAATGTAAAAAATAATAATCCCCAAGACAAAATTTTGTCTGTTATCTCATTTATCTTGTCGTTGTATATCTGTCTTTCACTCCTAAAATCAAAATCACTCATCCATATATCTCCAAGTTCGTTAAACCTATTAGTTTCGTCGTCTGTAAATTGGACATATATTCCCAGCTGGAAATTATTTTTCGTCTTCTTGTCATGAAAATCATTAAAATCGCCACCAATCAGGGAATACGCACACCAAGTATAACCCGTGCAGCTGTGCTGTAACTTGTTCCATGCCTTTACAGGTTCAAAGTCATCATTATGAGCTTCCAACCCCAATTTTACGTCAAAAGGAGGAATTATTGCTTCTTTTATCTCCAATTTCAGATTGAAAAGTTCTTTGAATTTCTCCAATGTGTCATACTTCGAGTACCTATTTTTGTGCCTAAACTCATCGTTGTAATTCACTAGGGCAGATTGGCCACAATGTTTGAAACCGGAGTTTATCCAAAGTAAAGTGTGATTGTCGGCATCATTAATATGAGCTGGGTGGTTAGAGCATATCTCTTTGGACTCAAAGGTTTTTTTGACATAATTTCGATTGGAGTTCTTTATATCTTGTTTCACTTCCTGAAGTCTTTCCTCGAGGGGAGTTGCAACTCCAATAGACGCAGCAAAATGCTTATTGAAATCGTAAGATTCTTCACCATATATTGTTAAGGACAAAAAAAATAGTTCTTTATCCCCATACACCCTTTTTTGTACTGGTGCCATGAAACTAATCTGAGCCATGGTCAATGCTTGGAGGAAATGGCGCTTCCTATTGATCATGACTAATCCACTTTCTGTATAGTGAGTTAATCCATTAAAAAGCTCTCTATCAAGGGTATAGTTTGTCACCTGAGGAATATCAAAAATAGCGGTGTCAAGCAAGGAAGGCATCATCTTACGAAAGAACATTGCATCACTCTTACCCCGAAATTCAGCACTTCTATCTCTGTAGAAGAATGCACCGAATTTCTTATATTGATCTAAATTGAAAAAATATTCTGGTGATTGAAACAAGACAGTATCAGAATCAATAAGCATTAGCTCCTCAAATGAGTTAAATAATGTGGCCAATATTTTATTTCCAAATCTACTGAACTTTTTGTAATACCTACTGTACATCACTTGAGAAACATCGACAAACCATAATTCTTGTTCAACTAATTTATTTCCATGTGAATCAGTAAACGGGGACCTTGCAGCTTTGATCAATTGATTTCTAGACTCTTCCGAAACACCCTTGATATATACAATTTGGATAGGAAGAGTATTACCGTAGAATCTTAAGAGTCTAATTAAACGAATTGTAATTTCAACGTGACGATCTTCTATGGTCAAAGCAATACCTTTTCCATTTAATTGTTGTCTCATTTCATTCAAAAAGCACGCTGTGTTACCAGTCAATGAAGATTCGACTATTGGTTCGTAAGGAGGACTTGAACAATCTTCTCCAATGAATTTGCACATTTTCGGAATTTCCCCGTCGAAGATTCTTCCATCCCAACGAATGTATTTAGGAAGTTTACCTGTTAACCAGGGGTAAACCCTTTTTTCTAGATCCGAACAAGAAGAAAAATTCTGCTTAGGAGCACTATGCATAATTTCAGCAATTTGCGGTGAAGTTTCCAAGTCAATGGACTTTAAAGCTTCCCTCTGGACCTTCTCAAATTCTTTTACTTCTTTTCTAACTCTTGGTTGATTCGAAGTAAGAAAGCACTTATTGAATACTTTAAAATGTGTTAAATGACTGTGAAGAGATTGTTCATCTTGTCTTGTTTTTTCAAGTCGCTTGCTATATTTTTGCCTGATTTCTTCCTCCTTCTCCTCAGAAAAGTGAAGTTCAGATGGATCTATACCGAGTTCTCTCGAATCATATATGACATGATCCATCCTAAAAACAGTAAAGCTCTTTATTTGCTCAACATCATTAATGAACTCAAGATTTGGGTTAAGTTTCCAATTCGGTTCATTGCTGTATAATTCACTAAAGTATAAATCACACCTTTCTTGAAATGATAATTCACTTAACATTGTTGCTAAACCATACCTTTGAAGTAGAGGTTCATAATTTTCGGAATGGATAAAATAATCAGATACATTAAAGTTCTTATGAGGAGAGGGCAATAAATCTCTTAGGTATTCACCAAATAGTGGGTTATAGTTAGCCAATTTCAATTCTTCAAACAAAGTATCTTGTCCAGTTTCGATTAGGTCTAATTGAAAGGTTAACGATATAAAGTAAAGCCAAGTACTCAAAACTATCAATAATGTTAGCAAAGCTAACCTAATAGAAGAGGATTTTCTACTTTTCAAGCGAAATAAAGTAGCGAGATTGCTAGATGAGCTTGGTGATTTATCAGCAGACAATGGCTTTTCAATAAGCAGAATGCCTCCTTGCCGCTTTTTCCAAAACATGGTATTTGTTATGAAGTAGGTGTTGTTCAAAGAATATGTTCAATCGCTAGAGTTCATTGCAAAAGTTTTGCATCTCTCTATCTGAATCTACACGTGCATACAGCCCCCTATGAGGCTTAGATTACGCGAAGGGTACAAATTTCAAGATGAACACGAAAACTGAATTCATAATAGACTAATAATCACTCAAATACAAAATATAGGCTTATATTCGAACGGAAGTTATATATAGTATGAGCTTTAAAGATTGGTAATATACTAGCGACGCATACTTTCGATTTAAAAATGAATTCAGGGTCAATCATACACCTGCAACGAATATAGCGTTCTAAAAATAAAGTGTGAAAAAATAAATTGACAGTCTCATTGCAGACACTAGATTACATAATCTAACAGTTATTTTACATATGATTACGTAATAAGAGCATTAATAGAAGATGAAGATTGACACATAAATAAAAACTGATAAAAACTGAGAAAAAACGCAACAATGGCCCAACTCTATCATCTACATTACATAAAAATAGTTAAAAAGTTAGAGATGTACTGTAACCAAAAGCAAGTCAAGCTATTCATCCGATTAGGCAATTCCGCTCAATATAGAGGATGAAGAGGGCTATTACAAAAAGAGAAACTGAGAAAAAAACTTAACCAGGGCCCACCTCATATAAAGTAAATAGTTAACAAAATAGAAATGTACCGTTATTAAATGTAAGTCGACCAATACATCCGATTATGCAATTCCGCTAAATACAGAAGATGAATAGGGCCATAGCAGAAATATTAGAATTAAATCGATACATAAATACAAACGTAGAAAGAGAATCGAGCCCACTGCAGGATAAAGAAATCACTAAGTATTTTACTTAACTCACACTTACAGTGTCCAAATCCAAGTATCTACTCTTGTAAAATTGAATATTATTACACTTCCATTCGCAAAGATATCAAATAAATGTCTCAAAACCTAACCAAGTTGACCATTTTAAAGGTAAAGATTTTAATTTTAAGCATATATACGAAGAATTAGGTAAATAAACCAAAATTACCAAAATCGAGAACAGATGAGTTTAAATTGATTCAACTGTAAGAAATTCTAAGGTTTTTTTTAAAAACTAAGATCATTTACAGCGAGAGATATCTTACTACTTTCGAACTATACTATTTAGCTTTTAAGGTTCTTCAAAATGTAGTATCTAACATTCGTGTAGTAGTGTACAGTGTGTAAGGCATATTTGATCATATTAAAGTATTTCACGGGAATGGGCCTACCGACTCCCTACTTGCCTCCCTCATTATTATCATAACGAAAATGATTGGATCAGAGAAGGTTAAATAATTTATTTCACCTACCTTATTGTTTCTTCAGTTTCACATATAAATCTGAACATTCATATTTCCAATATCATTGCAAACCTATAACTTTAATAGTCTTAGCTGTGTTACAGATCCCTCTCTCTCTACATTTCGTAATGTAAGTAGCTTTTATTTTCTGTGTTCCTCCTTCCACCTTATAATGGATTTAGAGAGTAGCACCTTCTTACCCTACACTTCTTCACAAACGTGTAAATAAAAGGTAGTGGTAACCGCATCTTTTTAAACTATGCAACTGATTAGTTTTCATTTACAATGCGACGTAAAGGAGAATTTAGAATATAATCGTTGACATCTACTAGTATTGTATTATAAGCGAATGTAGCTACGAGAAAAATATCCATTTACTTTCTTCAAACGTAAAGGTTTAGATCTGCTCTGAGTAGAACCCTAGGGGGAAATCATCAAAGTCAGCTCTATGTTATTCAATATCCCCCACTCACCACTTCACCACAAATATTAACCTTTTTCATTTGATAATTTGTTTCTTGAAGTACAGCTTGTTAAGTTTGAGGTGATATACTTTCACTTTTAGCACTAAAGTTGAGGAATGAGTGATAGAGCATTGATACTTACACTTTATACAATATTAATTATAGAATGAAGATTTATAAACGAAATATGTCCTTATTAAGGCTTGCACCAAATTTTGAAAAGATGAATGAAATGATTATTCAATTATAATAATAGGGCTGTACTTTTGGCTGTAAGGAGGTATAGTTGAGATGCCAAAGGGAATCACGAAATTGCATTACTCCAAAAGCACATTACGACTTTGGTAAATATTCCCCTATAATACTGTCTCTTGAGTTCTTTTCTTACTTCTGAACCAAGTTGCATTCAGGAACGGGTCTATAAATGGATTATGAGCATATCCATTTTTGACCTGGAACATAGCATGAATTTGTAGCTACAGACTTTAACAACCCAAACGTCCTGGATGTAGAAGGAAGGACTGCTCGCAGAATGATGATAAGGTGCCTTACTAGAGTATAGTTCACTTTGTTACAATTGATTAATTCCCGAGAATATAATCAAATCAGACTTAGCTCACAATATTAGTTGCTTTAAATCATCAAAAAATCTCCTCTCACATACACATAAGTATTGAAGTGGCGTCTTCTACACTGTGGATCAGTCTTTACAAGTTTGCGTGAAGCAGTCCTGAAGTTCTCCTTCCCGTTGAGACAACATAAAATATCTTACGAGTAGCTATTGTAATAGTGATTGGGAATTGTATTATTTTGAAATCTTTCTCCAGTAAGGGCCATGTTTCATACTTTCTGAGTGCTGATCGAAATGACTGAATAAACTGTGCAATATTATCTGTGAGCTGATCTGAAACTACATTAGATGAAGATGCTTTTTTTAATTAAATTTTTTATAAGTAAGTCTCTCTGTGTATAAGTGCTTGACTTTGTTTCTATAGAAATGTCATATTCAGTATTGAAATGAAGCGATGGTACTACTCAATTTAACTCTAGATTAAATCACAATAAAACTTAGACGTATTGAAATGAAAAGACTTTTTGAGTCAAGCCGAAGTTGGTTCGTCCGTAGCAGCAATTCTTTTTGCTTTTGGGCAGATCTGTGGTTTCAATTCGGTTCCCTTCATTCCGATAATAAAGATTTGTTAATTTTTCACTCGATTGGGTCTTTAATAATGCCTGCGCCGACGTAAAGTTGCATCACAGAGGAGGTACTCGCAGAAGCCGTCGACGAACGAGGAGATTTTGCTGCTTTCGCTTTAGGATACTGAGGTTTTTTATGAATACTAGTTCTTAGTTTGAAGGTGTTATCTTATGCGATCCAGTTTGGTCGTATATTTGTGCTAGAGAGAGCGATATATAATTCAAAATATATGCCACGAGCTTGAAATTCGTTTTTATATCAATTATTTTTGTTACTGTTAATTAAATCTATTTAAATCCTAACTAGAACCAACCAAATGCTTCTGTGTGAAGGTAAATCTCTTCTACGGGAGTTCTACTTTTAGCTAAATCAGCATTGAAAATCATACTTTGTAAAGAAGAAACACCAGAACAAACTTCACGTCTCATAGAAGCACTACCGGACGAAACAATCATATTCTTTCTCTTCAAGAACCTTTTTGAATCCTTCAAAATATCCGACAAGTTTGGCTTTTCAAAGTAAATATTGAATCCCTTAGAAATTAAATGACTATCTTCAAATGTCGATTCCATAGCCTTTTCTTGACTCGAGGGCGACTTAGATTCATAACGAATTTCTTCAAAGTCATTCAATCCTTTTGCAGATCCTCTGTTTGCAACATATATATCAATCGTTATATATTCACCTGCCAATTCATAAGCTCTATCTAATGCCTCTTTAATCCATTCAATATTTTCTTGGTAGCGAACAATCCATATGAAATGGACATCTCTTAATGGAATAGGGACAGAATTAGAGTTGGCTTTAGCAATGCTGTGTGCTGCATGTTCCAAAAAGGGTAATGTTACAGTCACTCCACTTCCTGTACTTATCATGGTAAGATTATCAAAACTTAATGGTTCTCTAGGACATCCCCCATAAGGTCCATCTAAGAAGACTTTTTTCTTAGATGTTATTGATTCTTCTAATTCGGCGTGCAACACTCGAGTCAAACCATTCTTGGGAATTATGATAAACTTCATCTCATTAGATTGTTTCTGATCTTCATTGGATATAGAATTAATTGAGAAGGGATGATTATCTAAAATTCTTGATCCAGCAAATCTTAAATAGCAATGTTGTCCAGGACTCCATTTCATATCGGCGATATTGGTGACGGATACTTCAAATGTTCTCGAATCAAGTCTTCTTAGCTGGGCAGGTCTAGCCCTCATAAATAATGCATTTGGCCTAAAGCATGTTTTAACGAGAGCTCTATAAATCAACTGTGCCATCCAAAAAGCCAAAGCACCCCACATATAATCCCACATTCCATTTGTATTGTCAATGTGCCAAACTGTAGTACCAAAAAATGCAATTCCACAGATCCAGTGCAAGTGTAAAAATGCTTCGTAAAAGTACTTACGAACTATTGAGTTTCCACCGAAACATAGAATCCCTAAAAAGATTATAGGCGGTATTCCACTGTAGTATGAAAACGTTTTGAAGTTGACGGCAACGGCTGCTACTCCTCCTTCAGCAAAATGTTGGTAAATGAAAGGGATTGTGTGAATAACTGATAACACAAAGCATGCTACACCAATAAACTGATGGAGACTATTCAATTTTTCATATGAAATACCCGTTAATAAAGTTATTGTATTTGTTTTTCCGCTTAAAACATACACGAATGGGATTAATGCAGTGGCCATCACTCCAGTTCTAACGGCAATCGGAGGAGATCCAAAGCCCGCGCAGCCTCTATACCAATAGTGAGGTATAAAACTATAACATGCTAAATATGCAGTGGTAGCAACAACAAATAAAAAGGATCCCGAGGTGGCAGGGAGGCCCAAGTATTTACTGATTGATACATTTATTGGTTTGTATCCAATACATCTTGAAAATGACGTCAATACAGCAATAAAAGATCCAAGATATCCTGGTTCAAGTGATTCTCTAGAATTTTTAGTCTTATATTTATTATCAGTATACTTAAACCAAACATTTTTTATGGTAGCAAGAAACACAACAACTACTCCAAAATATACTGTGTATTTTGCATATATAAATTGACTCAACCATGGAATTTCTGTTTGAGACGCTGTATAAGCTGCCATAAATGCGTCACTGGTCAGATCAGCTATGCAGTCCATGCCATCGAAAGTTACTGCCATCTTTGTTGCCGTAATTTCAACAATATCTTGTTTATATCAAATCATGATGCAGAATACCTAGAAGATTTATATACAAAAAACTTGGCGAATTATTTTCTAAGAATGAGCATTTTAATGAAAATGAGCACTTTAATGCTGCAAAAAATTTGCTCATACCTGCATCTATTTATTTTAACTTCTTAGTTAGAAGTTTTGCAACCAATAAGTCTGAAAGCATCCGTAACAGAACTTCTCATTTGCTGATCCCCGCTAAACGCTTTCACTTATTATGAGATCATGGGTAAGATTGCTCATTTTTAGTGCATTTTACGGAATTCATCGTCTTAACTTGGTGTTTTCTCGGATCGTCGGCTAGACTTCCGAGTAGTACAAGAGCTGGCGCTTAGATCTGATAATAATGCGTTATTTTAAGTATCGGCCAGGTCAAAAGGGTATACTACAATTTCTTCAAAAGTAGTTAAAACCTGAAATGAAGTTCAAATCTGTGATCCTTTTAGATAGTAAGTCTTTATCACCAGCTTTCGAAGGATTCGGACTTTAAGGTCTTTCTCTTTTTCACCGGTAGACTTTCAGACTATTCAACCTACAAGTAGAATTGAATCAGAAATTAACTCTCTCAGGGTACAGGGAGTTCATTAAGGTTTCTTTCTCAGCCAATGTTAGCCGCCGTATATAAATCACCATATGCTTACAATATTTAAGGAGAATATGTAGATCCTACAAACATATTATTAAAATAATCCAATGTAAAATATCTAAGGTCAACTGAAGTATCAGCCCGTAAGGTGATCAATATCTTTACGTCTACCCTCGTCTAAGTCAATTTCACTTAATCTGACCAACTTGGTTTTGTTCACAAGCTTTAGTACCAAATATAGTATCACAAAAAATGGGATAAGAACATACGAATCAACGAAGTTACCTGCATCAAACGGTTTAAAATACGACCATCCTTGAATAAGACCAAGGAAAATATTAAAGAATAGACCGAACCAGGCTAACCATGGAAACCAAAGTGCTTTAAATGGCAATTCATCTAAAGAGCGACCTTGTAATTTCCATGCTTTCCTAAACCTGAAATGGATAAATGAAACTGATCCCCACACTATAAAAACAGCAACTCCAGATAAATTGACAATGTAATTGTATGCATTGGCAGCACCTGTACTAATATTCATGAGAGAAAGGAGTCCAAACAAGTTCATTAAAATGACAGCAGCATATGGAACACCCCATTTATTTACTCTCTTGAAAAACCTTGGAGCTGACCCTTCAACCGCAAGGTTAACAATTGTTCTTGATCCGATATAAATGGAACTATTGATTGCCGAGATGCATGTAATTAAAATAACAACATTGACTAAATGTGCACCATTCGCCCATCCTGCTCGGGCAATCGCAATAGTTATAGGAGATTTTAAAGTCTTCGTACCCTTGACTAAAGATTCGTCATTAAATGGCACAGTCATACCATAGGTGATAGCAACACCCATATATATAAAGATGATTCTGAAAAATGTTTGTCTAATTGCGCTTGGTACAGCCTTGGACGGATTTCTTGCTTCACTTGCGGCAATAGCAATAGATTCTGTTCCTGAATAGAAAGTAGACGCATAAACAAACACACTTGCAACCCCTTTGAATCCATCAGCAAAAGCGCCAGGATTGTTCCAATATTGGAATCCAAATGCTGGTCTTCCTTTCACACCACCAGATACATATATAATTGAAAATATATAAAAAGCAATCAATGCAACAATTTTGAAAAGTGCCAACCAATATTCAGCTTCTCCAAATGCTTTGACTCCTAAAAATTGAAATGCCAAGAATGCGAACCAAAATATGAGAACGTAGCCATACAAAGGAACTTCAGGTCCCCAAAACTGTAAAATTGCTGCTACTGTGTTGTATTCATTAGCAAGAACGGCGATCCAGATTATCACATAGTTCCAACCTACCGCACCACCAAATGCAGGGTCTACAAACTTATTACCATATGTTGAAAATGCTCCACCAGTTGGATATAAAGTTGAAAGCTCTCCTAGAGACTGCATCATACTAAATGCCACTAATCCGATAAAGCCAAATCCAATGATTAAACTTGCTGGCCCCCCATTACGAAGTGCTATACCAGCTCCAACCAAAATACCAGGTCCAATGATTCCTGCTAACGCTATTAACGAAATATGTCTATCCTTAAGCGCTCTTTTCAAGTTGGTGTTTGGGTCATCAGTAGATCCTGACCCTAATGAGTGAGTTTCCACTACAGAAAGCTCATCCTTTCCATTACTAGTTTTATTACTAAAAAACATGGCTTTATTTCCTTAATACAAGATGGATTCAGAAAAAGGGTTCCTCAAAATGTATTTATATGTATTATTTTTATCATTTCTGGCATGCGGCGTTAACAATATTTTCTAGGAACGTAATGTCATGTGACCACTACTTAAACATCTAATAGCAATCTTTGCATCTACTGAAAAGTAATTCGTAGTTCACATATCATCAATTTATAATATAGATTCTCCTATAAGTCGAGACTGTTAACCTATTATCAGTATTATTTATGTGATGATTGTGATGATTTTTCTTCATTTTCACCGACATGTTTATTCTTTCACTCGCATCGGATACTGTGGCGCATAATATTTTCTAGAAAACGTAATTAAGTTGATGCATGCAGAAAGCATATTTACGGACAAGGTTAGCTTGGACCAAAAGATGGCAGGAATAAACACTTGACTATATAAAATGATATTTCACCAGGTGCTTCTTGGATTGCGCAAAAAATAAGTTTAATAACCAGGATAAAAATGCTATGGCTAAATGTTGTAAGTTAAAGCAAATATATCCCCAACTTTCATATTTTCATAGGAAATATTATACTACTGGTGCTGTGTACTAGAAAACCTGAATGAACTTGCAAAATTATATTTTATATTTCTCTTAAGGCTCTATCTATTGCATTACAAGCTTGAAGTATCGAATGATGCCCTTCAAAGTGTTTATCTCTTAACTACACTTCTTTTCACTTCAAATTGGGTGTCTTGGCTTTAATCTAATTTTTAGTACGGAGTGCATAATAGATTTAATTCAGAGCCTCAACTATCCCAATTGGAATTTTTTTGATCATATTTAGTAGTTCAAAAAATCTGTTCTCAATTTTATTTTTAAGGGCACAATTCCACGTTGAGGAACCTTCGGTAAGAATATATAACAGAGCATGGATAGTGTGAGCTTCATCTCCTAGTAACATAATGCATTCATGATATCAAGATATTATTACATTGGTGACGAATACTTCACATAAGACCATTCCTGGTTACTAAAAGTAACACTTGAGGATGTTAATTAACAGCAGTAATGATTGAGAGTTCCAATATATCTTGCATTAATATTTAATAATTTAGGGATTTTGTAAATGTACCTGTATTTTGATGGGTCTATAGCCACCTGGGAGCCAAAGACGTTAAAAGTTATTAGGTACCTGCGCGCGGCCCGTGTTCGCTTGAATATGCGGCATCAATTTTTTGGTTGCATACTTAATTTTATAGGAATAGAATAGCAAAGTAATTTCATATTGTCCTATCTCCTATACTTTGCACGTTGTTGGTCGATAAACCTTAACCGACGACTTCCTAGGCTATAAAAGGCAGAATAATTGTTCATGAAATATGCTATTTCCTTCTGCTTTAGCTAGAGGAGCCTAATTCTTTCTTGAATTATTTATCACTTTAATCTTTTCTTTATCATGCAACTTTTTCAGATCTGTCTTCTAGCTTTGATCAGTATTTCTGAGGCAGCTCCAGCTCCATATAATATCCAGGTTACTGTTAGTTCTGCATCACATTTTGGTGTAAGAAGCTGTGACTCATACTATCTGAGTCCTTTTGCTGGGTTTAGTTGTGAAGTTAACCAAACAGTGCCTAGAGAAGATTTATGCTGTGTAGAAACTCCGAACGGTGTTGTTATGCAAACCCAATTTTGGGATTATGCACCCTCATATGTTAACGGAACAGGTCCTTCAAACCATACAGCCGTTAATCAAGATAACATATCTGGAATGGGCCCTGCTAATAATGTTTTTACTATTCACGGGTTATGGAATGATAAGTGTGATGGAACATATAACCAATTCTGCAATGATGCGTTGGAAGTTGACGCAAGTGACTTGGAGACTATTATAGCAGAACAATTTAATGACAGACCATTATACAATAAGATGAAGCAAATTTGGGTAAACACCCAGAATTCTAACGTTCAAGATGGTGGACTGGAATCTTTATGGGAACATGAATACAACAAACATGGTACATGTATGACTACTTTGCAACCAAGATGTTACGAGGGAAACTATCAACAGTACCAAACTGCTTACGATTTTTACAGAAGGGTTGTGGAAATTTGGGACACTCTTCCAACCTACGAGTTTTTGGCAAATGCTGAAATCTATCCATCAGCAAATCAGACCTACAGTCTTACTGATTTTCAAGAAGCTCTTGCACAAAATCACGGCGGACAAGTTTATGTTGGATGTGTCCTGGGAAACATTGTTTCCGAAATATGGTATTACCACCACGTGAAAGGGAATGTATTGACCGGAGAGTTGAAGCCAATTGATACATTAACCAATTCAACTTGCAAATCCTCCCAAATTAGATATTTGCCAAAATACTAAGTATTAGACTACAAAATTAAATATATGAATATAAAAATACTTAAAAATACACAGAAGGTATTCTACACATATATAGTAATGTAGTGACAATTAGCCAGGCAAACAATCCCCATTAGAAAAGTTTGCCACGCAAGGGCTAATCAACCACACGATCCGGCTAATAATTCACAGACGGATGTATCAAAAGTTGTCCGTGTTTCATTATCCGGCTTGATCTTCTCCATAAACAGAACCCATTGAATCCATCGAGCAAAAGGAAGCTGGGGCAGAATCAGGAGTGGAAATTTGCCGAATGTTTCAACAAATTTTCAGATTAGAGAGAAGAACAGAAATTATACAAGTTCGATTCGGAATGTCGTTTATTTAACTATATTCAGACTCGTTAAAGCTTCATAGAATATGGCCTTAAAGAAACTAAGGAAAAGAAGGACTGATGCAAGAATTTTTTTTTATAAATTTTCTTGCATCGCATAAGTGGAAGTACTATTTTACCCGGACAAAAGAGTTTTATGGTTAAACACCGTTATGATAGTCCATTAGGTATTGGCACTAAAGTGCAGCAAATTAGCATGAATATGGAAAATAAAGCTTCTAAGTTACAAGTGGGAGAAGAAGCTTTTGATATATGTAATATTTATCTATAATAACATAAAAAAATACCTATTTTTCGTTAATTTTTTGAAGAATTAAAAGGATTAATTGGATTGTAGTATCTTTTGTTTGATTTTGAATTTGATATCGTGCTCTAGTTACATTTATCTTAAAATACTACCACATTTCAGATCCACAAAGGTTAGCTTTCCTTAGAGAATCTGATTTTTTGTTCCAAGGAGGGAGGGTAGAAGGAAATTGGCCAATTGGTAACAATGATGATTCGAAATAAAATGTAATCATGCGTGTTCTGGTCTTAAGTTTGATCTTCTTGGTGCTTCTAATGGATGGAGCTGAGCTAAGTAGGTAATTGCCCACATTAAGTAACACATAGCCAAAGCTAATATGACAGAAGAACGGAAAACAGTAGTGTTTTCTTTAGGGGCAAATATCCAAGCTAAGACTGACAAAGCAACTACTAAGATAAGGACAAGTATAATGGTGAATCTAAAATGGGAGATGTTAGTATAAATAAGACTTTACAGAAATGTAAAAGCGTTCGCCGTTATCTGGAGCTAATTAGACAAGATACTCTTTATACTTCTACTTTCTATGATTAAACCCTTGAGTTAACTCAACAATTGCCCGGAATCAAGATAATTATTTATGATAATACTCACCCGCTCATGTTTTATTGAAATATGGGATTTGTTTCTGTTCGTGAATATGAATTAGATAAGAGTTGGTAACTTCAATGCAATTGAGCTATTGAGAATTATTTGGTAAATTGTGCTGAAGTATTTGTTACACAAAAATGATCCTTCCTACCAATTCCCAGTGGGCCCAAAAATATCAACTGATAAGCTAGTTGGTAGAGAATTTTCAGAACAAAGCCAGAGATTCATACACTCGAGTGTGGCTGTTAGTCATATATGGCCATTTATTTTATTATTCAGGCCGTACCTTTGATTGTTATCGTTCACCTTCTTACATTATAGCTACTTCGAACACATCCTGCACATAACACTGATTCATTCGAAACCGTAGAACATGGGCAGTGACATTTTCTGATCTTGAATCGCCATCGATCTTAGCAGAGAAAGTCTACATTGTCGGCTCCAACTTCACATTTTGGTAAGTTTGTGCAGTGGTAGGTAACTAAAAATCATGACAGAATTACCAGCTCTGTTGTCTAATTGGCTTTACAATGTTGTTCAGCCACAATATGCTAACAAGCAGCTTACCTACACTCATTTATACCAATTTCTCCAAGTTCATTATGGCAAAAATCTTCGCCTTAGGGTAAGAACAAGTGTTCATACTTCTCAAAGAAGTGGTCAACTGACACTCTTACTTAATATATTTGGCTCAATTCCGGTGACCACGACTCAATTGAGTGTCCAAATTCAAATATGGATTCCTTTGCATTACCCCTTTGGGAATCGAGAAAGTACCAATACTACAAATGACGATACATCTGGAGTACCAATGATTTATATAATACCCGATACTTCCAATGGAATTTTAATCAAACCAGGTAACCATGTGGATAGTCTGGGCCGATTTTATCATCCTTACTTATCTAATTGGTACCACGAAAGCATCCCAAGCGGTTCAGGTTCCAGAAAATATAACCTTATTGAGCTAATGAAAATTCTTCAAGCTTCTTTTGAGAAAGACTGTCCAATTATGGTCCAAGAGTCATCTGGAATTGATAGTGCTCCATCTTTACCTTCCAAAGTACCATTGAATGGAACTTTTAGTCAGAATGCATCCAACACTCAGCTTCCAGCGCAATTAACGGGCCCTCCCTTGCCTGCTAAACCCCAACAGCTTGTATCAGGATCCACTTCTTCAACGAATGAAGAAAGGGCAATCCCACTAAAATATCAAACACCTCTTCCCTTGCCGCCTATTTCTCAATACATTGGCCAGCCTAATGCTATTACTCCACAAGGCACTGGGGTTGCAAGTCAGACGCCCACTGGGCAATATATGCAGTTGCAGTCTCCACCTCAAGAGTTTGTTGGAGTCCACTCACCGAGGAGTTACCTGTCCCCAACTTACTCAAATTCAGTGGTGAATTCTCCACCTTCGCACACTCCAATCCAAGTTCATCAAAATTATAATTCTTCTCCTCGTCAGCCACATGCGAGTACGACAAGTTCCCCAATGGTCAATAAAACTGCAAGCTTTTCAAATAGCAATCAAAATCTGTTCATTGATCTAATAGACGAAGACAGGGGCTCTTCTTCTGTAGTATCATCAAGTGCAAGTAATGAAGTAAAATCGCTAATACTAGAGAATATATCCAAACGTATGAGTTCCGAAGCAAAAGATTTTTCGCTTGTTATGTCTAACAAACAGAAGATAGAAGCATTGTATCAACAACTCAGTTATCATCATAAGCAAGCTGTAGCAAACAGCACGAATCTTGAATCTCACGTGAAGTATATTTCGCAACAGAAAGCATCGATAACGCAATTAAATAACGAGCTAGTCTCATTAGAAGAATCTAATACTCTGGAATCTAAGCTTGTCTATACATCGACGAATAATTCTATTCCACTTGATGAGTTAATAACACCAGACCTGGCATTAGTCAATCAATTGTACGAGGTAGTGTCTGAAATCAAGGCTACAAAGGATACTATTGATCTCATTGGAGGAAATTTCCGTAGTGAGGGTGAACTCATAAAAGATTCCAATATGGAAACTGCTGTCAGGACAGTGCGTACACTTGCCAGAGAAATGTTTTGGTTGGAGCTAATGAAGAATGAAATAGCTGGAATAATGAATCTTTCATAGATAAAACTCAGTTTCCCACTAAGATACACACACACGCACACATATATATATATATTAATGATCTAATAGCATTTTAATTTAATAGATAAGAGCAATAGGTCCCACTTACATTGTAGTCTAGAAGTGAATCATTGAGGAATATAGGACCACCAAATTTGCAGCATTTATTTAATAACACAAAACCCAAATATTAATTGATGTATCGATGAGACCTACATATACTGCATATTGCATGCGATGTGAAAAATTCTCTTTATCAAGATGAGGGAGAAGAAGAAAAAAAAAGTTTTCCCACATAAAACTAGTTACAGAGGTATTGGCCGTGCTAGATATATAATAAACCATATTAAAGGATGTCCGACGACTACGTTATCAAGCCAGAAGCTGTCGCTCCTTCTAACGACACTTCAGAATGGCCATTATTATTAAAGAACTACGATAAATTGTTAGTTAGAAGTGGACATTACACTCCAATCCCATCAGGTTGTTCTCCATTAAAGAGAGACTTAAAATCTTATGTCTCCTCGGGTGTTATCAACTTAGATAAACCATCTAACCCATCTTCTCACGAAGTCGTTGCCTGGATTAAGCGTATCTTAAGATCCGAAAAGACCGGTCACTCTGGTACTTTAGATCCAAAAGTCACTGGTTGTTTGATCGTCTGTATCGACCGTGCTACCAGACTTGTTAAGTCTCAACAAGGTGCAGGTAAAGAGTATGTTTGTATCGTTCGTCTTCATGATGAATTAAAGGATGCCAAGGAAATGGGTAGATCTTTAGAAAACTTAACTGGTGCTCTTTTCCAAAGGCCTCCATTGATCTCTGCTGTTAAGAGACAATTAAGAGTTAGAACTATTTATGACTCTAACTTGATTGAATTTGACAACAAGAGAGGTTTAGGTGTATTCTGGGCTTCCTGTGAAGCTGGTACGTATATGAGAACCTTGTGTGTCCATTTAGGTATGTTATTAGGTGTTGGTGGTCATATGCAAGAATTACGTCGTGTTCGTTCAGGAGCAATGGGTGAGAACGATAACTTAGTAACCTTACACGATGTCTTAGATGCCCAATACGTTTATGATAACACAAGAGATGAATCTTACTTGAGAAAGATTATCCAACCTTTAGAAACCTTATTAGTCGGTTACAAGAGAATCGTTGTTAAGGATTCTGCTGTTAACTCTGTTTGTTACGGTGCCAAATTAATGATTCCAGGTTTATTGCGTTATGAAGAAGGTATTGAATTATACGATGAAGTTGTCTTAATGACTACCAAGGGTGAAGCCATCGCTATTGCTGTTGCTCAAATGACCACCGTTGATTTACAAGGCTGTGACCATGGTGTTGTTGCAAAGGTTAAGAGATGTATTATGGAACGTGACACTTACCCAAGAAGATGGGGACTTGGTCCAGTTGCTCAAAAGAAGAAGCAATTGAAGGCTGATGGTAAATTAGATAAATTCGGAAGAGCAAATGAAAACACCCCAGAAACTTGGAAGAAGGAATACAAAGATCATGACGAAACTCCTGCACCAGCCGTTCCTGAATCCAAATTAGTTGCTCCTGAAGTTCAATTACCAAAGAAGAAGTTAATCGAAGAAGTTTCCACTACTGAAGAAGACGTCTCCGACAAGAAGGAAAAGAAGGAAAAGAAAGAGAAGAAGGAAAAGAAGGAAAAGAAGGAAAAGAAAGAAAAGAAAGAAAAGAAGAGAAAGGCTGAAGATGACGAAGAGAAATCTGAAAAGAAGAAGAAGTCAAAGAAGTAATGATTCAAAGAGTCTCATCCATTAAAGAAACCCCCAAGTTTTATATCATTTATAACATTCATATATTCTGTACATTTATTGTTAAAGGAACGAAATATTAATAATTTTTTGTAAAAATTTGCTTATGATTCCAACAGAGAGGAAATGCAATATTTATTTATTGATGCAGCTCCAACCTACTTTGGATTTGCTGAACCAATGATGCTAATTGAAGTTCTAATAGAGATATTTTCTCTATCTCCTCTCCTATACTTCTCAGTTTCTCAATCATCAGACGCAATAAGAAAATTTTCAAAATCTTCCCATCAATGGAGGTTTCAGAGACTTTATTGGTAATATCATGAAAGTTAGTATAATACTTGTTTCTCCTGTCAATATCAGAAGAGTTTACCCAAGAAATATATGATGCCAAGCCACCAATTATAGGGAAATTTCTGGAAAAGCTTTCCCAGTCAATGTTTTGGAAATTGCATGATTCAAAGGTTCCCATTGAGGTTGTTTGCTTATATATGCTGAGGATGACTTGGTACAAAATCTGCAAATGAGGAAGAGACTTAACAAAGTTGATATTGAATGAATTTGATGTTGTCGAAATTTGGTCACTAAATGCACTTGCCAATTCTCCATATACATAATTTCTTAGCTTATGGGTTTCTTCATCGATGATAGAATCTTTCAATGAGACTTCGTATTCAAGTATTATCAAAAGATGTTTCAATGAGTAGACATATACCTCACTAAAAATCCCCACACCTTCAAGAGAATTGCACCCTATACCTAGTTCAAATTGAGCTAGAGAAATTTTGAAATTTTGCTTTGATCTTCTCTCTGATTTTAACTCTAGGACTTTAATGAAATATTGCTTTGCAGTTGCTAGCTTACCTTGAAACTGGTTGTAAATCGCAAATAGATAGTAAACATTGGGTATGAACTGTTGGAAGTAATGCAATTCTTCACTGGAGAACTTATTGCTCTTCAACTTAGAGAGAAAGTCGTCTAATTCATGAGACCAATTTGACAGTGGCTGCAATTCTGAAGAAGGAGTACTTGAAATGTTCAGAAGTACTTGATAATAATTAATGGAGTATTGCAAATATCTCAATTTTATCTTTTTCTTAGTCAAATCCTTAATACTAAAGTTTCTTTCACTCAATACCAGCATTCCTGTTAACTGCTGTAATTGTTTCTCGATTATATCTAAGCATTTCTTAAAAACCCTCATCGATTTATTCTTTCCATTATGTGCTTCATATATCATGTTCACACCAGATAGGAAGTAAAACATTATAACAAACTCGTCTGAGTTCATCCAAGAAACCTGGTAAGGTACTGTTGTCGACACCCCTTCTATAGACTGAAGGATTTCAAAGTACCCGTCTTCCTTCCAAGACTGCCAGCCATTTTCCTGCTCCAGTAATAATAGTTTACTGATTTCTTGCATAACCTTTTTAGATTCTTTCAAATTTGCAATTTGTATGTAAGTAAGGTGAAGCTGCAAATAGTACATCGCCTTCAATTGAATCGAATAATTGGCATCTGGAGCAAAAAGAATATTGTGCACATTGTCTAAAATAGAAAGTGCTTGCTCAGGCGAGCCCCTATAAAGGTGCATGCTAGATTGGTACACCAAGCACAATAATTTAACCCCAGTGTCTACAGTCGTATCATTACATAACGATTGAAGAACGACTAAGCCAGTGGAGTGATCAACTACCATCAAATTGCTTATTTTCAATAATTGAAAAAGATTCACGTAAACATTTAATCCTAGTGATTTAAAAGTTGACATTCTCTCGTCCAAGTATTTGGACAATAATGAATCCGTCGAATTAGAAGTCATCGTGGTTGTTGATTTCTGGATGATCTGTGCAGCCAAAAACTCACTTATAAATTTGATCTTGTATAAGTTATTCCTAGTTGATATGGAGATAGCCTTGTTTATATAATCATCTGCTCTACTTATAATTTCTGTTTCCAGGAAGTATATTTTAGCTAACTTGAAATATACCATCAGCTCTAACGTAGGATTCAACAATTGTCTATAATTTTTCACCAACATTAATAAACTTTGAATAGACAATTTGATCATTTGGAAGTATTCTTGCTGGCCATCAATTGAGTTTGTCTTGATAACAGAACCATGAGCATAGGATAAAAAAGTGTCTGAAGCTTGGAGTAAGCTATTAACCATGAAGTCATCCCTTTCAGTTTCAAAATATGAGCTTATAGTGGCGGATAAAGTTGCAGCAGACTGGCCAGCATCACTACCATTACCGTTTTGTATTTGAAATATACCTTCTTCAACTTCTAGCCTTTGCCCAGGAGGCACAGCATTAGCTATATGTATACTAGTCCCATCTATTCTAGGCGAGGAAGCGTCCATATATGCAATTTCTTAAGTTAATATCTGTTGCAGATAGCAAAAGACAAGTTGAGTTGTAGTATTTGAAGTTCCATACCCATTACCGCGCTTTTTTTCCAGGGCCGTATTTTATGCCTATTTTCCATGTAGCTACAAGAATGAATATTCATTTTAATAATACATTGAATTATCTATTTAAATATCGAAGTCCTGATTCTAAATACTGTACATGCACACTTCATCCGAATCGCCAATTACAACCTTTTGAACGGTTAAGAAAGATTTTCGTCAACATCGGAAGTAATTTTAAGATATCTATCTCTGAGCTATTATTGGTGTTCATACTGTTGAAGTTGCTCTTCTAATTTCCTTCTTCTCATTCTTTCTTCCCCCAATTCAACTTCATATTGATCTTGAATATTACCAACAATTTTCTTGAATTCCTTTCTTAGTATGCCATTGCTCATTCCAGATGATGAAACAGGTCTTGAAATGACTTCTTCATTTTCTCCAGAATTATCGTCACTGAAATCATTGCCTATGACCAAAGATTGAGTACTTAAATTTTGAGTAGGGGAAAATCCTCCAAGAGAATTAGGTTTGACACCAATATTATCAATCTTTAACGAATTCAATTCTTTACGAAGTCTGCTTATTTCTCTTTCTTTTGAAGCTAAGTCTTGTTGGTGTAATATAGAGTCATTGTTGTAGTGGCTACTGTTAGGATTTTGGTTATATTGTTCGTCATCTAATTCATCTCTTTGCATTTGTCTTTGTTTCAATTTGTTATTCTCTTTTTCAAGAAGGGCATTTTTCTTTCTGAAATCTTGGATAACTTTAAAGGAAGTTTCTTTCGAATATTCATACTCTTTACTGAGGTATTGATGACTAAACCGCAAATCATTCAAAGCAGTTTTGTATTCCATTAACAATTTATCGCTTCCCTTGGTTGGTGAAGAGGTAATTGAAGACTCATTAAGGAATTGTGATGTATCGGCAGTTGGGGTTGAAAGGTTAGAAGTGCTTCTATTAATAATTGTACTACTGCTTTGATTCATAATACTATGATTGGCATTATTGTAATCTTCCGGCATCACTTCAATCAATATACTGTCAATGCATCTGGTTGCCCATTCAACTCTGGCGTCAATAGACTCTTCTATAGGTGGAGATGGTAATGCTATATTTCTTTTGGCTGCTATACTTGCAAGATGCGAGAAAAGTGTATCGAAAGATTTATTCGTATCTACCATCATTAAAAATCTTTCGCTAGAGGGTGTAGCAAGTGCGGATGAATGATGTTGACCCTTCAAAGGAGAAGGCATCGGTGAAGTGGCGTCAGTACGATTATTATTATATTGATATCTTTGATTGCTTATAGATGTAATCTTAATATCTTCAACATATCCCAAAACTAAACATGCTAAATTGTGGTTGTTTAACTTGGTGTTCAACTTCTCCAACTCTTCTACTACTTCGAATAATTGCTTTTGTAAGCTGTCATTCAGCTTAATGATCTTTAGTAATAATTTGTTATCAATGTCCAAATCGTGATACTTTTCTGGGTTTAAGATCATGGTAGTCATGAACTGTTGGCTGACAGAAAACTTGGATTGCAAGTAATCTTTCAATTCTTGATTTTCAGATATTTTCAATTTCAATTGCTTCAATGATGTTAATGATAATATAGAATCCTTGTTGATATTCTTAGTGTCGAACACCGAGTTTTCAATTAATACTTTAAGGTTAAGGTAATTTGGCTTATTTATCACTCCGTTGTCAAAAGTTGCTGACGAAATTGAATTTGGTGTGGTGTTTGAAGTACTGCTCCCGTTGACATTATTGGCAGCATTATTAGTAGTATTCTGGTATGAAGATGAGATTGAAGTATCTGGCAGAGATACCATCATATTGTTGGCATTATTACCTGAATTTGAAGTTGTATTTGCAGATGTTGACAACAGGTCGTCAAACAGCACTATTCCATCATCCAAAGTCTTTTGGAGGTGATTGTTAAATGAATCTTGAAGAAACTGTGAATGAAGCAAGTTTAAGTTAGGCAAATCGTGGTGGTTATCCTTGAGTTCACGCAATTTATTTCTATGCTGTTCTTGTAAAGAGAACTTCAACAATTCTGGTGTTGTATTGTCTAGTTGCTGGCTAGGTCCATGGGTTATCTGGAACGGAGAGTTCTTGAGGAAAATATCAGCGTTAAGCATGTTGACATCAACTTCTAAATTGGAACAAGCAATAACTTTGAGAAACAAATTTGAGCAGTAAGGTTTTTCTATATGTATACTATCTGCCACTAGCGTTACAAAATATGGATTGCTTAGTCTTAAAGTGAAGTAAATGTAATAGCCTTTTTCTTCTCTTCACTCAATTAACTTTCTTGTGCATTTACTATTTTTTTTTTTATTTTTCTTTTTCCCTCTTTTTCCATTCCTGCGCACTTTTTCCTTTTTGGTAAAGGTCAAGCTCGAAATTCATTGTACGCTGTAGGTGAGTTGGGGATATCTGCAGGAAAACACACACAAGACGCGTATTTTGAAACCTTTTTTTCCGAGACCAAGCAGTGGGTTGAAAGAATCGTGCTGTTTCAAATAGTTGCAACTGGTTTCAGTTTTCTATTGTTGGAACCTGAGATGGGGCTCTCAATCAAAACAAATAATGGAAGAGAAAGAATAATAGAAGAATAGAAGAAAAGAAGAATCTACTAAAAGCTGTGCCATGTTGGTGTCACAGTGTGATTAGGGTTCTAGCTATTTATTGTTTTTTGTACTACATAACAGTGAACTGATTAGTGTAAGGCACAGCACGATGTGCTTTTGTGACCCCTTTATGGGCTCCTTATTTTACATCAGCAAGATTATTTTCCCTTGGTGGCGCATTTCAATAATCCAAATGGGTAAAAATTAAGAAAATTTCAAGACCAAGATCAGATTCAATTTTGAAGTGCTGCATCATCCTACTAAGAAGGTGAAATAAAGATTATTTTTTGACTGCCTCGTCCAAGCGGTCTTGATATGATATTATTAGGTAAACAAGACGATAGTGGCTATTGTAAGTTCTCGTCTATCGTTTAGTCACATATATTTAACCAACAACTTGACGATCAGTGAAACTTTTTATTTTAACTTACCCCTCCCCATCCTGAATGTTGCCCTTTCCATTGCTACTCTGGAAATTTTCTCGCTACACTTCCTTTCTTAGTCTTCTGTTTGATTTTCTTTTTTTTCCTCTGGCGCTAGCATCAGAATGGCTTAAGCGCATCTTTTGTTAAACATACTCTTAATGCTTACTGGTGCTTTTCACTTTTATTTTTACTTTAATATTAATAAATATATTTTTTCATTTTAGTCGCTTCCATTCACTTCGCAGCCTCCCTTTAACAGCATAATAATGATATGAACTCCAGTGATCCAATTGGTCTGATATTTCCCAACAAGAAAGATCCTAAATCTCTTCGACTAGTTACATTCAATGTTAATGGAGTCAAAACTTTGTTCAATTACTACCCTTGGAATAAACTACAAAGCAATTATGATGTGTTCTTCAATCGAATTAATGCTGACATCATATCTTTACAAGAATTAAAACTTTCTCTTCACACGTTGACGTCTGCTGGCGGAAGCATCGGAAACTTAAAGGACTACCAGTCGTTTATTACCATTCCCAAATCTAAAAGAGGCTACAGTGGAGTCGGGGTCTTCGTCAATAAGAAGATACCCGTTATTCGAGCGGAAGAGGGAATCACTGGGTGGCTTAGCAGTCCCGAAGAGCCTAGCAAGTGTTACAGGGAGAGAGATCCTCTATCCTGCATTGGTGGTTACCCTCCTGTAACTCCCGAGTTCAGCAAGGAACGGTGCCTTGATCTTGATGATGAGGGTAGATGTATTTGTATTGAACTAGCAAATAATATTGTTGTAATATCGGTGTATTGCCCTGCAAACTCTAGTGGTACAGACGAAGGTGAAGTGTTTAGAATGGACTTCTTACAAATCTTACTCCAAAGATGTTTTGACTTGAAGCATGTACATAACAAGGAGGTGATATTGATGGGAGACATAAATGTTAGTCAAGACTTAATAGATAATGCCGAGGGAATTCAAGAAAGAATCAAATCGAAATTAGTTAAGTCACCTCCGCCAAATGCCAAATCTCCAAATAGCGGCTATGACTTTGAGAAGACGAACCTTGCAGCATGCCTAGAATTTAAGACTTCTAGGGCATCAAGAGAACTATTGAATAGTTACACGATTCCAACACTCGCGACATTAGATACTAAATCAGGCTCAAAACAATTCCTACATGATACCACAAGAATATTTCAAGGAAGAAAATTGGGCATGTATACTGTTTGGAATACTTTGACTGGTGCTAGACAATCCAACTATGGATCAAGAATTGATTTGATATTGTCTAGCTCGAAAGAGATGTGCGATAACATCATAGACGCAGATATATGTCCACTTGTTAATGGATCTGACCATTGTCCTGTTTATACAGATTTTGATATACAGTTTCAGACTCTGATATTCAAACCCCACTTGAAGTTTGAAGCAAAGACTTTCTACAAATTAGTACAACATAGAGACATCTCCCTGTTATTTGGAATTCCCAAGAGAGAGAGAGATGATACAAGTGAAGAGAGCCTATCTAATAGTGCAACACCACCTCCACCTCCACGTCCCTTAGCTTTACCTAAGAGACAGAAGATAGAGTACGTGAGTAGGAAAAAGGGAACCAATCCTTCGAAATCATTACCCTCTCTGCAACAGTCTATATCAAACTTTTTCTTCAAGCAAGATCAAAAGTATGAGGAGCCGACTTCTAAGACTCCTGAGGTTCCACATGTAATGGGAACAATCACTAATGCAAACATGACTAAACTGAAGAAGACCCTCTCCATAGCTTCAATGTCAAATCAAATCTATGGTGAACAACCTAACTGCTTGCACGGAGAACCTTGCCAATTGAAAACCAGTCTAAGCAACATGAAGACAAGAGGAAAGAAATTTTGGTGCTGTTCTCGACCACTGGTGGGCATCAATTCCACTGATCCAAAGGAAGTTGGGGAACATCGATGTACATACTTTGAGTGGGCAACCAAGCGAAGCACATAGAAATCTTACATTTGGTAAACTTGATATATCTTATGCTTATGTTTATTAATTCTATTACCCATCATCTTAATAGTGTACGATAGTGAAAGTGAAAATAAAGAGGATAAAAAAAAGGAACAACACTTCACAAATGCAAAGAAACTATAATAACCATAGAAAAAATATCAAACTAAAAGTACACATCCTCTTTTTTTTTTTATTCAGTTGAATAGCGATGCAGCGTGATATCGAAGAGCTTAAGACTTCCTGAATTCACTCAACACTGGGTAAATTGCCTCAAAGGCTGCATAGATTTCTTCTCTTTGTTTAGCACCAGTCAAAACAATTTTACCAGATACGAAAATTAACAACACAATTTTTGGCTTAACCATTCTATAAATCAAACCAGGGAATAATTCAGGTTCGTATGACGAGAAAGTACCATGTGAAAACGCTAAACCTTCTAATCTAATTGGGAACTTAACATCACATGAACCAACAATATTTTGGATTTTGAAGTCAGTAAACTTGGCATCAAAACCTAATTTTTGAATGATTCTAGCATACTTTCTAGATGCCAATTTGGAGTCATCTTCAGATTTTGCACCAGTAACAACCATCTTACCGGAAGCAAAGATAAGAGCAGTTGTCTTTGGTTCTCTGATTCTCATAATGACGGCAGCGAAACGTTTTGGATTGTATTCAGCATTTCTTGCATGCAAGGCAATTGTTTTTAAATCTAACCTACAATCAAGATTGACAGTTGCCACTATATTTTGTAACGTTGGTACTATACCTGAAGTTGCACCGTTGTCTTCTTCTTGAAGAGGTTCAATAATATCGTTAGCTTTAGGTTCACTTTTCATTTGAACAAGGTTATCGTTATTATTGCCACCATCTATTCCATTCAAACCGTTTTGGGAAACCACTTTTCCTTCATTATCAAGTCCTCCTGGAAACAACAATGATTTGGAATCTGTAAAGATCTTGGCCTTTTGTGGATCAGTTGGAAGTTTTAAAGAATCCATGATAAGCTAATTATATGTACCAATTATATGTTATGAAAAAATTGCGTTTATTATTTGAAGTTGATCAATGAGATTGACAAATAAATGTATCCCCAACTGCTTTTTTTTTAAAAAAAAGATACTATTCTATATAAGTTTAATAGCTATATATAATGATAAATAGTAAAAATTTTTCCTTTTTAAATATTATTAGTATATTGTAACAGTCCACAAACTGATAGATTCAATATACAAAGTATGGTACAGTAATAATATTCCAAAAAATATTATGTAAAAAAAAAAAAATTCAATACACAGGACTGAAAAATTGGAAATTTTCGGGGGGAATTCGCTCAGTATTTATATCAACAGGTCAATATCCGGGTAACGCGCGATATTCCATAAATTTTCTTAAAGAAGTATATGGCACGTGATTAATATGGCTTGCATCAAGACAATTGCTTTGCAGAGGCACAGTAGACGTAGATCACAGTTAGCTTCTAGAGGTATCTACTTAACATCTCTGAAATGACGTACATGTAGCTATAAAATAGTTACCTAAAACAAAATAAAGGGAAAAGTAATTTCTATATTACAAATATAGAGGGATATCTTTTCAATGCAAAATACAAATTGAGAACCAAAAGTACTCATAAGAAGCAGCAGAATTAGAATAGACTAACGTTCTTTCAATAGCTTATTTCTCTTTTCTCTCTTCTTCATACGCTCAACCTTCTTCTTATGCATCTTTTCGGAAATTCTAGCAAACCTTTCCTTTTCTTCCTTTGCTTCTCTTCTCTTCTTTAACTCAGTAACCTTAGCTTGCTTGACATCATCCTTTTCTTGCTTCAAATCGTTTATTCTAGCTTTAAAATTCTTATCCTCCTGTCTCTTTCTCTCTCTTAATTCCCAGGAACTCAATTTGGTGACCCCAAGAGTCTTTACTCTAAATGCATCCTTCTTGATTTTCCACTCCTTACCATTGACACGTCTTCCTTCTCCAATATCTTTTGGTTCAAGAGGATTTATGTACTTTTTCGGTATCTCCTTGAATTCCTTGGTAGCAAAGGCACTCATTGTTAGCGGTATATGGGGGTAGTAGATACTGACGTTGAAAGGGGGAGGTGATGATAGCGATGAGATGAGATAAAAAAAAATTAAGTAGCTACAGAAAAACTTCAAGCATTTACAATATGCAGGAATTGAATCAATCTACATGCAGGACACGATGTGCTTTAAAATGTGGATGTCTCTCCTATTGTAGAGGTATGTCATGTCAAACAGAAGCGTAAAACACACCTGGTGCTAAGATGCAATGCTCTCATTTACTCCAATAGTTGGATTAGTTCTTGAGTATTTCAAATTCATTTATTGTAAATTTTTGTCGTAAATAGCCTTAATTATCATTTACTTCGTTCCTTTTATCTATTATCAAAACGGCCCTTCTAATCCATTTTCTAGACCTAGTATACTTCGTAATTCCATCCTCGTAAGCTTGATTTAACCAATTGTTATCAAAATAGCTCCATCCTTCTGCGTCTTTACCTTTATTGAATTCTTTGTCAATCGACCAACTCTCGTCCAACCAGTCCCACAGGTATGAATACAAATCATTTTCAAACACAGGGAAGGGGAATTTATCGTTGCTCTCATGTCCATCAACTGCTGCTCCCTGAACATGAGGAGACGTCATCATAGATTGCTGATAGCAAAAGTTTGGTCTTTCATTAGGCAACAAGAATGAAGTCCAGCCGAGGCCCAACCATCTACGTTCATTTTCCAATATTTCAAATAACACAATTTGCTTTAACTGGGTTGGGGATGCAACTATTTTTTTCAAAATTTTAAAGTCACTTAACAACTGTAATTTCTGCTTGTGGTTATACTTAGCATCGTCTTCTTCAGCCTCACTGACAGAAGGGCTGTGTATCCTTGATACAGGTAAGTGATGATTCTGGTTTCTTCTATCCAATTTAATATCTAATCCAGTTAAATAAAAAGCGATTATTCTCACATATACGGATCTCCAAAGTAATCTCCTGGTCGAAAAAGACCAAGGTGAGTGATAAGTTAACATAAATACACCAAAGAGCCATAAAAACTTCTGTGGTGGGAAAACATGGGTGACTAAGAAAACATGAACAGGTGTGAGGATAGAAGTCATGAAGAATATCACTAGCAATGTCTTTTTAGTGATGGTGAAATGCTTTACAGGTCTTAATAGCAATTCAAAACGAACTGTGATGTTATGTAAACTATGCAAGACTTCATCTATGGTCGGCTTTTCATTGAATTTGGAATCATTGATTACTGAGGAAATGGACCACACCAATATGCTGAACAACGTTGAACATATTAACGGGAGTATCAACACACTGCATATTTGCCAATAGAGAACTATTGTTGAGTAAATGACAACCATTAAGAAATTCTGATACGGATCATCATTCGTCCATGTTACTAGCTCCAAAAAATTGTCAATTAACAATAAATATGGGAATATATTTGATAATGCAGATGCTAGAATCGGATTTTCTCCCAACAAGGGTGTAAATGATGTGTCTTTTAATAAGGTGACCTCTGAAGGCTCGAAGTCTGCCTGTAGCGATTCCAACATATTCTATTAGCAGGGACCAAATAATACTTAACTTTAGATTCGAAAATGCACTTTCTTATTTGAATATCCTTTCAATATATCCTTCCACTTGCATGAAATCAGGATATGAAGTGCCTTGGACTCTTTTCTACCCTACAATCAGATTTTTTTGATACCAATTGCACATGAAGGTCGTGTGGTGCTATTTTGTGGAGTTACATTAAATATAGCAATTCCTGCATGAATTACGGATATTGCTTTGAAGTTGGAACAGTGGGGAGACTCAGTGCGTTGTGCTAACCAGGATACTTTCCAGAGAACCTACGCCAGGATGTTTTATGTCCTAAAGTTCTTCAGCATTCTCTATAAGTACAATGATTTCAAAGTATTTTCTCTGAGTGGCTATAGTTTGGTATTGACTTGAAAATATTGTTTCCAAGAAATGGTTTCGTGGTCTAGTTGGTTATGGCATCTGCTTAACACGCAGAACGTCCCCAGTTCGATCCTGGGCGAAATCATTGCTTTTTTTTTTTTCACTTTCCACTTGTCAATGGAAATCTTATCTTACACAGTAACTCATCCCCAGTCTACATTAACTTTCTTCATAATAAATCATTTAACATTAATAATAGTAATTGAAAGTTCTATGTACACAAGAAGAAAAATTGAAATGCTGGCTTCTTTGGCTTTTTATACTCTATGATCACTTAATTCAATTTTCAGCTTGCTTAATTTTTTTCAATTGCTCCTGCTCATCTAAGTATCTCTTCCATTCAGGAACTGGAGCAGGTTCGGCTTTCTTTAATTCAGCTTCATGCATTGACAATAATATGGTTCCCAACAACAATATAACAGTAAAAGCTTGAGCGTACATTCTTGCCTGTACAGCCTTCTGAGTAGCAGTCATTATAGGGTCTCTATTGACGTATTTCCATGATCCGTATAATGAAGCAGCCCAAGCACTTAAAATAATCTTATATTTGTTATCATTGACCTTGGTAAAGCACTTGTCTGCTAAAGACAATTTTTCCCATTTAGCTAATTTTTCTTCTTCAAGCTTCTTCAAGTAATCAGACTGGTATTGTTCCCTATCAAAACGAACAGAACCTTCATCTGCGAAAAAGGCTCCCATACCGATGGTTGGCATAGCATACATCGCAGATTTAACTGACGTACTCAATTGTGCGAACCTCACAGGATTTCTTCTCTTCACATATTGAGCAAAACCAATCGATAATACTGCACCAACTGCACACCCTTTAATACCTTCTTCAAGAACTGTGTTCCAGTGGGCGTTTTTCTCTTCGTTAGAAAGGATCTTCATAATAAAATTGTTCTTATAAATAAATAAAATATTTGAAAAAGACTATTATAGCTTTAAAATATAATTAGTGTTTCGTGGTGTGAATTGAAAATTTTATGTCAAAAACAAACTTAAATGTATATCTATTTATATTATTCACTACGTTGTCTCTATCCTTCGGTCTGACAAAGCATCTAGAGCTAACCAGAGATGTACCTCCCATAAGCCGCGCAATTAACTGAAAGATCAGCAAGAAAAAGAGGAATTGCGAGTGCATAATCCGGGTAATTCATGGGAAAAGTCGGATAATTCAACCTTAAACGAAGGACCATCTATGAAATCTGAGCATCTCTCAAAAGTCCGTGACCAAGAACGTACGACCGATATGTGAGCGATGCAAGTTGAATATGCACATAAGAAACTACTGTAATTAGCTTGCAATTAGCCTGCTTTTTGTTACAGTTGGGCCATGCAATTGACAACAAGAATTTTACAGTTCCATAAATATAATAATATGGAGCCATTTTTTGAACGACAGTCGTCTTCTACGAAGCTAAACGATTCCCAAAGAACACTGCTTGATGCATTTATGCGGCCCTTACATGTGGGTGTTTCGTAATCACCTCAAATCGTTCCATAATGTAGGATCCACAGTGCTCAAGAAGGAAAATATCGCGGCTTCCAAGCTCTCGAACGGATCGGCGGCCAAGTACGCCCGCCCTGTTCCTAGAAAAAGAAACGATTTTGTATGAGCAAGTTGAGAATTTAGCGTGCGCCACAATTTCGTGACCACTCGGTCATTCTACAAAAAGAAACGAAAACTTCCTGTTTGGTAATTTGAGCCCGACATATTACTACATATGGAGGGCCCGACGAGCTGGGCTTTGCAGCTTATGCTAAACGGTTCCTCGATCGTATAAATATTAATAGTATATTTATTAGTTTATACTTCATAATTAAAAAAAAAAGTGAAACGAAAGGGGCTACTACCTTCTAACTCCCTTTTCTCTGTGCATACGTCTCTTGTTAATAAACAAAAGGCCATTATTTACCCCCGTCACATTCACATCGGAGTTTGGGAATACACTGCCCAACCCAGTGTTGGTACCACTGTAGTAAAGATCTTTTTCTATAAGTTTATCACTCCCGAGGTAAATGACTTTAATTAAGTTCTCAAAACTAATTGCAACAGATTTATAACCAAACTTTTCAATACATAAGGGACTGGAAACTGATACTGAAGGAGAAGAATTATCCGATGGTATACGATAGTTCATCAATTTTCCGTCATTAGCAGTAATAATGAAACCCTCCCAAAGGTCATCAAAAGTGAGCTTCTGCTCGCTGCTGCTGGAAGAAATGGGTTTTGAAAGTTCTCCCTTTGTCCGTGATCTCAACGAAGTCAAACCACTGCCTTGAACTAAGGATGAAAAATGGCGATCAATGCTTGTCAGTGCACTACTGTCACATCTTTCCATTTCACAATCATTTGATTGCAATTTTGTTACTGAAGCAACCTCATTGATCTTGTTTCTTCTTTTCAATCCAATAATGACATTAATATCAGTCAATTCCCATTTCTCTACATTGTCAAACCAATATTGATGTTCTGCAACTGCATTAAAACCCAAGCATCTGATTTCTCTGGGATCTCTTTCCACTCTTAAACAAATATTGTTCTTCAGTTTCTTGGCATCAATTCTAAAAGTATGCATAATCAAAGTGTTGGAGTCATGCTCTTGATATATTAAGGAAAATGATTGAATAGATGCACAACCACAAAACTTACAATGCGTAGGCTCCAGGTGCGAGACTCGAAATGAATTGGGTTTGAAGTGGCCAATACTAAAAGTCCTTAAAAGCATCCCACTTTGAATATCTATAAGTTCAGCAGACAAATTCTTTACTCTTATGACCATCCCAACAAACTCAACTGGAACAATAAGTGACTGGTTGAATTGAAAACTTGAAGATGAAGCAAAATCAGATCCAAATTCGGAAGACATGTCTATAGTAGAAGGATTAAACTTGTACAGACTATCCCCATTACCACCAGTGGTACCCCTTGTGTTGTATACTGATTTAAAATCATTGCTCTCACTAATCGATTTAGTCATTAATGGAGCAACTAGTTTCCGTGCCATATTATAAAATCCATGTTGAATATTCAATTTCTTGACAATGAAGTTATTGTTCATTAAGGAAACCACAATGATATCAAAATTGTTCAAGTGACAGATAATCCTATCACAAATTCTAGGAGTTGACATCTTTTTAGAGGAAGTCACCTTTAAGGAGTTTCCAGCATCCAGAAGATAGGTTGATTGGAATATGTTGCATGTTTTAATTGAGCCATCACCACAAGCAATTGAAACGATAATACCAGACTCAAGAATGACAATGAAGTCATCTTTCGGAGACAAAGCAGAGTCTATATCGTTAGAAGGGCCATTTCCGTTGGATTGGTTTTTATAACTTTCAGAATGTCCATTATTTGTCTCACTTGCCTCATTAATACCCTTGTACATATCAGTGATTATCAGAGGTGCTTGATAATTTCCATTCAATGATGAAGTGTTGGAAGAGAAAGAAGCTGAAGAGCTAACACTATTCCTTCTACTATCACTTCTTCTTGCGGCTTTTTTCTGTTGATGAATCTTCCTAGTTAAATATCCAGGAACTGTTCTTCTTCTAAAAAATGATTCCAAAATCTTCAATTTTCCAAAATTACTATTGACAATTTCCTCAGGTAATTGAATTTCCCATGAATATTTTAATTGTTTTCTTTCGTAGCATTTGACTAATCCATTCTTATAGTTAATTAATATGGTGTAGTTTCCATCATTACTAATGTTTATGTGGTTAATTGGCCAGAATTCCTTTCCATTGGTTGCATTGATTGAGCCAATATTAATTGGCCTAGGAATTTCTGGTTTGTATAATGGAGACCAGATCAATATTTTATGATCCAACCCTATAGTGACAATGAAAGGTGAAGCGGAATTAGTTTTAATCTTCAATACATCTAAGGTATGACCGTACCCTATCAAGTCAATATAATTAAAAAATTTTTTTGATTCGTAATCAAATTCAAAGAGTGAATCTATTGAAGTTGATTGTGATAAATTTGATGCAGATTTCTTCATTTCCTTGGCAATCTCACTATAAGTATATCTAAATGTAACTCCAGCCACCCCAATGATGAATAACACTATGGAAATCAATTCCATGTAGTAAAGAATATCATAAGATTGATGTACCACCGTTATTTCTTCATAAAACTGAATTTCGTCATTTAAGATTTCATGTGGAATAGATACTGTCCAACTAACAAAAGTCGCAATTAGAAAACCTATAGTGATCAATGTGTTAAAACCAAGTCTAAGACACGAAGGCGCAGGATTCTTAATGTTGAGCAAAAATTGGCCAAATTTGTGACGGAAGGAGGATCTTGAAGGTCTGAGTTGCGGTGGTTTACAGAGTCTCAATAGAACTTTAGAAAAGATGTTAACCCCAAAAAGTTCCTCCGTGTGCGCAAAAATAGAGGTCCCTTCTGGTATCGCAGTTCCATTAGCTCCACTACCAGATGTTGTAGTAACAATTTTCAACAAGTCAGTCAATTCAAATCGTTTCAAGTCCATCACTACGATACAAACCAAATATGTCAATTGTAAAATCTGGTCGATTATTATTGCAATCATTACTGCAGAAATAAAATTCGATATTCTTGAACTGAAATATACTCCAATTTCTCCAGTATAATAAGACTTCACTACCGACGTACTTGCAGATTTCAACAATGTAAAAACAAATAAATTCATAAACAAGCATTTGGCAGTCAAGGGAACTAAGAAAACTCTCTTCATAAGACCAAACCCCTTATTCATAATTCTACAAGCATGCAGGCATTGGATAGAAATATGATCCTGTAAACCCTCAAAAACACCGCCATTGGTAATGGTTACTCCTCCAGCAGGAAAGCTACCAATCTCAGAAGTACTAATACTGCCATCATCAACAATCCTAGCTTGAGGATTCACTAGTGGGTCAATACCGATGTAAAATTTAAGTAATCTAATCCTTAATCCGTTCTCACCTTCATAAAAACCATTATCTCCAGAAAGATAGGTAATTAAGTTAAGCATACTGTTACTACTGATTAACAGGATTAAAAAAACGAAAGAAAATCGCGTAACAAGCGTAGACGGTTCAAATAACACAGTCCATGGTACACCCTTCCAATAACTAAGAATCGAGACCGATGCACAGATGGAAATCATCACCTCGATATACCAGCCAAGCAATAATCCAAACTTGGATCTGATTTTGTATTGATTTAATATACATAGCGTAGTATATGCAAAGAATCCTATGATAATGATAACTATTATCGAGTTAATCAACAAGTTGCTTAATATGGAGTAGTATGATATGGTTTTTTCGGCTTCTCTGTTTATGAAGCTGACAAAATCTTTGATACTAACAATCTTTGTGGTGGATTGAAGCTTTAACTGGAAATGTGAACATGAGGTGCCACTTTCACTCTTAGAAATTGTTTCTTCGCCTTTGCTAAGCACATATATGCTCAATTTCCTAGCGTGATTTATTAACGAGTTCAAGCGACTTATGTCCTTCAAAAAGAACGAATCCAAGTGCATTGAAGTTTTAGAATTGATATACCTCAAGAGTACATCCGATTGTCGCTTGTATACTTTCAGATCCATTATACTTTCATTTTTGTTGAATTGTACCGGCCAAAACGACAAGGGAGATATTATTTCGATAATGTTTGAATGATTCGCGAGGAGTTGCTCTTGGAATTTATTCAACTGGTCTAAGAAACCATACGATAGTACATTGTAATTGGACGAAGTTGAAAAGGGGTACTCATGTAAATTGTCTGCCCCTGATATGGTTATTTTGGTTAATGTGAAATTCTCATTCTCCCAGTCCAACTCTGAGAGACTATGAGATAGTATGGTCAACTCGTTGTGAACTAAAGATGTTACATCTTGGGGAGAAGTCCATGCATGCGGTGAAGATGACGATGACGGTGTGAGCACTTGATTTAAGTTATTATCGAAGTACCCCTGGATTTGAAAATTGAGTCGTTTTATTGTTAGATCATACCAAACGCCGTATGATATTATGAAGGAAAACATTATGGGCACCAATATCACCGTTTTAGGATTGGCTAGTAGGAAGTTGATAAACACCTTAACCTTGTTGGTATAAGATGTTCGGTAAAACGGCATACTTCGCAACTTGTATAATTGGACTTGAAGTGGAAGAGCCTTAAAGATAAGTCTTTGTAAAAATGTGTGCTATGTAGTATACGAAGTGTTTGTTCTTCTAATAGTGCAGATCGTGGGTTCCACTATATTGTAGATATTATGTGAGGGTAAAATCCTTTTTCTCAATTGTTTTTCGAGTAAATGAAATTACCAATGCTTACTGAAGGCCCTTAAGTTCCTTCCCCACTATTTGTTGGAACTGATATTGACTTTCCAGGTCTCTTACGCTTGAAGCTTACTGTGAAGGTTGTCACTAATTCAAAAATTTTTTCTTACTCTAAATTCCCCAACCTTTACTCTCGGGTTCTTCTATATGCAGGGCTACTTATTTTTTTTTATGTGGAAAGGGCCCTTTATCTGGAAAATAGAGCTATCACTTTTCAATCCTGTGTCGGATAATGCCTGGGAACGAAGAGACGTGGGTACAAGCACTGAAAAAAAAAAAAGGAAATTTATATTAGCTTTAGCAGACGGAATGGAGTAGTTTAAATTCAACAGGGTACCTTTCCTCGAGAATTAAAGAAGCTAATGGGAGTGTCTAAGGAGATGAAGTGAAAAAGATGGAAATAAATTATTTATGTAGAATTGTTTCGTATATTTCTTCAAAGCATTGCATGCATGCATGTAGTATAGCACAGTATGCACAGGAAATGTGCCTTATCTGATATTATGTACCTACTCTACTCCCTCCTAGCAAATCATCCCGCCGACAGCAATTAATTATGAACACTTCTCCTGATTCTATTCCTTTGTTTCTTTGGTGCAGATTCATCTGGACTATAAATAAAACCGTAAAGATGCAAGATACAATCAGGTTTGAAACTCAAAATTGGGGTTTGAAGATAGAATGTTAGAAACAATCCAAATTTCAAGAATCGCTATTATGTAAGTAGCCAAATGTGGTCTAGGTAATAAAGCATAAAATTATAAGCATTTTAGCCTAGATATGATCTAGGCTCAATCCCCCCTACAAATTGAAATCTGGAAAACTCTATACATCCCCACATCTAGTTAATTACCTTCAAATATTTTTATTATCATTTGGGAGCAGGCCACCCTAATGCAATTCAATTACATAGCGACCCGTATTTGGCTCACTATTCTAAATAGAAAACGGATTCTGGAGATATAGGAAGCTGGAAATTGACACAGTTCGCAATTTATTTACACACTTGGGATTACCGTTCATTGTTTCGTATAATGAGTTAAACACCTTCTGCTTAAGTAATCCAATCAAAAAGCTACATTTATATCCGGCCGTATTAAAAAAAATATAATACAATATCTATGTTTCAAACATATATAATGCTTTGTTTCATTCTTACTATTAGCTACTGTTACTTCTGTAATGTTGCTATATTCAAAGAGCTCATTTGATTCAAGAGATCATCGATCTTACCATCCAATAATCCATTGGCGTACTCATCTCTCGAACTTTGATCAAGATACTGTTGAACTTGTGCAACTCTTGAATAACCCTCAGTACAGAACTTCAATTGAATCTTCACCAAACTTTCAAAGGAAGGATCATAATATGGGACTCTTAATGAGATCAACTGAGGTAACTCTGCTTTCAATTGTTCGTTTAAATCTTCGTATATAGACTTTGCTACTGATAATTCTCTCTCAGCTGCAGGCAACTTTGCCGCATCCTTTGCAGGCTTGTCAATCAACTTTCTAACTTTTGCTTTGCATTGATCATAGTCCAATTTTTTGTGGGATCTTTTCTTTATGGCTTCGTCAACTTCATTGAAGTAATTGGCAAACTTTGTCACAGGATCTAAAATGGTTTCTCTAAACGGTCCATCTACTTGTTTAACGGTTTCCTCATCAAAATCTCTAACTGCCTGTAAGTAATAGGATCCAACGTCACTGTATGAGGCACTAGCACCTTGCTTTGATTCTTCGTACAAATTGGATATCGTTTCAGCAATTGTGACCTGGGATGCGGTTACCGCCCTCAAGGAGTCTAAGTAACCCTTAGTGGCCTTTTGCAAGTTGACACCTGCAGCCTTCAATGTCTTGTAACGTCTTTCTTCCACATCAAAATCCTTATCCATTGTCTTATCGACATCTTTTACGGTGACGGATGCACCTGCTCTGTGAACTGCTTTCTTGAATCCTTCCCACGACATAATATAAACTAGAGGCTGTGTATATAAAAATAAACAATAACCTAAAGACTAACACAGAAGAAATGCCAATCAACAGCTACTGAGAATTTTTATTGAAAAAAGATATCTTCAAACGACTGATTAACAGTTAACTTCAACTATTCAATTGACTGTAAAGCCTTTATGTGCTATGTAGCAGTGCCGGCGATTTCGGTATTTTTTTCTTCTCTTTGAATTCGACTGGGTGCTTCGCATTCTAATTAGGGAGCACATTTTGTGTAATATAATGACCCTACATTAGTAAGGCGAAGGTAGAATGAAAGATTAGCGAGTGCCCTTACTAATGGCAGATAAGATACTTTGTGATTAATCTCTGGCAATTGACACCTGGGACTACTATGGACGGACTGGATTCTGTATTACTCTGTATTTTTAATATGCTTTCTTCATTAACGTTAAATATGTATACAGCGTAACGATATGCGCCATGAAATCAACGCAACTCGACTGTATTTCAACAGGAATGATATCGATAACGAATATTTACCTTCTATATCCTGTCAAGAAAACCGCTTTAATTCCCAGCTCTACTCTTGAATTATTGAACTTGGACATCTCTATTCTATTCGTAAAGGAGTACCAAAGTACGTTGTGTGGGGCCTTTGATAAATCCTGCATATAGACGCGATATGGTTTTTAAGTGTTTGGAAACTTGTACTATTCTTCATGGTGGGCTGTGTCTGTTCTTTATCAAATAAGTATGTCAGTAGATACAATTGACGAAGTGGACATAGGTGATTCAGCCTCCATAATAAAGGAGAGTACAGATCATATAAATGAACAGCCTAAAGAAGAATTGGGTGAGGATTTAAGCGTAGATGAACAAGCACAACAACAAGAGCAAGTACAATTAGAAAAACAAGAACAAGAACAAGTACACGTAGAAGAACAAAAACAAGAACAAGAACAAGAATTGGTTCAAGAAGATGTGCAAGGACAGGAAATGGCTCAAGAAGCTGTACAAGAACAAGCACAAGATACGCTAGCACCTGAAGAAGAGCAAGCACTTCAACCAGGCGAAGAACAGAGCAACATAGTTACCCACACCAGTAGTCCTTCAACTCAGCCTGACGCTGAAGAAACAGAAGGCAAAAAGCTAAATTCAGTACAACCAACCCTAGATGAGGTTGATCTTGCAGAAAATAATGTTGAGGGACGAATGGATATTCCTAAGATCGAAATTAATGAATCAAATGAACCACTTTCTCCACAAATTAAAGTGGCTAGCCAAACATTAACACGAGAAGAGAAGGTGGAGGCCATTAAGAAACTTCGTAAGGATATCACTTCGCTCGTGTCGAACATTAGAAACACCAAAAAAGTGTGTGACAAGTACAAAAATGAGAACCAGTATTTACAAGAGTACGTTGGTAGTATGATGGCAAGTGGGGAAATGAAATAGAGAATTTAATGACAATGACTTAGTGCCAATATTGTAGAATACTTACGATCTTATAACTCTACAAGTTTTTCTGTCAGTACATTCATTAATCGTTTTTTTTCTTATGTTATTCTTTCGCCGATAGTTTCCTCTTAAATGACTTGATAACTACAGCGATAAGAAATAGTAACCAAGAGCAAGTACCCCAGCAAACCCAGTATAGAATGACCAGACTGGATTGGGCCCATTAATTTTAACATCACCAGAACGTCCAAACCAAACATTCCCATTGTAATCAGTCATAGAGGTCTTGATAAGACGAGCCTTCTTGTCACTGAATGGTGGATATCTAGAAGCCAATACCTTTTCCTTCCAGAGGGCAATCTCCATAGTTGTTCTCAAGTGTGAGAAAGTCTGGAACGAATACTCTCCATGATATGCTCCATGACCTGATTGACCAATACCTCCAAATGGTGCATTCGACAAACCAACATGAAGTATGACATCATTCAACATAACACCACCAGATCTGACTGACTTAAGGATAGAGTCAACTTGCTTGTTCGTCTTCTTGGAAGGATTTGAAGTGAAAATATATTGAGCCAATGGTGTATCATGGAGACCAGTAACCTTTGAAATTGCATCATTCAAATTAGTGTAACTAATAATTGGTAAGATTGGACCGAAATTCTCCTGCTTCATAGTTGAGTCACTGAAATCAACGTCATATATAATTGTTGGTGGAATAAACCTTGATTTGGCATCCCTCTTCTTTTTACCTCCTTCGCCTGTTAAAAATTTACCCTTGGTGGTATCAATTGTTTTTGAAATTGTATCAAAGGCTCTATCATGGATTAAATGGGTATAGTTGGGGTCATTCTCGTCAATTCCAGGGAAAAACTTGGTTTCAGTAACCTTTTTCAAACTTTGCAATAATTTTTGTTTCTTAGATTCGTGAACCAAGACATAGTCTACTGCAACACAAGTCTGACCACAGTTGGTGAATTTCCCCCACGCAACTCTATTGGCCACCGTAGATATTTCAGAATCATCTAAGTCCTCCAATACGAAGGCAGGTGACTTTCCTCCAAGTTCCAAGACGACTGGTGTTAAAGTTTCGGCAGCCTTCTTGGCAATAATTTTACCAACTGTATTATTACCAGTATACATAATTTTGTCGAACTTTTGTTCAAGAAGTTCAGTAGTTTCTGGAATAGCACCGTTAATGGCCACGAAGACGTCTGGGTCTAAAGCTTTAGATAAAAGATCACTAAACACTTGAGTGAAATATGGCGTCTGTTCACTTTGCTTTAATACAACGCTATTACCAGCTGCAAGGGCTCCGACCACAGCCAGGAAGGACAAAAGCAATGGGTAATTGAATGGAGAGATAATCAATACAACACCTAATGGGATCTTTTCAATATAAGCAGGAGTTCCAGCCATTGATAATGGCATTCCCTCAACCTGTTCAGGTTTGGCCCACTTATGTAAATTGGCCATAGTGTGAACCAATTCGCTCAAAGCTGGGACAATTTCCAAATTTCTAGATTCATTTGGAACTCTGTTAAAGTCCTTGAACAAAGCTTCAGTGAGTACGTCTTCATTATCTTTCAAGGCAAAGTAAAGATTTCTCAACTGATTTAAACGGAATTGAAGTGAGTGGGTCTTTTGCGTGGAGTGGAACGCAGTCCTGAGTTTATCAACTGCAGGACCGATATCACCAACGGCAGTATACTTCAATGGTGAGGAAGCAGAGGATTCTGAAGATACTGTACTCAAGTCAGTAAGATTTTCTGAATATTTAACGCCATCCGAAAGCTTATTCTTAGATGGAGCCATTATAGATATATAGGTATTAGATCTGTATTTGCTTAAATAGGTTGCTTAACAATTTATTCCAAGATCAATGATCACTTAAAAATGAATTGCTATATGAAAAACAAAAATTAAAAAAAAAAAGTTTTGAGAGATTGAAATCTCAAAGATCGATTGTTATATATATGGAGGAGCTAGATGTAGGAAAACAATGAAATTAATTCACCTGTAGTATACTTTACTCCAAAACCTTCTTAATCATGTGCAAACCCAAAGTTTCTATAGGAACACACTAAAAACTTAAGTAGCATTGTCTAAGAAAATAGTGGGGAATGCGAAATGGCTCGGTCCAGGAAAAAAGGTGCAACCAAAAGAATTGGTGGGGAACAGCCAAGCTATAGGTTTACGGGAGTATGGATAGATTTAACATCTGAATCTGACTGGATCGACGTTTTCAAGCATGGAATGGAACCTTCTTGAAAAAAGAAAACTACTACAAAATCACCAAATTGAAATTTTTTCTCTCATCGGTAAGCAAGATCAGAATAAAGTAGGTATAGAAGTTGAGCAAAGCAGGTAGAAGTGTATTCGTAGCCTATATGCAAAACAATTTCGATGCTCCAGGGACCCCAGTCATGCTGGGCTACCTCACTCGTTATAGCATGCTACGCTGCGCGATTCAAGGGTTCTAATGCACGGTCTTCAAAGGTCACAGTGTGCTATCTACAAATTATTGTACCTAGTGCCAGAAAATACGCACATCAAATTTACCCAGAGCCACTAGCATGAGCCCGTCCCAAGAGCGAGCCATGCCCCATCCATGGGTATTCATGTGTGCAGCCCTGTGTGCAGCCTGTATACAGCCTGTATGCAATATATGCTCACTATACTTCTTTCGCATGTGTCAACCTGTACCAAGAACACACGCTTCTAATCTAGGCACCATTCCCTTTGCTAGCTCAGTAGTATTTTTTTATCTGTAGGCTCGCTGATATTTATCCTATCTAACTGAGTTGGGAAATACTTTACTTTTCCTGCCTACATTCAATTTTAGATTGTCATTTTCTTCAGTGCTCCTATTTGTCATACGTCACAGAGCCCCACTAAAACCTTGTTCCACACCATATTTAGAATTTTTCGCCCTTCCCTATTTTCTCCCATGAGGCTCGCTATCTGTGATTTTGAATTTCCCTAAAATCGGGATATGTAATCAGTATCTGTGTTTAGTTTTTATTTATCCCACTACGCAGGGTATATCAAACCGAAACAACCCACAACTTTTTTAATTTTTGAAACATATCAATTTTTGTACCATATATACTATAAAACACTCACTGGTCTGCTGCTGTTGTTACTATTTCACTACTTATGACTGAGAAACCTGTTGCCCCAATCCCTCAGAGTGTCAAGAAGGATTTGAGTAGACAGGGCAAGCCACTCCCTTTGCTCCATGTGAAGCAGGACACATCCCTTAAATCATGCTTGTCTCTGACCAGCTTTAATAAACTGCTGCTGCTGGTATCTCACCCTGAGCATCCATTGTTTTTGGTTCATGACGATATTATCAGCCCGAACAAGCATGGGTTGTTAAATGATGATGACGAATCAATTTTGTCGCATACGCCTTCGCTTATTACGGGTGCCGGCTCATCCAACCTTGGGAATACAGGAGTAATAGGCCCCGTATTAAGCCCTTCTCAATCGCATAACAGCCCATCTTCCATATTATCCAGTGCCCCCAATTCACCCCCGTTAATCCAAGCTCATAATCCCAATACACATCAAATTCAGACCACTGTTTCTCCACCTCCTCAGCCTGTTCCACTTTCGAGGATTTCATCATTGCGTTACGCGAATGCTGGAGATAAAAACTTGATTGAAACTACAAATAGACAAAGAGCAGGATCTCCAATATCTTCAAAATCCTCACCACAGCTTCCACCTATCTCAGATCCAAACATTGTTTCGAATACTGATGCTGTGCCCAACAATGACTTACAAAACGACAAAAAGCATCTTATGATTGCTATTACGGGCTGTATATCGATCCATAAAAATATCTTCCTAATCATTGAAAAGTTGTTTGAATTGTATACAAAGGAGAAATTAGAAATTCAAGTCATTTTGACTAAAGCTGCTCAATATATTCTTGGAGAAAAACTTTACAAGTTTGAAGATTTAGGGGTCAAGGTCTGGTTCCATGATGATGGGTTAAAATATTATCTAACTAATAAGGCTACTCTATACAAGGCATTTTCTCCACAACTGGCTCAACCGCACCCTAAATTGACTCCTAATTATTTATCCCAGTTTTTCCTTCCATTTGAATTACAAAAATGGACTGATGTATTATTAATTGCACCACTTTCTGCAAATTCTATGGCCAAGTTAATTAATGGGCTATCGGACAATTTGCTTACTGATATGTTACACATTTGGCCAGTCCCACTCAACCGTCATCAAATTGAGCCGCAAGCAGCAAATACTAGCACTTCGACGGTCTTGACAAACAATTTATCTGCCCCGAAGTCTATTATTGCAGCTTTAGCACTCACAAATTCGATGTATTCACACCCCATTACGAAGAGGCAATTGAGTTTATTACAAGAGACATACCCAAACATGATAATTTTGAAACCTGTTGAAAAATGTGTTGATATTGATGGGAATATTGCAATGGGAGGAATGAGGTCTTGGAGAGAAGTTGTCAATTTTGTGGTGCAGAAATTGGGAGAACCGGAAGAAGAGGATAATGATGATGACGATGATGACGATGATGACGAGGATGAAGATGAAGAGGTTAAAGATGGGGAAGAAGGAGAAGATAGGAGCGAACAAAAAGAAACTACAATTAGAGTAAATGGGCATGCGAAGCACCAAGATGAACCTAGCACTGAGCACCATCGCATTAGACTGGAAACAGTGACTAATAAAGAACTTAAGGAACACACAAAGATTGCTACTATTAATGCAATGTTGAATACGGGTTTGGTACATGGACCCACATCGGAAGAGACCAAAAAGTAGATTCCCTGTATAAAGTTAACATGTCTGACCATAGCTTCGGACTTTCATTTCCAACCGTGCGTTCCTATGTAATAATACATTATTTTCATATAATTTATGTAAGCACTGGCGTAATGATTACCACACCCACACTTAAATGATTTTCGATGCGATAAGATAGATGTCGGTCCGTTTCTGAAGTCCATCCGGCTGAGGCGAAACTTAATAAGCTATCCGGCAAATATCACGTTTTGTTAGGGCCGCGTTAATTTATCACGTGATGATATATAATGCTTAATTTATTACTAAGCCAGATAGGTTTCCATGCATTTCGTGCATGGTGATGAGGCGGATGCTCAACTGTGGAACCGGTTGCATAAATACCTGAGCAGATTCAGCATTTTTCATTTTTAATTTGCAACACTCATAAGTATCAATTGAAGTCTATTGAATACGAACAATTGCTAGTTCTTCTACTTTTTAGAAATTGAAATTAAATAAAGAGATAATGAGTTTACATGAACCTGTTTCTGCTGCTGAAGGTGTTCCATTTTGGACCCCCAAGCAAATCTTGAGAGCTGGTACCGCTGTTGTACCTCAACCAGATGGAAAGGCAATTCCAAAGATATTCCAACCATTGAAGATTAGAGGTTTAACTATTCAGAACAGAATTGGATTATCACCAATGTGTCAGTACTCTGCCAACCCCAAATTTGAAGCCACACCATGGCATGTGGTTCACTACGGTGAAATAATCAAGCGTGGACCTGGTTTATCATTTATTGAAGCCACTTCAGTTTCCCCTGAGGGTGGACTTTCACCTCAAGATTTGGCTATTTTCAACGACGAACAGGCCAAGAAATTGAAGGATATTGTTGACTTTGCTCATTCTCAGAATCAACATATTGGTATTCAAATTGCCCATGGTGGTCGTAAGGCCAGTGGATCTCCAATGTACGAGCATTTAGAAAGGATTGCGGATGCATCTGTTGGTGGTTGGCCAGATAAGGTGGTTGCTCCATCACCAATTCCTTATAGACCTGGTGGTTCTTTGGCTACACCAAAGGAATTAACTATTCCTGATATCAAGAGAATCATTAAAGAATTCGGAGCAGCTGCTAAGAGGGCCGTTGAAATTTCGGGCTTTGATATAATTCAAATTCACGCTGCACATGGTTATTTGATCAATGAGTTTTATTCTAAGGTCTCCAACAAGAGAACAGATGAATATGGTGGATCATTTGAAAATAGAGTTCGTTTCTTATTGGAAATTATTGATGAAGTCAGGGCCAACATTCCTGAAGACTTCCCATTGTCGTTGAGAATTTCTGCTATTGATAACTCTCCAGACAATCCAGAATCATGGAAAATTGAAGACTCTGTTAAGTTAGCGCCATTGGTCATTGCTAGGGGAGTTGATATCATTGATACTTCATCAGGTGGTAACGATTCTTCTGCTAATGCAAGAGGTCCAAGAGATGGAGTTCACGTCGAGCTTGCAAGAGCAGTTAAAAAGGCCATTGGAGACTCTGGTTTGGTTTCCTGTGTTGGATCATTGAGAACAGCCACATACGCCAATAAATTTCTTGAAGAGGGTGTATTTGATATTGCCGAGTTCGGTAGACCATTCCTCCAAAACCCTGCACTTGTGAATCAATTTGCTGATGAATTAGGCGTTAGAATTGAAAATGCTAGACAACTTGAGTGGTCGTTGCATACTGATAGAAATCAAATGATAGAAGCAATTGCTGAAGCCAAGAGAAAGGTTGAAGCCCTCAAGCTTTAGGATAGAAAAGGTAAAGATCGGGAATATAAGTTCAAGGTACAGGCTACGCTAAATTTTAACTTAGAACATAGATTAGAATGTGATATAAATTGTAGAAAGTAATATACTATTTTAATAGATGATACAGTATAATGAATAACCACTTGTAAGTACTTTTTTATTTGAGAATGTTTACTCCACCGCCCTGGTCATGGAGTTTGGTCCGATGCGACCTCATTTTTTCATCACCACCACCGTCCAACAAAAAAGTTAGGAACGTTTCTCCGCAAATGAAAAATTCTAGAAAAGCGTATAAAAGAAGTAGAAGTAAAATTCCTTAATTTATTTTATACTGCTTGACCAATAGTATACAAAAATGAAAGCAATTGCATTTGACAAAGGTGACTTTTCCTACAAGCAGTTTTTCGCTTCTGGATTGAAAGTTCATGTGTACAATGCTGAAAGCATTAAGCCATATCTTGAAACATTTAAGAATGCAGGTTCATTGAAGCAGTTGAAACACAATAATATTCCTATCAATGTTGCGTACTTGATTCACCCTAGAGACGATGATTACACTTTTACCGAGTCAATTGCCTACAATTTACTAAGCCAGTATTATGCTAAGCGTGGAAGTGGCGCTAGTACCACACCACTTGTTTGTGTTACTTTTGACATCCCGAACCATGGCTCGAGAGTTATTGACAAACAAATAAATCAAACTTGGGGTGAAGGAAATGAAACTCATGGTCAAGACATGATATCAATTATTGATACTACAGTAGAAGAAATTAAATTGCTTATGGATTCGATCCCCACTTACCTTAATCCAGAGTATGATTTGGCCAAATCAGCAAGGTTGGTCAGAGGATATGAAAATACTGGCATTGACTATTTCAACATTATTAGTGGGTATTCATTAGGCGCTCATGTAAGTATCAGGTTCGCTGCCAAGTATCCCACATCTACTCACATTATTAACCCGGTGTGCGGGTGTAGCGATTTAACCAGTTTATTACTCAATAGACTTCACAGAACTGATAAGCTGGATGATTTGCAAAAGAAAATGTTTTACTACTCATATGAAGAATTGAAAAACCTTTCGGATGACGATAAATTGAAATTCTATCCCGAATCCTTGCACAAGCATATCAGTGAACAGGATACTAAGATTTTTGAGAATTTGTCAAGTTCTAAAATTAAAATATTCGCAGCCTTTGGATCTGCGGATGATGTTGTACCACCTTCAATATCCTCGTTATGGATAGATATGTGCAAAATAAACAACCATTCATCTAGAAGTTTCACACAAGAAGGAATTAAACATGATGTGACCGAAGAGATGGTGGATAATTTCACTAGCTGGTTGGTCGAGGAAGCGCCATAGAAAACGTATGTGCATATAAAATTGAATATTTATATATATATATACATTACTCTGGAAATTGGAAAAGTCTGCCAAAAATAATAAGATCAAGGGAAATTAGAACTGTAAACGAAAACACAGAAAAATATTCTCTATTATAACAAATGTATGAATGTATCAGATTGACACCATTCTGCCAATTAAGTAAGAAGGTTTCTTGTAAAGCTTTTATGTATTTACTTGCACAACGTGCTCCGGGTGCAAACTAACCCACTCTCAGTCTGGGAACGAACTTTTGCTGCGGCCCTCTCAAGTTCACCCAAATTAAACTCGAAGCATAGTGTAGCGCACAATGTTTTAGACACTGCAGCCTGTGATATTCTTTCAATAGGTGAAAAGAAACAATACCACTAACCTAGCCAACTTATTTTTCCAACTAGAAAATCACACTTACAAGTACCCTTATACTGTGTACTTTGTATATGCGCATATGCTGCTTTGCACTGATCATCAATGCTAAATTTCACTTTCCCCCGGCTCGTCTGCCTTATTTCTTCCCTGCAACATTCCTGTCAAGCTTACTTTCTCGCTAACCCCTTTCGTACACTCAAAATCCTGTATACAGCACCAATTTCATGTACATGACTCCTGCACACAACCGTATCATTTATTTCTGTTTAAAATAATTTGTATGCACATTTTACAAATTACAAACCGAGTTGTTCTTATAGGATAAGCTACCTGAACACACCGGAGCTCAAAGATTAACGATGCTTAAAAAGTCTTTTTCAGGTGAAGAGCTGGGTAACGGGGCTGCAGCCGGAAGTGGGACAGGTGGAATATCTATACCTAACAATGCACAACTGCATGCTCTTTCGCTAACTTCCTCCAATAATTCGTCAACGGCAAAGCAATACGATACTCTCCAACATCATGATCCAAATACCAGCGTGAACTACATCACTTTCAACCAGGACTCATCTTGTGTTGCCGTTGGTTTGAGTAATGGGTATAAAATATTTAATTGTAAGAATCTGTCCTCAACAACAAATGCAACTTCAGCATCTTCATCATCATCTCAGCATTCTGATTCCCACAATACAGCTTTTGGGAAGTGCTTCCAACACAGGAAAGAAGAGTCTGTAGGAATAATTGAAATGCTATATTGTACTTCTTTGCTCGCAATTGTGAGCCAGGGAGATGAATTGGGATCATCTCCCAGGAAGCTTCGTATCATAAACACCAAGCGAAACTCAACTATATGCGATTTGACCTTTCCAACGACAATTTTAAGAGTCAAATTGACCAAGCAACGTATGATTGTCTTGTTGGAGGAACAGATATATATATATGATATAACAACCATGAAGTTATTACACACAATTGAGACTAGTCCGAACTTGAACGGATTAATCACCTTATCTTTGGAAAATTGTGATTCAATGGGGAACTGCTACTTAGCATATCCTTCACCTCCTAAATCTATTACCCATGACTCGCTATTGGCCACGGGAATAAATACAAACGGAGGATCCAATTCCATTCATGCAAATATTCAATCAGTCAGTAACACGCCTAATAGAGTAGGTGACGTTATCATTTTCAATGTGAACACTTTGCAGCCGTTATCGGTTATCGAAGCACATAAATCGACCCTTGCTGCCATATGTTTGTCTAATGATGGGACGCTATTGGCCACTGCTTCTGACAAAGGTACTATAATTAGAGTTTTCTCAGTGGAAACTGGGGTTAAGTTATTTCAATTCAGAAGAGGAACCTACCCCACAAAAATTTATTCATTGAATTTTAATAAAGATAATAGATATGTTGTTGCCACGAGTTCAAGTGAAACTGTGCACATATTCAGATTAGGTGAAGATGAAGCTTTAGTCAATAAGCAAAGAAGAAACTCAAATAAAAAAATAAAGTTGAATATTGCTGGTAACAGCGGCAGTAATAATTCAGGTAGTAATACCACCATCAGGGAAGAGGATGAAGAGGAAAAGACTTCGTTGATAGAAGAAGGAGATGATGACGAAGATCTGAAATTGTTGTCTATTAAAAAACTACAGATTCCAAGAAAGGGCTCTTCAACCACCGCAACTTCTACAACAACAGCTGGTACTGTTTCTTTCGATGATAACGATGAAGAGATGGAGTTAGAAATTGGTGACGATGGAGATGATAGTGATGCGGATGAGGAGGATGGTGATAACGGATCTCTTGAAATAATACCTGTTAAACAACGGAAATTATCTCAAGGTTCAACGAATTCATTTACACTGATAAATTCCAATATGTCTTTGCATAGTAACGAAGACGGACTGAAGGAATCCAAAGCGGAGCCGATTGTAGATCTGACGAGAATATCTATGGCAAGACTAATTCGGAGATCTTCACAAAAAATCGGACGTAAAGCCGCTCAGAAAATGGGAGATTTCTTACCCTCACGATTTTCATCTATTTTGGAACCCACTCGTCATTTTGCATCCTTGAAAATTAACACTGTAGGTAAAGATATAAAATCGATTGCTGTTATGAATAATGATATACAAGAAGATCTTGTTCCTAAGGCATACATTACTTCCCGGGAAGCTGCAGCAGCCACTGCAGCCAGTGCTGTGAATGGGACTGGTGTTCCAATGATTTTCACCAATGGAGTAGCTGGTTCAAGTTCCAGCTCATCCAGTAAAGAAAGTATTTCAGAAAATAAGGAAATGTTATCCTTACATTTAATTCACATACAGGTAGTCACATCTGAAGGGTTTTTCTACACATATGGATTAGATCCAGAAAGAGGTGGGGATTGTATTTTGTTGCATCAATATTCTTTACTTCACGAATAGATAAATACTTATTTTCGCTTATAAAATTTGTGTGTTGTGTTGGTATGTAATATGATATATATTCGGCGCAAAACTTTATAGATGAGTGTGCTTATTAATGTATTCTGATAAAAATTTCAAATAAAGAAACTAGATTATGATAATTCTGCTATTTCTAAGATGGTGCATAAATATGTAGATTGTAGAATAGATAAGCAACAATACTTTAAAGTAAGTAGATTGCACTTTTAAGCCCCAGCCCTTCTTCTGGCCCACTTCCATGCAATGGTTGTAGAGTATTCCTGAAGTGAAAGAAAGCAAGCAATTACTTACCATGCACATGGCTGTGCTTTACCTATCAGATCACACTTCGCATGAGCACACATAATGCGTCATGAATTGTATCGTAAACGGTGTAGCATTTCTATGTAGGTCACCTTTTTAAGGTTTCGATAAACGCATTATTTGCCAAGCCTTCATTATTTTTTAAGCGATACTGGCATTCCCTTTGCAATATAAAGCACATAAATGATTCAGCAACCAAGGGAAGTTCGTTTCTCTTCGTTGATTAGTTTTTTAATCACTTACATCTATTGAATTTCAGTATGACATCTAAATACGATCTTTTAATCACAATTGACCAGTCTACAGGTATAAATCCTGGGGTTGGAGACCGTGCATATTGCCCAGGTCAAACTATTAAGGGTACTGTAGATCTCAATGTATATGAAAAGTTGAATATTGAGCAGATCCAAGTTTCATTGTTGGGGTTTGAAGAAACGACATTCGTTCAAGGAACTGGAAGAGATCCTAGAACCTGGAAAGAAAAGCATATCTTTCTCAAGCATTTTCGACCTATTTTGCCTATGAAACCTAACAGAGCGACATATAAATTTGAACAAGATGACAACAAACATTCTGCTTACGAGTTTTTGATACCAGAGTATTCCAATTGTGAAACTTGTAGAAGAGTAGAGAAATTGCCTCCCTCTATGGAGGAGGCTCAGGCAGTTTCTAGTGGGAAAGTCATGGCTACAGCTAGCATCATCTATCAAATTGAAGTAGTTGTGGAACTGAAAGCTATTGGTAACATATTCTTCCACGAGAAATTTACAGTACATCCTCTTGCAGCTATTGGAGATAACAGATATAACGATATCAAAAGAAACTACGTATCTGGTGAGAAGGTGTTCAAATCCAAGATTCCAGATGGTGGTAATGCAACCAGTAGTCACACTAGTGGCCAGAAGAAATCTCTGTTTAGACTGATGTTTAGCTCATCTGGTGGTAGCCTTTCCAAATCCTACAACCTTCCATTAAAGATTGGTATCAGGCCCGAGGAAAGCTTTGTGAAGATAATTCCAGGAAGAAATGTCAACATTCCATCGACTTCATTTCTTTTCGAATATATGAATGATATTCTCACCGACCCACCTCTTGTTTCCAGCAGAAACAACACAAGTACAAGACTTGGTCAATTTATAATCAGATCACTCAAGATCTCCGCCCGTTATCCTTATATTAAAATCTTTTGTGCTGGTAATGACTTTAGTGTCCAATCTAAAAAAATGATCTATGTCAACAATACGTTAAATGTACCCTTTGATATCGGAAATGAATTCAAATACAATTCTTCTACAAATACTTTTCAAAAAGAAATGTTACTTTTGGAGGATATCACTGGCCATATGATTGATATTCCCTTGGATTCATACCAAGCAGAGTTCCCATTGCATTGTAATCATATAGCAAGAATGAAGGGAGCATTGGAATTTGCTATTGGTTTGGTCACTGCAGCAGATCTGGATGCCAAACCGGAATACATAACTGTTACAGTTCCATTTGACTTCAGAGGAGTTGAAGAAGAGTTTCAAGCTCCTTCGGAGCCTTTGCCAAATTTCTCTGACTTGAACATTCAGGCTCCTCCTGGTCCACCCCCAGGAGACTATAAGGCTCCACCAGGTCCACCGCCGGGAGACTCTAAGGCTCCCTTGGGACCCCCTACTACAAACGACGACCATAAGGCGCCTGTGGGCCCCCCTCCAAATCACAGTGAATATTCGGCACCATCTGGACCTCCCCCTACTTCAAGCACTGATGATAAATCGGCCACAGGATCTGATCCGTCAGACTTTGCTTCTCCAGCTGGACCTCCTCCATCTGCACCATTGCGCAATCAGACGGATACTTTAATTGATTTAGATTCAACAGGTGAGGCGCTCCCTACGTATACAGAAATGAAGAAGTGAAGTATACATTGACAAGTAGTAAATCAATACTAAAAGAATAATTTACAGTTTACAAAATGTAAAGGTTCAGAGAAGGTATTTCTATTTTCTTAGGGAAAGAAAACAATATTGATAGACAGTAATTAATGCTAAGTCTATTAGCAATTGAATCGCAAATAAATGAATAAATAGTGATACAATTCTCCTATAATATCTCTCAGAATAATTCTCATCAGAAGTAATTTACCATTGGAGTTAAAAAAAATGTATATAAAAAATAAGGGGCGAGCTGGGAATTGAACCCAGGGCCTCTCGCATGTTTGAATTTAGTAAACTAAACACCCAAAGCGAGAATCATACCACTAGACCACACGCCCTTTTTGAAAACTTTTGTCTTGATTAGTCGTTAAAATCCTACACTTTCATGCGATGGTCCATAATTACAGATAACAAAGTTGGTGCTGTAGTTCAGTGTATTTTCATATGATACATCTAAGATAGGTAGTCTACTTATTTTGAAGTACCTCAAAAATCTGCTTATCTAAGCTATACCAAGAAGAAGTCGGCAATGTTTAAAAATTTCCGTATAGATAAGTGCAAAAAAAGTTAATCTGTGAATAATTCAATGGTGAAGTTCAAATGTCCGACTTTTATAATAAGAAACATTTATTAACTATTGGAAACACTTATCAGCTATAAGCTGACAATATTAGAATCAGATGTAAACTTAGCCTGTGCAATAGATATTTGCGAGTTTTCAAGATCATACACTAGGTATGCCCATGGTAAAAAGCTAGCTCCTAAGATATTGTCTCCACCTCCCACGAAATATGCAGCACAAGAACCATCACCAATCGACTTAACAATACTAGTAAGCGGAACATTAATTGTAACACCCTTGAAATTGTAGGATAAATTTCCGGATGTCTGACAAGGGACAATAGGTAAGAAATCTTGGTAAAGAGAGCCGTCACCTCCGATAATACTAAGAAATGAATTATAAACGTCATCGGAAAAATAAGTAATAGCTGTTCCACTATCCAAATTAAAGGCTGCGTTGACATCTATATTCTGGCCCTTGAGTGTAAGACTATCTAAAGTAACATCAAGTCTGGCAGCATCTCCAGAGTGTTCCAAAGTGACTAAGTCACCATCAATCTTAGCCAAATCTTTGCCACCGAATAAAACAGAACCTGACTTGGAATTTGGATCATTTAAGTACAACGAATACTGAACAGAATCAATAATTCCGGCCTTCTTGAGCGCTACTGGAAGATTGTCATACTCCGGGCCATAGCCATCATAAACAGGTGCTTCTAAAGCTGTTAAACCAATACCTAATATACCATTATTAACTGAGGTGGAGTCAGCAATTGCAAATTGAAAGTTACTTAATGAAGCGTCACCTATTTTAACTGTGTCAATTCCATAATTGCCTTGAGTTGTAGTGTGGTCTCCATATGTAATACTGAATTCTAAACCAGGGTCTTGGAAGCTGGAAGATGAAGAGGAATCGAATGTGCCATACTGTGCTACTTTCTGGCCCTTAAGACTCACATCTGGCACCCATAAGTCAGAAGAGCCAGTGTCAATGTCAACACCAATTGATTGACCATTTGATCCAAATTCCAAGTAAGCAATATAGTAAAGACCTTCATTAGTTAAAGTCACTTCATCATCATCACGCTTATGAATGATGGAAGTGGAGTTCAAACTTTTACCTGATTTAGTTTCAAAATCAAGACCAACAACCTTGGGGGCTCTAATGGAGAGACCGACCGTTGGAGCAGCTGAGACGAAAGTAGAGATATAGAGTGCAATTGCAGCAAAAGTTTTGGCAGAAAAGGAAACCATATTTTTTGAGCTTTTCCTTTATTATTAGAGTATTGATATAGTTAATTAAACGAAACTTCAAATAGGATTGAAGAGATAAGATCTACTTAAATAGTTTTCATTTTCATTACAAGTCAATATGGATCCCGAGAGATATGAAATTGATACAAGAATTAATTTCAAGTAAGCCGTCTAGTCTCGAACCTTATAGTAAATTGCACGAGCCACAACTATAAATCATGTACAGCATTGTATCTTTATCTCAACACTCCATACTTTGTAGTGAAATGAATATGTAAGTATTATTAAGTGAAAACAGTGGATCCCAGAATCCAATTTTCGCAGCCATTCTGCACGAGCAAGCGTAAAATTTCATATGCAGAGTTTCACTACTATTCTCCCAACAACATGCTCTGAGAAGGGCTCAAAACATATACAGTCGATACGATTAGCATTGTCTTAACACTTCTGATCAATTGGGTAGAGAATCGGACAATCGTTAGAGAGTGAGAATTAAGAATACACTTGGAGTGCCCAAAACAGCATTGAAGTTTAGTGTAGTTTTACTTCCAGACTTTTTGCTTTTCAATTTTGGGACCTCATTGCCAATTGCACAAGATTCAATATGAGATTTCTGAACTGGAATTTCAGTGTCTCGAAAGACAATCGGCAAAGAGAGCAGCGGTAATTACCTTCTTTCCTCTCTACTTTAAAATCCGTACATTTGCACGGCAAAAATAGGCTTTCATCGGTTCAGATAAACTTAAAAGTTCTTCGAGAAGTACCTATGTTAGCACTGGAATCTCTCAGCGTTGATTAAGTGGATCAATTCTCTATTGTAATTCCGTATTCCACCCCTTAATCTTGACATTGCTCCTTCCTTGTGCATAATTTCAGTTGGTTGCAAACAGAACTTTGGCGTATCATATAGTAAGGTGAAACTAGAAATAATTGAAAACTAGGGGACTTCTAAATGCATCGGCGGCTAGGTAAACTAATTAGCAAAATGACCTGTCGTACAGAATTTGCAAGCTAACGGAACTTTTACGCCATTTTGCCATTTCTAATTTCATCACTTGTTATTTATTACAAGAAACAATGGTATTAAAACTCTCCTATTTCGTTTCACAACAAGGAAGCTCATATTTTAATTGGATTAGTCAAAGCTAAACACTTATTTGTAATAGTCGTATTGAAATTCTCCTATTTCGTTACAACCACAGGTTAGTGTGCTTAGTCCATTTTCTCTCAAGAGATGAAGCATTAATCCAAACACTTCTGTATATCAGCTATCCGTAGTAGCAATCAATACAGCTAGCAAATATATGTAAGCCGAGGGGGGCATAGGTATACCAATTGGAACCCATTTATCAGGTCTCTATCATAATGCCAGAATTGACAGAGGATTTTAAGAAGATAATGAGTCGGAATAACACGTCTGGCTTCCAGACACAATTTATGTTGAACTTCTAATGTATATTTCTAAAAATACTTCAACAAATAGACAGTTGAGCCCATCACAATACTTACAAAATTCAACTCGAAGAAAATTGTGCTGTCTTCAAGAACCTAACATATTAAATTCAGAGAAGATTACTTACCTATCACCTTTCAACTCTAATAATTCATTTACTCTTTTCAAAGGCTACTTAAAGTGCAGCACTTAAGGCTCAAGTGGGCTTAGCTTCCCTCGTATTTTGCAAGCACCTTTAAGTAAGGTGCAGTACATTTCTGCTATATAATGTATGTATTCATTGAATATCGCTATAAAAATTACACCTGGATCAGAATTGAATTTGAATAAGTTCTGAAAGCTAGAACGGCTATTGATGTGAATTAATGTGTACTACTATTTTCTCGTTTCAAGATATAAGTTAAAATTGATAGTTGCTTATTCTCTAAATTTTGAAAGTTATGTAAAGTATCATCATCAAAGGAAGTATCAGTTTCAAACGTACCTGATGTAGAATTTCCGTTTTCACATTCAGAATGATACGAGCTAGCCATACTCATAAAGCTATCTGATGAGAGGACTCAGTAGCAACGTTAACAACAATTTTTCATTTTTATGATCCGAGATCCAAAGATATTGTATAATACGAATACGAAGTTTTGCATCAAACGCATCAGTACACTCTGTAAGCTTTATTGTATTGAAAGCACTTCTTGATTTATTGTAGAAACCAAGGCCAACAATATCGGAACCATATTAGTGGGGAATATCGATTGTGCTGTGCCAGAAAAAGCAGAAACACCGGCGAGCTTTGAGGGAAAGAGAATTTATGTCTTGAAACTTTACCAAAGCAATGCAATACAAATTGTTTTAGAGAGTTTCCTGTCCTCATACATAGATCAAACTTGAGTAGCCAATTTCTGGTTAAGTAGAGGCTATAACCACTAAACTCGAAAGCATTGCTCCAACTTTGGTAGTAACGTCTCTAATAAGCACTATTCCAATCACTCATTGATTAAAAGGAAAAATGGCTACAAGACTTTGCAGCCGTTAGAATGGTGTTAATTTCATCTGCACAATCTTCGTAAGCATTACGCGGGCTCATAACAAAAGTGATGCAAAGTCTATGTATTTTTTACACCGAAGTAGAGTAATGGGTGTCTCTTCTATCCATTTACTAGTGGCATCACCTGTATAGTCATCTAACTCTTGATTTATACAACTCTAAACCACAAGTTCTTCAATAGGTCTATGAAATACTTCTTACTTTGAACTACTTTATTTTTCATCAAGCGACATCCAACAATAGTATTAATTTTTAAACCTCCCTGAGTTTCGGCACCTAATCTATTTTATTTAATTGGATTAGTTCCTTAGAATCGTCACAGTGGAATGATTCATTGAGTGGGGAAATAAAGTCAGTTACATGTTTTCTTCAGTTGCCGTGGCTCGGTGTATCTGTTCATTCGTGTTGCACTGTACCGTTAAAATCTTAGGGCAAGAATTAAACTCTCTATGAATATATAGAGTCTTTTAAATTTAATTTAATTGCTACGAATCAGGCTTATAATCTTAATGTCTGTTACTTCTGATCAGATTGGTGTATAAACCATGCTCCATATATGGCCCAGCTGCCTGCATATCGCCTCATACAATTGCAACCAAAAACTCTATATACAGGACCTTATTTTTTCATTTACCTTTTTCGCTTCTTGCGATGGATACACTGAAGGGAAAGCTTGAGTTTAGTAAGCCATCTCTAAACTGCATCATATACTTTAAACTGTTCATAGTTTCTTGGCTCTTTTGCATTTTCTACTACAATGATAGCCAAAAAGCAAAAATTATCGAGTGGACTTACCGTTACCTCCAAAGTATTTGTGAGGTCTCGTAACGGTGGAGCTACCAAGATTGTTCGTGAACATTATCTTCGTAACGATATTCCATGTTACTCGAAGCTTTGTCATAAATGCCACACTATATTAAAACCGGACTCAAAAGGAGAATTGCCTCGCTTTATATTATCTGAGTCTCCAACTAGATTAGAAAAGGAAGGTTCGATACACTACGTCGTAGTTGATACTAACATTATTTTGCACTGTATTGATCTTTTGGAGAATGTAGACTGTTTCTATGATGTGATCATACCACAAACAGTTTTGGAAGAGGTCAAAAACAGATCTTTCCCAATATACCAAAGAATCAGGTCTTTGGTCAAGTCAGACGAGAAGAGGTTCGTGGTGTTCCATAATGAATTCAGCGAATCAACATTCATCGCTAGAGCTAAGAATGAATCATCGAATGACTACAACGATAGATCCATTAGACAAGTGGCCAAGTGGTATGCAGAACATTTACAAGAAAGCAATGAAGATATTAAAGTTTTATTTATAACAAACGATAAAGACAATTTGCAAAAGGCAAAAACGGAAGGTATTGTGGACGCATACAATTTAACCGACTACATTGAAGAGTTGCCCAATGCTGATGTTTTAAGGGATTTGATCCCACAAACAAGCAACAATGAGAGTTTCAGCAGCTCAGATGCTAACGAAACCTCATACCCTGAATACTACTCCAATTCAAGAGTATTGGGAGGTTTGAAAAATGGTACTTTATACCAGGGTATTTTGAACATTTCATCATACAACTTTTTGGAAGGTACTGTGCAGGTTGGCGCTTTTAAAAAGCCTTTGTTAATATTGGGTACCAAAAATTTGAACAGAGGTTTCAATGGGGATGCTGTGATTGTAGAATTGCTACCAAAAGACAAATGGAGAGAACCTAGTACTACCATTATCGAGGAAGAGGTAATTGGTGCAGATGACAATGCTGACGATGATGGTGACGAAGAAATTGAATTCATCAATGATAAAGAAAGGAGATTACTTGCACAGGAGGCTATAAAAGAAACAACTGCTGCAACATCGAGTACAGATGGAGCACACAGTCGTCTTCAACCCACAGCAAAAGTTGTTGGAGTATCTAGAAGATCTTGGAGATACTATGTTGGTCAAATTGCTCCTACGTCCGTATCCAAGGACCATGACACTGGAAATTCTGCCAAATCTTGTTTTGTTATCCTCATGGACAAGGTATTACCAAAGATCAGAATACGGACACGGAAGGCTAAGGAATTGCTTGGGCAAAGGATAGTCGTTGCAGTAGATTCTTGGCCATCAACTTCGAAGTACCCACAAGGCCACTTTGTTAGATGTTTAGGAGAAATTGAAAGCGCCGAGGCAGAAACCGAAGCTTTGTTATTGGAACATGATGTTGAGTATAGACCATTCCTGAAGAATGTCTTGGATTGCTTACCTAAGGAAGGTGATTCCTGGGTTGTTCCACAAGATTTTGAGACAACCACTAAAAGGAAAGATCTTAGAGATAAATTAGTATGCTCTATTGATCCTCCTGGATGTGTGGATATTGATGATGCATTGCATGCTGGTATTTTACCTAATGGAAATTACGAAGTTGGTGTTCACATCGCTGATGTTACCCATTTCGTGAAACCAAATACTGCCTTGGATAGTGAAGGTGCCTCTAGAGGTACATCTGTGTATCTTGTTGATAAGAGAATCGATATGTTGCCGATGTTATTAGGTACAAATTTATGTTCATTGAAGCCATATGTGGAGAGATTTGCATTCTCAGTCATATGGGAATTAGATGAAGACGCTAATATTGTAAATGTTCAGTACATGAAGTCTGTTATCAAATCTAGAGAAGCATTTTCTTATGAAAAAGCCCAAAACAGAATAGATGACCCAAAGCAACAAGACGAATTGACCCAATCTATGAGAGTATTATTGAAGCTTTCTAAAAAATTAAAACAAAAGAGATTAGACGCTGGTGCTTTGAATTTGGCCTCCCCAGAAGTTAAAGTGCATATGGATAGCGAAACTTCTGATCCAGGTGAAGTTGAGATTAAAAAGTTATTGGAGACAAATTCTTTAGTTGAGGAATTCATGTTGTTTGCCAACATTTCAGTGGCTCGTAAAATTTATGATTCATACCCCCAAACTGCAATGCTTAGAAGACATGCCCCACCTCCTGCAACCAATTTCGAAGTTCTCAACAATATGCTTGCAGTTAGAAAGCCTTCCATGCCTACTATATCGTTGGAATCTTCAAAGTCGCTAGCTGATTCTTTGGACCGCTGTAACGACCCTAAGGATCCATATTTCAACACATTGTTAAGAATCATGTCAACTCGTTGTATGATGGCCGCAGAATACTTTCCATCAGGATCGTATGGTTATCCTGAGTTCAGACATTACGGTTTAGCAGTTGATATATATACCCATTTCACCTCTCCAATTAGAAGATACTGTGATGTTGTTGCGCACCGTCAACTAGCTGGTGCTATTGGATATGAAATGCTTGACTTGAGTCACAGAGACAAGTCCAAAATGGAACTCATTGTCAAAAATATCAACAAGAGACATAGAAATGCTCAATTTGCTGGAAGAGCCAGTATTGAATACTATGTCGGTCAAGTGATGAGAAACAACGAAAGTGAACAAGAGGGGTATGTAATCAAATGTTTCAACAACGGAATAGTTGTCTTGGTACCGAAATTTGGTGTGGAAGGATTAATTAAGTTGGAATTACTAGGAGATGTCAACAGCGCCGAGTATGATGAAGATAAGTTCGAGTTAAAATTCAAAGATTTCAACAACAAAGAGAGAGTCATTGGAGTTTTTGACAAGGTCAAAGTTGACGTCAAGTCTATAAAGGATGAAGTCACTGGAAAGAGAAAGGCACAACTTATTTTAAAATAGAATAGAATTACGAATATTATATAGAATTAACATATTCATCATTAAAAAGATCGTACTATATATATCTTATCTCTATATCATTTTATCATCCTTACTTCAGTATTTTAATTATCAGCCTCTATCAAATTTCTTTTCACTTTTACTTTCTTTGTTACAAGTTTCAATCTAGTCAAGGTATTGCACAATCTGTTCGATAGTCACTATCTTAATATTATGGCGCTTTGAAAAGGAAACACAGTCATCAAGTCTCATCATCAAACCATCTTCATCTCTGACCAATTCGCAAATGGCTCCTGCAGGTTGCAACCCAGCCAATTCACAGAGTTGCACGGCGGCTTCAGTATGACCTCGTCTCTGCTTCAACAAGCCAGGCACGGCTCTCAAAGGCAAGACATGACCAGGTTTAATGAAATCCCCAGGTGTAGAATTTGCATCTGCCAATCCTCTAGCGGTTAAAGCTCTATCGTGGGCCGAGATACCGGTGGTGGTGTTGTGTGCGAAATCACATGTAACAGTGTAAGCAGTACCATGTCTATCGGTTTGATTTGGAATCATTGGGGGAAGCTCAAGTTTATCGGCTCTCTCTGTGGATAATGGAACGCAAACATAACCTGAAGAGTAACGCACCAAGAAAGCCATCTTTTCCTGAGTCACTAATTCTGCTGCGATGATTAAATCACCCTCATTTTCTCTGCTCTCATCATCCATCACGACCAAGAATTCTCCATTCTTGAATGCTTCTATGGCTTCAGGCACTGTGCAAAAGGCGGACATATTATGTTTTGGGATGTTTTTTTTTCGAATTTTCACTATCAAAATAGTATATATTTCTACTATTAGTATTGTCCTAAAGATAAAAAAGCAAAGTAAACGATACTAGCTAGATCTAATTCATATAGTTGCACAGCTTCTGTCATATATATGGAAATTTTCATCATGCTACTTTTTTTTTCCAGGTTAACTCCATGACAAATATTATGTAAGCTTGTCTCGGGACTGTAGGCCGCGGAGTCGAAAACGTAATCATGACTAACTAAGTGCATCGAAATTGCTAAGAGCATGCAGCATTATTAATTCGACAATAGGGAAGAATGTGCCAAAATATTGAGAAAACATACTGAAAGAGAAAGATTGTCGTAAATCACGCCTAGGTGGATAGAGCCGTGAAGCTTCGAGGTTGGAAACTGGTTCCTGGGACCCTTCTAAATTTCTGGAGAAAGTCTGTGGGACATGGAACCTCGGGCTCACAACCTTAATATGGAAAATCCATTCTTTACAAGCTTTGGAGCATGTCGAGTTTTCTAGTTTGGTTTTAGAGCAGTGCTTTGACCTGAACAATGGAAAACGAGCCCTTTAGCAAGACAGTGTCGAGGTCGTACCCCAAGTCAGATGATGAGATCGTTGTACTGGCCACGAATCTCGAAGACAAGCTAATCCTAAACATCCAAATCAATGGGAGTATGGACACTACGTTTGACATTCCAATTTCCACCAGCGTAAAGGTTCGTCAGACCCTTGGCGGTGGGAGCCAGCTTATAAATAACAACGAAGATGACGCTGGAATCCAGCCAATTGTTCTTATTGGAGAAGTCAATAACATCAAGTTGGACATCGTGGCTACCCAGATTGGGAAGTTGATGCTTACCAAACAAGAACCCAAAAATGTGATACTCACTTTGGGCTCGAAATGGTTTGGAAAGAGTGACGTACACGAGGAGGATGACTTTGATAAGTTGATGTTTATACTAGAGAGTGTCAAAAGTGTGATCTAATAATTACAATATAGAATAGTAAAGAAGAAAGGTTCATTCTATTAAAACTAAGTCTCTAGGGTTCACCCATATTAATACCCCACACAACAAAACACACGCATTTACATACAAACACATATACATAAGTAACCCAATACATTTATTTGGCTTCCTTTGGCTTAACTGCAACCAATCTTTCTTTCTTTCCTCCAACAAGCATGTGCGGAGTAGTGAAGGACTTAACAATTTCAGTAGTGACCTTATCTCTATTGGCTTGGAATTCTCCAACCACTTGTTGTAACACACCAATACATTCCTTCTTCATTTCACCTGACAAAATTTCACCAGATCTGTAACCTGCTTCCCACTTGTTCAATTTTTCATCATCATCGGTGAAAAAAGACATGTACTGGAAGGCAACATCGACTTCTGGGTTACCACCCAATTCTCTGTGTTCCTCCATGGTCTGTCTTCCTCCAGAAAAGGCGAATCTATTAATCTTCTTTTCAATCAACTTGGCAGTATCGTCCATGAAAATGGCTGAGTTAGAGTCAGATCCAGACATCTTGGTGGTAGAACCTTGCAAGGCTGGGAAGAACTTGGCATGAATCAAAGAAGGTTTGGAGTACTTCAACTTGTCAGCGACATCTCTACAGACTCTAAAGTATGGATCTTGATCAATGGCACATGGAATCAAACATGGAGTCTTGGCTGGTAATCCTAAGACATCGGGGAATGAAGATGGGAATGCAGCAGAAATTTGAATACTTGCAAAATGTATCTTACCAATACAATCCATATCGGTGAAACCAAACACCTTCTTTGCGGTGGTTGTGGTAATCTGTCTTGAAGTTCTAACCACGTTTTCGTAGAATGCACCTCCCATGTATTCTAAATCAGAAAAGATGAAGGTATTCTCTGGGTTGAAACCAACTGCAATAATGTCCTTAACGTTTTCAAATGTAAATTTCTTAACGTCTTCAATGGTTAACTTTGGCTTGAACAAGAACTTTTCATCATCAGTCAATTCAATGACCAATGGTACGTCAAACACATCTTGCAACCATTTGGTAAATCTGAATGGGACCATATGACCCAAATGCATGGAACCAGATGAGGCTCCCCTTCCTGTATAGAGGAAGAAAGGTTTACCCTGTTCATACAAGTCCAAGATTCTACCTAAATCTCTTTCTGAGAAGAAAACTCCTCTTTTCAAGAATGGATGAGGTTCGTGACCAGTTACTTGCTTGAATCTAACCAAAAATTCTGGGGTAATGGCTCTAGTACCGAATTGAGAAATCAATTTTTCATAATCGATAGCTTGTGCTTGACCGTCAACGACAGCACCTTCTACGTCCCATGGTGTGATAACTTGTTCAGCCCCTGACTTAGAAGCTTCGTCTTTAGCTTCGTCTTTGCTTCCAACAACCAACTTTGCAACTTTGTCAACTATTTCAGCCATCTTTATTAGTCTTTAATAGCCTTTACTGGACCTCTGTATTCTGTAAGAGTCAGACCTTTCAGAAGTTTGAAATGCGTTATGAGAGGTGAACATATTACACAAAGCCGGACTCTGACAGATCTTCACCAAGTTGATGACTATATACAGGAACAAGAGAAGAGGTTCCAAGGACCACCATGGAGATACAATATCTGGTTCACTGCACGGCTACAGGAGGAAGAGGTATAGGGGTAGGATGGATTCCGAGACAGTGTGAGTTCAATATCTCCTTACATTTGGAAAAACGAACTTACAGCTCATAGTGGTGGGTATTGCTAATAAGAGCCAGGGTACAGCATCACATCCTACACTGAACATCACGTGCCACTATAGTAACATAGCGTGGTAGATCATTGCTGGGTATCCGACTCTGTAGGCAACGGTTCAAGGCAGCAATGATAGTTGTGGGTTGATTTAGAGTGTGCTAAGACTTACATAAAGGAACTACAGTAAAAGTGTGAAATATGGCGGAATACAACTTCTACGATGGCCGACAGACGCTCTGTTTTCGAGAAAGAGATGTGGTATCCTCTGAATCTCGGAACAGCTCTATTGCTGAAGATGTTCTTTGGACATTCTTCCATTCTTAGCTCAGAACTCCTGTTCAGAAGACAAGAAGATGTAATAAACTCACGCTGTACCTGTTACTTCCAGAAAGGTACCAGGGTTGGGGGGCCAGCTCTGAAGAGTACAAACTGAGCATCTAGAATTTCACAATGGTCTTCTAAAAGTTTCAGATCAAGGCTAATTTCACTCCTACCTTAGCCAATCTAAAGCTGCTACCAACGCTCCGCTTCTTACATCTTTCTACATTGAACTTTTCAGTTCCGTCCCTTATTGGAATCGTAAATTATTGTTTATTTAAACCCATGCAAGAAAAACAACAAATAAAAACTATTTATCTTCTTTTTTTAGTATTTTCTTTTAAACCACACCTCTTAATATACACATTGATACTGAGCATGTTTAAAAGGCAAGCTTAGTGAAGAACCACTTGTTCTTACCGGCTTGGTGCTTTTCTTCAAAAGCCTTCTTGACAACCTTCTTGGCTTCTTCTCTTTGGGATGGTTCTTCTAAAGCTTCAGAGGTGACTGAGGCCTTGAAAGATTCGACATCTAAAGAGTATCTGGTTGGCATTAAGTGGTTGTAGTTAACTAACTTAACGAAAGGCTTGACCTTGGTTCTCTTAGCAATCTTCTTAGCACCTAAGTTCTTGGTGACCTTTAATGGGTAACGTTCGATACCGGCAACAATGGCGTGTGGGAATGCGTGAGCCTTGGTACCTTCATCGTGTGGCTTAACGATAACAACCTTCTTACCGGCGTAACGACCTCTAACGACAATAGCTAAAAAGAAACTGTTAGTAAGAAAGAATACAAAAATGTCGAAAGTTGTACATTTTCTGTACACTAGATCGGAAAGGGAAAAGGGAAAAGGGAAATGGGGAAATGGAATATGAAGGAATGGTGCATTTTCTGTTCTCTTTGCTTTACTTGGCTTTGCTTCGATATTCCGACTCTTCTGAAATTTTTCACGCATTGATTTTCCACCTCACTCACTTCCCAAAGGTGAGGGGGGACACTGAATAGTGGACATAATCCTACATATTCTTTCAGCTTTTCATGTATTCCCTTTCGCCTTCTGTTTGCAATGGTAATGGTCTACATTTCAACTTCAATTTAGCTCCCTTTTGTGCTACCATACTAACAGGTACTGAACAATCTTCTCAATTATGAGTGAAGTATCGGTAAATTTATCTTCCTCCTTCAATTTCCCCATTAATATCCACTAATTTTCATCTTCACATCTTCTCCTTTTGGATCTACGTTTTGAATTACTCTATAGATACATACCAACTTTTCCTGCTTTGATAAACTTAGCCATTTTGTGTGTGTTGATAATACAAGTATATCAAGAGTAGTTACTATTATGTGAAAACCTTGAAAATTTTTAACTAACTGGGTTTCCAGACATCGCGCACACAATTTTGAGATTTTTTGTGCCTTTGTGTAACATGGAATTTTCTCCATAGTGTGCTGGGCCATTTGAGGCAGTCGGTGCGGGTAATGGACGTGCGAAGCTCATAAAAAGTCACATGCATGCTGGGGTGAACTCTGTGAGGACAGGAAGTACGCACAGGTGCGAGTGTGACTGTGTATAATATGCAGAACAGCCACAGGCGAACGAGGAGTGTTGCCAGAGCGCAGCCGAAATTTTTCAGCTCGGCTAAACGTGACTAGCTATCACGTGGACTAATGATTCTTGAAAGTAGGAATGCTGCAAAACTGAATAGACGTTTGTTCGAAGCCCTGGTCTAAAGTACGATTATCTTTAGATGAAGACATGACGGCAGCACAAGTGGGTGCCCAGCTCGGGGCCATAAGGCTAGGGAAAGAGTTTAGTTATATGCCTTTATATGAAAAACGAGAAGAAATGTGAATTAGTTGTTGAAAACAAGGTGCATCGGAGCACGGAAAGAGAAAGGCCAGTTCATTTCTATCTTTATAACAGGAGATTCTTGTAGGAATAATGGCCATTGCGACTCGCTGCATAGATTTTCACTATACATGGAGCCACACTGGTTAAGAACTAATGTAGGAGTAAAAGCTACGATCTAGAGTAAGAGTCACGATCTAAAGTAAAAACTACAATCCAGAGTAAGAACTGCAGATAGAGTAAGAACTACAAGTAGAGTGGACGATTTTTTGCTTTACATCGTCTTTCCATTTAACCCGTCAGTTCTTTTCTCTTCGCACGTTTCGAGTGGTTCCATGCATATTGCATTCTAAAAGTAATCTCTCGCTATACAATAGTATATTTCTAAGTTCCATGTAATCATAGTGATAGAAGAACTTTGTATACACTATAATTCTCCTTTGTAACGAAAACATTTCATCTCTCTTTCATCTGTTACAAAGGAAAAATCACCACTACATACGATATTTTCATATACATCTGAGGTGGTGCGTAGTTATTTTCATAAACATCTGAGGTGGTGCTATGCACGGTTACCATATGTCTATCTGTTGTCATTAGTAGTTTATGCTCTTTTAAATATGCAGTGTCAGGTAATGTTCATCACTCCAAAATTTAGATTCCTATCTAGTTACTGTACGATACTAAATCTCACTGACGTGTTTTATCTATTGTATTTTATTCATTTTTGTATTTAGTTTTATTTAGATTTATTTGTTTTGGTTCATTTCTTTATGCTGAATCCATAACTCCCACCCACTCGCTGTCCTTAGCTTTAACACATAAGTTTTTGGTTGATTTTTTCTCTCTATTTCTTCCTTTGACTTCTAGAAAGAAACTTTGAATTTAAGGAAGTAATTGCTCCTACCGGTTTATTTCCATTGGTTGGTTGGGCACCAGTTGTATTCCTACTTCCAAAATAGCCTGCGTCATCCTTAGTAAAGCTTGTTCTCTGCTGATAATCACTATGTGGTCGGTTCCTCTCATTGTTTGCAACTGCCAACTGAGCTGCATGTAGTGTTCCATTATCCGCCGCAGAATTTGTATTCGAGCCAAGTCCGGTAGACATGTCTAGCAAGCTATTTCCAGAAGGGTAAACTGAAGGTGGGGGTTTACGCTTAATTGACTTGGACATTCTACTTGCAAGTAGCCCACCATTGCCCAGTTGCTGCAGTTGCTTATCCTTAGATTGCAGCACTTCTGGTGACTTTATTCTAGGCGATTGACCTGTCCCACGATTATAAGGAGATGATTGTAAATTGGGAGAAGCTGGGGCTACAACAGGAGCAACAGGGGTTGATGCTCTGGCTTGTATCACCGGAGAATCTTGCAATTTTGATTTTCCATTCGAAGAACCACTTCCACTCAGACCAAGAGGCTGACTTGCTTCGATTTCTCTTTCCAACTGGTTCAATTTTGATTTAGCCAATGCTTCTGTGTAGCTATTAACATCGAATTTTTCAACTTCAAAAATAAATGTCGTAATACATGATTCAATGGCAAAAGTTCCCATAGTAGGTAACAACTTTTGACCAAATTTCAGTGAAGAAGCGGCAGAAATTACTTCCTTAAATTGAATATAAGGGAATGGTATCTTGATTTCCGTGACGAGTTTATAATTTGTTTCGTTATCATCACGAAGGAAAATTAATACTCTCCCGTGAGTCGTAATTAGCAAGGTACATGTTTTGGGTTTTAAGAGTGGATGAGAAGTTGCATGATCGTCATCTCCAGATTCCTCGTTGCTACTATTGTGATGTGATTTTAATAACTTCTTTAAAATAAATGAAGACTTACTCTTGTCCTTAGTGGATGATGACGAAGTGGATGCAGTGGACAGGCTTCTCTTTGGTGCACTCGTCATCGCGTAGTGGTCAACAATGGCCTCATCTTCCTCGAGATATTCACCACTAGACAGTGGTGCAGGACTCGAAGTCGCCTGTTGTCCTGCTCTCAACCCAAAGTTTGACCCATTGACTACTTGAGTCAACAAACTAGAAGATTGTCTTGTAGCCATTTGCTTGCTACCATACCAGCCAAGAGGTGAATCGTGGAGCAAACCTTTGTGTTTCTTCTCAAACACATCCGTTGCTTGCTTGTGACAGATAACAGGTCCAATTTTTAAAATTCTTTCATCGGAATGTTTCAAATATGAACCCCATGCTACTTCTAATGGAGTTATCGGACCCACTTCCATAACTTTACTTTTAGGTTTACCTGCCGATGATGAGGACGAAGAAGAATTCGTCAGAGCTTTTCTTGATGATGAGGTAAGCGTTCTAATCGCTTGAGAGTTTACTGTTGGTCTTAAGATATTAGTTCCTGGAATATAATCAGCAGTGGGTCTTGGTTTTGCTGCAGTCGTTTTCCTAGATGTACTTGGTCTACTTGAAGAGGCTGAGCCTCCTTTTCCACCCCCAGAAGATCCTGTCGACGTTCTCTGATTATCCTCGTCGTCGGTCACATCCTTTTCGTCATGTTCATCATTCTTATTTAGTACATATGCAGCTACACTGGCTGCATTAACTTTGTTGTTCTTTTCACGTTTACTTGCGTCACCATTTTTACTACTAATCTTCCTCAGTGATGACACTTGTGGAATAGTTTGTTGAGATAGGTTTTTGTTTAATTCTGGAACTTTCATCATTGATTTGGCGTTCATTTTGTACGGACCAAGTTCTGGATGCCTTTCTTCCCAAATCAGATCAAAATCGTCCCAGTTAACAGATTGAAAAAAGTAATGCAGTTGAATCATTGGGATATTTGCTCTTTTGGAAGGTTGAAGTACAAATATTTGCTTCAATAAATCTCTAATCACAACGGGGAACCCAGCACTGAATGCATATTGTAACTTGGTAATCTTTTGAAACGTTTGATATTCATTCAGTCCTTTAAATGGTGGCTTACCTGCAATCATTTGATAAATTATACATGCAAACGCCCAAATATCACCTGGCTTTCCACAATATTTACTTTCCAATAATTCAGGGGAGACGTATTCCGCAGTACCTACAAAGGACTTGGCTCTAACGTCCACTGGGTAATCTTCCAGATCATTTTCTTCGTTCCCTTCAGCATTTGCTCCTGGTTTGCTCTTTTTCTCAAGTAACCTAGCCGTTCCGAAATCGGTGACTTGGAGTCTTAATCTATCATCAAGCAAAATATTCTCAGGCTTAATGTCCCTATGGATAACTCCGTTATCATGCATATATTTTATGGCATCCAATAATTGTGCCCCGTAGTATCTTGTGCAATCTTCATTTAATGTGCCATACTTTTTTATTAAGCTCAACAACTCTCCATTGGGAGCATATTCCAATACAAAGTATAATGAATGTTTATCTTGAAAGGTAAAATATAATGAAATAATCCCGGTTCTATCAATTAATCGATTTAGGGCGTGCTTTTCGATGTTAACGTATTTAACTTTTTTCTCTTTAATGATATGTCTCTTGTCTAATATTTTCACGGCATATTTCCGTGATGTATGCTTGTCAGTGGCAAGTACCACGGTTGAATAAGAACCTTCTCCAAGATTCTTTCCGAATTTGAAATCTGAAACGGTTCTTCTAATGACTTTGTAGTTGTTGGAATCTTCAGGGTCAGGGACATGCTTAACAGCTGCCCATTCGTCCAGCAGTTTGACCAGCAACTGCGATAATGATTTGTCTGCTTCGATATTTTTGAGCTTATCTACGGGGTTTACACCTTTTGGAGTAGATTTCGCAATATTATTGGTAGGTGTGGTTGTTGGTACCGCAATGCGAGGTACAGGTGGTGGTAGGGTAGATGGTGACGATGGAGGGGCTTCCTCAATTTCTGCAATTTGACTATCATCTTCTTCCAGCGTCACGGCCAGAATACCCCTATCTTCTTCTACTGGGTTTATCAATACATTTAATGAACTATTTGTCACCACCTGTGGACGCAATTGACTGCTATTAAAGTCGAATGATCCTGACGATAAATTTGAAGTTGAATTGTTATTAGAAAGGGAATTATCTTCAAAATCTGAGCCTAAGAACTGCTGATGGTACTGATGGTGGGGTCCTGGTATGGTGGGAGGTGACGAAGGATGGTGTTCAAGATATCGTCTTATTGATTTTGGTTCAATTGGCGCTTGATTCTTATCCGAGTCTAAAGTTTCAACGGAATCATTGTTCGGTTGTGAAGCATAGGTGTTGTATATAGAGTCAAGGTCAATTGCTAAGTCCAGAAAACTTCCAGTCGCTCCCTCTGACCTTGGACTTTCAAGCCGATGTGTCATTGTCTAATCAATCGCTCTTGGAAGTGAAACTTTATATGTTTATATTGCTATTGTCTCGGTAGTCTCCTTTTCCCTCCCTTTTGCGTTCACGCTTCAAAGTAATCCTGTGTTCTTTTCCTTACTGTGTTTTTTGTTCAACCACTTCTATGATACGTTTACCATGAAACGCTCCTCCTTGGTCTATATAGTTTATACTGATGCAGTTTTATTTTCAGATAATGCAAAAATCAAATCCAAATATAGAGAAAATCAAATTCAGAACAATGTAATTTAGTCTATAGCCTTGATCAAAGATGAACACACAATTCTGAAAAGATCTTTACAAACTGATTTTAATTTGTTTAGGGTTTTTTTTTTTGGTTGGTTGAATTTTCAAATCTGAATTAGCCTAATCAGAAAGTGGAAGCAGGAAAATTGAATAGTATACAAGAATTGAGTTCGTTTTTGGGTTTGGAATTTCGGCTACGCTCCAAATTTGGTCTGTTTAACCTTTTTGTTCGATAAAGGATTATTTTTTACCTCGACTAGTCGATTGATTTAATGTTACCATTTCAAGCAGGTTCGAATTTGGCCAGCTTTGTTTAGCACAATTAAAGGTTAACGGGGTCGGTATGCAGGTGCCGGTCAGAGAAAGTGGGAAATTGAGCAACAAAAGTTTAAGATACAGGAATAAAAAGCTTAGCTGTTCAGCATTCAGAGTAAATAGAGATCAGGGCAAAAGAGAACAGTTACCAGAGGATTCCTGCCAAAAGCCAAAAGCATGTTGGGAGCTTCTGAACAGTGGGGATGCACGGATTCAATTGGTGCTGCAGTGGTGTTGATGAGAGCGGTTTTCTGAGTTCATATGATGTATCGTCGTACTTTACATGTTGAGTAGATTGTGAGTAGATTGCTGCTTAGAAATGCGAGTATATGTGCGCTCCTCTCCAAAATATATATTAGAAGTGAAATATACCATAGACAGCCTAAAATAGGCTGGGCAGATAGACCACATAATTTTATTAATAGAGCTAAAATTTCGAAACAAGTTCCATTTGGTGACTAGCATGAAGGTCTTCAGAGCTGAACTTCAATTCTCGCTACCATGTTAAGTCAGCGTATTGTTACCATTTCCATGCTTTTATCTCAAGCTATCTGCGAAATTACCTAAACCAATTTAGAGACGTGGAGTGCTGCACGGAACTGAGATCTGCAGAGGACCGGTTCATGAAAATCGTCCACGGCGAAGCCAAAGCTGATGATGATATTTGAGCCATTTATCTAGAAATTACACCGGTCGTTGAACGCTCATGTTCAACTACTGAGAGTAGCACCGATACTGGAACCTAAAGTGCTCTTTGAGATTTGGCACAACTAAAATCTGCAGGAGAGAGTAAAGTATATTGTTCACGTCAATTCTCTAAACAATGTATTTTTTTGGCGGTATTTTCTACGACTCTCGTATCCTGATTTCCACCGAGCTGTGTCTACTACATAGCTCGATATGCCACTACATTCAAGTGTCTCCTCAGCATTTACTTCTAGCTAGAAGATAGTTCTGTATTGATAACTATGTAAGCTTTTTTTCGCTGTACGGTTTTCTTTTTTTTTTTTTTTTTTTTTTTGAATGGGTGCAAACAATTCAGCAAGTGAAATACCACTTTTGTGTACCCCATGAGTGGTTCCATGAATACTTTGCTAATGAAAGGGCAGAAGTGGACATGCTCTGGAAGATCCCTACAAATATTCAATTAGCAGCAGAAGATTGTTGTTCGACTATATACCCAGTGAGAATCGCATTAGTTAGGAAATCGATACCTTCTTCAGCGGTGCCACCGGTTAGTAGGAAACAAAACAGACTCTCAAAACTCTACAGTAGCATCGTAAGGAAAAGCAATTTATTTACTAAGAGAATGACAAACAGGAAGCAAGCCAGAGAATCAAACGCTTCCTCGCCACCAAGTGCAATCAGTTCAGTAGACACCAGTTTGTCGCCATTCGCTTGCAATTCTATCCTGAGCCATTGGGATGTAACGCTACGTAGCACTCCCAGTGTGATAATTAAATCAGATTCAGCTAGCGAAATTGAGACCATAAGGTTAAACTCATGGAATACAAGGGCATCAAACTCCACCAGAGGGCATTCTATTTCCCCACCTTTACCTGCATCAGACTCCTGGTTACACATGAGCTTCACGCAGAGTGCAGAAATTGGGGATTCCCTTGTGCATGATAACTATTTCCAAGTATCTTCGGAAATCGAACAATGAAGATCTACGGCGATAATAGGAATTAAAGAAGTTAAAACGATAAAATGGGAATAAAAAATAAAAAAGGGTTCCTGTTTTCCAGGGAGCGGAAAAATTATAACTCGTTCGGGATACCCGTGGCATCGAACATATGCATGCACTGAAGCTCCCCAATATGGATAACAGGAGGATTGCAGTGTGCTCCCTAAAAAGACTATGAATGATAACGACAATCAGTTTAATTATTACACATTCACTTACTGGTCTTACACTTTTGTTTGAAATTAAGTTAAAGTTTGTGAAGGATGTTTTTCTTTTTTCCACTTTGCTTTGAATTATAAGCTTTAACTTTCTGGTTCAGGTAAAAAAAAACGTTTCACTGAATCTGGTAACTTTCGAGTATTTTTTAGTGGAATGATTATTTTCTCTACTCAACACATCATCTCCCTGCACGTCAGTCTACGTAGCGCCCACCTAAAATCAGGACAGGGCGCAAAAGAACGAAGTATGGCGCCTCATAACCGATTTTTGAATATGTGAGACTTTAATAAGGGTCAAAACTGGGCTCATGGCTCCTTTCCTAGTGAGTGTGCAGAAAAGAAAAAGGAGTGCCTTAAGTGAAAGTGTAATTGTTCATGACCCGCTAATTTCGCTAAGCGAAAGACAAATAGCCTTTTCGCAGATACAAACAATACAAAGGAGGAAACGAGAGTGTAGCACATTTTTGAGAAATATGTATGGTGAATGTAACCACCATAATCAGTAGCTCCAAGCACCTAACAACGTAAGCACAACCACATAATAATTGTGAGAACCTAAGTAAATCCGACATTATGCCCCATGCCTTAAGCGAAGTGGGGGAGCCTTGCATTGAGAAGCCGAACTGAAAATCAAACCAAAAATTTAACGCTATTTTCTCTCTAGGACCTGCTAAACGTTGCGAAACAAAGAATTTTTTCCCACATAAAAGCCAAAAAAAAATAAAATAAAACGTTTGGCTTAGTGAAGAAAAGCTAAAAAAAAAAAAGTGAGATTGGGTAAAAATTGAACACTCTTGAAACACAATCCTTACTGTGTTATTTCTGTAGCAACGAGAGACAACCGATATACACATTGTATAGTATTTATATATACAAATATACTTTATTTTGTGTATACATCCTCACACCTCTACAGTAAATAGTACCTGAAAGAGGAATTTAAGAAGACATTACTTACTGATAAAGTAAAGGAAAAGAAGTGAAGAGAAAAAGAGGAAATAGACAAAGAATACAAAGATAGAGGACAGATAAGCGGAAAAGGGTTACAGCAACCAGGAAATATATATAGAGAATAACCAGAGCACAACCATAAGCTAAGATGCTGACAGCGTTTATCCAGTCTTTGGGGAAAAGGATAGAATCCTTCTTACCAAATAGAACAGGGTACAGCATAGCGGAGGTTGAACTTAATCCCCAGTTCATGGTCACTAGAAATATCCTTTTGAACTCCAATACAAACATATTTGCATCTGATGTGATGCAGACATTCTGTGGGATTTTAGAGACCATTAACATAGAGGCTAATAATGCTGACCTCAACGAAAGATCTATCCAGCTGATAAGCTCTTCTCTTATTATATTGAAGTTGTTATTTGACTTTGTAAATCATCATTGGGTACTGAAAAGAGACACGCTGATGCTGCTGCAACTGCTGATAGTGCTGCTGTCACTGCAAGAGGGGTCTGGTGGTTCTGGCCAAGAGGGAGCTCCTTCCTTGACTGCACAGAATTTCGATTATTCAAGACCATTTAATTTTGCCATGTACTATCATTATGAACCACCCAAAAAATTGAACAGTGGAATAATACACCCTTGTATAGAGATTATCATGTCGTTATTTCTGACGCAAATGGCTAGAAGGACGTTGGCATTGGTAAAGAAAATACCGACATTGAATCCTCCCATGAGTCTGAGTGCACCTGATGATCATGGAGAGAGGGAATCTAGTAACACTTTGACCACTACATTTACGTCATCATCTGGAGGAGTGATATCTCCTACACAATCACATGCACAAGACCCAAATACATCATCAGTAGAACATGAGTCTTACAATGCACACGATAGCATTCGTTCTAACACAAACTCCAATCCAGCATTAACAGAATCCGAAAAGGAAAACATCCCAAAAATGATACTCGATGTAGACAATTATTGTCTGGTTCTATTGAAATTCCTTGCAGTTTCAAACCCTAGCGATTATTATGGATATATTGATTTGAGATTGTTTTCATATGCAAAGAAGGGCCAGATTGTTCCCCACGGTGAAGTGGTTAAGTATTCGCCATTAATTGAATTTATTTTCTATGATGCTTTAGTTGGCCAGGGTATGGCCACAACCATGACAAATTTTTTACCTTACGTCAAGTCAAATACGTGGAGACAAGTGGTGTTAGTATTCTATTCTAACAGCATAAAGGATCAATGCTTTTCGAGACCTGAGGATTACAATGCCATAGTTCAAGCCGGACTGGAATTGGAAGAATCTTGCAAAGCTATGTTTGACTACGTCACGACGATATTTGAGGGAAACCAACATTTGGGAGCTTCATCGATGGTGCAGGCATGGCTTGTCATCACATGTATTTCTGATTTCATAGAATTGGCCAACAAACCAAACAAGTTAAAAATAACCTTTAATAGGAGATTGAAGTTTTTAACTCAAATCTTGAAAGAATCACGTAATTTGCAAAACTTGGAAAGTTTTGATTCGTTGATTAATATTTTCTATTTGGCTGCTAGATTTCCTAAGCTGTTTTCAAATCACCCTGTGGCAAAATTTTGCGTTGAATACTTAGACACCACCTATGATGCACTCCAGAGACTAAATGTTACATTCAATACGAAAGAATCAGCAATACTTTTTGATAATTTGGTAATAAATTTAAATGTGGTGGCCGTAATGATAAATCCAGAGAAATACATAGCAGTACTAATTGGGAAATACTACCAATCACAAGGAAACATTAAGGAAATGAAGATATTGGTGAAAGTTGTCAAAGGTTTATCTGAATTGAAAAAATCTCAAGTAGAATTCGATAAACTAATGATTAAATTGAAGAACTCATTGAAGAATATGATTGTCGGGGCAATTAAAATATTACATCAAAATCAGCAAATATTACAGAACAACGAAGCTACTGGTGCAAGTGCTAAATCTTTGAGACTGGGGGTTCTGGTAAATCAAATACAACAGAATCTTTTACAGCACCCGCAATTGGATAACCAAAGTTTGAAGCTGTTTGATAGTAGTAGTGGTAGTAGCAATAGTGGTAGATTCCATCCGAACAGATCTTCACAAGCATCCATAAATTCTAGGAAAAATAGTACTGAAAATATGATCAGTCCAACTCCTAGCATAAGACAATTTATGGAGCAAACACAGAACCAGCAAGATCAAAGACACGAGGAAGCAATTGCTAGTGACCCCAAAACGGTTTCCAGTGCTACTTCATTATCCACATCAGCTTCTTCATCTCCGCATTCATCTTCAAACTCGTCCAGTAAAGCTAGTAAAGTAATGGAAAGCACTGAAGAAATATTATCTGACTTGTTTTATATATTCATCTCAGTTCCAGAAACATATTATATTGACCTTGATTACTTGAACAAGCATACGGCTAATTCGGCGTCAGATGCAAATATTACACTTCATGAATTTCATAGAATTCAAAAATTCTCACACGAAATTACAAACCCTTTGAAGTATGCCTTCCAGAGCGCAAATTCTAGAGAAAATTTGTTGAATGCGGCATGTTCTATGGCAATGGCCTTAGTTATGAATGACTTCAATGATTTGGAAATTGCATGCTATCCGAAAGTTGTCCTTTGTAACTTCTTGACCCTGAATTATATTATTCATTACATAGTGGATGCATGCTTAGGTTTGTCGTTAACTGATCCCAAATTCAAAGCTTGTTTCATATTCTTAAACAGGTTTTTAGAATACAGAGACAAGTTGATTCAAGGTTATTCAGTTACTTTGAATACCATTTTGACGAACTTAGACGTCAAATGCAAATTAGAAGTAGGAACTGTGAGTTGCCATGCATTAGAAAAGATTTTTTTAGTTTCATTATGTACTCACGATATTCAATTTTTCAATATAGCTAAAAGCTCTATGCAATGGTATGCTGAAGAAATCAAAACCTTGAACGAGACATTACACACAATTAAGAAGGAAAATGGAGACATAATTACTACCTATAACACTGATCTCTTTGATAAATTCGTGGCTATCATGGACGATGATTCGGTTTTTACTGGATTCGTCTCACTACACAAAAGATTCCGTACATTGATCAGAGATACAAAGGCCACTCAATCTGTTTTTGAAGTGTGGTTAATTCTATTTAATAGATGGTTAAATATGTTGGAATCTGGAAGAGGAAAATCAAATTCTGACGTTGAGAATCTTGTTTTGAGACATTACACTGGATTTTTGGTAAGCTCTAGTGGTACTTTCATGGAGGATTCATTTTTAGAAGATGACATAGTTTCAAAACAAAAGGCTGTTGAGTATATCATCCAGTTTTTTGAGAAATGCATTTTACTATTGACTAGTGAAGACTTGATTGTCAGGCTGATGATAAAAAATTCGCTCTCAAATGAGAGACACCCTTCAGTCTATCATCTTATTTGCACTAAATTATTAGAAATTATTAAAACGTTTCTTGATTCAAAAACCGAAGATAATGATGAAAGTATCTTGTTTATTGAACAGGTCATCACTGTGATGACTCTGATGATCGCAGCTCAAAATGATGGATCCTTCGTGTTGGTAGCCTTGTTACCAGAAATCTGCGACCTAATCATTAAATTTGTTAATAAAGTGGAGAATTTACTGGCAACCTTACGCTTGAAAATTAGGTTTTGCAAACTAAGTTCTGCCATAGAAGCAGATAAAGAAGGAGTAGGCCTAAGAGGCGCTTTTAGATTAAGAAATGCGATTACTAGGGCAAGTTTAGAGTGGCTACAGCAATCGGTTTTTCATGATGAGGAACATAATAGAAAGACAGGATTAATAAATACAACAACAACTACTACCTCATCCTTATTGTCGTCCGGATCCACCACCTCTCATGCAGAAAACATGTATTTAAATATCGATTTGGCTACGGAATGTTCCAAAGCTCTAGCTTTTCAGTTGGAAGAACTAACGTTGGAGATCCCCGATGGGATTAGAGACAAAGATGTTACTAAAGCTAGGGAGATAGTCTTCGCGAATTACTTTTCGCTATTGTATAAAGTATTGCAGAAGTTTACTTATGCCGATTCAACATCAATTAAATCTAAATATAAGATTCATTTGATAATTGAAAATGTCCTTAAAAGTATTTCATGTATTTTAAAGACAGATACTGACGTGGGAATGCCATTCATCTTACCATTGGCATTTCATGAGAATACCAAAATAAGATCCATATTTTTGAATGTGTTCGCTAAGATGTTTTCTAAGAGAAAGTACTATGATATTAAGGAGAAATTACCATCAGGAGTCTTTGAGAAGTTTACGAAGTATTATGACATCTGTGGGTCAGCGGCAAAAGTTGCTTCGACCAGTGAACATAACTTATTAGCATCATCTCTATTTGCAGTCTTTGGATATCTGAACAAATTAGACAAATTATTTCATACCTTGTTATACGATGAAATTGCTACAGTTTCAAGATCAACTGATATATTCAGGAGAAACTCAACTTTGACTAGATTATTGTCCAATTTTGCAAAGGACTATGGTTCAGAATATCTTGTTAAGACCTTAGGTGGCTTTGTTGAAGATTTGAACAAAAATAATGTCTACTTTGAGGTTGAGAAGGAACATGTAGATCAAATACAGCAGGATCTGCAAGATGATTCTTTGGATCCTTTAAGTAAGTCAAATACAGATGTGGATGAGGACGCTGAGTTGTTCATGAAATACTTCCAAAAGTTAGTCAGGGCCATTACATCATCTGTCGATATTGCTCCTAATTCGTTCAAGTTCATCTGTAGGGAAATATATACATGTGTTGAAGCTAAAAGTGAGGCGGATGATGGACTTATCGCGGTTGGTTCATACTTGTTTTTAAGATTTTTGTGTCCAGCAATCATTAGCCCAGAAGTATTTTTGAATATACCATTGACAAATCCAAAGGTTAAACGGACTCTTATGCAATTAGTGAAAATGATTCAGAATATAGTAAATGGGTCATTAGGAGTTAAATGGCAAAGATTACAACACAAATCACAAGAGCTTGAAGAAATTAATAAGGAGATATTCGAATTTTTAAAAGAAATGTCAAAAGAACCAACAGAAGTCACCGAAGAAAATGATGAGACAAATAGTACTGATATGGGATCAAGTACATGTTCAAAAGTGTCGCCAAATTACCCATTTCAACAAATTTTAGAGCCACCGTATCCTGAAATGAGATACCTCCACAAATTCTTTTACTATTACTTTGTTGAAATAAAGCATGAGTATATATTTGGTGAATCTTTAGGAAAGAGCGAGAAATTACATAGGCGAATTTCCAGATTTATTCAGATTGATGGGCTATTGTTTATCTTAGGACAACCGAAATCACTTTTAGCATTACAATCAAACTCTCCTTTAAAGTACTCCTCCAATGATGACCCAAACCCTCATTTTACAGATTTTATGGGAAAGCTGTCATTAAGATATGCAGAGATAAATAATAATTTATCTATAATCAGTACATCTATGAATGAAGATGGAACACCGCTGATCGTTCTTAATTTAGGATTATTAAAAACCAAATTCAATAACGATGTCGAATTACTTGTTTACAAGATGTTAGAGTATAGTATGCAAGTGTGGGATAACAAATTTTATTTCGTGTTTGATTTCACTGAAGGTTACATCCATGAAAAGTTTTGCGAGAAGTTTTTAACACTTCTTCAGTTCTACGCCCCTGAGCAATTGATGAAGAATTGCGCAAGAATGTATTACTTTAATGTTCCAATGTTTGCTGCAGAGCATATGGTTAAATCAATGACCTTTTTCAGACAATCAGGTAGGTCATCTTCAGATGCCAAACTTTACGTGTATTCTTTAATAGATGGACCTGAAATTGTTAAAAAGTTAGGTTTGTCCAGTCAAACTGTGGGAATTATGCAAGACACTAGGGTTGCGTTCCACAATGTGGGAGTTTATGACTATGAGGGTGACAAATTTGTAAACTGTACTCTTAAGATAGGTAGAAAATGGGTGCAAATCCACCTTGAAGATTCTTTTAGCTACCCTGAAGGTTTATGTGAAACAGGTAGCTTTCAACCCATCTTATTGAGGAAATTAAGTGAAGTTACTAAGTGTGAAGTTGTTCCAGGTGATGATAGTGATGGGAATTATCAATTTGTCATTGAATTTAATGATTTTGAAAAGTTTGTTCTTAATTCGGCAAAAAGAGCGGAAATTATCAGATTTTTGTATTTCGCAACATCAAGATTGCCCGCTGTTGTCTATACTGATGATGTGAAAGAGGTAAGCTCTGGAGAATCGGTAAGCGGAAAAGCTATTGGCGAGAATGATGCCGTAGTTTCCACTAATGATAACGAGGAGGTTGTACCCTTTTTATGGTTCGCGAGGTTATATAATTCTGTATTCCAGGCCCTTCTTTGTCCCAATGAAGAAGTGCGCTCGGCAGGATCATTTTTATATGCTGCGTTATCATCATATTTTGATATGGATATGGGAATTTCTGTTGAACATTCCAAGAACATAGCATTCCCAGCAAATACAACAGACTTCATAGTGTCGACTTCTAGGACTTTAGCAAATAGGAAACCTGAATTGTCGTTTAGGTTCTTCAAAGCATTCTTCGATTATTTTGATAAATTACCCAATGTCCATAGAGCTCTGGCGATCATGTATATATCACCATGGATTGACAATGTGTGCGATTTCATATTTTTATCAAAATCTGATAGGAATGGTGATAGAGGAACTTCAAGAACCATTGATATTATAAGGCAATTTTGCAGAATTTCAGCAAATGATAAAGATTATGTCCCGTACATAAATGAATACATTTGGAAGAAACTATTCCGAGAGGCAAGGTTAACTTCGGTCTTGATTGATGAAGTTGTTGCATTTGCTATAGACAACATCAATGAAGGCCCGGATTGGACATTCATAATCCAAGTTATAACTCCTTCGGTTGAAGTTTGCAATGAATTGATGACACGGTTAATTGATACAATATCCGAAACGACCAATGAGGGCTCCCTAGTTGCCGTACAACTGAATTTAATTGAGATATCTGTTCTAATTAAGGTCTGTTCAGTCGTCTTCTTTGATCTGTATTACTATGCTCAGATGTATATTGCGGATGTATTTTTTGTTTGCACTTTATTTGTAAATCATCCATCTCTTGATGGCTCGGTCGGCATAGATTTACAAAAATTAATCAACAATATCGTTCAATCATTTTTGCATAAGCCTAATTTAACTGAGAGTGAAGCAACTGCTATAGGAGATACCTTGACTTATCTCTCAAGTCAAAGGGCTCATTTACTATTTGGCGTTAAAAGGGATGTACCAAATAATTTGAAATTGGCAGTGAAAGACCCAGCTCAAATTTACAATAAAGCGACGTCTTTTGAAGTTTTATGTGATCACCTCTCTTTATTTTTATCAGAATTAGGTGAACTGTCGGATTTGTTGGCAAAGTGGAGATCAAGATGGTGTACGAACGCAATTGATATCTCTTTCAAGAGATCTTGTGTTTTCAATTCAAGAGCATTATTGATTGTTGGAATATTGTCAAAATCAGGTATTGGAGATTCATTAGCTCTGAGAATTCTAAAAATAACGACTAAAGAACTGACCAGCTCTTTGGCTTATTTAACAAGTCAAATTGTGAGTACTTCAAGAATAGTTCAAGGGTTATCGAAGCGTTCAGTGTTATCGAAGTACTTCTTTTGGGCTGCACTTACATTGACTTTGTTAGACAATATTGTCATATACCAGCCTGCTGCTCATCTCTTCATCAACGTATTAGATAAGACCCTTGAACAGTACCATGAAGAAGGTGCTGATAGTGGAGAAAAGCTCGTCGAAAAAGTTTTCGAAAGTAGACTATTATTAGAGCCATTTGTCAGTGATTTTGAAAAAACATACGACATGAAGTTTAGCCCTGAAAACATTGAAGTATATATTTTTTTCAGCTTCATAAGAGGATTAAATATTCCTCATATCAAGCATTCGTCTTTGACATGCTTGATGGATTATGTAAGGCTAAGATTAAAATATGGGCACAAGGTCACATCTTCGTGCTTGAGACCATACCTTGCCTTTATTTATTTGAGCAGTACAGATACACAGTTTAAGAAATTTATGGAAGAAATTGATTCGAATAATGATCTAGTGCTTGAAACGCATGATAGTGTACCACCACAATTTGTGATTAAGTACTTTATCGACGAGACTGATAAATCTAAGTTCGTTCTTTTACAAGCAGCAAACTTTTACAACTCAGAATCAGTAGATGCCACCTTCAAGACAAACTTTTTGAACCTTTACAAAGATTTACTATATTTGAGAAAGGCTGTGGGTTACTACGTTAATCATATTATAAAAGAACAGCTTGAGAAGACTTTGATCTATAGCAATTCCATTGAAACTGTTCAAACGATTCTGGATATATTGTTGTATTCAATTCAAGATGGTGGATATCGCGCAGATAAATATGTAAACGAGATCCGGAGCAAGTTCGATTCTGATATCTTCAAAGGAACGTTTCAAAATAAACTAACCATTATCAATGAGGACAATTTCGATGAAAAGAGAATGCTTTCAGAAATTCGTAACATTCTGGAAGTAGTCTACAGAGCGTCTTGTTCGTATGTGGAAGGTCAAAGATTGGAAGAATGAGTGAACAATACGTATTTAGTAATGATTTTATGAAATTGTATAATTTTAATGACTATGATAAATTATAGATATAAAAAGAAAGTGATTTTGTAGAAATATATATATGCAGAGGGTTTGAATGCTAAGATGATTTGTGCTGGCTTGCTATTGATTCTTTTGGTTTGAAAATCTACCTTGTCTCATGCTTTGTTCGAATTGTTTTCTGTATAAACGAAATAATAACATTGTAGCTCTAGCGTCTTCAACTGAAGAATGTTCAGCGCCCTGAATGTCAATCTTCAAAAAGTGCAACGACAACTTCTTTAAACTTGGGGTTCTTCCAGCAGCAATTTGCTTGAAAGGTTGGAAAGTAGAAGTATCTCTGATCATGTATTTAGGATGGGATAAGAAAAGAGCATCTAAATCGTGATGTATAGCGTGCCCCACAAGGACCCTGTCTTTTAAAATATCATTCGATCTAGTTTGGGCTTCTTCAAAAGTTATGGCACTGTTCATATGCTTTGGGGTAACTCCACTAACCCATGTCCTCCAATCTACAACTTTCTCTTTTGGCTTCACAAAAGTATCTAACAATACATGACCATAGAAATTGACAATTGAAACTCTTGCAAGTGCCGATTCTTTACCTTCGAACCCTACGCCTACAAATTCACAATCCATCGCGATGTATTTACCAGGTTCCTGCTTGCGAGTATCTCTTCCTATTGGTTCTAAGGATAATGGAGGACCGACGGGTATATCAGACACAGTGATATCACTTTCTTTATTCCAAAGTACCAGTTCAATAGATGAGCCTGCTGCTTTTTTGATAGCATTAGATGAGACTTTTAATGTTCCGCTGGAAGTAGAGGTGGTTGGATTATCCAACACCTTTTCAACTTTTTTGGCCTTCTTTTTTTTTGTTATTGTACTTCTTTTTCCACTAGCTGTCTTTTTAGGGGCTATTTTAGACTGAAGAGCCTTCCAGTTCAGAGATAAAACAGCCATTTTACCACAATTATATTGCTTAAATAACTAAATCAGTATGATCCAATATCGGACTTCGATTTAGCTTATTTTTCTTGAAGATTTTAAGCGATGCTCTTCACATACTGCATATAGTTCATGATGCTCTACAAGCTCGATGAATACATGGCTGCAATACAGGATCTATGACGGTTTCATTATACTATTACTAACTAACAAACCTCTATATACAGTTGAAAATTGCATATAATTCTATTAAAACGCCTGAATATGACTATAAGTTCATATTATTTTTGTAAACCTGTTGGACCCATTTAATCTTCTGAATAATCTGGTCGCATTCTTCTACGTCAATTGCCTCTAAGTCATACCTCTTATTTGGGACCTTTCCGTTTTCGACAAACTTCTTGGTGACAATTTTAAAATGAGTGGGATTCTTGCTCATCTTATATTGCTTCAATTTGACAATCTGAGTAATATGGAATGATGTCGTCTTCATCATCAGATTGTTGTAGTAACTGGAATAGTTGTAATGATGGAAATGGTGATGAGTTCCGGTAACGGCAGTATTATTTGCTATTCCAGGAGAGCCATTAGGATTCTTTTTAAATATCGCATCATCCGATGGAGTTAAGTGTATGTAGTCACCATCAATCACTAAGGATTTTTCAATTTTATTTAAAATAGTAGTCTTTTTACGCCAAACTTTCCACTTGAAATAGATTGAATTCAAATTAGTAGGAAGGAATAATTGCGAGTTACTCTGAAGTAATCTTGAATTGTCTAAATATTTACTAGGTGAAACAGATTTTGCTTTTTCTGCTACCTTTAAGTTGGCTATTTTCTTAGTAATCCTAGTGGTACTGTCTTTTCTGGTAAGTTGAGTAGCTTTAGTAGATTCTATTTCATTGATCTTACTAGTCTTCTTTTCCAAAGTAGCCTGCTTTTTATCCTTGTCAATATAGTTGAAATTGTAAGTATTCTCACTCGGAGTAATTCCTTCTAAACCATCTTCAGCTGGTGCAGTAATGGCAAACTCATTGCCAAATGCATCAGGAGCTAATCCACTTTCGAAAGGTACTATCTCTACCATTTTACTTTCTAAGTTTTCAATAGTATCTTCTTCAGTTAAAAATTTTGCATTAGATGCCGATTGCAGAAGTAAAGATTGGTACCTTTTAATTTCTCTGAACTTGTACTTGTTGGAGTCAAGACGTTCTTGGGAACAATACTCTCTGAGTAATTGGCCTATTGTCGCCTTTGGTGAGGTGGCAATGATAGTAGAACTCTTTTCTCCACCTGGATTGCCAGTAGAATTATTCCTTCTTTTAGAATCAAAAATCTTGACCTCAATGCCACCTCCCTCATAAAATTCCAGTGGAATATCGGAAGATTTGCGTTTATTTATCATCAAATCAATTCCTTCACGTTTCTTTAAACTAAGCAAAAATTCAGGAGATAAAGGAGTCTGAATAATATTTCTGGCTATTTCCTTGGCATCATCAACTTTGCATAATGCAATGTCAGTAATATTATTATAAGATGATAAAAGTCTTGCTCTGTCTAGAATTCCAAAACTCCCATAATTCTCTCCATCTTCGTCAACCATTTCGATTCTCCAATGGTTAGGGTTCATATCATTGGAACTTGGATATTTCTTGATAAACTCTTCATCACATTTATTCTGATGTATTTGGAGTAAAATGTATCCAATGCAGTCAACCACGGACGAGTTATTATTAATTTCCATAGACAGAATTGTAGGAGTCCTCTTCGGTGGTAAAAATATATTTAGGTGGATCTTTTTAATGTAGTTTTTATCAATGTTATCATTTGGAATCTGGGAGTTTGCAAACGAAAAATAAGTAAGTGGATTGATATTTATCGATTTATACTTTGACTGAATCAAAGATGTCAAATTTGAATTATGGGGACTATTTTCTTCGATTTTTACGGGGGGATCTATTCGGTCGAAATGAAGGGTGCTGTGAATTGGGTTCTTTTTGATAAGTGGAAGAGAAAACCTCCTAACTGAATGATTATTGATATTATCACCGGAAGGATGTTCCGAAGCATTTAATGGATTTACATGGGGGTTGAAAGTATTACTGGGTAACTGCAATGCATTGGAGGACAACGATTTTCTATAGGAACCTCCATTGCTGCTAGAAGTTCTCTTCTTCTTGTTCTTAAGATGGAAGCCGTTCTGATTTTCAAACGTGAAGCTGTTGTCGAATGAGTCAAGGATAATTGAATTATCAAGCATTGAGCCGGCTTCAATATCAGTGAACGCAGAGTCCGTCGAAGAGGTATCTATTTCGTCATCATCGTCATCATCATATTCGTCGTCATCATCATCATCATCATCATCTTCGTCGTCGTAGTTGTTATCAGCTTCAATCCCGTCACGGTAGTATTCTTCATCAGCATCGTCTTCCTCATCATCTTCCTCATCATCCTCTTCATCATTATCATCGTTAACATCTTCTTCCGAATATTCTTGACCTTCATAATCCAAAGTATCTATGGTAGTATTTGGTTCGGTAGGGCTCGAAATTATCTCGTTCGAAGGCCTTCGTTTCAGATGAGAAGGACTTATTTCACTCTTGCCTCTAATATTAACTCGTCTCACCACTTGACCCTTTGAATTCACTGGAACTCCAAAATCGCTGTCAATGGATAGTATGTCATCTTCGTTGTTCTCAATTTCTTCACTTAATTTAGTGGTGACTTCGTCGTCATCTTCATCAAAATCATCATACTTTACATTCAAGTTACCATCGTCACAGCTATCGTCGCTACCCACATTGTTTTCCTCTTCAATCAATTCCAAATTACGATCATCCGTCTTTTTCCTTGTCCCACGGAATAAAGTTGTCAAGCTCGGTGTAATAGACTTCTTCTTTTTCCCAGTAATAGTCTTTGTATATGATAAACCATTCGATCTCTGTTTTTCATCTGGTTCTTTGTTACTCTCGGAATTAACTGGTTCAATTGTTGCATCATCGGTAGCCTTATAGTTAGAGCCATCTTCATTTACAGATTCAAGATCCAAGCTACTCTTATTACTGATCCTTGTTATTTCTTTCAATTTTTTGGAACTGTTTCTAGAATTACGCTCTTTGTTGCTTATCAGTCCACTCTCAATCTTTTTCTTCTTCTTCTTCTTATTTTTATTATCAGTTTTCCTTTTAACAGTCCTACGTCTGTTCTGATAGTTATCCAACCTTTGGTAACTCTTACTTATATGCCTGGCGATGTCAAAAGTTATGGGTGGGGATTCCAGAAGAAATGAAGTGGCACTCAGCATATTCTGCGACACATCTTCGTGATCTCCATACGGTTTCACAATTTTTCGGCCTATGTCATGTTCGTCATTAATAGCTACAAATGAGCTTCTCAAGTGTGCGATAAGCTGGTTTGTGGAAAGTGGGAACGCCATGGCATATGAAAAGGGTTAAAATAATGCTGCCAGCAGAGTAATTTTTAAGATACGTAACCAAGTCAGTAAAGTTAATCTATCACAAACAGTTTTTGGGGATACACGTTTAATATACTCTATTGGAACAGTTGATAAATGACTGCCTTGATTTGGATCCTCTTTGTTTGAGTAGATCTGAAATCGCACACGACCCGCGTAGATAGAAAGAGCTAGAGAGCCAGAGAGGAAGAAGTACGGTGTTGGAGTTGTGATGAAGTTCAGGTACGCTTCCTCTTCCAGAAGAATATGGCTGACAATTATAAGACTAACTCAGAGGATTGAAGATGAAGGAGCCGTAAAGCATGATATAATCAATCCCTTCCCAGTCCTCTTACTCTTCTCATAGTGATATATTCAATTTGCAGCCACTCAAAACCTACCAGCCTTCATATATTTTGTACATACAGACTCTCGTGAAAATACAATTGAACAAACGCACAAAAAAGAGGACATGAAATGTAGATAATAATTCAGGAAAGGTCTTAATTCTTTAAGGAGTTGGCGAATGAATATAGAAGGGGATTGAGTACCTTCAAGGGTGCACACTTTACTGCCCCATACCATACCTCATACGCATCCTACACTTTTCAAATGTCGACACCTGCATACAGCGTTTGTGTAATTTGAAGCTCGCCCAATGAAAATACAAAATTCCAATTTTCACTGAAGTAGCCAAGGTAAACGAAAAAGCAAATTAATTGAACTTAGTCTTAGTTAATCGTTCATAACATACATACATATATTAAAAATGGGTGCTGCTTACACTATCCTTGGAAAATCCGTTCCTTCTCACCAATTAGCTATAGCTACTTTAGGTGCTGTTGCTTTCTACGTTGCCCCAAAGCCATGGGGAGCAGCTGCACCAACACACCCATCTATCAATGCTTCTTCCCCAGAAGAAGAAAAGTATGTTACTGAATGGTTAGCCAAACACACTGAAACCAAGCATTAAGCAGTTTTGAGTTTCGAGTCAAATGAAATGAAGTAAGAAGATGAAAAAAGGAAAAAAAAAAGTTGATAAAATGACATGAATATCATTTAGTAGATTAGAATGTTAAGATCGAGATTAATAGCTAGATTCTATAAGCTTGTATTTATTTTGAAATAGAATTATTATTCAGAGCATGAGAGTGATGTATATAACATGTAGAACAGGCTGAAATTTAAAGTGTAAAAGTCTGTAGAATATGCTCCAGGTGCAGTCCCAACGATAGGGCCATGAAGTGCAAGATATGCCTATTAAAAGAGTGGGTCTATGTACATATTGCGAGTAGGGTCTTAAAGGGAATAAAAACCAGAGGAATGCACTCATTTTTCACCACTAGAACCTGAGTGGTTAGCAGAGCTAACTACTTGGAATTTCGCTAAAAAGGTATACAAAAGGGAACTGTCCTTCTCTCCGGGGTCTTTCTCTGATTTTTTTTGCGTTTCCTCAGAGGTTTACAGTGGAGCTGAAACTGAAATCCTATGGTCCTGTCCTATATGGGGGTACAGCGTACTTTCTATCCACCTTCCTTAGCCAACTCTAGACTGCCACATAAGCATATACGACAAACCAACAAAAAGTTGAAATAAAAAAGAGAAAAAAATGCCGCCTACACAGCTTTAATCAATGCCTATGGCCCTAGTCTCATCACAGCTCCGTCCATGCCAAAACCACCAGTAAACGACTCCTTCTTCCTATCTTCAATAGCCTTAGTTGCAAATTAGTGCATACAAAATTTCCTGCCTGCAACTTCAATACACCTGCGCGCGCACTGAATCAAAAGTATGCGAAGGTAGAGACGTCCTGCATACAAGACTCATCGCTCTTCTCAAATCTTGAATTTTTTTTATTTATCATAATTTTTCACTCACTATCATCGAGTTGGTAGTTACTTAGTTGTAAATAGCTAGTTATTACATATCAAAGATGTCAGCGATTTACAAGGCTCTTCAGTCGAAGCAATCTAAGGATTCATCCTCAGTTGAAAAAACCAAACACATAAACAGACAACGTCTTTTGGTGATATCATCCCGTGGTGTCACTTACAGACATCGTCATCTAATTTCAGACTTGACTGCATTATTACCACATGCAAGAAAGGAACCAAAGTTTGACTCTAAGAAGAACTTATATCAATTAAACGAAGTTGCTGAATTATATAACTGTAATAACATTTTCTTCTTTGAGGCAAGAAAGCACCAAGATTTATACTTATGGTTATCTAAACCTCCCAATGGACCAACTTTGAAGTTCCATGTTCAAAATTTACATACTTTAGATGAATTGAATTTCACCGGGAACTGTTTAAAAGGTTCAAGACCAGTTTTAAGTTTCGATAAATCATTCGAAACTAGTGATCACTATAAATTAATGAAAGAATTATTCACTCATACCTTTGGTGTGCCACCTCAAGCTAGAAAATCCAAGCCATTCGTCGACCATGTGATGACTTTCTCTATAGTTGACAACAAGATTTGGGTTAGAAACTATCAAATTACTGAAACCATGGAACAAAAAGAAGTTGAACAAAGCGGAAACGGAGTGGTTGAAAACGTTGAAGATTTATCGTTAGTTGAAATTGGACCAAGATTCGTTTTAACATTAATTACCATTTTGGAAGGTTCATTCGGTGGTCCAAAGATTTATGAAAATAAGGAATATGTTTCACCAAACTTTGTTAGAGCACAATTGAAACAAAAGGATGCCGACCAAGCCAAGTCAAGAGCTGAAGCTGCATTGGATAGAAAGATTAAGAGAAGAAACCAAGTATTAAAGGCTGACCCATTAAGTAACGACGCTTTATTTAAAGCATAAGTTAACGAAGTATAAGGATATGAAGTCACTAGAAACTTTTATCTTCTTTCTACCCTTCTAGAAAGGTTAGAAGTGTTTTGGGAAATCTACATTGATAGCATAATAAACGTATAAACAGAAGCCGAATGAAATCACCTTATAAAGGGCTAGGTAGATATATGACCTAGAGTAACTCCTGAATCAAGGGCCAATTTGTTTTGTAGGAAAAACCGTGTAGAGCACTGTGCTACAAAGTATTATATTCAGCTGTTAGTTCATCGTCACTAGACCAATAAATACAATCTTTTCTTTTAAAAGACGCATATTGCCTATCTTCTAACTTAAACCGGTCTCCATAACTGCAATTGATAAGTCTCTCTGCAAGAATAAGAGCATGCTGGCCTATATTTGCATGCCTTAAAGTGCCCCCAGGCTGGTTCCAAAACGGTTTATTGTGAATCAATATGCAGGTCAAACCGATGATCTAAATTAAGTACGACCAACGGAATTTAACTATAAAGAATTTTCTTTAAGGCAACGGATATAAGTACCCCAGCCAATCCAGACCCCAAATAATGAGACATTTCTTCACACGCTTTAACCGTGCTGTATCGTCTCATAAGGGTGAGGTTACCCCAGGCTTCACACAATGTGAAAATAATTACCATATCCGCACCATGCATGAGGTCCCCATGTGGATGACGTAATGCTATTGTACCAAAAATTAACCGTTAAGGTAAACTTTAACAAATACAACTGGAATAAACGATATACTTTCCAGGAGTGAACCAGAAATAGCTGTTTCAGGAGCGAGAAAGAAGAGGATTTACCTCAATTAAAGTTCGAGTAGAATTGACACAACCTGATCTTTTTACTTTTCTCGTCAAGAGCAGTATCGTCTCAGGGGTAAGGACATTACTTACCATGTGCTACTTTCCACTTCTACGTACATCTTTAAGACACTTCAACAAAGCCTCCCGTCCCAATACTTCCCACCCTCATCTATTTATCAGATTTGGAGTTTTTGTTTGTTTTCTTCCTTCACGTATGCTAGGAAATATTTACAAATATTTTTTTTTTTGTTTTGGAATAGTTCCGTATTGGCTCATTTATTTTTTAGATTTATTACATGACATTCTTTACATGAATTAATTAAACGAGGATAAAAAATATAAAACCAAGTGAAAGTAGGGGAATAAACAAATAATATGCTTATCCGAAGTGACGTTTTACTTCAGAGGACCCTTATCCAGCTCCACCCCTTCATAGACCGTTTCAGCCCCTTGATTCTCCCCATCGCACTGTATCCACGCGATCACTGGTTCCTGAGCCCTTATCATTAAAATACTCGGTTTCGAAAATAACTGAAATATTTTCTTCTCAGAACTTTAATTAAGTTTAGCAAATTTCGTCATAGCGCTGAACCCATCACGAAAATGAAGTATGATGTAGCCCGACAGTTAGAGGATCCAAAAAGCCAAAAAGCCAAAAAGCCAAAAAAAAAAAAAAAAATTAAAAAAGAGAAATTGAAGATGCTGGGATCTAATGAACATTCCTTCCCCTGGCTTGTAACTTTCTTTCTTTCGTTTCCCTTTCTGTTTCTTTCCCTTCCTTCTCTTCCTCCTCTTTCATTCGTCTTCACGTTCTCAGCCTTTTATAAATTTCGAACCCCAAGGATCACGTCCTGTTCTCACGCGCAGGGAGTAGAAATTTCGACACTCACTAAGTAAAACAAACAAGGCACCAATTCTTTTTTCGACTTGGGAAAAGGAACCAGAAAATAAAAATAAAAAAAAGAAAGAGAGAGAGAAAGAGACAAGGACCGTGTAGACAGTCAGCACAAGACCACCACTCAAACGACAAGTCCAAAATTAAATCAACGATCTCGTATTTCCCATTTGGTATTTCTTGCTGCCCTCTCACATAGCTGTTTCAGACTTCTTTCTCGACATATCCTTCCCATCTTCTCGTGGAACATACCTAGTCAATACTCGAGTACCTTACAGAGGCTTAGAAAAATTTTAAAAGATCAGATATTTTCTGCAGCTCCAAAAGAAAAGCGGAAATAAAAAGAGAAAGAGAAAAGAAAAGAAAAGAGAACACGCAAAAGGAGGCGCCATTTGTATGTATAGATCGCCTTTCCGTATATAAGTAATTCACTAGAAGCATTATGTATCCGTACGACAGAAGCAACGGCGGATCCACGCCACCTAGTAACCCGTACTATCGCTCAACCAAACCGCTCCAACACGATCATTCAGAGCTAATGCGTCTGCAGAGCAAACGCGAACAACAGAACTACCAACGTGGAGACGACGATCAATCGTCCTTCAACTTCGATACCCCAACCACAGCACCGTTCCTGACAATTTACAATCCAGAAAGTAACCCCTTTACAAGAAAAAACTCTCGACCTTTGAATGACCCATATTTGTATGAACTCGACAACATAAACCAAAAGAAAGATGAGAGCTTGCCCAGCTTACCTGTCAAGGAAAGCTCAAATCCATACTACTACAATAAAGAAGGGCAGGATTTGCCCCCACCACCACCACCTAATAAAAATCCATTCGAGGATCATGATAACCCATTTGAGAACCCCACTTGGTACCATGTATCTTCCATGAACCACGAACACTCCTCTGATATCCCACCTCCTCCCCCACCTCCCAACGATTTTGATGATGGATATCGATCTACTGGAGGAATTTTCTTGGATTCAAAGAATTACCACCAATCGGAGGATTCTGGTGCTCCACACAGTGATGAAGATTATAGAATGCATGAAATGGAAAAGCAAAGACTCCGACTTCTTCGCCGTAAACCAAGATTCCACTTTACTAGACTTCCATACTTCACTATAATAGCCACTACCATTCAGGTTTGTGTATTTATAGCAGAATTGGCAAAAATGGCACAGCTAACAGGCTCTGCATTTCAAACTAAGCCATACTTCAATCCAATGCTTGGACCTTCGACGTATTTGCTTATTAACATGGGGGCCAGGTATGTTCCTTGCATGCATCAGATCACCGATGTTACTAATGATACTTCTATCCTGTTTCCATGCGCCAACCTGACTTCTGTTGATACCAATGTATGTTCCTTACCTGAATTATGTGGAATGCTGGGGATTCCAGAAGTAAACGATGCTTACATTCCACATCAGTGGTATAGAGTAATAACGCCCATCTTCTTGCATGCAGGGTTCCTTCACATCTTATTCAATTTGTTATTGCAAGTAACAATGGGTGCGACGATTGAAAGGCAAATCGGTTGGCTCAAGTATTCCATAATCTACATGATGTGTGGTATATCTGGGTTTGTTTTGGGAGCTAATTTTTCACCAGATGGAATTGCATCAACAGGAGCACTGGGAGCTTTATTTGGAATCTTGGCTGTCAATATGCTCTGTTTCATTTATTGTGGTAAAAAGAATACCAATTTGTACGGAACTAAAAAATTTGGATTGTTCATTGGTATAATGATATTGGAAATGCTTGTCTCATTTGTATTAGGCTTATTACCTGGAATGGATAATTTTAGTCACATTGGTGGATTTGCCATGGGGTTGGCAATGGGAGTTGCTTTACTTCCTGATCCTTGTATTGTTTACATCGATAGTATTATTGTCTATGATGGAAACTCTTCAACTATGCGTCAATTTTTAGATAACTGGAGCCCCTTCCATGATTGGGAACACAAAATTCCACATAGAGTATACTTATGGATGTCTCTCAGATTTGTTGCTTTGGGTTTAGCTGCTGCTTACCTAGGTGCTCTTTTGAAGAACTTCTTTATATCCGGACTAGCACCAGAAAATAACTCTTGCAAATGGTGCAAATACATAAATTGTATTCCAGTAAATGGTTGGTGTGATTTAGGAAATGTTGAAGTTACCACTAGTACTGTGAGTTCAGGAAACTCAGCTTCAGCGACACAAACGCCAACCACAGGAACAGCAACAGCTACTAATGCTGCAGATTCTGACTCAACTTCGAATCCAAATGAAGCAGTGGTTACTAGTACCACCACTTTACCCGCTAACATAGGCAATACCCAAACAACAGCAGCTGCTACCACTACTGATAATACCGGTGGATTCAAGAAGAGGAAGGAGTATGAAGTTTTTGAAAAGTTCAAAATAAGTAGCAATGATTATGAAATCACCAAGACATTATCGCTGCCTGATTCAATTATAGGAGAGCAAAATTTTGGAGTTGGAGTTGGATTCTATCTCATAATCGGATTCATCACCTTTAGATTTATGAAGAACAAGAACTGGATATAGCACACAAAAGGTAAAATATCAGAAAGGACAATAGAAGGAAATTAAGTTGCATTAATTATTTTACATAGCATTCACAATAAATCACATCGCATTGACAATTTTATCTATAGTTTGTACCTACAGTATACCCTGAACCTTGCCGTGCTTAGAATTCGTATGGAGTTTGAGTGAGAAAGGCTTGCTTCCCGCGAATTTCGGTTGTTCATTTTTTGTCTCAATGGTTCCACACCCAATGAGCTTTGCAGTTCAGTCTTTGATCCCAGTACTAAGAATTACAATACCCGGGGTTTTGGAAAGAGAAAAGAAGAAGCTAAGGACAATATAGTAGTTTAAAAAAAGAAACTGCGCAAACCCGGAATCGAACCGGGGGCCCAACGATGGCAACGTTGGATTTTACCACTAAACCATTTGCGCTTGTATAGGACAAAAGTAGTACATCTTAAAGCAATTCAGAGTAAGCTAGGCATTTACCTTGTGAAGATCTAGTTTGGTGCAATATCTACAATGTCCCATTACTAAATTATTATACAGTCTTTATTATACCTCTTCTTATATACAGTTTATAACCAGTTTAAGGTGACCTAGATCGCGTTTGAATTGGATTTGAAGATACTGACTTAAGGAATAACGATTTGAATCTCGAAATCTTCCTCCAACTCTGTGTCTCCAACAGTATGATTCAAATGCAAGACTTCGTCGTCAAAAATAAGCTTAATGGTGTTGATATCATAATTTGTTATACCTTTCTTAAGTATGTAGTATTCTGCAATTTTCAGTATCGGTGTAGTGGATGAAACTTTTACCTCAATACGCTTATTGTCCCTCCCTTTTAAGCCGATAATAAAATATTGGTGGTCATCGCTAGTACTATCGATTTTGTCAATAATAGTGGTATTCTCACCACCGATTCTACTTCCTGTAGGTTTTGACAAGTCTATGTTCAACCTTTCATCGTCCTCTGCATCACTTAATTCAATATCACTTGTAGGGAATGCCTTCAGTTTCTTACTTTCATCATCGTCATATAGATATCTTGTGCTAGCAGAATTTCCAAATTCTGAATATATATCTGTAAAATTTTTAACATTTTCCTTAGGAATGACTAGTATAGTCAATCTCGTTGTGAAGAAACCATCATCCACTTGAACTGGTTCAATTCTTAAGGTAGATGGCTTGAAGAATGGCTTGACTTCAGTTTTACCCTCAACCCAAATCAAAGCAATATCTGGCGGCGAAATTATGGAATTTTGATAGTGTCCTTGTATACGCGATAGTATATCTTCTTGAATCAATTGTGAAAATTTAACGTTTCCCTTTGTTGCAATTTGGAATTCCGCTAGTTCCTTATTATTATCCAATATGGGGAGTTTCACTTTGAGATGAAGTAGATAAGAACGTTTGCTTTCATTCGATTCACTAAATTGATAAGAATCTGACGAAGGCGAAGGAGTAATTGAACTAGGCACAGGTTCGGGCTCAGCTGTCGACTCCAAATACTTCCTATCCAAATTTATCGGACTTAGTTCTTCAGTTTGAGTGTTTTCAACAGCATTTGGTACATCTATAGCACTAGAATATTCCACTGCTTCATCTACACTATCGACCAAATCATGGCCTACCAGAGGCGAGCCTTCACCGACAATAAGTGCACCAGCACCAGCGCCAGCATTAGCACCAACATCAGCGCCTAGTTGTCCATCATGATTGACTTCAACGTCGTCAAGTTTTCGTTTTAACGTCTTCTTAGTCTTCTTTTTCTTCTTACCTGGAGCAAAAGCAAAAAAGTCATCTAAAAGAATTGCCTTTCTCTTTTTAGTAGGGGAATCCTTTTTCTTCAACTTTTTGGGACTGTCTTGAAGGTCTACATCTACATTCGGACTATCATCAACAGACTCAGCAGGGGTTGATACATCTGGTTTCACTGATGTGTCCTCTATCAAGCTATTCGGAACCTGAATTTTCGTTTCTTCAGCTTCTTTTATTTCTAAATCGTTTAAAGAAGCTTTCACATCATCTTCATTGCTTTTCAAATTCTGAATGCTCTTCTCCGCATTTCTTAGACTTTCCAAGGTGAACCCACCGCCAAGTATTTCAGAATCAAATCCATCTGAATTATTTTTTTCAATTCCCTCTTCAACTTCTATACAATCGTTATCATTATCCAGATCCGGGATTTCAATAACTTCGTTCCGATTCTTCACTGACTGTCTGGTTTGTCTTCTAACTATGGTATTTAGTTTTATAAAGCTTGAAGCATCGCTATTTTTGACGGGAGAAGAATTGGCTTCATACGCTGAGTAGTAGTCACTATCATTAAGCGAATCCAGCATCCTTATCCCTCAATAAGACTATATATGAAGAAAAGAGTGCTATCGTAGTACCCTAAGCTGTTTGCACATGTATTCGATGTTTGTATTCGCTTTCTCATTGATTTCTATGCATCTACCTCGTAAATTATCCAGACACCCAAACACCCAAACATTATAGATAATAGTGTCTAATTGAAATAAATAAAAATAAACAATAAACCAGACATGCAAATAGAGAAGAAAGTAGGCATAGAATCGGAGAAATTTCAAACACTGTATACCAATTTTAGTCTCAGTGTAACAATGGATCAAGACTTCAATGAGGACGACTTTGAGGAAAATTATCAGGGAGTTGAAGTAGAAAGCGATGAGAGCTACCATTCGGATGAGAATGAGACAAGAAAACCCTCCAAGAGGACCAAGTTAAAGAAACTGAATGCAGCAAAGACAAAAGAAAAGCTTTCGGTAGGTGGTAGTCGAAAAAATGGGAATGACATAAATGTAGGAGATAGGAGGGGAGACTCTGGGACTGTTCTGGAACTTTTCAAGATTCCAGCTTCAATTCGAAACCTGACAAGAGACTATTCGTTCAAGCAGAGATTCACTTTGAACTATGGATTTAATGAATCGTTCTATCAACATTGCCTTAAATACAAGCGACTGTGGGAAGATAAATTATTTTATGTAGATGAAGAGCAATTAAGAAACGATTATAATACCGACGTGAATCTAGTAAAGAAGCTAGCACCAGGAGACTTTTCACATTTCCCCACAGCTTCGGTACAACTGATCGATAAGAAAACATTGCTTTCAAAATTTAATGCAGTGGACTTAACTTTCACCACAGACTTTCAAGCAGCAAGTAGCTTAACATTTGGCCAATCAGTTGATTTACCAATTGAAAATAGGAACGGTGCATTCCTAAATGTAGGTGGTCATATAACGTCCATGAAATGGCTACCAACAGATCCAACGTTGGGTGGAAAAGATGTCGAAAACCAGTACTTGGCCACTTCCATAATACAATCTGATAACTCTAAAGGAATCAATGATGCTCAATTAGGGTTATTTTCTACCAGCACCAATGGGAAGATTGCTGGTGGTGTTCAGATTTGGAAGTATAACGTCAAGCTGAAGGAGTTTTCGCTTTACAAATTCTATCTCACTTCAGAGACTTTTGGCATAGCGTCAGATTTGTCTTGGGTGCCTTACTACAGAACTGATAATGTTTTGGGAGTGTTAAGTGCCACGTTCTCTGATGGCAAGCTTCATCTCATTAAAATAGATACTAACTCAACTAAAGATAGAGTGCCAGACTTGGGCCTCTTACTGAAACCGTCAGTTTCATATTCATTACCAGAAGAAAAGATTACTTGCTACGATTTCTTAGGGTACGATAAAATTATAGTTGGTACTTCAAATGGGTCTATCGGTGAGTTTATTCTTCCCACTATTGATTCTACGTTTCAAACCCCATCATATATTCAATCAGTAACGGAGGCTCCCATAACCTCTATATCGGTTGCGAAAAGAGAGCTTTCCCCTTCTTCTAACAGTTACACAATCTTAGTTAACTCTGCTGGGGCTCAATGCTTTGCAGTAGAATATCCAGATTTCCAACATGGAAGAGTGGAATCATGGGCAACAAATTCACTTATCAAACCAATCTATAATCAAAATTTGAAATTGTTTGTATCTGACGATTCTCAAGATTCTTTAACGTACTCATTCGTGAGGCACCCACACGAGAAGTCTACATTCATCATGAAGGTTGATGGGACCATAACGTCATTTCACCAATCTGAAATCTTAAATCATCCTTTAAATTTAAACGGCAATTCCCTCGGTGAGGTTCATATCATTAATATAGCAAGAAAAATTTTAAATGGAAGTAAGGCTACCAATAAGGTGTTGCAACCGCTAAGATTATGGAAATTACTGAAAGAAGAAGGAAAGCCTGAGATCCATGTCAATGGTGACCTACTTACTTCAGCACCAGATAAGGTCACAAAACTATCTATTGCTCCACCAGAGATTACTATATCAGCTTTAGCTTGGAATGAGAATCTAGATGCTAGTTCAGTCTATAGCGCTGCGAGTGTTTCAGGTTTACTTATTGTAGAGAGGCTAGACAAATAGAAGAACTTCATACAATGGTGATCTTATATAATTGTAGACATAAACTAATTGTCTTTCTTCCATTTACTATTCAATAGTTCTAATAAACGGGAAATTCAGAATCTATAACTTCGCTCCATTTATTAAGGCCTCCCTTGACATCTTTGACATTCCTGTAGCCTAGTTTCAATAACTTCTGAGTTGCCAATTGCGAGTCGTTTCCATAGCGGCATATGACAAAGATTTGGTCTGCCTCCTTATTTATGTTCGGAGGAAGGTATTCATCAATATTATCAGCTTTGTTTATTATTGGATCCCATGGTATATGTACAGAATTTGGGAGTGAAACAATCGAAAATTGCTCCTTGGGCCTAACATCAATGAGGATGGAATCATCTCCTTCTTTATTGTGAAAAATGCTGTATTCTTTAACGCTTATCCTTTCATTCTCCCGTAGAACATTTGAGTCGAGTTTCCCACAGAACTCAACATAATCAATTTGGTTGGAGACGATCATCTCTTTCGTAATAATTGGCGAATTTCCACACACTGAACATGTCTTCTGCTTTGATCTCATTTTGAATACTCTAATTTGTTGTTGGGGATACGACGAGTACATTGAAAGGAAAGGACTAAAGTTTTTTCCATCCTCATAGAAGTTGGTGAGTATTTTGATAGTTTCCACAGCCATGGTAACTCCAATTAATCCTATACATGGTCCTAGAACTCCACCATCTTTGCAAGAAGTTACTGAGTTTGGCGATGGAGGCTGCGGGTAAAAGCATCTATAGCATGGGCCCTTCTCTCCGTAGTTTAGTATGGATAACTGACCTTCAGTTTTAAGACCAGAACCACTAATTATAGGTCTATCGCTCAAAACGCATACATCATTAATTAAGTATCTTGTGGCAGGATTATCAGTGCAGTCCAAGATCAAGTCATACTTTGGAATAATTTCAAACGCATTATCATTAGTTATCATTGTCACATATGTTTCCACTTTTACGTGTGGATTGAGCTTATTGATATACCGTTTTGCTGATTCTACCTTTGGAATACCCACAGATTCTGTTGTGTGTAGCACTTGTCTATGCAAGTTGGATACATCTACCTCATCATTGTCCACGATACCGATATTGCCGACCCCAGATGCTGCTATATACAACAAAGCGGGGCATCCTAGTCCACCAGCACCTATGACTAAAACCGACGACGATTTGAGTTTAATTTGCGACCCAAGTGATCCAAATTCTGGCACAATCATTTGTCTACCATATCTCCTGTACTCATCGAGCGAAAGCGAATCAGCTAAAGGTGATGCCCATTTTTTTTCATTTTCTACTCGAGTTTCACCTTGGGCTTCGAGTTTTGATTTCAACAATTCATTTTCAAGCTCAAGTTGTTCTAATCGGAGCTTTATCAGTTCAATATCTGACATGTTGGACCTCTTTAGCCAGAATAAAGAAGATGTATGATTTCATGTGATGAGGTTACAATGTCACTATAAATGCGAAGTGAGAAGTGAGATGGACCAAATGATGGGGAAGCGAAAAAAAAGTTTAAGTGTACTGAAAAACATACCCAGCTGGCCCAGCTAAACAGACATAGATGAGTAGCTAGCACAGCATAAGGCGAGAAAAGGCACAGAGAACAGCACTTTAGAGCTAGATAAGGGTCAGGAGAAGTACACAGATTGCGCTTGTATCATTTATTTTAACAGTTATTCAAAGCTACATGAAATCTTCCCAATTGCAATTTCAAAGTGCAACTTTATTAATAGATTCTTTTATTATTCGGGGGGTTTTTTTTTCTTTTCATCTAACTACTACCAACCAAAGGCTAGAAACGTTTGGGGTCTGGTCCACCTACAATTTATACAATCTTTTGCTTAACAAAGAAGCTCTTTAAGTGTCTCAATTGGTAGAAACATGTACCAACCAATACAAATAATTGGATAATGGTCCACTTGATAACTCTACTGTTGGTCAGTTCAGACATATCTCTAAATACAGCTTCTCTTTCTCTCATGAGTTCTTGTTCCCAGTGGATTTCTTCTAACTTCTTGTTTAAACCATGGACTCTTTCAGTCAAGGCATCAACCTTTTTAGTTGACTTGGAGTCAGCGTAATCATGAGAGGATCCTAAGGCGATGTCAAAGAAAATTCTGTGTGCCTTGTTGGTGGTACCATCATTGTAGACTGGTGTTAAGCAGAACTTGTGTTCACCGGAGTCAATAGAAGTGAATATAAATTGGCCGGTAGGACTAGATTTTTGGTCGGCAACCTTGTGATTGTTATCGAAGGTTTCCTCTATAGTAATTTGTAAATATAAATTGCTATTTTTAACGTAGCTGTTGGTATGATCATTGAACTCGTATGCATCAATTCTTCCTGCGACTAATGTTTCCTCTGGTAGTTCTTCGAAGAAACAGCGAACTTCATTGGTCTTTAAGTAAAAGTGCAATGCGAATGTTTGAGAAACAAACAACAAAACTGCAGCAAAGATCTGTTTACTAAACATCTTGGAATACGTAATAGCCTTGGATCGTGTTTTGGATGTTGTGTCAAGGCTCTTTTTCCATCTTTTTTTTTTCAGTGTTGGTGGTGGTGGATCAAGTACGCGTGTCAATACACACAGGAGAGGAATAGGCGATATGCAGGACGTTGAGGAACACACGCAGAATGCTGCGCAGAAAACGAAAAAAAAAAAACCGGTGGAATGGCTGCGAATTAACTGGACAAAGGGTCCCCTCTTGGAACGAGAGTAAGATATGTCTTGAAAATAGAGTAAGTTATGCACTTGTATTAGATGGAGCTTACATTTAGGCGTGTAGCATAAAAAGCGATACCATGTTTATTAATTTATTTACTTATTATGCTTACGTTTAATCTTGTCGACCAAAGACTTGGTATTGACACCATTCTCAGTCTTTTGTCTCTTGTTTCCACCAACTTTGTTGTTGCTCCACTTTCCTGCCTTTCTTCTTCTCGATCTTTCATCCAACATCTTCTTTGTAGTCTCAGTTTTCTTGAACTCACTATTAGTTGGGTCAATTGCAAAATCTGGATTTTCGAAAATTTCATTAAAACGTGAATCCTTCAAATCTGGCTCAAACTTAGCTTGAGCCAAATCATCGTCATCACCATTATGCTTATTCTTTTTATACCTATTCTTTTTGTTTTTATTCTTTTCTGCTCTGATAACTTCTTTCATACTGAAATGGTTGTCATCATCATCCTGTTCATCTCCATTCTCATTCATCATAATTAATTCCAATTCAGCATTATTCTTGTCATTATTCTTGTCAACCTTCTTATTATTTTTATTGTTCTTATTGTTCTTCTTTCCCTTCTTTCCCTCAGTGGCTACTTCATCATCATTGTCATCATCATTACCACCTTCTTCATCATCATTCTTTTGCTTAAACTTATCAAGTCTCTTCTTTCTTCTTTCCTTCTCCTTACGTTTATATGCTGCAATTGTGCTTTCCTCTTTCTCGTCTTCTTCTTGTTTCTTGGCCTTCTCGACATCAAGTCCAGGATTGAATGTGATTTCCATATCAATTCCTTCCTCATCATCATCGTCTTCTTCGACAACATCCTTCTTGGCTTTGGATCCAAATTTCCCTCCCAATAAACTCTGATATTTATTCTTCAATCCTTCATCTTCTTCTTCGTCACCATCACTATCCGATGCCAAATATGCCTTGAAATCCATTTCATCGATTTCCTTTTGAGAAAATGACTTAGTAGATAAAGTTAATCTTTCCTTTGGAGTTTCGTCCCAAGTTAGTTTAACCTTAGAGTGTTGTAAAGCATCCGTAATGAAAGTAGAATTTGGCTTGTAATTTGAAGGAATCTTACTGCACGAATCTGTACTCTCTTCTGTATCAAAATCCATTCCTTCCGGCACATATCTTAAGTCGAAAATATTTGCAGTAGATTCAAATTCACTACCGTCACAGTTGTCATAAATATTCTTCGACGTGGCGATGGAATCACAAGTCACAACAGCATAGTAGTATCTCAATCTTTGCAATTGATATCTACGTAATGCTTTACTGTCGTAGTCAACCTCACCATCTTCTTCTTGGTATAATTTTGCAGCTGCCTTTTTCAATGCTTCTGGATTATTCACATCGATATCAAGTTCAGAATCAGAATCTGAATCAGAGTCGGATTCTTCTGCATCTTTCTTCTTGTTGGATTTCTTCTTGAACAAGTCTCTTGGTGGTCCTTCCACTTCTTCTTTCGCCATCTGTTCTTTACCAAATTCACTTGGATATATATTAATTGACAAGATTCTCCCTCCTGTTGGAACAAAAGAAATAAAAGTAGCCATCAAGTCAACAGCTCTAAGATTGTCCCAATCCATATTCACCACAGCAAACGTATCAGAAGGGTCACCTTCTTCCGGCTTTTCGTCCTCAAGTTCGATGTCAGATTCGGAAGATTCTTCAAAGACAACGGAGCCTTCTGAATCTGAATCTGAGTCTGAGTCGGAATCGGAATCAGACTGAAGTCCTTCACCTCTAGCACGGTCCAAGCCTTTAGCTTGAAGAGTTACAGCTTCATCGTCACTTTCGATGTCTTCCAGCTCACTTTCTTCGACATCAACCTTTAACTTCTTCTCTTCGCTTTCCTCATCGCTTTCCTCATCGCTTTCCTCTTCACTTCCACTTTCGCTCTCAGAACCTTCCTCCTCATAGTACTTATCAAAGTCATTCCCAGATTTATCTTCTTTGATGGTTCTACCGTATCTATCTATCTTAACCTTCTTACCAGTAGCTCCTAGGTTCAAATCTTCCAATACCTTCTTGCTAAATCTTTCATCTACTTTAACCTTCAAGTTTTTCGTGTTGGGCATTCGAAATCTTGGATCATTGTGAACCGAGGTGAATCTTGGATCCGTTGTGATTGGCTTCAGATCTGAAACACTCTCGCTCTTCTTATTACCCTTATTACCTTTAGCCATTATCGATGCAGTTATCTATAGTTTGAACCGTGATGGCGACTATCTTCAACTCATCTCATCTCAAAATCAATCGGTGCACCCAAACTGAAAAATCACAGAAGCATAAAAAAAAGACTACATGCAGTACCGATGGCATTAAATGGCTGCAAATATGAACCAGGCTAAAAGAAAGGCTCAACTACATCGTACTGAATCAATCTAAGTATATAATGCAAGAATTTATAAATAAAGTATTTAGATGGATCCACCACTTCCACGGTTTCCAACTAGGCCCACCATTTCCAAAAAGGCTCTTTCTTCACCCAAGCTGTTTATATTTACACTCTGTCTAGCTTCCGCCTGTTTAGCTTCCCATTCCCATTGCCTTTTCTGTTCTTCCAATTCCTTCATGGAGCCTACACCCCAAACTTCCAAATCAGTAATCATAAATCTATCTTCAAAATCTTCTTGACTTAATTGCGCTTGGTTAGATTTATCGAAATACCGGCTGGAATTGGACAGGGATGGCGTAACTGTGTGCCTGAAGACAGCGAATTCTAAATTCGATTCAATAGTCAAAGATACATCTCCAGGTAAATATTTTTTGACTCCGTTCTTATTGATAGGCTGATCATTTCCAAACCCGATACCTAATCCTAAGGTATTGAAATAACACAGTTGACCTTTCAAAACGGGGTTGTGCTGCGATTGATACACGTCGAAATGTGGTTCGATGGAAACTATAAAGCAGTTTTCATCCCCAAAGTTTTTCTTATTCGAAATTCTCCATGGCTGGCTAACAACTACTGCATACGTAATTTTGTCATTGTCAGACTGCCATGGTCTTTTAGCTTCCTGATGAGATCTGAAATATCTTGGAAATTCATCATTAAATTGCTGGTACCTTTTATTTGTGGTGATAGTTTTGTTCTTGAGTCGTTTTCCAGAAACCAAGAAAATAGTTGGGGCCTGCCACTTAAAGATTTTCAGTTCTAACGATCTTATGGAGAATCCTGCTTCTGAACCTGAGTAGAGTTTAACCAAATTTTGAGGAGAAAATATCATCGAATTTGATAATTTTAGTGAAATCGAAGAGAGGAAAGCAATTGTTGAATAGGATAGTAATTTGGATGGTTTGAATTTGGGAAACTTAGCTCCAGATTTTTTAATTCCTGTTTCCACTTTTGGCTCTTTATCCACTTCGACTGCTTTAACTTTGTGATGATCCAACAACCCTGAAAAAAAGAGCTGGAACCCCCTTTGGAAAAATTTGGGGAAGCCTCTTTCAATCCCAGATTTGAATACTGGGAATGTAACATCCGCTGATTGATCCAAGTCTAGATATTTCACCATCGAACTGGCATACTTTACACTTTCTGCCCAATAAAGGTTGACATCTTTATCATCCCTCGGTCCTATTGCCATCAGAAGGATAAATAGCAATAATGTTATGACGTTAGTTAGATCTTTCCATTTCAATCTCAACTTGGTTATGTCAATTTCATCAAATGTTTGAATACTCTTGACAGTCAACCATTGAATCTGTTTATCTTCACCATGCACTTCACATACATATGGATCTTCAATGTGGATTTCGGTAAAATTGGCAGAGGCTTTCTTTTCCACGTTCCTTGTTACTTTCTCATTCGCTTCCAGAGCAGGATCTTTCTTTGCTGTACTATCGGCCAAGCAAAGAGAGATAAACAACAACTTTAAATAATCATAGTCGGGCAAAACCTTTTCAAAAGTATGAGAATGGAAGAATGCAGATATTATTAATGTGTTTGTAGTTATGGGACTACTATCGCTTGGTCTGTAATCGGCGATGAAAGGTGATTTACCTAGAACTTTCAATGATTCGAAAAGAAAATTTAGTGTTTCACTGTACTCTTCATTCTCTACGTCTTCAGGAAGTTTGAAAAGACCTAGAAGATCAGTACGGGATATCGGTTGATCTTCTAGATTAACTATATTAAGTTTGGTTAGCAAGCTCTTGATTTCAAAGTACGACGCCACAGTAGATAAACATGTCTTATAAAACGAATCTATGATTTGGCTCTTCGTGAACAGTTCCAAATTGCTTCCATCTGCTTTGGATTGCACTGTTGTAGGGGATGGAGTTTTAGAAGTACCTTGTCCCATTATCAAAATATTCTTTACTAAGAAGAAAAATCAATCCCTAAGAATATAAATCATAATCTCCATAACTAGGTTTTCCAGAGCATTAATGCGATTTTGGCATGATACAAAAATACAATTTCTACAGAAGAGCAAAAAAGGTGCATAGTGACGAGTGTAACAAAGGGGATCTCATACAAATGTGTTAAAAATAAGGATTGATTTCTAAGACTCTACATGACCTTCAAGTTTGTAAGTATTTCTTTTTTTTTTTATATTTCGTTTTTTTTTTTTAGTTCAATCTAACTCTGTTGATAATATTGCATGTAATTTTACATCCTTTGCGTTTTAATTAATTAGGGAGTCCAACAACTTATCAACAAGGGAAATGACTTTGTAACTTTCCAGTTAAGTGAAGTAATCACTTAAAATTTCACTGCTTCTAATCTCTAAGCCAAAAATCCACTTCTTCACGCGTGCAACCTTTCCTTCTTTGTTGAATTCATCCTCTTCATCGTCCGCGACCAATCTCTGTCCGGCAGTCTGCTTCAATAATGTCCTCGTAAATGATACCAAGACTAACGTAAAATATACTCTCAAGACAGTCAATACAATGGTAGATCCTGTGGTAATGAAAAGCTCTCTACCGGCGGAAGCAGATTGAGCTGCCAAATCAGGAGGTAAGTCTTTAGTCCTGGTACCTTCAGTTTCACTTATATCATCTTCATTACTAAACCAAAAATAGACAAAATACAAAGTGTACAAGATTCCAATGACGGTGTCTGCTACATACACTAAACAAGAAATCGATATCTTTCTAACATTCAGTGGTCTAATTTGTAAATGGCTTAACCCTGATATGTAAATTGGTAATGTTGCAATGGCAAGAGAATTGTATAGCCATTGCCAAAAATTTATTGGATGACCAGTGAAAATAGAAACAATCCCATAAGCTCCACCTGCTTTATTCAAAATAGCAAAGCCTAGAATTAATTCAACTCCAATGTAAAGTGGAAGGAAACCGAAGAATTTCTTCAAGTAGTTCAGTTAGTATTTCATAGTGCAGATATAGGAGGAACAACAGAAATAAAGAATGCAGTTGCATCGGCACCTGAGAAGTTCTCTGCGTCCATCCATTCTAATGCTTACTACATACCAGTGGTAGATACTGAATCAACAGTGTTGCAAATGCCATGTAAATATATGCTATGTGCCGATTGTTGACGCCTAATAAACACTTTAGCTATGCTCCGAAAGTTTATTGAATAATCAAATTTAACAAGAGTATACACTAGCTGAACAGTAAAAATCGAAATCAAATCAAAAAATTGTACTAAAAAATGTCACCCCAAAAAAAATAATGTATATAAAAAAAAGATTGAAGGTTGAAAAATTTAAACGTGAAACCTAAAACCCACCAAGGTTGAAGAGTAAACGAAGTTCTCACGTCTAACGGTGCAATTCAAGCATTCCATTCCATATACAGGTGACAAAAGTATATTGAAGAAAAGAAAGATCAGTACAAACGTTTGGAAAAAAATCAAATATACAATAAAGTTACACATTAGATCGAGCTCATCTCATCTCATCACCTCCGAAATGCAAGATATACAAAATCTTCAAGAAAGGACTGAACAGTTGAAGTTCGAGTCAGATTCAGAAACAGAAACAGATTCGGACTCAGATTCCGACTCTGAACCCAATATAGCTTCAAAGTTAAGTACCAATTCGAATACCAGTGGTTCCTCCAGCGTCAACAAGAATAGCAGAGAAAAAGAGGACATCGTAACAAGATACGCTCATAAAATCAAAACCGATGATATAAAGAAGGGTCCTAAAACTACTAAAGATAGAGCCAATAGAGCAACTGTAGAGCAAGTTTTAGATCCAAGAACCATGAGATTCTTGGCAAAAATAATCAATACTGGTGTCATATCCAGAATAAATGGATGTATCTCGACTGGTAAAGAAGCCAACGTTTACCATGGAGATCAGGAAGATTCATCTATAAGTACTAGAGAGTATGCTGTTAAGATTTATAAGACTTCAATTTTAGTCTTTAAGGATAGAGAAAGATACGTAGATGGAGAATTCAGATTTAGAAACACGAAAAATCAAAGTAATCCAAGAAAGATGGTCAAAGTTTGGGCAGAGAAGGAATTCAGAAATTTGAAAAGATTATATCTCAATGGAATTCCATGCCCTGAGCCATGTGAATTAAGATCTCATGTTCTAGTTATGGAATATTTGACTAAGGGAGCAGGTCAACCATCTCCCAAATTAAGAGATCACCCATTCAAGGACGTTGATGAGATTGTTTACTACTATCATCAAATGTTGTATTATATGAGAAGGATGTATCAAGAGTGTAGATTGGTTCATGCGGATTTGAGTGAATATAACTCCATTGTACACCAAGATAAATTATATATAATTGATGTTTCGCAATCTGTTGAGCCTGAGCATCCAATGGCTTTAGACTTTTTAAGAATGGATATCAAGAATGTAAATGACTTCTTTTCAAGAAAAAAGATAAACGTTTATCCAGAGAGGCATATATTTAAGTACATTACCGAAGAAGCCGGAAGTTTAGGCATTCAGAACAATTCTGATGAAGAATTGGCTAAGTACTTGGAAACTTTACCTTTGAAAAGTGAAATTAATGAAGATGATATTGAAGATGAAGTGTTCAGGTCATTGCACTTGGTAAGATCTTTAAATCACTTAGAAGAAAGAGATTTCCAAAAATTTACAGAAGGGAAAGTCAACACATTGAAAGATCTAGTCGGCAAAGAGGTTGAAAAGACCACAGAAGGTAATGAAAATGAAGAAGAAGAAGAAGAAGAAGAAGGACATGAAGAAGACGGAGACTCTGATGACGATTCTGATGAAGATTCTGATTCTGAATATAGCGATGAAGACTCTGAACCAGAATACGATGAGGATGGAAATGAAATTCCAAAGAAAAGAATGAGGAAAGAGAAAGAGTTGAAGGGTAAAAGGTTTGAAGACAAAGATGATAAAAAGGCCAGAAAAGAAGCAGCAAAGAATGCAAAGCAAGAAAAGAGGAAAACGAAAATGAAGAAGCATTTGAAGAAGAAATTGATCAATAAGAGGAAGACAGCAAAATAGGTTATCATTTGAAATGACTGGGTCTGGACATTCCCTTAAGGTAATAATATTCAATTTGTGGTAGATATGCTGCACCGTCATGCGAGTGGAAGTGGTATTATTACTTTCTTTGATGTCTCGCCTTTTGTACACCCCTTTACTATTTTTGTTATGCTACTCATGGAAAGGAGAATGGGATTTATGGAATGAAGTTGGAAATGTATATATCATTCAATCTTTACACTAATAGACATATTTATAGATTCGTCTGCAATGAATGTAAAGTCTTTAGTTTCACTCTTCGAGTGCGAAGAAAGCACTGGAAAGGTAGACATGAAGGTGCTCGTTTCACCTCGACCCTATATCGAAAAATTGATTATTAAGACTCCTTCTAGAAACAATGTTGAAGAGCATATGATTTCGAAAAGGATGAGAGAAATAAGAACTGAGAATACTTCACCGATAGAGAATGTGAGGGGGAGAGACGAAACTGAATTGAGCATAGACCTAAGAAGAGAACTGAAAAATTACACTTTAAACGAAACTAATGACCTTACTGAGAGAAGTGAAGACACAGATGGAGAAATTGGAGAACAATGTGGACAAACTATCAACAACGTCACAGGCATTGCGAAGAGTATGCTGGGGCTGGATCTGGGCCTGGGTTTATTTGTATTGAACCATAACTTGCAACTTGAAGAGCCTATCAAGTCAAGCTCACCTAAGATTCTAGAGAGTCCACTTGAAACTTCAGTGGAGCCAAGTGTACCAGAAACATCTGAGAATTTGAATATACAAATACCTACAAATCCAACTATTTCGGACGCACCCATAGATGAAAGCATATTAGAAGACGCCATAGACGAGAATAATAGTAACGACTCTTACTCCGTTTCACTATTCGACGATTATCTCGCGAACATTGAACAAGGCAAAAGTGCAACCAAATCGAGAATGGCTGCAAATGGTGCGGAACAGGAAATTAGACAAAAGAAAGATGACCTAGACATACAAGGTCAAGGTGCGACAGATGATGAACCAAGGGAAGAAGAAGACAAAGGGGAAGAAAAGGAAGAAAAGAAAGAGAAGGAAGAAGAGGCAGAAGAGGCAGAAAGAGACAACAGCTACTTCAGTACACCACCCGCAGTTTCTAAAGACATGTTCATCACTCCTCCTGAGTCACCTGTTGGCAGCAATTGTAGTAGCATTACATCACCAGGTCTGATATATAAGATTAATGTTAAAGAGAGATATAGTCGAGTCCTGTCATTGAAACCTGGTTTTAATTACGAGCTCCCAAAATTGAACCCGATCCCTGAGAGCAAGTCTATACCCATACTGAACCCATTAAGTAGTTCTACTCTTTCATGTGCAAGCTCGCCTTCAAGGCCACTTTCAACACCACCCAGAATCTACACAAGAGACTTTCAGCGCAAGAGGATTATCCGAATGGAGGACACAATAGATGACGGTGATGGATATAGCGACATGTATTCAAATATTTTCAAAACTCCTGTCAAGAAGAGCGCAGAACCATCTGCATCAATGGGGATGCCCAAGGTGGTGCCCAGAGTGATGCCCCATTTGATGACTAAGACCAGCCTGTACAATGAAAAACTGCACTGGTTCAATCGGAACCCATTTAAGAAGAGAAAGGAAAGAGATTTTCACTTATCGATTCCAAGAAAGTTAGTCATTTCTGAACCTCAAAATGTTAGGGATATAGCCTTTGAAGCATATTCCAAACGAATAGGCGTAACACAAGTCCACCCTGTGGTTAAGCTATTGAACACCGGTCCCAAAAAGGTGGATAGGGCCGTTCAAACAGAGCCCTTGAAAGTTTCCACTGCATTTGAGATGACTCGATGCTCTATACAGAGGTTGAGAGAAAATCAGAGAGAGAGCAGAGCGGAGTATGAATCTAAGAAGCAACAGTGGGATCCTACAGCATTCAAGAAAGAAGCATTTGGAGAATATGTTGATATGATATTCAATCTCTGATCTTTTTTGTTTTCCACGAAAATCAGTGTTTAATACCCTAAGTAGTACTACCTAATACCCTAATGCTAGTACTACCTAGTCCTACCCAGCCCTGACTAAAAATTAATCACAGATAAGCAGCAGTGCTCACTGGTTGAAAAACAAAGAGAGAGCCAACATCAATAATTCCTACAAATGAACATATCCACCAGAACAAACATCTACGAGTATCTACGTAAACAGTAAGATAAATCAATACATGAGACAATAAAACGAAGCATACTCAACAGCATTGCCAGATGCCAGATGGATAATTTGAACAATAGAACTCCCTATCTAACCAGCCTTTGCTCTTAATATTTCTCTTTCTGCTTTAGTTATTCCCCTGACTGTCTAACATTTCTTTTTTTTACCCTTTTGCTCTCTTGCATTCTCCACACATGAATCCTAAAGTGCTAATTACGAATGGCTGTCGTGTGCATACCAATAACCCAAATCTACTCCCGAAGTTGCACGGTGCTCCCTTTTTCGAAAAGCAGATTAAAAATAACACAACAGGAAGTGCCAAGACCCGTTCCAGAGCATCATAGATTGCAGTACTATTGACTATAGATACTCTTTAGTGCAGACGTTTTGAAATTGTACAACAACGAGCCGTTCAATTGGAGAGTACTTTTTTCGTTTTATTATTGTCGCTTAAACATTTTTAGTCAAGGGTTCAGATATGGAGGAATTCTTGAAAGACAGTAATTCTGATTTTGGGAACTTATCGAAGACCCAATCGAATCAGCAGCAATATAACAACCAAACTACCACCCCTGGGACAGTATCCAGTGAAAATTCGAATAATATTATGGGCGATTTGGATCCCTTCCAGTTCACAATCGATAATAACGGTACGAACATGAGCAATTACAATAGCAACAACACCAGCAACTCTAATAACAACAACGGTAACAACTATGGCAACTATGGCAACACCGGAAACAACAGCAACAACAATAACAATAATAGCAATAATCTCAATGCCTATAACCCTAACTTAGATAACGAGTTCTTAAGTCCTACAACGAGTTACTCGAACGATAATAATTTTGGAATCTTTGGTTCAGGGGCAGGGGGGTATGATCCCCTTATGGAGGAATTAGGCTACACGAACTCCAATCCTCTAGTTGGACCATCTTCATTCGGCGCTGGTGGAACCCTGCTGTTTGTTGGGCTGCCCTTGGGCCTGCCACAATCACAAAGACTTCAATCTAACTTCATCAATCCAATGACCACATCTAACTTGGATGAATTGATATCGCCCAGTAGTACGATCGATGGAACGAGCATAAATAATAGTAACAACAACAATAGCAACTCCTTCTTAAATCCTCAGTATTTCTCTCCACCAACTAGAGGAAGCAATTTTAATTCGTTGAACCCAATTGCGGAGGGTAACTATACTCCATCACATTCTAGACATGGAAGCATCAGCATACCCTATGATAACAATGACGTGAACAGAGGAGGAAACGTGGGAAGTATTGGAGGCTACCTCTCGCCTTCCAATTATATGTCACCTTTGACAAATGTAAATTCGTTGAATGAGATTAGATCCCCACCATATAACCAAAGTCAAGGACAACAACAAGCTAATTTATACCTTAATTCTCCTCCAGAATTCCAGATTTCCAATGTGAATTCAAATTCGAACTCAAATTCAAATGCCAACGCCAACAGCAATGCTAATATCAATATACCAAACTCAAACTCGTCTACGAACAATAACTCAGCTAATCCTCTAATTGGGGTCACCAAACAATTGGGTACATCGCCAAATACAAGCTCGTCTAAGCAATTGACCAAGGAAGAAAAGTTGAAGAGAAGGAGAGAGTTTCATAATGCCGTAGAAAGACGTCGTAGAGATCTAATCAAGGAAAGAATAAAAGATTTAGGAATTCTCGTTCCATCATCCTTACTAAATCCTCAACTTAGTGCTGTGCAAGCATTGCAGAGAAATTCTCAATATAACTCTAGGGAAATCAATGATATAATATCCAATGTTAAGGCAAAGGAAACCAAACCCAACAAGAGTACAATTTTAAACAAATCTGTTGATTATGTGGAGCATCTTGAGTATGTCTTAAAGATGCAAAAGAAAGCAAGGGAGGAGCTTGAATGGAAAATCTCGCAAATTGAAAATGATTTTCAACAACAAGGTGGGGATCCAGATTCTAATAGTAACATTAAGATTGAGGATTATCTGAACTACGACAACTTCAACAATACTAATAACAGCAACAACAGCAATAATACTAACGACAACAATACCATCAATACAAATTCCAATGCGATAGAGGGAACAAACTTGAAGTTCGAAGATCCAAATAATAGCATGTTCAACCCCGATGACTTTTTCCTGGATATTGTAACTGGTGGAGGAAGCATCAATAGTAAAGAGTTCTTCGATATATAAGCAATATAGAAAAGAACTCTGCGATACACGAGCAACACGTTGAAGAAAGGTTCTAATAAAGTATCATTTGTCTGTATCATTTCTTTGATAGGAACCAAAGCCACTACAGCGAGATGCCGTTGAGAAAGCGGAAAAGAAACAGAGACTCTAGCGGAGTGACTGGCATTGACACAAGCCGGCTAGCTCAATCCACCCCCACAATACAGCACCCACCTTACTCTCTTTACAATTAAAATTTTCACTTTTATTGAGAGGTACTAGTACATTATTTCCTTGCTACTTTCCTCTTTGTTCCACACCACGATGATAATGACGCTGATGAATTATTTATATATAATAGATACAATATATAGTATGAGACTTATGCAGCACATTGTTGTACTACTTTGTAGATGCCTGCAGATAACCCAAACTGTTCCTGTACGTTGTGGTTCATGGACTGCCACACAGAGAAAAAGAATGGCAAAACAACTGACGCTAGCAGACCAGGAACTATTATATTGAAGTGACGTAGCCTTCACAAAAAAAAAACGAATTAGAAATCCGAATATAGGTATTTTAAACCAATAAATAGCTAAACTTCACTGCGTAAATATGTCAGACCCTGAGAATTCTTTTAGACAGCAGTTTTCAAACTGGACCCAGAGAGCTGGGGGACCTGCATCTGGCGGGACAGGAACCAGATCAGCGACCGGTGGTGGGTTCCCAGCGTTCGCTGACTGGTCAGACTATGTCAAAAATGGGGCAAATGACTTGTATACGTCATTACCAACGTATAACACAGTGACTGGGAACACAAGTACCGTAGAGGAACCGTCATGGTTCAAACTATCGAGATTCGAGAAGATCTTAGGGTTCTTGTGCTGCCTTGGTGGATCCCTACTTTGTTTTGTAGTGTGCTTTTTCTTGTTCCCAGTGTTGGCATTAAAGCCCAGGAAATTTGGGCTTATTTGGTCGCTAGGCTCATTATTGTTTGTATGCCTGTTTGGTATACTCCAAGGACCTTACTCTTATACGCGTCATTTGGTTTCTCTGGACAGAATCATATTCACCAGTGTATTTTTTGGATCTGTCCTTTCGACAATCTACTGCCTGGTAGTTTTGAAGAGCACGATTTTGACTATTTTGGCAAGTATAGTTGAGATATTCGCCGTAGCCTACTACATATTGAGTTACTTCCCCTTTGGTGCTCAAACGGTGACATGGTTCAGTAGTTACCTCGTTGGGTACGTAGGAGGATTTTTGGGAGGCTTGTTGTGAGGGCATGAGAAAAGAGTCTTTAAGATGTTTAATGAGGTTATGAATTGTGTTTATAGATTAATGTACGATAGGTAATGATTGAGGATTTGTAAGAGGAAGGCTAGGTAATGAGAGAGTTGTTAGAGGAAGGCTAGGCAATGAGAGAGGTTGTGTTAGAGGAAGTCTAGATAGTGTACGTGAGCTGCTGAAGCGCTGCAACATGATTGGATTAAAATGAAAGGTACATCTGAAGTGGGATCGGATACCGCATTGGGAACATACGAGCACAATGCAGTACACTGTAGTATACCGTGTTACTGTAGTCAGAGTTTTGTATCACAATTACAAGAGATAAGATCTACAACCTACGGGATAAATCATCATCGGCACTAATAAGATCGTTTATTCATTATAATATTTATACTTACAACTTTTCGTCAATATCTGCCAATGCTGCTTGGAGCTCTTTATGTAATTTACCCAACTTCTCAAAGTCCGTTGGTTGTGCAGGCCAGCCGACTCCCAAGCCTGATTCAGTGTCCTTCTTAGGAATAAGATGAAAGTGAACATGATCAACTTCCTGGTGAGCAATTCTTCCGTTATTTTGTAACACGTTGTAACCTTCACCCAGAGGGGTATTGTTGACGTCCAATTTCAATGCCTTGGTCAACTTCTTAACCACTGGCAAGATATCAGCCAAATACTCATCTGGGATATTGTGCAATTTCGCACCGCAATACTTTGGGATTACGAGACAGTGGGCTTCAGCGGTTGGCTGGATATCGAGGAAAGAGTATGTAAGTTTAGTTTCGATAAGCTTAAACGAAGGGATTTCACCCTTGATGATTTTACAGAAGATACAGGCAGACATTTTAATGCAATTGGGTTCTTTAAATGAATTTGTGGGGAAAGACGAGTTGAGTTCAGTTGAGTTCAGCAATGAAAATCAAACCATGAAAAAAAAAAAAAAAAAAAAAAAAAAAAATTAAACCAGAAGTAAAACATACCTACTTTCTGGTACTGCACAAAGTGCTCTCTCTCCAGAGTGATGAAGCTAATGGGGAGGAAGAATACCAAGCAAGTAGCAAGCCTTACAGACATGAGGAAAGGGAAAAGCACAGCTCCACATCCAGATAGCGGATTGGCAGAATTCCACACTCAAATTCAACCAGCACTGTCTCTATTTCCGTTCTCACTCTGTCTTCCACCGCTGCTACTTCCTCAGCATGTAAATTAGCACCAAGAGATCACACCTTATCCACAGGTCCTGCACAGCTGTAGCGCCGCCAAATCTTCTTCAGTACTCGCCCACTGTGCGCCCACTAGCCCACAGTATAACGCAAACAAATGCGCCAAACTTACCGCCCTATTGCGCGCACGCACAATCACTCCAGCCCAATTTACACAAAAATTTCCCCCTTGTGAACTTTATCGGTGGCAAACTGGCGATTCTTTCTACACTGTTCTTCGAAATTCTGTGAGCGTTGGGATCTATTGCCAAATAACACTCAAACCTTCAACACCAGTGATAGGTAAGAGGAATATAGGCCAATTTCGCCCCCGATTTCATCTCCAGTACTCTTTTTACCTTCGACGCGGTTCTTCCGACTTCGAATCCACTATTTCTGTCCCCGATTTCTCCGTTCTTTTCGCTCGCTGGCCCCCCAACTCTCCCTCTGATCTCGTACTAGCTTGTCCTTTTTTGCCTTTTCTGACTTTCACACGCTGTCGACTTTTATCACCAAACCCCAAACCATTTCGATTTTGGAATTTTTGGCCCACTCCCTTTTCTTGACTAAGGACTTTTTTTTTTTAATATTCTTGTTCTTGTATCTTGATTAATAATCAATAACTACTTTACACCTTTTTATTTGATTTTGCATTGACTATAAGATTACATTGTAGCAATGGTTGATAAGAAGGAAAAGAAATCGCTTTTGGATGCCTCAGGCTCTGAAAAGACCGAAGATAAGACAGCAACTGCCATTTTAAGAAGAAAGAAGAAGGACAACGCTTTGATCGTTGATGACGCCGTTAATGATGACAACTCAGTTATAACTATGTCATCCAACACAATGGAATTGTTGCAATTGTTCCGTGGGGACACTGTCTTGGTCAAAGGTAAGAAGAGAAAGGATACCGTTTTGATTGTTTTAGCTGATGACGATATGGAAGATGGAGTTGCTAGAATTAATAGATGTGTTAGAAATAACTTGAGAGTTAGATTGAGTGATATCGTTACTGTTCATCCTTGCCCTGATATTAAGTACGCAAATAGAATTTCTGTCTTGCCTATTGCAGACACCGTGGAAGGTATTACCGGATCATTATTTGATGTCTATTTAAAGCCTTACTTTGTTGAAGCTTATAGACCAGTGAGGAAGGGCGATTTGTTCACTGTCAGAGGTGGTATGAGACAGGTTGAATTCAAAGTTGTTGAAGTAGACCCTGAAGAAATTGCCATCGTAGCCCAGGACACCATTATCCACTGTGAAGGTGAACCTATCAACCGTGAAGATGAAGAAAACAACTTAAATGACGTTGGTTATGATGACATTGGTGGTTGTAAAAAGCAAATGGCCCAAATTAGAGAATTGGTTGAGTTGCCATTGAGACATCCACAATTGTTCAAATCCATTGGAATAAAACCACCAAAGGGTATCTTGATGTATGGTCCTCCAGGTACTGGTAAGACTGTTATGGCTAGGGCTGTCGCCAATGAAACGGGAGCATTTTTCTTTTTAATCAACGGTCCTGAAATTATGTCCAAGATGGCAGGTGAATCTGAATCTAATTTAAGAAAGGCCTTCGAAGAAGCCGAAAAGAATTCACCTTCCATTATTTTCATTGATGAAATTGACTCCATCGCTCCAAAGAGAGACAAGACCAACGGTGAAGTTGAAAGAAGAGTTGTTTCCCAATTGTTGACTTTGATGGATGGTATGAAGGCGAGATCTAATGTAGTTGTCATTGCTGCCACTAATAGACCTAACTCTATTGATCCAGCCTTGAGAAGATTCGGAAGATTCGACAGAGAAGTTGATATTGGTGTTCCAGATGCTGCTGGAAGATTAGAAATCTTAAGGATTCATACTAAAAATATGAAATTGTCTGGTGACGTTGATTTGGAAGCCATCGCCTCCGAAACCCATGGTTTTGTTGGTGCAGATATCGCCTCCTTGTGTTCCGAAGCAGCTATGCAACAAATCCGTGAAAAGATGGATCTTATTGACTTAGAAGAAGAAACTATTGACGCTGAAGTCTTGGATTCATTGGGAGTTACTATGGAGAATTTCAGATTCGCCTTGGGTAACTCTAATCCTTCCGCATTAAGAGAAACTGTTGTTGAAAATGTTAACGTTACTTGGGATGACATTGGTGGATTAGATGGAATCAAGAATGAATTAAAGGAAACTGTTGAGTACCCTGTCTTACATCCAGATCAATATCAAAAGTTCGGATTGGCTCCATCTAAGGGTGTTTTGTTTTTTGGTCCACCAGGTACCGGTAAAACTTTGTTAGCAAAGGCTGTTGCAACAGAAGTTTCAGCTAACTTCATATCTGTTAAGGGCCCTGAATTGTTGAGTATGTGGTACGGTGAATCTGAATCAAATATTCGTGATATCTTCGATAAAGCTAGAGCTGCTGCACCAACTGTCGTCTTTTTGGATGAATTGGATTCTATTGCTAAGGCTAGAGGTGGTGCTGGTGGTAGTGACGCTGGTGGAGCATCTGATCGTGTTGTTAATCAATTATTGACCGAAATGGATGGTATGAATGCAAAGAAAAATGTTTTCGTCATTGGTGCTACTAATAGACCTGATCAAATCGATCCAGCTTTATTAAGACCTGGTAGATTAGATCAATTGATATATGTTCCTTTACCAGACGAAGCCGCTAGATTATCTATCTTACAAGCTCAGTTACGTAATACTCCATTGGAACCAGGTTTAGATTTAGTGGAAATTGCAAAGATAACCAATGGTTTCTCTGGTGCAGATTTATCTTACATCGTTCAAAGATCTGCCAAGTTTGCTATTAAGGACTCCATCGAAGCTAACATTAGATTACAAAAACAAAAGGAAGCAGCTAAGGCTGAAGTCAAGTCTGAAGATGTTGATATGACCACTGAAGTTAAGACAGAACCTAAGAGTGAAGCAGTCGAAGGAGGTGACGCAGAGGATGAAGAAGAGGAAGAAGACCCTGTTCCATACATCACCAGAGCTCATGTTGAAGAAGCAATGAAGACAGCAAAGCGTTCTGTTTCTGATGCCGATTTACGTCGTTATGAAGCTTATGCTCAACAATTACAAGCTTCTAGAGGTCAATTTACTAACTTTAGATTTTCGGAAAATGCTAATGGAGCTGGTGGAGAAAGTTCTTCAGGCACCACTGGTGGTAATGAAAACTCCGCTGCTTTCGGTCAAGAAGAAGATGATGACTTGTACAGTTAAAGGTAAGACTCGAAACAAATTACCAATTATTTAGAATTTCATGAGTAGTTGAAAGAGATAATAAAACAAATTAAGATACTGAAGAAATAAATGGTTTTAAGATGTACTACATTTATTTTCTTTTTATAACTATTTGTAAATTTTTAGATCTGTATTAATAGAGATGTTTTTATTTCTTCTTGTGTAAGAATGGTAAATTTTGTAAGTTCAATGAAGAATTTGATTTGAGTGGAATTGAAGACAGAGAACTTCTTTGCAAGAGCGCCGATCTATCTGAGGCGCTGGATGATAACTTTAATAATTCAGGAGGGTGTGACTCTTGAGGCTTTTGAAGATTGGCGATTTGTGGAATCGCTGCCGATATGTTTGTTGATGAATTACCAGAACTATTACCGCCGCTATTGCCACCACTGTTAATACCCTTCTTTATACCTGGGCCCGCTACTGACCCAATTGGGGATATAGTCAAATTAGAATAGGAATGAGATCTAGAATTTGAAGGCGAAGAATTGCCAGAAGAATTTCTAGAGCTTCCTCCTAAACTCTTAAGGTTGGCAGATGACGAACCTCTGGATAAAATCAGTCTACTCTTCGAGTTAGAGCCACTCCCATGAGAATGCTGCTGCATTTCCTCAAACCTTTTACTCAATTCAACAAGATTTATATTCGAACCTGGAAGTGGTGGCTCGTAATCAGGAGAAAGAGGCTCTTCGTTTAAGTCTGATCTTATAGCCTGAGTATAAGATGGAACTTTGACCATCTTCTCTGGTACTAAATTCTCTGATCCAACCCGAGAAAGATGGGTGGGTGGCGATAAAACTCCACCAGGCGTTTCCAATGAATGAGGATTAGACACAACCGAAAAGTAGTCTTCATTCTGGTTTTCATCATCTAAGTTGAAAGTAGCTCTATTTCTATTTTGATCGGTGCTGGGGGTTGTGCTGTTGCTTTCTTGTAATTGTCTTTGCAACGAAAGTTGGCGCAAGTTCTCTGACAATTTTTGAGTGTCCAATGATGACATCGAGAAATGCTGAGAAATGTCATCTGATGTGTGATAGTTTGATCTTGGAGTAGCACTTCCTGAAACAATTGGTGATTCTATTGGAGAAACATCGCTCCAGAGGACGTCATATACATGCTTTTCGTAAATTGGTGGTGCAATAAACCCTCCATAGGCATTAGTAGTAGTTTCTGGGGTACCGGCTAAATCTACACCGCTGCCACCATTTGCACGATCTGCTAAATGATTCAAACTTGTGTGACTCCCGCTGTGGAGATCAGACAGGAACAAAAGTTCTTCTTCGTCTTCTTCTTCCTCTTCTTGATTCACATGATTACGGCTCTTGTGACGAGTATCATCGAAACTGTGACTATCACTATTACTATCATTGATGTCATCGTCATACTTGGCTTTAATTGTTACAAATGGAGAAATAAACAATTGAATTGGTAAACTAGCCCTAAGTTCACTGACATGGCCATCGGGGTTTACTAAGCCAATAACAAACTTCAATTTATGTCTCACCTTCATATGTGACTGAATATCACAATCTTGCGTACATTTGGATAATGTATTCGGAATCTTGACACTAGTGTCAACTTCCCACCTATCCATTCCAAAAAAGTTTGGATCATCTTCATGTGGCCTTGGAATAAACTTTTCAGTCAAAATCCTCTCATCATTATGAGCTGGAGGCAAGTACCCAAGATAAGAGAAGAATTCGACCAATTGGATCTTTATATCACCCAAACGGAGTCCCTTTAAAAGAGGTACCATCGTAAAACTAATTGGAGTTTGGGTTCCAATAGCAATTGCCTTAGAGGGCACGTTCAACGAATATTCAACTTTACCAGGCCATGTATTATCGACAGCAACTGTTTCTGATAACTCTACCGCATCAGTGGTAAGAGTCCTGATCACTCTAACATGTCTCTTGGTAACCAAGGGAGCATGGAACTTCCCCCTTTCAATTACGGCTTCTAATTTGTAGACAACAGATCCACCAGGGAGTCCTTCCACGGATTCAGGCATATTTCCAGGTAAGATGGCGGAAAATGGAATTTCGTGGTTTCCCTGACCGAAACCAGTATTTCCGCTGCTGCTACCAGAGCCATGGCTATTGCTAGTTTGACTGTGGCTATGACTTAAACCTGCCAAGTTGGAGGACGAAGACGATGTAAGATGCAAATTTGATAAGTTTGAAGAGGATTTAGATCTAAAGGAACTACCAAACGCCTTCAATGATGTAGTGGAGTGCTGTCTAGAAATACTAGGCGACGTGGAGCTTGTACTTTCAACACCTCCGCTTGCTCCTGTAGGAGATGTAAATCCTGACACCTTCTGCTTCAATTCACTAGGGTCCCACGAATATTCATATATCTTCTTTGAGAATTTCATCGGCTTAGGGACCGTCCCCTTGGCAGTCTGATAAGGTTCCGTCCACCTCAAGTGGAGTGAGGCATACAAACGAAGACTGATCTTTTTAACATGTATTGGTTCGTTAAGTGATAATACGATTTTACCAACCATAAGTGCGGAAGCAGCGTCTTGTGCCGGTCCCTTCAATACCAAAACATCATGATCTAGGTTTTTGAGTCGAATATCGAAGAGAGAAGTAGCTTTTGTAGAAGCTTGTTTCTTAGCCATTATATCAGTGTATTCTAACTGAGGAGGGACAACTGAGAATAAAAAGAAGAAAGTAGAGACTAAAACGAAAGTCCTATAGAAAGAAGATATCGAGTCGAAGTAAAAAAAAAAAAAAGTGTAAAAAGAAAAAGCTCAAACCTAAAATTTGCTACTTTGAGAAAATGTGATGGTGATAGGAGGCCAAGCCTTTCCGTGAAGGTGATGAGGGAAGATAAGATAGAAGCATAGCGACGAAAAAGATCACAGGCGTTGAGAAAAAAAGAAGATACGAGGGAAAGTCATCCAACTGGAGGCGGCTCTGCAGTCATACTACTCAATCCAGCAAAAGAACCGACTGTTGAAGGTTTCAAGGGCGGAAGCGTTGCCCAGTACGTAATTCGTTTGACTATAAGGTTAGTCCGATGTCAAGGCGTGCTGATCCAGGGATGATGCAAGAGGATACGTAGAAAAGTATGTAAGGGTAGCCGTGCACGTGACAATTACCAGTAGATTTCGGAAAAACTAGGAAAAACTCTCGGAGTGGGCGATACTTCGAGCGCAGGATCATGGAAAGTTCCGCAATTTACGGGAAGAATTCCGACTTGTAAACGCATAGAATACCAGGCAGCAACCCCAGAGAGAGAACGGCCGGTACAGTGCATCATTCAAAGGTATCATTGGTCGGTCTATTGGGATGAAGAAGCTTCTCAAAATCGAAATGCAGTTATGGTTTGAAAATGCGTTAAAATTTTGATCAAACTGGTTTTAGTACCACCTAAGTGTGTAACTTCCCAAAAGTGTAACCTTTTCCCTCAGTTTGGTTTATAATTCCCACAGATTGATATCGCAGTGTAGTCGCATTCTAATAATAAATAGAACCAGTGAGTGTGACTATTTGGACCGTTGATACTGGTGAGAATTTTATCTATGGTAAGGCAACTAAGAAGGCACCGTAGGCTTATATCGATTTAATAGCGTGTATGGTTTAGCAATATCCTCTTCTAAAAACAATGTAGCGTATAAGTTCTTTTACAATCCATGTATACTGGTCAGTTGTTGAAATTGTCAGTGAAACGAGCCTTGTAAATTTCAACGTACTATGAACGTGGTGCTTCTGAGTTTGGAATATAAAGAGATTTTGGATAGTCAGAGTAAAATACCAGAAAACCAGCATCTAATCTTGTCTTCCATCATATTCCTGGGATACCACCATTAGCTTTTTTTACTTATATCGCTAAGCGATGCAATTGTCAATACCGCGCATCTTCAGGTAGCCATATGCAAGTTGGTGCAACAATCACAACTCATATACCCGCTGCGCACGAAAGCAAATACAAGAGAGATTGTGACTTAACCCTTGTTGCTGCGTACCCAGATGAAGAACTGTACTTGGTATTAAAACAATAAAATGGGCAACTGTGCCTCTTCTTGTTAAGTACAAATATATTGCAAACTTCGCATGGGAATGTAGCTATGAGATCGCCTGTTCCGCCAAGTACGACTACCCGGGAATGAAAATACTGAATACGACGAATTAGATTGCAAAAGAAAAATGGTTCATGTTACTTATTTTATTAATTTTATTTATTTATTTTATTTAAAAAATTAGTGGATCTAAACTGCATTGGAGAGAAAAAATAACTACTACATAGACCATGCCTAACGTTTGGAAACTCTTAGAGTTGCATGAAAAACATCGATATGAGATTCGAGAACCAATTCTGGAATGCCAATAGCGACCCTGGGGGAAGAAAATGTACGTGAGGTGCAATACACGAGCTTCACCATTTTGCATTCTAAGATTTGCCTGTTTTTATTCATGCACAATTTTTTGACAATGGTCCTGCATGGGTGCCGGCCATCATTAAAAGTTGTACATATTGCTTCAATTGCATCTAGAGTGTTACTCTGTTACATAAGGAATTAGTAAATGGTGTAATGGATATAAAATATTCACACCTGATTCTCACCTGATAGTGCTCACCCCAGATGGGCTTACCAGTCTCCACCAAATCTCCTTGCTTGCTAGGCATGATTTGGCTGGTAATCCACTTGGTAGCACATACATATAATTTGCATTCACTATAAAATTTATGCGAACAATTATTTTTATTACCAAATTCATTTAAGGTTTACTGGTTTCAAAAAATTAAAGCTGTTCCTCAGCATAGAAAATTCAACCTAAATGGGTTACGCATAGTTCCTGAGTGTACTTTCACACACGATTGAAGAGAATGTGGAGAGATTTTTTTCAACAAAATTTCATTTTATGTACGTTGCGATCCGAGAACCAGGAGTATTTTTTTAAGCGACATAAAAAATACAGATTAAAAAACTTTGAGTCAAAATTAAAGTTTAGCTAAATTCTGTTTAAGGTTGATAGTTAAAACTCTAAGTGACGATGGCCGTAGCTTGCTCACCCACAAGATTATGATACTAATTCTAAATATACTCTTGTACTACTTCAATCTTTTGATAACGGGTGTAATTAAATAACATTCAGTCGGCTATTGATTTATTGAATTACGGTAGTAGGGCTGAATAAAACAGCCGCTATGTGGTTTGGTAAACGTTCCCTAAATTATTCTTGATTCCCGTTAACTTTACACGAAGTGCTTAAAACATGCACCTCTAACTCACGATACATGCACCACATTTTTGATTGTACCTAAAAGAATGTTCAGCCATCATTTGCCAGCTAATATATCACCTGTAACATCAATATTTTTTTCGTGTATAGAAGAATTCACCAATTATTATTTACAAGTATCATCCTCCATTCCTTAACTCTAATCACATACTGGGCCGCACATATGTACCAGCTGCTGAATATTTGGCACAACGAACAAAAATATTGCTCCCAAATCCTGCACATAGTCGAAATAAATTTCAAATTCCTGCACAAAAGCATACACATCCTCACACCTGCATGAAATTGCACCCAGCCATTTCCTCTCTGAGACTTTACCAGCACTGTTTAGCGCTTTATATAGTAACACTTCAACAGATGCTAAAGCAAGGGGAAACGAAATATGGCTGGTCAGTGCAAGTTAAGCGAGTCGACAACGAATTATTTCAACTAAATATATATATATATGAAATTATTCGAAACTATCAACGAAGGAAAAAGAAACAAAACTTAAGCCACCTCCAACGCATACTAAAACCCTACACAGCTAGTTAGGTTTGGATATCCGTCAGTCTATAATTATTTCGACAACGACTACAGATCCAAAAAGAAAGGGTAACCATTATCAAATATACTATATCTAAACCAATTCATTCCTTCCAGATATTCAGCATTACATAATTCATTCATTCAACCAACTTCTCTTTCACTTTCCAGCTTTTCTTTTTTTTACACTTTGTTACCATATACATTTGCATCCAACCACCTAATTTTGCATTTCATTTCATTTCTATAGTTTATATCACATGAGTTTCAAGCCTGTTTCCGCCAATGAAACGAAACCATTGCCACGTCAACAATCTTCAACCACTCAATATGTTTACAACCCATTCGTCACAAACAATTCCAAGGAACAGGTAGATCTGGGCTGCTCAGAAACCTCAACTATGGAAATAGACCCTGAGGACAAGACGACATACAGTTGTGAACAAGCCATCAAAAGGTCTAAGTCTTGCTCAATCCTACCAACACAACTAACAAGGAGATCGTCTACATCATCAGTCAGAAGATTCCAAAGAAGAAAGGGCAGACTAAGCATCACCCCTCCAAGAAATAACCCAATGTCATTGATGTCAGAAGACTTCAGTGAACAGGAATTTTCTTTTAGTGAGGAGTTTTCAATGAACTCCCCATTCAGCATAAGTAGTAGTGGCAGTGCAGATTCAGACCTTGAATCTTTGCCTGATACTGACGAAAGTACCCCAAATACCTCACCTTTGTATAATTCCAACAAGACTTGCTTCCCATTCTTCAAGTCAAATAGGAGCATATCCAGCTACTTCCTGTTGGAACAAAAGAAACTTGAGGAAAAGGAACAAGACGAATTAAGAAGGAGATTGAAGGGACCTTCAATCTTTGAGATTCCTGAGATAGTTTATAAGATTATTGATTTTGCAGATGCCCAAAATACAAACATACCGCAGGAAGGGGCTACAGTAAGAAGGAAACCACTTTCATTCAAGCATGCCATGTTAATTTATGGCAACAAAGAGGACGCCAAGGCTGCCATGACTGCACTGAAGAACGTCTCTTCTGTGGAGGCTAATAATGCTGACAACGCAACTTCTAGAGGAATACTCCACAACTGCTTATTGGTCAATAAACTTTTCAATCAAGTTACTACTGAATTTATGAACAAGAAGTTCTTTTTCAGTTCAGAAGGAAACTTCATGAAATACTTACAAAGTAAAATTAAAGAACAAGAAAGTAGTTTATTGAAGCCTGTCACCAAAATGTCTCCATCGATGATTGTTCTTCATAAACTTTTCCTGGTAAAATCTGAGGCAGTAGAATTACTCAACAAGCAATTGGATTATTCCAACCTCGAGTGGATTGAATTTTTCATGTGCCCCAAGTTGCTACCATCCCCTTTCATGTTCGAAAGTAATGGACATAAAATCAAGAAGTTCGTAGTTACGGGATCAAAAGTACTTGATGATAACTTCATGATACACTTATCTAAAAAGTGCCGCAACTTAGAAGTGCTTGACATAAGAGCATGTGAATTGGTTTCAGATTCTGGAATATACAGTATAGGAAAATACTGCAGAAACTTGAAAGTGATAAACTTCGGGCGCAAGAAACGTGGACATCTCATAACCGACAATAGCTTGTCGAATCTAGTCAAGAACAATCCTAAATTAAATACCATTGGATTAGCCGGATGTCATGTTTCCGATAAAGTGATCTGGGATATCGCAATCCACTGCAATCAGGCAGTAGAAAGACTATCCTTGAACAATTGCGCTCTAATTACCAACCAATCAATCCCACTAATTTTGCATTCAAATTATTTACCAAACTTGTCAGTTTTAGAATTGAGGTTTGTTGAACAATTAACTAATTTCAAACCAATAATAGAATTCAAGAGAAGACAGCAGTTTAAAGGAATCTCTATTTTGATTGAAGTCTGTGAAGACCTTTGTGCTAAAATGAGACAACAAGAAATAGATATGGATAAAGTATTGTCCAAAAGAATATTCAAAGACATCTTAGAATATGTTAACGACAGTAATAATGATGATGACGTATCCCATGTTCATTTCATAAACGAACGAAGGTCGTTAGTGAGATAAATAATAATAATAATAATTCTTAATTAATATTCTGATTTCCCGTGTAAGTTAGAACAGTAGATAGCTAGGTATACAACAGGCTCATCTCCAAGAATTAGGAACTGTTGTCTTCATTGGTTGCACCGAAATTTGCTCATTCTGCTAAGCCGTGCGGCTGAAATATTTTCATTTTGGTTGCAATTACTGCATATAACCACATAACTCACTTCTTCAGCATTCCCAAATTGCAACACATTGTGAAACGAATAAAAGCATGTAAAGTGAGTGCTTTGATCTTGCAGAGAGCAGCTCGTAGATTAGAGCAGCTTTAGAAAGTTTTGCTAATCATATCTGAAATAATATAGACAGTTAAGAGAAATTTTTTCCTACTGCGCTGATACTTAGCAGTCTGAGATTGAACGCCAAGGAAAAATTTTTGCAACAATTTGCTCATTAGGCTTTGCGATCGAATTCCAAGCCTTTAGAATCCCGGAATAGCATGATTAGATAAGTGTATTTAAATGTGTTCAAATAATGACAAACGTATCTCCATTGCACAATGTATAGTACATACAGAGAAAGTTAGCAAAAAATTAAAGCAAAGAATATGGATAAAAGAAGAGTGACATATAACGGTTTGGATTGTGAAACAGACTATGGCTCTGAAGCGTACATGATAGAATTCGATATTTCGCAAGCCGATGTGTTGTTTTCAGATCAATTTCTCTATGGTAAATATACTGTATACTTTGGATTAGCAGCAATACTCCTTGCTACACTCAAAAATGTATGGTATCGGTATTCTGATATGACCTACAGAAGAAAAGTGCAAAATGGCTCCATTGAGCCCGGGTATTTTGGATCTTTCATTGCAGTATTAACCGCATTCTCCAGGTCTATAGGTTATAAACCAATCAACATGTACGTTAGTAAGTACTTGGGCCTTCCTGCAACTTCAGGTTCATTCTTGTTTGTTTTCGCAACTACATTATACTTAGCATTATATTCATTTGTTCCACATTATTGGTATAGGGGGTGCAGGGGATTTGGGTCACCTCCTTTAGCTGTCAGAACTGGAGTCATGGCTGTTGCGTTAATACCATTTATATACATATTAGGAGGTAAAACAAATATGATTACATTGGTCACTGGGATATCATACGAGAAATTGAATGTCTTTCATCAATTCTGTGGAGTAGCTTGTTTTGTCCTTTCATTAATCCATATAATCCCATTTATTTACCAGATTTATAATGAAGGTGGTACCTCATGGTTAGCCCATAAGTTTGCAACATTCTCATACTATAGTGGTATTCCTCCTTTAATCTTCATTGGGATTTTGATTTTTGGCTCAAATTCTTGGGTACGAAAGCACTGCTACGAAGGATTCTTACATATACATTGGCTCTGTGGCATTGGATTTTTCGGGACAACTGTTTGGCATATCCATGATGCTAATTATGAAATGTGGGACTACATGTGGAGCGCCTTGGCCTTTTGGATGTCTCAATTGATGTATAGAGCATTGGTTAAGACTTGTTTTAAACCCAATGCTTTATTTTTAAAACCAAGACCAGCTCAATTGAGGATTTTGGACTCACAAACATTTGAAGTGGTAGTTACCAATGTAGCTGATTGGTAACTGTACCCAGGTCAGCATTGTTTTCTTAGATTTGCAGGCTCAAGAATTTTGGACAACCATCCATTCTCGATTTGCTCTATTCCAAACGAAAATGATAAACATTCCAACGAATTGAAGTTCATCATAATGCCAATGAAGGGATTAACAAGAAAATTGTATGAGGAGCTAGATGAAACAATTGCTACTAAGAAGAAGGTGTTCTTAGATGGCCCATACGGAGGAAGTTCTAGAGATCCCTTGAGTTTTGATAATCTTACAATGATTAGTACCGGAAGTGGAGTAACCGCTACCTTGCCATTTTTGCAGTTCGCAGTTCGTTCAATTGTAAAGCACAAGGAATTATCTGAGTACATTGTTCTTAAAGATATTCATTTTGTTTGGATTATCAGACTGGAAGAAACTATTGAATGGGTTAGAGAAGAGTTAGATAGAGCCATACAGGCTGCAGCAGAGTACGTCACTATTGATATTTACATTGTTAATGCACAAGACAAGGCAATTGAGTCAATTGGTGATAGAGGAAAACACGAAGTGATATCGGAGATTACTGAGAAGGGATCAGAGACCAGCAGCACCAATATAGACACCGTTCCCTTAATGACTAAATCCATCAATATTCATCATGAGAAACCTAACATCTCTCAAATAATGGAAGAATCTAGGAGATACTTGAAGAGAAAAAATATGATTGTTTCGTGCGGGAGCACTTCAATGAGAAGAGAAGTGTGTAGAAGCGTCGCAGGTTTACAGAGCATGGTATTTAATTCAGACATCCATAAGAGCCAACACACGATTGAAGAGGTATTTCTCCATACGGAAGCATTTGGTTGGTAGAAAGAAGGACGGAAATCATAAAGCAAAAAAGGAAAAAAAAAAAAAAAATAGAGAATAGCCCTGACCGTATTTTCTATACAAAGCATTAAAGACCAAACTATATAGAGTGCAACATGTACCTACTTGGTACAATCAGCTCGAACCCTCTTCATTAAATATACAAAATATCTTATCTTTACGCTCACGAACGAGTTCTTCCTTTCAATACAACACAGCAAGCCATCTATAATATCCTTACACTCCAGCATGTAGCTTCTAACTCCATTAAGAACACCAGCATACACCTTTACTGGGAAACAACCTGTTGCATGCCATTCTCATGCTAGTCCTCTTTTGGAATATGTTTCCCTGCCTCCTGCACAAGACAATGCATTTCTCTTTTGTTTGATGGCCACTTTGAGCGTTCCCACATAGGCAGTTTTTCTCAATTTGTGCGCTTTTTTAAGAAATTTTACTGGGCTTGACATAAACTGCACCCAAACGCCGTCTAACTCTAACGCGTGACATTTCTGAGGTGCACCAACAAAATTATTAACCTATTTATTCTACTTTGAAACAGAACAAGCTAGACGAAGTTAAAAAGCATTCCTAGAATAATATTGTGCATTCTTCGAAGCAAATTAATATAATTTCGCTCCATGGAAGCACTAACAAGGGTTTCCAGGCGTCGATAGAACGGCTATGAATATCTCTCCACGCTCTATATTGTTCGTAGATTATTGTATGTAGTCTCTCTCCGTCTCTGCCCTACAAAAATATCACACACAATAAAATTGATTGTTTACGTTTCAAGATTATGTACCATTTAAAATTTTTTACCACATTGAGCACTCGCTTAAATGCACGTCCCTCCGTCTCACTGTTTTCAGCCAAATATATACAGAAAATATTTAGTGACAGCAACACTTAGAGCTGCAACCCTCCTTACCCCCAGCTAATGGAGATACGAGATTATTTTTGAGGAGAGAGGAGCCAACTTTTTCCATAGCTTCAACAAGAAGCTTCTATACCAGAAATAAGAAAAAATATAAATAATAAATACTACCACTCACTCTTAATTTGGGTAAATACCAAGAAAGCTTCATTGATATTGAAACCTAAATTGGAAAATATAAGTGACAGATATTTCAGCTTTTGCTTACTGGTATATTATTCTTAAATAAACCCTGTTTTCTTTAAGTTTGTTTTTATCCCCAGAGTATTAAACATTACCACTAGTATTGTCCTTTGTAACAAGAAGGTCTTCAAGTTGGCAAGTGATTAGTACGAATCGATTTACATCGCCTACATTTTTTTATTTTTTTTTTTTCGATTTAACTTTCTAAGATAGACGTTGACGTAGCAACGAGATCGTGAAAGAAAATCAGACAAAAGAAAAGAAACCTACAAGATAGGCCCATAAAGCAGAAAAAAGATAAGTTGCTTCTTGAGGGTCCATAAAACCAATCAGTATACTATTCCAGTGATAATATATATCCAATATGGAACAAAGTAGAGAAAGTCTATCTAGACAAATGTCCTTCACAACTAGGTTATCGCACCAACCGTCAAAACTTGATTTAATCGATGATACTACGCTAACATCGCTCCCACTACCCCCACCTCCTTCCAGATCGAGGAATAGAACAAATACAATTGAAAGCAAAAGAGATAGCGATAGCAACAGTAGCAAACCTTACGAACAGTGCTCGCCTGATCTCAATACTAAACCTGAGTACATTGAAGACGAAAGCTTTTTTGACGAAGAAGAAAGCGAAGACCCCATCGTCTTGGTCGAAGATTATATGAAGCCAGGCGAGGAAAGCACCCCCACAACCATGACCAGCTTGACTTCCACGAGGTCTGCAGGAACTACAGAGACGAAATCACTGGTCTCTTCTGGTTCCAATAATACCCATTTGCATAGAAAACAATCATTGGCAACGTTTAAAGTACGGTTGCAACAGCAGCAACTCTCCTTAAACCAAGAGTCGGACCTTGTTAGTATTTCAGACTCTTCCTCGTCCACGACTACCTCTATTGTAGACCCACTCACGTTCAGTAGAACTTCCTCAGCCAGCAATAAGTATAAGTGTTCATCTACCTTAGAACATTTTGAAGAAGTCTTTGGAAAAATCCCGGGAACTGACAATTTGAAGTACTGTGATTTGTGTGATAAACCACTTTACGAGATTAGTGCCATCATAGAGAAGAGAAGAGGTTACATTGAAAGTCTGAAAGATTCTGAGAATGAAGAGATAAAATACCAAGAATTTGTCTGTGAAGAATGTGTTGAGACGTATGATCAATTCTTCAACGAATTAGAAGAATTAAACTTAATAGAAGATACAAATGCCCACGAGCAAAAAATGAAAAACAATAGGATTTGCGAGATATTCAAAGAAATAGAAAGAAAGTACAGCGGTAGCACTAGCAGTGATATAACTACCCTTAACCAGATTACTACACCCTCTACTAATAAGAGATGCTTTGACTCGGCAGATGAGACAGATTCCAAAAGAACCAAGTTCTCTGAGAATTTATTGAGTAGGCTTCATAACCTTTCAGAGAACGACATTTCATACAACTGCGCAGGTGGGAAGAGAGGTAAATTTACCGCTGATGGTGAATGGATTAAAAACATCCAAAATAAGTTAAGATGGAGGTGGAGATTACAAGGATTATTGCCAGATGTCCTAACCAAACAGCATAGCATTAAATAGCATACAGATAGATATTTATAGATTTAATATTACGACTAATGATACGAAAACTAAACTAAATCGGCCCTTACATGTAAAGTGGAACATTCATTCCAACGGTATATTTTTCAGTTTATATGCAGGATGTAATTAATGCATGCGCATAACGAAAGCAAGGAAAAAAAAAAGCACATCTTGAGCAATCGACCACAGTCTTTTTCGATACGCTTGGAACAGATGTTAACTAGACAATTCTCATCTTCTATTCCCAGTTTCAAGAGATTGACCGAAAATGCATTCTCCTTAAACGAGTGGTTGTTCAGAAAGGAGCTTTTTAAGTTGTATCGCAGAATAGTGAGAACTGCCTATAAAACGCATGAAAGAAGAGAACTTATTGAATTTGCGAAAGGTCAATTCATACAGAACAAGGAAGTAGCTGAGTTAAACCAGAGAAAATATCTACTTAACGTTGGAATGAAGCAGTTTAGGGACATGAGTAAGACTATGGGATTTCTGCTTGACGTAGGATTGAAGCCATCAGATTTGTAAATAGTACTAAATAACTAATGAAAGCATGACATATAAATACATCAAACGAATATTGTAGAACGAGCGCACTGATTGGCACCACTGATAAGTTTAAACTTTGTTTTTTCCTCCGGTAGATCAATATGCTTATTTTTCAGTGCTTATCAGACTTTAGATAATGGAATGCACCTTTTAAAGAGCACAGACTAATTTGATGATACCCTACAATGACATCGAAACCCAAAAAGTATGAATTCGTAGGCTTATCTTCTAGGTCTCGAAGTGGTTGTTTGAACTGTAAAAAGAAGAAGAAGAAATGTGATGAAGTGAAACCAAGATGTGGTTTGTGCACGGCTTCGAAAGCTTTGGAATGTGTCTGGGGAGATCGCAAGAGTAAAGGTCATGGTATGGACGGATCTACAAGAAAGGTTAAGTCTTCAAGTAATCAGCCTTTAGTGGTACTAAGGACCCCAAATTCATCGACATTTGAATCAGAATCGCCAACGACTCCATTGACACCCTATAAGAATTTCACCGATGCCAGTCACTTGAGTGCAGAAAAATCGCTAGCGGTGACTTCAAGAGGTTGTACTATCAATGTATGTACGGAAAAGGAGAAAACTTATTTAGAAAAGTATCTAAAAGTTGCTGAGACAATGTCGATAATTGGAACAGAAGGTAACTGTTACTTAACAATATTCTTTCCGCTCGCTAAAGAGAGTGAATGTGTACTAAAAGCATTACTTTTATGGGGAGGGATGTCTATGGGAGGATCCAATGAAATCATATGTAGAAAAGTAGACCTAAACGTAGCGATCCTGTTGATTGACCGATTGACAGACTCTATCCATAACAGTAAATTCGATAATAACAGAGTACGCTTATCGCATTGTCTTGCAGCTACCTTGATATTATTGGATGCTGAAGTACAGAGTGGAGATATCAAGAATTGGAAACTATTATATGAAAAAGCTTTCCAAATACTAAAATCCATGGGCTTGTATGATGATATTTTGGATCCCATCAAAGTCCAAGCGATATCACCTGTAGAAAGATGGTTGTGTATTAATTTTCTACATCACGACATACTAACATCACAAGTGAATGTCACTGGAACTGCAGTACCGTCTTCTGTCGGCTTACAGTTCAAGGGATGTGATACACTAGAAGGATGTTTAAAACCGTGTTTCCTGTTGTTGAATGAAGCCATAAATTTAAGGATAGAAGCCAAAAAGAGCTATAAACTTCTAGAAACTCCAGGCAAAATACAAAATCATAGAACAACACAAGAATTAAATCAGCTAGAGGCCAAGATATCGGACTTAGAGAATAAATTGATCCAAACTAGTCCTAGGCCTGAGGATTTGTTAGAAATTCCTAAAAAGTATATGGAGCTTCATTTATCACTATATGAGCTCTTTCAATTTTCAATTCAGATTTATCTTAGACTCGCAATTAGAAGGTATAGCCCCAATGTGCCTGAGATTCAAGTATTTCTCTACAAAAATATTAATCTACTAATCTTCCTTATTTCATCAAATGTGAAATCGGCCATGAAGTTCCCTTTTTTAATAGCAGGTATTAGTTGCATTCATGAATGCGATAAAGTTAAAATAATGAATCTATTAAATGAATATGAAAGAAATCTAGATCATAAAAATATCGGATTAATCAAAAAGTTGATTCAAGAAGTTTGGAGGTTAGATCCGAATGGTGACTTATGTTTGGATTGGCAAGACATTGCAAGCGGATTTGGGTGGGATCTTTGCCTATCATAAAGCTTAAGAGTTCAATTTCAAACGAGCCAAGCATTTCTACTTCATGGGATTCTTCTTGACAAAGAAGATTCTTGCAAAGATGTACTGATCTTAGCAAAAGTATTTTGAATTACTTTTGGTGAAATATCTGCATTGTCGACAAGACTTTCCTTAACTGATTTTTCAATCTGTTTTAATGCCGATTCAACATTTTCATCTATTTCTCTCTTTAAATCCCTTAATTCTTCTAATAAACTTGAGCTTGCCTTTTTCAATTCTGCTACTTTGGGTGAATATTGCTTTGGTAAATGATGCATAGTCGTAAATAAATTAATATTACGTACCAATTCTAAAACTGTAAGTAGTTTATGATTTACCTCCCAACTGAGTAAGAAAGAGTGATCAGTAAGTTCACCGACTTTAAACACTTTATTCTTAATATTATTGATGGATAAGTTCTTAATTAAGAAATTGAAATCCGCATCGTTATCTGGATTAACAATATAGATTTTGAATAAGCTCAAGTAGATTTTGTAAGACCAGCTTTCAGTGCTGGTGAGTTGTCTCTGCGTCGTCTCATCATTCAATAATTTATTTAACTTGGTAATCAATTGTTTAGATTTATCCGCATGAGTTTCCTGAAGAATTAATTCTCTTAAATAATAGGATTTAACGTACTCAGAAGATTGTTTTGGTCCAATTGAAACAGAATTGTGGACTAGTTCATTGATTTCTTGGGCTCCATATTTCCATTCACTGATAAAATCTCTATTGTCATATAATTCAGGAACCAGAAGAGGATCTTGTGATTTCAATGCTTCCATGCTGTAATGTATAATTTGATTATTTCCAATTATTTTGCTCATCCTTAGCATTTCAATAAGATTTAACATTTTAGCCACTGAATTGTTGATTTTTGTACCAAATTCTAAAAACCCTTCAATTTTATTTAAAACTAGCTGTTCGAAACCATTACTAACCATGTCCTCTACTTCTTGTTCGATAGTGAGGTAAAACTTCTGAATTGATATTAAATGTTGTTGCAACATCAACTGGTTTGGATTAAGAGATGAAATTCTAGTGCTAATATGGTGTGATAGGGTGTCATTTTGTATCATTTTAATATCAAGGTGATCAAAATTGGCATTTACTAAAGAGCTGCAATTGATATATGAATAAATTTTCATAAGCCATAATCTTAGCCTGAATTCATGATCATCATGCTTAGCAGAATTTTCTAGTATGACAATAGACTTGAAAACATTTTCTATAAGTTTATCCTCAGAGACACCGTTCTCAAGAAGTATTTCAACATTCATGAGGATGAACTCATCTCCAGCAAAATAGTCCTTCTCATCTTTCTTGAGCAAAACTGATTGGAAAAGGTTATAGTATTCAAAGTTGGTGGTCAAAAGATCTTCTGTTTTGCCTAATAGTTTATTGAATTTTTGATTGTTGACCAATGCATTTAATTCCTTCTCATTGAATTCACCACCACTCACATTTTTTTGACTGGTACTGTTGATCAAAGTCTCAAATGCATTTTTGTCAAAATAAGTAGGTTCGCTTTTATAGAAATAATTGATATCATTGAAGCAACACAACTTATACTTATACTCATTATAATAAGCAACTAAAGCTTCATGGAAAGAAGTTTTTGATTTCATAATGTCCTTAGAGTAAATTAGGTTAGCCAATCTTGAATTTCTGGAAGTTGATGCCTTTAATTGGTCAGCAACTTCCTCTGACTTCCCGATGTTGTTCGATGCTTTAATTAAGTACTTCCAAGTATCAAAATCATCTAATTTATCTTCAAACAATATTTGATAACTATATCTGTATAGTAATTCCCAATTTTCTAGTTCACTAAGACATGCTAAAAGAATAATTTGCAACTCCAAATCGAATTTTCTTCCCTTGCTGAATTCTTCAATTGAAACAACAGCTTCTTCAAAATTGCCTATATTATATAAAATCTTCACATAAATGTATACTTCTTGTTCATTTTGATAAGGTTTTAATGTTTCTACGAGTTTCAAGCCAACTTTTGGGTAGAGAGATTTTTCAACGGTGGTGGCATCAGCTTGAACACTTTGTAAATAATAAGTGAAAGCAGCCCACAAAGTGTATTTTCTTGACTTCAGGAACTTTTGTAATGCCATAGAACTCTTTTGGATTGATCTTATATCAAAGTCTTTCAAAGCCAATTCAAACCAGGCAAAAATCAAATCATGGTTCGCATACTTCTTGATGGCATTCTCAAAGACTTGGGTAGCATCTTGCTTGTGATTCGTAGATTTGAGGATCTCATATAAGAGTTTCAAAGTTTGCGGATCGCTTGGTGTCTTTTCCTTTAGTTTGAGAGATTCTTGTACGGCTTCTTTCACTTTACCTTGCTTGAAAAGAATATAGTTATTGAGAGCATAGTAGTACAGTTTATTTGGGTACTTTTTCAACTTCTTCAGTAGCAATGTCTGAGCAATTTTGTAATTCCCGTTTTCTATTGCTTGGAGAATGGGTTGTTCGGAGTCCGACATGCTTACAACTCCTTACACAATTACCAAGTAAAGGCTCGGATATGTCTGGCACTTCTTGATTCAGTATTTTTCATCGAGCATATTTCGTGATATCGCTCATGCGAAAACGAAATCATCACTAGAAATGAAATTTTGGAACAGATCAGAAAAAAGCAAAACGTGCAACAGGAGGCCCGAAATATAGGCGGTGAGAGGGTATTTTGAAGTCCATATAATATGGGATTGTGATAGAATACAGGAGCATTTAAATCGAATTTATTAAAGAAGAGTTGGTAAAAATAGAATGAATAGTGGTAGTTGTGAGAAAAGTGATAGCCTCCATGTCTCAGTTAGTCTCAGTTAGTCTCACTTGTTCTCAAATCACTAAACTTTGAATGGGAAGCAAAGAGAGTTATTTACCATTGATACTGCTAGTCTAATGCATATAACATAGCTAAACTGAACAAAAATACAATAATAAAACTAGAATAATAGAATAGTACAGTGTCATTCCTTGCCTTTGGTTCAATTGTGTTTGGCTTGCACTTTTGAACTCCATTATTGGAATAGTAAATAGTGCAATCCCTATCGGCTCTCAACAAGATGCTAACTAGGATAATTTACTTTTTATGTGCACCCATATCGACTAGCAGTGCTAAATCAATAGCATCTAAGCAGCAGATATGCTGTCGAAATAGCTATCCCTCTCTCCAGAGATGAAATAAGCTACCCCTGTGCAAATAACTAAGAAAGCAGGGAGTAATCGTGTAAGGCTCCCCAGATCCAAAATTTTTCATTTGGACTATAATTACGTACTGCATATAATACATTATTCAGCATAGTTCTGTGAAGGTTATTGTACTTTTTAGCCACTACTGTACTACCTTACTGTCATTGTAACGGGAGGGCTTCGTTTATATATTTTCAAACTGACATTTCGGTAAAACTTACGACTCAACCCAAAAATAGTCACTCAGAAAACGTCTTTTCAAAGAAACTTTGACCTATTAAACTGAGTACATACTAATACAAGCATTACTGGTGTACTGGTGTCCAAGGCACATAAGCAATTCAAGATAAACCTAAGGCAATAGGGTGAAAGAGGGACACCTTTGTTTCTCCACGTCTTCTTGGCACTTTGAATTGTTCCGAATCTCTTTAAATCTTTATCTATAAGTGTGGAGAATGCCGAGAACTTTACCATCGGAGAAAGAAAAAAAGAAAAGCGAAGAGAAGTGTATACATTGAGTAAGAGATAGTGCAACCAGTTTTCCACACAAACGCTTCAAGAGTGCACTTTTTACAACCATGGCCTCCCTAGAAGCTCAAGCACTCTATACATTGATCTAGGACTAGACTACATATGATGTATACAATGCTGATGTGTTGATCTTTTCATAGAACCTTTTGGCATCAAAATTTTTGACATATATCCTGCCGCAATATATATCACGTGTCTTGGCATCGAGTGATGCCAAGATAAGCTAACTACTAAGAAAAATGATTTCTAGGTTATGATCTCGGAATTCACCGCAGAATGGCGGACCTTCTGATTACAAAAAGGAAAATCACCACATTTGTTCAACTGTCCACAGGGAAGTAAATATTCAATGTTATATAAGAAATAGACAGAAAGGCACTTCTAGATTTAAACCCTCCACTCATGGAGCGTGGCTCTCTTTCTCTCTATCGCTCATTCTCATTTTTAGTCCAGGAGTACCATCTCCAGTGTTCCTATTTCTCGGTTCATTAGTGATATGCCAAGTTTCTGCATACTGAAAACATGATGGGGTTCCCCGGAACTCGTATTCTTGGCTAAATTTAGTCATTAAAAGGGTCAAAATTTCGGTCGTTTTTTTAAAGGAGGCACATGTTCTACCCTCGGAACTCGCGCTGAGATACATGCTGCATACTCCATTTTTCTTCATCATGCTAATCTACAGCCGTTCTCACAGATTACTATCAAGAGATCACCCAATTCTAGAACTATATAAGTAGAAGATAATTCCCATGTCAATAAATTTTCTTGTTATGTTAAGATTCTCAATTACATAATTATAATACATATAAACAAAACAATATTCTTAAATATATTAGGAATTCAGTAGTATCTTAAATTTTTGCAACTGTTTTCTGTTTTCTATTTTTAAATTATTGTAAAAGAAGAAGTAGACGCTTACACATACGCTTACATTTATTAAATCCCTTTGTTTGAACAGATCTTATAGCTCATGAAGGACCAATCCTCCACAAATTCCATGACTAATACTAAAGATGGACAAACTAAAGCTGAAGAATATTCTATTTCCCATGAATCGCACAACTCCATAGAACCTTATAGACTTACAATTCCTCAATGTGCTAAAACTTTTCAAACAGATATCGCTCTTGGATTGACTAGTACCAATGCTCAAAAGTTAATAGAAGTTTATGGTGCAAATTCTCTTGGTGATGAAGCAAAGATATCAATTACAAATATTATTGCACATCAAGTGTTCAACGCGATGATCTTGGTTTTGATTATTTCTATGATTATTGCTTTGGCGATCAAAGATTGGATCTCTGGTGGTGTGATTGCTTTTGTTGTTTTCATCAACATTAGTGTCGGATTCGTCCAAGAGTATAAAGCTGAAAAGACTATGGGGTCGTTGAGATCTTTAAGTTCTCCAACTGCTAGAGTAACCAGAGACGGAGACGATGCTACAATCCCTGCAGAAGAAGTTGTTCCAGGTGATTTAGTTCATATTAAAGTGGGTGACACCGTTCCTGCTGATTTGAGATTGGTTGACTGTATGAATTTGGAAACAGATGAAGCTTTGTTAACTGGTGAATCGTTGCCAGTTCTTAAGAATCATGAAGACTACTATCCAGATATTGAAAAAGACGTTCCAGTTGGAGATCGTTTAAATTTGGCTTACAGTAGTTCAGTAGTTTCAAAAGGTAGAGGAACTGGTATTGTAATCGCTGCCGGTTTGAATACAGAAATAGGTAAGATAGCTAAATCCTTGAGAGGTAATGATTCCATTATAAGAAAGGTTAATAGAGTTGAAAATGAGAAACCTAAAAAGAGAGAATATAGTAAAGCATTTTTCGGTACTTTGAAAGATATCTGCTTAAATATATTAGGTGTCACTGTTGGTACGCCATTACAAAGAAAGTTGTCATGGTTGGCGATCATTTTGTTCGGAGTTGCCGTTCTCTTTGCAATCTTAGTTATGGCTTCACAGAAATTCAGGGTCAACAAAGAAGTTGCAATCTATGCAATTTGTGTTGCATTATCAATGATTCCATCTTCATTAATCGTTGTTTTGACCATCACAATGGCAGTTGGTGCCCAAGTAATGGTCACAAAGAATGTAATTGTAAGAAAATTGGACTCCTTAGAAGCATTGGGTGGTATCAATGATATTTGTTCTGATAAAACAGGAACTTTGACACAAGGTAAAATGATTGCAAAGAAAGTTTGGATTCCAACTAGTGGTACATACACAATTGAAAATTCAAATGAACCCTTCAATCCTACAGTCGGTGACTTGGGGTTTGCTCCATATTCTCCAAGTGCTATTCGTGATACTGATGAAGAAATTGATTTCTCTTTCAACGTTGATTCAAATAACTTCCCACTGAATTTTACCAAATGGATGTATTGTGCTACTTTAGCTAATATTGCAACTGTCAATCAAGCTAAGGATGAAGAGACCGGTGAAGTATTGTGGAAAGCCCACGGAGATGCCACTGAAATTGCAATTCAAGTTTTCACCACTAGACAAAATTTAGCAAGGGAATCAATCGTACACGATTACGATCATTTGGCAGAATTTCCCTTTGATTCTTCCATTAAGAGAATGTCATCAATTTACAAACAATTAGGTAATAACGGAAAAACTATGGTATACACCAAAGGTGCAGTTGAGAGAGTTTTAGCTTGTTGTAAAAACTGGTATGGCCACAACGACCAATCCGACGATCAAAAGCTCTTATCCTTGACTGATGACGACAAGGCATTAATTGAAGATAACATGAATGCATTATCAGCACAAGGATTAAGAGTGTTGGCATTTGCTACCAGAGAGTATGAAGATAAATCTGAAGATATTGAAGACAGAGCTTCAGTCGAATCTGGATTGACCTTTTTGGGATTAATCGGTATTTATGATCCTCCTAGAATTGAAACAGCCGGTTCTGTGAAAAAATGTCATAGAGCAGGAATCAACGTTCATATGTTAACTGGTGATCACCCTGGTACTGCCAAGGCTATTGCTCAAGAAGTTGGAATTTTACCACACAACCTTTATCATTACAGTCAAGATATTGTCAAGGCAATGTGCATGACTGCTAGCGAATTTGACGCATTGACAGACCAAGAAATTGACGCATTACCTGTTTTACCATTGGTTATTGCAAGATGTGCTCCCCAAACTAAGGTCCGTATGATTGACGCTTTGCATCGTAGAAAGAAGTTTGCAGCCATGACTGGTGATGGTGTTAACGACTCACCTTCATTAAAGAAGGCTGATGTCGGTATTGCAATGGGTCTTAATGGTTCTGATGTTGCTAAAGATGCATCTGATATCGTTTTAACAGATGATAATTTCTCCTCAATTTTGAATGCAATTGAAGAGGGACGTAGAATGTCATCGAATATTCAAAAGTTCGTTTTGCAATTATTGGCCACCAATGTTTGTCAAGCATTGTTCTTAATGATTGGATTAGCATTTATGGATGAGACAGGATACTCGGTATTTCCATTATCACCAGTTGAGGTCTTGTGGGTCATTGTTGTGACCTCATGTTTCCCAGCTATGGGATTGGGTCAAGAGAGAGCACTGGATGATATCTTAACTCAACCACCAAACAATCAAATTTTCACTTGGGAAGTCATTATCGACACAGTTGTTTATGGTATTCTCATGGCAATCAGTTGTCTTTGTACTTTTGTTCTTATTGTCTTTGGTGTTGGAAATGGTGACTTGGGCTACAATTGTAACGCAACAGACAATGAATCTTGTCATTTGGTGTTCAAGGGTAGATCTTCAGCATTTTTAACTATGACTTGGTGTGCTTTATTATTAGCTTGGGAATGTATCCATCCAACAAACTCGTTATTCTTTATGAGACCTGAGCTGGAGAACCCATGGTACAAGCAAACCTGGTTAGATTTATACGGAAACAAGTTCTTATTTTGGTCAGTCATTGGAGGATTCATAACCGCCTTCCCAGTCATTTATATTCCAGTCATTAATGAAAAGGTATTCTTACATCAAAGAATTGGCTGGGAAGTAGCCTTGGCAATTGGATTTTCGCTTTTCTTTTTCTTAGGAGCTGAAGCTTGGAAATGGGCCAAGAGAATTTACAAAAGAAAGCACATTGCAAAGGCATCGAACCCAGAGTATGAGTTGGAAAGAAATGACCCTTTCCAAAAGTATGCCTCATTCTCGAGAAGTAATACCATGGACATGCAAAAGGTATTAGTTTAGAATTATATTTCACTTCTTCATTGATTTATAATATTTATTTTAAGTCATTTTAATTATTAGATTATCAAGTTTTATAAAGCCCAGTTTTTGAAAAAAAAAAAATATTAAATAACCGAATAAATAAAGTAATATTAAAATATCTAACGTAATAATTGGTCGGTCACCACCTTTTGCTCGCCAAGGTGTGCAGTCTCTCCAAAGAGTTGTATAGTACCCTGTTTCGTTTCTTTATTGAAATCTACAACAGTAACACTGGTGTTAAATGGAACTCTCAAGTTTTCCGCAGTTAAATCTGGACTCAAGTCGTAACCATTTCTATGTAAGTAGTTTGCAAATGCAGTAAGAACACCACCATGGGTGACTAAAACACAGTTTGAGTAATTCTCTTCGATACTTTCATCAAGAACCAGTTCCCAAAACTTGTAAATTTTACCTACAAAGTCTTCTTCCTTCTCACCTAAGTTACGGAAATCATGGCCAAACTTCTTTATGGCGTCTGCTATGTGCATTCCCTCGACTTGGCCCATGTTCCTTTCTCTCAAACTAGTGGTATATTGTACTTTCGAAGCCAAGTGAGGATGGTGTTCGATAATTTCTTTTGTTGTGTTACGGCATCTGATCAAATCAGAGCTAAAAACAGCATCAATAGGAACAGATTTGAATCTTTCTCCGACTTTTTTGGCTTGATCAATGCCAGTACTGTTAACATCTATATCTATGTGACCTTGAAGAATCTTCTTTACATTATAATCAGTTTGACCGTGTCTCACCAAGAACACACGAACCACCAGAGGGTTTGTATTGGATAAAGAGCTACTAACAGTCATTCCAGAGTAATATATAACAAGTTACCCTAATGTTAAACAGAAGTAGAAGTTGTTCTAAAAATTTTTGCAATATCTGACGCAAGAGAGATAAGATTCTGATAGAGGGGTCAGGTGACTTCTATACATTAAAGAATATTACGTTGGGCCGGGTAACTCTAAATTTTTCAATTTGTGCCTAAGGAAAAGAAGAAAAAAAAAATTCACAGTCAAAGGCATCAACTACAGGGTTACATAGTTCAGTGTAGTAGAAATCTGAGCTGTAATGTCCGTAATAACACGTCAGATCGCTCGCTCTGTGCGCTTAGCTGAAACTATCAATACCAGAAGTTTTTCCACATCCATACAAAGACCTTTCATAGCGGATCTCTTCAGAGATAGAAAGACTCTCGAACAAAGAAATCAAGCCATTGCTGAGAAGCAACAAGAACAAGAAGAAAATGGTGCAAACTCTACGCAATCCAAAATAGTGTTTCTTAATGAAGAGAACTCGCCTTCTATCAAGCAGTTCAATGTAGAAGAAGACATGCCAGGATTTAAAGTCGAACAATGGAAGTCCAAATTGGTTGAAGGTAAAGATATAGAATCGACCTACCTGCAGGAATCTGTGAAGGACATCTTAATCAAATCATACAACGAAGTAAACCAAGCAACACCATTATCCCAAGATATTGACGACTTGGCTGTAGTAGATTTGAATGATTTACAATTAAGATTCCAGCTCTCTAAGCAAATTCAAAAAAACTTGGGCTTTGACATCAGTGACTACATCTTTTCCAAATCCCATGACTTACATACATTGTATGGATCCATCTGTGAAATTATATCCAAGAGATGGACTAACGAAAGAAACCCCAACGCTATTGTCTTACGTTCTGAAGACTTTTCTGCGGGTAACATTTACCTTAACGAAGAATTAGATAAATATCAACAAGACAAGCTTTACCAAGAACTTTTGGAAAAGGCTAACGAATCTGTATAAACCCCGAACCACATTAAATCGGAGTAAAACGAAAAATAATTAAGATTATATCATTTCCACAGTATATAATTGACCTGTAAATATAGAATTCAATACATACATACATACTTCCTAGCTTGCTTGCTTTCTTGCTTACTGTATTACAGATATAGATTTGGTATTAATCTTTTATTCTTGTACATATATAAATAAGATTCTCTACACTACTTTCTTCCCATGAAGAAACCAATGACAGCAGAAGTTGTAAGGACAGCCAAAATCCCAGGAATCAAAACTTCATTTGGGATTCCACCTATGAGATCATTGGAGTTACCGCTTTTCTTCCCCTTTGATCTACCTATATTTGCTTCGTCGATAGGAGCAGGTACGTGTGGATTGTGAATGTATAAATCGGCCTTATCATTTTTCAAATGCTTATTAATTCTAACACACTCGATAAGATCGTGATCTGAGGTGATTGAGACAATATCACCTTCATCATCGATATAACTTATTGCGTATTTCTCCTCAGGAGTTACCCTAAGGAATTCTAAATCCTTTGCGTGAAGTTTGCTGTCTATCAATTCATGAAGCTTCTTCACCCCTTCAATTGGAGTCAAAGATACACGGTGAACTCTTCCATCAACGACCGGTGACCTAAATTTGAAAATGTAAGGCGATAATTTGAAAGAAACATCATCAGTTTCAGTTGTTCTTTCTTCCTCTGGCTCTTCATCTTCATGTGCTAACCTTGATTTTCTCTTCGGTCTAGTTGGAGAAGTGATGTAAGAGATCGAATCTGATGGCTTGATGTTGTCAACGTTAAAAGAATTGAATTCGGAAGGAGTGATTTCTGGAATTCCACCCGCTCCGGTTCCAGTACCAGTGCCACTGCCAATAAGTGAGTCCGAATGCACGGAATCACTGTCATCATTATCAAGGGAAGTCCAAAACTTATTCCAAGCAGGACCGTTACTTTCCTCTTGCTTCTGTGCCAGTTGATTTTGGTTCAGGTTCTGGCCATCATTATTCTGTTTATTATCATTTTCCTCGATAAGTTTTATCTGGTTCAAGGTGGTGTAAGTCAATTTCAAGACATCTACAATACCTATAATTTGTTCCATTTCATCAATTACAGGTAAGTTCAAGTAATGACCGTCAAACATTTTTCTGAGAGCTTCTTGAATTGGAAGATTCTGGGGTGCAACATCTGGTTGTGGAGTCATTACTCTAACAATGCTACATTTCTTAGGATCTAACCCTGCGGCTATAACTCTCAACACAACATCTTTAGAGGTAAAAATCCCGGTGACCTCTTCGTTGCTATCCTTAACGAGAACGGCTGTGGTATGGTTTTCCTTCATCAAGATGGTGGCCTCGTAAACTGAAGCCTTGAAGTTGGTATAGACTGGCATTGTAGATCCATCTACTAGCACACTTTCCAAGGTGGGGCCGTTCATTTTCAACTTCAAGTTTTCAAAATATTGGAAAATGTGTAACGGTTGTTGCTGCATTCCAATTTCACTATGCACTGAGTCGAGAGCTTCGTAAAGCTTCTTCGAAGAGGCATGCATTCTTTCTAATTTCTCCATCTGCTGAGCATAACATTTGGTGATATCCAAGACACCAACAATTTGGCTATTTTGCTCGTCTAAGACTGGCAAGTGCCTGAAACCTCTTTCCACCATCAAATTTAAAGCTTCCGAGGCTGGGGTATTGGAGTTAGCACACATTGGGTCTGGGGTCATAATCTGATCAATGGTGACTTGGGTAGAATTAAGCCCAGATCCCACCACTCTGAATGCCAAATCCTTAGCCGTGAAAATCCCCAATAACTCTCCCAAATCATTGACTACCAATATACAATTTTCTCTCTTGGCAGTCATAAGCTGAGACACTTCGTAAACAGTGGCCGTTGGCTTACAGATGATAGGCTCCGAGGGTTTCAAGTATAACACTGTACCTGGAGCGCCCTTTTTGCTTCTGTTGGTGCGTGTGCTGCTCTTCTTTTTCTTACTCAAGTCATTTTCAATCTTTCTTCTGATGGCGTCGTCTCTCTTAGACTGACGTTTTCTTGACTCGGAGATCTGTGTATCTGAGATTGGGTTGGAGCTACCAGAAGCGGTAGACGACGGTTTATTTTTGTACATAATTGATTATCAATACGGAACACAACTGGTTATTAAAGACAAAGGAGCAAAGGAAAGCGACCAAAAACACAAATGAACTAAGAAAAGATCGAATAAAGAGACTTCCTCTTAATCTGGTATAGATCAGCTCTTTCCATTTTTGATTTTCCTGCGTATTGATTTTTTAGCTTTGTATTTTTTCTGTAGATCAAAATGATGCAGATTGATTAGGGAAATGTAAACACTGGGAGTGTTTATGCAGGTCGATGAGATTGGTTCAGAATGAAGCGGATAATTTTGTGCCATTTATTTTCTGGAGCAGGAACTGGAGTAGGAGCGCTTGAAGCTGGAGCGCTTGGAGCCGGACATATTGGAGGAACAGCTCTTCGGAATGAAACAGTACTCGAAGGATTGTGATTGATTACGAGTACATTATATTTACGTAAGAAACTATGTGAATGACTATGCTTTGACTTGATTCTCAATTGGGTCTCCTATCGCACTGAAAATTCCAAGCTGCATGCTCCAGAAAAAAATACATATATCAAATTCTCTACGGTTTTAACGTAGTTCGTTCATAAATAATTCTCTGCTCTAGGAAAAACAGTTATACAAGCTCTTCTTCAACATCTTGAATTATCAAAATGACGCAAACCAAGCGCAGAATGCAGCTACATCACATACAATGAATTAGAAAACGCAAAGGCATTTCATTTGTAAGTACACTATATAAAGAGCTATAAGAGATGAGTTCCTGACTCTACTGTAGCATGTTTGTGTAATTAGAAAATAGCAGGCATAAAGACAGATAAAGTTTTGCCTTTCTTGGAAGGATGATTTTTCAATTCATGATATGGATTCAAAATATCTCCAGTAACTAAATTTAATGGTTCGACCTCTGGTATTTCATGAAGTTCTTCATCTATGAATATTTGTTTCTCTAAATCCATTTTCTTGTAAAATTTTCCATGTTCTTTATATAACTTTAACAATTTTCTTATAAGTCTTTTATTGTTCATTTTCACAGCAGCAACAAACAAATTATACTCAGGAATATCTATGTATTCTTGATAAAGTTGTGTACTATTTGGAAATAATATATTAATGTATAATATATTATACTTGAATTTGTGATATTTTTTTGATATTATATGACGACAATCTATATCATGTCTAGCAAATACTAAAAAGAAATCTGATTCACCCATATATTCATCATACTTGTCAGGATCCACGGAAAACAATTTAGATAATACCTCATTACTCCTATCTCCATCTTTATATAAACTATGTGCATAATCAAAATCGTTAACTATTTCGTATTTAGTGTACTCTATTCTTTTACGAAAGCCTTCTATATAATCATAGGAATTGAATAGGTATGCATTTTTTTTAAAACGTTCTTTAGATGTATCATGAGCATTACGTAAATCTATATTTCCCGTATTTAGTTCATCAAAAAATGAGTTAATATTTATTACTCCTACCTCACTTGGGTAATGTATTTTTAAAATATTTTCATTTTCATTTTCCAATTCTATATTTTCTTTTATGTATTTATATCTTTTTAAATAAAGTGCTAAAGTAAGGGCTTCAGGAGTCAAAAATGTATCTTTATCAAATAATTCATACCAATCAAAAAGTACTACTATAAAATCAACTTCAGAATATTTATGATTCTTTATTAGTTCTTTGCATGTTTCATAACTAGGATAATTAAAATCATAAAACGGACATCTAGAATGTCTCTTCAATTGGTTTCTTGAAATTAATACTTTATCAACTATTCTACTTGTATCAAATAGAAAATTATCATTCGTTTTAAGTCCATGTTCTATAATATCCATTACTTCAAGCTCTGCAAGTCCTTTAAATAACTCACGTCTATCCATCTTATGGACTATTTTATCAATCTTACTTCTAATTTCTTTTACACGTAGCACATTTTAAGCAAAATGACAAGAATTCATCAGCGGTAATGGAACTGTATTCGTGGAGTGCACATATCCCGCACACCAAAAACTTCTTCACACAAATGAGTTCTTGTTATAAAGGTCGCTTAAAAGGTGAAATTATTCTGCATTTACTAAAATGTTTCAATCATAGATAGATTCAATTAAACAGAATTTTAAATATGTATACATAATCAATTCTAAAATTAAACCTGAATATTAGAAGACTTCTTTAATTCATGATATGGATTCAAAATATCACCGGTAATCAAATTTAATGGTTTGACCTCTGGTATTTCATAAATTTCTTCATCAATGAATACTTGCTTCTCTAGATCCATCTTCTTGTAGAACTTTCCATGTTCTTCATACAACTTTAACAATCTTTTTATAAGTCTTTTATTGTTCATTTTCACAGCAGCAACATATAAATTATATTCGGGAATATCTATTTTATATTCAAAAGTAGATTGTGTACTGTTTGGAAATAAAATATTTATATAGTATATATTGTATTTGTTTTTAAAATATTTTTTAGATTCAGCATAATCATAATATATATCATGTCTAGCAAATACTAAAAAGAATTCTGATTCACCTATGTATTCATCGTACTTGTATGGATCCACAGAAAACAATTTAGATAATACCTCATTACTTCTATCTCCATTTTTATATGATCTATATGCTATATCAAAATCATTAACTATTTCGTATTTAGTGTATTCAAATTTAAAAATCGGTATTTTATCTATATGATCATAAGAATTGAAATCGTATTCATTTCTTTTCTCATGAAGTTCAAAATCTTCATAATGCTCTTCATGATCAATATCAATTACATCTATATTTCCCATATCCAATGTTTCAAAGAATAGATTAGTACTTATACGTTCCTCTATATATAATGGTTCTAAAAAATAAGATTCATTGACTAATTCTAACTTTTTCTTTATGTATTTATGTCTTTTTAAATAGACTGCCAATGTTAAAGCTGACTTACTTAGAAGTTTATTTTCATCATATAATTCGTACCAATCAAAAAGTACCATCAAAAAACTAATAGTATTATATCCATATAATTCATCCTTTAGTATTTCTTTGCATGTTTCGTAACTAGGATAATTAAAATCATAAAACAGGTTAAAACGTTCTCTATTTAATTGGTTTCTAGAAATTAATATTTTATCAACTATTCTACTTGTATCTTTTAGAAAATCATTATTGCTTTTAAGTCCATGTTCTATAAAATCCATGAAGTATAGTTCATTATAATTACCCTCACATCCTTTAAAAAGCTCATGTCTATTCATTTTATTTATTTCTTTACCAATCTTATTAGTCTAATTTCTTTTACACGTAGCACAATTTTATAAAATGAGAAGACTCATCGGGGCTTATTCAACGATATTTGTGGGGTACATATATCCTGCACACTCCGGAGGCTTTTCAGGCAAATGAGCTTTGTCTTAAATCTGGTTGACAAGATTGTTCCTTCAGGAATTTGGGTCTTTCTTCATGCACTAAAACATTTCAATCGAAATAATCAGACGATGATAAGTATATATGTTAAAAGGTCAATTCAAATAACCAATAATAAAATCAAACATAAACATTTCTAGACTTTTTTTAACTCATGATACGGATTTAAAATATCACCAGTTATCAAATTCAATGGTTCGATCTCTGGTATTTCATAAATTTCTTCGTCTATATATACCTGTTTCTCTAAATCCATTTTCTTGTAAAATTTTCCATGTTCCTTATTAAACTCTAATAATTTTTTTATAACCAGTTTATTATTCATTTTCACAGCAGCAACATATAAATTATACTCAGGAATATCTATGTATTCTTCAAACGGTTGTGTACTATTTGGAAATAATATATTAATGTATAATATATTATACTTGAATTTATGATATTTTTTTGATTTTATATGACGACAATCTATATCATGTCTAGCAAATACTAGAAAGAACTCTGATTCACCCATATATTCATCATACTTGTCTGGCTCCTCAGAAAACAATTTAGATAATACCTCATTGCTTCTATCTCCATTTTCATATAAGTAATATGCTTTATCAAAATCATTAACTATCTCGTATTTAGTGTATCTAGGAATATATGGATTTAGATATGTAGGTATTTTATGTATATAATCATAGGAATTGAAGGCGAATGTTTTTTTTTTATAATAGTCTTTGTATGTATCACGAACAATACGTATATCTATATTTTCCACATCTAATTTATCAAAAATTAAATTAGTATTTACTTTCATACCTACCTCCCTTGGGATTTGTGAGTTTATAATATTTTCATTTTCATCTTCTATTTCTTTCTTTTCTTTTATGTATTTAGGTCTCTTTAAATAATGTGCTAATTCAAGTGCCACATCACTTAATCCCCTTTTTTCATCATATAAGTCACACCAGTCAAAAAGTATTATTATAAAATCAACATCAGAATATTTATCATTGTTTATTAATTCTTTGCATGTTTCGTAATTAGGATAATTAAAATCATAGAACGGACTTTCAGAATGTCTATTCAATTGGTTTCTAGAGATTAATATTTTATCAATTATCCACTTTAAATTATCAACAAACCCTTTATTACTCTTAAGCCCATGTTCTATGATATCTATCAAAGAACTGTCTGTGCGTCCATTATATAGCGCATGTTTATTCATTTTATTTATTACTTTATCAATCTTATTTATTTTATTTCTATAAAAGAGTACATTTTATACAATATGACAAGAATTCATCAGTGCTAGCTGATATTCGTAGAGTGCACATATCCTGCACACCAGAAGCCCCTGCAGGAAAATGAGTTTTCTATTAAATCTCTATTTTTGCAGCCGTTTTTTATTGTTTTCGCAATTTCACTTTGCTTCATTTTCACTCCTCCAAAGTTTTGCAGCACCTATTAAAATTCGGCATAGGTGTCTTCCTGTTCTTCTTCTTCTTTTTCTTTTTCTACGTCTTCTTCATTTTCTTATTGGTTTTGTCTAAGTTCGTTCTTGTACCACTCCACTGTTGTTCACCTTCAGATATATACCATGAGTCTGATATCCTTTTCAGGGCTCCTTAATTCTGTTTTTTCTTTCCCCATTCTCGGATATGGCGCTAGCTTTTTGAAGGATTCGGTAATTTCAGTGATGAGAACTGGTCCCGTCCCAAAACATGTAGCATTGATCATGGATGGCAACAGGACTTACGCCCAAAGAATGAACCTTCCACTCAGAGATGGCCATAATGCCGGCGCGGAGTCTCTAGTACTGGTGAGTAGAAATGAAATTGATGTGATGCATTCATATATATTATCAACAATTATTACATCTACTAACAACATATAGGTCCTTGATGTCTGCTTCAGGCTCGGCGTCCACCACGTCACCATTTATGCCTTTTCAATCGAAAATTTTAATCGCTCCCAAGAGGAAATAGATACGTTATTCGAAATTTTGCGTGACAAGTTAGAGTTATTATCATTGGAAAGCAGCTCCTTTGCCCAACTTAATAAAATAAAAATAAAGATCATAGGTGACAAAGCTTTAATCCCAGAGGATATCTTAAAAGATTTAGAAGATGTTGAAGAAAGAACAAAAAATTCAACATCACCGAGGGTCCTCAACGTTTGCTTCCCTTATACCTCGAGAGATGAAATAACCCATTCCATTAGGGAAATTGCAACCAAAGCTCAAGCAGGTGAAATCCAAGATATCAAGAATAATATCGACTTAAAGTTATTACACGATTCATTGTACATGGGCGAGGAAGCACCCCCACTCGACCTATTAATCAGAACTAGTGGCCACACTAGACTAAGCGACTTTATGCTCTGGCAATGCAATGAAAATTGTACCATCGAGTTCGTCAAAACTCTATGGCCAGACTTCAAGTTTTTAGGTATAACCTCGTTGATTTTGAAATGGATGTATTATAAAACGTTACAATTGGATGATGAAGAGAATGATCAAGGCAGTACCGAGCGGAAGATTGTCAAAAATATTCTTCAAGATTTACCGCATCCTCCAAATATAGTTTCGGTAACAGAGAGGGGTTAGTGGATGCTGTGGTCGCCCACTTGTGACATGCTTTGCTTTCGAAAAGCTTATATGGTTTTTATTACCTTTTTGACTTCCTTTTTCTTATTTTCAGCTATTTTTGCTTCTTCAATCTTATTGAGGTATCCCATATAAACCACAACTTCAGCTACCAATATAAGGAGTCCAAAGAAAATGCAAAGAAGAATTCTATAGCTATCTTTTATTCTCATGGAAGAACCAGTCCAGTACCAGATAGCATATACAACAGATGCCACACTTATGAAAATATTAAATATGGTTGTTATATGTGATCTAACTTCTTTGTGCATTTGTGCTGGAGTCAACTCAATATCATTCGCTGAAGGTTCATACAACAATTGGCTCAAATCGGTCGTCTTTCCAATCAATTTTTGATACTCATCCTCCTTGGCCTTCAATCGTAACTCGTTCATAGATTCAATGAATTCCTTAGATTTCGGCTTCAGTTCTTCCTTACGAACTGGGATATATAACTTGGTCATTTGAATTAATTGCAATAAAGTTGGAGTTGGTGAACATAGCTTGTAGAAGCTAATTAAATTCGCATGAGTAATATAGGGCGAAGAGAGAAGGCTCTCTTTTTGTGATTCGTCAAGGGAGGAATTGGATACAAGTTTAGTCAATTGGGGCGTTAGCAAAAACTTCGTCATGGCTTTACTGTTTTAAATTCAACTAGGACTTGTGAATGATACTAGAGAGAGGGCAAATCGATTTTAGTACCTGAAAAGTTCACCTATACAAGGTTCACAAATCCTGCATGAAATAAATTGGCATAGTGAAAATTGGCTATTCAGCGATAAGCAGAAACTGATTAGTCATAGTAACAGACACATCGTTGTGGCTAAATACCTGAATACACCTATTTTTTTTATCTTCAAGAAGTATACGAAATGCCCACCTCTACAGTTGTCGGTGCTTTGGCGTGCCAAAAAAATTCGTTTTTAAAATCTTATGAAACTGTTGTTTTATCGTGTTTAGAGGTTAAACAAGAAGCAAAGAAGGCAGATAAGAAATCAAAATCAAAATCGAAAGAGCAGACTCCAGTCGAAGAACCCAAGAAACAGTATTCTATTGAACTTGCTGATACTGTTTTGTTCCCAGAAGGTGGTGGCCAGCCTTCAGATACAGGAACAATTACGCTTCCAGATAAGTCAGTTATAAAGGTAGACCAGGTGCTCAGAGATAAGCTTATTGCTAAACATATTACACAGGAGCCTATAGAGCCAGGTGCTGCAGTTACTGTTGATGTTGATTGGGAAAAACGTGTTGACTATATGCAACAACATACTGGACAACATTTACTCTCTGCTGTTTTCGATACGTACAATTTGGAAACCTTGAGTTGGGCCATGGGTGATAAGATCAACTACATTGAGCTCCCAGAAAAGATCAGCGATGAAATACTTGAAGAAGTAGGTGCCAAGGTAAATGAACTTATATTCCAGGCGTTACCAATATCTGTAGTGACTCCCGATGCGCACGGAGAACCAATCGATACCTCCCATATCCCTGATGATTACGATATGAGTAAGGGAATTGTCAGAATTGTGAAGATTGGAGACATGGACGCTAACCCATGCTGTGGTACCCATTTGTCATCAACACTGCAAATCCAGGCCATCTCATTGTTGCACCAATTAAATGTCAGAGGAGGAAACTCAAAATTGTATTTCCTTTGTGGTGCCAGAGTGTACAAGTATTTATCAGAACAGAACAAGATTTTGAAGGGAAGTGGTGCATTACTTTCGTGTCAGCTCGATGAGATTACTGATAAAATTACGATGTTAAATTCGAATTACAAAAAGGCTTTATCCAGAGAGCTGCTGTTGTTGAAAGAATTGGCTGGGATTGAGGCCCAAAGGTGTTTTGACAATTTTGAAAAGAACGGGAAAGACGTTCAATTGGTTTATCGCTCTGACAATAACCAAGAATATCTTAATTCATTCCAGAAAGAATTATCCACCTTAATCAATCAAAACAAGAAGACAACTGTAGTTGACACTGACAAGAAACATACTATAGTCTTACTCAATGGAGACTACCCATCAGGTTTAGGCGGAGCCGTCAAACTTTTAGGTCCTCGCACAGAAGAGATTGGTGGTGAAATCAAGAAAAGATTTACCAATTTGAAAGGAGGAGGAAAGGGTAACCTGTTCCAAGGCAAAATCCAGAAGTATGAGAAGGGTGAATTAGAGTCCGTTTTGTTGTACTTAGACCAATTTAAATAGATATTTATATTTTGCTTTCTTTATATATACAAGTGAATTGAGAGAAACTTTATATTCTAGGCAAAGACTAACGTTTAACCCAGGCTGGCATCTTTCTTGCCTTAAGCTTACCTGGTTTCTTTCTTTCAACCTTTCTAGCATCTCTTGTCATGAGCCCGGCGGCGCTTAATCTAGACTTGAGTAATGGGTTATGTATGATCAAACCCTTTGCGATACCGTACATGATTGCTTCACACTGGCCACCAATACCTCCACCTACAACTTCTACAAATACGTTGTATTGACCTTCTTGGGCAACGGTAACGAAGGGGTAGTTAATTCTGGACCTATGCTTGTCATAAGGGAAGTAGTCCATGAACGATCTACCGTTAATTATGATTTCTCCTTCTCCCTTAACAAGGTAGACTCTAGCCTTAGAAGTCTTTCTTCTACCATGAGACAAACTCCTACCGAATTCATCTAAAGTCTTCAAGACCTTGGCCCTTTGAGACTCCGATCCTCCCACATAGGTGAACTCATTCAAGACGGTCTGGACTTCTTCAGGCATCAACTGAGGTTCAATGGATCTCAATCTTTGCAAAACTGTGGTTAAATCTTTATGGTGAAGTGGTTTCAATCTGGTACCACCGCCAATCTTCTCTTTATACTCTTCGAAGTTAATAAATCTCTTCTGTTCTTTTTGAGTCTTGGCATCGGAAACCTTGGTTGGTAAGTTGATGTACTTTCTTACCACCTGGTTGAGTCTGTTCATGGTATAATCATGGCCTGGGTTACCACCATAGAAAGTTTGCAAACTTGGAACGACTCTCAATCTTTCTAATCTCGCATCCATCTTAGGCAATTGTAACCCTAAGTCAGATGGGATAGGATATGAGAAACTCCTTACATTACTATTGCTATTTTGTGGATCTTCATGCTTTTTATTGGGGATTAAGGGTCTTCCTGAGACGGCATCAACGCCATCCAATTTTGGTTTCGTCTGAGCCTGAGCCTGAGCCTGTGCTTGTGCTTGACCTTGTGCTTGGTTTTGTGCCTGTGCTTGTGCTTGAGAGCTTGGTTGGGGTGGTTGTTGTTGGAATCTATTTACAGTAGATGAAAATGTTCTAATAGGTATTCTGGCCCCTGAGTAGAGGCTCTGAATAGACCTCAAGGACATTATGGACGGGACTACTCGCTCTATACTGAACTAGAAACTGCTGTTCGATATCTTCACTTTGAAATTCGGTGTACGGTGATATACTGAAAAATTTATTGAACGGGGCACGCACACTTAGAAGTGAAAAAAAAAAAGAAAACTTAAGTTGGACCATGACACAAAGCCAGCTGGAGTATAACCTCCAAGTTATTAAAATTAGTATTATTTATTTATGTACATATTTATATGTATACATTTATATTATTGTACAGTTATATAGTAAAATTTGAGTTGCTGGTTCCTTCATTTGCTCGTAGGGGTATATGGTTGTGAGCTTGCAGCAGAAAGTAGAGTGCTTAACCCATTTCCAGATGGGGTTCGGTGTTGTTGGCTTTGATTTTGCTCAAACTGTTCCTGTTGAGCTGAAGGGTTTGGAGGAGAGTTCAAGAGGGACTTCAAGCTACTAGAAGGCTGTGACATAGGAATATACGGATTCTTAACCGGCGACGAATCAGAATTCAATAAACTCATGATAGATGATCTTTGCGGCGGAGGTTGGGCCTTGGCTGGTAGAGGTGGCGGCGCAGAAGCCTTAGCTTCTACGGGAGGAATTGGTACCGATTGATGCTGTTGCTGTAAAGGTGGTTGTGAGTGTACAGGTGGAGGAAGCGGCTGCGGTTGCGAAGGTTGCAGTGAAAAGATATCAGGGTACGGTTTGTACTTAGGATAAGTGCTATCACTCAGAAGAAGTGAATTAATAGATGGTTTCTTACTCGGTACAGATGCGAAACTTTGCTCTTGCTGGGGCTGGGAATATGAATGCTGAAATGTTCCTATCTTAAGTCCACCATTCACCTGGGTGTCGTAAATCTGAGGATAAGCTGACGAGGTGGCTGCCACTGGAATCTTAATTGATGGAGGTGGGTTTGGACTAGAAATAATTGGTGCAACCGTAGGACTTGTATTGGTAGATGCTGCTGATCCAACTGGAGCATCCTGACCCAAAACTGCAGCAAACTTTGCCTCTAATCTTGCATCAGCCACCTTAACAATATCACCCCATCCATGCTTTTCTGAATTTCTTTGGAAATAGTTACGAACCATGGTAGCAGTTTTTGTCGATAAGATATCAGCAATGGTTGTCCACTTTGTTCCATGTTCTGCCAATAAACTAGGAAATAAATTTGCCTCTGTTATACTCCAATAACTAGTGATCGCCTTCTTCTTATCCTTACTATCACTGAATTTATCTGATTCTTCAGGAATTTCTTGCGAAGCATCTGCTTCATTTGAACTAGATGGCACTGGAGCAGAAACTACTGAAGCAGGAATACTTTCAATTTGATCTGCTGCTCGTAAAGGTTGGTCAAGTACCAAAGGTTGTGCTACAATCTCCACTTGTTCAGGATTCACAAGACCAGTGATTGGAGCAGAAACTATTTCAGTTTTAGTTGGATCGCTTGAATTGGCCACAACTGCCACAGGAAGAGTATTCACGGTGTCAGCCAGAGAAACAATGTTATCTTCTTTCTTCTTCGATTGCTTCTTTTTAGCAGGCTCACTACCTTCATTGCTTTCCTTGAAAATTGGAGCGGCAGCTCTCTTTCTTCTACCAGTTTCAGTATACAATTCTTCTGAAACAAGTTTAGAATTTGCAACTGTTGCAATCTCAGCAGCAACTTCAGCCGCGACAACACCGAGGTCCTCAGTGCTACTGCTAATGTTATTGTTTGTACCACTAGGATCAGTACTGCTTGGAGTAGTGATTGGAGTGTTAGAATGAGAAACATTTCTAGTTTTTGCACTCTTTCGGCGACCACCAGCTGCCCTCTTATTAGCTTTCTTCTTAAACTGGTTCACCATTAGCTTATAGTTTACTGCTTTTTTTGTAAGATAGTAATGCAAAACACACTCCTCTGCAGTCCTTAAGCGACCCATATGTCTCGAAATAGCACCGAACCTTTTAGGCATCATGCAAAATCCTTCACAGAACAATTCATGCTCTTCAAAAGAAAATGTATCCTGGAAATCGGTATGAACTCTTTTTGACCAATTTTGTTTATCAATCACCATGTTATTGGAATCCATATACTTTATGCAATCTCTTTTAACTGGATCTAATATGAAATCTGGAATTTTAGCAGACACATGTTGAGCTTTGACCATTGGATCTTCTAATTGTTCCTTTTCCAACGATTGTAATATTTCTTGAAACTCGGCTTCAGTAGTAACTAGATCGCCATGGCGACGGTTACGTCTCCCTCCAGCACCATTGCTTTGAGATGATCCACTGTTGGCTCCAACACCGGGTTGTTCCAAGTCATCGTGTGTGACTCCACTACTTACACCTCCATTTCCATTTTCATTACCCTTATCATCATTTTTCACTCTGATGTCAATTGAATCAATTTCTCTTCTCATCTCATCATCTGGTGGATGTATAACCTTCAATTGCTGATCCATATTATTGCTCTTAGATTGCCATTTCTTCCAACTGAGGGCACTACTATTCCATAATGATATTTTCTTTCTTTGAATAATTCTATTATTTTCCTTTATTTGGGACGTCAATTTTTCGAGTTTGTGGTCCACAAATGCGCCAATGTTCTGGGAGTAAAATGGATAATCTTGGAAATCCAGAATGGGCTTTTTCGTTATGTAAGGCAATTTGAAACCAACCAGTTCATTTTCCTTGTCAGTTTCAAGTGTATCTTCAACTTTAGTCTTCCTTTCAAATTCTTCCTTTAGTTTCTTGAATTCAGTTTCCATAAAGTTCAATGGATATATACAACCTTCTTCATACATAATTTCGTTGGAAACATCAACAGGCGTTTGTAAAAATAACTTTGGTTTTGATTCTGAAACTGGTATCTTTTCTATTTTAACGTCGGTGGCGGGTTCTATGGGTGTTGCTACCGATGTATCAGTATCATCAGTATTAGGACCATTCCCTGCAGATATATTGATTGAAGTGGGTTCGATAGTTAAGGATCTGTTGCTTTCGTCAGCCTCTTCATTATCATTATCTTCGTCATCGTCATCGTCTTCATCATCGTCATTGTCTACATCGACGTCGTCGTCCTCATCGTTTTCGTCGTCTTCTTGTCTTTCAGACCTACTACGCTCACGGTCATGATAATCAGCTTCTTCAAGTTTGCTACTAAGTTCCAGGTCCTTTTCTTCACCACGTTTCACAGAAGTACCACTTTCATTTACGTTAGAATACTCATCTTCATCCTCTCTTTTATATGGTTTCCTGTACCCATCATCTTTCGAATAAGCCGATGAGCCGTATCTATCATAGTTTCTGTCCTCATCTTTGAGTCTTCCACCTTGGTGATATTGTTGTGATTGCAGATGCTGGCTCTGATGATGTTGATATGCATAATAATCTCTCCTTTGGTCCTCGTCTCCATACCTTTTACCCTTGCCTTTAAAGCCTCCACGATACTTACTTGAATACCTATCTACACCTTTGCCTCCAGATTGTGACAATGAGCTGTAACCTCTCGATGGGTAGTACGTATCGCTTACTCTTTTGGCGCCAGAATTTAATAATGAGCTACTTCCGTTTGCGCTAGCTTCGTGGCCAGAACCTAAACTGGATCCAGCACCTATTCCTGAGCCAGAACCAGACCCGAAACCAAAACTGGAAGTACCTGTGCTAGGACTTCCACCAGCACTAAGGGAGCTGCTGCCACCGTAAGAATTCACTCTTTTCCCAAAAGGTCGACTTCCTGAGTTGGATAATGAATTTCGTCCGGAAGAAGGATTACTGTTGTTGATATTGCCTCCAGAGTACGAGTCATACCTGTCTTTTCTGAAGTTATCTCCTGAGCTACCCCCTCCACTATTTCCACCATTATTTGCAGTATTCATTGACTTCAACTCTCCACTGCTTGAAGATCGCCACGGTTTGTTGTACCCTCCATATCTATCATTTCCTCCTCCTCCGCTACCAGAGCCTCCTGCACCGCCTGGAGAGGAATTATTACTATTACTGTTGTTTCCATATATGCTAGATCCGTAGGAACCATACGCACCTCCTCCTCTACTAGACCCATATCGACGTCCTGCACCAGAGCTGCTTCCTCCCATGAAGTCATCACTGGCACCCATGGAATGTGTTAGCGATGATGACCCTGGTAAGCCTTTTGTAAAATCCCTTCGCTGGTTACTATTAAATGGAGGTTTCTTAGACCTTGCTGGTTTGGATGAGCCATACTCATAATCATAATCGGTATATCGATTATTTGACTGTGGGGGACCCCTGGACCCAGACATTTCGAATATAGCTGCGCTTATATATTTTTAAATCTTCTACTATTGTGGTTTGATTGAAGCTGTGAACTCCAGAAGGATAATCGTAAGAAGAAAATAAAAAATGCTTTAAGTGAAAAGGAAAGAAAAAAAAAAGAATGAAAATCCTGCACACAGACATATCGCCATTACGTAATCAGCCAGTATCTTAGGGTAGGATTTGACAAGAAGGTAGTGTTGGTGTTTTAGGTACTTTGTTTTGGAGAAAGTTAGAGAAAATTAAGATTTTTAAGGTCTGTTCAGTTGAGAATTGTATGAACAGACCCTAGTATAAAATTGCGGTTGATGAGCATCTTCGGTGAAGAATTTGAACAGATCTGGTATTTGAGGAAGTGTGCTGCAGTGAGAATGGAACCTCAGTGCAGCTTAAAATACGAAGTGCTGGTCTGACATGCGAAGCAGGTGAACCGCAAATTCGAGAAGAGCATCATCGTGGGACGAGCCTACAGGATTCGTTGCGAATGCTTGGAAAGCATTCCAATCTGTACCGATATGTGAGCATTGCTGCCTGTGGGGCCTGTGAGAGGAATATCAGAGGTAGAAGAAGGAAGCGTGAAGGAGAGTGAACGTATAGGTCAGCTGATGCTATGCCTGTTCCAAAACAGCCAATTATTTTATAGTAGTGCTATTAATTTATTAAAAGTATGTATGTTTTTTTTTTACTATGTTAGTTAGTACACAATCTCTATGATTGTATACTGATGCAATTCGAAATAGATCTACACATCCATTTCGGGTCTTGATTTAGTCGCAATTCAAGATTCTTTCGAGTATCCCTACTTCTTGAATCATTCTAGAGACATCTATATACAGAACATTGGAACGAATCAATTTATTGGATACCTCAAAGTCCCCATTCCCGGTTGCTATGCAACTTCCAATACTACTGCTATTACTGTTACCACCACCGCTGACGTTACTTGAAATGGTAATTAAAGAAGTTGATTCCAAGGCACTGACAATCTCTAAAAACTCTCCTTTTTTTAAAGTGCCTAGAATTCCTTCCGAAATTTGAGTAGTTTTGTTGACGTAGTGATCAAAGAATTGGTTGACAGAGTTTTTGTTGCTGTTTATTTTCGTAACCTTTCTCGATTCGAAGTTCAACAAGCAGCATAAAATCGCTTTTTGTAGTAGATTGAGGTTACTTAATCTTGTCAGAATGTTTTCTCCAAATGATGTAGCACAGACTTTTGCAATATGTGATATCAACACCTTCGGAGCGTTTGAAGCATCATATGCCTGAATATCTTCGTTTTTCCTTCTCAATTCATTCTCGATCATCTCGATGCCCTTGTAGCATATATCAAATGCCTTTCTTAAATCACCTGTGATTGAAGAAGATTTTCTACTGCACAATTGAATGGCTGCCGGATGTATCACTGGGATAAACCCAGCAGGAACGGTGGTCTGGTTCTCCTTATCTTCCTCAGATTCCTCCAATAAGCTTTTCAATTTGAAGATGCAAACATCCTTGATTTGCTCAGATGTGTAGGGGAAAAATTGAAGAGATTCTGGACTCAAATTATTACTTTTCAATCTAGGTAAAAATTTGTCAGTTAAATCCAACGCGTTGGAAATACTGATTACGACAATCTTTGTTTTCAACTTAATGAAAGACACGAAGTTGAAAAGCTGAAACAAAACTTGCTGGTCCTTGGTGATAAGATAGTCCAACTCATCAAGAAGAAGTACTACAGTTTGCAAAGGCTCGTGCTCGTGTTGCAAGAACTCTAACAAATCCTTTGAAGACTTCTTCCTTGTGTACATGACGCTCAGTTTCAGTGTGTCTAATTGGCAGTAAATCTCGTGGAATATATTTTCTGGTTTAGATACTGTCATGCAATTAATTTTAATAATCTTCACTCTAGTAGCATATCTGTGAGAAATGCTTTGAAACGAAAGGTTAACCTGAGCAGTTTTACCAGTTCCTGGGGGCCCCGAGATGTAAAGACTACTTGAAACACGCGACTCAATACTGGATACCAAAAATTGGTTCAAGAATTTCGACTCTTCCTCCCTTCCCACAAGGGAAGACTCATTCACCAAGTTCGAAGGATGAGATTGCTGGGAGCTACTTCTTTGAAACAATGCCTTAGCCTTAGAGTAGACTGACGTTTGCTTTAGTTTTGTAGGCGTGGTTGGGGGTGTTGCAGGAGACAGTACAAAGCTTAACCTTTTCTTCGCAACAGGCGAGTTCACGTCTGTCAAGACATTGGTCAAGTCCTTTATTCTAGACTTCTGTGGGGTTGAAGGAGGTGTGGCCAATGCCACTTTCTTAGGCGAAGGAACCACAAAGCTCGACGATCTCTTATTCATGACCCTACTTGCTTAATACTGACCTAGAAAGAAGAAAAGAACCAATCCTTCACTTCTAACGCTCTTCAGCTTTTTCCTCATTCAGGTTAATTGAAAAAATCGCGTCGCGCTTTTCAAAAAAAAAAAAAGTGTAAAGGAAAAAAAAAGGTATAAACTGGAGGCTGGCGATTGTGCAGGAGATGATCTAGCACATATTAGGGAATAGATTGCACTGTACTGGAAAATGGAGCCAGTTATGTGTATATACGTCGGTGGTGTGAATAAGCAAAGACAAATGAACTTGGTAACGATTATTTTTTCGGAAAAACAGTATGTTAAATTGCACTAGCTCTTACACTCCCTGCAGATCCAACCGTTGAATTTTTGGTGAGCTGTTTATTATTTTTTTAGGTGCACCGTTATTCGTCTGTTCATCTTGCAATACTTGGCTCACTCACTGTTCGTTGATTTTATTCTCATACTTTTTCAACTCTTCTGTAAGTATATTGTTCTTTCTTGTGATCATGTATAAATCAGAAGGATTGATAGTCACTCTGCCTGCATGATTTGCAAACAGTTCCAAGTCCTCTCCCAAGTTGGCTAGCTGGTTGTAAACAAGCTCAACTAACGATGCAACAAACGTTGGAGATGGGGTAGTTTTAGAGCTGGCAAGCTCTTCTTCTACCATAGTTGACACTGCTAGGTATACAGCAGCCTTTAAATTGGCTTGGATATCTGACATGATTGGAACAAGAGAAGCGATATCGACTATATGTAGATCTCAGCACCCTCTTCTCTTCAATTGTGTGTCTGTTGTTTTGGTGTGAGTACTAACTGAAAAGCAAGCCGGTCGTGTCGCAATCACAACCGTGAAAAATCATTTTCTCGCTTACACCGCATGCGTTAAAAGCTGGAGATTTATGACGTACTGAAGCTAATCCAACAATAAGACAATGAGTCAGCCTGAAATGGACCGAAACGGTTGGATATATCACGTCGATAGCTGAGATGAAGTTGCTTGCGGCGCTCGTACTCTTTGATCTAACCAATCATTTTCTTTTTGCTCCTCTTTTCGTATCTATTCTCATTCTTCCTTTAGTGACTTTACGAGCACAGTAATTCAATTCAATTTCCTGAGGTTCCAGACATTTTTTTTTTCCCTTCCCAGAAAGTCCGTAATTTGCCAGATCCTTCCCCACTTGATAGCCCGCAGCGCCCAAAGTGCCGCTAGCTACGCTGCTTCCCTAGCGTATCTCTCACACATTGATCCCGCCCGATTCCTCCCGCTCCGTCTCGAGATTTTCTTTCTCTCCAACTACTCCAGGTCACTCCGGGCAGCATTTCCTCGAAAGTTTCCTCGCTCACTCTCTTCAATTCCTTCCATTTCAACCTACACCTCGTATCCTGCACTTGCTTACCGAAAAAGGCTTCCCCTATTACACTTCTAGGTAATTTTCGCGGAGTTAAAATAGAATCAATAGAAATCAGAGCGACAGCTTGCAAGTTTAGGGAAGTATCTTCAACAAAGAGCTAGTAGGAACATTTTGATCGCTCCCTAAATCCACAGTCGTTGAAAATCGCTAATGCAATGTCGAAATCGCAAAGAGGTCTCTCTTATGTGTTAGGTGATTCTTACAACAACGAAAACCATATCTTGCCCATAAACTCTATCCAGCATTGCGGACAATCCCGAAAACTATACACTGCTGGAAGGGATGGTACAATAAAGGTCTGGTCGTCGGCGGCGGATACTGTGAGCAATTTAGAAAGACCCAGCGCAACTCAATTATACCTGGGAGATTCCACTGGCCTGTTCAAATTCCAAAACGTAGACCTCGATGAACAATTGCTCAAACTAGAAACTTCTATATGTTCCTCGACCTTGTCACCATATAATAGAAGTAAAGCTGACACCGGCTACTCGGTTACGAATTCGTATAATGTACACTTCGACTGGATAAACGACCTTCAGCTAGTCAATGATAATACAGGATTGGTATCCTGTTCATCGGACTTGTCGATCAAATATATATCATTGGATTCGGATGATGGCGTTGATAATGTTCACAAGTTTCAAAACCACCACATAGACTATATCAAGAAGCTCTCTTATATCCCATACGAGAAGAAATTGGTCAGTGGTGGTCTAGATGGGAAGATTGTGGTGTGGGATTTGAATACACTTAGCGGCATTCAACAACTTGAAAATACCTCGTCATCCTCAAATTCAAACCAGACGACAAACTCCATATATTCGTTGGCTACTGGTAGCAGCGGGCTGTTGGTAGGTTGCGGGGGTCCCAACAATACAGTAAATCTCTTTGATTTAAGACAATCCACCACAAATAACCCATTCATCAAAAAGCTTATTGGCCATCAAGACAACATCAGGTGTTTGTTAATGAATGACAACTTCATACTAAGTGGCTCATCAGACACAACGATCAAGTTGTGGGATATTAGAAACTTTAAAGTTTTGCAAACATTTGAAATTCATGATGACCCTGTTTGGTCATTGACATCTTCTAACTCATTGAAAACCTTCTATTCTGGGGACAAGTCGGGATTGATCATCAAGACTGACCTTTCACATTTGTCTGCAAACAGACAGCCACTGCAGTTGAATGGTACTGACTACTATCCCCCATGTGCTGATGAAAAGTTGGGTTTGCTGACAATAATATCGAAACCCACCAACGACGCCTCCCCAATATTGTCCCTTTGCGTAGAAACACTTGACGATGAAGAATACACGCTTTTGGCGTCTACAAATATGGCATTGGATAGATATCATATTCCAGATACATCTGACTTGGCCAAATATCAATACTTGAGGACGTGTGCTGAAAATGATCTAAATATCATCGGTATCGGAGGAGATCTTGATTTACCATTAGAAGACGGAGCATCCGCAGTAGCTGATGTTAATGATTTGAATTCAGGATTTTATGATCTTGTTAGTCATTTGTCAATGGAAACTAACAACTATGACTTGCAAAGTTCAGTTTCAGGTGTCAATTATCCATTATCTATACACAACAATGAGGAGACAGTGGACACAAATGATTACAATTCGCTCTTCTTGAGCATACATGGCGGGCCATCTCACGAATTCGTGAATTACATTAATAAGGAAAATGATGACGGTATTGTCGATAATGTCAACATCGACAAATTTATAGATAAATCGCCTATTGAGATCCTTTTAAATCCATTACCAGAAGAGCAAATCACTCTTATACCATTTAACAAAGTGCCATTTAATCAAGTTCCAATCACTCCTAAGAGTATTATTGCTAAAAGATTATTCAACAATAAGAGACATATGATCGTTCTTTACTTGAATGGAGATATCAAGATCTGGGACATATTTATCTGCAGAGAGATAAAGAGCTTTCCAGCTCCTACTGATATTAGTTTAGATAGCAGTTCATCATCGATTCAAACGAATGGAAAAGAGAAGGACAGATTTATACAGAAAAGAGTAAGGGATATGGATGAGATTTTCAATAAGCTTCAGACAATGGATACCCTAAATAACTGGTGTGAAATAGAAATCAAAGCTGGAAAGTTACTCGTTATGATCAAAGAATCAATTTTTGATAACACTAAAATATATTACGATGACTTAGTTAAAAATTATCCTTTCTTAGCCTTTGAGCATTCCGATAATGTTGAAGGTAAGAAGAACACAAAAGTTCGGGTTGAAAGCGATGAAAGGTTCTTTTTGTCAAGGATTCTTTTAAATTCTATTTTTCATCGGTATGTTCTTTATGAATGGGAATTTGATCACTACTTGAGAGCAGAATTAAAGGTCTTGAAGAAAAGCTCAAAGTCAAAGAAATCCATTACGAATGGAGGTGGAGACGATTCAAGTATATCAACTGGGACTAACACAGTGGGAACTACAGATGAAGCTAATACCAGCCCGTTGAAAAGAATAAAAATGTTCAGTAGAAAAAATTCTAAGAACAACATTCCTCAACTGCAACAACTGTCCTTACCGGCTAGTCCCCAAATATCGATATCAGAATCAACGTTCTCGGCTTCGGAAGTGGGCACCACTGACGTTTCAGAATTCATTTCTTTCAACCATGAGACTATTTCAGATTTGGAGAAAAACCCTTCTTTCAAGTATGACGATTCAATCATGAAGTTAATTCAAATCAACAAGGAAAGATATAGAGAGAAATATCAAAATTTAAGCAAAAGCAGTACCAAATTAGTCGACTCTCTCTTGTCTATTTATTCAAACGATCCCAAATACGAATCTAAAAACAGACCCCCAACTGCAATTGATGAATCCAAGTTGATTTATCAAATATATAGGCCTTTGATTAACCCACAAAGGTTACCATCGAATCTTTTGATAATTATTCTGGAACATAGTCCAGAATTAGGTAACCTTCGTGACTTGTGCAGTTTCCACTTGGATGAGATCCAGAAACTATCCTTCAATGATACATCAAGCGGCAGTAAGGAATTAATTAACAATTTAAGACTTTATTTACCGAAGTGGATAGGTCAGCCAATTTTATACGACTTCTTTCCTAACAAAGAGGGCCCAAAGATTGCATTCCAGCTTGTAGAGATGGACTACACTAAGGTCCCAGCTAACAAAAAGATTGGAGGAAAGACTGGTAAGAAGATTAAGAAGCTCCCAATTGGAGAGAGCAGTATTAAACTTTCATCACATAATATGCTCAGAGTCAGTAAGATACTATGGTATTTGACAGACAAGTTTGAATCCAGAACAGCCGAGATGAAAGATCACAAGCTGCCTCACGAATGGCTAGTTTTGGAGTGTAAAGATGAAGTTTTACCCAACTCCATGACTTTGCAAACCATAAAGACTAAAATATGGAAGAGCAGTGCAGATGTCGTGCTTACATTTAGAAGGAAATACGATGACTAAAAAAAAAAGGGAAGACCAGTGCATATGTCATGAATAGGTTTAAAAGGAGATAGAATGACTTATGCATGGCAGAGCAGTTGGATACCGTGCTTAAGTTTAAAAAGCGATACGATGAAGAGGAAGAAGATGATTATAGACACAAAAAAACAATATGAAGTTGAGGAAGAGAGGAGAAGCGAAAAGGAAAACAATCCAATAACCAACATGCAAGAAGCAATATCAAAACGAAGGAGAATAACAAAAACTCAAAAGCAAACACAGTCCACCAAAGGATTAAAATATGCAATATAGATAAAGAAGTGTCTACAAAATATGTAAAGGTAAGTAAGAAGAAGAAAGAAATTTAGACAATATAAATGGAGAAGGTTCTGAACCTGGAGTAAATGCGCTCGAAGTATCAGAAATGAAAACTGCCATATCCTGTAAGCGCCCTCGTTATCATAAGTTAACCATTCGAGCCCATTTAAGTCCACTGTAACACTTCTATGCTCTAGCTCTTGATTCTTCTTCACCAAGTAAGAGACCTCACCAGAATTTTTTTTCTTTTACTACATTGGTCCTGCATACAGTCTGAGATGAGAAATTTTGTAACTTTACTTGCACTGAAAAATTCATCCAGACATCTTTGACTGGAGACCAGCTTGTTCTGCCCCCATCATCGACAGATATCACCATCAAATATGGAAGAAACTGACAGAACCATCTCCCGTTTATGGAGATCATTTAAAACCGTGAAGGAAATGGTCAGAGATAGGGTATGTGCTAGTAAATAGGGAAGAAAGAAGTGGAATAGTTTTTTTTTTTTTTCTTATATTTTTTATGTTTTCATTCATTCACTTGATACTAACATATTATATTAGGGATACTATATTACTCAGGAAGAAATCGATATGACCTTGGACGAATTCAGATCCAAGATCTGTGACAGTATGAACATCCCTCAAAGAAAATTGATGTGTTTCCAAGCCAACCCAACTTCAGAGTCTTTAGAAAAATTCCCAGACTTGGGATCATTGTGGGTTGAATTCTGTGACGAGTCCTCAGTTGGTATCAAGACCATGAGAAACTTCTGTATTCATATCAGTGAAAAGAACTTCAGCACCGGTATATTTATTTACCAAGCCAACATCACTCCAAGTGCCAATAAATTAATTCCTACTGTATCACCAGCTTCCATTGAAACCTTCCAGGAAAGTGATCTCGTAGTTAACATCACTCACCACGAATTGGTTCCAAAGCACATCAAGTTGGCCAGAGACGAAAAGAAAGAACTTTTGACCAGATATAGATTGAAAGAGTCTCAATTACCAAGAATTCAAAAGGAAGATCCAGTTGCCAGATACTTGGGGTTGAAGAAGGGTGAGGTTGTGAAGATCATTAGAAGATCTGAAACCTCTGGTCGTTATGCTTCTTACAGAATCTGTTTGTAGGTAAAATGAACACCACGGAATAAGATTAAGATTAAAAAAAAAGAAATGAGTGAAAAGGTGCAATTTGCCAACTAAATACAGAAAAGATGAAGAAAAGAAAAGAAACAGGAAAGAACAGGAATGAATCCTTAAGTAGTAGCATAGTAGAGTACTATTAGTATGTATTTGTAATATAGTATAAAAGATGAAACTTAGCTGATGTGTAAGGTAGGGGAAGATAGGAAGAAGGAGCTGAGTGGCACTCGTGTACTCTGGTCTCTGGTCTCTGCCACATCAGGTTCTGGCTCCTCAAGTTTTCATGGCTCCCGCACCTTTGGTTTGGCACATAAAACACTGTCTTGAGTGCCAGTCCACCACTCAACCTCATGCAAAGTGAGGCCCTTCGTAGGAGCGACCTCTACACCTTGGTTTCCCAAAAACACGGGACCTATAGTGACAATCAAGCTGTCAATCATGTCAGCCGACTCACTTAATAAATCATTAATCACTTGAGCACCTCCTTCGATCATGACTGATTTTATTCCAAGTCCATACAACAGAGCCAAGATCATCTTCCAGGATTCTCGCCTAGGCATTCCTTTGAAGGGAAGCCGTATGAGCCTCCCGTCATGAGCAAGTAATGCATCTTCGTCCGCTTGGGCCACCTGGGTGTGTTCGTCTATCAATATATATGGTGCTAATCCCTCCCCCTTTTGATGGATCTGGCTCAAGGAAGACTTCGAGTATTGCCACTTTCCATGCGGGTCCAACACTACGGGCCGAATGGAGCTTGTAAAGTCACCAGAGTTAGACTCGTTTCCAACGTATCTACAGTTCAATTTTGGGTCGTCAGCTAGTACTGTACCGATTCCAACCAAAATGGAATCATGCTTCGACCGAATATAATGCGTCATGGTCTTTGTTTCCAAATGTGAAATCTTGGTCTGCACACCAGGAGAGGCTGCAATTCTCGAATCTAGTGATTGTGCGTACGTTAGCGTGACAAACGGACCTTCCCGAGGTGGCTGTTTGGGCAAGTACGGGCCAAGGAACGGTATGAGCGTAGGAGGTAGGGGAGACAACATCGTGCTGCGACTTGTGTTACAGTTCTTCTGTAGATTCAGCAGTTCAAGAGCTCTACCAATGCAAAGAAGTATTAGGTCCGTTCGAAAAAGATCACGAAGTTTGATACCATCATGTTTCCTGCATATAGACCGATGCTGCTTTACTTTTTAAACCTTGTCGGTCTTGAATGATCCCCCAGATCTTCCACGTCGGCGTACTCTCTCTTTAGGAACTTCTCCATGCCCTCTGTATTAGAATGAAAGACTCCCAACTTGCTCTGGATGCTGGTTTCAGAATTTTCCGTTTTGACTTCGCTGCCTGGGAGATGGGTGCGTCGTATTTTATCGTTCTTCTCCTGCTCCATCTTCTCTAGGGCAGCTCTCTCGCTCTTCTTTCTTTCCCTTTCTCTGGCTTGCCAATCTCTGAATTCACCTTCCACATCCAAGTTATCCGTATCAATAGTGCCGTCGAAATCAATTTCCACCTCGCTGGCCCGCATTTGTAGCTGGTGATCGAGCTTTTGGATGGCGATGTCATGGCTCTTGCTTTCAGTCGCAGCGTGATTCTGTTTACCTTTTTTCCTGGATGAGATGAAGATGGGCTTCTGTATAAGTGGGGCTGGAGAGTCAGAGTCCGAGCCCGACGATGAGCTTGATTCAGAGTCTGAAGACATTGGAGAGGTAAAATACAAGGCTAGAGAATTATTTAGCAGTGAATGTAAAAGAAGAGACCGAGAAGCTGCTCTCCATCAGGAACCATTGCTCGTTTCTACATGCATGCATGTCAGATTTGAATCCTGCACTTGACCCTTTAGTGTGCGAGCGAGCTAGCGAGCACTATGAGCATGGGGTTTCTGTTCAACGATGCCCTCTTCCTGTACATGCGGTGGTATGAAATGAAAGAGGAGTAGTCGACTGGTACCAGTGGTGGCCCTCGGCAAGAGCATAACTAAAAATAAAAAAAAAAAAAAAGAAAAGAAATATACAAAGTCTAACTAGTGCAGCATCACACATCTCAGATGGTGATCTCATCATCTCCCACTCTAGATCTTTTGGCATATCTGGTAACGCTCTGAAACTCAACATTTCAGCTCACGTTCGTATTGTAGAGCGTCTAAAACTCAAACTTCGTCTCCTATTCTTGCTCTGTCCAACCATACTTCCCCTATTTCTACCGTCCCACCCCAACGTGAAAAATTCACTCTTTCTTATTCTTCGAAGATTCGCGTCCTGAAAAATTCGAAAAAAAGAAAAAATTCGATGTGCCGCCGGAAATAATAATAAGAAAAGTGACAATAATAATAATAATAATAATAATAGGAAAATATTAGTCGCCCAGTGGATCTTTTTATAAAACGAATCAGGCTCCCCGTTTTTTTGCTCGCTTACTATTTGTATAACTAGTCTTGCTTTTGGAACCTTTTCAAATCTTATTTTTTATTTTTCTCCAGGTATTTTCATATCACACATAGAAGAGAGTTTTAGCACTGAACTTCTCTGGCAGATTTAAATTTTCCAGGCTTCCCCAACGCAGATCCATCGCTCGACAGACTAACTAGCTCACTAACTAACTAACTAACTAACTGACCTGTGATACTATGTCGCTCCCTATCCCATCTTTCGATACTCCTTTTGGAGTTGCATTATGGCCACATTTCGATACCTTGGTGGCATTTGTCACCAACGGTAGATTTGTTCCATCTCAAGTCGTATTCACCCACGGTTGTGACTTACCTCTTTCCACTTTACCACCGGCCTTGTCCCTCATCGCGCTCTACTATGTCGTTATATTTGGTGGTAACTACATTTTCAAAAAATTCCAGATCAAGCCCTTCGTGTTGAACGGTTTGTTCCAGGTGCACAACTTGTTCCTCACCACGTTGTCATTGACCTTATTGGTGTTGATGTCCGAACAGTTGATTCCAATCATCCATCACCACGGGTTATTCTACGCTATTTGTAACGAAGGCGCTTGGACTCAACCTTTAGTTTGTCTTTACTACTTGAACTACTTGACTAAGTTTTGTGAATTCATTGATACCGTTTTCCTCGTCGTAAAGCAAAAGAAGTTAACTTTCTTACACACCTACCATCACGGTGCAACTGCCTTATTATGTTACACTCAATTATGTGGTTTAACCCCAATCTCGTGGGTCCCTATCGTATTGAACTTGGGTGTTCACGTTGTTATGTACTGGTACTACTTCCTTGCTGCAAGAGGCATTAGAGTGTGGTGGAAGGAATGGGTCACTAGATTCCAAATCATCCAATTCGTCTTGGATTTGGGTTTCGTTTACTTTGCTACTTACCAAAAGATCGTCTTCACCTACTTCTTTGGATGGAAGGATGCCTTACCATTGGTCTGTGCTGACTGTGCCGGAACCATGGTTGCAGCCTACTCAGGATGTGCCATTTTATCCTCTTACTTGGTTTTGTTTATTGCATTCTACATTGATGTTTACAAGAGAAAGGGTTCTACCAGATCCAAGAGAGTTAAGTCCATTTCCGGTGGAATTGCAGCTCAGGTCAATGAGTATGTCCACGTTTCTGGATTTAAGAGTGACTCCCCAGCGCCAGATGCCAACTTGAGATCAAGAAAGGCTTGAACATTGGGAAATGTCAATAGAGAAGGGGAAGAAGAAGAATAAATTATAAAAAAAACATCTTTCGGCGTCATTACAATTTATATTGCTATGCTAGAAGTAGAAAACTAGAAAAACAAGGAATATTAGAATATATATTTATTTAATAACACTCAATAAATCATAATTCACAGGAAATGTCTGTACTGCTGTGTTCATGCCCTATGTATACTGCGCTCTTCCAAGCAAGTTGCACTTTTTAGATTCGGTACAACTGTATCAGCTTCTCTCCTTCTTAACCGCTTCGTACGTAGGAATACTCTCGGCTGCACCTTTGCTTCTGATGGTGAGACTGCTTGCCACAGTTGCAAACTTCACAGCTTCTTCAATGTTGCTCCCCACACTCAACTGCAGTACGACTCCCCCAAAGAATGTATCACCAGCACCAGTGGTGTCAACTACCTTAGCTACTTTGATAGAAGGTACAAATGAAGCTGTATCGCTGCTACTCTCGGACCTTTTACTCACAAACACTGATCCTTTGCTTCCAAGAGTTATGACGACTGTGCAAATGTTATCCTGGTTGATTAACTTGGAAAGCTGAACAGCAAGCTCATTGAATTCTTCATACGTCTTTCCGAATAGCTTGCTTGCGACTGCATTAGCCTCACCTTCGTTTAAGATCAACAAGTCTATCTGTGAAAAGGTGTTCAGATTGACCAATTCTGGCTTAAATGGAGATGGGTTGTATGCAATATTGATGGAGGGCCTGTTGGTCTTCACCCAAGAGATGGTTTCCAACGGCTCAGGGTATTCATTTTGCAATATAACAAAGTCTACGCTCTTTTCTTTGCTTGCCTTCTTCTTCGTTTCTGGGAAGTACTTTTCGTAGTCTTCTTCTGTTGGTTTCAATTCTCCATTAGCACCTGCAGTGATCAAGATTCTGTTCTCACCAGTTTCTTCTTCAACGAGAATCACAGCAACACCTGATGATTGGCTATCGATTGTTTGGACAAACAGTGTATCAACTTCAGCATCAACAAGTGCCTGTTTCAATTCTTTACCAAACGAATCATTTCCGACGTTTCCAATCATTCTAACCGTTCCCTTATACTCTTCTGGCAAGAGTCTCGAGGAAGCAAGTGCCTCGTTGAGACCCTTTCCACCAAGATGATTTTCAAAGGAGTTGGCTTGAAAAGTTTCGCCTGCTTCTGGCACCTTTTCAGTGTAGGTTACCAAGTCATAATTGAGCGATCCGATAACTGTAATAGGCATCTTTTGCAGGGTTCGTGAAGATGAATGGTACGTAGTTTCTTTTGTGTGGGGTTTTCGTTCTCTTCACTTTCCATACAAAGCGCGGAGAAGTGCCCAAAATTCCGAGGACAATTTTTCAGTACAGATAAATTGGGACATCACTCTACACCGACTACACATATTCCTACAGACTGGGTCCAATATGTTGATCTATAACAATTATTAATACTATTCTCTACAAAAAACTAATATTCAATAGCTGCCTTCTTAAGCAAGTTTACCTTCTCTCTTCAATCTCATCTTTTCGGCAAATGACAATGGCTTGGAAGCAACTGGGGATGGGGAAGCACCACCAACTGGAGATCCAGATGCTGGAGAGCTTGCAACTGGGGTAGCATTGCCAAATGGAGAGCTTCTTGCAGGTGGAGCAGTTCTAGCAGGTGGAGCAACAGGTGAGGATGGTTGTGGCTGTTGTTGTTGCTTCTTAGCAGCAAGTTCAGCTTCCATGGCTGCTCTCCTCTTAAGAGATTCAGCATCCTTTTCCTTTTGAAGTCTCATTTCTTCCTTCAACTTGGCCATTTCCTCGGCTTGCTTACGTTTTCTTTCAGCTTCTTCTTCGGCAATCAATTCTTGTTCCTTTTGGTATCTTAATTCATCCAATCTTTGAGCCTTGACTCTTGCTAATCTTTCCTTCTTAGCAAGCTCTAATTCTTTACTGGCTCTCTTCTTTAATTCTTGCAACTTAGAAGAGTTCTTTGCATCAATAATGGCCTTGAATGAAGTGAAATCTGGAACAACTCTTTGTAAACGGTCCTTGATAGCGTGAGCGTCTTCAAATTCCTTCTTAGCCTTGGAAATCTTTAAGTTTCTGGCCGTTTCGAAGTTCTTCAAGTCTTCAGCCTTTTGCTTCTCAGCATCCTTTTCTAAGTGTTGTAATTCATATCTTCTGAATGCTCTTTCAGTATGATCGACTTTCTTAGATAATATCTTTAACCTTTCTTCTAATAATTTCTTATCCTTAGAAAGTTGTTCTAATTGCATAATACGTAACTTATCAGTGTCCAAATCATCCAAGTTGTTCAAGTCAATTTGAATAATTCCCTTAGCATTGATTTCTTCAGCAATCTTCTTCTTTTCTCTTTCCTTAACTAATAGCTTTTCTCTCTCTAATTTCTCTAAGTTTCTTCTCTCTTGTTCGGCTATCATTCTTTCTTGTTCAGCCTTTTGTTCAGCTACTAACTTTTCAGCTCTCAATTTGGCTGCTTCTTCTTCTTGCTCTCTCTTTAACTTTTCAGATTGTCTCTTTCTCTCTTCCATAATGGTCAATCTTTGAGAATATTCCTGTTGTTCTTGAATCAACTTGGAGAGGGCATTCTTCAATGCTAATTCCTTATTGTAGCTCAATCTAGTGTTGTATTCAGGATCAATGATCTTGGTAGACTCTGATAAGGTAGAAGCCAATTTAGATAATTGAGTTCTAACCAATTCAGCTGGAGAAATTTGTAAGACACCTGCACCTGTGACCTTGGCGTTAACCTTGTTGAATTGTTCGTTACTATCTTCAAATGGATCAGACTTGAAAGTGATAACATCGCTTTCATGATCAATGGTCAATGCTAAGTGACCATCCTTGGCGGCAGTAACAATCAACTTTTCAACTTGTAATGGCAGTAATGTGTATTCTGTACCTTGGAAAATACCTAAGTTGACTAAGAAGTCTAACTTAACGGTTTCGTAAACTTGGCTGACTTGTTGGAACAATCTGATTAAAATAACTTCAGTTAATGTGGTGATGTAAGGCTTGTAGTCTTTATCTTCAGCGATAACCTTAAACATTTCTGAAACTTCAGCCTTGATAGTCAAAGGATGGAATCCACCTTCCTCTAAGACCTTGAACAAAGTCTTAACTGCTGGGTCAACGAATGAAAGAATAGATCTGCTTAAGATGGACTTGATCAATGAATCTCTGGTTGGGACATGGTTCAAGTTCAACAATGATGATAATTTGGAGTTCTTAGCTCTTTGGTCGTCAACAACAGTCTCGTTACTGTTACCAGATCTTTGAGGAATGGCTAAAGTAGACAAGACCAAGATAGATGCATAATGACTTAATTCTTCATCGGTAGCATTTGGTGATTGAGAATACAAGTTGAAGAACTTGTTCCAAGCAGCAGCGTGGAACAAAGAGTTGTCAGAAACAGCAAAGATACGAGCTAAGTTTTCGTAGTAGTTGGCCATCATGACAGGCTTTGGAGCCTTCTTCAGAGCGGTTATTAAAGTGTGGACATCGTCAACAGATCTGAAGGATTCTTGCCATAATTCTAACTTGACGGAAATATTCAATTGAGAAAATCTTTGGTCAAGATAACGTTGAACAGTTTCTGAGTCGGACAAGTCAATAGCATTGGTACCAGTTGGCTTAGAGAAGGTAGCTGCTGCTGCTGCTGCACCTGGAGCACCTGGAGCACTTCCTGGACCAGTTGGTTGGGTGGTGGTCAAAGTTTGCATGTGGGTTCTTAACAATTCACATAATCTTCTGAATTCGGCCTTTCTTCCAAACTTCAAACAGAATTGGAATGCTTGGTTAACAATAGCAGAATAGGTAACTTCCAACTTGGAGTTATTTCTCAAGATATCTAAGGTGGCTCTAAGGGCTTCCCAAAGGAATCTCAACCAAGGAGTGACTAATTCTCTTTCGGTACGATCAGCAGAGTCTGCGTTAGAAACAGCACTCAACAAGATAGATTCTGGAGATTGAGCGGTATCCAAATCCTCATCGTCATTGCTACCATTACTGTCAATCTTGGTGTCAGCCTTTTGTTGTGCTTCATCTAACTTCTTCTCAGCCAAGGAGACAAATTTCTTTACAACAACTTGCACCGATTCCAAACCGTTTTCGGTATTTTGGACGTTTTTCTTATATTGATGTAAGGCATCCTTAGCTAATTTACCCTTTCTTAAGTCAACAGCCAATTCAATTAACAATAACCCAATTGGTTCTAACTCTTCAACTGGAGAGTATCTTGATCTCTTGGCAGTTATCAATTCGTATAACGCTTCAAGGGCAGCTTCTGGCTCCCCGACCGCGATTAAGTCTTCGGCACGCTTTAACACGTTCTCAGGACGTTGGTGGTGATTCTTATGAGGTGGTGCCATTATAAAAATTGCTTATTAAGAGAGTCCAAAGGGGGTGTCTGTGATCTTGCACTAATTTTTTTTGTTTGATGTTGAAGTTTTTTTTTTGGATAGTCGTGTGAGGGTAAATGTGAAAAATTAGAAAAATATCACCGTGTTATATGCAGGTCGTGAAGTTCTACCACCAGACAGGCTACGATGAGGTGGGTAGGTGACATGGCACTAGAGACTGTTCTGTTTTGTAATCATTTTTATTGTCTACTTACTCTTCGAATGTGTGGATTCTTCTTTCTACTATAATATACATACTTCCCTTCTTTTCCAATTAGAAAATTTTTAGAAAAAAGCAACTGAACTGGGGTTCTTTGATTTCTATCTAATTGGCTAGAATGGGGGGAACTTTTGTTCCATTTCTGGCACACTCTTTTCCAAACTTTCCTTGTCTAGCAAGATTAAGCTCAACTTTGGATCTATACCGTACTCAGTAAAGACTCTCCTCGAGTCTGTCTCCTGGTTGTGGTTGGTGTAGTTGTATACACCCTTGTATGACGAATTAGCTTCCAATACAATGTCTTCGTAGTGAAAATAGTCCATTTCGACCTGCTTGGTCTGACTCTTTTTATTCTTCTTTGATTTAGACTTTAACTCTTCCTCCTCTGACACTTCGTTGGCGGCAACTAAATGGTAGATCTTGGAAACAACCAAGAAATAGTCAAACTCGTATCTTTGGTGAGCATCTTCTGCCTTGCTCATTTCTTCCAAAAGCATCTTGTACATAGGTGGAACAACCTCCACTGGCATATTGATCATTCTTTCACTAACTATAAGACCAACCCTCAATTCCTTTTGGGATGTGTTCGAAGTGGTTTTGGATTTGCTAAGGAGTTTCTTCAAAATAATGTTGAATTCAGAATTGGCGGCGGTTTTCTTGAAAATATAGTCACACAATTGCTTAATGCATGGCTTGGGGAGGTTTTCGTTCAAGTTGATCACCGATAAAATGGCAAATGGATCCGATTCCTTCCCATCGGTCTTAATGGTTGTACCAACGGAATTTTCCTGTAAGATCAAGTCAGCCAAGGCTGAAATATCAAATGAATTGGCATCATCGCCAAATAATTGCGTCAAGAAAGTCTTGGTGGCGTGAAAATCCACGCTTGGGTTTAAATCAAAGTAATCGAAATCTACATTAACTGTCTCTTCCTCCTCTTCAGCTCCTTCGCCTTGTTCACCTTGTTCACCTTGTGGTTGAACTTCCAATTCTGTTTCTGAATCAGTAGAACTGACATCTATATCAGAATCATTGTCTTCCTGGACCTTTCTTTTACCCATCTTTATATACTGAACGAATCAACTGGTATTAATGGTCTCTTCTTGAAGTTTTTGGCGGTGTAATTTTTTCCACCTGCGATGATCGAGATGAGTGTGGTTTTGTGTCACTATCAACTTTACTTTGCAGGTTAGTCTACAACGATAAGGCTTGCAAAGAGAAAGAGTATATCTTTCAACCCATAGTTGTCAGCATGAATATCGTCTCGGGTTACTCCTCCTCTTCGGAAGATGAGGGTGTTCCGATACCTCTGCTCGCAGAAAAGAAAATTGCTATAAATACAAGCATCGAATTGGAACCTGTAGAGACTATCACCAAATCTGAGGTTCCAGTCTCAACAATTGTAAGGAACTACCCAGGCGAATTGAACACAGATAGGAGCCTTGAAATAGATGTAGTCAAACGAAAGCAGTCCTTTAAGGTGTCTAAGCTATTAAAAAAGAAGAGAAAGAAGCAAAATGACCCTTTTGCAGATGACTACTTAGGACCCTGGGCTGATTATGAGGAAACTGATAATAAGAACGAAAACGAAAACGAGAACGAGAACGATAATGGAGAACTTAGTGGAAGTGAAGAGGAAAAGGGTACCAAAAATTCTAATGGACTATCTGGCAATCCTGATTCGGAAGGTGATGAAACTGAAACTTTGGTGACAAGGAGTTTCGTAAAATACAGTTACATGTCTCCTCCCAAAGCTCTCTCGGTAATGCCATTTGGAGCACGCTCTAGCTTTGTGCCCAAGAAAATTACTCACGAATTTGAGGGCCACTCTGGAGGTGTGAATAAGATGGAATTATTCCCAGAAACTGGCCATTTGCTTCTAACGTGTGGTAATGACTCTAAAGTAAAACTCTGGGATTCATATCGATCAGCTTCCTCGAAGTCACTAACCTTGGTCAGAGAATATACAGCTCACAGTCAAGCTGTGAAATACATATCGTTTAATTCCAGTGGAACAAGATTTGTCAGTTGTTCCTACGATAGAAAATTGATATTATGGGAGACTGAATCTGGGGCCATTGTCCAAGCAATCAATACTGGAGCTGTTCCCAACGTTGCCATATTCAATCCCAATAACGAGAACGAAATTATCGTTGGGCTAAGCAACCATAAAATAAATCATTATGAAGTAGGAAAAGTAGATCCAATTCAGATCTATTCCCATCATCTCGGTGCTATAAATTTACTAGCAGCTGTAGATGGTAATAAAAGATTCTTGTCGACAGCTGATGATAAATCGGTCAGGTTTTGGGATTGGCAAATCAATATACCAGTAAAAGTGATATCAGAGCCGACTCTGCATTCGATGCCTCGTGTTGCCCTTTTACCGCCCGTTGGTGACTATATTGCTCTTCAATGTATGGACAATTCAATTCAGGTAATAAAGGGAAATGGTAAATTCAAATTTAATAAAAATAAAAAGTTCAAAGGTCACAATGTTGCAGGATATGGAATAGATGTTCTGTTTTCGCCTGATGCTAAATCAATAATGAGTGGGGATTCTCGAGGGCATGCATACTTTTGGGATTGGAAGACTTGTAAATTGATCAAAAAGATAAAATTAGATAATAAGCCAATCACTTGTATTATTCCCTTTCCTCAAGAGGTAAGTAAAGTAGTATCAGCTGGTTTAGAGGGAAGCATATATATCTGCGAATAAAGATACACAGCAGAAATATGATGCTTTTTTGGATAAAATAAACTTACATAAAAGGATTTATAGATTAAAAGTTTGTTTTAAATATTTTTAATGCATTATTACTAATAAATATGGCCAAGCATTCCTAGATTCCAATTGACTACATTATTGTGCATTTCTCCTTTCTATACTCGTCACCCTTCTTCTTATTCTTCTTACTGTAAGCTCCATGCTTTATATGAGCATGCTGCTTCTGTTGTTCTAATGCTATAGGGGAGATCGTTTGGTCTAAACTGAGCACTGGTTCTTGCAGTGGCGAAACTGATGGGCTCTTTTCTTTCTTTGATTTGGATTTACCTCCTAGTCTCCATTTGCCTGGTGCTACTGTGGGAGAGCCAGGGGTAGCTGTACCAGTCGAACTTGTAAGCGAGGAAACATTAGCAATATTTAAGTTTTGAGTTTGAGAATGTAATTCTTCAACTGCTCCCTGATCTTCTGGACGACCAACGCCCACAGAAGCAGTGCTTGAATCACTCCATTGACTATTTCTTCTGAATTGTGGACTTATGGTGACACTTGGTTCTCTAGTTCCCGCTCTAGATGGCACCGAGATTTCTTTATAATAATTTTTTTCATTGTCTATAACGTACCAAAAGTACTTGTTCCTGATGTCAACATACTTAGAGTCAACGGGTAAGATGTCAGGGATAATTGGTATAGATGAATTCGTAGACAGCTCACTATTAGTTTTGCTTAAAGAGTTTATGTCTTCGTTACTATTGGTATTGGATACAATTGGGGAAAGTGCGGTTGGAGCAACGTCATCTTTCCAATATTTATTCTTATTGTACCCCTGTGGTGGTAAGACTAAATTGTGAAGTGACGAATTATTACTCTCTGTTCCACATTCTTCATTTGATACCAATCTGTAAAAAAGCATGTACGGCCATTCCTTTTCAAATATTTCTTTAAATTGCTTCTCTACGACTCTGCCCTTTTTTCCGAGATCGTCGTACAAATACCAAGTAGCGTTGATAGCCTCTTCATCAGTCTCTTGTAAGTTGTTCGTGTTTTTACGTATCACTGATACGAAATGACCCAGGCTTATAGACGTACCTCTATGGCAAACCGCACTTTCCAAAATAAGCTTGAAACTACCAGTTACTCCGTCAACTTCCTCCTCTTCTTCATCTGCTACAAAATTAGGTAAGTTAATGATTGGTGGAATAATAATTCTTCTCTTAGCCTTTGTAGCTGTAGAATCGCTGTATGCGTAACGTTTGAGACATATTGGTAAAATTGGTCTTCTATTAACAAATTCTTTGGAATTCTTTGCTATTGAATGAGCCTTGCCGTTGAGGTTATTAATTTCATTGTCATCGGTATAGAATGGTAAAAGTCTTAAAAACATCCAGGCAGGCAAACTGACCTCCTTGTTAGCAACAGAGTTACGTCTTGACCTCGTCTTACTTGAAATAGAAGTTCCCGTTCCGGTCGAATTAGGTGATTCTACTTCATTCAAGGACCAAATAGATAATGTGGACGACCTCGTCCTTACGGCTGGAATTCTATTAGATTGGCGACGCTCAGCTAAAGTTGAGGCGTTGCTGCTTCTAGCATTACTAATACTTGGAGCTACTTCAAATACATCCGCCCCTGGTGCATCTTTCTCGAATGATGTACTTGAATTTTCCGGAATTGGCGAAGAAGAAACCTTAGAGTCGAAACGCAATGATTCTAGTGTTGCTCTTCTCTCTAATTCCCTTTTGACGGATATAGAATTATTGAAGTAATGCTCAAGACACTCTTCTAAAAGAATGGAGTCATCGTAGGCATCGTTAGGTGACGTATCCTTTGAGTAAGGAAAATTTGTATCTCCAGTACCACTGGCAGGCTCACTCTCTTCTTTCTGTTTCCCAATTTCTCTGAATTTCTCCCTCTCTTCTTCATTGGGTATGCTTACGAAAAGAATTCTCTCTCTAGAATACTTCTCGTCATCTTCCTTATTAAACTTCCCCCCATGCTTAATATCGATTTTGAACGTCAACAAAGGCATCGATAGTATCTCGGTCAAGAATTCAAACAAGGATGCGCAGTCCTGCTGCTTGTGGCTCATTGCTTCTAAGAATCCTAATTTCATTAACACTTCACATAATCTCATGGTTAAGTCGGTGGTTATCAAATTCCCCGATCTCAACATATTGACATAAACTCTGAGCAACCCGGATAACTGATTCACCAAGTACTGGTCACTTCTATCGGGGTTATTTGAAACGAACAAGATTGGTTCAAAAGACTCCAAGTTGGCAAACATGGCAAACAAAAGAGCATCCAAGTAGCACATGACATTCTCCCAGTTCTCTGCTCCGACATACTGGATGTTCAAGCCGAATTTGTCTCTATTTTCGTTGGTAATAAATAAGCCTTGGGAGCTCAATTGGAAAAATCGAATCAATTGAAAAGTCTTGGTGATGTCTCCTTGTGTGAAGGGAGACTTGAGGAGGGCAATTATCTCGTTGTTCGAGGGGATATCCAACTTCAACTGTTCAAAGAATCGCCTGACTGTAATAACTGATGTCGAACTACCGTTGTATTTCTTAGAGTTGTGCGGCAATGCCGTAACCACAGAAGACAGCTTGCCGCTGCTGCTCTCGCTGCTATTCCTCGAGTAGCTATCGACATACCAACTCCAGAAGTGCTCATCGAACGCAGGACGGATATCGTTGGCGGAAGCTCCTCGCGTGAATTTCTTTCTAAACATCCTAATATAGGCTATCTCCTATACTGATTTTGACACTCTTTAATGCTGCTTTGGCTACTATCTCCGAGATTACTGGCTCATATAGACGATAGCAAAGGGATCATTTAACTTTGCCTCAGGTCCTCCGCCGCGAAGTTACGAATCAACAAAAAAAAAAAAAAAAAAAAAAAATGGGGCCGAATTTACGAAGCGAACAATTGCGAATACTTAAAAAATAGTGTTATGGCAAGCATCTGGAGAAGGTAATGGGATGGAAAGAAGACGGAAGAAGGGGAAAGAAGAGGTAAGAACAGGAAGAACCCAAAGATAATATGTCGATGATAGTCGAAGTCTAATGTAGTGCCGTCCAGGCATTGAGTCTATTTGGGACGTCTTGACGTTCGGTGCATCTTATTGCATCTCTCTGTCAACTGTAGGTTGCAATTTATTTAATTTGGGGCCATTTTGGTAGTGGTAGCGGCGATGCTTATTCGCAGGCGGTATCTACGCGAAAAAGTCCCTAATCTCAGCCTAATTTAGGCGCATAATCTCTCTGTAGGTAACTTTTAGCGCATGGTGCGTTTTGTTTCCGTACACATTTACTGCTTTTTGCTCGTCATTAACCACGCAACAAGTGCTACACTGCAGGGTTTCCGGTGCATAGCACCGGACAATTTACTGGGATTCTTTTCGACTGCTAAATGTTTGTTGCATTTATATGTTGGTGAACAGAATTATATCATGCTTGTTCCGATATACTCATACTACTCTTACTCCCATATTGTTCCTAGACACTTCTATACTGAGCTTATTCTTGGTAGTAGACTCTACTTATACTCTGCCTTACTCTGGGTAGTACACTCTACTTATACTCTCTTTATTCTGGGTGGTACACTCTACCTATACTCTGTTTATTCTGGGTAGTACACTCTACTTATTCTTTCTCCTATTCTGGTTGCACTCTTATTTAACTCAACTTGCTATCGGTAATAGTATACCTTACATATTCTTATCTTATTCTCGGTCATAGTGCGCTGTATTATGCTCATATTATTCTTATACTTTACTTATGCTCTACTTATCCTCGACGAACTCTTGGTAATATACTCTACCGGGAATTATTTAGGTTGGGTAGAACCTACTTATACCGAGCTTATTCTTTGCTGTACTACACTGTGTTATGCTCATTATGCTCATCCTATTTTCGGTAATAGTACACACCTCCTCTTATCATCTTCTTCTTCAGTGATAGATACTTTAGTTGTACTCTGATCTTACTACTCTTAAAAGCTTTCAGGACACACTCACACCCAATTTCCTGCCCTAGGTCATTCCCGTGATGTTTAATTCTTTCATCTTAACCAACACATCATCTATTCTGGTTTCCAATTTCCCCTCCACATAGTCTTGCCTTGTCCTTGCATCTATCTTCTCTTGTAGCTCATTCAAATGCTTAAAGTTTTCGCTGAAAAACAATAGTTGTAGTTTGACGAACGATTCAAAAGATGGGTCGAAAAATGGAATTCTAAGATTAATTAACCGTGGCAACTCTTCCTTCAATAAACTATTTATATTCTCGTAAACCTGCTCTGCGGTTTCCAATTGTTGCTGGTTATCGGCCAATTTTTTGACATACGCTCTGTGCTCTTCTATGGAAGCTGTGGTGACTACCGCTGGGGACTCCGGAGGATTTTCCTCTAGTTTACGAACTTTTGTTCTCAATGCATCATAATCCAACTGTTTGTGATTTCTCTTCTTAATCGCCTCATTGATTTCGATAAAATATGAGTTGAACCTGGCGATTGGGTTGATCACCGTTTGGAAGTACGGCTGCTCCAATTGCTCTATACATTCACTGTTTATTCTTTTCATCACTTGATGATATTCTTGTGCTATCGATATGTTTTTATTCTTACCCAAGTTTTCTTCTTCCCCTGTGTATTCCTTTTTACCAAAGTATGCCCCAAGCACTTCTGAAACATTTTCCTGCGCCCCACTGATCACTCGAAGTGTGTTTAGGTACTGTTTCAACTCTTTTTGAAGCTTGTTGGACTTGTCTTCCATCATTTTGAACCTTCTGACCTCAAATTCGTACTCCAAATCCACTGACTGTTCGATTTTCCCCGTCTTCATCAATACTTGAGCACCAGCTCTATTCATGGCCTTCTTCAATCCATTCCACGACATGCTGAGTCTTAATTATTAACCTTCGATCCAAAATACTTCTATGCAATTATTCGATACTTATAACCATATATACATGTATATATGCATATATAGACAAGACTTATACCTATATTTATATCATATATATGTAAAATACCCGTGTATGTGTTCCGTCTATCCTGTAACTCAGCTGAAACCCTTGACTTCATTTGTGGTTTCCGATTTCTCCGACTGATAGGCGCAAGTCAGATGATCACAAAACGTCTTTTTTTTCTGGGGCGCGAAAACGCGGGAAGTTCAGTATGCTGAAGATCTTAAATTAGATTGCGTAGAAGTTTGACAGGTAGGGTGTTGCTTAGGACACATCAGGTTATGGGTACGATTGGTTACATTACTCGTAGATCACACAAGGTTATAAATGATTTCTTCTATTGTATGTATATATATTAAGATTACAAAAAAGAGTTGGGTTTGTCCCCACTAGATAGTACTACTCGGGTTCGGTTTCGACTTTAAATTTGTCGATTGTCTACGTCATATTTTTTTCTCGTTCTCACTCAGTAAAGCCTGACCCAAGCTATTTTTCTTGTAGTATTATACAACGATCTGTATGGCTGTTATTACTACGCATACTGCAAAACGACTTGTATGGGTGGTATTAAAGTATTGTGAATACTTGTGCAGCACTTGTATGACAATTAGTAAAAGATTATAATTCTAATTGTGATGTACTGAGACTATGTATCAGCTGGTGAATGCATTATTTGAGTAACAAATTTACCAGAGTATCTAGTAATGCAAGCAACTGTCAAGACATCTTGCCTGATAGACGTCGTCATTAAATGGTTTAAAATTACATGGTTAGGGATAGATAAGTGATATGCTTCTTGATTGGACGCATAGTACGAAGAATCTGCCCTCCTCAATGGTGGTCTCTTGTTACCATGGCTACTGGTACTCAGTGAGCTTTCGTGAAATGACGGTTGTGGCGGTTTAAATGGATCGTTATTAGCACCTACAGGAGAGTTTCCACTCCTTTTGATATGCGGAATGTTGTTAGCGTGAGTTTGGTTTTGATTCGAGGACATCTTATTCAATAAGACGTTATTCAAATGAGCAGGAAGTTGCGGTGGTTCCGGCAATTGATAATCGGCTCCTTTATTTTTAAAATAATCGTAGTTGAGAAACATTTCCGGTATTTCACTGGAATAATTGAGTTTCGTCACTGCCATTTCAGTGAAAAATGACCCACTCTTCTCATCTTGATAAGAAACATATGTAGGTGTCTCGTCATGATGAGTATGGTTGGTGGTAGATGCCACTTGCACCGGTGGAGTTTGGGTCCCATTGCCCAGTATTGGTACAGCAGGTTGTTGATCTTCCATTTGATATTCCACATGTTCAAAGTCAGGCTGCTCCAGGGTCTTTGTTACTCTGGTCAAAAAGCTTGTTGACTTCTTTTTAATTCTGTCTACTTCATATCTGCCTGCAGTTTGAGTCTCTTGTGGAATGATATTCGCATCAAAGTCAGTGGATGCACCAATATGATTCTGCTGGTTATGTGAATGATTAAATAAATGTGCTTCATCCAAAACTTCAAACCAATTGAAAAAAATACCCTCTTGATCTGTTGCAGTGGGTAATTGATCACTCACTCTATATTCGTTGTTTATAATGTACAACAATTTATGAACACCCAAGGGCAAATTAATAGTGGTTACATATTCATTTTGATGATTAGATGACGGTTTAAGACGAATAACGTCTCTCCAATTGGAAAACGACCCAATAATCGATATCTTTTGGATGTTTTCTTTAGTGGAATTGACCCACTTGATTTCAACTGGGATTAAAGATTTGACTGTTGGAGTAGAAGTCCCACTGTGGTAAGATGGGGGCTTACTGTGTTCCATAGAACCGGAGTGAGCGTGATGCAGTTGATGTTGATGGTCTTCATATGTGGCCACTGACTCTTTTGCAGGTTGGCCCACTGCCTGGTCTGATGTCTGATGTTGGCCCTCGGTTGATGGTGCCACCGACGAGATGTTTCCTGATTCATCAGAAGAATGCTCCTGGCTAGGCGGCTTTTGTCCAGGTACAATTTTGGTAAAGTCAACCTTACTCAAATCTGGCGTGGGGCTGAATTCATCGTCAGTATCCATATCGTCCTTAATCGGCTTGATGATGTTCTTTACATGATGCTCTTCATCGGAACTCCTTTCCTTCTCAGCATCTTCCATTTCGATATCACCCAAGAATTCATCATTATCGTCGTCATTCTCGGTATCATCGTCACCATCATTCTTTAAAATGTTTCTACTTAACTCTGGTGCATCTGTTTCTAACAAGCCATCGTTCAACTCGTTGTACTCGTCTTCGATCAAGTCATTCAGAAATTGCTTATAGGGTGCCGAGCTTTTCCTTCTCCTTTTCTCAAACCCGGTGTTGTCGTCTTCGTCCTCATATTCTTCATTATCATTCTCAGACTTGAATTGCTTGGTACCCTTGATCTTGTCCCAAGATCCTGACGAATGGAAGCCGGAAGGCGCAAATTTGTTAGCGCTCGATCTGCCCTTGTCGGGCTCAGGCAGGTTTGTCTCACTGGCCACTTGCTGCTGCTGCTGCTGTTGTTGCTGTTGCTGCTGTTGCTGCTGTTGTTGCTGTTGTCGTTGCTGTTGTTGTTGCTGCTGCTGCTGCTGCTGCTGCTGCTGGTCCTGTTGCTGCTGCTGCTTGGTTACCTCATGCAATATCAAATCGCTGAACTCTTCATCCAAATCTGTTTCCTTTCGCAGTACCCTACGCACACCACCTGAGCTTAAGCGAGAGCCAGCTGTGGACTTCCGTGTGCTTGACGTGTTATTTCCCATCGCAAATAAATACACCTATATATTACCAAGTACTAAATACAAACTGAAAAAGACCTATATCTTTATCATTAAGTTTGATACAGCAGAGAATTTGTGCCCTAGGCTTGCTAGGTCTCTTTCTTCTCTGAGTTCATGGTAAAACTGGGGATACTGGGGTGCGCACGACTTCGGTTCTTTTTTTTTTTTTTTTTTTTTTGGCGCAGAGTAGCAACCACATAACTTCAGAAATATTATGCAGCATTTACAGGACAATCGAAAGAAGTAAAATCAACCCATTTTAGAGGGGAAGGTATATGCAATTTAGAGATCAGGAAAGAAAATATCCCTGCTGGGAGATCAAATGAATGCAGGGAAGACCGAGGGAAAGATGATCTCGGTTAGCTGGTTCGTGTGTGATGTTGCCAGTGAGTAGTGAGCTGGACTTGCCAAAGTGGTTGTGGTGGGAAAGGGTACTAATCTACGGGCTACATTGAAAAATAAGAAATAATACTGGGGTATGGAAATATTTTTTGCTCTTGTTTTTCGTTTTCCTTTTTTTGTTTTTTTATTTTTTTTAACCTTTTCAGCAAGTAAATGGGAAAGAGTGGTGTACTATTTAAACATTATTTTAGATACGGAGCATGTTTATGTACTAACCAACCTTCGGTTTTTGCATTTTGAGATTCTTCGGTGGGGTAGGACGTGTTTTATGTATGTTCTGTAGTGCTAATTCATCATAGTGTAAGAGTGTGAGTCTACGGAATTGTTGCAGATGCAAGGCTTTGATTATTTTCTAGTGGCTACTTAGTCGCTATTTTGTTAGGCGCTTTTCTGTATTTGGGGGTGGGGGGGGTGCTCTTTTGCTTGTCTCAGTCCCGGAGAAACACCACCCGCTAAATCTAGACAATCATTTTTAACAATAATTGATTCAAATGAGTTCTCTTAAGGAATGACATGAGCATGAACCCGTACTTTCAATGTACCAATAAGGTATAACCTTCTTGCAAGTGCGCATATTATTGTTTACATGGAATGCAATAAGTAAAGGTGCCGATGGGAGCTTATAGGGACCCTCGCAAGCCAACAAAAAGAAAATCAAAAAAAAATCATTATTAAGGTTTTTTTTTTCCGGAGCTACGTGATCTCCGACTCTCTATGAATCATCGATGTTTGATTTGTTTCATAGGTGTTCCCACTGTCTCAATGCCTCTATCTATTCTTGCTCACATGCTGTTTCTCTTCACAAGGGTTGAAACATGCATTATTGTTTAAGGCTACACTGCTGAAGATAATAAGAACATGCAATATGTACGTTATGCGTACTATTACATACTATGTAGCACTGGTAGCCTGCAGCTTGGTGTGAGTATGCAAGATTACCACCATATCGCATTGTGAGCTAAAGGCATATTTCTTTTTATTTACTTTGGGTTACTTCTCTATATATCGTTTCGCTACATTCATTTCGTTACACTCATTTCGGTACGTTCATTTCTTTACCTTTTATTTGTTCACCTTCATTTCATTACCCAGCATTTTTTTACTTTGATTTCTTTACTTTCATTTATTTACCTAGCATTGCATCTACTTACTACTTTTCTTTCTTTGGGTCACTATCTGCCTTTACTTACTATTTGTTATCATTTCTTCCTATTACTCTCAATTTCCCACCTTCTTCCCTTATTCATATACTCTCGAATGCACATTTATTAAATAGATGAAAATATAGCTATAAGTTCTTCCAAATATTCTAGGACCTCCTTCTATCTTTTCTCAATCTCCCTTGCATTACGTTATAAGTACCCCTTTTGATAATAATTTCAAGCTGGGGCCTATTAAGCTCGGGATAGCAAAATCTAGTATATTGATACAATTTGTCAATATATGCTGTTCTTTCCTTTTCCTTTGTATCTCTCACCCAAGAGCAATACCCTAATGCATACCCGCACCAATCCTTGAATATTCTCAAAACGTTGGCTTCTATTTCTGCAGTTAGATCAATTTTATAATCTTGTAAATCAAGCAAGATTGCCAATTCATTTATATTTACTCTCGAGTAGTACAAACGCTTGGACTTTCTTTTCTCTATTAGAGATAGAAGGTTATTCTTAGCATTTTCATGATCCAAAAGCTGATATGCGGGATCACATTTCATTGCATTGATTGATCTTAATTCTGGTATATTGACTAAGGAATCTTTCACCATTGAAGTTACTTTATAGCGCTTTGGAAGCTTGTTTTTCTTCTTTTTATGGCACAAGTATGTGAGCGGCATATACCGAATGGTTACCATGATGTTCTTATTGGTTTTGAAGACTTCAACCGATAAAGTGTTGCGGGTATCTCCTTCTCCTTCTCCTTCTTCTTCAACTTCTGATTCACTTTGGATTGGGTTCCTTCTTTTATCAACTCTCTCACTGGAGTACTCACTACTGTAGTTAATATGCTTCTTGCATTTTCTTGGTATATCACTCCATTCGTTGGATCTGATTGCTAATTCACCATCAACTAAGCTACTCTTCTCGTTATCGAAAAATGTGTTTTCATACAGATCTAATGTCCAGCTTCCTGAAATTTCCATAAACTTAGCTTGACTTTCACTATAGCTTGGTAACATGTCAGCAAGCAGGTTACCTTCCTCGATCAAGTCGTCAGTAGTACCACTTTCATGTATTTCGTACTTCATGCTCCTGTGTAAAACACTTGAGAGCGGGGGTAGCTTAGGCTGTTCCAAGTAAAAGGGGCCAAATTCAGTGTCTACAATATCCTCTTTACCGCCGGACTGAAGGTGATAGTTGGAGAATGTTGAGGAAGACGAAGATCGAGAGTGTAGAGAAAATTCCTCCTCTACACTTTCAGAGGTTCCTTCCCTTTCAAAGAGACAATAATTTTCGTTATACAATAACCCACAATCATCTTCCAAAAGAGAAGGTAATTCATGGGAAATGAATATATCGCTTTGATCAATAAGCAACGAGTCGTCATCCATTTCTAGTTCCATTGACATTTTGTTTTTGCTCAGATACCTTTTCTGCAATATACAAATAATACGCTCAACAAAATAAAGGATAGTGTGATATATTAATCTTAAGTGGTATGTAGTGTGTGATCTACTAATCTTAAGTGGTACGTGGTGTGTGATCTTAACAATTGGAAGGGGTAAGGGGGAGTGGGGCAGATTTTGGCTACGTCCTTTTTTGTGTGTGACAATTTTTGGGTGCAATTATTTTTTACTGCCTTGCGTGAGTTTGTAACTTAGGGAAGTGCGGCACATGCATGAGCTCGAGAAGGGAAGGGGGGAGGGAAGGATCTTGGGAAAAGGTTGAAGTTGCAGAGAGTGGGCCCAATATAGGCAGAAATTAGTTGGTGATTGGGTACGCCTTAGCTGTTCGTTCTTTAATGATAGAAGTCCGAACGTTTGTATTCTGGTTTATGAACTTGGTACTTTTTTCTGGGGGTTCATTTGGCGTTGGTGCATGAGCGAAGATCGCTACCCTAAAATCTCGCTTTCGCCTAAGGGATCTTATTTTTACGATGCAGAGATGCGCTTTGGAAGAAAAAATAAAAAGATAAGGGAACAATAAGCATACAGGCAGAAGCCTAATACTGAAAGGGAGGAAGATAATGCAATGCTCTGGAACATGGTAAGTACAGTATGGTGCAGTACGGTACGGTACTGTACAGCACAGCACAGCACAGCACAGTAGAGCTGCTTGGTACTCTAGCACAGTTCGTTCTCGCCCCTGTTTGGTTGAAGAGTCCGACAGGTGAGAGTATGAAGTTGGTTGGAGAGAGAGAGAATTAGAATACACGCTGAAGTAATACAACTAGCTGGCTGGTTTGGTTAGTTCTACAAGTAGGCGTAGAAAATTTATTACCACTAATTTTTCCACGTAAATTTGTGGCAGGTGCATTTCGGGCACGCAATTTCCCTAGGGCACAATATGGAAAGAAGATAGGATGTGAATGTAGGGTAATGGTGAAGAGCGTAATTGCTGTAAGGCGGCATAATACAAAGGGCTAGAGAATGGGGCATCAGGCCAGGAAGCGAAAATAAAATAAAATAAAGAAGAGCCAAAGCATAAAGGGTGCTCCACTAACAATCTCATTTTGCCTGGAACACTCAAGGACGCGTGGGAAATAAAACATAGCTAATTTATTCTGCCTCGCTCCATCGACACGCGCTAGAAAATAATTCAATTTAGCCCTAGAGCACATGTCGATAAGCAAGACCTAGACAGATGGCCACCACCAACTGGTTTCCTTTTATGAAAAGAAAAAATAAAATGCTGGAAAACGGACTATCTTCTGGTTTGTTCAAGCAGATCGGGGATTGTCCCCTTTGGTAATCCTCTCTAGATCGAAGTGCATCTCTATTGTGCCGTTTCTCTTCTTCCCTTTCCTCTGCTCTGCTCTCTGCGTTTCCAGATCGGACTCGCACTCGCCCCGGTAAATCGCACCAAAAAAGGCATCCGCGGTCTTACATATATAAATTCCAGCAGGGCGAGCCACAGTCCGCCACATTGGGCCAGAATGAGCAAAAAAATACTAAGCACTTTCACACTAAACACAGCACCAGAACAGAAACCAAATATTACTAAAGTCCAGAAAATGGAACCTTCCTACTGCTAATTCGGATCGGAAAAGATCATGTCTTGTCCAATCACATTGAAATACCTCAACGTACATAATATTTATTACAAACTCGTCGTACAGCTTATGCTGTGGCTGCTGTCTGATTGCTTGAAACGACTTAATAAACCACCTGGAAATCCGGGTAACTCTTAGTAATGTCGGCTCTTCTAGATTTTTCAATCTTGGAATCCCGCTCACCTATAAAGATTGGCCCACTCGCCCATTAGTTTCCGAATTGCTCCACATTTTTTCCCCTTTCCTGGATTAATTCTTATTTAACTTATAGATTTTTTATTAGTAATATTTATTTTCCGATTATTTATTTATTTATACAACAATGGTCGCCTTAATTCAAAAGCCAGCTCCATCATTCAAGAAGACTGCTGTCATTGACGGTGTTTTCGAAGAAGTCACTTTGGAACAATACAAGGGTAAGTGGGTTTTACTTGCCTTCATTCCATTGGCCTTCACCTTTGTTTGTCCAACTGAAATTATTGCTTACTCCGAAGCTGTCAAGAAGTTTGCTGAAAAGGATGTTGAAGTCTTATTCGCCTCCACTGACTCTGAATACTCTCTTTTAGCCTGGACTAATGTTGCCAGAAAGGACGGTGGTTTGGGTCCAATCAACATCCCATTACTTGCTGACACTAACCACTCTCTTTCCAGAGACTACGGTGTTCTCTTGGAAGAAGAAGGTATCGCTTTAAGAGGTATTTTCTTGATCGATCCAAAGGGTACTTTGAGACAAATCACCATCAACGATTTACCAGTTGGTAGATCCGTTGAAGAAAGTTTAAGATTGGTTGAAGCTTTCCAATTCACTGAAAAGTACGGTGAAGTTTGTCCAGCTAACTGGCAACCAGGTTCTGAAACTATTAAGCCAGAAGTTGCATCCTCCAAGGAATACTTTGGAAAGGTTAACAAGTAGGTGCGTTTATAGAAATTAATAGTAGAATACAGAACATTAGATTCGACGCCACACCGTGTAGAGCTAGCAATTTTTTGCAGCCATTCTACTGTAACCTTCTCTCATTCCATCGTAGTTGTGTATTCGCATTCCAATCAGCTAGTGAGCTGGGGTAGCTTGGGCTTCTGTCTAGTGACTGTTTGGCTAGTGTGCTTCGTTCTCGGCCGCATGAGCTGCTCCTACAAAGTTGGTATGGCGCGCTTCCTTGACAGTTATCGTTTTTTCAAATGTCCGTTCGCGGGTTTTAGATAACATGCCACAGTATGTGCATGCAGGTTTAGGCTTTCTCTTAATGAGCCATTCTGTCAGTGATACTCTCAAAAGCCTAAACAGAGAAGGAGGGGGGAGGAGGGGTGACAAAGTCAGGGTGTGTCTTCCACAGTATATCATTGCAGGTGAGCAGGATCCAGAGAGCCCTAGAGGAATGACTGCCCTGAAGTATAAAGTAGACGACTCTGTGAGACAGGGCAGGAATAGTAGGTAAGCTAGTGGTGCGCTGCATATGCAGGTTCTCAAGTTCTAGCTCAGGCTCTTCTCATAGAGCATGGAGAGAGGACCCTTCACTGAAAAGATGTACAGCCAGCGCCGGAGAAATGGGCGATTCTTTGCTGGTTGCTTCTTAGTTTATTACTGCCGAGGCTGCTCTTGAATATTATTCTGTTGTTAGCATGAGATAATACAACAGGAACAGAGAAATTACGATCTGCATGGGTTCCATCCGCTTGAGGAGAATGGACAAAATAAAGTCGATAGTATTCTTAGTTCTATTCTCTCTTCGTATTTATTCTAGAAATTGCAGATATGTGTGCTCCTCGCATCTCTTTGATCTTATCTCTTTTTCTGGCTTGCTCCCCTCGGGTCCATCAGCTCTAACTAACTCCCGCTGATTCTGGCTCTCACTGTCTTAGAGCTAAATCTCCTACTGTTGCCTGCATATAGAAATTCCATACATCTCGTCTATAAAGCAAAGGAGTTGGCTCAAGTGCCAATCTTCCCAGCAACTTCACTTAGAAACATAGACAACATGTCCGAAATCAAGTTCTTCAAGTTCTTGGTGACTAAGCACGTTTTCTACAAATCCAAACATACTTTTGCCTTGGTCAATTTGAAGCCCTTGGTGCCCGGACATGTTTTAATTGTACCACTCAGAAACACCGCTCTAAGGCTAGCGGACTTGACCCCAGAGGAAAGTATAGACTACATGCAAGTGATCCAATTGATCCACAGGTTTATCCAAAAGACCTACAAGGCTGACGCCTTGAATATAGCAATTCAGGATGGTCCAGAACTGGGTCAGTCTGTCCCTCACTTGCACACTCACATACTTCCTAGGTTTGCTACGGACGGGTTCGGTGATGGGGTTTATAAGATGATTGAAGAATTTGATGCGGAGAAGTACTACGAGGAATTCGACAAGAGGAAGGAAGAGTTCCGAAAGAACATAGGTGCGTTTAGCGAAAAGATTCCAAGCGATGATGACAGAAGACCTAGGACCCCTGAGGAGATGGAGAAGGAAGCGCAATGGTTGGCGGGGGAGCTTGAGAAGTTCGTGAGTGAGCTCGATACAAGCAAGGTTGCAATTCCTGAACAGTAGCAGATAAAAAATTTAAACCTAGAACAGAAAAAGTACATAGAATACACTACACATAAAAGTCGAAAAAGCCTTCTAAAGTTCTTGCGCCGCCTGTATATCTATATATTCTCTTCTACGTAGTCTTGAGCATCTCCTCTCTTTTCTTACGTCTGCCTCTCTTCACCCTCATTCCATCATTCACTTCACTCTGTAGCACCTGCCCTCCACTCGGTGGGGGGCAGACAAGTTTGGCGCGGGTTTTGCGCTCATGAAAAATCCACTGCTGGTAAAAAAAACACTCTCAGGAGGGTCTACTTCAAGGCACCTTAATAACACCATCAAGCAATCATGGCAAAGGCTGAACCGCTTGACGAGATTCAATGGAAGTCGCCCGAGTGGATCCAACAGTTTGGGCTTCATTCTGAGAACGTGCTAGACTATTTTTCAGAGTCCCCGTTCTACGATCGTACTTCCAATAACCAAGTGCTAAAGATGCAGTTTCAGTTCCAACAAGTGCCGCCCAACGTACACCCACAAGAGTATTTGCGACAGAAGTTGGTGGAGATGGTTGGTGTAGAGTTCATCATTGCATACGTGAAGGAACCGGACTTCTGGATCGTGAGAAAGCAGAAAAGACTCTCACCGTCCAATGTAGCCGTGCAACAGGACTACTACATAGTAGGGGCCAACATATACCAGGCACCCAAGATATATGACATATTAAGCTCGCGGTTGTTGTCAAGTATCAACTCCGTGAAACTGTCCTTGGACGTTTTAAACAAGATAAGTAACTATAACATCGGTAATGGTGGGCATTCGTATCCTACTGTGAACGACAAGCTGGCCGCCCTTCCATCGTCTTCAATGACTTCTTCCCAGATGGAAGAGTCTGCTACAACATCCACAACTGCCACGGGTGCCAACACTGCTACTCCCATGGTCTCCACGCCAGGGACCGCAATGCCTCCAGGAAGCGTGGTGCCGCCTGGTACTGTAGGTGCCAACAACATCAACACCACTACAACACATCCATTACACAACGCTAACAATGCTCTCAACAACATCCTGTCGACGACGTTCGATGGTTTGTTAAGCACGGTCATAAACCTGAACGACCAGGGTACGTATCTTGACGATATACCTTACTACGGGAAAGGAAGCACGGTAGAGAAATTTGACTTGAAGATCAACCTAGAAGACGATTAGTTAGTTGAAAGACGACTAGCTAGTTGAAAGGCGACTAGTTAGTTGAAAGGCGACTAGCTAGCTGAAAGACATTATGCTAGCTGAAAGACATTATGCTAGCTGAAGACGACTAGTTAGCTGAAAGACAACTAGCTAGCTGTAAGAGGACAAAGTGAGCTAGCTGAAGACGACTAATCAGCTGAAAGACGACTAGTCAGCTGAAGGAGGACAAGCTGAGCTAGCTGAAGACGACTAATCAGCTGAAAGAGGACAAGCTGAGCTAGCTGAAGACGACTAGCTAGCTGAAAGACCCCGAAAAGTTTACTCATATCGCATAGCAGGCAACACTACGATGTACTTTCTACATTGTAAAGAGCACCAGCATACTTTTATTTGGTTGGGTATATATAACGTATATAACATGTATATTTATTTATCATTAGTATAATCTAAACCTCATCTAAAGTTCATCCTTGGCAACTTCTTCAGCTTCAACAGGAGCTTCAACTTCTAATTCACCACAAGCAACAATCTTTAAAGTCTTGACTGGCGCATCACCTCTGCTGGTCTTAACCTTTTCCATGTAGTCAACGACATCAAAACCATCAACAACTTCACCGAAAACGACGTGGGCGTTGTTCAACCAGCTAGTGACAACAGTAGTGATAAAGAATTGAGATCCGTTGGTGTTCTTACCAGCGTTAGCCATGGATAATCTGTATGGTCTATCGTGCTTTAAAGTGAAGTTTTCATCTTCGAACTTACCACCGTAAATAGACTTACCACCGTATCCCTTACCGGTTTCGAAATCACCACCTTGTAACATGAACTTTGGAATAATTCTGTGGAAGATGGAGTTGACATACCCGAAGTCGGAGTCTTCAGAAATGGCCAATTGTCTAAAGTTCTCAACAGTCTTTGGAACAACAGTACCGAACAAACCAATGGTGATTCTACCAATTGGCTTATCGTCTTCGGTGACATCAAAGTACACCTTGTTGGTGAATGGGGGGTTTTCTGGTAAGACAGCTTCTGCCTTGACCCATTGGGCGTAGAAAACAACACAAGAGAGAACGACTAATAAAGAGGTAATGAGCTTCATGCTAAGAGACATGTGAATTGATAGGAGAAGAAAGTATAACACCAGAAGAAGCGGGTGGCACTTATTTTTGGGAAAAGGGTGTGCTAGTCTTCCACCTTGGCTTGCCCCAACGCTCCCACCAGCACACCGGCCGTAGTGGACTGCATATAGCCTGAAAATTCCGAAGAATTGAAAAATTTCGATTCTACGGGTACAAGGTGATCTGATCACAGTAGGGGACTACAACTACCAGCTGAAGGGATCCATTTTGAAATGTGATTCTGTTCTATATTAAAATTACTATGTACACTACTGCTGTAGAACCAACACTAATACAAAAATTAATGAAGCTTAATGAAATAAATCTCCTACTCGCAGCCTCTGGTTCACTGTGAGGTGACGTTAATGCCCTCGCGCGCGGAGTGGAAATTCGCTATGTCTATGTGGGCCCTCTCTCGTTCTGTAGAAGACACTAAGAGGCTCTAAAAGACTCTTTCTCCTTTGTCTTCAGCTTCAAGCTCGCCCTTTTCGAACCTTTCTCTGTCTTCTAATCTAGCTAACGCTCTTCTCTTTGCCAACACTTCCTTGCTGTTTCTTTCACCTCCATTCTTTTTCTTGCCTTGCCTGTGTTCTCTCAATGGTTCCAAATCGTTTTGAAATTTGTTAATCCATCTAAGCATGTACTTCCTAGTCTGGATATCAATGCCCAAGGCCTTCATCTCCTTAGATGATGTGTTAAGGAACTTTTCCAAATCATTTTCAAATGCTTCTGCATGCTCAATGCAGTTGCGCCCGATAAGAGTCAAAAATGTTTCCAAATCGTGAACGTTCTCTTTAGTTCTGGTTGATGTGTTGGTTTTACATGTGACTGGGGTCGAGGAAAAGTACTTGACCAGTAAGGGTATTAAATTGGGGGTGTATTTTTGTGGAGTTGCTGCTATATTTCTTAACGTGGGTCTTGCCACAGTCCTCAAGGAGCTTAATCTAAACATGATCCTTAGTTATAGATCTGACTGGAGTTATGATGGCATGGATTTGAAAAATTTCGTAGTAAAAAAAAATAACTAGCGTACCAAAAACCACTGAAAATTTTGGTCGTGCGCGATGTCAAATATTCTAGATCTGTTTAGAGGATGAAGAGTGTGAGTTCACGTAGATAGAGTAGCTATATGGGATTATAAGATGCCTTGATACAGGGACGGGAGATGTGGAATATTCTAATTCAGATCCACCAGCAAAGGTGGAAAAGTAGAATAAATGTACTAAAATGCAAAGAAGAGTGCATCCTGCACCACGACATTTGGCCAGAGATCGCTTAGAGCTGACTCTCGGGGTTGTTTTTTGTGGTTTTTTTCTACTTGCAGAGCGGTATATGCATCTTAGGTTTGTCATTGGGGGTAGCAGGTGAATCTTTGCTATGTAAGTGCTGCTTATTTCGTTCCTAATGTCACTACTCTTCTGCCCATGGAGCTCTACTGGGAGGGTTCCAAAATTGTCTTATATGCAGGATCGTATTAATTAGTTGCACCCCGGCGTATCCTTATAGAACAAGTTACTTGTAACAATGTTAAAGTTCTGCTCACATTGAAGAGTTGTAGTGGGCATATATGAACTTCTATGATATTTAAGGTAAATTATAGCCAGAAAATAAGCAAATTATGTGAATTCACTTCACCTAACCGTACCTTCATTCAATGGCCCAAAGCTGATGTATGCAGGAGCACCCGAACCGGCAACCCTGTGCTGCTTCGGTGCTACTCACGTACAATCAACATCCTGCTACACATATCAGGCAGTTAGGCTATAAGTTACGAAATATATTGTATATTAATCAATTTTTTCATTCTTCTTATTTATTCTAGATCTGTAGTTCTCTCAATCGCAGAAGATTTTCAAGTCAGAACCGTTTACAAAAGACCCTTGTTCTTGAATTCTTGTAATAAAGAGTTACCTAATCTGGCTGGGGATTGTTCAACAACAACACCAGCAGATTGTAAAGCGGCAATCTTGGACTTAGCATCACCCTTACCACCGGCAACAATGGCACCAGCGTGACCCATTCTTCTACCTGGTGGAGCAGAGACACCGGCAATGAAGGAAACAACAGGCTTAGGACCTTCAGGTCTGGTCAAGTTGTATTTCTTTAAGAATTCTGAGGCTTCTTCTTCGGCGGTACCACCGATTTCACCAATCAAGATAATACCTTCGGTTTCCTTATCTTCCAAGAACAAAGTCAAGGCATCGATAAAGTTAGTACCTGGGAATGGATCACCACCCATACCGATAACCAAGGATTGACCAAGACCAACAGCAGTTGTTTGGGCAACGGCTTCGTAGGTTAAGGTACCAGATCTGGAGATGACACCAACCTTACCTCTCTTGTGGATTGAGGAAGGCATGATACCGATCTTACATTGATCTGGAGCAATCAAACCTGGACAGTTTGGACCGACCAATCTGGTCTTGGATTGGGTCTTTAAGATTTGAGCAATTCTCACCATGTCGTGTTGAGGAATACCTTCAGTGATGGCAACAGCCAAGGAGATTTCAGCTTCGATGGCTTCTTCAATGGCAGCAGCTGCAATTGATGGTGGGACAAAGATACCAGTGGCAGTAGCTCCGGCTTCCTTGATAGCATCCTTTACGGAAGCAAACACTGGCAAGCCCAAGTGGGTTTGACCGGCCTTCTTTGGGTTGGTACCACCTACAACTTGAGTACCATAAGCAATTGCTTGTTCAGCGTGGAAGGTGGCTTGTCTACCAGTGAAACCTTGGTAGATAACCTTGGTGTCCTTAGTGACCTTCAAGTTCTTGATGGTGTCAGCGTAACTAGAGACGCTCTTGGTGCTGGAGAAGCTTCTGACAAATTGTCTGTTCAACATGGTTATTATAGAGTGGGGATGTACAGGAATATTACAGAAAAGTACAAGAAGAAGAAGAAGGGAACAAACAATTTTCTTTTTTGTTCGGTGTTTTTTTCTGCCAATTTCGCTTTGATTTTCCTTTGGCCTTGTGGTTAGAAAAACGCAGTGTATTTTTTTTTTCCTACCCTTTTTTTGGCGATTTCGGTTAATTGGGAGCTTCAAGTGAAGGGGTGGGCGTGTAATATTGAAGGAAGAATTTTACTACGGGCGTTGATCGGATCTCCTGCGTACAAAGTGCGTATTAGAGTGTGGTCTGGGAGAGCGCGGGGGGCAGTTGTCCAGTGAGAGCGGAAGGGCAGGTGAGAGAGTCCAGAGAGAGCGAATGGTCCGATGGGTGATAAGAAGAGAAGAAGCCGAAGAGGAGGGTAGGAAGTGTGGGACGGTGCGGTACATGAAATTCTGCGAAGTTTGAGTGTGTTTTGGGCAGTGGGTGGGTGTTTTGAGTGGGTGTTGTGTTACCTGGTAGTCTGTTCATTGGTAGCACTGATAGGGCATTTTTTTGCCTAGCACCTTGCCTAGCGAAAAAAAAAAAATAAGTAAAATTTTTCCCTCGCTAAGACTGTTGGGTGTGAGGGGTGAACAAAGTAATGCCCCGGGCTAATGTCGGAAGTACTCGGAATTTCTATGCTCCAATTTCATAGGCTAACAGAAGCGCAAATGTCTGACGTATGTGGGTGAAAATGGGTGAATCTAGGAGACTGTGGACGGCCGTGTGTTGGTTTGGTCGTTGCTTTGTCGCTGAGCAGTGCTCCTTGAGCTCGGTATCCAAGCCGAGTGGAAGCTGCTCTCTTTTTTCTCTTTTGCTGCTGTCCTGTGTCGCAGTTCTTCTGTTTCTCTACCTAGTTCTCTGGAACTCTTTATTTTTTTTGGTGGCCTTCCCTTTCGGGAATATTCTCAGGGTTCCAAGTTGCGTTGGCTGCGAATTTTAGGCTGGCCTATGGTATGCGTACCCACGAACAGTATCTGAACTCTCTGGTCTTCTGCTCTCTCTCATCTTCTCTTCTCTCCCATCGTCCCTTCTCTCCAATCTCCTTCCTTCTCTCCTCATCTTCTCATCTCTCTCATTCATTTCATTTCTGTCATTTCTGTCATTTCTGTCATTTCTGTCATTTCTGTCATTTCTGTCATTTCTGTACATTATCTCTTTCCTAGCTAACTAACTCCTTGCCACTACATACCCACGAGCACTTGCTACAATACGTTCACTCTCTTCTCATTTTTACCATTTCTGTACATTATATGAATCATGTATACCTCTTTTCCTAACTAAATAACTGCTTACCTACTTATCTCGTATTCACCTTCTCTTCCTCTTGCTCACGTGATCCTAATAGTTGAACAAACTCTTATAGTATAAGCAACGGCTCTCCAACAAGTCCCAGTCATTCTGCGATACCCACATCTCATTGATAACTTTCAACCTTGAATAAACACTACCACCCTTCCATGTCAACACCTCCGGGTCAAATTCTCTTGGTGGTGGTAACACGTTGATCAGTAGTAAAGAGCCTTTATCACTTATTGAGTCAATGTAATCCAAATCCAATTCGAATGGAACCATTTTGTCAATTTTCGCTAATTCTTCCTCCTCCAATTCGATATCATCGAGATTACTAGACACAGTTGCCGTAGCTCCAGCACTCTTGGTCCCATTCTCATCAGTAGTTTCCTGTTCCTGCACAGGCGTTCCTGGTGAGGTTCCAGCTTTAACTACTGCATCTAACCCAAGACTCTTCCTTTTCGCAGCCAATTTCTTAGTCTTAAACTCATCAATTAACTCTTTCTTCTTGTTGTCGTTTTGCAATTTTTCGCTGGTAACGTATTCTAGTATTTCTTCCATGGTACTGGAGGACAAAAATTTGGGTCTCCATATGTTAATCCTGTCAGTTAACAATAAATCAAACGCAGGGATCTTTCCAAACCCACCTCCGACAATCAATAAGTTATCGTAGAGCCTCTTCACTTTGTTAAAATCTGTAGATATTCCGGCATTGGTGATAGATTCAATGATGGCCTTTTCCAATGGTGCCAAACTGATATTTTTCGTATTGGACGTCGTCTTGGTGGGTCTTGGTCTAGAATATGGGTTTGCCAACTTTATTCTGTTCTTTTCATCAACAATCAGGATAAGTAATTGATCATCAGCAAGGTCCGCATGTACTAGAGACTCTGATATGTTCTCCTGCGCCTTGGAAAATGGGTTATTTGGTTTTCCTGAATATTGATCAACTGAAATTGGGAATAGACTTCTCTTTTGAGCGGCCTCGTCATCTGTTGGTTCCTTAATTTGGAATAATCCCGGGTAGAATAATCCTAGTGGGGCAATCATAACTTCATCAAACACCTTAAACTCGTACTTTTCTGTCAATTCGTTTGGTTTACGTTTGTAGAAGTTATACAATTGAACTGCAATATCTGCGTCCAGGAAAGTCACATAGTTCTTCTTCAAGGATTCGGCTAATTCCCAGTCATCGTTATGTCCAGATAAGTCTATTCCCTTGTAAGGGAAGGACAGTTCCAACAACAACTTGATGAATGTTTCAGTTATGTTATCTCCTCCAAAATTTAAAGTGATTCTTGAATCGTTGATGATTAGCCCCTCATCAACACATGATATAGTAGTCGTCTGAGATCCAACGTCCACAACACAGGCACTTTGAGCACCTGCTCCGAAAGTAGCAGCGACAGCTTCCTGGATTATGGCTACTTTGCCAAACCCAATCTGTTTGAAAAGCATACCTACCCAGTTTTCAACGTATACCTTGTCATATAAGTCGGGAATAACAAGAACAGCCTTGAGCTGTGCTAAATGTTGCTTTTTGGTGATATCAAGCTTTTCCAACGCATCGAAAATTATGCATGCTAAATCTCCAATGATTTCTTCAGGTGAATCGTAATACAGCTCTTGGTCGTTGAAAACACCATTCTTGATGGGGAATCTCAAGAGCCAGTTATTGTTAACAATAGGTAAATTCAAGGCGTCTTCTCCGATGAACACAGTTTTCCCCTTATGTTCAGATAAATCCAACCATTCTTTCTTGTATGGATCGTTATGGTCTGGGATTCTTTCGGGTTCCTGCTTCTTGTTGTAATTTGCTGCGGATTCTCGTGAGTTGGGTAAGATACGACGCTTATAGTACTTCATTCTGGCCTTGAAGTCCTTGGTTACTATATCCTTGTGGTGGTCAAAATCTGCGTCAAATGCAACGTTACCAGCGTCATCGACCGTACGCACAGGAGTTGGTTGGTGATCAGCGGGCGCCAGTGCCTTAGATGACGATGTGCTGGTCTTCGGCCTCATTGCCAAGACGGTAGGTATAGTCAAGGGGAACGCATCTGTGGCTCTTCCGATTCTAATGTTAGATGAGCCGGGTTGAATGACAATGGTGTCGTACCCTTGTTTGGCCTTGTGCTCGATAACGTCTCCGTCCACTTCATCGTCATCGTCATCATCCACATCGTCATCGACATCATCTCCGGCAGCAGCTGCCGCTGCTGCTTCCGCTTCTGCTTCTGCTTCTGCTCTGGCCAACGCTTCTTCTTCCTCCTGCTTCTTTCTCATCTCAGCCTCGATGTCACCCAAATCATAGTCGTCGAAGTTCTTGGGTTCCAAGGAGTTATCGTCCTTCTTGATTGCCTTCTTCAACTTGTTGTTGTTTTGGCTCTGCATCAACTTCTCGCTTCTCCAATTTCTAACAAACGATATCTGTTCATCCTTCTTCAAGTAATCGGTGTAGTAGTTCTTCTGGTTCACTAAGGGGACTTGCTTCACCGACGTTAACGCGAATTTATTCTCTTCTTCAAATCTACCAATTCCTGTCTTCTTCAAGTTGCTTGCGATTGTTGCTGCTGCCTTTATTCTACCTTCTCTACGACGCTGAAGCACTTCAGCGGTCACCTTGGGTGGAGCCTTCTTCTTGACTGCGGGAGAGCCAGCGGCCGGCTGGGGTGTTGAGTTGGAGGTTTCAACATCAGTACCGCCGGTTTCGGATTGGGGGTGTTCTGTATCAGAGGTCATCGTAGCTCGATTTGTATAGTAGCTGAAGAAGAACACAACACTATCGTCGACAACGCGAATTTAATATCGTGCTTAGTGGTGAGAGTGAAAATTGGAATTTGAATTTTGAATTTTTCAGTTTGGTGAGAATGAGTAGTAGGAAGTGGTGTTGCACCATGAGTAGGTTAGAGATGAAATAGGACCTAGTGAGAGCTACAATGGTGTTAAGGGGGATTGCAATGAGTGCTCTTAGAGCGTTTTTGCACAATTGGGGTATCGTATCTGGAATACGCTACTGTTCTACTGTTTGTATAACATATATACTCTCAGTCTTCTCAGTTTGCTACGCTCGCTTTCTACACTAGTGTATTTATTAATTAAATTCTTCTAGTAATCAAATACTGTATTTGTGAATTGAATTCTTCTCGTAATCTAATACTGTATTCATTAATTGAGTTCTCCCAGTAATCTAATACTGTATTTATTAATTGAATTCTTCTCGTAATCAAATACTGCATTTGTTAATTGAATTCTCCTAGTACTCTAATACTGTATTCATTAATTGAATTCTCCTAGTAATCTAGTGACCTGTTGAACGCAGTTGGTTTCATGGGGAGCTTAGGAGGCTCTGCTCTCTTTTTCATTTGTACTGGAACTGAAGTGTGACTGCTTACAATTTGAGACTGCGGTATAGATGGACTGAGACTTTGACTTTTGCCAGTGCCATCGCTCAAATTCTTCTTGTGTTTTTGTAGTGTCATTATCTTCAGCTTGGTCTTACTCTCATTATCAAAGTCCCAAAGCTTCCTCTTCCATTCTGCTAACTGGTTGTGTAATTCAAATAACTTTGTAATGTTCCTTTTCTTATCCGAGTTCCCATTGATAGTTGGTGTTGACGCCGACAACGTCGATGATGATGATGATGTTAGTTGTAAAGTCTTGTATAATTCCTCGTATTCTTTGTATCTGACCTTAAACTTTAATGCTAAATTGTTATAAAATTGTAATTTTTTCTGCTCTTTGGAAGGCTCTTGAAATGAAAAGAGTTGCGTGGATGAGTTAGCCGTTTGTAGTCTGGCAGGTGTAGATGAGAGTTGCGGTATTGCTGGCGGTGATGGTTCATTCTCCAGTTCTTCGTTAATTGAAGATGGTGATGTATAGTTATCCCCTCCATTCCCAATGGAATTCATGCTGGTGGAGCTTCCGCCACTACCACTACTGCTGTTACTACTAGTCCGGCCTCTGCCAACTGTTCTCCTTCTCTTATATCCAACGCTACTGTTTTTGTCGGAAGCGATAACACTTCCTAGCGGCTTCTCATCGTCTGAAGAAGATGCAGATGAGAGTGATAGCTTTCTCTTGAATGCTTTCTCTTTCAAAGGTGAAACATTGCTGTTTTTGCTAAAACTGGTGCTATTATTGCCGTTGCTGTTAGTATGCTCAATACTATTATCATTATTATTTTCATTATTATTACTATTATTGTTATTATTTGTGCTTTCAGCTTGTGTGACTGGTGGTCTAGGGCTGCTGGTTTGTGATCTCTTGACTGGAGATACTTTTCTCTGCTTTAACATTCCACCTCCCAATGAGGATGATTTCTTAATCGGACTGTTGCTATCATCGTCCGCCTCAACCGATGAACTTCTTCTTTCAGTCAATTTCCTCCTCAATGGATGAGTTTCCAGAAACCCTAACCGCGTTAATGCATTGTGGATGTTGTGTATGATTAATGAACGCTCATCATCTGTATAATAAGCCCAATCCCATGGCTTTAACTCCTTGTAACTCTTATCTTTCAAAATGTAGGACGTCTGGGAGCCGTTTTCGCCTTCGTTTCTCGAAAATATGTCGTCAATTATAAATGAATCGTTGGGGTTATACACTTGTGAATATTGCGATAAGAATGACGAGACTTCCTTTTCAGAAAGTTTCAAGCTTTGACAGAGAGTCTTAATGGATACTGGGCCCAATGCTGCAAAGTATAAAAACTTGGATAATCCGTCCTCGTTAGATGCATAAAGAGTTGGGGAAGTAGTGTTGAGCTGCTTAACCGTGTTCGGCGCGGTTAAAACTGACGAGCCAGGGCCCAATTTGGGTGTAGGGGTAGATGTAGGAGTGGGTATTGGCGTATTGAAGTGACTCGATGTCGAGGTTGGTGGCCTTTTGAAGTATTCCTTAATCATTTTCGGATCTGTCAACACATTTAGCCTCGTCAGTATTCTGCCCTTAAACTTGTAATCCAAGTCGTAGTCTGCACCGCCATCATAGACGTCAATTCTCGAAGTTTCAGGCAATGCCGAACAAGGGTACTCTGATTTGTCGATTTTAATCAGATACTGACCATCTTTCACTATTAACTTGGCTTTTATTCCCGAACTTTTGCACTGTTTGAGTTGGTTTATGATTTCTGCGTTTAACTTTATGGAAATTGGCGCAGGCTCCTGCAACCGAGACGGTACAGGGTGTAATGAAGATATGGTGGCCATATGAAGTCGGACTTATAGTTGATATGAGATGAGTGTAGTAGAAAATATGAACGATTCTATAGTTATTGCCCTAAAAATCGGTCCCAATTAACTGGAATCTACGAAGTGAACTAACTGACGTGAGGTGAGCACTGGTGTAGATCACTCACACAAATTTCTCCCTAGTATTCCGAAGTGAAGTATGGTAACAAAAAAAAATAGAAAAAAGTCCGGTTCAGTCTCCAAAATTTCAATAAATGGGTCTCTAATGGCTCGCTTACGGATAATTCGATCCCTGAGAAATATATATTGAAATGCCAGTACTAAATTTGGGAAAAAGAAGGTGTGCTAATATTTTTAGCTTAGATTAGATTTAGTAATCTTTGTGGAGCTTAGTTCCCAGAGGAGGGCCGTATTTTGGGAAGGTAGAAAAAAAGAAAAAAAAAAAAAAAAAAAAAAAAAGAGAAAAGGGAAATAGTAAAGGTGCCTACATCGAAACACATGGGAAGGTAAACAGACGTGTTGGCTGGAGAATTGACTTTTTCCGGAGCCCATAGGTGGGAAACCCGAGATGGCGGGTGGAGAAGCTGCTTTGCGTGCTAAAATAGAGGAATAATGATAGCAAATTGGTACCAATGGTAAAGTTATGCCGGAAATATTCAAACTCACACTTCTGCTGTAGCGAGATCATCACACTATTCATCGGAAATTTTAGCAAATCTGGGATACCAGGCTTGTAGGTAGCACTCTATCTCTGCAATGCAAGGCTACAAAATAATTAGATTATATAAGAAAGTGCGCGAAAGAGTGTGATGTGACAAGAAGAGCGGGGACATTAACCGTCACTGTATGTGACTATATGCGATATGTGTAGGTGGTGGGTAATGTGGGAGGGTGAGTTTATGGCAAGTGAACAGCAAGTAGTCCGGATCTGTGTATGCGCATTAGAATAGAAGGAATGCACATATGTGTCGATCGTCATTGCTGTTGGCGTGTGTAGCATGTTGCCTAGCTTTCACCTATTTATAAACCACTTATGAAATTTAACTACGCATCGTATTTTTGGGACACTCTCAAAAAATAAAAAGTCCAAGTCCATGTTCCAAGAAACAGTATGGGGCAATTCAACGCAGTGGGGTTTCTGCGAGTTACTAAAGCTCCACTTTCCTTTTAGTATCCTTATCCCTGGATTCTCTTATTTGGCTTTGCTACTTGGCCATTGTTTTACCAATATTTTTGGTAACAAGGGGGCCCGTTATTTTTTTGGCTTGTCCTGTTCTTTTTTTTTTTTTTTTCTCTGGATTTTCACTGTTACACTTAACTTAAAAAAGGCTCTTTGAGTCAGCCGCAATCCCGAGAACTTGTAGTCCTATCAAACCTAATTTGACTTTACTGGCCTGATTTAAATTTATCTGATAACTAGGGAGAAATTTGGTCTGAAATTGGTTTCATAACGTGGATTTGGCGAAGTATTTGGAATAGCCTCCTTGGATCCTCTCTCCATGCCTTCACTCTGGTAGCACTTCTCTTGTTCAGCCTTTTTTGCACCTTGTTAATGGTGTATGGACAGCCTCTGGTAGCCCTACCTAGGCACTGCATTGCACTGCACTGCAGATAAGAAAATCACCTCTTTTTGACAACTGCCTGCCTGCCGCCTACCGGTAACGATCACTATGCAGGTACCTCCCACCACCACCCACCACATTTGGTCGTTAGGAGATTATAGTTCCTGCAGAAAGGCAGGGCACCATCAGTCGCCCTAGCACCTCTCTACCTTGCACTCTACCTCGAACTCTCCCTTGGTCTCTGCATCTGGCCTGCTCCTCTCGCCTCTACGTTGTTTGATCTGCAAAAATGTATCTCTCTATTGTCTTGTCTGACTCTCAATTTTGCTCTGCACTCTTCACCTCATACAGTCAACTGATGTGCACACCGACTACACACAGAAAATTGCAACCCAAAAAATAAACATCGGTAACATGCTCTTAAATTTCCGCTGTCGTCTTCTTTCCTGTCGAGGTCATTTAAACGGATGGGCATAAGCTGTTGTTTACTCATATAGCCGGCCCATTATTCCCAAAGGTATCACTACTTATCCTTTCTCTCTCTTACTAGCTGGAGCCTGCACACAGCTCCCCATGGACTGCACTCTGCCCAGCTTCCTTTCCTTTTCTTTTTTTTTTTTTTACTTTGCTGCGTTTTTTTCCTTGCTTTGTTTTTTTTGGTTGCCCTTCACCTTCTTCTCTTCCCGAATTGCTAACGTCTAGTATAGAGAAATAGCGACCTAGTAGAAATTCACACATTTAGTAGTAGCATTATCAAATTCGCATAGTAGTTAATTTTGACTAATAGTTTTTTTCAAGTAATTCAAAAATATGTTTAAGTGGATTCAAGGTGGACTCTCTGCAGCAATTGGTACGGCAGAGCCTGAATATGGTAGAGAAGCTATCCAATCAGTAATTGATTCAATAGAAAAGAAAGAAGCTCCAATATATAGAGAAACTACCGTGGAGGATTTCGCCTGGAAAAACCCAGAAAACACGAACGTAGAAACTCAATCGTTTTACTTCACCTGCTTGAAAACTGGACTTGTTGGATTCGCTCAAGTTATCCACTCCAACGTTGTCGGGCAAACTGCACAATTCACATTTAGATTGTTCAATTTTGAAAACGGTAAACCTGAAGAGGAAAATTTGTGGACCTCTACCAAGTTAGAAGACTTTAAGGTTGACGGACCAAATTTCTACGCCACCGGATTATCCATTAAGATTAGTGAAGATGGTCAAACTTATCATTTAAAGTCTGAGGTCAACCCAGAGTCCATTGTAGATTTGACAGTGACTAAACTAGTTCCTGGTGTGATCTTTGGTAAGGATGGTGTATCTAACTACGGTGAAGACCCAGCAGAGCCATGGGGTAATATGAGACATTTGTTCTGGCCAAGATGTAAAGTGACTGGAACCATTAAGCATAAGGAAGATAAGGTTTTGGAAATTGATGGTTACACCATGTTTGTTATGGCAATTCAAGGTATGAAGCCACATCATGCTGCCAAGGCATGGAATTTCTTGAATTTCCAAAATGAAAACTATAGTGCAGTGCAAATGGAATTCACCACCCCACCTTCTTACGGTAACACCAAGGTGAATATTGGTCTTGTCACTGACAATGAGAAAATTTTACTCTGTAGTGTAAACAACAAGATTACCCATATCACTCCTTTAAGCGAGGAAAGCACTCCAGTAACTGACAGTGTGGGATGGCCCGTTCCTCTGGAAATCGTATTCGAATACGATGGTGATTTAACCACAAACGACAAGTCGAAAGTTGTTGTAAAGGGAGAGTTGAAGACATTGGTAGAAAGGGTTGATGTTATGGCTGAATTACCTCAATTCATCAAGGATATTGCTACTGGTGTATCCGGAACCAAACCATACATCTATCAATTCTGCAACAAGCTTGAAATTGATGTCGATGGTAAAAAGGAAGACGGTATTGCTTTCAATGAGGTTACTTTCATTTCAGAATGATCATCCTTGCTTTAAACATTTTTATTTGATTTCTTTCTTTAATTGCTTTTACGGGGCCCAGTTGATGCCTCTTTGATTTTCTCCAGGATTTTTTAGAAGTCCGTACTAATAATGATAAAACTAATACTTTAATGCTAACAAATCCATACATACATAATGAACGAAATCTGCATTTGATTGTAGTCACAGTGAGAGGCGTTTTGTTCTATATAGTTTCATACCAACAACACTTAAGCACAAGCCAATTATGAATTGCAACTTCCGATTTTCTTCGCATATTGCAAAGTATACACTCAACTTAATTTCTTGAGGTCGAACTACCCTGGTCCAGACTGAAAAGCATGACTATTCTTCCAAGATACAAAGGAACATTCAGAATTCAGAAAATCAAGAATCTGGGAGGACAAGTAAAGATAGAAGGGTTATACTGTTAGGCATGATGAATCGAATAGAGTTGTAAGGAAGTGTAAAAAAAAATGGTCCCTAGCAGGATCGAACTGCTGATCTCGGCGTTATTAGCACCGCGCCTTAACCAACTGGGCCAAGGGACCATTTCTTGCAGAGATTTTTTCAAAATCTCGTTAATATTTAGCAAGCAAACATTGCAACGCTAAAGGTAACCCATGGCGTACGAAGAGCCAATGCAACCGACGGCTCTCGTATACATTAGCCCAATAGTAAAGAAATCGCTTTATTTCAAATAGACTACTGGTAAAGTACCAATAAATAAGCTGCGCGGGGCTAATATTACCTTTATGCTTTACTTTCTTATCTTTGCTCTCGTATAGTTGCCTCTTTGTTATGTCTGGCAAGTCGTTGGGCAGCCAGTACAATGTGTTGAGTTGCTTTACTTTGGAAGCAACACGAGGAGAGAAGTTTCAAGAACTTTCCAACAGCACGCTGTCTTACTTCATCCCGCAGTGTTCGTATTCTTTGTAAGCAGAGATATTAGAGTGATGCTACTGAAATATATTTCCTTAGGAGGATCTTGTTCTCAAATTGCCCCTAAAGTACTTTGGAAAGAAAATTGTCCATGGGTCCATAATACTATTGCTCACTTTGAGCCCTTTTATTGGGGTTTTATGCTGCGTACAGGTATATGCTGTAGCGGCTACACTGTTGGTCATAATTTTTCCTTAAATTCTCTATTTACCATCTATCTGAACTAAGTCTTTACTCTATGTGGGGTTGGAGTGGCGTGCGGCTCACGCCAATATCAATCATCTAAACATAAAAGCCTTCTCAATTCTGAAGAGTGGGTTTGGTTTTTTCTTTATTTGCATTGAAGTCTGGAAACACTGTCAATTCATTATGTCAGAAAAGAGAGTTATACCTCTTGAGTCAAATCCCGATATATTCAATGAATTATCGTACAAGCTTGGATTGTCGCCAATCCTTCAATTCCACGATTTATATTCTTTAACGGATCCCGACTTACTCTCCTTTATCCCGCAACCTGTTTACGCCATTATTTTGTTGTTCCCCTTGACTACAAATTACGAATTGTATAGAGAATCTACGGACAATATCTCATCTTCCAAGCCTTACGCCAATGAAAAGAGTTCCGATATTAAATGGTTTAAACAAACCATAGGAAATGGATGCGGGCTCTATGCCTTGTTGCATGTACTAGCAAATTTGCCGCAAGATCTTATTATAAATGGCTCAGTTTTGAAGGAAAACTTATTAAGACAAATCACCAAGCATTCTAGTGTAATTGATGTAGCAAGAAAAGTCGAAAACTTGGAGAGTGACATTCAACTTGACGACAATTACGGAGTTCAGGGCCAAACTGCAGCCCCAACTCTGGACGAGCCAGTAGAGTTACATTTTATAACATTCATTAAATCAGGTGAGAACAACCATTTATATGAATTGGATGGAAGAAGGAATGGGCCAATTGACTTAGGTGAAGCGACATCTACAGATAGTCCGAATATTTTGAACGAATCTAAGATTATTGAAAAGGTGCAATTCTACATGAATAATACTGACGAGAAGAACAAGCACAACTTTTCAATTATGGCTATTGCTCCAAGCTATTAGCTACTGAAAAATGAAGAGGAAGGTGGCAAGACAACTACGTATCTGTTTTAGAACAAAAATAAACGTGACTTCTCTTAAATCACCAGGCTGTAGTGATACCTGTTTCATATTATGTGTGAGTGTGTGTGCGTGTGTGTGTGTGTGTGTGTGTGTGTTCACGTACATAGACAGATCGGGCCGCACTTCAGATATCAAACTTCACTATTAAGGGATACCACTGTTTTCCGGACATAGGCTATATATTTTCAGTCCCATCATCCGCATCGATAATATTTATCTATATATCTACGATTTTCATTAGTCTTTCTTAGCTCATTAATCTAAATGTTCTATGCTAAAAAAAAAAAAGTAAAAAGTAAAAAAAAAAAAAAAAAGAAAAACGCATTCCAAATCCATACACTTCCTTTGTAGGACTCTAGTGGGATTCTCATATGATTCTCCTCAGACTACTCTATTCTGTAACAAGGTTGCCCGCATGCTCACCTTCCTTTAACCCATCTAAACTTGACCCTTAATATCTATTTTCTTGAACCCTTGCTGAACAATGATCCCCAGCAACACTCCTCGGGATTGAACACAGTCAAATTCTCCATTTGAAACAAACACATCTAGCTTATACTTTGATAAAAACTTCATACACTCAGCTTCTCCCTTGATCACGTAGTCTAGAACTTCAAGTAAGTACTGTATACTGACTTTTCTGTACAGTCTTGATAATATGTTAAGAGTCTTGATCCGTTGCTTCTCTATAAGAAAGTTTTCAATTAATTTGCACCCCAATTTCATATAGGACTTGGACTTGAGGAATCTATATATCCTGAAGAAGTGATAATAGTTGCCTCTTATAATACAACTCTGCAAATTGAATAATGCTTCCACACATTTGTAAAATCGTACCGATTTCCTATTCTTGTTGCTAGTGCTATTGTTAGTATCGTAGATTTCTAATTTAATTTTGTAGATTTCGGAATTGTTCCCAGTCATCAACATGTAGAGAATTCTGTAACAAATGAATTCCAATTCCAAATTCATAAAGTTTTCATCTATTATCCCACCTTGTTTCCTCTTTAAGTCATACAAGAATTTCAATTGAGATTGGCACTGGTTGAACTCCCCCAAGTCATTGTTTTCAATGGCTATACGGCCATGCGTCTCATAAACATGGATGGTGAAATCATTTTTGATGTGCTGCACAGTAAGATCTTGTCTGATCGATTTAAATTGGTCATTGATGTATGAGTATGGTGAGGAGTGTGAGGGTAAGAGACCAGCTGCCGCATCCGACATCTTCTGCTTGTACTTCTCAAGTATGAACTTCATTGCCTTTTGTAAGACGTACTCGGGTCTGACTCTGCTTGGGTCTGGTTCAGAAGTAAGTCTCAAGTAGTGCTTCTCCAATTCTTGGCAACTCCCCACTATTACTCTTGAATTCGAGTTGGATGTGGAAAACGAGTACGCTGGTTTAGTTGGAAGCGGTTGGGGAGACTCGGTACCGAACCTTTCCATTCTCTGACGTTTACGGTTCTTGGAATCATACTTGGAGTTTATGTCTATAGCAGCAGTGGGGGTGCTGGGGGGCTCTACCTGTGCTGATCTTGTGGGAGTTGGAGGTATGGAAGGAATAGAAGGTATAGAAGGTATAGAAGGAATAGAAGATACTGTGGGCACCAATCTAATCTCACTGACTCCATGTAGAATTGGTAGTTTCTGCTTGCTCCAGTCATTGGTCCAAAGCTTGTTCTCAGCTAAAGCCATCGTTATCAACTGCAGCAATTGCGATTGAAAAATGGCTTTGCTCTGCTCAGAGAATGTGCTTGTTAATGTGAAACTATCTTGTACAAACTGTTGAAGAGATGGGGGCCAATCGTTAGCACTTCTGCTGCCACTGTTCTGAGCACCATTCACCTCACCATTCACTGATCCGTTCGTAGACCCGTTCTCGATTCCGGTCCGATTTCTCTTCCGCTTTTTTAGCTTCATAGAGGGCTCGACTTCGTTGTAAACAGTGCCCGACATTCTATATACTCTTTGGGGTTACTGTAGGTTATGATCTACCTAAACTGTCCCTTGTGATGCTCTGTGTCTTTTTTTTTTAAGCTTTTTCCTTTTACATGTCAAGACAATATGCAGTACCGACATAATTCTTTAGCATGCCGCTACCGATGCAAGCAAAACAAGATAAACACCAGAAGTAGGGAGTAGAGTCTCTGTAATAGTCCAAAATAGTCATAAGGAGTTCGTAATTTAGTCCACTGCTGTGCATGAAGTCTTCTATATTCAACAATGATCCCGTAGATCGGAGAAGAGGTCTTCTGAAGTCGTCCTCGAACCTGTTGACGAGAGGCTTGATCAAGTCGAGCAAGCCGGGGGCAGGCAACACCTCAAGCACAGCGTCAGCTACTTTGTCTACCTCCAAACAACCCTCTAGCCTCCAAAGGAGGGCGCAATCCTCAAGTCCGTTCCCACATAGCAGCCATAGCTCGATCTTTTCACCAAAACCTTCTTCATCTTCCACAGCCGCTGTGGTGTCGTCGCCTATTACAAGCGCAAGCTTGAACTCCATACCGAAGTTTAGGAAGAAGCCGGCAGGTACCGCAGATAAACTCTCTGCCACTCCAAGTGGTCACATCACCCCCTCAAGCACGCCGTCGCTAGCTCCGTCAATTGTTGTGACCAACCTTCAGACTGTGTCATGGAACTTGGATGATATGGTGCGGTCGTATCAAGAGTACGGCTTGCTTCCACAACCTTTGTCTCCCTCATTACCGGCATCTTTCAAGAATCGCAATATACCCACACCCTCCTCCAATGGAGCGCTAAGTGACGATAACGATGATATTCCGTTGTCTATGTTGTCGCCTACGTTACCGTCGATATTTGACATTGGAAGTACTGCTGCATCGACTGCTCACAACAGCAACAACAACAGCACAGTCGTGCTGCCGGTGCCTAAAAGAGTACGGCCTACTTCAAGCAGCAATCCCAATCCATTGACAAGCAATTTCACCGGTAAAGTTCGTACTGTCAGGAAGAATATTGACCAGGAAAATGAGAAATACTTTGTTCAAATCACCTTCTCAACCAGTTTGAAGAAGAAGCTTAACGATATGAACAAGGTGGTTAAAGTAACCACTAGGCCCATTGCAGGACTAGGGATTTCAATTGATAGGAAGGACAACGATTCTATAGGGGAAAGTAGATGGGATAGAGAAAGAGAAAGAGAAAGAGAGAGCAAGGTACGAGAAAGAGAAGAAGAACGAGAAAAAGAACAAGAGAGAGAAAGAGAGCGTGAAAGAAGAGAACGAGAAAGACAAAGAGAGAAAGAAAGAGAGAGAGAAAGAGAGAGAGAAAAAGAGAAAGAAAGAGAAAAAGAAAAGGAAAGGGAAAGAGAAAGAGAAAGAGAGAAAGAAAAGGAGAGGGCTAGGACAAGGGATAGAGATAGTGAGAGAGATAGAGAAAGAGAGAGAAGAAAGCAAATGGAAAAGGAAAAAGATAGGGAAAAGGAGAATCATGCTAACAATCTTGAATCTCAATCTTCTAAACCCACGAATAAAGATGAAGCTGGTCTTCAGGACTACAAGGCCAAATTACTCCACCGCAAAAACTATTGGCTCCAAATGGCAAAGGAAACGAAGATGAAGTCAAAAGATCTACAAGGTTCTGATAAATTGTTCAACTCGGTTATAGTACGATTCGATTCTATTTTACTCTATATGATAGCATATGACTATGAGGAAAAGCTGAAGCTTGCATCAGATGTTTTACCACTGGAAAGGTACTGGAATGTTTTGATGCAAGATTGTAAGGAGCTAATTGAACTCATTAGCTCCATAGTTCCGAATACGACTAAGCTGTCACCGGCTCTGGCACAAGTGGAAAAATCTGTATTTCATGCTTTAATAGGTATTTTATATCTAGCAAGAGGGATTGTCATTAAGAGAATCAACGCTATCTTGCAAAGAGTCATTCGTCTGTACATTGATAAAAAGAAAACAGACGAAGAACCTAAAAAACATGAATTGAACAATAAGATTATTGAACTTCAGCAACAGTATATCAGCAATTTTGATTTGATTAAAAAGGAGTTTGAATCTTCTGAGCGTTATCATTTATCAATTATATTGAAATCATGTTTTCCCAAGAGCTGGAATAACAGATTGAAAGATATACCTTCATCCTCCATTGATTCAAAAAACACTTCTCCAGAAGCAGCAGGCTTTGTTCCTGGGAATGACAAGTACTATTTACCAATTGGAATTTATTCCGAATTACAAGAGGTTGGTGGGCTAATCTTTAATAGCGTCAAGGAAGGTATGGAAATTCTAGGGAATATAAATCCCCAAAAGAAAGTTATTTATTATTTGAAATGTGGATTGAAAGAGGGTTCCGAATAAATGTAATAAGTTGGCTAGATTTGACCTGTAAGGAACCAGTTGCGTACGTTTATCTACAAACATAGGGATTAAATATGCATTTTATTCGTGTTATTATCCTTTATAACTCTATTGCTTTGTAACCTTAATATACTTCTCTTTATAAATCCAACTATTACCAATGGATTTAGTGCCAAACAATTCACTTAACCTCAACCATGCAGAAGCCCTAAAGTAGTCTTTCTTATGCAATTTTGACTTAGAAGACCAGATCTCTCCCAACTGGGCCATTGAAGCTATATTTCCCATAGATCCAGCCTTAGAAAGATATAAGATCCCGCTCATTTCGTCTTTAGTTTGGAGTCCCCAGCCATTGATCAAGCAATTTCCTACTTCGTGGTAGGTCAGAGCTATAATATTCAGTTGTGACTTAATGGAAGTTATTAACTTAGTAAGCTGAGCTGCCGGCAACTTTGAATAATAATCATAGAGCTGAATGGGATCAACTTCAGGTTCGCTCGTAATATATCTGTTCATAATTAAAACCAAATCTTCAGGTGAAATGTCAACCAACTTAGAAACATAATCATTATTTGATTGGGATTGTGTATCAGTTGTGTTTTGAACTACCAATAAACACCGAAGAAGCCATTTAATTGAATTTCTTTCATTCAATTTAACTCCTTGTCCATACCTCAACGCCATGGCATAGAGGTACATAGCCTTGGGGTAATTATTAGGAATGTTTGCTGCTAATTGAAGTTGGTACAGTGCTTCTCTATGATTACCAGCGTTTCTTAATTCCTGTGCCCAATTAGTTCTCGCCGAAGGAGTTAAGTCAGTCTTGGAAAATTTCGAATTTGGAGATGCTGATGCTATTGATGAAGAAGACATTGATCTTGAAACGAATTTAGAAGGTTCAGAAGCTATCCTTCGTTCACCACCACGGGCAATCGGAGACGACTTTCCCGGGCTCTGTCTTTCAGCATGCGATGTGGAAGTGGATCTACGTGATTCCATTGAAGATGTAGGAGACGAATTAACACCCTGGAAAAGGTTATTAGTGGATTTTGGTGTATCTCCCGTACTGGCTCCTACATGCAACAATGGTCTTACCTGTGGTGCAGGTTCTGTATGTGTCCTCACGAGAGGTGGGGGTTGACCAGCAGCTTGACCCAGGGTGTAGCCGCCTTCAGTTGGTGATGGGGTAAACTGAAATTCGTCAAGGTCATCAATTTGCCTTTGTTGTTGACGTTGGAATGCCTGGGGCAGTTGATCCAAGTTTGGTTCAGGAAGTGAATTCGTGTGTTTATGACGTCCAAGCTTGGGAGTAATACTGCTTGTATTGATTTCATCAGATGAGGCAAAAATATCTGCGCTATAATCTTCCAAGTCTACCGTATCCCTCTTTGATGCGTAATCTAGAGCACTTCTAGTCATTGGCAGTGATAAGGGAGTTGGGATTTTTTGTGAAATGGTAGCTACTGATTCCAATGAAGCCATGTCAGCTTGAAAGGAGAAAATAGATTTATTGTCCGATTGTACGATTTTACTTCCAACGTTACCTACCGTGTATTCGTTGTTATTTGACGATGTCAGATTCGAAGTAGAGTTGGTCTTGATGCTATTGGTTATGCTAGAGGTACTTCCATTTCGATTCAATGGTGGTGAAACACGGCCTCTGGATTTATTTTTAGGTACAGATGGAGTCCTGTTGAGTCCAATGGATGATGCATTTGTCGGTATTGGAATATGTTTACGCGATGATTTACGACGTGATAACGACCCAAGCAGAAGTAGAGACAGCGACGACAGCAGCTTCAACTTTTGCTTTGCAGATGCTGTTCTGGACATGGGAGCATTGTAATGCTGATTTTGAGCTTGGGCCTGCTCCTCTAATCCCAATCTATCTAATAACCGACCTGTGGATTGGTTAGAGAATACGCTGTTCCTTTTGCCCATCCAGTTGTCTATGTCATCGTTATCTTCATTATTATCGTCGTCAAGATATAAGCGGTCTAGTAACCTACCATTAGTACTCACCAGGTCAAAGGAGTATATGCTTTCGCCTCCATCCAAGTGGTGAGCGTCTTCATTGTTACTATAATCGTTCTTCCCGCCAGCGATATGTATACTACTGTTACTAGTGGTGGGTTGATTGTTTATCTTCCCCTTTAACACTTGGGCTTTGCCCGTCGATTGCTTTCGTTTCATATTCCCTCCATTAGATAATGCCATTTGAAGTTCAAGTTGATGTAACGGAGAATAGGTCAACTCATTTTCAAAACCATCTCTCGAATTAATATTCATTTTTCCGTGTATATTATATATCAATCAAAAAATAATACACTATACGCAGTAAATAGAGACACCTATTGGGTGTATGAGTGTGCGTGTGTCAGGGGAATGTAATAGGCAGGCACAAGAAGCAGGAACAGGAACACCGGACAGTTACTGGGCCCCAATATTCTATTTTTGTAAGTGTCCCACTGTCTCAGCCGGGGTTTTCTTGAAATTCTGATGTCGTAGTTACGAGCGTTGGTTCGGTAACCTATGGTGAGAAAATTTAAGCTCGAATTTTACACTTATTTTCTTGTATCAGGAAAGAATGATGGAAACTAGAAAGCTTGCCTAATAGTTTAAAGGGGGCGATAGCGATGTGGGAGGATATCCTGAGTGCTCAATCTGACACGAATCTAGAAATGGACGTGAATAGGGTGCCAGTTATAGTTTAAACTTTAAATGGCTGCTTCCGTTGCAATAGTGAAATGTATTGCACACTTGAATTTTTTCCAGTTTCTAGCTTTCTTTTTTTTTTTTTCTTATCCTTCACTCTAACTAATTTCAAGGTGTCTTCACTAGGTTACTGGAATTGCACAAAAAGAAAGAGCCACTAATTTAGATAAGGCGGCCTAATGGATGGTGGGCTTAATATGTGTCTGCTTGGTCTGCGTGTGTTTAGGGCAGGAAAACTTCCACTTTTCCTTATGCTGCTAATGAGATATGATGGCTTTTCCAGAATTATTAAGGTTTCGCTGGAAAATGTGATGATTTCTGAGAGATCCTTTTTTCAATTTGGGGTTAGTAAACGAGTGTAGTGGAGTGGAATTGAAGATACAAGTAATTCACTGTCTCAATCACTCAAATGTAGTTTAAATTGGATTCGTTATTTCTAATTTCTACGAATTCAAGCAATATGAAAATCTTTTCGATTATATATATGTCTCCGTCTCCGTCTCCTTGTCTATTTAAAGGTTGAGCTGAAGAGGATAAATTAGATTTACATGACACTTTAGGCAAAAATATTTGGAAAAAGTGTACAGCGTAGGTGGGGCATATCACGTGATCGCCTAATCTTGCAATAAAAGATGGGGTACTTTGCTACCTTTGGAACCTGTAGAGAAGGAAATAACAGACGAGAGGAAAACGCAACTACAAAAAATATTATATCCTACTGCTTATAGCCAGCTTGCAGTGAGGGAATTATAGCTGCATGCAACGGACATAGCTTTTCTTTTTTCAGCTGTCGAAAAACGAGAGAAGCAAATAAAGAACAAACGATGGCTAAAAAAGCTTCAATGCATGCCAAAGGGAGTGCCTATTCACAGAGAGTGTCGACACTGAAGGGATCAACACCAACATAGAGTATAAAGAAGATTTTATCGCTTTCACGAGTGATAGAAGGAGACGGTACGGCCCTAAGCGGAAAATATTAGACTTCAGATCACCGGTTGCTTATGGGCATTTATTTTGAGTGAAGTTTATGTGAACTGTTGACATGGGAACATATACGAGAGGCGAGCTGGATCATCCACACTGTGCATGAATCTGTACGTTGTTGCTCCATTGCTGCTCCATTCTTGTCCCTCTTCACCCCCTCCCTACTTGTACTCGTCCCGTCCCTTCGAGACCCTTTCTATCCTCCTCCTTCGGTTCACGTACTGATTGTGCTAATCAGGATGGGTAGTTTGCATGCACATAGACAGGGTGTATATAAAATTTTCACTTAAACTTTTTTTTATGCTCTTGCACTTTCTTTCCATTATTAGCCACTGTCTTGCCCTGTCTCTTACTTCCTGTCCCTGCCTCTTCTGTTTGATTTCCTTGCATGCATAACCGCTGCCAGAGAATGTCCATTTGCTCCACTTTGCTTCTTTCTCGGTTCCCACTTCTTTATTATCATTTCTTCCCTTCAAATCTACTGCCTGATCATGTCCCATTACTTTCCTTGCAATCCCCTTCTACTGGCTCTCCTTCTTTCCTGCACCATCTACACATTTGCTCCTAGCGTATGGATTGTTGCATCGAGAGCTTGTATACAAGATCAATCATTAGCGCTTCTTTTTATTTTTTCTCTTCTACTTTATTATGCCTATATATGCACGTTGAGTTCTTGTTCTAAGCTATACGCTATGATCTCCATAGTGAAAAGCTTAAAAATATCAGCAGATTTGGGGCATAGTTTAGGTGGCTTTTCTTCATTTTTGAATCCATCTCGTTTCCGTCTCTACAGTAAATGCCTCTTTGTCTCAGTGACTCCGTGTCGCCCATCTGGATTACCATTTGTCTTCGATGGAGCCTGATTCCCAACGGCTTCACGGCATTAGTGTAATATGTGCAGGCACGGCCCATCTATACTGAACCTGTCAAAAATACATCGCAAGAAACTACTCGTTAGCTGTGGGTCTTGCTCATTTCTCTTACATCTTTTTCTTTACTATTCGTGGCTCTATATTTGCTCTTGCTCAAGGTATATACATATATATTAGACATGTTTGGTACCAAATTGAAGACATTAATTGAGTCGAAAAGACCTAAGGTGTCACCTGAAATCGACCCTTCCACTCTTTCAAACTATGAGAACTTCACCATCACCGATGCTACATCTCTTGAATTTAACATAGACTTTGACTCACAGACCGTCTCAGGCGTTGTCGAGTACAGTCTTAAATCTCAAGAGCCTTCTGAAATCATCTTAGATACTTCCTTTTTGGTAGTAAGCAAGGTTGAAATTAACGGGGAAGATGTACCGGACTTTAAGGTGTTACCTAGAAAAGAACCATTGGGGGCTCCTCTCGTTATTCCAAACAAAAGTTTCACCGAATTCAAGCTTAAGATTGAATTTAGCACCACTCAAGACTGTACAGCTATTCAATTCCTTAACAAGGAAGCCACTGATGGAAAAATGGCCCCATACCTTTTCTCTCAGTGTCAACCAATCCATGCAAGAAGTATGGTTCCTTGCTTCGATACCCCTGCCGTGAAGTCGACCTACAAGATGAAGTGTACTTCGCCATACCCTTCTCTTATGTCAGGTAGGCCAGACCCAAAGAACTTCAATGAAGAAGCAAACGATGATACTGGGTTGAAGACGTACTACTTTGATCAACCAATTCCAATTCCTGCTTACCTCATTGCATTAGCTTCAGGAGATATCACCAAGGCTCCAATTGGACCAAGATCTCACGTTTACTGTGAACCAAAGAACATCGATAGCTGTCAATATGAATTTGAGAACGATATGGAACTGTTCTTGCAAACCGCCGAGAAGTTAGTCTTCCCATACGAGTGGGATCAATATGATGCCTTGGTATTACCATCCAGTTTCCCCTATGGAGGTATGGAAAACCCTAATGTCACCTTCGCTACACCAACTTTAATATCTGGAGACAGAGAAAACGTCGATGTTATAGCTCATGAATTGGCTCACTCCTGGCTGGGTAATTTGGTCACTAACTGTTCTTGGGAGCATTTCTGGCTCAATGAAGGTTGGACCGTATACTTGGAAAGAAGAATCCAGGGTAACATTCACGGTGAATCTACCAGACATTTTAGTGCTATCATTGGATGGAACGATTTGGAGAATGGTATTGCTGCCATGGGAGACTCTGCTAAGCGTTATTCCACCTTGGTGCAAGATATGAAGGATAGATGCGACCCAGATGATGCCTTCTCGACAGTTCCATACGAAAAGGGATCCAGTTTATTGTTCCATATTGAACAAGTTGTTGGAGGAAAGGCCGTTTTCGATCCATTTATTCCTCATTACTTCAACACCTTCAAATACAAATCCTTAGATACCTACCAATTTTTGGATACGTTATATGCGTTTTTCAAAGATCAAGCATCAGCATTAGACACAATTGATTGGGAGACTTGGTTATATAAGCCAGGTATGCCACCAGTTAAACCCTTCTCTGATACCTCATTGGCAGATCAATGCTATGATCTTGCTGATAAGTGGTACAGCACTATAATTGCAGGAGAGTCTATTACTGCCACATTCAAGGCAAGCGATATCGCCAGTTTCACCTCAAACCAATCAGTCGTCTTTTTGGATACATTGGTTGCATTAAATAAGCGTGAGGACTTCTACTGGAAGGACCATCTCAGTCAACTCAAGGAAATGAGCAAGATATACGAGACATACTCCGAATCCAAGAATGCTGAAGTTTTGTTCAGATGGTACGTTGTGCAGATTACTGGAGAAAACAAGGACTTCTACGATTTGTTGGGAGAATGGTTAGGAACCGTTGGTAGAATGAAGTATGTTAGACCAGGATTTACCTTATTGAACCAAGTTGACCGTGAAAGGGCGGTTAAGTATTTCCATGAGTTTGAAAGTGGGTATCATCCAATTTGCAGAGCTATGGTGAAGAAGGATTTGAATTTGTAATGATTTAAAAGCTAGCATAAAGTATATACACGTCAATAAATATAGGATCATATTTATAAAATAATAAGCATAGTAAGTAAGAAGTGAAGGTGATAGAATGACAGTAACAGTAATAATACACAATACTTGACTAAGTAATAACCATTCCTTGGTTAGACAGTACTGGATGATTCAAGTCACGTGTAGTAAGCCTCATCAGAGATATCAACTAATTTGCAAAAGCGTCTCACTTAACTGATTCTTATCGAAATAAATTCAAATTTTGAGAGCCGCTTTTTTACTTATTCTCACATAAGGCTTTTGTTTTAAACTAAATCTTTCAAAATTGAGCTCAAAAAAAAGTCTATCATGCTGAAAATACTCCTCTGGGCTATTTATTACATTCACTATGTATAGGGAGCCAACTTGAAGGGATTTTGAAATAGCCTCTCACATTCATACCGTGTACCCCCCTCTTTAGTTTTGACCTTTTTTTTTTCTATTTGCATTTTTGAAAATTTGGTTCCCAAATTTTTTGGAAAGTCCGAAACTTGTTTAATTTGATGATTTCCATATTGAACACGTCCACGACCTCCATATTGAACAGAAAACGACCTTTTTGTTACACAAAACTCATTTGTGGATAAACCACAAACCAAAGAAAATATTTTAGAGGTTTCAGAAGGCCATGCATTCA